AGCGCATTCAGTTGTTCAGGAATTGCTCGATTTGGTCGTTTCTGTCTTAATGGACCAATTGTTGACTCGTAAAGAGTTCTCTGGCCTATCGATATTCCTGAAGATGCCTCCCGGGTTCATAGAGCATCAGGTTTACTTCGAGTCCTGGTTACAACGCAACATCTTGCTCCAGATTGAAAGCAATGTTTTGCTAAACCGAAAGGCACTGTTGGAACCGCGAGTTTTAAACAATCTTGCAAGGCTATTGACCCAGGTTGCAGATGCTATTTACGAAGGCTGGTTTATAGACGGAGCTACAGTGACTCTAGATTTCGCGGGCCCGATTTTGGAATACCTCCAAAAGAGCGAAGTGGCATCTTTGAAAAGCATCCGACTTTGCAGTCAAACAATTGGCAATATACGATCTATCGTCTTCCGTACGGTCTTGCTGAGGCTATCGGAAACTGAAGATGCGGCAGCCCTTTCCTTTCTAAAACGTCTTACTTACTGGCAAACAGTGCTGCTGGGTTCTGAGGAAACGCAGGCGGAACATTTGCAGCTGATGTGCTACCTTTTGTACTCCAAAATAGTCACAGAAGAAGAAGACGTCCGACTGCAGGCTGCAGGTCTATGGCGAATCATCATGGTCCAGAAACCGACAGAAACTTTGGCTATGTTGAGTCAAACCAGTTCATCCCTCCATAAACGACTATCTACCGGATTTCAAAAGCTTGTCGCCATGGACAATAGCAGTTTCCTTCGATGGATAGATGACCAACGAGATGATCTTGACTGCTTCTTCTTCGGCACATTGTCGAAAGTATGGGAGAACTTTGTGAGGCAGGAAAATAACAAGACGGATGACACTGCTAGAAATCGATTGTCAAAGAGAAAAGAGAAGTTGAAGCAGTGGAGCCAGACCGATGAAGCGAATGAGGAGATTATCCGTAGACACGATGTTACCTTTGGGCATTGGACTTCAAACATCTCGCTTTCGGAGAAACTCAAACATCAAAGATATGCTCAAGACCAGCAAGACGACTTTACTTTCTTGCTCTCCATTTTTTCTCGCGTTTACCGGAATCTCCGCCGCGAAAATGGCCTTCTCGCAGACCGCAGCGAAACTAAATGGCGTCTAGACCAAACGGAAGGTCGGAGCAGGATGCGTCAGCGGATTATTCCCGACGATACAGTTGGTAAACAGGATTATCAGCCCAAACGAAGGGCGACAGAGTCTCATCCATCAAAATCAGATACCCGGCCACGCTCCAACACAGATAGTGATGGCGTTTCTATCACTCCCTCCGAAATTGCAGCTGAGGGGCTTGAAGAAGGTTCTTTGGTGGATGATAATGGTGATGGGGCGGGAATGGATGATAGCTTTGAGATCATCGAGGAGCCCAAGGACGGCGAGGAAGATTATGAAGATAAGAATCGGAAGGTGATGAGAAGCCTCCATCGCGGAGACCAAGTGCAACATGTGTGCAATATTTCTAGAATTGTTGGCCTAGAAGCGTGCGAAGGCCTTCTAATTCTTGGGAAGGATAGCATCTACATCATGGATAACTACTTCCAGCGCCCGGATGGGGAGATTGTCAACGTCTGGCAGGCCCCGCGTGAGGAGCGTGATCCTTACGTGCGCATGATCTCGGGTCGAGAGTCAAGTGAGCGAAAGTACAACAATGGTGAGCATGAAACCAGAAGCTGGAAATGGCTTGACGTGGTTAGTGTCTCGAAACGTCGTTTCTTGTTCCGAGATGTGGCTCTTGAGATATTTTTCACGGATGGTCGCAGCTTTTTGATAACCTTGATCTCGCCGCCTGCTCGAAACGAACTGCATACCCGGCTCATTTCCCGAGCACCGCAGACCCAAGCAGCCAGCAACTCATCACAAGCTGACGATTCCTGGAGGTTCGAAGCCCTGCGAAGTCAAGAAACCAAGCCACAGTTTTTTGGATCTAAGCTTGTCAACGTGTTTGGTCAAGGAGGCTTGCACCCTGCAACCCGCAAGTGGTTAAAAGGAGAGATGTCGAATTTTCATTATTTGATGCTAGTTAACACATTAGCCGGGCGGACTTTCAATGATTTGACCCAGTATCCTGTTTTCCCTTGGGTGCTCGCGGATTATACGAGCGAAGAACTGGATCTCACAAACCCGAAGACATTTCGAGATCTTTCCAAGCCGATGGGATGTCAGACCCCCGAAAGAGAAGCTGGTTTCAGAAGCAGATATCAGTCGTTTGCCGAGATGGGCGATCATAACGCTCCTCCTTTCCACTACGGAACACACTATTCCTCCGCAATGATAGTATGCTCCTATCTGATACGACTCCAGCCATTTGTCAAATCTTACCTTCTACTGCAGGGTGGAACGTTCGATCATGCTGATAGATTGTTCTACTCCGTCCCCAAGGCGTGGGATTCGGCGTCAACCTCAAACATGACAGATGTGAGAGAATTGACACCGGAATTCTTCTATTTGCCAGAGTTCCTTCTTAATTCAAATAAGTACGACTTTGGCTTGCGACAGAATATGACCCAAGCCATAGATGCTGTGGAATTGCCACCCTGGGCTAAAGGAGATCCGAAAATTTTCATCGCAAAGCATCGTGAAGCCCTTGAGAGCCCGTATGTGAGCCGAAATCTCCATCGATGGATCGATCTTATCTTCGGTTTTAAGCAAAAGGGCGAAGCTGCACTGGAAGCCGTCAATGTGTTCCATCACCTATCCTATCAGGGAGCCAGGGATCTTGATAGTATTGACGACCCGCTTGAGAGGCTGGCTACCATCGGCATCATTCATAATTTTGGACAGACCCCGCATCAAGTGTTTAATAAGCCACATCCTCAGCGAGAAGAAGTGCATCACAAGCTTAATCAGTTAGACATTGCAGCAGAGGGCCTTACTCGGCTTCCGTTTGCGCTTTTAGGTATGGCAATAATCTCTTTATCCCTAGTTGCATCGTCTAACGGCTCTTGCAGATACCCAGGAACGAGTTGCATCTCTATCCTTTTCCGTAAAACATGATAGATTGTTATGTGCGGCTGCTTTCAGGTTAAACATCCCACCGAACTATGACAAATACATGGAATGGGGTTTCTCGGATAACAGTGTCCGCTTCTACGCGTCAGATACTAGAAGGGTGTGTTAAAACTATGCTACCACCATGGAATCGTACTGACGCTTTTCAATTCTTAGCTTGTCGGCCACTTTGAACATCTTCATATTGGACAATTGTCATGCGCACTTTTTGCTGATTCGCAAACCCTCATTACGTCTGGTGTCGATTGTGTTATATCAGTATGGTCGTATACGACGACGACGAAGTCGGTTGAATTGCATCCAAAAGCTTCGTTATTTGGACATCGAACGCCTGTGGCATTGCTGGCGGTGGCTCGGTCTTTCAGCACTATTTTGTCAAGCTCAAAAGATGGTAGATTAATGCTGTGGGATCTTAATCGACTAGAGTTTGTACGAGAGCTACCAGCTGGAGAACCTGTTGATGTGAGTTCCGATCTAATGCCCCCTGATTGATTAGCACTGTTCCTAACAGGTAAGAAGCACGCTCGGATAAATGATGCCACCGGAAATATCATGGTCTGCCGTGGTAGTCGTGTAAGTCTCTACACGCTTAACGGAGCGCTGCTACTCGAGCAAGTTGTCTGTGATCAAAACGAGGATTGCATTCTCTCGTGTGCTTTTTACGAAGGAGTCAGCAACGAATGGCTGGAGCGGGAGCTGATTTTTACGGGCCACCGTCGTGGACTTGTTAACGTGAGTCTGCATCACTCGGAACGCAGCCTTTTCCCCTTGTTAAGAGTTGATATTGATGTCTAAGCGCATCACAGGTTTGGAGCAAGACCATCCGAAACGGTCGATTCGAGTTGGATTTGATCCGTCAACTCCATCATGTCGATCAGGTCCGGGGAGACGGTGCAGTGTCTTCTACTGGTATAACGTACATTCTACCGCTAGCCCAGGCTGTGTATACAGGCGATGAGGCTGGGAGTGTAGTGAGTATTTTATCCAACGCTCGTTGATACCCACCATGTGTGTACTGACTACTTACAACAGTATGAATGGACTTGTGTTCAGCGACGTTGAAGGATTTTTTTTTTTTTTTTTTTTTTTTTTTTTTTTTTTTTTTTTTTCCCTTATTTTGGCATGTTTTATGATTATACTGATGAAGGGAATGATTTACTTTCTTTGATAGAAATGCTCTTACAGCGCGATGAAGGCTAAAGGGGCACTTTTTTATTAGGCGTTCAAAAATAGACTGGACAAGGGCGTGACATGGATGGGCTTGATTCCAAGTGAGATCATGCTGGTATGGATATTCTGTAGACGTATATGTATCTATTGTCATCTCTGTTGTATCTAGCACATTCGTCTCACGTGGAGGGTTTCAGACCCGAGCAAGGTTTGGAATAGCGGTGCCGGTCGCTGCAACCTCATTGCCGGCAGACTCCGAATCGGCGACCATTTCTAACTCTATTATAAAAATATGATGGAAGCATTTAATATTGTATTGTGTGTTTGGGAGTCACGTAGGGCACTCCCGAAAGAGAGGTGAATGGACAAAGGACTGATATCACAGCTGGGGGCTGCAGCAGTTGGTATGGATTGCTAAAGCAGCAATATGTAAATCCAGGCATTGAATCGGGTGATTCCGTGGGGCGTCCAGGCTTGGAGGTCACTTGCTGTAGTCCCGCATACTAAGGAAACGGGTTGGGTACCTCGAAGTACCTCTGTCAGAGAGTGGTTTCGATGGATTTTCCCGGTGAATGCCCCACCATTTAAGTTCGCTGGTGGGATAATGTCATGCAGGGTGGGATGTGAAGTCAAAAGTACTGCATGCCGATGCAAACTGTAAAATGTCAATGAATGGACAGCAGCCGTCTGGGTCTTGTTGAGCTTGGAAAGCAACTTGGAATTTGGAACCCCGCCACGTTAAGTACGAAAAGGTCGGTAGCTTCATCCCGACTTTTATAACTCTGACCTTTTTTCATCTTCAACCTTCTTTCGCCATCAGATACCCCAGATTTGAGCACTCTTTTTCGCTGAAACTGTTCGCAGATTGACAGCTGTCGAGTCTTGATTTGAATTGAATACCTTCCTCCGATTACCTCTTACAATTTGCAAATATGAGTTCCGCTCTCGATCAGTTGAAAGCTTCCGGCACCGTTAGTGATTTCCCTTCGCCTCGTCGGAATTGATCGATCATTTCCGGCCTTACCCTTCAATCCATCGTCTTATTTGAAGGTTACCTTTGCTGACGCCTTGTTTCTAACAATGATGATAGACCGTGGTGTGCGATTCTGGTGACTTTGCAAGTATGCCACCCACCCACCCAACGAGTGCACCGTGACGCTGGCCCAACCGAGATAGCTAACAATTTGGTGCAACAGCCATCGGAAAGTATAAGCCACAGGATGCCACGACCAACCCTTCCCTGATCCTTGCCGCCTCCAAGAAGCCAGAGTATGCCAAATTGATAGACAATGCCATCCAGTATGGCAAGCAGCACGTACGTGGTGACACTCCTTTCCTTTTTTTTTCGGTTGTGGTCAGAGTATGGGTAGCTGATGAGTGCCGCGATTCTAGAGCAGCAACCTCGAAGATCAGGTTGACTCTGCACTTGACCGGCTCTTAGTTGAATTCGGCAAAGAGATTCTGCAGATCATCCCCGGCAAGGTCTCAACGGAAGTTGATGCCCACTACTCCTTCGACACCAAGGCATCTGTTGACAAGGCCCTTCACATCATCGAGGTACGTCGCAAGGGCTGATGACGAAATGACTTGCGTACCTTGCATGGAGCTGACGAACGTCCTTTTTAGCTTTACAAATCTGTCGGCGTTCCAAAGGAGCGTGTATTGATCAAGATCGCCTCCACATGGGAGGGTATCCAGGCCGCACACATCCTCCAATCGCAGCATGGCGTCAATGTGAACCTTACGTTGATGTTCTCTCTTGTACAAGCCATCGCTGCTGCTGAGGCTGGCACCTACCTCATCTCCCCCTTCGTTGGTCGTATCTTGGATTGGTACAAGGCTGCCACGAAGAAGGAATATGCTTCTCACGAGGATCCCGGCGTCCAGAGCGTCCAGAGCATCTTCAACTACTACAAGAAACATGGTTATAAGACCATTGTCATGGGCGCCTCGTTCAGAAACACCGGTGAGATCACAGAACTCGCAGGCTGCGATTATTTGACCATCTCGGTACGTGTTCCTTAAGCTATTATTTTCTGTTGCTATCGTTGCAGCTGGCGTCAACCCGGTCCTAACAACGAGACTTTTTTTTTTCTTTTTTAGCCAAATCTCCTTGAGGAGCTGTACAACTCCACCGCCGCTGTGCCCAAGAAGCTCGATGCGGCGGGGGCGGCCAAGCTTGACATCCCCAAGCGCAGCTACTTGAACAACGAGGCCCTCTTCCGCTTCGATTTCAACGAAGAGCAGATGGCCGTGGAGAAGCTTCGCGAGGGTATCTCCAAATTTGCGGCGGACGCAGTCACCCTCAAGAACATCTTGCGGGAGAAGATCCAGGCGGCATAATTTCCGTCACCACCGATGAAAAGGAAGATAAAGCAGGTCTTTTTGGAGGTTAATAGACTGCATGGCTATCTGTAGTTAGCATTAGCTCCCAGATTGAATTGACTATGGGTTTGACGGCCAGCATCTGCAGCTTTTCGAGATCTTTCAACAGTAATACTCCCGACGAAACTTGGTGGTAGGTACCTAGTTATAAGGCTCATTGTTTCCTTTTGTAGAAGCATATGGCTTTATCGAACAAAGAAAAAACTACGTAATAGAGAAAGAGCATGCCTTCTTAGATGTAGAGATGGATTTTTTTTAACATTCTGCTGGCTGATCAAGCCAAACTCCTCTTCTGGGGGAAATTCGCGTCCCTTCCCGGTTCCAATCCGTTCGACTTCATAGAGTTGTAATCTATTCTGAGTCTATATCACCATTCTCAATTAACAACACGGTTCAAAATCTGGGAATCTTTTCATCGACCATTGAACGCTCGTTCCCCACTTGTTGTCGAATAATCTCCGGGGAATATAGGCCTGGCACACGCTGAACTAGCATCGTTCTTCATCGACTGTCGTGTTGGATACTAAAGAAAGAGATAATATCCTTGACAATATCATGGACTTCCTCCATCCGCGACACGCTCCTGGTACAATGAATGCGGCATTTTATACCGACGAGGCTACCTTAAACGAGCCTAATTTTCACCCATGCTAGCGAACTGCATCTGAACACCTACTTGTTGAACCTGGAGGACCTTGCAGGGGAAGCGCTTAGCAGTCTGCTCCGTGGACGCTTCATCTTATGGTTGAGGATCCAGACTGCGTTGCCACTTTGTGGAGACGTGGAGAGTCTGCGGCACCGAAAGAAGGCGACGATGAGAATCCAACCATGAGGGGTGAATTTGAGGACATGGCTATGGCAAAAGAAAAACCAGGGAGCGCGCTTCCCTGCCCAATGCCGTCGACAGTGTTGCTGGGTTTGAAATTTATGTTTTGTGCATGACGGAAAAATTCAACCTAGCCCCCATCCTCCCAGGCTGGGTGGACGTGGGAAAATTTGTTTGGCTATGCAGGTAGGGCGGCTATTTCAGGACATTTTCACCTTATACTGGGGCAACCTCAAAGAGCGGCGGCAAGCAGATTGAAACCCTAGCTGGAAAGTTTGCCAGCCATGTTCCTGAAGGTGAATTCACGGCTGCGGAAATTCAGAACTATCTTCTACAGCATGGAAAGAATCCCCAAAAAGCTGTGTAAAGAACTGGGTGATGAAGGCACAGTGATTAAGAAGTCATATCGGTTGGGGAAGTAGAGGGGCTTCGGGCACAGTGCCCCTACTTAACTGATTGAACAAAGCATGCTGGGTATCTAAAACTAACAAGTAACAAAATAACAATCCGCAGTAGCTCATCCTCCCATTGCTTCGATAGCTCTGTCAAAAGCCTTGATAATCGGCCCGTACAGAATCTCTGGGTCCTTGGGCGTGCCAGTGAAGATTGCGTTGCCACGTATCGGAAACAGGATCCCACGCAACTCCCTGCAAAGCGATTTGAGGCATTCAAACTCAGGGGGAAATTCCTTTGCCAAAACGAGCTCAAATAATTTGGCGTCAACCATACCTCGCTTTGTAATAGCAATGCCCTCATAACTTCCAGTGTACCACTGCATGAGCAGACTGCGTGTAGGTTGCCTCTTCGGATTGCGGGTGAACTCCCAGCCCCGGCGACCCCACTGCCAAATAAAAATGTAAAAGAATGACTCGAGATCATGCCGATAGGTATGGTCTATATTAAGCAGCACCTCAATAGCCATGAACTCCATGGTGCCGGTGCGACAGTGTGCACCACTTCGCCCGCTGCCAAGCTCCTTAGCAAGGTCCATGTCAATCAGCATTCCCGCGTGGCCAGTCTTCTTTGAATCAGTAATGATGATGTTGTTCTCAGAAATATCCTGATGAAGGATGTTTCCTTTGGCATACAGAGATCTGTGTGCTTTAATCGCATCGCGAAGCGCTTCTAAGAGTTCCGGAGGTGACTTATATTTGTATATCGGCCGGCCAGCAGGATAAATGACCAGACAGCGAAGAATACGGTTGTCATATGGGCCATCAGCGGGAGTGAGCAAACTGGCCCCCTGAGCATCTTCCACATCACATGTAACCTCATTCTGTAGTGGGTTCAATTGCTGGCTGCTGGACCTGGATCGCTTTGATGGTTTGATACTGACATCAGCTGACTTGCGCTTTCTTAATGAAGTACGTTCACCAGTACTCTGTGCGATAGATAGGCCACGCAGCCCACCAATGACTGGGAAAGGACACTGGGCGGCTGAAACTGAGAGAAAGACTGCGAAAAGAACGATGCAACGCCGGCAGTACCACGGAAAGAATAGGGCTTCTTGAACACCAAGCCCAAGCGCATATCTTTCATACTGGTGACTGAGCAATGACTGACCAACCTGGCAATTCCCTCAACTCCTTTCTGATTGGCAAGCCTGAGTAGATCGGCTTCAGGTTTCTGTCTATCAGATGTCCAGGAGAACTTGGTGACATGGTTCCAATCCTCAGAGTCTGGTGCCTTTGTGAGATAGCAAGCCGTTCCGCGGCAGACAATCGCCTGTTGATGTGTGAGGGGATCTGGCTTCAGCTGCAGCCTCTTTGCTGTTTCAGAGCCATCCTGCTTGATGTTTATGAAGCGACGGTCACCATCCCACTCTGTGAAAGTATCCAGACCCAGTTCATCCTCATTCATCATTATATAGCCAGCGATCACCTGCACAAATCGTTTCGGCTCGTCGTGGATATCAAAGCAGCCTGGACTGTAGCATCCTGAGCGGTCAAACACCCAGACCTCCATTTCTCGCCCACAGATTGTACATAGCGGCGCGTTGGTTGACAGGCGAACACATCCTGGACATATCGGGCGATCTGGAGTAACGTACTTTTAACTCCGTCTTTGGATGCCTTGAGCTCACCAATCACATCAATGTCTCTCCAGTCATGTTTCACATCTGAGGGTTCAGGCCCTCCGGTCTTTCGTTTGACAATAAGATCTGTCTGCCACTTAGACTCAGCGCCAGTAAGCTCATTTGGTAGCTTTATCGTATAGTAGCGACGTTGCTCATTCGGGAGAAATTCATCCTGCAGTCGGAATATCCAGCCCACCACATCGTCCTGGGTAGGCGAGTCGAGTAGAGTAGACCATCTGCGATCAATGTATTCGTTCTTCACCAAGTCAAAGGCTTTCTGAGCACGATCCCTCCAGTCCTTTCCCTCAAAGTATTTTTCAAAGAATCCTTCCACATCCCGATATGTGCAGTCTCTGATTTCGTCAAAGACCTTTCGCCGACTCTGTTCGCTATCCAGCTGTGACGCGGAGGAATACTCGATGGGCGTGCTTTTAGACGCGGGCGGAATGTTCGGTGGCGGTGACACTCTCGAGACCTCGCTAATAAGATCAAAAACAGCACTCCAGATGTCCAAGTCGGGTGCATCTTTGATGATGAGATTCACCAGCGGGCGGTAGTACGTGTAGTTGAAGTCGCCTGTGACGCGCGTAAAGTGGCCCGCCAGGTCAGAGGCAACGCTTTGACTATTCACTTTCGACCGCAGACGGTAAGCTGCCCTTGTTACTATCAAGGTAGTCAGGAGATGCGATACCACGTCTTGGAGATCGTGTTCAGGTCCATCTTCAGCGCCGTCAACGGAACTGACCAGCGCATATGAACGCTCCACCTCCTGGAGTAACTCTCGTACGCGGCCAAGAGAATCATTCAAGGGATAGTGCTTGATGACCTTGTGATCGTCTTCTGATAGAGACGCCATTTGCAAAAGGGAAGGGACAGAGATCTGGCGACGTCTGAAATGTTGAAGTACAAGGTGAACTTGGGCCGGGGCCCCGGGGGGTTTGCCTAGTAGTCACGTGACTAAGGTGCAAACGCGGATGTGACGATCGAAATGCCAAGCTTTTGTTCCTGATGTTAAAAACTTGGGCAGACGACGTCATCCGCAAGTGCTCCGAGGAGGATTTGGTAAGACGTATGATCTTCTAAGTTGCAGAGGGTTATTTCTATTCCCCGCGACACTGTTGCGGACACAGACCCAGAATCTGAGGAATCTGAGCTTTGAAACACAAACAAGATCATCTTTGATAGGTATTCCTAGGGCTCAAACAGGAATCGGACACCAGTCCGATGGCTGGTGCACTCCGGTGGTCGGAGATTGACTCAAGCTGATGTTCACAAGAGCTGGCGGGCCCTAGGGCCCCGGGGAAAAGGCTGACTGGGGTCAAAGGCTGTGGATCAAAGTCATTGGTGTGAGGTCACTGGACCTAGTAAAATTTGGCTAGGATTCTTGAAATGAGCGGAAGTCATTCAATTTATGCATTGACAATAGCAGACGGAAAGAGAGTTCCAGGATCATATCCATCTTGGAACAAGGATGAGTATTGGTAGGTTGTGGATACACCATCATGGCGGTCATAGCCGGACGAAATTTGCGAAAAGCATTGAGATTGATGATGGTGATGGACGCGATCTTGATGTAAAGCAGCGGCATGCCAAGGGCACGTGGAGTACGGAGTACATACGGGCTGAAAACAGCGTTGAAAAAGGGACGCTCTGAGTGGCCCCGCCCCCCAACATACAGACTTATCATCGAGGTAGCCGGGAGCTGCTGGACTTTTGTTTTTCCGAGAGTCCGGCCGGGTAAAATCAATCGGGTTTGGAAGTTCGCGGCCGCCGGTAACGTCATAGCTTTCCCCCACCCCACTTCGCTCGCTTCGACCCCTCATGGACGGCACAACCGCGAAACCCAGCAATTGCGAGGTATTAAATTAAAATCACGGGGGCAGGAGAGGGAGAAGAGAAGTATGAGAAGAGGACTGATTTCGACAGAGGAACACGTAGACCTGTCTCAATGGATTCTGAGACGTAAGGTGGCGTGGTTTGGCCAAAATAATCGGAGCAGCCAACCCGTAAACAAGCACGTAACTATGGAGTACTCCGTTATGCTCTCCGTAAAAAAAGGGCTCGACCTGCAGGCTTGGGCTGCCGCTGACTTGCCTGGGGAGGTTGACCCTGCCTTGGTATCCCAAACACTCCTAGCGCTGTGATTACGGCATCGACGCCTTTCCCTTCCGGCGTCTTCCTTTTCCCCCGCGCCATTCGATTGCCTTCCATCCCCCAGTCTTCCTTCGTCCTCAGCCCACGTCTCTCCAAAGCAGTAAAAAGAGCATCCCAAAAATAATTAATAAAAAAAAGGGCCAATAACACCTTCCATCAGCCAAAATGGTCAGAGCAGGTATGTCGCTTTTTCTCTTGTATTTTAAATCTTTTTTTTTTTTATTATTATTAGCCTACCAGCCCACGTGGTTCTCGTCCGTTTGATGGGCGCCGTGTGGATTTGGCCTTGTTCCTTGTAAACCCCCTCAAACCGCCGCTTGTCACTCCGCCACCAAGGTCCCTTGGGAGCGAGCGGGTGGGAGCTTATAGGTGGGCGCTCCGCAGGTTGCTGGTTGCTTTGTTCTGTTCGAGATCGTTCGAACGGATGGTCGACTCACCTGAACTTGGTCTGCCACCCCTCTCGTGGTGGCCGCCAGGTTTGGAATTGTCGGATAGCTATGACCCTGATAAGATTTTCCACCCAGCTTGGGGATCAAGGCCTTTTTTGGGGAGCTCTTTCGTTTTGGCTCCGTTTGATCTTCACGGTTGCAATGGCTGATTTTATGAAAAATTTTTCCCTCTCCAGTTGCTGTCCTCCGCGGTGACTCCCTCGTGAAGGGCACAGTCACCTTCGAGCAGGCTGACGAGAACAGCCCGACCACCATCTCCTGGAACATCTCTGGCCACGATGCCAACGCTCAGCGTGGCTTCCACATTCATCAATTCGGTGACAACACCAACGGCTGCACTTCTGCTGGCCCTCACTGTACGTCAATGCATTCCAGATAACCCGTTTGAAGGGAAGGTCATGAGGCCAACAGGCGGCTTTTTTTTTTTTTTTTTTTTTTAGACAACCCATTCTCCAAGAATCACGGAGCTCCATCCGACGTAGATCGCCATGTTGGTGACTTGGGCAACATCACCACTGACTCCCAGGGCAACTCCACCGGCAGCGTTGAGGACAAACAGATCAAGCTTATTGGGGAGCACAGTGTGCTCGGTGTATGTGCAAAGCAAGCTCTCCTGTAAATTCATGTGAGAACAAATGGAGCTGACTGTGTGATATGTGTAGCGCACTATTGTCGTTCATGCTGGCACTGATGACCTCGGCAAGGGAGGCAACGAGGAATCCAAGAAGACTGGAAATGCTGGCCCCCGTCCTGCCTGCGGTAAGATATTTTTGGTTTCCTTTTTTTATTGTTCTTCCTGATGCAGCAAGGCTGACTGATCCACAGGTGTTATTGGCATTGCTGCATAAGCTTCTCAGAGATCCCGAGAACTCACCCCTAAGGCTTTCACTAGATTGCGCGAAAGCATCAATGAACAGTTAATGAGATTGCTTAGCAATTAACTAGTTACCTAGTTAGCGAGGGAATGATCAAACAATCCAGTTTCTAGAGGTGTAATGAAATTACATGTCTCGGTGAATTAACTCTACAAAATAATCTGTACATAGTTCAATTTGGAGTTGGGATCTCATATGAACCAGTAACTTAACTATCTCAACGCACAGCCATTGCAGGCGCCAGTGGAGGTGCTCAGACGCATGTTGTTTGTATAGCCAGGTCACAAAGTTGGAGTGATTTGCTCTCAACGCAGCTAGACAGGAAGCTAAAAAGAGGACCAAAAGAAAAAAAAAGAAAGAAGAGTCAAGAAGTGTAGCATGAATGATGGGGTTAAGCTACCCCCTTTTGTGTTTGGGTGAGCTCATGAAGGGGGTGGAGGGCGAGGAGGGGGAGAAGACAGCTGGACACATCTCCGCCTTAGCGCACCGCTAAGTTTCAACCCCGGATGTGAATGCTGGCCAATATACTCCGTAGCACACAAATAAACCACCTATCCTATTCCTCTACCTAGCTTTTGCCTCTTTTAGTTCACGCACAGTCCCATTGTTATTCCATAGTTCCTCGCATTCTCTTTTTTTCTATTTACATCAATCCTGCAAGAGGGCTATTTTTTACTTCCAGCCAGCTAGCTGTCTTGTCCGTAGTTATCGTACAGTTGAGCTCACAACCTAACTTCTAGGGGAAGAGAAAGTTCCGGAACAATGGCTCTGCTGGAAGCTCGTGTGAAAAGTGTCCTCTCTGGCGACACGCTTGTCTTGACACATGTGACCAACCGGAGCCAGGAGAGGATCCTCAGTCTCGCCTACGTGTCAGCTCCAAGGTTACGTCGGGAAGGGGATGAGGTGAGTTCTAGTTCCTTTAAATTTGATCCTTGATTGCACATTCAAACTCCCGCCTAATTTTTGTTTTTATTTTTATCTTTATTCCCTTCCTCCTCTCTCCCCTCTTTAGTTTTGAGCTGGTCATTTGTCTAACTGCTGTTCAAATCCCTCTGCTGGCTGCTAGGCGTTTGCTTTCCAATCCCGGGAATTCTTCCGCGAACTCCTCGTCGGCAAGGTGATCCAGTTCCAAATCCTGTACTCCATCCCCACCGGAGCGAAGCGAGAGTATGGTATCGTGAAGCTGCCTGGGGGCAGGGAGTTGCCGGAGCTCTGCGTCTCCGAGGGATGGGCCAAAGTCCGTGAGGATGCCGGTCGGCGAGACGAGTCCGAAGACACTGCGCTGCTGCTCGACAAGCTGCGAGAGCTCGAGTCCCGGGCACGTGCTGAATCCAGGGGCGTCTGGGGCCAGGGTGGGAATATCGAGGTTTCGTATGAGGTTTCGGATCCGAAAGCTCTCGTGGACGGTATGAAGGGCAGTATGATTGATACTGTGGTGGAGAGGGTGCTCAATGGCGATCGACTACTCGTCCGCATGCAGGTCTCACCTGAGAATCATATCCAGACCATCCTCGTGGTAGCTGGCATTCGGGCCCCTTCTGCCAAGCGGGTAAGCGCAGATGGGACGGAGCAGGCCGGTGAGCCGTACGGTGACCAGGCGCAACAATTCGTGGAGATGAGGCTATTGCAGAGAAAGGTCAAGGTGTCTCTACACGGGACCACGCCGCAGAATCAGCTCGTCGGTACCGTCCTTCATCCCAATGGAAATATCGCCAAGTTCTTGCTCGAAGAGGGTCTCGCGAGGTGCGCCGATCATCATTCTACCCTCCTGGGTGGTGAAATGGCTACATTCAGACAGGCGGAGAAAAAGGCCAGGGACGCCCGCAAGGGATTGTTTGCTGCGCATGTTGCACCCAGAGCTACCCCTTCGGCCGGTGCGGACACAGACTTCGTAGTCAGCCGTATCTTGAACGCTGATACCATTTTCGTGCGAAATAAGTCCGGAAAGGAGAAGAAAGTCAGCCTTTCCAGTGTGAGACAGCCAAAACCTTCGGACCCTAAGCAGGCCCCGTTTGGAATCGACGCGAAGGAGTTCCTACGGAAGAAGCTTATCGGGAAGCATGTCAAGGTTACGGTTGACGGAAAGAGGCCTGCCACTGAAGGTTTTGAGGAGCGTGAGGTTGCCACCGTGATGGCTGGCAATACAAATATCGCTCTTGCTCTGGTGGAGGCTGGTTACGCTTCTGTTATTAGGCATAGACGTGACGATGATGACCGGTCTCCTGATTATGATAGCCTATTACAGGCCGAAGACGTCGCCCAAAAGGAACAAAAGGGGATGTGGTCGTCGAAGCCGCCTAAGACCAAGCAATATCAAGACTATTCCGAGAGTGTTCAAAAGGCTAAAATGGCATCTTCGGTGCTTCAAAGGCAGAAGAAAGTTCCCGGCGTTGTTGATTTTGTGAAGTCGGGCGCGAGATTTACGGTCTTGATCCCACGCGACAACGCTAAGCTCACCTTCGTCCTCTCCGGAATCCGGGCTCCTAAATCTGCTAGAAATCCAGGCGAAGCTTCCGAACCATTTGGCCAAGAAGCTCACGATTTTGCAAATCGCAGGTGTATGCAGCGCGACGTGGAGATTGACGTTGAGACCATCGATAAAGTTGGAGGATTCATTGGCACTCTTTATGTGAATCGGGAGAATTTCGCTAAGATACTTTTGGAGGAAGGTTTAGCGACCGTCCACGCCTACTCCGCAGAGCAATCGGGGCACGGCCCAGAGCTCTTTGCCGCGGAAAAGAAAGCCAAAGAGGCTAGAAAGGGAATCTGGCATGACTGGGATCCAAGCAAGGACGTGGACGAGGAATATGATGAACCGGCCCCTGCCAATGGGGCCGAGGCTGCTGAACCTACCCAGCGACGGAAGGACTACCGGGACGTCCTCATTACAAATATTGAGGACGACGGTAGACTGAAGGTGCAGCAGATCGGTGCTGGTACTACTGCGCTGACCGACCTAATGAATTCTTTCCGCGCATTCCACTTGAGTGGAGCGAATGCTAAGCCGTTGGACTCCCCTCCCAAGGCCGGAGACCTTGTGGCCGCCCAGTTCACGGAGGACAATGAATGGTACAGAGCCAAAATCCGTCGCAATGATCGCGAAGCCAAGCAGGCCGATGTCGTGTACATCGACTATGGAAACACTGAGAGGATTCCCTGGAGCCGCTTGCGCCCGCTCTCAGCGCAGTTCTCCGTACAGAACTTGAAGCCACAGGCTGCTGACGCGGTGCTTGCGTTTGTTCAGTTCCCGATGTCTCCTGAATACCTGGCCGACGCTAGACGGTTCATCGCCGAACAGACATTCGATCGTCAATTGGTCGCAAACGTTGAGCACGTCGCACCGGAGGGAACCCTGTCCATTACGCTGCTCGACCCATCAAACTCTGAGAACCTCGAACAGAGTATCAATGCTGATCTCGTCCGCGAGGGCCTTGCGATGGTCCCCCGCAAGCTCAAGGCTTGGGAGCGTTCTGCAGGTGATACAATTGGGTCTTTGAAGAAACTGGAGGAGGAAGCTAAAGAACAACGGAGAGGAATGTGGGAGTACGGCGATATCACTGAAGATTAGATGGAAAACCCCCCGCTTTTTCTAGCTGAACGTTTGATGGTAGCCATGATCTGAATAAGTAAGAGTCGGAGACATAAGAGCTTTTTTTTTTTCCCCCTAAATTCTCATGCTCTCTGTTTTGTCTTCATGCATGTAATGTCACGGAGGACGCTGCGTAAGTGGCTTGGGAGATGCCACTGACAGCGCGCATACCAGTTGAGTTTTGCTTCAACTCGAGCTATCACATACGGAGTCCTCCGAAAGCGATGATAGATACGGCAGATGACCTGTTCGAATCCCACTTTGCTTTGAAGGGTCAGCCGGGATGCTTGATCATGTCTTCCCTGTCAAGGTTTGTACGGAGTACAGTACATACATAAGCAGAGCCAGTGTACACTGCCTAAGGCCAGAACATCATTCGGGCTTTCTTCTTGTCCTACCAGCAGCAGCATCTTCAGCAAATGGCGACGGATAACCAGCACCTTGAGTTGGCCCGAGGAGGCCCGCCGAGCCTTCAGGCGCTAACTTACTCACTAGCGAGGCGAGGCGGCCGGCCTTTTTAGCCCGTTAGCTGGGTGCCCGCCCTTGCATCACACGGCCAATGGGGCTCTCGTATAGCGCGTTTTTGGGCAGCCGGGGACTCCGGTCGGCCAGCAATTTCAACTCCGCCTGGTGTGTCCAATCCTCCAGGCTGACTTGGACTTTTGTTTCTCGCTTCCCCGTCCTCCGTACTGACAAGCATTCCACTTCTGAATTCCTCAGCTTCTCATAACGTTACTCCCGAGTGGCGAGAAGGCCTCGCCCAGAGAAGGACGATCCCTGCATATTAACTTTATCTGCTTCACGGGCTCCTCCCCCAAGGTAGCGGGAAGACATGACGCTCGAACGGACTTCTACCAACCAGTCTCGTCGCAGCAAGCGCTCCCATCACTCTCATAGCAACTCCGAAACCCACTCCCGCTCGCACAACTCTATCCGCAGAACAAGGACAAATCAGTCCCTCAACGGCAAAGAAACCCCAGACCACCTCCAAGGACATCTAAATCACTTAACGCCTGACCAAGAGCGCGCACTTGAAGAGTTTAAGGCGGTTTGCGTTGAGAAGGGTCTATATACACCCGCAGAGGAGGGAAAGGCTGCTAGCCATGAGGATCCTACGTTGTTGTAAGGACACACTTCTCACAGAGTGATCTCTACTAGGGGCTTCCAGTGCAACGGCTGGACAAGCACCCCTTGAAAGGAGAAAAAAGACAAAATATGAAGGTAAAGAAAAGTTTGCTGACTGTGGTATTTTGGCGTGCGCCTCGCTTTCAGGCGGTTCTTGCGTGCGCGCAAATTCGACGTGAATGGAGCATTGGACCAGTTCAAGGCCACAGAGGAATGGCGAAAAGCAAACCAAATTGATGCGCTCTATGAGAACTTTGACGTTGATTCGTACGAGAATGCACGGAGAGTGGTTAGTTATTTTCAGCTTCTGATTCTCGGACCGCGTGACCTTTGGCCTGACATTGTGTTCATATAGTATCCCCAGTGGACTGGTCGTCGCGACCGGAGAGGCATTCCCGTTTACGTCTTCGTGATCAAACATCTCAATAGCAAGAATATGGCCGCCTACTCCTCTGGTGCCGCCTCAACCGCCACGTCCTCTACCCACACTTCCTCCACAGTACCTTCAAGACTATTACGCCTTTTTGCACTCTACGAAAATATGACTCGATTTGTCGTGCCGCTATGTTCGTCGCTGCCACGGCCTAATCCAGAGACGCCAATCTCAAGCACCACCAATATTGTTGATATTTCGGGAGTTGGATTGAAACAGTTCTGGAACCTGAAAGGACACATGCAGGACGCGAGTGTGTTGGCAACAGCACATTATCCTGAAACTCTAGACAGGATTTTTGTGAGAACACTTGAATCTCCGTATTCCCGATATTGCATTCCTTTATAGCATGGGCTAATGCTCTTCTAGATAATTGGCGCACCCTCATTTTTCCCTACCGTATGGGGATGGATCAAACGGTGGTTCGACCCGGTAACGACGTCTAAGATTTTCATCCTCTCCTCTTCCGAAGTCAAATCGACCCTCACATCGTTCATGGACCCGTCCAGCTTCCCTAAACAATACGGCGGTGAATTGGACTGGGAGTGGGGTGATATGCCAAACCTCGACGAACCCGCACAGGAGCTCGTAGGTGCGCTGGAAGAATTGGGTCCAAAGGGGGACGGAGAAATAAGCACGGAAAGCTCAAATAAGACGGTGGAGGAGAGGAAAAGAAACTTTGTCAAGGGGCCGGTGGCCTGGCTAAAGGATCGAATTGAGATTTTTGGTTCTATCGGCGGACAGAAGCGTAGGAAGACGATTCCCGTTCAGGGGGAACAGAAGCCAAGCGAATCCGACCAAGCTGTTGTCAGTGAAGCCAATGGCGTTGTTATTGAAGTCACCCCAGCAGCTACGACTGAAGGCGAAGAGAAGCTTGTTACGACACCAGAGGCGCAGGTTAATGGAACGACTGTGTCGTCGTAGCCTCTGCCGTTTTCACTCCAATTAACTATCCTGGCGTTTGGAAAAAGTTTCTCTGGGCGAATTGACTTCTTGTGCATATCCCTGGTGATATGTTGCCTTTTGGGGGGGGGGGGGGGGGGGGGGGGCTCATCTTTCGGGTTTCGCTTAAGATTTACAGCCCTGAGATTTTGCAGAGTCGTTTCTTTTCCTTCAGTGAAGACCCAAGAAGTAGCAGTAGAAGGCATAGCCATGGAGCATATCTACTACTGTACATATGAGCATCTCCTGTTAGATATAGTTTTCCATGATAAAAACTAGATTCGGGCAAATAGATATCCTGATTGATACTTTTCGCTGTCATTACCTGATGGAGAGATATAAGTGTGTACGGAGTATATCGGCGGATGTTTGCTTTGAAAATCGGTAAAAAATTTGGTTGCTGGCAAACGCCACTCCGATATTCGAGCCGCAAGTGGGCCCCAGCCACACAGGCAATCTTTGGTTATCAGGTGTGGCTAGTGCAGATTATTGTGGCAGAAAAGACGAGCTATACGAAACAGGAAGGCGGTGGGCGGCGCGACATTGAAGCTCGTCGCAAACATTGTGAGCTCTCCATGATTGCACGGCGCATAAAAAGCAATTTCTGGCTGATATCGTACGCAAATTTCCCATTTAACCTCAAACCACCCCATGCCTTTGCTGGCAAATTTTGTCTACCCATCCCAATTCGTCCAAAAACGCACTCAACCCAGCGCATAGCACCAATTTGAAAACAATTCTGGGCCACGAGACGTACGCATAGCTGCTATTCAGGAGCCATGGTCCAAGGAACTGCCCCGGAACAACCGTTGAAACGGAAACGTGGTCGCCCGCGCAAAGAAGGTGGACCAGCGAAACCTAAACCAGTCGTTCTCGACCATACCGGTCAGCCTAGAAAGAGAGGTCGACCACGAAAATACCCTCTTGATACCACTGCCCCACCCGCTGCGAAACCACAGAACGTGAGTGATGACAACTTGCAGAAGAGGGGTCGCGGGAGACCAAGGAAGAGTGACAGTTTGCCTCCAAAGCCTGTCGCAGCTCCAGGGCCAGAGCAAGGCCCAGAGGCAACTCCACGACGAGGAAGGCCCCGCAAAGAACATGGCGCACAACCGGCAGAGGTGGTTCCTGATGTGGCGGCGCAGACTGTCATGCAGTCGAAGCGGGGACGTGGACGGCCCAAAAAAAGCGAAGGCACCATTATGACCGAAGAAGCGACACAACCCGTGAAGGCGCCATCGGCGCTGGGACGTGGAAGACCAAAGAAGCTTAGTACGGCAACTTCCGGGTCAGCGAATGGACTTGCTCAGCAGTCGTCAGCGTCGTCAGCCTCCAATCCCCTTGCGAAAATGGTTGTTGGAAGTTACGAACTCAAGTGTGCTACCGTGGAGAATGAATGGCCCCATGTAGCAGTAGGCATGGAAATGACCATCCTCGAGTCTGAAGAGACCTATGGTCTTGGTTTCATTGCTGGCTTCAACCTGGGGATCGTAGAGGGCACAATGCTGCTCGCAGCTGATAAAGAGTCCCTTGAAAAACTCTACAACAAGATGTCCAAAGGAGAAAATCGGTCACTATATGGTACCTTCGGAAGTAACGAAAACGATGGAGACGATGGCGATGAGGGTCGTACGTTCAAAAAACGCAAGACTTCAGCTGCTTCATCTAAACGACTCTATATGTTCTGGCGAGGCCGCCAAACTGGCGAGGGGGAAATCTACTCCGGACGGAACAACGGCCATCTCGATTTCTCAGAAAGCAAGAAAATCGTCAGATTCAATGGTGTCGGCGGATTCCCCGCTATGGGAAATGAATGCAAATTTTCGGGGGTTAAACGGAGCGATGAAGTTTCTGTGCCTCCCCAGCCTTGGAGCGACTTTTCGGAGAGAGCTGCTGCTGAGGCCAGCGCTGCAAGATGGCGTTGAGATATCCTTTCCCCTGTTCCCTTTTTTTTTAGTATCGAGTATTTGGTTAGGATGTTTTAATTTCTCTATTTTCGTTGAGTTCATCGAGCTGGCTCGGCCGGCAGTTCTATTGACTTCAGAGGTCCAAAGGAGGAAATGTATGTGTCAAAACTAATCCTGTACTCCGTATGAATGACGGGAAACGCGTTAGGGGTTTCTTTGAATTGATGTCTTATTGGTACTTTTGAATCTTAATTTTTCCGATAAGTGAGTTTAAGCAAGTCTCGAAAACTATCGACAAATAAAGTGGTCTTATCTGAGAATCTATTTTGCAATCCAAGTTCATCGCAGGTGTTCTAGTCGTACATACATACATACACAATTAACATGACTACGATCCTACAGTCGTTTATGATTTCCATTTTAAGTTAACTTGCTTTTGTCGGACCTATTGATCTGTTAGTGGCCAAATGGGACAGGATCTACAGTGTGAATATTCGACTCACCATAGGTGCCAACACCGCGACTCCCACAGCCAACGCTACAACGGTGAGGACCAGCTGGATTTTGGAGAATCCCTTACCCAAAAGGTCAAACGGCTGGCTAGGAGCCAGCCTCGTGCCAAAAACATCGAAACCGTACGCAAATACTAGCGTTGAGCTCTCCAGCAATGTCGGGCTGGATTCTATATGTTTAATACCAACCACTTCGCGGGCGTGATTAAGATACCATTTGGGATCAAACCCTAGGAAAGGAGTGTATCTCACTAGCCCTTCCTCTACTTCTTGGGAAGTAGGGTCACGATTAACAGGTCGTCGGGGATCGAGGACGAATCGTGGTATACCGATAATGGCATTAGAGGAAGGAAGTGTGCAGAGCAATTGTCTGACTGTAATTCCTTGGCGAGTTTCTGTAACTGCCATGTTGGAAATCGCTTCTGATATCATGTATGCCTGCGAGATGACATATGGTCGAGGAAGACCCGTGCTAGCGTAAATGCTGGAGTAGTTTGCCGCGTTGTCCAACAAGCCACGATCGTTTGGTATAGACGACTCATACAGCTCAGAGATAACAAGGCGGTAGCCTTTAGCATCTGAGGTATTGGTGATATCAGCCCAGAAAGAATATGCGAACCAATTCTCCGAAATAACGGAAGCGATTGGCTGAGAGACATCAACCCCATCCTGGCTTGTAGTGTACAATATCTGACCAGAAACACCATCTAAAAGGTAAAAGGTGACGGTAGAGCCAGCAACCGCCGTGATTAGGGTGAGATTGGGGTTCAAATATTTGTAAAGAACAGATCTGTCTCCCAATACTTTGCCAATGGATGCAACTGGGTCGTGGGCCGGTCTTGCGGTGGCACGAATGATTTTCTGGCCCTTTGGAGGGAGAAATTCCCATGCCGGACTTTTCATATTCGCACCGTCCCAGCCCATCAATTTCCCATCGTCGCTGAGTGTCACAAGAATTTTATTGCCGGTAAATTGCAGCGATGATTCCGACGGTACGCCATCAGATTTAATTGCGACTGGGATTAACGAGACTGTATCTGGCATCAACACTATTGAAGAATACCTTCCAGTCGACGGTGAGCTTTCAATAATTTTACCAGACGTAATGTTTACCGTAACGAAACTGCCATCGGTCACAAAGACGATCGCGATCTCGCGCTGGGTCAGGATAGTATTTGCACCCCATGGTGCCAGATCGTCAACAGCTTTAATATTCCAAAGAATAGCACCGTGGCGACCGGAGTCCAAGGCTAAAATGCGTCCCTTTCGGGTTGCAACGATGAGCAGTTTTCCAAATCCAAACTTGGTGAGCTCTGTATCCTCACTTGGCAAGAAGCTCGACAAGATTTTGGTTGGAAGTTCTTGTAGCCACGGAAGCAAATTCTCTTGCAAATCTTTTGCATGCCGTCTAACACGGTGAATGTAAGCCGAGAGGACATCCTGATGCCCCTCAAACTCCAGTTCATGAGCGAGGGCTTCACCACCGTCCAAGTCAGCCCAAGCAGCAATAATCGCATCCGTTAATGACTCAGGTCGATGCCACGCAAGTTCACCGTTGCGAACCAGGATCCAGTCTCCACCTTCGTTAACTTGCGCAAAACGAATTGCGTAGCCAGCATCACGGGCAACCACTTCCAGCACTGCATGCTGGGCCTCCCCAGGGCTGCCTTTGATTTTCCATGTTCCAAGGACGTCCCTTGACGCGGATGAAAATAGGTCCACGGCTGAGCTCGTTATGCGGGCAAGGTAAAACTTATCATTGACTGTACGTGAAGCAAGTATGGATTTTGAGTCGAGAAGAGGGAGCTGATATGCTCTGGAAATTGCTGCTGATTTGCTGTCAAGGTGGAGTACATCTGCCCAAGATTTGGTTGCAGTGTTGTATTGCACGACAAAATGCGGCACGGTGGATGATGTTTGGACTTTGATGTCTTGGATGGTTTCCCCGCTGTTATTTTCGATACTGACAGCGTGGACAGATTTGGATCCGATGATATTGACTTTCAAAACCTTTGCGTCTTGATCCGGCCACACAATTAACGGAGTAGCTGCATTACTGCTGGCGTGTATTATTGACTCAGGGGATAAGACCTCATTCTCTGTACTGAGAATGTATTGATTGTTAAAGCGTCCGGTTTGAATATCTAAAGCTACTACTTTGATTTTGTAACCATTTCGGGAAATAGGCTGCAGGGAAATATAATAGGCCGTGGTCGGTGATATCGTCAATCGCAAAGGGATATCATCACTGCAAAATGGGGTTAGTGGGGGGTTCAATGCGCGTCTATCAGGGGACACTGTCAAACCTAGTATCTTTGTACTCCCATTTAACGCTCCCTGATACACCGTCCAGCCTTCTAATAATGCCATATTTGTTTGCAGACAGTACAATGGAATCATGCACAGCTTGCGCCGGATCTGCACTCTGAGATGCAGTGAGCTTTAAATCGACAATTGAAGCGTCATCAAGGCGTGTAGTCCATAGAAGCTTTCCATCAGATGCGCCCCAGGCCAGAACATTGCTCCCCGTCGCACTGACAACGGCGTCTTCTCCGTCTACAGCCTCTAAGAGCCTAGACGAAGCAACTCCGACGGAATAGTCCGATAGATTCTGGCGCCACACAAGGGACCCGTCCTTCGGATTTACGGCGCCAAGTATTGACTGTTCGGAAAGAGTATAGAGTAGCGAGGCACTTGAGGAAGTGCTCGGCCTGTGGAAGAAGGTTGTATGAGCTTGGGGGGTTCCTAGAAGAGCATGGTGATAGTCGATGTGGTAGGCCTCGTCAGCAAGAATTGCCCATGAGGCGGGGACAACAGATGCCAAGAAGAGATAAGTTGCCTGAAGCCGCATTATTCAACCCCTCCTTGCGACGGTCATCTGAGGAAGCGTGGTTAATTCACTGCTCAAGCACTCGCTGCCTCGCTGGCGTTGCAGCTCGCGATCCCAACCTCCAGCATGCATCACGGTCACATGATTAGACATGGGGTCACTTGTTATGACTAAGCAACTAAGGCGGCGATGATTAGTTAGTCAGAAACCCCCTGAGCATGTGATGCAGCACAATGGACTACAACAGGAGTACGCACCAAACCTCTCTCGTTCTGATCAACGTTCGGCGCCGGCGACGACACGACATGCACTGCCTACGACTATCAGGCAAGCAGCTGGTCCCGCTCGGCTGGGTGGAGGTCGTCTCGGCCTGCGCCCCAGGCGTGGGAAATGCCGTATTCCTTGAAACCCCAATGCAAGGTAGCAAGCCCATTGTGGGTTTACGAACAATCGTCGCATCGCTCCATCCTATGTGAAGCCCTTCTTGCTGACATGTGACATTCCTCACCCTGCATAGACTTACTTAAAGGAAATACCGATTTGGACATGTTAAACACGGAAGACGTGCATGATACAATTCCGCCAAAAAGCGCCATGTTGGAGCATCGGTTTGCCGAATCGAGATTCCAATTGGCCGGGTGGACAAATACCCGCCAAATACCTCTCGACGGGCTGGCGGCTGACGACAGTTAGATCTACCCGAAAAGGGCTCCATTCGAAAGGTGGTAGCGTTTCTTTGCAAAGATGCGCAGCAAGGGTTGGCGAAGGAATTGGGGTTGCCCAATCCCTGGCGATGATCATGTTTGATCAACATCTAACTTCAGCGCAGAGAGCAAGTCCATCTATGATGGCCGGTAACTTAGTTATATCAAGTGAAAAAGCTTGAATGCGTGTTCCTCGTCTTCGGCAAATAAGTCGGTCTAATCCTTGAAACCTCATCCTCAGGCAATTCACAATCAAAAAACCGCGGATCAAAATATACCAGCTCCCCTCAGGATGTTTCGCGTTTCATCGGCACCCTTTCAGCGCCAGATGAATTCCATGCAAAATCTCGAAGCTCAATACCAGCCGCATTTAGCCTCACACAAAGGGCGTGCTGCAAAATCATTCGATCCTTTCTTTATCGCATTGCTTTATGGACTCTCACCATCCCCGTACGTTTTGCTAACACACTTCGAAGGTGCATGGCTCGTGAATGGCAAAAGGATCTCCATTTACCGCTGTGGTTCTTGATGATCGAAGGCACGATACCTCCTCCCTTTAACAAATAGGAGCTCACCATGAGCGGGTGGCTTACAGGGAACATATCGGATGTCAGCGATGGAAGGATGCACAGTTTTTCTCAAGAGACACGGATATTACCGGATTCACCCTTGTTAGCAAATCCGACTACATACCCCAGCATACACCGTGCTTCCATGCAGAAGAAGTGCACACGCAAGCTTTGATTCCCCGATAGGTACACCACCATGTGTTGAAGCGTTTCATCCTCGAAGTTCGAGGCACGGCGGATCTCAACCCGAAGACAGTTTCAGAAGGGGATGCGATATATATAAATACCTCTAATGGCTACCCTATACGCCTTCCATTGGCAATATCATCCCACAACTTATCCTCAGGTTTCTTGTCACATATCCATTGCAGGATGCATTTCACTTCTAGTTTGCTCGCCCTGGTGGCGCTAACCACTCAAGCTCTGGCCTTCCCTCTCAACAATTTGCCTAAAAGAGACACGGGTCTTGCTGTCAAGCTTTCTTCCATTGGTAATACCCGAGTGAAAGCAGTTATCACCAACACTGCGGATCATGAGATCTCGTTTCTAAAATTTAATACCTTTTTCGACTCCTCCGCAACTCGGAAGGTTAGCATAGCTAAGGATGGTATGAATATTTGGGCCCCTCTCTTATGACGACGTTTCCCCTAATATTTATTAACTTTAGGGTCGGTGGTCCCTTTTAACGGACTCTATCGCTACTACAATGCTGCAAAGCTTCCTAAGGAAGCTTTCAAGACATTGGCCCCAGGTGCCAGTGCTGAAGCCACATTCGACATTGCGGAGACATCTGATCTCTCCGCCGGAGGTTCTTTCAGCGTATTCTCTGACGGCATGATCCCCGTTGCGGACGGCAGCGGAACCACTCTTACGGGGGCTATCAAGTACTCCACCAACGAACTGAAAATGAATGTGGATGGTGCGCTAGCAGCTAAAGTACAAAGTGCCATCCCAAAACTTGAAAAGCGCACCAGAATCGACCCCGACTGCCCTGGAGAATATCGCAATGTCTTGACACAGGGCCTCCAGACTGCTGCTGGATATGCCAGTCGGGCAGCTGAGGCCGCGACAAATGGTGACCAGCTTGAAGAGTTCTTCAAGACAACTGACCAGCAGACCGCCCAAAACATTGCGCAGCGCTTCCAGGCTATTGCCCAGGAGTGTGGCTCCGACTCGCAAGGAAGCACCACTTATTTCTGCGACGATCGCTTCAACGGTTGTGAACAGGGTGTCATCGCCTACACAATTCCCGCTCAGAGTGTCGTTGTCAACTGTCCAGCTTACTGGGAGCTTCCACCCGTCGTAAACCAAGGCCTCGACCCCGATCATGGATATGTTGTTGTTCACGAATTTACCCATGCTACTAGCATCTTCAGCCCTGGTACTCAGGATCACGCGTACGGCTATGAGAACTGCATCCGTCTCAGCCCCGAGCAATGCATTAGCAATGCTGATAACTACTCACTCTACGCGGCCTGTAGGTTTTGCTCTACTCCTATTTTAGAATGTTTTAACGCTAATATACAAGCAGCTGTCTCCCGTGGCGGATAAATTTACAGCAAAGTTTCTCCTACCGGTGCTGCCCGTACCGGATTAAATAGTCTATTCGCGCGTGCGAATATGTATATAGTTACCTTGACGTTGTTGATGTTGAACATCGCAGCTTGCTTCTTACTTTCTTGCATTTATGCGTTTGTCCATCTATATTTCTTCAAACCGCTCCGTGCTTGCTCGATTCCATTGCTGGAACTCGAAATAACCTTCAAGAAGCTCGAAATGATCTTATTATTACTCCACGGAAAGTGAACCAGTTCGGCTAGTAACGTGTGCAAAGTAGCTGTCTTGCTCTTCTTTATTTAAATCATAGTTCAAAACACTCAACGAAGCTAAGACATGTTTTCGATGATCATAGTTTCGCGGCAGCTGCATGTTCATTTGCTCTCGACCATCAGGATTAAACCATCAATGTCATTCGCGGTTTCAGAGGAATCAATAGTCCTTAAATCCCTGACTTAATCTATACCCTTGTCATATACCCAAAGTTTCATGGTTCAAATCTCCGTTTATATTTCTCCGAAACAAATTCTGTTTCCAGCATTGACAGCCTCAATTTCACCCTGGCCCATGCCATCCTCGATCGCCCAGGGTTTCGAACCCATGCCCATTGCTTGGAGTCCTTCATCTCTCAGGGTAGACCAATCGACCGCACCTTCAAAACCTCGTTCACCAAGCCCCCCAGCGTCCGGGAAGTCCCACGGTGGAGAATAGGCCAAAGCTGCTTCTCTTTGTTTCTTAAGATACTCCGCATTCATTTCGCAGAGAGGTGCTGCAGGGATGTAAAGGACGCTTGAGTCGCCTTTCCCACGATGTTCTTTATCCACAGAGTGAAGGGCGTCACAATGCCACGCCACAAAGTCCCCTGGCTGTACCCGTGGCATTGGAACCATGGTAGTGGAAAGTTCTAAATGAGGGTGACTTGTCTTCGAAAATTCCTGGGCGGCCCCCGGTACCGCCCCGGGAAATGTTGAATCATTCAGTGGGCGTGAGGTTTCAGGGTCAAAGAACGGGCGAAGGATGGTATATGCCGTGCTATGCTTGAGCATTGGGCACACACTTAGCGTCCCTTCTCCAGGCCCAGTGTCTGACATGGCAAGCCAGCCCTGGAAAAATCTGAGCATCGAGCAAGCACCGGGCCCGCCGTATAAATCCATTTTTGCAGTGGCACGGTGTGCGGCATCAAAAGCATCATAATCTTCCCACGATCCCTGGAGTATTTTACGGTAGACCTTTGAATATTCCGGATCCTCCCAGCGCTCCAGAGACCCGCCATCAGCATGTGGCCCTAGAGTAAATTTTGCATCCCCAGGCTCTCGGATACGAAGCCTATCCGCATATGAAAGGGTATGTCGCATGGAAACCGGAGTAGATGGATCCGACGAATGCCATAGGCCTTGCAGAAAGCGCTGGGTCTCAAGCATGTTCGGATGAGAACGCGCTTCTACCTGTGACGGAGACCAATACAGCTCATAGACAACAGGCCAATCGGACGGGAACGCCTTTACCCTCGCCTTATTGGCCATTACATAGTCCATTGCCCGCTGTTTGAGCTCAAGTGCGAACGACCTTGGAAATACTCCGCGTATAACGACGGCTCCACGCCGGCGAATGTCTGAAAGCGTTTGGGCGGACAAATTTCCAGTTTTCAGGTCATTGAAATTCAGTGACGGAATAACCTAAGTGTTCATGTCAATCCCGCTCCCGTTTATTCACTCGAATGGCGAAGCCTTACCTTGTTCCCATTGGCGCGGATTTCTACAATCTCATTCTGCAAGCTTGAGAGGAGCCGGGACCAACTCTGCATCAATGGCTGAGGATTTTGCTCAAATAGATTTTGCTTGAGTTCCTGGAACCGCACATCAAGGGCTTCCGGCTTATAATCGGGTCTCAAGCTAGGAAAAACCGACGAGATGTCCCCAGCAGCTTTGGTAGGCTGGGCTGCTGTGGACGCCGCACGGCGAAGCGGCAGGAATCGAGAGATCCGGGCCAATGCCATAGTCTTTTGACGGCACACCGAGCGTTTTGATATGTTACCGGCTTGATATATCAGGTTTTCTTGACTTGAGCTCGTGGAGACAACCCTTCACGTCCAGGACGAGAGACGTTGGGAAAAGGAGTTCCATCACACGAGGTTTTGGGCGACCGCTGAAATAACAGGAAACTAAATACCTGGTGATCCGTGGAGCTGATGTGAGTTGATCTGGATCGAGGGCGATGGCTTTGACTCTCGGCTTTAACTTAATACTAAGACGTTCCCCCGCCCGCAGTTCCCGTGACCGTGGTTTCCTTGGTTCAGTTTGCGCCTCTCACATCAGAGTTGCACACCTGTTCGTGAAGGCAGGCAGAGCGAGAAAAGGGCAAATAGCTTATAATTTGATCTTGGGTTGCACCTTGTCGTCACACAACATGGCGCAGTCGGTCAGAGGGAAAACTGCGATTGTAACGGGGGCTGGTTCCGGTAATCTCAGAGGATTTCCAAAACCCGTCCATTGATGGCATTATTGCTAACAATGTACAAAGGCATTAACTTTTGCTTTGTCAAATTGCTCCTGGAACATGGATGCAACTGTGTGCTTGCAGATCTAGCATTGCGCCCAGAGGCCAAAGAACTTGTGCTGAAGTATTCAACGTCGGCTCCTCGAGCCATATTTCAGCCAACCGATGTCACCGATTGGTCCCAGTTGGAGACGATGTTTAAGGCTGCGGAGGAAGAATTTGGGGAAGTAGACATCGTCTGTCCCGGGGCAGGTGTCTATGAGCCAGTGCGTAGGCTGACATTAATTCCATTTTAACTTCTAATTCCCATGTCTTATGAATCAAGCCATTCTCAAGCTTCTGGTACCCTCCAGGGTCGAACGAAAGCCGCGATTCGCCTGCCGGGTCCAGGTATGCACAGCTTGATATCAACTTGGTCCACCCAATCCGCACAACACAGCTGGCGATTTCTAAGTTCGCAAACTCTAGGACACCAAAGTCTATAATTCATATATCAAGTATTGCAGGCCAGATAGGATCGTTGAGCACGCCCCTTTATTCAGCGACCAAGCACGCCATCAACGGCTTCGTGCGCTCGCTTGCAAAATTGGATAAGATCGGGATCCGAGTAGCCGCTGTTGCGCCGGGTTTCATCAAAACGCCCCTTTGGACAGAGAGCACCGATAAGATGCGGATGGTCGATGAGAGCAAGGATGAATGGGTGACCCCGGAAGACGTAGCATTGGTGATGCTGGCGCTGATCGAGCGGGACCAAATCAGTGAATCCATCCTTGCTGAGCCGAAGGGAGAAGGCGTGATGATTCCTATCAAAGGTGGTACTATCTTGGAGGTCTCGAAATCTGTACGCAAAGTCTCATCGTTCAATGATCCAGGCCCATTGGGAAGGCCGGGAAACTCGATGGGGGACCACAGAGCAGCGGAGGAGGGCTTTTTGGAATTGGTTCAGTCGGGGAGCTGGGGAGAAGCTGCAAAGAATTAGTGTTCCCATACTGAGATACTCATATTACCTTGGAGTTTAAGATAGCTAGACAGGTAGCCATGTAGCTATGTAACTCGTTACCCGGAGGCCTAGGGAGCGCTTGGATGCCGGATAGCAGCACTTCTGAGACATCCTTGTCACCACGGTGCATGTGCGACCACACCGTAGCCTCAGGGGGGTTCTTCGATAATGCCGCCAATCAAGTGACGGTGCTGCCAACAGGAGCTCAAAATCCTCGAGGTCGACTCTGTATTCGAAGCGGCTTTATTCCCAATACGTGTGCAAGCTCCGAGAAATGAATGATCCCCGTGCCCAGCGTTGGTGACCAGCTTCCCAGCGTTTCCATTGGCCCAAGCGCACCCGGACCAAAATCACCCTTCTTCGAACACCATTCGGATACAATTTTTAGCCTAAAAGAGGAAAAGGAAGAAACACAGAGAACAGTGAATCGCATCCAGTGACTCTTAAAAGCACCGCCAGCTTGAAGCCTTTCTTCTCCGTACGGCACCGGAAACGTCACCTCGTCACCGTCGCGCGCCAAAGCGTTGAAAGCGGACCGCTCCATGATGCCTTGGGCATAACCCGTGCTATCACAACCATCACCCAGCACGAAAGCACTTTTCTATCTGTGCAGGGGACAGCCGTCTGAACCAGAGAGCTAACTTGTAGCCATGGACAATGAAGCTGCAGTTGGAGGGGTTTTCGCGGGGAGCGTCCAAACCACTCGTTCCCGCCGGTACGGCTACCTTGCTATCGAATTCAAGCTGCGCATCCGAAAGCTAATGTGCAAATCCTTCGTTTAGGCGACATGTAGGAAAGCGAGATGTCGGCATTGCCGGTCAGGCAAGCTGGATTAGCAGCGTGATCAATCTGCTGAACACCAGTGAGTTCGAGGAAACTTCCACGTGCTCCATTACCACAAACGGTCGCTAACGCGTTCTAGTCGTCGGTGCTGGAGTCTTAGCGATGCCTCACGCCTTGTCACGGATGGGAATTACCCTGGGCGTGTTTGTGATTCTGTGGTCCGGATTGGTTGCTGGGTTCGGTCTCTATCTGCAGGCGAGATGTGCTGAATACCTGGAAAGAGGATCTGCTTCGTTTTTCGCATTATCCCAGATTACATACCCCAATGCGGCCGTCCTTTTCGATGCGGCCATTGCTATCAAATGCTTCGGTGTCGGCGTCAGCTATTTAATTATTATCGGCGACTTAATGCCAGGAGTTGTTGAGGGATTCATGGGAGACACGGGCATGGAATTTCTTTTAGACAGGCATTTCTGGGTGACGGCTTTTATGTACGCTTCTCCGAATCCAATAGCTATGGAAATTTATACTGACGAGCGTTTTATCATAGGTTGATCATTATCCCTATTTCTTTTTTGCGCCGGCTGGACTCGTTGAAATATACCAGCGTTGTCGCCTTGATTTCGATTGGCTACCTCGTTATTCTCGTCGTTGCGCATTTTATCAAAGGAGACACTATGGAGGGCAGGAGTCCCATTAGGGTAATTCAATGGGAAGGGATAATACCCGCCTTGAGTGTCTTTCCCGTTATTGTTTTTGCGTATACGTGTCATCAAAATGTAAGTCTAGATTCGCTTTTACCCGTTGACTATGATGGTAAGCAGGAGAACTCACCATATACTGTAATCTAATAGATGTTTTCTATTCTTAACGAACTTTCTAATAACAGTCATTTCCGGACCACCACCGTGGTCGCTGCAAGTATCGGAAGCGCCGCTGCAACTTACGTCCTCGTCGCAATCACAGGATATTTGTCCTTTGGCGATGCTATCCAAGGTAATATTGTGGGGATGTATGCTCCATCTTTATCTTCCAATATTGCTCGTGCCGCCATCGTCGTTTTGGTCATGTTCTCCTATCCTTTACAAGTCCATCCCTGTCGTGCATCCGTCGATGCAGTTCTGAAATGGCGCTGGAACTCAAAAGGATCATCCGGTTCTTCAAACGTGTCGCCGCATCGTAATCCGCTTTTACCTCGTTCAGATAGACAGCCTGAGGAAATGGGCGACACTCGTTTTGCTGCCATTACAACCGTTATCATTGTTCTGAGTTATATCGTCGCTATGACGGTTTCTTCCCTTGAAGCCGTCCTTGCTTACGTTGGCAGCACCGGAAGCACGAGCATCAGCTTCATCCTTCCTGGCCTCTTCTACTACAAGATATCGTCTCCAGAATCCGCTCTTCATCAACGAATCATGAAAGAGGATGATGAGGCCGGTGCTGACGGCTTTTCGGATGATTCTGCCGATGAAGAAATCATGGGCAGCGGCCTCCTCGGCGGAAGCGGGCTTCTCTCTTCCAGCGGTATTCTGCGCCGGCGTCGAAGACACTGGAAACGGGGTCTTCTCCGTAAGCTCAGCTTGGCTCTAGCAGTGTACGGAATCGTGGTGATGGTTGTTTGCCTGGTTACGAATACATTTTTCTTGGCAACAAATGGGTCCTAAGAAACAATAATCGCCCCGCTGGTCCTCATTATCTACATTATTTCGTTTACGGGGCAGCCGGCTTTTCACAACGGACGGCAGACAATGCGATTTTAACCAACCGGAGTCATTTGCTTTGAATTGGCACAGTTTAGGCGCATTATCCCGGGTTTTGGGCTTGAAATGGACCTCTGATTTTGCTCACAAACGCTGTCCATCAAGCTGAGCTTGAGAGTATACTCTTCGATACCCTTGACCGGATTACTTTTACTTCGTCGACTAAACACTTATCATTTATCCCATTTATTACAGACACAATCCCTAAACTTACCCGGTTCTCCAGGGCCATTTCTACATTTTTATACACTCCCAGTCTATTCCCTTTCTGCTGAGTGTAAATACAGATATACTTTTCCCGATTTGGTGGAGTTGAGATTTAGCGGCTTGTATGGAGTACACGTTATTGCATTTTCTGATAGTAAACGTTCAAGTACCTTTTGGCTAGTTCAACATTGTTTTTTCGTTGGGTATTATTGGTAGTGAAACGAAATATGAAATTATATTGAAGTACTACTTGAGTGGCGACGAGAACAGTCGAATATAATGCCTAATGAATAAGGAAAAATTGGAAACTGGAAAACTGATGCCGAAAACTAAGGCAACCAAGCAAAAATTCTGCAGCCACTGGGCGAAGTTGTGCTTTCGATTGTTCAAGAGAGTAGAAATACAGAGGGAACGAGATGCTCGGTCTACAAAGGAAAGAAAACATAACTCTCGTCAATTTCTGAGTCATACGCTGCGCCGTGTTTTACACGTTCCGGCGGTTTAGTTGTTGCTCTGGCTATTGAGGATCCTCAGGATAGCCAAGAACAAGTTGATAACATCCAAGTAGAGTGAGATGGATGCGGCAATCTCCTCCTCAACATGATGATGTCGCATAACCAGCTGGGTATCGACGAGGATGTACGCACTGAAGATCAGGGCTGCAATTGAGCCGTAAATCAATTCCATCTTGCTTCCCATCGGGAAAAACATAGTCATAAACCCGAATAGGATCAAAAACCATAGAGCAAAGAATAGGTACGGTATCCAGCTGGTAAAATCATATTTGGTCTGGCAGGCGAAGAGCGTTAGAGCCAGGAAGAGGCCGAGGGTGAGAACGAGCGCTTGGATGACTATTCTCGAATTGTAGAAAGAGGTCACAACGCTGACGGCGTATCCTTCAAGGAGGGTGAAAATGCTGAGGAATAGGAGATTGCTTGGATAGCTCTTGCGTTTCCAGTATGTGAGGAGCATGAATACGAGCGCACCAATAATAGAGACGAACATCATCCAAGCGTTGGATTGGACCCATGTCCGGTAGGTATCGTTGAAGAAAGAGACGGCGCTAAGGCCAGCGGTGACGAGGAGCTGGACGGTCCTGCAGGAAGAATACCGATTAGAAATGCATGAGAACGCATAGTAGAATCCAGAAATACTCTACTCACAAGATAGAATAGACCTTGCGGATAAACTGCATTCGGATAGGAAGAGTAGCTTCAGCCACTGAGCCGCCGAACTGTCCAAAAAGCGTGTTAGAGCTGTGTCACTTTGTTATCCGCAGACTGGCAGAGTTAGCCGTACCTTGAAGTCATCGGGAACATTATCATCCTCACCCCGCGGCGCACCCATCATCGGATCCGAAGCTTGCTGGTAGGATGGAGGGGACTGAGTGTAGCGCTGCTCCTCCAGCGAATCCCGCTGGGGAGCAGGCATATATCGAGTGTTGGCTGCCATTTCTTCTGGGAGCTGCTGTTTAGATAGAAAAGCAGAGATACTGCTGGCAAAGGAAAAAGAAGCGAGCACTCCGGAGGTTGCCTTCGAATTCGATCGATGCAGAGGCGATAAGGCGTTGAGTTAGCCCATCGCGATGAAGCCGGCCAAGCCTGTGGCGCAGCTAGGGCGTCACATGATGTCATCGCTCCCTCCCCAAATTTGGGAGATCATCACAAACAACGGAAGAGGTCTTGATAATAAGTACATTTCCATGAGAACCTTCAACTACGGCAATGTTTGCCAAACTATTTGAGAGAAAATCATTTATACAAGCAACAGGAATAGTTACAGATTGAAAGCCGGCTGTGTTTGCCCGTCCATGATACCCCTCTCCTAGAGTGCCATGCAACCCCCCGGTTTTGTGGCATCCTTCCCACCGTATCTATTGTATGAATCAGTCCACCACAGCAGATTCCTCTTCCTCTTCGTCCTTCTTGCACAATGATCTTAATTCGAACAAAATTTCGTTGACACTCCGCTGCACCGGCTTGATTTGTGGGTGGTCATCGCCGCTTGCATCTCGGCCCATGGTGATGACCCCCCATTTAGCCCTCAAGCTCGCATTCCACCCTTGAGGCTTTGGTTCTCGCTTTGCAAACTTGGCTTTCATATAGTTGACCAATTTGTCGGAATGTGGCTCAAGATATCGGATCGACACGATGCCGTAGTAGTCGCAAAATCTGATATTTGCACGTGGATTACCTGGCACGTCATCTTGGACAAACACAGGGAATGAAGCCGTATAGGTCACGTTTTCAGCGTCGCCATTACCAGCGAGAGTGGTTGCTCCGGGAAGAAGATCGAGGTTTGCCTTGCATAACACTTCGTTCTTGGTAGCCCAAAAGGGGTGCGCATCCTTGTAAACCATGATGTACGCGAGGGCATCCTGGTCGTCTTTTGCGGCGTTGAGAGCCCCACTCTTTCTTAATAAGTTGGTACCGCGGTCATCTTCTCGATGGTAGCCGAAATGCGCTTCAATGTCGGACACATGGTATGTAACCGTGTTGTTCCCAGGCTCTTGGTCCCCCAGAGTCCGTTTACGGAGCGCCGGTGGGATGTATCTGTCTGCCATGGGTTTCATCCTGGTAGAGCAATGCTGCGGATAGTTTTGTCTGTCTAAGAGGCTGCTTGTAGGCAAGCTCTGAGAGAAGGATTCAAAGCTTGTGATATAGGAAGAACATAAGTGTAAATGCAAAGGAGATCAACAAAGGTTGGACTCTGGCTCAAGCAAGGATATGCTAGACCTTTGTTTAAATGAGCAGGATTCACGATATGGTTGTAAGGAAACCGTCAAAACATAGGCGTAGTTTGAGAGCTGGCAAAGACGACAAACACGCAGTCGACGAGGTAATCGCCACGACATTCTTTGCTATGTAATCAAGCTTCACAAGGTCTCAGTGAATATATTGACTGAAAGATTCTGGCTTCTGACATGATGTTTTGATTTCATCAAAAGTTGCCAGAAAGTGATCTAGATGTTACGTGACGGACTGTCACTGTGCCTCCATGATGAAATATATTAATCATACTGATTAAGACATGGCTTTAAGGGAAATAAATTCGCCCACATAGACATACATCTATTCGGCCCCGAAGGTTCCCCTTCAGTAGACAAGACCAGGTTTTGATTGACTACGGGAAGGCATCCATGGTAGGCATTTTAGCAAAACATCGTTATATCGTTATGCTGGCGGAGAAGTATCCTCTTTGCTAAGATGACATAAAATACATGTTGCTGATGGGTATTTATGGTTTAGCTCCTTGTTCCATGCGAAACCCAGTGACCAAGTAGTCCGCTCCATGTCGCCTGCCCCAGTACCCCAACTCGCCAGAGCGCCATCCAAATCAAAATACTGAGGGAAAAAAAAAAAAAAAAACTGCCTGTCGCAAATGCTACGCCTTCCGGCTATGCGTCTAGGAATAGAGAGAGTGCCTGTCGCTCAAAGAAGAACTCAGATGAAGCGTGATGCTTTAGATCACAGCTGCTCTTCAACATCGGTGCTGGAATCATTATCTTCATGTGAGTAGTCCACGGCATCAGAGTCGCTGCCGCCAAAGATATCATCATCCTCCTCCCCGTTGTCGCTGTCTATCCAGAAGTCTTCGTCCACGACTTCGGCTTTCTCGGGCTTGGAGATAGAAGTCTCATGGGTCGGCATGACAAAGCCTTTAGGGATATCGCGCTTAGACTTCTCCACATCATCTCTAACCTTTTGCTTGTACTTCTCAGGGTTGTCCCGGAGCATAACACTGGCGTTGACATTCGCGGCGGAGTTGATTTCGGCGTCGTCGAGCAGCGAAAGGATGGAAATCAAGACTGATTCGACGCGTTGGGCAGGCGACCAACGTTCTGCGGCAGACTCGCCAGACATTTCGTCTTCCCCGGGAGAATGAAGGATAGAAATGCAAAGCTCGCCATTGTCATATATATTTGGATGGAATAGCGGACGGATGAATTTGAAACCTATCATTCGAAGTAATGTTAGCCTCCGCCGAACAGGAACCGCATATCTTCGCAAATAAATTGATGTTAAGAGAGACATTGGTAATGTTTAGCCTTGGGAATTTTGCCAGTACTCACTTGGAGGAGAATAAGGGTAGTTGTTGGGGAAGGTCATACGACCTTTGAAATAGCCCCCATAGTAAAGAGAGTCCGGATTCAAGACAATGAGTGCAATATTCCAGTTGAAAATGTCCTCGTTTTTCAACTATCCCGAACCGTTAGTTCCTATGGCTAGGGATTCTTGGGGGTGGATATCCCGAAAGGCAGCTTAATTCACTCGAATCAAGACCAAAAAAGAGAAAATAATGAAAACACACCTCGACATCAACCCACTTCTCCTTTGACAGGGCCTTGTACTCGTTGAGCAGGATCCGTTGAGCCATCGGGATCCAAGTCCGCACAAAGCTTCAGCTCTGAAGAGTGAGTAACGAGTGGCGACGGGGAGGCGGGGAGGCGGGACAGAGAAATGAAAACAAATCCCGAGGTCACCGGCAAACCAAAAAGGACTTGGGGTCTGCTCAGTGTACAGAGTAAGGAGAAGAAGAAAAAGAAAACGAAGGAGACAGAAGCAAGCAGGGAGGGAAAGAGAAGAGGATCATGGCGAGAGTTTCATATTTAAAGTTGTGTTCGAGAAGGTTTCTGCCACTCACAGTGACGGAATGCGCTTCATTCACCGCCATTCACACGCAGGAAGCACCAATGAGAGCGCAATCCTTGCTTTATTTCCCCCTTGCCTGGTGGGACTATGATGCTATTTTGGGCTTCCGATCTCACCCATACAGGCGCCAGTTCCTCCGCCCTCAATGCATATACCGGCACGATAAAGAGGCTAAAGACTTATGACGACCATCAAGAAGTTCCCTCCTTTCGCACCTTGTCCAAAGAATGAGCTAGATGGAAGCCCTCTGTGTCCAATGAATTCAGGATGCCCAAGCAATGGGGTGCCCTAACCCCATTAGTCAATCGGGCTTTTCTGGCTCAGGATACTGAGCATGAAAGGTTAGCCCTGATATGCGTTTCTGGGGTTGTAGCTACGTACGATTCAAAGGTTAGAGAGGGCCAGAACCTCCCAGCCTGGAAGCTCTTTACCTGCTTTACCCAAAAGCGCCCGCAAAGGTTCACCACACTTCTTCAGCTGAGCATGTGTGTCAAGCGCTATGCCTCCGGCGTTTCCGGGACTATCTCAGGGAGCTGTCTTTTCAGTCTAACTCCTTGAGCACATCTCCGTTTAACCAAATCTTGGAAAAGGCTACCCCAGTACTCCGTGTGCTAGCGCTGACTCCCAGAATTTCTGCCTTTTCGACTGATGTCGCGATGTGTTGTATGGATGTGGCTCGATATAGCCACTTGCAAGATAAACTGGAGGAACAAGGCATGCCAACCATGAAGTTTGCCGGCCTTGATGTCCGATAAAAATCTCGAGCAGATGAATAATAGAAGAAGACCAAAGAAAGTTCGAGCACATGTCAGCATGCATAATCTGGCATTTTGTTTGCAAGTACTCCGTAGTCTACTGCCAAAAAGGGCGCTGAAGCACAAATACCGGGTTAGGATGCGGAAAGGCCAGCACACTCTCCCTGGAGCATGCACGAGGAATTAATTCCCTTTCTTTCTTTCTTTCTTTCTTTTTTTTTTCCCGGTCCATCAATGTCAAGCAACGACCTGACAGCATCGTGACCTGGATGAATTTCCGAGGCTCTCTTGATGCGTTTGTATGTACATCTTGAGCTCATCCTCCAATTGCTGTACCAAAGGTGTAGAACTGATGAAGGTTTTGGGAATAACATAACGATGATTGCTGTAATTATAGTGCGTGAGCGAGTCATTTCGGGGCGGATATTTCCCTGAATTCCATGGGTCTCAACTCTATGTCGTGCGTAATCCACACAGTTGAGCTAGCTCCAAATCCCCGTTTTCCTACGACTTGATACCTGTCTTTGAATATTTCTCCCATCCTAGCACGATAATAGCGGGAAGCAACGTAATTAGTGGTAGTCTCTTCTTCAGTTTTCTGCCTTACGGGTATCCAGATGAAGTTGGGATTGGAGAAGTTGAGTGGCTCCCATATCCGTCCAACCTGCGACAAAACCCGTAGAAGCGAAGACAATATGCTTGAGACAAGGTACAACCGGTTAATCTCACGGACGTGAGAAGGTAGAACAAATTTAATCAATATTATGTATTAGCAAAGATGATGCGAATAATAAGAATACAGAAAGACCAAATGATGCCTCTATTTCCTCATAAATTGCGCCAATACCCCGACTGTATCATCGGCGGTAACTTTTCACAACCTCGCGCGGTTGCTGGTGCATTATTAGTTACTCATCCATATTGCGTATCATTTGATTAAAGCTCGGGTTGGACACCAGACTCATCGCTGCCACATCCTTGTATAAAGCCCCAGAGTTCCTACGTGCTCTACATAAGCCATATTCTGAGCGGCTTTAACAACTCGTTAGGATCAGTCTGAGTCATATCTTTCGAAGTCCATCACATCTCATTGTTTTAGTAGTGAGATTCTTTTGCTAGTGCTTCTTACTGCGCTTTGGATGAACATTGTATAGAGGTGAAGTGTTTTTGTTGCTCAATCCTGAGCATCCACCGTGCCACGCCTTATCAAAGAGATAGAGTAGCAAATATAGACACAAAATCTGCAGAAACTTGATAAAGCACTGACCCAGAGGGGTTCAGAGAAGAAAGTTCTTAAAATAAAAGAAAACTATCTGGTTTATTCGCCCTGAAGAGCTGGCCAGAAGGAGAGGCCTAGGACCCCCTTCACCTAAGAACAGGTATGAGCATTGATAGCTTGTTGGCATCCAAATGTGGTGGCTATAGTAGAATGATATTTGCGAGGAGCGCGTTCAGGGTTGCATGGATGGAGAAGTGATGTTATCTGACGTAAAACAACGTGTTGCCTGCCATGTGTAACAACAGGCGTCAAACAGTGTTAAAAATAGCAGCTCTTGAGGAGTCACATCGCCCAAGTATAGAGAACATAAGGAAAATCTTGGGCTCCTCAGTCAATGGCAAACAACTCGAATGAAAATGCCCCAGGAGAGGGGGTGCAAGTGGACAACCTTTTCTGTTATAGAACTCTGTAAGGTGACATTCAGATATTCTGTTCGAAGGCGGTTTCGTATTCCCCAGGCGGTGGTGGGTGCGCCCTCCATCTATCCTTGCGTTACTTGACATCTTGGTCATAGCCCCAATTACTCACCAGATTGTTCGGAATGGAGGAAGGATTCCGATTCTTTTAACCCCAGGAAAATAACCCCTTAAAGGATGAGAACTCTTGACTCTTTAAGATTGGGATAAGTCATGGGTGCGTTCACAACCGTATATGAGGTGTATAGGCGGGCTTCACATATAACTATGTCAGCTGGGGGCGCTTCGACATTTGATAGGGTGCGATAAAGGAGTTCGTACGGAGTACGGAGCACCGGGATCATAGCATCTTGTCAAGTGCTGCACCAACCCTAAAGATGCTGAACTGCATTCCCGGCTACAGAATCCAGCAGTCGCTCTGAGTCATGGCTGATTTCCTATCAACACGACCTTCCTCACAGAGATACTGCTCTTTTTTTTCCTTCGTATTTGAGACACGGTGGAGCTCCAAGCGTGGGAGCTGTGCAGGTCGGGATTAATGAGTCAAAACCCACCGCGATGCACCGCTAAAACTAACTTCAACCTTCCAAGAAACCCACAGGGCCCAGCTTAACACCAGTGAATTGCTTTTTCCTCCTTCTTTTCTCCTTCATCATCTAGCTAGGCCTGCAGAACAAGCAATCTCCAGCTCTTCCTTTTCACACATCGATTCCCCGTCTTCTCCTGTTCCATTCACATATTCACAGCTTCGATCTCCGCGCGCACTTAGCATATGATAGGGCCCGGCACATATCGGCATCATACCCACAACATTTTCCCGTCGTTCCTGTCGGCTCTGCGCAGACAGTAATGCCAAACCCATATCTCTTGTAATTTTACCTTGGCTGGATTTTTTTATTCCGTATTCTGATGTGTTATTATCAATCCTAATCTCCGGGCTGGTTGGGAAAGGCGATATTGGTTTAATCTGTGTCCTTTGTTGCGACGGTGCAACGAGGGTACGAGCTAGCGACAATGCTACAAGAATGTGACGGCCCTATATGGGTCGTCGATGATATAACCAGGTGTTTTCAAGAAAAGTAAGTGGGATATACCGCTTGTGCGCATATTTTCGTCCCCGTTGGAGTTGAGGGAGAGTCATTAATACCAATGGTCGTAGGTACCTGAACCTCATTTTCCCGCTGGCATCCTGTACCATATCTCTCCTGTTTATCGCTATACGCTTCCTTAGGGATAGGCTTTCTGCGCGGAAAATAAAGCACTACAGGCCAATTCCAACAGATGTCCCTACCCGCAATGGAATGGTGAGAGAAGAATTAGCAGATGCGGAAGACGATGAAGAAAGCGACCTGATGCTTCACAAGGCGATGAGCAGGACTACGGATGCAGCTTTGGATCTGGATGCGCCGCGAGGCAAACTGCTGCTGATAATAATAGAAATACTCGCAGTAGCTGGGCAGGTCGCGGTTAACGCATGTGCCATCTCGAACCTCAAAGAACCGATTATTCCGTCTGTGGCTCGTCTGTCGGCTTGGATATACATTTTTCTATTGGTCGCTACGAGGTTAATCCTGTCACTCCACGAACGCCCTTCGGTTACCAATCTCTGGAATCATACCGCCGCACTTTACGGCCTTCAATGGCTTTTCATAGTCTTCATTTTTCGCTCGGTAATCGTCCACCCGGAAAGGCATCATGATAATTTATTTGTGATAGCCGATTTTTCGTTGTCTTCGTTCCTTTTCTTCCTGGCAGTGTCTACTAGGAAAGGCAACAGAGCAGTCCTCATTCAACATGGCGAAGACCTGATTCCCCCCAAAGACCAGTTTGCGAGTCTTTTGTCTCTCATGAGTTTCTCGTGGATGGATTCTCTGATTTGGCAGGGATACAAGAAGGCCATGGAAATGCCAGATGTTTGGAATCTGAGGCCAAGCTATCAAGCTGCTGCTGTGATCATGGACTTCCGCCGAACGCGGACTGCATCCAAGTTGGCATGGAGCCTCTTTCGTTACTTCGACCGCACACTGTTGATCCAAGGAATTTGGACAATTTTCGCTGGCTTGTTCACCTTTCTACCCACCTGGCTGTTGAAGCTCATATTGGAATATGTGGAGGATCCTTCTTCTGTGCCGCGTAATGCAGCTTGGTTCTATGTTATGCTGATGTTTTTTTGTGGGATCATACAAGCTGTTGGTGATGGTCAAGCACTATGGCTAGGTCGAAAGCTTAGTGTCAAATTTCGGGCTATTATTATCGGCGAGCTATATGCCAAAGCCCTGCGAAGAAAGGCTGGTGCCTCCTTACCCGCCCCCGTAGATGGAGAAGAAGGCAATTCCAAGAAAAAGAGCAAGGTGTCAAAGAAGAAGAAGAATAAGAAAGTTGACGATGATGACGAAGTGGAGCTTTTTGGGGATGAGAAGTCCGAATACCCTGCCAATATTGGTAAAATCATCAACCTCATGGCCATCGACTCCTTCAAAGTCAGTGAAATTTCCGCATACTTACATTTTCTCTGGGCAAGTGTACCGGTTCAGATTATTGTTGCAATATTCCTGCTCTACAGGCTTCTAGGCTCTAGCTCTTTCGCCGGTATTGCCCTGATGCTTCTCATCGCTCCGTTTAACATGTTCATTGCCTCTCAGTTTCGACATGTCCAGAACAGCATTTTGGCTGCGACAGACTCGAGGATACACGCAACCAATGAGGCATTGCAAAATATTCGCATTATCAAGTATTTCGCATGGGAACAGCGATTTGAAGATATCATTAATGAGAAACGACGGGTCGAGTTGAAGAATCTTCGCAGGCGATATATATTGTGGGCTGTTGCTGCAACGGTCTGGTATGGCACACCGTATATCATCACTTTTGCTACTTTCTTTATCTATACAGTCATTGAAGGAAAGAGGCTGGTGCCGTCAATTGCTTTCCCCGCCCTTTCACTGTTTTCGCTTCTTCGAGTCCCCCTGGATCGATTGGCAGACATGGCAGCCCATGTACTTGAATCCAAGGTCTCTATTGATCGTGTTGATCAGTTTTTAAGTGAGGAAGAGACAGAAAAGTATTGTCAACTGCGCCGTACATGCCACAGCGAGCCGTCGAAGATCGCTCTCGAGAATGCAACTCTCTCGTGGGGCTCTAGAAATAGTGCGAAGGTGGCGGATGGCAATGGTGCGACTCCGGATGCATTCCGTCTCATCAACGTCAACGTATCGTTCCAGGTCGGGAAGTTCAATGTTATTTCCGGACCGACTGGTTCTGGCAAGACATCTATGTTGATGGCACTCTTGGGTGAAATGAGACTCGTGGAAGGGGCAGTCTATCTTCCCGGTGGAACCAGTGACCGAGTAGATCTACCCATCGATCCAGTTACAGGTCTTACCGAAAGTGTGGCGTACTGTGCTCAAGAAGCCTGGCTTGTTAATGCCACCATTCAGGATAACATTTTATTTGCCCTGCCTTACGATGACGGCCGATATAACGCTGTGATCAAGGCTTGCGGGCTGGAAAGGGACTTGGAGATCCTTGACGCTGGTGATCAGACTTTGGTTGGCGAGAAGGGCATCAGCCTCTCGGGAGGACAGAAGCAGCGAATCTCCTTAGCCCGAGCTATGTACAGCAATGCTCGACATCTTCTTCTTGACGACTGCCTAAGCGCCGTGGATTCACACACTGCCAAGCATATTTTTCAACAGGCCCTGATGGGGCCATTAATGATGGGTCGTACCTGTATCCTAGTCACGCATAATGTGTCATTGGTGTTGTCACGGTGTGACTATCTGGTTGTCCTTGATAACGGGCGGGTTGTGTCTCAAGGCTCTCCACAAGACGTTGTCTCGTCCGGTGCTCTTGGCAAAGAATTTCTTCAGTCCCGACCTCCATCTCGAAGTCAGTCCCAAGCAGTCTCCGAGGCACAGTCTCGTGCGGAAGAAGCGAGCATTGAGGAACAAGAAAATACGCGCGAAACCAACAATAAGCCAAGCGATGAGAACGAAACCAATGGAGCGGCAAAGAAACCAAAGAAGTCTGGGGTTATCACGGAAGAAGAGAAAATCACAGGCAGTGTCCCGCTCTCAACTATCTTCATGTACCTGCGAGCTATGGGTCCGTGGTATTTCTGGGCCATCGCAATAACTGCCTTTTTTTGCCAGCAGTTTGGCTCTCTCGCTCCCAATATATGGATTAGGAACTGGGCGAACGCATACAAATCTACTACCGATGAGAATGAAAACCGGGGTTTCACGAACCTTCATGTCACCACGCTCAGTAACGCCAACATTCCACGGCCCTACTGGTGGCCATCATCAATGATGAAATCCACTAGTGAGGTCTCATTCAGCGTGAACGTCGATGTTGTGTACTATCTTACCGTCTACGCCCTCCTAGCGGTCATCTACATCATTGTCTCCCTCTTCCGAGAATTAGTACTCTTCTGGGGTTCTCTACATGCATCCTGGAAAATACATGGATGGCTACTACGCGCGGTCGCGCACGCAAAGTTCAGATTTTTTGATTCAACGCCTCTGGGTCGCATTATGAACCGCTTCTCCAAGGACATTGAAGCGATTGACCAAGAGGTTGCTCCTACTGCAATTGGCATGATCCATTGCATGGCTTCTGTCTTGATGATTGTTGTGTTGATATCTGTTATTACACCTGGCTTCCTGATTGCCGGAGTGTTCATCACATTACTGTACTGCGCGCTTGGGTCTCTTTATCTTTTCTCTTCCCGTGATCTAAAGCGGTTAGAATCCATACAACGCAGCCCTCTATACCAACAATTTGGGGAGACTCTGAACGGCGTAGTTACGATCCGAGCGTATGGTGACGGCGCCCGATTTATTTTGGATAATCATCGCCTCATCAACAAATATAACCGACCGTATCTTTATCTATGGGCAAGCAATCGATGGTTATCTTTCCGGGTTGAACTTATAGGAGCCATAGTATCGTTTTTCTCCGCTGTGTTTATCTTACTTAATGTTGGTCGCATAGATGCCGGAGCTGCAGGTTTGTCGTTGACATATGCCATCACCTTTACCGAAAATATCCTGTGGCTGGTTCGGCTGTATGCGGAAAATCAGCAAAATATGAACTCTGTTGAACGGGTGGAAGAATATCTCAGGGTTGAACAGGAGGCACGAGCTATTGTCCCAGATAATAGGCCTCCACGTAACTGGCCGAGCAAGGGAGCAGTGAAATTCGTTGAATATTCGACTCGCTATCGGCCCGATCTCGATCTCGTTTTGAAGCGTGTCAGTTTCTCTGTGCAGCCTGGCGAAAGAGTGGGTATTGTCGGAAGAACTGGTGCTGGAAAAAGCTCCTTGGCTCTTGCGCTCTTCCGTGGCCTTGAGGCTGAGAATGGTAAGATCATTATCGACGACGTTGACATTGGCTTGATCGGCCTTCAGGACCTTCGAGAGGCCATCACGATCGTTCCTCAGGATCCAACTCTTTTCACTGGTACAATACGCAGCAACCTCGATCCGTTCGGAGTCTTCACAGATGAGGAGATCTTTACGGCCCTTCGACGAGTTCATCTCATCGGTGCCGCCAGCTCTGCCCAGCAATCTGATGTGGAATCTCTGGTTCAGGCTACTCGGAGCTCCATCACGTTATTGGAGAGTGAGCTCATGGATTCGGACACGGATATTTCATCCAATGCCCGCTTCCGCGACAATAAAAACCTCTTCCTAAATCTCTCATCTCCAGTCACGGAATCTGGCTCCAACCTTTCTCAAGGTCAACGACAACTCCTATGCCTTGCGAGAGCCCTCCTCAAATCTCCCAAGGTTCTCATGATGGATGAAGCGACAGCATCCATTGACTACGCAACCGATACCAAAATCCAGGACACGCTCCGAGAATTGAAGGACAATACGATCATCACCATTGCGCATCGACTGCAAACAATTATCGATTATGATAAGGTTCTGGTCCTGGACCATGGCGAGGTGATTGAGTTCGATGGGCCATGGCAACTGATCAACAAAGAGGGCGGTGTGTTCAGGAGTATGTGCGAAAATAGCGGGAACATGGAATCACTGATTGAAGGCGCAAAAAAGGCTTGGGAGCAGAAGAGACTAGTTGACGACTCGTGAAGATCTGTTTGTTGACCATTGTGCCTCTTTGGCGTCTGTTTCTTTCTTTCTTTGCTTCAGAAAAAAGCCCTGGGAGTTGCTCTGGTTGAATGGGTTAAATTTTTTTTTTTTTCCCCCCCACCACATCGCGCATGCATTTTGAATACTTCATAGCCAGGTTTAAAGATAGAAATCAAACAAATCCTGATTCATTGATTGCGCGTTGCCTTCTTCATACTGGGCCATTTCCGGATGTGATAATGCCCCGAAAGGCATAAGCGACCCCATGCGGTTCCCTTTGCAATTCCTAGGTTGAACTTTGAACGAAGCCAAAGTTCCCCTTCATCTTGCCTCCGCAACCTTGTCACCAAGCCACCGGCATCGCTTTTTCGACGGTAACAAATTGGCGGTCCAGCTCGCCTTGACAGAGAGCCATCAACTCAATCTCCAAAAGTCCAAACTCAACAGAGACCGAGGGTTGACGTAGACAGCAACCCGTCCTCGAAAGGCTCTCCCGTCGTCTTGCGAGTGTGGTGGAACTCTTGGGTGGCGATTGCAAAGTCCAGAGCGTCGCGAAAAATTCAACTCGCGAGCCCATTCATGGAATAGGAATTTCCACGACACTGGTTTGGCCCGAATGCTAATGCTAAATAATTATGATTTCCTCCGTCCAAAGTGTATGAATTATTAGAGTTCGACGGGCTCTTCCCATTAGCCAGTCCGAAGTGAGAGGGGCTCGCGATGCTTATACAATTGTACTGTGCGCCGTCAGAGTTCGCCATGGGATGTCTAAATTCCGTGGGCGGAAACGGGAAGGGCGCTCTGAAGGAGTGGCGAGCGGCGATGAGTTAACTCACTCCCAAGTTTGGTGGTTGGCCGTCCTCTTATGCAGACTCCAGAATGTAACCTGCTGCGAGGCTCGACAGCCCAAAAAGCAAGTGATGATGATGATATTGACAAATAATAATGATGATGATGATGCTGATGATGCCTTCTCGCACATGGAGGAGTGGGCCTCGGGCCGGTGCACTGACAATTCACTATTGAGATTTGCTGGGTCACAGTTGGTGCTTGTGGAGTTGAGACGCAAGCGATCGTGAACTCTGTTTGGGTCGCCTGGTGAGACGCACCTTTTTTTTAAGCGATGGAGTGGTGGACGGCCAAGGAAGCACGCAGACAGCGACTAACTAGTCGTGAGCGAAGTGACGGAGGACAATTTGGCCGCAAGGCTAATGTCAGCTCCCTGCTTTTCCCAAATGAGGTTAACAAGGGGCGCTGCGAGGGCTTCCCGTTGAGAACCGAAATTTGGAATGCTTTCCTCCACACAGAGGTTCCATCGTTGAGGTTCATATCGACTACCTAACGAAATCTCCGTTCACCATGGCATCTTGCAGTGCCAGCCCTTGGCCCAGACCCAGGCCAAACGGTTCCAAATTTCCTGCGCGTTCTTCAGCTTCAACAGCTGCGACTCCGCATGCCGAGTATCCTGTCTGTGGGCCTCCACCCATGGATCGCCCAATGGCGGACCGCAACCTTGGATAAGGTTGATAGCGTCCATGGCATTGAGTGGGCTTGTCCTTGACCGTTTTAGATCTGTCCAAGGTCGTTTTATTGGCCGAGCTGCCATGCTTTCTCTGCCACTCCGCCACGAGTTTCAGCGCTGGCGTTGCTCTGCATGGGTGCTATATTTTATTATTCTTCCATCCGACTGTTTTGCTCGGCCTTCAACTATTTCGCAAATGCTGTCAGTTAAATCTCCTCCTCGCCCGCGCCCTCTTCCTCTGTCGGCACAGCTTTAACTTGGGCCGATATGTACTCCCAATCATGCGGCACCCTCCACCAGAAGTTATTGCCTCCTGGCCCACTCCGAACTATGTGAATCCGGAGTTTCAAGGCCCTCAGCTGGCCGTGGTTTCAATCACATTGCTCGTGATATCCTTCGTTGTTGTTTTTCTCCGTATGTACGTGAGAATCTGGATAAGACGCTCGGCAGGTTGGGATGACTGGCTGATGCTTCTTGTGCTGGTAATATTTATTTTTCCAGTTTTACCGCCCCTTTACCGCCATTTGGCGATTTCAATGTGGAGAGAAATTATTGTGTTTGCTGACTCAAATAGCCGATCCTGCTTTCGACGTCCGTCATCAGTATTATTGCTACACGCTATGGATGGGGTAGGTCCTCTCAAATGCTTATCTCGTCGATGCGGCACTCGCTACCTTGCAAAGATATGCTCACACTAGAACCCAGGAATCCACATCTGGGACAATAAGAAGGAATGGTTCAGACCATCTCGGATTGTGAGTTCGTTCGCATTCCCGAATATCTGCTTGTATATGATATTGCTGGGCAAGTCAACTCATCGAATCTGCTATTGAACTAGTCGAGCTGGAGCTCGGAGGTCCTATACGTTCTTCTGATCACTCTTCTCAAAATCTCGATCCTCTTATCCTACCTCCGATTCTTGACGACAAGGACCTCTAGGTTTATCACATGGGCGATGGTCGGCGTCATGGTAGCCTGGTTTATAGGTACCTTCTGGTCCTTCTAGCTGCTTTTCGGAATGTTTCCAATTAACATATAGCGGCTAGCATATGAGGTCATTATGTTGCTCAACTGCATGTAAGTGCTCCCTCACCATGAGCTATTCCATAGTTTCTATTTGCTGACATTATGCTTCCGTAGCCCCCTCCAGGATTACTGGGAGAATCCGACCCCAGATGCAAAATGCATAGATGAGTTTGGAAAACTTTTCTCTTCAGCGATTACAAATTTTGTTACGGATTTTGTCGTTCTTCTTCTGCCAATCCCGACCTTATGGACGCTGCGTCTTCCCATACGAGACAAAATCGTTTTGGTCGCTTTAATGAGTCTGGGATTTACGTATGCAGTCCCTCAATTTCACCTTGGGATGATTGCTCCGTTAATAGGGAAATTCCTTGATACTGACATCCTGATTCTATATAGCGCTTGCGCCGCTGCCGCCATAAAAGTATATTATTCTTATAAAGCAGTTCTGCTAACATATGATGTAACATGTAAGTGCCGCTCAGACCGTTGACTGGCATTCTTATCGCATAACTGATGGATCTGCGCGACTCACTAGGGGAGGGATATGGTGTCTGGTTATGGAGTGATGTCGAAATAAACCTCGCCGTGATCTCCCCGTCCGTCCCGATTCTTCGACCTCTAGCGCAGAGATATTTCCCTCGACTTGGATTCCGATCGATGCCGCAATCGTCGGATAGGACGCCCAACCGATCAAGTTTCAAGGCAACCCGGGCTATATACAGACAGGACACCATCCAACAGATCATCGATGACTCACCGGACCATACCAGCTCTACGGAGGCCTTTCAGATGTCGCCATCCCCGATATCAGTGATACAGCCTAAACAAGGCCGTCGGCCTTCGAATGACTGGTCAGAGTGTTAAGAGCAGCACACCGCCTACGGTCTCAAAAAGTTACAGCTCCATGTATTTTATTAACATCGCCGGTCACCGGCGTACATACGCGTGTTCAGCACAAATGTATATATTATAATAACCACGGGATTGGCTAATTTACACTTCCCGGCCCCCAAGGCTAAGTGCGCCGTCCTAACCATCTCCAAGTCTCCCAAAAGGCCCAGTTGTCTTGCGTTCATGCATGTGTATCTCAATTCTGTAAAACTTGATGGGGTTTTAAGTGAAACCGAGCCATGTGACATGAAGCACTCCTGTTCATAGGCAAGCCGGCCCCAAACCGCAAAGGTTCAAACTCCAGCGCGGAACCCCCAGCTGTTCTCAAGCTGTGATCGTGAAACAAAAGCTTTCGCCGGGCTGTCCCTGCTCAGGACTGCCAGACCCAGCCACTAGTCCCAATCTTGTTTAGCCCGGGATGGATAGTTGTTGCGGAATATTGATAATCCGGATGGAGTTCGGTTCGGTGGGGCATACCAGTTTAGGAAGGAGGATAACTTAAAGTTTGGCGCTTGGAAGAGGCAGGCGGCTCTGGGCTGGCCTCTTCTTGGCAACTCCAAGCCAAGCCAGGGGAGATTTCGGTCGGTGCTTTTGCTCTGGACGGGGAGGGTGAATACTTCACTTGGCGTTGGCAGATTCGTCTCACCACCAGACTTCCTCGACAGAAGAGGATCAAAGCTAAGCTCGTCTGAAATAGCCCTCCTGGTGCCAAATGCTCTCTGAGTCCCTGCCTCGCCGTGCAGGGACGATGACCAAAAAGGCCCGCAGGGGAGTCTTTCCATCTTTTGAACGCGGCTCCTCCGTATAGGGCTTAGTTAACTGCTCCTGGATTAATCACACAGCAAGCCCCGAGACAGTCCAGACCTTCGCCGTCGTCAGGCCACTTCTCCAGAATGTCACTGTGCACGGGGCAGATGAAGGATGTCACCCTGACATCCCAATCCTCTGGCAAAACTTCACCCAAGCTGCAAATTCACATCTCCTCCATGGGTTCTCTTTCACCAACTACATGAAGCTGATGGGGTTTATTCGCACCGAGGGGGCGACGGAAAGTAGCACTTATCTCCTATGAGAAGACGAGGATGGCGATTCAACTCGTCTCGCCTGTCTAGAACCCCCCCCCTCTCTCCAAAGTCTGTTGCCTTTTGTATCCTGGGACATCCTGGTCAGAAGTGTGTGTCCATGTTTTTTATGCGTCTACAGAGTAAACAGAAACTTAATCAGAAACAGCTTCATAGGCACTTCATTAATTACGGCAAATTTAATGTCTTCTTGACTATTTGATTGGGTAAGCAGCGCCGGTATGGAGTACAGAGTACATAATTCGGGATTCAAAGACAAATCAAGGACAAGGCTCCTCAGTTCACATGGGGTTAATCCGTTGCCAGCATCAGTCAATGAATTCAACAATTTTCCTAAACGTGTCATCACCACATGCCCATTTTCGAGCAAGAAAGATGTCGCATGTCCAATGGTCAAACGGCTTTGAATGCATCTTCTGGTATCTGTGGTGCTCTCTTGGTCCGCATTTGCTTAAATAAAAAGTTCTCCGTGATACGCACGGAGAATAATGGCAATGCAAGGTTACAGCCCACCCAAAGCTGCTATCTTTCTGATCAAATAGCAAAACAAGCAACCAAATATGCTCAGCCTTTTCAAGCGGATCATATTGCAGGAGAATGATATAACTGCAATACAACCGGCGTGAAAACAATCCTTCCCGGCAATGGCTAAATTAAAGGTCCAGGAGGCTAGGCTCTTCTTTCATCGACCCGCCATTCACTTGAGTAGGGGCAGCAGAGTAGAACTGGACGACACGGAACCGCGACGTGCCGCCGGTATCCGCAACGCGCTCCATCAGAGGGTTTCCTGTCGTGGATACATCGGTGGTTACCTCTCCGAACAATGACGCGTATGCTTGCTCATCCGCAAGCCTCAATTTCTCATTCACAGCTAATCGGCTCGTCTGGAGTGCTAGCTGCGCATCAGCTTCCTTTGCACCCCCATTGGCAAAATCTCGATAGTGCTGGACAGAAGCCATCTGTTCGGCGCTCGTAAGTGGAGCTGCATTTTTCGGATACTGCGGCACCCGTGGCTGAATGGCTGATCTGTGTGCGATACCACAATCGCACTCACAGGGGCGGAAGCACTTCCATTTGCATTCGTGACCGCAAGGAAGAAGCTTTAGGCACGGCCGCTCACACTTGACAGCTTTGTGCGGGAAGCTGTAGAGGCGATGTTAGCTTGAGTATATCGGACGTTTTAGGGTTATTTTGCGGCCCTTACGCGTGACAACGAAGAGGACATTTATGCCCGCAATCCAAGGAAGCCCCGCAAGGGGATAAACAGCCTCCGTCTAGCTTCTTCCACGTCTCTGGGTCTTTTCTAAGAAGTTAGAGAGCTTCGAGGCGAGGTATTCGAGAATAAAACGGTGACAGGAACAGCAGGAACAAAGAAAGGCGGCTTACCTCTCACAAGAGTTTTCTTGTCGTGCCCAGCACAAGTTACGGGAATGTAGTACCCTAACCGCTTTGGTTCCTTGCGCATGATCTGAACAATCTCCCACCAAAGACCATTATGAATTGAGAGGGCCTCTGCATTCCCGAAAATATAGAAGCCGCGTTTGGCTCGTGACAAGGCAACGCACACTCGGTTCTCGATGGAGAGGAACCCGATGTTGCGCCCGCCGCTACGCACAAGTGAAAGTAGAACAATCTCATTTTCTTCCCCTTGGTAAGAATCAACGGTAGCCACCTTGGAATATTGTCCTTGCAGCAGTGGAACCTCCTTTAGAGCTTTGAGGATTTTTTTCCGCTGGCCGTTATAGAATGTCAAAACAGTGATGTCCTCAGCAGGTATTCCGTTCATATAGAGGTATAGGTAAAAGCCTACCACCATTTTGGCTTCGCTTTCGTTATATTTGGACAGAAGGCTGTCCGACGACTCGGGCCATGAATGGCAGAAGAAATACGAGCTCACGTTGCCCATCCCGGGAACACCAGGTCGATTGAGAACATCCTCATGGTCTTCCAGATTATCATAAATTGGTGTGAGAATCCTGCGGATTTCGGGGGCCATTCGTCTTTGTTTGGCTAAGCATTTGAATTCCACGCCGTTATGAACAAGTCTTTCAAACATCGAAATGTTAAGGTAAAATGGGTCACCTTCCAACTCCTTGAGGGCACATTGACCTTGTAGCTGTTTATGATCGCCGACGAGAATGAGATGCTCTAGGCTTTCCACACATGCCGCTGCAACTGGTGCCTCTATAACCTCTGCTGCTTCTTCGACCAAAATAATTCTGGGCTTGAGACTTGAAACGAGTGCCCTGTATTTGCTCAGACCGGTAGTTGTCATGCCTATCACCCTCGCATCTCGTAAGATGATCAGATCTCGTTCCCATTTGCCGATCTTTAGGTTGGAAGCTGTGGTATTATATTCTTTCATGAGGGACCGCAGTTTCTCGCTGATAATCTCCTTGGCACGTTTCTGAAGAATCGAATAGACATTGCCGCGGGCACGCGCTGGGATTTTCCACATATCGTCGTATTTTAAGTATTGATTGCTTACCGTTTTTCCGGCGAGCATGAGGTTCGTGCGACCAGTAAATCCTTCCTTTAAAGCTATGTAGTGGCCTCTGAGATTCTCATAATCGTCGTCGTCAAGTCCTTGCTCGGCTTCAAGCTCTTTCAACTGTTCATATTCGAGATCGATCTCGTCTTCGACAAATCCGAAGTTTTCCATCTTATAGGTCGGATCGTACTTGATCATCTGCTCCCCGAGCCACGCAGAAACGGGGTCTATCTCATCACCAGAGTGAATCCAGCCCTCAGCACCTCTAAGCAGGGAATCGTGTTGGGATTGGGTGATAAGCTCTAACTTGAGAAAAAGCGCGGCTTGAAGTGGCATGCCTGACCTATCCAACGTAAAAGGCTGAATTAATTCTGCAACCTTGTCCGATAGAAGCCTATATTGCTTTCTTGCCAGGCCTAATGCTCCGCCAGGAATGAAAGGAATGTTATATTTCTTCCTCAGCTCATACACGGTTCGTTTCCGAATCTCGAGGTCCATGCTTCTTCCGCCAACTCGGACATAATTCCGTTCAAAGGTTGAGACGTGACGGAGGAGTTGATCAAGAGCATGATTTGTCTGTGCGGCAATGATGATTGGTGGGTCTTTTGGGCCTATATTTGAAAGCAGCGTTCTGATAGCGACGACGGAAACATGAGTCTTGCCAGTTCCCGGAGGCCCTTGCACAACCGACAACCTCTTGGTTAAAATATGCTGCAATGCTCCCCATTGCGATGTGTCCAGGCCTTTGGGAGGATTTGGCCACTCTCGTAGCATGTTTATATGTGATACCCCATTTGCAAGAGGGAAAAGCGGTGACGCATCAATTACAGGGTTACGTTTGACGTATTCCGGTGGCTCCACATCGTGCTTGAGGTCACAAATATACTCATGAAGCGGAAAGCTACCGTTTATTAGAAGCTGAAAAAAGCCCGAGAATAGAAGAACCTGGACATACCTTTCCTTGCTCATCTTCTGAAGGGCTAGAAGTGTATGCCTTAATGCCTCGTAATATCCGTTGCGAGACTCAACCATGAGCCATTCTTGCTGATAATCAAACGCTGCATGGTCTGGGTTGGCGAAGAAAAGGTCAATTTGGCATGGGTGTGACTTGAGACCTTCCAAAGGCCTTGCTGCAACTACTGCAACAACACATCGACTTTTAAAGTTGTCGTTGGCAGGGGTCAATGCAACAATTTTACCGGTTGTCAATCTTTGAGAATATTCCCAGACGATATTCTTGCCTGCTCGAGCAATTGAAAATTGAACCCTGATAGCAATGCCTGACTGGGCGCATGTTATTCCGACGATTCGCACCTACAAAAATAAACTTTTAACTCTTGTTTAGTCATTAGGAACGTGGAAGAGCTTTACCTTTTCGTAAATGCAAATGTCCAAAGTATCCTGCATACGAGGGTCCTGGCGGACATAAGCAACTGCATCGCGAAGAGGAGCAACTGCGTCCTCACGCAGAAGCTCGTAATGTGCCTTAAGGTACATCTCCCGAGAGCGCCAAGGGCCATTAATCTGGTTTGGCAAGAGAAAGACAGCATCGCCAGGGTTGATATCGGCATCAATGCCTAGAATCTCACCGGATGATGGAACTTCGGTTTTTCCTGTCCAGGAGCCGGATTCTGCGACATGGCTGGCAGCCTTGACATATTCTCCAATGCTCCTATTTAATGGCACTGACGCCGGCACATTGGTCGGTGTCCCGCCTCGATGGGGCAGGCCAAAGTGGCGAGATGCCATTTTACTATAGCCGATATCAAATGCTTTTTTTGAGTGAGAGGGGAAAGGCTAGAGAAAGAAAGAATTAAAAGCGTTCCGATATATTGTAGTAGGGGATAAACAAAGCGTCTTTGGTGCTGTTGGGGATCGACTTACAAAAATCAACAGAACTCAAGGAGAGAGCCACCCAGAAAGCTAATAAGTGCTGGAGGTGAACTAGGCTTCCTTCCGGCAAGGAGAGAAAAGAGAAGAACCAGCGAGATTGGCCTGTTCGAAACTGTGGACTGCGGAGCTACAGCACCCTGGCCAAAGAGGTCAGTGGGAGAAGTTGAAGAGGAGAAAAAGAAAAGACCGAAGAGGAGTAGAGAGTGAAAGAAACCCAAGCAACGGCGGCAGGGGAAGCTCCGGCGGGAAGGAGGCAGCAGCCTAGCCCTGTTGGGCAATTTGTTTCTCGGCAAAATCACTTTGCGGATTCACCAATCCTCAGCCAGTTCACCCAGAGAAGATGTCTCCCGTGAGGATATCACACAGGCTTTCCTCCTCAGTCTAGAGGAAAGATGGGTCTGGAGACGGATTGGAGGGAGAGCTTGAAGAAGTAGGCGCCCATGTAGAAAGAGGCAGAAAGTGAAAAGGTGTGTGCGTGCGTTAATGCGAAGAAACGGCAAAAGGGAGTCTCCATATGGCTCCCGTAGAGCAGCATTGCTGCTGAAAGGTAAACAAACACAAGAGCAGGCCTTGTGTGATTGAAAGGACATCCTGGGAGAGACTTCCCGGTTGATTGCATCCAGTGGACAAAGCGGTCCTGTTTTCACTGGCCTGCTTAGTTAACTGGTTATATGTTTGTAACTAGTCCGGAGGCGGCACATTGATCTTTTTAGCAACACAGGTTCCCCCCTGTATGTGCGATCTCCCTGGTTATTTCATTTATCCAGCAATAGGATGCGATCACCAAACATTATGCGGTCCTCTCTGTGGAAGCAGCAGCAGTCGTCGCATTAAAGCTGTTCACGTGGGCTGCCTAGCGCAGTAGTTTAACTGTCGGATGGCTGCTTTCTCCGAATTCCGGCGTCAAGGAAGTTCAGACGAAAGCCAGCAAGCAGATGAATTGAATGGAGATGGGCTTCTAGTTAATTCCTCAGCCAAGTTAAAGAGTATGAAGATGTGATGATCCCATGCGATGTTGCACATTGTTTAAAGCTTTCCGATACCCATCTTCTCTCACGAAAACACGCAATTCAGATGTCATTCTTACCACATGATACATGCCCTTCTTTGAATCCCTGGTTCAGCCATCCTATTAGTGAATTTCCACATGCGGCCTGGTCCCTCCCCGCTAGCCCGTTCCGGCATGGCGCCCTCGGCGGCCGCGCCGCGCCCGTGCGTGCGCCGAAACGCCTACATAAGGTGCCGTCCCTGCTCCTCCTCGCGCTGCTTCAACCACCACCGCGTCCCTTCGTCCCTTCCACCTTCCTCGCTCCCTCGCCTCGCTCTCTCGCTTTCTCGCTCCACGTCCGCTTCTACCCCCGTGCGCGTCCACCCACCCACTACGCTACGCCGCCGCCCCCTCCCTCCTTCTTATCCCTGACTTCGCAAAGCCGTGGGCCGGCCATGCCAGCTTCATGTCATGACAGCATCCCATTGGCGCCCCTGCGGTCCCACTTGGGACGGAGGAGCAAAATGAAGGGAGATACAAGGCCATTCGGGACGTGTCACCTCGCTTAGGAGGGATGCCGTGCCGTGTGGTCGACGGGGATGAGTGAGTCCGGGGCATTGCGCACCCCTCAAACAAATCATCCAATCCTCTTGAGTCGCAACATACGCTCCTGCACGCGGTAAATGGACCAAGATTCGCCCATATTCTCCATAACAAACATACACGGAAGCCCTCAAATCGAGGCACCCATAAGAATGAAACAGGTCTCAAGTCCATCCGCCTCCAGGTGGCAACAATTGGCCATGATAACCCTTTCCTCATTGCAGATGGCGAGCCTCTCTCAAATGAGACCATGGGGGCGGTATCGGGGTCGGGGGTTGCGGCGGGGTTGGGTCTGACATCCATCCGAAACCGACATTGCCTTCGAACGGTTAACCAGGTAGCGTATCCATGGCTATCCATATGTGGCGCTGTATTATGGCCCCCTTCGCTGAGAACAGCAAACCCTGCCACACTCTTCCATGCTTCTACATGGCTTCGATAACGATGGATAAGGTTGGTATCTCCAAAACCCTGCGTCTACGTTGTGATTTACTAAGGGATGTTTGTTGAAGGTTCTTCCTCTGGGTCGTGCCGGTTCGCTGCTTGCCTGGACCAAAGACCTTCTTGCTATTGCCCGCCATCTTCTCGCTTCATTTCAGTGCGGAGGCGGAAGAGTCTGATCGTCAACAACCCTCGTCGAGACGAGGGACTCCTCAAAGCAGCCAGTCCAGTCGCCGCCATCGTGAAAAGTACCCAGTCGACCAAGAAGACTCTCGTCAGTTGAAGAAGAGTATTCTAGCGATCCTGAAGGGCCTCGACACCAGCACCTCACCTACTTCAACCTTTCAACCTTCTGCTGGTGAATGAAGACATGACAATCCTTCCTGGCGAGCATTTTTGATCGACCTCGACCTCGCAATCAGAGTGGAACGGGACGGTTTCTCCGGAGCGCGAGGTAAGACTGGCACTAGGGCGTTATGGCTATTGGTGTGTTATATCGTGAAAAGCATTCCTTCATGCATGATCTTGAATCATTTTTCTGGGTGCTCTTCTGGATATGCATACACTACAATGGCCCTGGGAAGGGAAGGGTTGTCGAGCGCTTCGAGGAGTGGAACTATGTAAATACAGAGAAGCTGGGTGACAAGAAGAAAGGGGTGATTAGTGATGAAGGGGACTTTCTTAGAATTGCTGAGGAGAATTTCACTCCATACTACTTCAGATTTCTTGTGCACAGATGATGTTGCAGCTTCGCATGTTCGGAACATGGCCATATGCGAATGTATGGAGTATGGGATTGCAATGATGATGACTAACATATCAGAAAGACTTCAGTGCCCAAGTGTGCATGATCAAGCTATATTGCTTGGCATGTTATCTGGTGCCCAGAAGCTTCCTTTGTCCGCTTCTGGTTGATATTCCAATTCCTGAAAACCAAGCCTTGCCTTTTCATGGAGGGCAACATCACAGACTGCATCCCATACTGCCAGATGGGCAGAAACTATAGTGGGCAGTGAGACCATGTTTAGAGCAATGCAAGATAGAAGCACTCACCAGTCACCAGCATTCTTCCAGTCCATTCATTCAATTCCTTGGCAAGGATACAAGCCACATCAACCCTTCCATGGAAAACTGTGCCATGAATTCCCAGAGGTTTGTCTTTTGATTCTTCCTCCAGCAGCTGAACATCTCTGCTACCACCTCCATCCAAGCAGCTGACAAGATAAAGAGAGTAATGCAGAATCTAGCACTGAGATCAGCATGACTCTTCTCCAAGTTTTTGGGACAACTAACTAGAATCTTATCATCCTCTGCCAGCAACCAGTCCATCCAATTGCATATCCAGTCTTGATAATCTGGTCATCTTGTCAGCTTCAGTAATACTTGATGGCTCAGTGCACACTGACACTTCTCTTGTACCTCTCAAATCAAGAAGATACAATAGTTGCACAACTCTTCACCCCAATTAATCATGCTCTTCTGTTCCTCAATAAAGCAACACAGTAGCTCTTGCACATATGATAACTGTCTGGTGATACTGATATCTGTTGCAAACAGTGTCACAGCATTATATGCCCACATCTCTTTCCAGTTATTCTGTAGCTTCAGGCCACCATGCAGCCCATCAACCATGACCCTTAGAAATCAGTAAGGTGTCAGATACAGCACTCTCATAAAGCCAGTTTGGGTTTTTGTAAGAACCATGGCTGTGACAGCACCATTATCTGGATCCATGTCCCACCAGATCAGGTACAGCAGGTGGGACTGCCATGATGACCAGAAGTCAAGGCCAGGGACTTTCAAGCATACATACTCCCCAGGGCTTAGCTTCCACAGTCATAATAGGTGGAAGCTCAGCTTCACAGCACCTCTGTGCTTTACTACTTGTGCAGTCAGCAGTGGCTGGCCAGCCACAATGTTGCAGTACAAAAGACACAGCCAATGTACAACTGTCATGCTGCTCAGAAGGCAGCCTGCCAATATAACACACACAGTATCCATGGCCTGCAGCTGCTTCAGATGGAGTCTCACCATGACCACAGCTGCAATGCTGAGCAATATATAACCAAGAACCAAGATCTGATAAAACCATGAGCAAATCCACAGCAGCACAATGACAAAAAGCACTGCAAACATGATTGCAGCCTGAATATAGCAGTAAGCATACACATGTAATAAAGCAAGATGAGGCAAAGGCTTACCACAAAGCCAAAGCACAGAGCTCTGTTGCCAAGGTCAAAGACCATATCCCAAAAGACAGTGGTGATATGCAGGGCTGACTAGAGGACAGCCATGGCTCCAAAGACCTGGTGCAGAAGATGGTACACCTCAAGAAAGATTCTCAATAGGTCTGCAGCCATGCTAAACTGCAAAGTGAAAAACAAAGAAACAACATGAAGTAAGGTAAGAGTTCCTGTCCTTGAGCTTGCTTTATAATGATCTTGAATGCTGATAAAATTACAGGTGAACATACCAGCCCAATGCACAAGCCACCATATCATTTTGGTGTAGGTGATGGGTCCAAAGAACTGCTGACAACATATAAGATATGGTTGGAGCCTCCACTGGAAACAGGCCTGCATCACTCACTCACTGAGTATCAAGGAAAGGAAATGAAGGATCCAGTGATGCAGAGAAAGGCAGACCACAAGACTGGCGGCAACAGCAGCATATAGTGTCACAACATCCATAGTGCAAAAGGCAGAGCACAGGGGAAAACAGGATGGAAGCAGAGAGGATGAGCAGTGCAGGACCATTTAAATGGACTGCATGGACTCCAAATCTTATGACTGTGTCAAAGGCCACAGACTTCAAACATATGGTCGTGGCCCACGCCAGTGCCTCAAATCATGATTGAAGCGCCGAGCACTAATTATGGCAACAACTATTTTGAGAAACATCAGTTTCAAGTATCACTTCAAGCTATTTTTGGGCGAGCAACAATTGCAATAGCCACTTCAGAGGAACATATAAAAGAGCCTCATCTCAAGAGCTGAGATAGCTTTCCAACTCCAAACAATTCCCACCGCTCACCCAAACCCGAAACAGAAGAGAAAATACGAGGTCTCATGATGGCAGGACGTCTTGGCAAACGGAAGAGACTCAGCCGACCCAAGGACCACGACACAAAGAGGAGGGCCGCCAAGGCAGCCCGAGAGAGATTGCGGCGTGGGAGGCTGGCACTCTTCAAAAGATCTGACAGGTTATACCAAGATGCTTGCAAAACACAGGACATACATCTTTTCTGTTGCATTTTTGAGAAAAAAGCCAATGGGAAAGGAAAATATTTCACATACATCTCTCATTCAACATCATCTTGGCCTCCCACAAGAGAACAAGTAGTGAGTTTCAAGACCATTATTGAGGAGAGCCTCTGTTGACCTGTGTGTAAAATAAGGATGAGAACTTTCCACTTACCAACTATTATACACCCAAGGACTTTCTGAGGGAAGAGTCATGTGAGGAAGAGCCTCCAGAACCAACCCTCAAGCCACAGCAAAAATTGTTTGCGATCTCTAAACCCCCATCATTGGCGAGAGTTGAGCCTATGCTTCTACCACCAACCGTGGATGCGACTGGCCTTGGGATATGGGTAGAAGGCTAGACTGGCTCAAATGGTGTCCATATTGTGGTGCTTCGGCAGCTCACATTCTTTGGTTTTTCAGTCTCGGAGGGGCCGATCTCAAAACGGTGACCAGCTAGGAATTCAGTGCCGCGGCACAAGAAAGGTTGGTGGAAATGGGCGATGAGGTTTCTCCGGTCTTCATTGGGTTTATCTTGCGAGGATTTTCAGCTCTCGTACTCAGTCTCTCTCGAGTACTCCATATATACGTTTATTATTCCCATGAGTCGATGGTCATTTGCCGTGAAAGCCGTTGGGCACCCAGGCCGCAAAATGGTGTACTGAAGCTGTGGTTTCGCAACTATTTTTGTATAAAATGTAGAGTAGGATTGGGATTAAAAAGAACGGAACTATCTTTTCCTCACACTATGAAGGTAGAAATCTTGCAGGTCTGGATTGCACTCTTTTGCTTTCTGCTTTGCTGTCTTTTTAGACCAACCAGAGAAGGCAAGAGTCCTGGTAATCATAGAGGTGGTTGCGAGTACACCAAATTCATCCCATAGAAAGACTGCCATCTCATCCAGGTATAAACCCGGCTTATCAAACAATGCTCATGAAGTGTCTCTAATACACCAGGCACTCAAACAAAATTCATAGAGCTGACTGAAAACGGGCCGCCGGTGTGTTTTGCGATCGTGAAGAGCGCGGCGGGCTGAAGTGATTTCGGAGGCATGATTTCGGGCAAGGATGTGCTCAAGTTTGTACTTTGGGGAACCATAATTTATCGATAGGCTAGAGAGCCGGAAGCTGTTCAACAATGCCATTCTTCTTCTCAGCAACATACAGATGCTGGTTTCCCGGTGCAGTCGCAAAGTACAGAGATTGTCTGATGCCATTGCCTGAGAGTCTGCAGGCGCCAGTGGTTGCTGGTGTGACAATGCCCTGCTTCAGGACCCAGTCAGACACAGCATTGCCTTGCGAATCCAGCAGCTGTATCTCAACAGTGATTTGCTGCCGTCTGACCATTCCACCAGCCGTTGTTATTGGGATGTTTGCGCCAAACCCCAAGTAGTCTGGAGGGATGGCCAAAGCCAGGAGAGCTGTATTGAAGACTGTCAAGGTATTGCTTCCGGTGTCATTGAGCATTGTGATATCAATCGAGAACGCAGTGGATAGAAGGCCCCGGAACCGGCCTAATTCGTGCAAATATCTAACTGATTTAAGGTACGTATCAAACGTGTGTATTGCCGAGGAAATCCTCTTTAGAGATCTAAAATACTAACCTCGTGTCCGAGCCCTTGGGCCCGGTAGTAATTGTATACCGTGCGATGTGCGAGTTGCTGGTTCGAAGGCTGAAGGGGGGGTTGGATGTAAGTCAGCCAGTCAGCCTTCACAAGGATGGAGTAAATGAAGTAAAAAGCTTACACTTTTGGACATGGACTGAGGGGGCGCAGTAGACGGCTCTGGCACGACATCTGGAATCGTATTCTGTGAGGATAGTTGCTGGCCATAACCCTAGGTTGAAATGATAGTAAGCACAGGCAGTGGGTGGACAGATAATTGGGGAGGGGAAGGGAAATACCTCAACCCAGTATGGCCGCCGGAAATCGAGATCTCTATGGAGGACAACTTTGCCGTCCTGGATATATAAAAACCGTGCCGGAAGATCCCCTGCATGATACAGGTTGATAGCAGTCTGAAGATTTAGCTTCTGTGATTTACTGGTGGCAGGGTCATTGATCAGGTCTGCAGCTCTGCAATACGGCCTGGCACATCCCACTGGATGGGTTTGGGGCACACAGGCAGTGGGTTGAAAGGGCGGGACGACATAGTTTGCAGGATGGAGATTGAGATGGAGATGGGGATGAGGGTGGAAATGGGGATGGTGATGGTGATGTGGATGGGGATGAGGACGAGGATGGAGATGGACAGAGGATGAGGATGCGGACCGTGTTTGGGGCGGTTGGGATGAGGTCAGCGAGTACCGGGCGGAGCAACAATGTTCCTCCGCCAGCAATGATGATGAACGCATTCTTTAAAAAAGCCATAGGACCTCCCCTTTTGATGTAAGTTTGGGCCAGTGTAAGTTGCAAACCGGTAGTTAATCCCACTCCGAAACATGCCTTCAATGATGGAAGAAGATGACGACCGTGACCTTGCGGGTAAGCAGCAAAACACTCCGTCTTTCCTCCATTCAACCCCTCCTAACACCCACCCCCAGGGTCACAAGATGGCAGCTCTGACAACGACATGGACGAGACTATGAGAGATGCCGATGACATGGATGTCGATGCCGACCCTGAAAGCCCCTCCAACTCCAGCATGGCCTCCGAAAGCCAAAACGCGCAGAATCCGCAGGTCGTCCTGACACAACCCTCTCCATCAACAGCCACTCCCGACGCTTCCTTGCATTTGCGCCCCGTTCCCCGGCCCGAAGCAGTGACCGCCTCCACTTACGATATTGTGCCTACAACAGCAGCACCACACAGCACCTCGATAAATGCAGTGGCGGCCACGGCGGATATGCGCTGGGTGTTTAGTGGGGGATCTGATGGATACATTCGGAAGTTTAATTGGGCCGACTCCATCAACAGCAAGCTCATGTTGACTGTGGCCCAGAGGCATCCCTTTGTCGACAGCGTCGTGAAGGCCGGCGTTTTAATGACATACTGGGAGAACATGGATGGAAATGCGCTGTCGCCGGTCTACTCCTTGGCCCCGCAGTCAGAGGGACTCTGGCTCCTTTCCGGCCTGGAGTCCGGCGGTATTCGATTACAATCAGTACGGCACGACGAAGGAAAAGAAATCGCTCTTCTCCAGCAACATACTTCCGCTGTCTCCACTCTTTGCCTAACGGCGGATGAACAATCCTTGTTGTCTGGAAGCTGGGACAAGAAGGTCTTCGACTGGGACTTGAATACTGGACAAACCCGACGGACGTTCGGAGCCTCTGTTGGACAAATATCCGCTATCGAAATTCGACCAGAATCAGCCTTACCTGTGCCACAGGAAAGTGGAGAATACCCAATAATGAATGGTACATTTTCCTCTAAGGACTATGTGAAGACATCTGGCTCCAGCACACTGAATGGCGGAACGAATGCGCATGGCTCGGGACCAGAGTTGGGTCAATCGGCAACATCTCCTGCCGATTCTCTCTTCGAAGCTGATTCATTATTCGGAGACGATAACGCGACTGGCGACCCAGAGGTTCCTTCCGGAGGTGCTTTCGAGGCAGAGGCCGACGATGAAATGTCGCAAGCGATTACAAACGGCATACGGCAAAGTAGAGAGGAAGAGGAAGCTAATGCGCAAACGGAACCAGACGCTCAACTAAACGGGACTTTAAACCATCAATTCGCCTCTGACTCCGCGACCTTAGCAGGTACTCAGGAAGAAAAGCCACCATCTTTGCATGATGGCAATCTTCCCAATGGCACCATAGAATCCTTGACTAACGGCCTTCCCCATGCAGAAGACTTAGAGTCCTCAACTGCGTCAAAAACAATACCCGATTTATCTCCAGAGTCCGGCTCCAACATCGTTCGCGACACGACGTTCCTATGCGCATCCATCGACGGAACAATACGTGTCTGGGACCGTAGACAGCCAGATCCAATTGCCCGGATAGTGCCCCGAAACACACCACCGTGGTGTATGAATGCTTGCTGGTCACCAGACGGGAATTACATCTACGCCGGACGTCGCAACGGGACTGTGGAAGAGTATAGTTTACACAGAGGCCTGCGAGAAGCTCAGAGGACGTTTAAATTTCCTCAGGGCAGTGGCGCAGTGTCTGCGCTGAAGGCAATGCCGAATGGAAGGCATCTAATTTGGTATGTTGGCCTACTACGCTTCTCTGTCCTGCTCCTTCGCTACGTTTCATACCTTTATTGCGAGTTCTAGCAAGGCTCCAAGCTGACTGTCATAAGTGCATCCCACGACATCCTCCGTCTCTACGACCTCAAAGACGACCAGTCCACCCGCCCCTCCACGGTACCATTCCTTATCATCCCCGGTCACCGCACCGGCACTATTTCCCAGCTTTACCTTGACTCTGCGTGTAGATACTTGATTTCCACAAGCGGAAACAGAGGCTGGGAGGGTGCGACCACAGAAGTACTACTAGGCTATGAAATTGGAATTCCGCCACTTTGAGCGGCGTAACGCACAGTAGCGACCTGGATCTGGGGAGGGGCTAGGCGTTTCCGGGTTGGTTTATATTTGCTTTTTATATACCCCCCTTGCTTCCTACTGCGGCGTTGGTGATCGTGATTATTGGGCATCACAAAGGGAAATGGGCGTGGTAAGAGATTTTGAGTACGCGGATTTGTGAAATGCACCATGCCCACACCGTTGATATATGTTTGTACAGTAAGTACGGAGTAAATACGTACGAAACCATAGTACCATTATTTTACGATAAGAAGTCATGATCAAGGACGTCCCTAGAAAGAATAAATGAATTTCGTGCTCGCCAAGGTACTGCATAGATCCCGTTCCATAGATATCATCTTTTGTCCCGCTAGCTACTTAAAATACAAGATGCCTCCTCTCAGTTTCAGAACTCCCAACCTGTCAATCATCAAACCCATAATATGTAATATGGCGGAATAAATGGCCTAAAGAAAACCTTTAACTATACCGATGAAGCAAGTTGTTCAAAATCATAAAGTCGTCATTGTCTCACACACACAAAAAAGCCAAAAAAAAAAAAAAAAAAAGGAATAGATCAATCGCTCAAGTCAATTCCCTGACAAACGCCTTCCAAATTCTGCCTCCATTTCAAGTAAAACAAGCTACTTCGCTCCTGTAATCGATTCTTATTCTTTTCAAAATAAACGTATGCCGGCTCTTTTTGGCGCGCTCCATCCTTGTAGCCATCGAGCACGCCCATCACGGAATTCACATGATTCGATCGTATTGACGAGCCGAGTACATGGGTGCGACGCGATAGTATCCCAGGGCGAAGATACTTCGATGTAATGAGGACAGCTGGCGGCAAGTCGGCGTTTATAACAGTTAGTTCAGTGGGAATCCACGTCCTCACCCTATTCTTCATGTGTCTATCGAATAACAGCCGCCACCATGGCGATGGTGAAGAAGCTTCTGATGCCAGATCGTCCTTTTCTGGGATATTCATTAACCGATCGAGCTTTCCCGTGTCAACGGCCACCCCAGGAGCCCGCAAATACAGAATTCGCCCATAGGTTTGTAATTTGGCCGACGCTCTTTTCAACAAGCGCGTTATGGAGGGATGTCTATCCCTTGGGTCACTCATGTCTATTGCGTGTAAAATAACATTATATCGCTTGCTAGATGTTCGAAGGATGCGCAATGCTGCAGCGATATTGGCGGTCGGGGAACTCATGTCCCATGATTCTGGATAGATGATTATTCGGTCCGTGGCAAGAGTGCTGTTTGAAGCCAATATTTTAGCCAAAAGGAGCGTGGAACAGATATCCGCCGCGCTTGGTTTGGATAGAACTTGAAGATAGGCTTGCCTATTCGCAAGATTTATGTCTATGCTGCTGCCTATCGGAACCTGTTGGGAGTCCAATTTGTAATTCGGAAGGATGTCAAAAGGACCTGTATCTTTGAGCCCCTGCGGTGCAAACATGTTGCCTTTATCATTGGCAAAGCCATCTTCTCTCTGCCGTCCAGGCTCTGGCGAGATTGTGGCAACGGAAGTTGGAGTGGTAGTAGGTGTGTATCTAGGCAGGGCGGCTTTTATGTTGCGGACTGATTGCTGCTGCAGCACATAGCCTGATAGAAAGAGGAGAAACGTAAAAAGCCCGATGATTGACGATGATATTGCGACCGATATGGTGCCGGAGGTGACCAGGACCATGGCTCTGCTTAAGCTTCCAGTTTGTTGACGCTTCTACTTATCCCGACGGAATGGATAGAGGCGACATCGGCATCGAGGAAATCAAATTTGAAGCGTCTTTCATAAAGAGTCAGGTCTGGGTCCCGTTAGATATCCTCTTGTTGGATCTTTGCGACTATGCGATGATGAGATTCCCGGCGTCATTGTTTTCCTCAGCCCGGTTGCCCGGCCAACAGCCTTATCGATAAAATCCAAGCCTTATCGTTAAAATACGGTATCAAAGTTACGACAACGTAAAATTCGCAGCTTCAAAGCAGCTCAGCCGGTTGAAACCCATCCACTTCGACTCAACGCCCAGTGCTCTAGAAACCGATCTCTCCCATCTATTACCATTCGAACCAGATGGCTACCCACCGCGCCGATGCCAGCGCCCTCCTCGACAACCGTGGCTATACCGGCCCCTTAGTCCGCGGCGTCAATCCCGCCACTCTCTTCGAAAAAGCAGTCCGCGACCGCATCACAGACTCGTACTACTGGAAAGAGCAATGTTTCGGCCTAAATGCTGCCACTCTCTGCGACCGAGCTGTTGAACTTGGTTATATTGGTGGAACGTACGGTGCCAACCAGAAGCCGACGCCGTTTCTCTGTCTGGCGTTTAAGCTGCTGCAGCTTGCGCCGGAGAGGGAGGTTGTGCTCGAATATTTGAACTTTCATGACCCGGCAGAGGATGACGATGATAATGGTGATGAGGATGGTGGTGATGGAGCAGCGGTGTTGAAGTCAGTGGGGGATTTTAAGTACCTACGTGCGCTTGCGGCCTTTTACATTCGGTTGACGTTTGAGCCGGTGGAGGTATATAATGTTCTTGAGCCGTTGTTGTCGGATTATAGGAAGCTGAAGAGAAGAACAAAGGATGGGTTTGTCTTGACATATATGGATCAGTTCGTGGACGACCTGCTTAACAAAGATCGCGTATGTGGTACAAGTCTGTGGAAGCTGCCTGCCAGGCGGATTTTGGAGGATTTGGATATGCTGGAGGAGAGAGTGAGCCCACTGGGCGAAGAGCTAGAAGATATCGATAGGGACAGCGACCAAGATGAGAACGGAGAAGTGAGTGAAAGGGAATCGCAACGGGGAGATGATTGAGCGCGGAGATTATCACCTATGTCTTGATTCCTATGCTCGCCGCCACGCCCTGAGCCAGAGATTCACACGACGAAGATCCCCAAGGACCTGAAATCTCGAGCACGGAGAAATCTCGAGCACTTCATTGAACCAGCATCCTCACACACCTTGCAGTGACCCCTCGCAAAGCCCGCAAATATATATATTGGAAGGAGGACACCTATATTTGGCTTGACGCGGTTCGCGACTCGGGGGACTCAGTGCTCCACTGCAGCTTCTCTATCGGCTTTTACTGAAACTCGATAGCTAAGCCTGTTTCTCAAACTTCTAATGAAAGGTGGACGTGATCGAGCGACATAACCTTAAAACTACTAGGGCTGGTAGTCTCTTGTCATTGTCGCAAACCCTCCTTGGAGAAACGTTTAAAAATCGAACAGGGTGCCATTTGCTTTCGGTATTAACTGGATGCAAAGGATATATGCAGAAAAACCACATGTTTTGATGGTCTATCTCTTGTTCCATCCAATATCCAAAATATTCCAATCTTCGCCGTACGTTCCGAGAATAATCATTTATACAAGACATACGGGCTTCATCCCCTACATATCAAACAAATCCGTCAAAAATTCAAACTCCCTACCTGATGGTTAAGAAAAGAAAAAAAAGGAAACAAACACAACGTAAAAGACGCCCAAAAGGAGCTTAAAACCCTTGCTGGCGGTGCCATTTCTCCTCCCATCCCTTAAAATATGGACTATCCTCCAGAGTCGTAACATTCCAGTCCTTCTCAATGATACCTTTCTCCTCCTGCTCTTTCGCCCACTGGTCCAAGGCTGGCAACACTACATGCTCTACATGCCATGTATTCTTATATTCCATAATATTTCTCTTCCCCTCCCTCAGAATCTTCGCCACAAGCGCTGGAATGCCTGGCTCGTCACGGAACTCTGTTACAGGCGTGAAAAGTGCCTTGAAGTTAAATATGATGGAGCCAGAGAGTGGGAGACGACGGAGAGTTTGCCAGTCGACGCGAAGGTAGCAAGAAGAGAGCTGGAGGGAGTCGGACTGGGAAAGTCGGTGGAGTTCATGAGGGTCACCAGGAGGCATGAAGAGCGGTTGTTCGACTTCAAGTCCCCATGAGCCACGCTGGATGGGCTTATCAGTTGGCATTTTGGCAAAGTACCTATATAGTTAGGTTAGCAAATAAATAATGCACCATTTGGGACATGCGAACGTACCGATCCATAGAGAACTGCATCTTCTCCTTATAGTCTGGAATAGGCTCGTGGATCTCATGTAGCTGCATGCCCATTTTCGTAGTCAAATTCCATCCCAGGGAAGAGCATATCGACCCTGCCCGTAAGACATAGTTTCCAGTTTTGTCGTCTCTCAGCATTATCCCAAAGTCCTCAGGGACATTATCCATCAAGAAAACAAGGGGGTCCTTCGTATGAAGGTCCTCGACTGTATCAAGAATGCCATTTGTGAAATACCTTTTGTCCTCCGAAAGAGAAAAGTATCGTGGGTACCTGGCGCAGAGGAACTGTATCACCATCTCCATGAGCTCCTTGCACGCCAGCTCAGAACCCGGAAGTTTATCGAGGACAGACTTGCCATGTTTGGCATGTAATATTTTTCGGTGCGCAACACGGCTCTTGTATGTATTCTCGAGTTCAAGCCACCAATCTGGCTCCATCTTCGTGAGCGCTTTACTCATCATGTCAGCGAACTTCAACGAAACAGGAGTATGCACAGAACATGCTTACACATAGTTTGATGATAATTCCAACGGAATGGTCGATATGGTCTGGGCAGAGCTTTATCGATATCGAACTCCTCATAAACGCTCGGCAAAGGAATACCGCTCAAAGTTGCATAGTCGGGGAAGTTCCCCAAAGCTCTAATTTCGTCGGTGGAGAATCCTGGGGGAGTAAATTTAACTTCCGTACAAGTCCGATAATTTGCTGTCAGTGGCAGAATCGATCGTACCACATCGGAATCGCCCAGATCTTTCGGAGCGAGGACGTCTTTAACTGAAATGCCGGTCCTAGCAACATCGTACAGTGCTTCCCGGCGCAGGGGCGGTAGAACATCCCCATAAAGTGGGCCGGAAGGCTGCTTCTCAGGGGCAAGGTCTCGAGGAGGAGTTCCTGCCGATGAAACCTTTCGACCACGGGTTTTTAATCCATAAACAAGGCGCTCGCGCTGCGTTTTATGGAGGAATAGATATGTTGCCGTAATGGCAACCAAGATGCCCCCGAAAACAAAAATTGAAGTGTCCATTGTTGTCAGAAAGTTTATCTGTGCTGGTATTTGTTATCAGGCTTGGGTCTAGCTCAAGACATTAGAAAATGAGATGCAAGGCAACAGGCGCAGGATTGTAGCAGAAGCAAAACGTAAAAGATGGCGCCCGGTTTGTCAGAGCATTCCCGTGAGCTGTAGATGGTAGAATGGGATAATTGAAGCAGGTGGGAGGAGCTCCAGCGATGTATGTGACCAGGATAGGACGACACCTATTTACTTCGCATGGAGCGCAAGAAGCCTTGGGAAAGGGCTAGGGCATAAATGAGAAGGGGCGCACAACTCCCGGACGAGTTGATAGAAGACTAGGCCGGGATGACAAAGATGAAGGTCGATGTTGCACAAGGCTCGAAGCTTGACGGACATGATGCGTACGATCCAGTGGGATATCACGGTATTTTTATCTTTCAAGCAGGCAGTAAGGTTAGATGAGCCATGCGACGAGTGTGGTAGATACATTCGTATCTCCCTCAAGATATTATCAAACAAGTCACCTTATCATGGTGGATAAGGGTCGTGTACCCCGGGGGGGGAAGAGGCGAGCATCATTGCCATCGTGCCCTTCCCCGCAACGTCGAGCACAGCAGAGCGAAGGCTTCAATAAGCTAACCAGCTACCAAATGAAGATGAGGATTCCGGTGCGACGGTTAACCAGATAGCGATGCGTCCGTCTCAAGATCAGGCGGCGCGGTGGTGAGCGGGAGGATGTCGTGGCCGCATTGGGGAAAGGTTCGCATGTCCGCCGAGCGCGCACATCCCGAAACGGCAAAACTATCCCGACAAATCAGAACGCCATCCATCTCCGTCGCGGGGACCGAGGGCATCGACTGCGACGTTCTATTATATGATGAATGTCAATTCTGGTCGATTTACAACAGTCTAACGGCAACATCCCTACTATACAAGCAGTGTCGAAACAAAAAAAACACGGCTAGCAACATTTCATATCGTTCCGATCGTCATGCATGATTCGTCCATACTCCAAAAGGAGTCTCCAGAACGTCAGCTTAAAGTCTTCCTTTCGAAAGGCTTTTCCCATCCATTCCCGGCTGTTGCTGGCAACTTTCTTTCCCAGCTCTTTGCCCTCCGGCTCATGGACCAGATATCGGACCATCTCCGGGAGATCCGTCAGATTCATATTCACGGGCAGGTAGTGAACCCAAGGAGCCAGGCGGTCGTCATGCCATTCCTGGAGAATGGTTTGCTTGAGCACGGCGGATTTTGAGCGAAGAAGGCGGTAATATCGTCCGCTTAGGCCATTGCCGTCGATATCTAGGTTGTATCGTGACAGGTAGCCCGCTCCGAGGCTGTCTCGATTGGACGATGTGTTAAAAGCCGCTTCTTGGTCCTTACATGCGTCATCATCGCACTGGATCACGCTCGAGATCCGCACTTTGAGGGATGAAGAGATCTCAGATATCGTTGAATTGTACGCCTGCCATGTGTAAGGGGCCTCGGCAGCTTCACTGCCCACTGGCGCTTTCACTTTCTTCATGAGCTGGATGGTTCGATCTTTATCCTTTACCATCAAGCCAAGTCTCTGTCGCTGGAAGAGTTTCCAGTTCTCCATCGTTGTACGTCCGCCTGTGGTGGAACCTACCCAGTATAGCGTGTCTTCTTTCTCCTCCCAGTCCATATCCTCTTGCTCCTTGTACTCATGCATGTCGACCTTAGCATCATACCACGGAGCTGGGTAGAGAACATCCTGAAAAGATGATGGTTTTGCGGTTGAGAAAATTGGGAAGAGCGAATGGGCCAAATCAAGCGTTTCGGGATGTCTAAGAAAGGCATGTAGGTCTCGGAGCTCAGGAGCAAAGCATACATCTTTGCTCATGCTGACATTCGAAAGGAAGCCGAGCTCCGACATGGTGTACGATGATGGGGGCTTGGAGAACTGTCGCGCTGGAGACTCTACTGGGCATGACAAAACCAGGACATCCCACGGATTTTGGCTCCCCAACTTAAGAAAATTGACGGATTGACCAAGCTTTTCATTTTCGCTGGGTTGAACTACGGAATTGTTCCGTGCGCGCTCGATTGCCTTGTCCAAAATGTCATGAGGGACGACCATTTTTGGCTCATCAAAGCAGTTGACCGCGAAAACAAAATCGGACAAAGTCTCCAGCATTTCTGCGGTGAACCAGCTCCGTACTTGGGATCCCACCCATTGAGCAGCCTCAGCCATAGAATACGAGGCTCGATGGCCTTTGACCTCAAAACGTATCAAAGACCTGTCGCCGGCTGCAAAAGCGGACTTTACTCTACCGCGAAGGTCTGATGGAGATACACCCCAAAATGGCTCAAGTCCTCTCATAATGATATCGAATTCATCAATCAAAACAAAGTTCTGTCGGCGAGCAGCTTCAAACCATTTATCGAAATGGGGTGGAGGTGCTCGGTGGTATCTGCGGATGTATTCTGTTATGGCATCCTCTAGAGTTTCCGACTGCCGCGAAAGCGTCTTTGTGAAAGCAGCCTCCGCTTCAAAAGCTAGTCTTTCAATAGGGTGCATACCGGACGTTCCGGCCTGCGGTGGGGTGGGAACGTTTTTCACGACGGGTCGCGGAAAATGATGGATACTACGAATTATACCAATGATGCTAGGAAGGAGTAGAACGAGGACAATTAGCTGACCTTGGGATCGGAAATATGCAGGCAAGCCTAAAAGACACTGCACGACAGAAACCAGGGAGACTGTTGCTGCAGTTAAACTCTGAGGCGAAGTACCGATGAGGCTTTGTACGCTTGTTGTGGAAAAAGCCTCCAAAGTCGAGGAGGAGACCGTGCATCCGAATGAAATCTAAAGAATAGTAAGCATAAGCACAGAGTTATTCCACTAAAAGCAGAAAAAACACACCAGAAGTAACACAACAGCTGTCTCCAAAGCCAGAATCAAAGCCTGTCCAGCGGCCGCAAGCGAAAGATTTATCCGAGGAGGTAGCACAACCATGAAAATGGTTGTGATACTTAGGACTCGGAAAGCTAACGCCTCAAGACGAACAATCGTCCGTAGCGTTCCGCTCTGCTCATCATTCGAACGAATGCCATAATTTCCATTGCTTGAAAGCAAAACGAAACTAGCTGTCCGCGAAACTACAAATCCAATGCTAACGATATAGGGTGCCATTTTCGCAGAGGAGGCGAAAGAGAGGAGCGTAGAAGCGCAAAGCCCCACTGCCGTCATCCCGATAGCTTTGAACCATGATGGCGAGCTAGATTTTGTGGGTTGTTCGCTGGCAGCCCCGGGGATTGGGAGCACGGACTCAGGTCCTGCCGACTTTTGCAACAGGAACAGATACACCAGGCTGGATACTAAAGGCTTCACGACATAAAAGTCAGCAACATGTTTTTGCGTCCAGCAATGGTTTCCATGAGAAGCAGCAACACTATAAATACGGATAAACGGAATGGGAGTATCAGACCAACCACCAGTTTGTCTCAAAAAATAATCCTAGACTTCGCGACACAGACAGGAAAAAGGCAGCAATCCATAGCTTCCAGCTTACTGTCGTGTTGGCGCTCTCTGGCTGATCATGAATCTGGCTCGAAGTCCCTCCACTACTTCTGCTGGTATGATGTCGGAAAGCCCACAGAGCGACAAAGAGCCCGCACCAACACAGCCATTCCGTCCGAAGGTCCGTTTTCCACCGAGTACTGATAGAGATGCCCTCTGCGACCAGGCTGGTGAAAACGCCACTAATTAAAAGAAGGGAGATGGACTTCATGAGTTCGACGTCTCATTGCATTTCCGAACTCCCAACATAATCGCATTCATGCGCTCCGTAGGGAATGATAGGCCTGAACCAAGAGCTTTCTCTCTGTCCATGACAGGGTGGCATCAGCCGCTCAGGCCCTGGAGGGAGAGTTTTGCTTTGTAATATGCGTTTCGAGATCGTCACCCAAACATCCTTGCGCATGACAAACGGTGTTTGCAACATCGACTGGCGCTGAGTCGCTGACCCCTGCTAGCTCTCCCTCTTTTTATGGAGCCAACAGCTTGGTCCGCTGCTGATTTGTGGTTCTGCACGGGAGCACCGCGCTCGGCTCCGGACGGGCTAGCGGGCCAACATCTAACCCACCAACACGATTGGCCCTATCCAAAACTGCAGCAGGGGAATTGGGCATCGCCTTCGGTCATTAATATTGAAATCTGTTAGTTCGCTTGTGGATGACCCCAAAAGAGACGAAGACTTGCCAAAATCAGAGTTTATGGCGTCGCCCCCTTTCGGATTGTTTAGTGGCTATGGAGCCTCTAAAACAGCCCGGGGCCGCAAGGCTGGTTGGAATTTTTGGTCCTGGAGAGAGGACTTTCTGCTTCATTCCCGCTATCCTGGGCCTGGGGGACTCTTCCTCGTGTGGATAATATCAACACGCTAAGAGGTTCTGATCTCGGCCCACCCCAGCACACTTTTTGGTGTATCTCTTTCTCAACTTTCTCGTCCTTCTCCATATGAACGTGAGATAACAAGTGCTCGTTCAGTCACTCGTTGGCGAAGATATTGAGTTCTCAACGCCGGTCTCGTGAGCAAGAAAACGAGGCCGACCGCTCACTATGAATCTAACTCCTTTGCTTTGGATTGCCTGTCTTCGTGTCGGCTTGGTATTTGGTGCGGCAAATTTTGCAGTTCCATGGAGCTCGACCAAATATGGGCCTGACGGACCCTGGCAGGCAGTTAAGGTATCTGTGGGAGGGGTGGATGAAACTCTGCGTTACAATCTCCAGTCCACAGATTTGGATCTTTACCCGGGCTCAAGATACGCGTCGCAGATTCTGGTTCCCGAGGCATGCGAACCTCATGAAAGAGATGGAATCTGCGGCAAAGGGGGCGAGTGGGATATCACAGCGAAATCGACAATGGCCATCAGTTGGCCAGGCTCTTATGAAAACCCTCCAATGAACCAGACCAGTGGAGAGTGCGATTTCAATATCCAAGGGCTTACGATCAACGATATCACGGTGTGGAATACAAGCCTAGTCGCTGTCGACAATGTGACCATCACCACGGCAAAAGGCATTACCTACGGCCCACCCGTTGGCCTGCTGGCTCTTGGAGGCGACAAAACTGTACAAGAATTTACGACAAGCTCCTCGAGAACGGGTGCATTGCGCACTTATATCTACCCCGGAGGTCTGTATGATCAGGATATCATACCGTCGTATTCATACACGTTGCAAATAGGGTCTGCAGCCCACGACTATGTTGGCTCATTGGTGTTTGGCGGATACGACAAAGGAAGAATCATCGGGCCATATACAACCTCCGCCGAAACTACATTTCGCCTCCTCGATATCGGAATCGGTGTCCAAACCGGCGGCTCTCCATTCCCTTTTAAGAAGAAAGACAACCTGTTGGTTACCGGTACATCCTCCGATGACCATGTTACCGTTTACCCGGACGCGACATTGCCGTATATGTTTTTGCCTGCACAAACCTGCGAAGAAATTGTGAAGCACCTGCCAGTTGAGTGGGATTCAGAATTAAGCTATTATCTGTGGAAAACGGATGATCCTCTTTATAAGTCGATAACGTCGTCGCCTGCCTATCTTAGCTTCACCTTTCCTCCCGCGAGCGGTGCGGAGGATAATGTGGTCATTAAAGTTCCCTTTGCGCTACTAAATCTCACCCTCGAGTCACCGATTACGGAGTCACCGAAAATATATTTTCCATGCTACCCCTTTAGCCTCACAGAGAATGATGATAACTATCACCTTGGGCGAGCTTTTCTCCAGGCCGCTTTTCTTGGGAGAAACTGGTTATCAAAAATGACGTGGCTCGCGCAGGCTCCCGGGCCAGGCAGCCAGCGTGAAGGCCTGGGTAAACAACTTGAAGACATTCCCGACCGCGCCAACACACTTTCATATTTTGACCCCGAAGGCCAGTTTCAGAGATCATGGGAGAATTATTGGCAACCTTTGGAACGTGATTTATCACCGCAATCACCCGAATCGACGCCGGGCTCTCCGACCGACGACAAGGATGACAGCAGTCTCGGCACCGGGGCGAAGGTCGGCATTGCTATAGGAGCCATTGTAGGAGCTCTTATTATTCTTGGGGCTATATTCTACTTCAAACGGCGGAGCAAGCGCCCCGTTATGGGGCCAAGTCACACGTTTACTCCAGTGGAACAAGGAAAAGAGCAGCCAATTCAATACTATGGGGGACCCGCAGTCGAGATTCAAGGCTCAGAGCCGACGAGGTATGAGATGGATGCTGGCACGCGGTAACAAGGGAATATTTGGAAGAAGCAGATCAAGATGGATAGATGGAGTATGAGAAAAGATGCTGGCACTTGGTACATTCAATGTAGATACATAATATCCGGACCTAAATCGTCCATCGCTATACGCTAATTTTGTATGATTTTTTGATTCTATTCGCGACCGGAGTTATAGGGCACAGAAATCGTGAGTTATGAGTATATACATGCGGAGTACTTCATGGGAAAAATTTTACTTAGTTTGTGATTGTGGGAAGTGTTTCCTCAGTTCTCTGTCGCGTGCTCGAGGTGTGCAGGCCAGCTGTGAATTGTGCTTTGCATGAAGATACTGTAGCCCACACAGGCTGGACATGAGATTTCAGGAAGTTCTATGAGAGGCAGGACTAAAGGGATTAGTGCGATTGAACAACCATACTAAACTGCCATGAATTGCGAATGCCCACTGAACCGAGTGAGCAACCGCGATGATGAGGTTGTATCCATGGATAAAGCAGCTAACAATCTTCTCCAAAATAGCTTTTCGCTGAAAGTGCTCGAACTAACGAGCTCCCTTGGCGGGAAGCCGTCTTGGGTCGCCACGATTTGCTGTAGTTATCGAGTTTGTCTCTCGCCTTGGCCAAATTGTCCAACTGGTCGAATTTGTCTCCACAGAAAAGACCTGGCAAACCTGGCTCACACGATCCCGAATTGAAAGAAACAGCACTGCGTATCCCAGGTACTCAAGACGATAAACAAGAAGTAAGCATCTGCCGGATTCTCGGTTCCCTGTCGGGGTTGAATGACCTCTTGCTGTTGTCAGAAATCAACTCACTGGTGAGCCGAAGGAGTTAGTTTGTCAGGGAGACCCAGCAAGCTTGTAAGTAATAGCCTGCTGGCAGCTGTCTCTTAACTAGCCGGATCTCAGCGATCCATTTCTGATGATCACCTAGATCTCTGCTGGCCACGGCTCACGACAGAGGAAGACCAAGAGGCAGAATGCGCTGATCCACGCTGTCATCGATGAATCACTCGTTCGGTCCGTATTCCATGAAATCTCTCAAAACTAATGCAAGAAAGGAGAGCCTCCTTCCGAATAGTGCGGACGCCACACTAGTGGAACTGGCGAGGATCAGTGCAGTATGACAGAAAGTACACAAATATCAGTCACCTTTCATGAGTTGCTTACGAGGTTGAAGTTTCATTCCCATCCCCTCTAATTGATTCCTTTAGCCTCTGAGTACGGAGGTATTATGATAGCTGTTGGCTATCAGTGAGCAGCCCGTGCACCATCAATTAGTCCAGTTAGACATTCACATTTTTGAATGTCATTCCTCCCTTACCTAGTTATGTATAACTACAGAAGATATGGTTACAAAGGTCCTCCAACATTTTCTCTGCCTTTGTTCGGATCACGTACGGGGTATTGCTGTGAATGATCAATGGCAGGCATCTTCCCAAAGATAAACAAGAAAATCATGGCACATGATCAAAAACCCCAGCTCCAATGCTTTAATGCCCTTGAAGCATTTGGGCAGACATCCACTTCGGATATCCTCACTGCGCAGATAGATACCCTTGCTGTACTCAATAGGGTCCTACGCTCCTTGCACGGCTGAATGCTTGATAGATTTCCTAAGGAAAAAGCCAGTTGCCCACACCTTGACACCTTCATGACTAGGCAAACTGCACTAATAATCATGAAGGTTCTCTCAGACATGAACATCCCCACAGGAGCATCCTCTCATTCTTTATCAGTACAATCCAAAATTCTCATTCTAACAATGATGCTTCCTGTTATGGAGTTGCTTCCTTTGCCTAGGCTATCCGCCTCTTACCAAATTGTCACTTCTTCCTATTGTCACTCTCACTTCATGATGCTACTGAATTCACTTTAACATTTTATTTCACTTAAAAACCTTGCTCCAATGAACCTGGCAAGCCTATATCTGCATAAGCAGCAAGCATATTAAGATATTTAGGCTCTTTTCAAGGCAGTAAGTAAGTATGATGCCCTGCTTGTACGTTATTCTAATGGTTATATTTCTATACAGAGTACTACTTCAATTCATGGCTCCCCAAGCATAAAGCCTGATTGTCAACTGAGATAGCATATCAAAGGCAAAGTTATGCTCCATAAGGCAAATACTAGGACTTGTCAGAGCAACTTGCCTCCTATCAATACAGCTAATCATTGATATAGGCTATTTTGCTTGTTCTGACTGTTCTCTGATTTTGCTCAGCTTCAACATTAATCAGATTTACAGCTGAAAATCCATTGTGTTCTCTGCTTCAATATGCAATCATGCGAAGCCACTTACCTACATCAAAACAGGGGGCCTACAATGAATAAAGAGGTTGTGGGCCTAGAGAGGTTTGTCAACAGCCAAGAGCATCAGCTGTTCTAGAATGGTTCCAGAATCAACTCTTGCGCCATCCCCCCAACATACCCATGATATTTTCCATCAGGTGAACTTTGATTCTTATTAACAAGTTCTGTTCAAATTGCTGATGTGTGTGTATAGCTCACTGAGTCCCACAATGATCATGTTTGTAATACAATTGCATTATTTACTTCAAAAGGCTTGATCAGTGACCGCACATTGACATTACCTATGAAGAAAGGTTTATCCAGTACTTTACAACAAGTATCTGGATGGGCTGACCACAAAGCACAAGAAGAGGTTCATGTTGTGAATTTGTAGTCCTCTTCATGTCATGTCCAATTTCTCTTTATTAGCTTTAGCCTTTGCATAATTATCTTCAATACTCAGAAGATAGTCTTCATAGTTGATCATCAATTGTCCTTGGCCCACCAAAAGCACAGTTGTTGACATCTCAAACCCAGCACACTAAAAATCATTATTAGCAATAATGCTCAATGGGCATTCTTTATACTTATTGCTAGAGAACTCAAATGTTTAACAGACTTGTTCATATACATGTGGTGCTTGCTGGTCAATTCATTCCGCAAGCAATGGCTTAATTTATCATCTCACAGATCACAAGTGGGAGCAAGTTGGGTACAGCTTTTTGGAAAAACCACCTCACTCTTGACAAGATTGTTACAGTTTACTGAATGGCTTCAGCCTGTTCAATGGCTCAGGCTCTCAGCAGTATATTAAGTCAGCTTGAATTGAGAACAAGGAATAGAGCTGTCAAAATAATTAACTTTTTCATAGTACTATGGCTCGCAGAGCGTATTGAATGACATATACTAAGATATTGTCTTGCTAGCCTCAGGCAAATTGCCACTAGGAGATAAGAGACATGCATTGGCAGGAAAGAACCTCCTATTTTCACTGAATGCACTTCTGATGCTGCACCAAAAAGTGCAACAATTATCTCATCAAATGCCAACAATGTTGTTTTCCAAAGGAATTGTTGGTTAAGAAGCCCCCATACTGGCAAGTACATATCTATTCAAAATTGAATTTAAATCCACTAAGGGATTGCTCTCTGAAGATATATTACTGGTTGCCTGTTTTCGCACTGCAGTGATTGCATCATGGATAGGCGCCCAACTGGCCAGCATTCATATGTTGCCCTTCAATCACTTGTGGTGGGGATTGACTCTTAGTAAAGCAGGCATTGTCATCTGCATCTCATTCAAGCCTGAGGAGTTCCGCAACTTCACCAACTTTGAGCCCGCGGGCTTTGGTTTAGGATCTCTTGTGTGCCAACTTTCATCCTAAGAAAAGATCATGAGATATAATAGCTGAGCTGTTGAAAGCTTAATGCAAACATAGGTTTTTGGGTTGAATTACTGTAAGGTGTGCTAACCTCCTTAAACTTGGCTGCTTGAATCCCATCACCCCGAATGCCTCGCGTCTGATAACATACCCCAGTGACAGATGGAATGAAAGAAAAAAAAAAGAAAACCCGCCATTGGAATCTGAAAAAAGGCAGAAGTTGATAAGCAGGAATGTGCTCTAGCAGCTGCATCTACTGGATCCTACTGTGTCAGTAAGACTAGGTCATGCTGAACTGATTATACAGCTCTCTTGTGGGCTGGTTCCATGGATTAATGTATTGTTATGATTCCTGTTGGACCATACACCATAAGTCATTAACATATTACTGAAAGAATACATCAAGGGTTGCCTAATGTTATATAGTTGGGAGGCATCTTGAATATCTGCGCATCATATCAAGGCCTGCTTGGTGAACTGATAAACAATCTTGGAAATGGCATACAATGATGGACAGCAGATGGCTACATGATGATGTCCAGACCTGTAACTTTTCAACTTCAGGGACACCTGACCCATACATGAAATTATAATATCATTCATTATAGGTCTTATGCAGTCAGAGACCATGAAGATGGATTTATCTCATATCAGGAGATTTAAAACTAATAAGGATAGTTTGAACAAGGAAAAAAAATAAAGAAAATCAAAAGAATGTCAAGGCAATGGACCCCATTTTCTTACTTGGAAGTGGCCCATATACTTCCACATTCCCTGACACAAGCAGACCCAAATTCCAAATTGGTAAGCCACCTTGTCAAATAGAGACCCTTCCCATGCTAACAACACACATAGGATGATTCCAAAATGGTTGAACTCATGATTCTCAACATTTTAACTATGATCATTTTCATATCTCCTTGACAGTATCAATATTGACCGGCCGTCCAATACTATAAGTTTCACTCAAGAATTTCATCGGGATTTCAGCAATTTTTGATATTTACGGAGTATCTTGAACCTATTTCAGGCCAGGAGCATACTCACTGAATTGAGAGCCTCCTCACTTTTTACCCCACAGAAGCTGATGCAGACCTTCTATTTAATGAAAAATTAGCCAGAAAAGAATATCCTATCTTTTCTTTTCTTGAAGGATCCTAAGACTGAAGGCAGTATTACTACCATTGTTTTCAAGGACAAAAGCCAGAACACAGATCACCCGGACCTCTTATGAGGGCAGCACTAAATCCCTAACAGAAAGAAAAGGGTGGCAGGAAGCAGAAGAGCATGTGTTTTCCCATGGAATCACACAACTGTCCTAAGTTTCAAATTCTGTCACCTTCTGTACAACATTTTAACAAAAGTGTCGACTTGGTCGTTGCAAGCGCCGAAAGGGAAGCGGACAATGTTGCTTGACAAGCTGGGTTGGCCGCCTCATCCTACCATGTGACTAAGCAAAGTTCATCTTACATGTAAATTACTGGTACTTACTGGTAATATTACAGACTGAAGTAACGTGGCAGATTTACAGAGTACTCTGTACGGAGTACTCCGTACAGATTAGGGGGATTGAGGAAGGTTCGGGTATTAGGTGCTAGGCCGGGGGGTTTGGGGGTTAGGGGGTTAGGGGAAGTGGCGATTTGTAAGTTTGGTACTGAAACTTACATTATGTTACAGATGGTCAGGTCAACTTGGGATGAGCTCATCGTATCATATGTTGATCTGTACGCATGGCGGAAAGAGATAGTATACTCCAAGGACACATAGTATACATAAAGACAGAATGGTCATGATGAGTAGAAGCATTGTGTGCAACTTGTGGGGTCCGGTATGATCTGCTCAGGAGTGACGAGTAGCGGCGTGTAAAAACATGGTCTTAAGGTACCCTAAAGGGGCATGCTCTTGGGGCAAACCACAACTGAAAGGAATCTTTTTGAGCGGAAATCGATTCTTTCGATATTGCCATCGTAAAAACTTGAGACTGAGAGACATTTGTCTTTGTAGTTGGAAACGATAATTAGCTCATGTTTGCATCATTTCTCAAAAAATTCCCCTCAATACATTAAATTATCTGTCAAGATCATAAATATCGCGGACTTATGGAGGGGATGCTCTAGATGACATGTAACGATCTCCGCAAAGCAACAGTCTGGATTGCAATCCTCAGACAAATCCTCTACTGTGAAACGATGAATGGAAGAATTGGCGAGCCAATTCCTTGGCCTCTTTGCTTTTTGAGAACCGTTCAGCCAGCCATTTCTGCAGATGCAAGCAACAAAAAGGATATAGTCGCAGAGGGTCGCTTAGCAAAATCGGGGCCAAGAGAAGAGTGGCGATTGTTCATGTTGCAGGTCGGCACTCGTTCTCGGAGCAGCGCCGGGATGCGTTTCATGAAACAAAGATCGATGGCGTAACCCAAGTGCCGAATTTGAATCTCTCCCTTCACCAATGCTTCGTCTCTTCCAATCCTATTTTGAGACTCTTTAAGCGCTTATAGGCCGTATCAGAAGGATGGGATTTGTGGACTATCGCTGGACAAGCAGAGCCGTTAGGATGCATGGCGGTGTGACTAAGTAACTGCTGACCAGCTAATCTGCGGTAGCCAAATATGAGTACATAGGTGAAACAGTGTTGAGCCTGTGAATTTGAATTCAAAATATCAATTTGGAGAGGCGTATGTATCAAACACACAGCATGCATGGGTGATGAGGAGGGTAATGTACCAAGTTCGGGGGTATGGAAGCCCTGTTTGCGTGATGTAACTCTGGAGTGCTTATCCCGAACAGCATTGCAAAAAAATCAAGTCAGAGGGAGGCCAGCCCTCTGCCAAATGTGAGGAATTGCTGCTGCTGATTGGTGGTGCGGACCAGTCGGGGAGCGGCTCGGGGGGATGATTGGGACCGAATCATAACCGAGGAAAGGAGTACATCTCCAGTGTCTTTAGCCAGTAACTTGTTGCTCATCTTGCGAAAAGAGGGCATGGGATAGGAATTAGAGCTCAGGCGCCATGTGATGAGACCAGCAGGTTGACAAGTTGGTTACATTGTTCAAGATCTCCGAAAGGTAGATGAGACCAGAACAGGTCAGAAAAGGTCATCCATCCTTCATCCGGGCTGATGAACTTCCGTTTTGCCGTCAGTGTCATGACTTGATGATCTTAAAATATGGTATCGTCACCTCACAGAAGGTAACACCTACATATTCCAGGCTCCTCTCAAGGTACTCCTCTTATTGCATGTATACATACAGTTATCCCTTCAGCATACATAAAAATGTCAGCCTTTCCCTGCAGATACATAGGTACAGGCACCGACACCGTTGGACAGGCAGTCACATGGCACTGACGTCCACTTGCATTGGATGCTTTATTTCTTTTCTTTTTTCTTTCCTTGTCGATTTGGTGTGCTGCTTGTTAAAAGGTGCAACTCCGTATTTCTCGCCACCTACCTTTGGAGCGGAACCTTCGACCACGAGCTGATTTATTATTATTTGGTTCCGGCTCTGCTGCCATTAACCAGCTTTTACTTCCCACGAGGCCTACGATAAAGTAGAAATTAGATTATTTCCCTTCCCTGCGAGTAATAAGAATACTAATAAAAAATAGATGGGCTTTGCTGGCCAACAGGTGGAATCTGGAGCTGTTAATATTACGGAAGGGAGCTTCGGTCCCGGTCCTGTTGTCAGATTCATCTCGGAGAAAATATGTTCAGTGTTTCTGTAGCGGCAAGTAATTTCTGAGCTTCTGCCAGGGTTTCTCTTTAGCATGACCTCCGTACCCCGGGTACGGAGTCCGATTTGGAGTGTAAAAGGCGGCATGATGAATCATGGATTGGTCGTTCCAAGGAACCAGTCGAGGTGGGTGCGTGTACCTGAGCGTCCCACGGTACGCCCACTCGAGGGAGTGGGAGCGCGAGGGAGAAGAAGAATTGGACAGTGCGAGGGCTTAGAGAGAGCAAGAGAAGAGATCTCTGACATGGGACAAATTCCTGGAAGGCTGTGATCCACTTAAATCCCTGTTGAGCGCGCTGCTGAAACAGTGATAAGGTTGAACATAAGGGCAACTCACCCAGTCGGAAATAAAAAGCCAAGCAAACAGAGCCGGGAATTGAGATCGACCCGTGGTTGTCCAGCGTCAACTTTCCGTAGAGCTTGAATTCTCCACTTGGACACAAGCCCAGTCTACTCAGGTTCAAGAGCCGGTTTGTTCCTGGACAGTCGGATCCTATCAAGCGCGGAGAGATTGCTTGAGTGCAGACCATGAGCGATCCGGGGATTAACTAGTAGTCAATAGTTATGCAATTACGGAGTAACCGGACGCAGTTAGTTTGGACGCAGCCAATTCCGTCTTCTTGGTTTGTCCCCGGTCGCTATGATGCAGCTTAAATAAATGCTGCCCCTTGGCATCGGTCACTCATCTTCGGCCACATCAAAAAACAGAAGTCTTGTCATCATCGCCACCACCACCTCGTCCTCCTCCTCTGCTGCCGGGAACGTGGATCAGGCCTCTGTCAATTCACTGTCGTTACCTGCCCGTTTGTTTCTTTGACGGCTGGTCGCTTTGCTTTTCTTCTCCTCTGCCCCCCCTCCGACGGATGTTCTTCTCTCGTCGCGGCCCAGTTTACGTAGCCTCCCACGTTTTCTCCCGCCGATCACCTTTCATCCTGTACATAATAAGTCGACTTTCTCGTTTAGCGTCTACTCCGTAGCGTCTTGCCGAACCTCCTTCCCCAACCACACGGACAACGATGTCTTCGGCCGTTTGATGTCTCTTTGACTGAGCTCTTGAGAATTGTGGTCATAGCTGCCCCCTGCTGCATCTGTGCTCTGCGTGCAGATGGAGGTCGGGCTGGGGTCAAATACTCAAGGTCTCTCGGCGGTATCTTCGTGAATGTATGCCAGAAAACTGGATGGGATCGCTTCCTCTCCATTCAATGAGCCATTGACTCCCATTCTTTTGCTGAGCCTGTGCTGACTTGTGAATGGCGTCTACTCCCAGTGTAGGGAAAGCTTTTTGTTGGAAACGTCCGCGTTCTTTGTACATCTAAAAGCTCTTGCTCCCTCGTCCCTCCCGCAATCTCTCTCCCTCCCTGTGAGTCTGTTGCCAAAGGGCTATGCGCCTAGTTCATCCAAACATCAACATCACATCGCACCATTCCATCGCCACGGCGATGACCAGTCTCTGGGTTCAGCCCCCTTCCGCCGAGCCTCTCTCTCTCTTTTTTTTTTTTTTTTTTTTTGGCACATATTTTCTCCTTTTTTCGGCTCATCCCCCTCCTCTTCCTCTCCTCATTCTTCTCCCACACCGTTCCCTGCTTCGTTGCTGCTATCATCATCCGTGAACGTACTCATCCCCTCGTTCGATCCTGCTTTAGTCTTTGATGTTGGCTCGTTGTCCACGTCTATCTCTCAAGTCTCCGTCGAAAATCTTGCTGATATTGGCCAAAATTTCCGCAGTCAAGGTCTTATTTGGCTTCCTATCCGGTGATATCAACCACTCGGCCGTACGCAATGGCATCGGCTCTGTTCTTCGTGTTCTTGTACGTTCTCACCTTCCTTCAATCGTCAACTCCAGTCAAAGGGATTGAATTACTTTACTGCTCTCCTCTTAATACTGGATCCGACTTCGACACTGGTAAGTCTTTTGAGACGCGTTTTACCCTTGTTCTATGACGTGCAATGGCGATGTTTATACTGACGCTGCTTTCCCCCTGTTATAACAGTTATCAGTGACTTCCAATCAAATGGACGATGCCGTGAAACGTGTATCGGTAAATACTCGTTTGCAATTCTGCAAGGTAAATCTTGCTGGTGTTCGGATGCCGTTCCTGGAGATATCACGGATGTCAGCGACTGCAGCGATAGTTGCCCTGGATACCCCAAGGACAAATGTGGAAGCGTGAGAAAAAGACTCTATGGATACATCCAACTTGACAAAAGACCAACCACCACCATAGCCGGATCGACCACCTCGTTGGTTAGTACCCTTGGACCCGACACAGTTGCCACCCCGAGTTTTATTTCAGATTCTACTTCCATTTTGATCATTTCGTCGCGTGCTCATTCTTTTGAGACCTTCTTCTCTCTTTCCAGAGGAGTGCCGCTGCCATCAGGGAAACAGGGCACCAGTTCCAATGATATTTCAAGGACAGTTTTAACCACTGTTATACAGACTGGTACCCCCTCCCTATCATCATCATCATCATTATCCTCACCTTCATCAACATCGTTTGCAGACCAGGTAACAGTGACTGTTACCCTCACGCAGACTGGGAGCCCCACTACATTTTTCACCTCAACGAAGTCTTCCTTAGTATGAAAGATCTCCCCACTGAGTCCCCCCGGCACGTTCTTTTCCTTTTTCTTTTTTAATTATTTCTGTTATTATTTCGTTTTATTTTGCGATGCTTGGTTGCTTGTTTGGGGATGGAACTGCACCGCGTCTTTTGCTAGAAACTCTTTAACTTGATGGAGACTTGGCTAACATGTGTTTGTTTTACAACTCTAGACCACCAACCCTACCAGCTCCGAGACTAGCAGCGTGTCAACTCAGACTATTCCAGGAGGGATCGCGACGATAACGATCCCAAACAATACTCCTGTTCACACGTCTGACCCTCAGGCTGGCAGCTCAAACCTTAACGGAGGTCAGATTGCAGGAATCGTCATCGGTTCTCTGGCTGGCTTTGGTATTATTATTGCATTAATCTTTTTGATCGTCCGCGCCCATCGTCGTAGGGAACGACAGCGATCACAGAGAAACGAGCTTTTTAACCCTTTCCACGAACCGGCAGTCCCAACTCCCGTTTTTCGCCCTCACCTTACTACCGAAAAGCCGCCAGCTCAATCGTTTCTCCGAGTTCCAAACTCTAGAGACACACGCCTCAAAAATGGGATTTACCCAAATGGAAGCCGCCGTAGTAATGTGTCTCTGCAGGATCACCAGGATTATTCTCGACCTGTCTTGCGGGTGAGTGTTGATCAACTACTTTCCACCCCAAAGCTGACCCCGTTGAACTACAGTTAACCAATCCCGACCCCCCAAGCTCTGATTAATTGGCGGATTCTTGATGCGGTTCAGAAGCGCGGCGGCGGGTTCTCGAAACAAGCGTACACGCCACATTCCACCTTTTGATACTTGAAACGAATCTCATTTACGGTTGTTGGCTTCTCTTTTATTACAATGAAACGCATTTCAGCTAGACGGCGTAGCAGCGCAAGCTTCCATATTCGGATTCCCAAGTTAATGGCGATAGTTTTGACTCTCGACTCTATCTCGCACTTTTCAAAATTCCCCACCGGAACGAGATTATCACCTGTTGTTTTTGATGCCTCTAGCTAGGGAGAGTCATCCTAGCATGTTTCCGTGGTCCATCGGAATTTCTTATTCATCGTGATTATTGAAGATCTATTTATTTTCCTTCCTTCTCTTGTTTCTACATAGGGCATTTGGGCGAGACAAAAACAAAAGAGTTTCTACATTCCGGCGTCGGCGGCATAGTGATAGTGATGGAGGCTCTTCGGGATGCTCTGGAGTGTTTGGTTTATTATTTTATGGTTCATATCTTGTCTTTCACGCCAGGGACCCGGGGGACGCTGGTTTCGATTTACGACGACGCAGCTTTCGAGGCTCTCGTGTCCTGAACCTGTTGCATGTACTCTGATCCGTTTTCCATTGTTGCATCCCATGTTTTCTTCCGAGATTCACAAGCTTTGGTTTTCTTTAACTGTTAAGAGCATTGGAATGGTATGTGAATCTCCAAAGAAAAATGCGACTCCCCTACGTCATAGCATGTCTTCGGTAGTCAATGTGTCATAGTTGCTAGGGGCAAGGCAGACCCGGCAGAGCTGCGGAAGTTAAAGGCCTTTCCCACAAGTTTGTTCCTCGAGCATCTCGCGGCCATGACACTGGCAGGCCGGAAAGAATTCTGCTCTGTCTCTCTCAACGGTCGTAATAAACCAATGTAACACGGAGTATGAGCACTTCGTACTGCGTGGTTCGAGAGAAGATGCGTTGTGTTCGGAAAAGCCACTGTTGATCTGCCCCACTCGCGAACGACATCACATCCACAACCCCCAGCCAACTTCGTCAACTCCTCCTTTTCAGTTGTCCACCTTGTGCTAGCTCTACGATCACCATCGCTTTGACTACCCATGGTCTCCGGATGAGATAATTTTGTCCGTTATTATCTAACTAGTCTATCGCTCGATATTAATACAATCTGAAGAGATTTAGCCACCAGCAAGCGAAGTCGGACTATATTTTGACCATCTTCATTCCCCCCTTGCGAATTCTCGCCATGCTGACGAGGAAACCCCCTACAATCATCACTACCCCTGAAAAGCATATCAAGCCCTGGAAGTCGGACTTGTTATGCGAGGCATCCTTAATCGCACCGCTGATGGGTAATCCTGTCAGCGACCTGCAGCGACGCGCCTTTGGTTAGCTTTCTCGTTCAAAGCGCGTGATGGTGGAGGGAAGGAGTCAATCTTACGCTATTGCAATCACAAACATGAATGCACCCAGTTTGGGCCCCAGCTCTTCGGATTTACCGTCACAGAGCGTCACCACACACGGCGACATGAGGCTGACAAACCCCCCACTGGCCATACCGTAAACAACGCCAAAGGCGATGATTGCCGCGTTCGTCGGGTGGAAATATACCGGGAGCCAGAATGCGAGGATGGAAATGCCTGATAGGAACGCAACTGAGATCATCACGTTTAGCTGGCCCACGCGATCAGAAATAGCACCGGGGATAATTCTCCCGAAGAATGATGCTGCACTGTTACAGAAAAGAGTGGCCTCAGTTAGGTCTTCTTTTCTCTCTCTTTTTCTGTTCCTTTGGAGAGAGAAGCTGGATACTTACTTGGCGATGGAGATCGTGTACGTTGACAGCATCTTCGAAGCTCCGGCCTTGAGTGCCATCAGAGGTAAGTAATTGATGGGCGCGAACAATCCCCACCTATATCGACCTATCAGCCGGCTTTTAGGTTGAGAAGCGGGAAAGGTTTAACATACATCATCAAAAAGCAGCCCGAGGAATATAGGATCCATGCTAAGCTTTTAAAAGCCTTCGCCCCTGCTAATTTTCGATCCGATTTGCCTTTGGGTGGAATCGGACCGGAAATGCAGAGGTTTCCAATGACCAATACACATGCCATGAGCAATCCAGTCCAGCGGAGAGCGGAAGCGAATCCCACTTGGGCTATCAATCTTGAAACCACGATAGGGAAGATGATACCTCCTATATAATAACCGTGCATATGCGTTAGTCTAGGTTGCTCGGCACGTTTCTACGATAAGCACCAAGGTAGCACCCACCAAGGCTGCTTCCACTCGCAACCAGACCCGTTGCTAGTCCTCGTTTCGTGGAGAACCATTGCCCAACAACGATTAGTGGCGGTAGGAATGTCGCCGCCGCACCAATACCGTAAACAATTCCCTGCGCAAGCATAATCTGCCAATACTTGTTGCACAAGCTGAGCATAAATATGCCAAACAGAGCGAGAATCGACGCAGGAAAGATCAATTTCCTCGGTCCCAAAATATCAACGAGCACCCCCACGATGGGGCCAAGAGAAAACATCAAGAAGATCTGAATGGTGACAATCCATGATATTGCTGACGATGTATGATTGGACAGAATATCCGTTTCATAGTAGAGTTGAAAGATCCCGCATCTAGAATTCTCGTTGTCAGCCAATCGCCGGCTTTCTTATCGATTCCCATGCCGGATTTTTGAGACATACGCATTCAAAAACCCAAATGAACAGAACTGACAGCAGAATCCACCCAGGACACACAGCCAGGCACGAATTCCACCGTTTGGCGGTACATACTTGGGAGCCTCTGGTGGTGATTCCGTGCTCTCGGAAGCGGAGTTTGTTTCGCTGATCGGGGAGCCGACCTGTTTCTCCTCCTGGCCCACATCCATTGCGGTTGCCATCTTGTCCATGAACGAACAACAAGTGAAATCAATAGACTTTGAACAGTGCACTGCTGCTTGACAAAAGCAAGCTTGCGATTTTCAATGTGGGCGACCTGTGACTAAAATACTAACTTTCTGACCGTGGTACGCGGCCGAGGACGGCCGAGGCGGGAGGCCGCCGTATCGTACGCCGCGCACGCGTACAGCCCCGGTTAGAGTAATACGGCCAAACATGCCTGTTGTGAGAATCTTCGCTGTATTTTTTTGGGGCAAGACTAAGCTTGGCTGTATATATATGTTTGTTCGGATCAGAGGTTGGATTCTTCTTGCTGACTTTGCCATAGTTCATCCTGATCTTGCAATTCGAGACGCATGGCCCCAACAACAGAAATCAAATTGTGAACAAGCTATTCTTCTATCTCGTATGGAGTACTCATTCATTTATCCTACTCGCCACCTTTCTTTGTTCTTACAGAGAATATACACCCCCGCGCCAACCGCATTCAAAGGGAGACTGGAGCCCCAAGGGGAATTGTCTCCAGGTTGGCTTCCATGAGTGCCGCCGCTCTTCCAACAGTCTCAAGCACTACATGCTGCCACATAATTGTCTTCAGCGAGAAACCGGTGCCCAAATCGAATGCTTCATACTTGCGCTTCTCCCAATCCCCTCTCAACCACGGATCTGCCTCCTCCATGAACTTTCCTACAACCTCCGCCTCCCCAATCCGGCCATCTTCACCTGTGAGCTCGAACGAATAATGCTTATGCTCGGCAAATATTGCTAACGCGATTCGATCCATATTCACGGCCTTGATTATTTGACAATGCTCGAAGTTATCTGGGCATTGGTCATCATCATGGACATGAGCCGGAGACTTAATTCTCATATAGTCATCGTAAGTACCATTCAGGCTATTCCCTGATATTACAATATGCGGCTCAACATTTGTTGACGACAACAGCTCTTTGGCCGTTACTTTTGTCAGTTGCCAGCGAACGGGTGATCCAAGGATTTTCGGGCAATTCCTAAAACCTGCCTGGTCGTCTGGCTCAGAACGACCTATGAAATAGTTGACGTGAAATCCTTCGAACAGGTTAGTGAAAGCCTTGAATTGCGAAAACGCCGTTTATATATACTGCGTACCTGATCCACAAAATCGCTTCTCCATGATTAGAATTGGGACTATCGTCTGGGCCCAGAACTGCCGGAGAGCTAGGAATCCGATATAGTTGGGAACCGAAGTCAAGCCTTTGGGGCTAATCCTTGTCGTTTGCTCCAACAATCTAGCAAGGATAATTCCCGTGTTAGCTTGCCAAGATGCTTCATATGATAAGAGTTTCCCGGGGAAGCTTGTTTACCTTGGCAGCTTGTCATCTCCAAACCTGCTGGCCAACAGCTTTAGCCATGAACAGCTAAGTTCGCCAACCCAGTTCTGCATCGACGCAAAGTCTTGTTCAAATCGTTTAGGTCCCGTCAGAAGAAGGAACCTTCGATTTGTCGTGTCATAATCCTGTGAGACGAGTCGATCTCTCACGGACAGAGGTAGTTTGGGGTTCAACTCCGCACCCACAACGTGCGTACGTCGACAGAAGCGCTTGTATTTAGACAGCATATAGCTGTAAACGATCAGGCGTACCACCTGGGAGAAGTTCGAAGGATCCCAGTTTTCGGGGGAGCCGGGTGTCATCTTTTCCGCAATGGGACGGCTTTTTGAAGGGTATGGCGAACATTTTTGTCCTGACATAGATATGGTGACACCGATTGTGACATTGTGCCGGCGAAACTGCCACGAAATCTGAGGGCTTTCGTGTCCGACTAACGGCGTTGGTTTTCTCGAAACTTGGGATAACTCAGCGAGGTACGGGCTGAATCCGTCCTGCCCTAACATCACCGGCTCTTGCCAACCCAATTTCTCCAAAAGCGATTGACGACTCTCCCCACTCTTGCTTAATCCTAAAGATTCAGGGCTCTCGCCAACTTTCGTCAGCCTGCGGCACGTGGTTTTCGCCATTTTTATGAGGTCCTCGAGTTGTCCGATTAATAGTGACACCATCGTTCGAAACAATGAATTCGTGGGCTCCTTGCGAAGGTGTTGCAGGAGCATCATGATCATGGAAGCACGGAGTTGGCATGAAGTGTCTCCCACATGCGCGTCGAAAGCCATATATCCCGTGGTGGACACATTTCCGTCGTCATCATTATAGAGAGAAAGGAACAAATCCAGTGCGTCTCTTGCATCCGAGGCCGCGCATACCATGTCGGCAAGGAGACTCGGAACATAACAAGCCTTGTGGTTGGTGACCGTGGTGAGTCTGCTATGTTTTCCAACGGGAAACAGTGCTGTTGCCATGGTGGAGTTTTGAAGGCGAAGATTTCAGGGCAACATTGGCCACCGGTTGTCATGTCTGCAACAGCAACAGTTACTTAAGTACTCTTAAGTTTGCGCCTAGGAAGCCACCGTTAAATCAAGCTTCATGCCTGAGCTTGTCGTCGTCCTTTGCTCCAAATTCGTGATGTGCTTTCGTGTGGGATACGAAGCTTACGGATCCTCCTTAGGCCCTTTACGAGAGCCACAGCGTGCCAATTTCCAATGTCAGAGTGCGGAGTAGCCACGGGTTAAAGGTACCAAGATTGGACCCTACCGGGTTTAACTAAGCTAGGCTTAACATACGGAGTCGTAGAGTTACATGGTGTTGGTATTCCAGCTCTCGAATTTTCCAGCAGGAAGCTTCTGCATAGGATCGACAGCCGCAACCTTTTCTAGCGTGGATGCCCGGTGCATTTCTGTGTAGCTCCCCTATTCCGCGTTTACAGGGTTGAGCGAGTGATACATTTTTTGGGGCCCTACTATTGGCTTCGAATAGCGCCAGTGGATCTGGGGGTGGAGATTTATGGGTTGCTTCGTTTTCCTTGCACGCGTTGTATGTTTAGATGCACTCCGTACGGAGGAGTTCAAGTTGCTGATCTTCAAAAACACGACCTTGTGAATGAATCTAGGGCACATAAGCTGAGCGGCTGGGTGACCGGCCGCTCTCGCTCCGCTTCGGCCGAGCTGCATAAGACAGGGAATTGGGCTGACTCTGTATATTCGCCGAACTTGATCTCTAAATATATATCTTTAGTAACTCTTATGATATGTGTTATAGGAAACGTATTACGCATTAGCAGGAGGCCGTCACACGAAAGAATAGTGCAGGGATAGAATCAGTCAATTCCGTCTGCCACTTCGTACTTTGAAGCTCAAGGGCGTGGGAAAACACGATCCATGAGGAAGCTCCTGGTGAGAGCTTGTTACTGGGTGATTAGATGATGCTAGAAAGCGGGCCAACCGCAGCTGATCGGGTCGAGAATGTATGGGACGGAAGAAATACCGTGATTCATATTACAAGTGACGCGGATGGCGATGCAAAAATTCGACATCGCGGCCGACATGCGGACGTACGGACATGTGCGGCATTGAAACTCTCAGACGGGCCCTCGCCTAGGTTGTATTTATAGAACACCTGCCCCTATAGCTATTTCGACCTCAAATACATCTTTAGCTTCCATAGCCAGTCAAAATTTGTCGTTATAATGAATGGGACAGCAGTGACACACGGCGGACCGTTAGTCTCGTCCATTGAATTCGTCCTTCTCCATCCATTCCTCCAAGGACAAAACAGCTTAATTGCAGCGTTGATCGTGCTAGTGGCCAGTGCCTTTTTCATATTGAATGCGCAAGCACCGAAGATCCCCAACCATTCAATCTACTTCAAGAATAATGCAGGTAAGAAACTCCAGCTGATGGCTGGGGACACGAGATTTCGCAGGTTCCTCAATGGGTAAGCATATATCGAGTATCCGAAAGTCCCAGTCGGAGTGAATCTAGGGTAGCTGACACTTTTATGTTTCACATTGCAGCAAAGATATGTCCAAAGAGGGTTCCGTCAAGTTCGGACAGGACCCATTTATGGTGAAGAATGGAAGGAGGATGGAGCTAGTTGTCTCAACCCCAGAGCAGGTTAGAGATTTTCTTGCTAAAGATGCAACGGGTATATTTGTCCCTGTCCTATTTGGAGGAAAACATCTGCTAACAGTGACAACTGGTAAATAGACCATATGAAGCGGTCTGATTGCAACTTGGGGGACTATTTTGTACGGTAGGGAAATCCTCGGTGTCCACGGAGCCTTGTTGTTAGAGGTAATGGTCATTAACAACTGTGGACTTTAGGACATTGGGTAGCTGTGTCGGTGTAAAGAGCGGAGAGAAGTGGAGGACTGCTCGGCACCATCTGGAACCCCATTTCTCCTTCCCCACGGCGGCATCGATGCTCTCAAATTGTCGTGAGATGATTCTCAACTGGGCTCGAAACCTAGCCGATGATCCCATGGTTACTTCAAAAACGAGAAATGGTTTCGATTTTGATGCTGTTTCAGCTTGTCGTCAGCTTCCGTTCCGGCTGATTGCATTGGCACTGTACAAAGATATGCTCACTGAAGATGTAGGTTTGCCTCTTTGCTGATGCTTGTTCTGCTCCCAGTCATCACGCAGCTAATACGTCTCTTCCTATAGATGTTTGAACAATTATGGGCATTGAATGCATTGCATGAAAAAGTCACAAATATCGCCTTCTTTAGCAAATGGCCAACAAAGAGCTTTTACCGCTGGCTGCCAACAGAAGCAAACTCTCTGTTGAGTGAGTATGAACGAGAATGGGAAAAACTCAACCTCAAGACTATCATGGAGGCAAGAAAGGTAAAAAAGAAAAAAAAAAAGAAAAGAAAAGAAAAGAAAGCAATTCATTCTCGTATGATTGTAAGAATGGTTCTAACAAATTATTTCAAATAAAGACCGGGAAATCTTGTCCTGCTGAAGTTATGTATCAAGGAGTGGAAGCTGGGGAGCTCACATTGGACACAGTAAGTTATGCACAACCTGCAAACTGTGGAAGTACTGACACCTCGGACCGGACAGTATATGCAATCATTGGACGAAATCCTTTTCACAAATATTGATGTGACCTCGGCCATGATGGGCTACGCATTGATCAGCGTTGCGAAAAATTTGGAGGTCCAAGAGTCCCTTCGTTCCGAGATATTGACTGTCGGCAAAAGTGCCGCAGAGATTGCTGAGTATACGCGAAAAGAAGATACGATACTTCACAAGACATACTTGGAAGTACTCCGAAATAACCCCCCAACATGTAAGTTATAAACCTTGGAGATAGTCTTGGAACAAAAGTTCCAAAAAGGGCTCACAGTACACAACAGGGTACTCCCTCCCCGAGCTTACGGCTATAGATAAGCGAATTGGGGGCTATCTAATTCCCGCCGGAACCGCTGTTGTGTTAGATCTTCAACGACTGAACAAAGATTCACCCGTGTGGCAACCGGACGGTAGCGAATTCCGTCCTGGACGCTGGGACTCGATTTCACCAGTCGCAGCCCGGTACAGTCTCCACGGCTATGGCATGGGACCCCGGAAGTGTTTAGGCAAGAACTTTGCCAACATAATCATTAAGCTTCTTCTAGTCACAACACTGGAAGAGTTCACGCTTAGCGCGGGAACCGACGAGACCAAGCTGAGAAAAGATAGGTTCACTCGTACGCCAGATGACGTGGTCTCATTTCAGGTGCGAAGGAGTGGATCTAAGTGAATGTATCAGTGAGGCTTCTATTAGGAATTTATAGCATCCCTCAGCACTGAAATACATCAAGAAACCGGGATTAAGTCAGGACATCTCCACTCCGTAGTTAATGTATGATAATCATATAGTTGATGGTATTAAGATCAAGGGTGGCAATTTGAGGATTGCCTTAAAAAATATCAAGAAAATCCATGCTACTTCCGAAATCCATGTTTTGATATGCTGACAAAGCATTGAATGCATTTGTCATGTCCAAGTCGGGAATCGACAAAGACTCAGGCATAGCGTTGTTGTCGAACACCGTGCCAATAGATAGGCGGGCTCGAACTCGAGTTCTTAGACACTGTAGGAATGTCCAAAGCTTTTCCTCAACGCTGCCACTTTTGGAGGGCCGAGCTGGTTCCATTGCGACGTTATCAATTGCAGCCCATGCTTGCATGCACAATGTTTGGGTCTCAGTGTCAAGCTGTGCAATGTCAGTGGTCGAGAGTTCATTGAGGATATGCAGCATGGCATGAAATTGCGAATGCCTGCGCGTATGCCACTCGAACTGGTGGACAAGGGGATCAGTGAGGGCAGTTTGGTACATATTGATCAGATTAACTGCCGAACTCATGGCCCTAAAATATTCTAATTAGAATTCCTTTGGAAGAGCGTTCAAACGGATATCTGCTTACTGTTGGCGCGCTGAATTCCAGGAACGATCGTCCCTTGATGGCTCGGTTTCTTTCAGGAATCGGTGATAGAATAAGAGCCGAACTTTGTATTCAGTTAATTTTCCAAGTACCAGTGTGTATTTTTGGAATCCTTCATCTTTAATGCAATAGCGTAGATGGGATTTCTCATTACGCTGCACCATCTCTTCAATAATGGCTTCCATGCGAGGGGCAACGGTGCTCTGCGCATCTTTGCTTCCTGCCCGGATATCTTCCACCTTTAGAGAGGTCAGACGTCGGAGGCATAATGACGTATTGAAGCGAACAAGCTGCATAGTCATTTCAGTCACTCGTCCACGGTCTTCAGCTAATTCGGGACTTTGATCCAACAAAGCGTTCCCTGCAAAAATCTCCGTGTCATCAAGATTTGTCGGCAAGGCAGTCCCGACGTTTTTTGGCCAAGGTTCTAGAGGAAGTGGTTCCGGATCGACACCATGTGCTTCGCTAACCATCAAATCTAGACTTTATCGAGTCAGTGGGAAGGATGGCATCAACTGGCTGTGAAGCAATTGACATACTGCAAAATTAGATGCCAAAGCCGTCGGCGCCTCTCAACATCAACAGGCCCCATAATGGCCGGGGTATGATTTCCTCGCCGTCTGTTTTTCCCTGCTATAAGAACCAATGCTTCAGGATCCATGTGGAGTGCAAGGGTGCGCGAAACCCTCATGAGAACCCCAGTGAGAGCGTATAGGGACGGCACATCGGCTTCCGCGCAGCTTACAAACTATACATATTGGGTTAATGAGCCACTTCTAGACATTTTTTAGCGCGTGGAAGCTTACCAGAAACAAGCAACACGCTGTGACTGAGTTAAGAGTCGGCTTCTCGAGGATTTGAGATCTCAAGAGACTTTGTTCCAATGCAAAAGAGAATATTCGCAAGTATGAATGTTTCGTCTGCCTTTCGTCCTGAACTATCGACCGGAGAACATCGTCATTCAAGTCCCCAACGTAGTTATTGACTTGGGAAAACTGCAAGAATTCTTCCTCCGATAGACTGTTCAGAGCACCATAGAACACTGCGAAGAGAAGGGCCTCAAATGCAGCTGCTGTCCTGGTATTCTTCCAATCTTCTTGTTGAGATTCACTGGGGGATGTTCCGAGTTTTGCGGGATTGAAGTAATATGCCCTCATATCCGTCTCAAACGTAGGTTTATGGATTATACGAGTGATGGGATCAACTCGACTGCGAAAAATTGCGTACAACCTCTCTGCTCCTTGAAATTCCGGAAGGCAATCGCGTGGTTGGAAGTTTGGATCTGGCGGTGCAAACAAGAAAGACGGAGTTAACCCGGGGGTCGTGGTTTCGCACGTTGCATCGACACCGTCATCTTGGTCATGGCTTTCTAAAAGAAGTTCCAAGTCCCTATGCTTTACTTTAGTTTAGCACATTGGTGTGATAATTCTGAGAAGAGACTGGTCTTACCTGAGCTGCCAATTTTCTCCAATAGGAACCCACCATGTGCCTGGGTTCGCTATCTATGATGAGCAAGTCTCCCAAGTCCGAAATGACGCCTTCGGACACATCTCTTGAACCCGATGGAAGCGTCTCGGATTCTGGTGGAGTATTAGTAGAAGAAACGGCAGCCAGGCCGCCGCAATGGGCCACCAGCTTGGAGACTAAGGACTCCAAGTGGCTGACTCTATTTCGAAGCTCATCATGGCCCTGAAGGGATTGTGACGAGTTAGCTGGACTTTTATCAAGCGTGCTGTAGCCTGATGCGCCAGCGACTGAATTGAGGTATTCACATTCGTATCCGTAGCGGATACAGTTCTGGCAATGGGGCCTTTCACGCCCGCAGCGGATTTTTCGCCGGCGACATCTGAGGCATGATGTGACAGTTCGTTTGGAAGTAGCCATATCTCCGATATGAGCCATTTTACACTGACAACAGCTGTTCTTTCGTCCTGGCCGCTGGTGCGCTTCAGTTCTGCAGCGGTTTCAATGTGCAAGCGGCGTTTTGGCTTATATTGTCGAGCATTGTTCGGCTCTCGTATGCTGCAGACCGTGCAGATGTCTGCATTAGTCATGCCCTGCGGCGTTGACAATCCCGCTAGTCACTCAAGATCAATCGGCTGTTCAACTGTTGAAAGTTGAACTCAGCAGCCCGAGGAATGCCGATCTGCCGTATGCATAGATGGGGTTTTCATCGACTCTACTATAGTGCTTCTCCATTTTGGATCTTCTGTACTCCGTACTCCGTACTTACATCATTAAGTTACTCGTCGGAGAACTCCTCCGTCCCCCTTAGTGGGAGGTCGAGCACCCGCCGTTGCAGCGATAACTAGTTATCGGGCTCTGCGGCCCGAACTTGTCTCACACGAACCTTCTTGGGCATCATCAAGCATGAAAGTAAGCAGCAGGAATTAGTGATGAAGAGTCCAACCGTTATACCATTCTCTAGTTAACTAACATGCAGCTGGAGTAAAATTGACTTTATCACAGGTAATGTCATATTATAGGAAGGCCAGAAGGTATCATAGCGCCAAAGAATATTAACCGTCACCACAGTGAATCATCCGACGTAAAGCCTGAAAAGTATCATATAACAAGCAGCAAGTGTGTGACAACCAAATATGCGAAAAGAATTGCGAAGTCGTCATAATCCAACATCCCTCATCGGGAGCAGATGGTCCCAGAAGATCGAAACATAGCCGCCCATTTGTAGTACATACATACGGTCCTATGTACGGAGAATGGGCAATATGTCCTTGCAAGAACATACCGGTTCACCACCTACGGCCCTGGTAACCTCTCCGACCAGGCCCGGTTATCACGTCATCGTCCGAGTAGAATTCCTCCTCTACTTCCCTTGTTGTTCGATCCACCAGCACTGTTGTCGGATGTTGAGTGGTGGCCGGGAGAGCTAGTGGTTGAGATTTCACACCACGCTCGGTTTGGAAATCTCGAATCCGTTCACGCTGAGCACGTCTACAATCTTCTGAGATTCGAACAAGGTGGGCAACGTCATCCTATGGGTCGTTAGTATGGATAGACCAAATCATTGAAGCTAATATCATTAATAAAATGGACGGATTGTCTTGAAACCTACATATCGTAAATAAGAAAAGACGTAGTAGAAATCTTCCGTCTCTTCGTAGTCATAGCCTGCCTTCTCAATTGCCTTTTTGGCAACCAAATCCTTCGTTATCTCTGTCCAAAGCCTATCCTTCTTGTTCTTGACCCCCATATAGCGCTTGCCAACGTTTGGCCTCTCGAAATCGGCGTCATACTCTTCTCCGTCAGCACTGAATTTTGATCTTCGAGCGCCGTTATATCGCTGCCATATGATTTCTTGGCTTGCACCTCCCACGCCGTCCAGAGTTACTCTTTTGGTCCCGGGAGGTACATCTATCATGCTCCAATCCTTTGTTGCTCCATTGTATGCTTCACCAATGGTTGCACCAGCGGTGTGGTGACGATAATAATAGTCGGCTTCCGTCATAATGTCGGCCCTCTCACGATGGTCTTGAGCGTTTTCACGGTCACGAATGACTAGGACATCCCGCTCACAATCTTGACCAGCTCTACGGTTCTTCGAGTGCGGTAACATCACTTCATCTCTTTCATTTCGACTTCGTTGGGATAGAGATGGCTCATAATCATATTCTCGGCGATGGATGACCTCCGAGTTGTCGAAACCATGATTATGCCTAAGGGTTAACAATATTAGCTAATAGATCCAATGTCGAAATTTAATCATCATTTAGAACAAACCTTTCTCGAATATCAATTTCATCGAGCTCCTTTTTCTTCGACGATTGTAGAGGGCGCACCGTGGGAGCAGCATTTTCATAGCCTACCATCTCATTAACCGAAATGATCAAATCCAAAAGAAAAAAAAAAAAAAAAAAAAAAAAAAAAAAAAAAAAAAAAGAAAGAAAGAAAGAAAAAAAGAAAGAAATTTTTCTCTTACCATGGTCAATATGTCTGTGATGCGTTACGATGTCTTGATGGATTGGCGGAGCGTGAATAGACCGGGTTAACTCTATGGACGGCTCTGGGGAAAACGATCTATCAATGCGCCTTCTGATGATGACATCGCCTCTTTCTGATCGTCTCCCTCGACCACCTCGTTTATCTTCTGTGGCGATGAAAATACCCTCTCCCTCATCTGTCTTCGGCCTCTGCCGTTCCGTAGATCTACTACGGTAAAAGACTTCATCCTTATGCTCCCCATGGTCTATCTCGACATCTATGTCGTGAGAATGGCCCGCTGGCCTTCTTCTCGGACGCCTGGAGAAGTGATCGCTATCATATTCTCGTTCACGTATCATGACTTCATCTTCATGTCGCAGAGCGGGCCTGCGAGGTCTCGATTTTACTCTCCTGTGAATGATGCGATCATCCAATCGGGTATTTCCGTGCCCTTTCACGGGGGTACGATATGCGGGTTTCGTCAAACTCTCTATCTATTTCTCGGGGCGCATGCACACATTCACCACTGACACGTCGTTGAAGCACCGAAGGCCCTTCGCTCGAGCTCCCCATATGTCCATTAAACGCATTTTTATCCATTTCACGAGATCGTGCGTTGGTAGGCCGCCGGCGAAATTCTACATCTTCCTCGATGACGTGTTTCTGGCGGTCCCCCGGAGTATCCTTTCCTGGATGACGGTAATACCGCTGCTCTTCTTCGTAGAAATCTTCCTCAGATGCTCGTCCGCGACCACGTCGAGCCATTACGTCCGGAAGTCCCCCACAGTTGAATGATATGTAAACAATGGGAAGCTCGGGGGCAAAGGCTATGAGATACCGTGGTCCGAAACCCAAAACCAACATGGGATGCTTGGTATTTGGAACCAAAATGGACCAGCCCCTTTAACCAAGCATAGGTGAGTGAGTAGGGAATTCAAAACAAGCAACAGTTAATCCACACAGAAGTGAAAAGATTGGAGTCAACGAGAAAGAATGGTAAGGATGGCAAAGAGGCCAGGAATGAACCGCAAAGGACCTTCACAGAATCTAGAAAAGCGAAGCGACACGAAAAGCCGGCACAAAATAGGTGATCTTGCAGTGGCGCTCGAAATTGGCTTCCATGATGAGAATATAGTGACTTCTTCTCGCACCCTAAGTGCCAAGAGCTTGGGTGTGGGACCTATCCAAGATTGGTTAGAGTGTATTTGGTAGGACTGAATTGTATGGCATAGAACCAATACGTTACTGAGTCTACTGTATTGTATGTGTATCAGGAATCATACACGCCATGTTGTCCTTGAGGAAGGCGGTTGGCCGCAATATGCCAGACGTCGTAAACAGATCAATTCATAGCAAAATGGCACCGAATCTTCAACCATGGAAGCGCGAATTCATTTGTCATATGATTCTCAATAAATCGTTAACTACATCACAGATGGCCAAGGCTGCTGGTTGTAGCGAGCGTACTATCACGCATATTTGAAGAAATCTATGTTGTTTAGCAGCACCAGTCCGCCTCTAATTCATGCTGGCCAGTCTAGAAGTATTACATCTCTGATGCTTGACACCCTTTGTGATCATCTCATTGAAAAACCCAGCCTCTATATTAATGAGATGGTTGTCTTCCTTCAGGACAAATTTGATATATTAATATCAACAGCTAGCATCATCGCGCAAATTGGACCAAAAAGAAAGCTCAACAGAGAGCAAAAGAGCAGAACCCTGATCTACACAATTTCTATCTGTATAGACTGTCCAAATTTAGTTCATATCATCTGGTCTACATTGATGAATCTGGATATGATAATCAGATAGGATTTAGGCACAGTGGTTAATCTTCATTGGGCATGACACCAATTCAAGTGTCAAGATTCTACAGGGGCCAACATTATCAGATACTGTCTGTCTATATCCAGAATGACATTCTTCTTTCTTATGTCTTTACTGGTTCAACTGATGCAGCTTTCTTTAAAGATTTTATTGGGCAGCTGCTCCAGCACTGTGGACAGTGGCCAGAACCAAACCCTGTTCTTGTGATGGATAATGCATCATTTCACCACTCAGCTAGAATAAAGCAGATGTGCTTTGATGCAGGAGTGAAACTACTATATTTGCCACCCTACTCACCTGATCTGAACCCAATAGAGGAATTCTTTGCTGAGTTGAAAGCTTATATCAAGAAGAACTGGTCATTATATGAGGAGAATCCTGACCAGGGTTTCAGCGTTTTCCTTCAGCAATGTATTGATGTTGTTGGAGCAAAAAAAGAGAGTGCCGCAGGCCACTTTCGAAGTGCTGGGATATCAATTGAGCAGTGCGGTTTTGAATAGGATACTTTTATTATCTTTGATTATGACAAGACCTGTGGCATCAAGTTATATATAAACATAATATCTATCGCGATGTTGTGGATTTTCTCATAAGTCTTCGGCATTCCTTACCTTGGCAGGTGTTTCCCTACTCGGAATTAAATCGGTTGACAGCTGCACGCTTTACAATAATACAATTAACTGCTACCTATCCTATTTACCAGCAAGACTGCCTTGGCCAACCGTCAGAAGACAGGCAATGTCCTCAACCAACCACCAAGTCGTAGGCTCAACAGACGTCCTAAATTTGTTGACCCGTCTTCTTCCACCTTGACATCTTCCATATCTCGAAGGATATTCTCTATGTACTCCCCTGCGCCACTGAGTTTGAGAATAAGAGCAATCGCACGGTGAACTTTGAGTAGTCGAGGGGAAGGGGGATCGATAGTACGGCTCGGGCTAAGGGTAAGCGTACGAGTAATGGGAAGTAATCGATCACGAAGAATAGGGTCCCTTTCTGTCGATCTAATTATGTACCGGTTGTACACCCCTTCTATAGGCTCGAAATATATTTCAAATTCACCGAGTAGCCGATGATAGTGATGGGTTAACGTCAGGGCATTTTTTGGACTGTCAATATCTTGGCCCTCAATAAGGTGAGTGATTCCGGGTTCGAACATAGACAAGATTTGGATTACGTTCTTCTTCGAGTCACTCTAGGAGTCAATGTCAGTAGGGCCGAGTGTGCTCTTATAATAGGATGTCCATACCAATTCTGTATTTCCTGACGCCATAGAGTTTAGCGAATGAGGAAGTATGTGAGCAACTTCTAGATACTCGAAGTCATCAGATTCGTTTCGAAGAAGTTCTCCGTCATCATCTTTGCTCTCAATCCCATCTTGCTTTATTCGCCGCTGGGCTTCTTTCCTATCAAACCGATGGGTGACGACACAACGATGATGGTCGCGGATAAGACAACTCTGTCGGAGGATAGACACGCGCTGCGTTATACCTGTTGGTGCGGACGCCTGCATTGAGGAGAGTGAAACGGGTGTCGGCTGAGGTGTCTTCACCGACGAAGCCCTGACTGAACAGGTTGAGTTAACCAGTTTTATCAGCCATAAATGATATGTACTATAATGAACTTACGTGGAGTAAAAAAATTATCAACCATGTAGTTGGCAAAAAGCTCGACAGCGCTCCGAACTTCGTTTTTCTTGTCTGTATCAAACGAGGAGAACCCATCGAGATAAGCTAACGCAAGAGAGATATCAGGCTCGACAGTATTCCCATCCAGATGTTCGTGAATATACAAAATGAAGAAGTTCAGGAAGGCATCCTTGGATTGCGCATGCACATGCTCGAATGTTGCGTTGATTAGCATCGCGGGCATGTAACCCCTCCGTCCCGGTTTTTCTGCGCCATAATCCTCAATCAGCTTATTGAGAATGCCACTTGCTGCCTTATTTTGTGGCGAAGTTAAGGAAAAGGGCTCTGAAAAATCCAGGAACCCATTGTCGATGGGTTTGCGCATCAATATTGTGGAGCTCTTTGACTGAAGCTGGTGGTCTGAGATTGGGTTGGAGGCCAGGGTTGGCCGAATACCAACGCGGACTCGCGCGGCTTACATGCGCCAAGGCCAGCGCTGCCCCGATCTGTTTGCCCTGTTTGCACGGCCTAGCTACTGTGGAACACGTGGTGAGCTAGGCCGGATTAGGGAGAAGTCTTGGCACACCAAGGCTGACCTCCAACAGAAGGTAATATAATTGCCTAGCGGCGCTACAAAATCTCTCCATGCGCAGAGCTTTCAATACAGCAAATTCCAATTAGGATGATGTATAGCCAGCCATACTTAGTCGTCTACTCTATCCTGATGGTATTCTCTCTGCGGCATATCTGTGCCCACATGTGCAACCCATTCGCGGATGTCCCGAACGAACCGTCGGGCAGTTCCCCTTTTCACCCCCTGTTCAATAAAGAATTCAGGGTTTTGGTCCTCCGAAACCAGCTCAAGGTCGAGATGATGTGCCAGTGTTACGTCGCATGCTTTTCTGAAATCAGCTTTGTATGTCTCGTCATTCACCTTCTATTCCAGCCACTTGCAGTAATCCCTCACAGCTATATCTCGCAGTCCTGGTATCACCAGACGCTCGTTAGAAGCTGAAGGTTTGAGTGACGTAGCCACAGACGCACTCGATGTCTGTGCTGGCAAAACATTGATGCTGATTGGAGGGTATGGCACTCCTGTCTCAGGCAAGCTACTGGCATATTTATACCTCTTATCTGCCTGGTGTCGATTCTCCCGATACAGGTCCCGACGGATGCCACCAGGGACGTCATCATGACCCTCTAGAGTACCGCCATCGTTGACATACTCAACAAGCCGTGCCAGATGAGAGGACTTTAGTTTGTAATGCTGTTTGTCACTGGGGTCTTCCCAGCACCAAGAAGACTGGCATGAGCGCGCCTCACATCGCATACGCTCATAGACAAACCTCCAGTCCGATGGCCGTCCAGTGCTGTTTTCTTCAGCATCAATTTGTGCGTCACGTTCGGTAAGCATCCTTCTAGTCGCTGATACCCGGCTTCTTTTGTCGACCTGTCTTCCCATAGTCATTTCGCCACTATCATCACGCTCATAGTTGAAGGAAATGACGACTCTAAGTTTCTTGCCCATGCGAAGCAGATTGCTCCACCTCCGGAGCTGCCTCTCCACCGGTGTCCAGTCAATGTTCGTAGAGTTATAGTGCTTTTCAAGGTTATTCTGTGAACGATCATTTACAGATACAACAATGTCTGTACCATCCGATCGAACACGCTGATTACGCCTTTTCACGTGTAACGAACTTTCCATCTTTGGCTTCAGAATCTCCGTCCAGTAATCGCTAGGTGTAACAACCAAGTCCTGCTCAGTATCTCTGCACACAGATTTACGGTTGAGTACGATTTTCCACGCGATTGTGTAGCAAATATATCTTGGCGGATTCTCTTCGTATTCGTCCTCCTGGTCCCATCCAGCCAATGGGAGAAAGCCGAGCTGATCTGGTCCCTGCAAGGTAGGGTGCGGGGAGGGACTGAAGGAATATTGGGTTGACTGCGTGCCACCAAAATGCCCTGGGGTGGGGGCGTCATATAGGCTTTCATCCCATGGAACAAGCGTCTGTGCCTGAGAGGTGGTATCAAGGTCGAAGACGCTGTTCGTCATTGTCGGATGAAGTGGCACCGGCAAACCTAGCATTTGTCGTGAGATATTAGCCTGAAATCTACGGAATCAGACATGAATGGCAAGTGGGAAGGGTTTGTTTGAGTAGAACAAGTACTGTACTGTGGATTCTGGCTCTCCTGCTTGCCTCTGCAGAAGCTCCTGAAAATGTTTTGTCTCTTCCAGTGTAACTCAATGAACGTTGAAGAGAAGAAGCCGGAATGGGCACAGTAGCAGATTGCCAGATCAAACTGTTGCCAAGCTTTCATCATATGCATGGGACCTTCCAGCAACCTTGTATATACCATACGTGTATTATTTTTGATACAACAGAACCAGACACGAGACAACGCCGACAGGGGCTCACTCCCCAGAGGTCCACATTCTCGACAATCGAATGTAGAAGCGGACAAGGACTGACTTGTTCTGGAGCCAGTCTTTTGAACAGGTTGGCCTGCTAGACTGGAGCCCTGTTGGCGGCTGGTCCTAGTGATTCCCACCGTTAGTCTCCAAATAGATGTACGATTCAGCTTCAACCGGAATAGCTTGAACAGACAGGGAACTTCTTTCGAATTCTACAAGGCACCAGTGTGGCAATACTGTGGGATCGACAAGCTCATCAGAGCCGGCTGAGATTCACCCGAATGCTAACCGTGTCTGTCGCTTGCCTCTAGACTTGTCAAGACCGCGGTTCGTATTTTTGTAATGCACCATCCTTCTTTCTTGCAATTGCAAGTCTTTCGCAAAGTGCCAGTCTTCGTGCTCATCGAAACCAGCTTCAGGAATCAACTTTCTACATTTGGAGCATGGAAACATCCCCAATTGCGGCTCGGGAGAACTATCAGTTGATAAAACACCTTTGGAACCCAGCATAAGACTTTCAGCGGTATGTGTCCCTTCGTCATCTATCCCTGTGTCCAGAGGAGAGTATCGGTCAAAATCATGGTGGAGCTTCAATGTCTTGCTCGGATGCGACTCGCTCGTATTGTCCTCGCCTTCAAGGTGTCGACGAAGGGATACTGGCGTTTTCCTCTCTGTATCCGTGGCGCGCGTGAAAAAGCTGTCGAGGCTTTGGTTTCCAGAAACTCCATCCTCAAATCCGCTCACTGTAAGTGCTAAATTCATGCAGGGCCACATATGGCCCTCGTTGGTAACTTGCTTCAGCAAATCCTTAGCCAAAGCAAACAGTGGTTCTTCGTCGATGGCCATGCCCGTCGGAATAGGAACCTGGCGAGATTTTGTGTGCCCACTATGCCGATGGTGAATAGTTAGAACTTTCGGGCGGCGCTTATGCTCCAGGACGCCTTCTTCAACGAGCCGCCCATATATCTCAGCCGCGAATATTCGTAGCCATTTCTCCGCCTGCTCCAAAGAGTTGATCCCTGGACGGAATGATTTCGTCGATATCATTGATTTGATCTGGGTTCGAGGATTGACCTCACTCCAGTCATTCCCTCGAATAAGTTCGTATAACCACATCCCCGTATCATCATCCAGCTTTGCTTTAAATTGTTCCAGCGGAACACGCAATAATTCATCCACCTGTTCGGTCTCAAAGGTTGAAGCGATTTGCTTTCCTAACTTGCCACCCAACATCCTGATTTTGGTAAATTTGAAGCCACCAAGGAACTGCTGTATGGCACGATTTCGAACAATTGTCTGCTTATTGGGCTTATTGCAGGCGCTCCCTAGCTTGGCCATCATTTTATTCCGCGCAATTCCTGCAGAACACGTGTAACCTAAGCGCTCCCGGATCATAAAACGAACTGACCTGACGATATCTGCTCCAACGAGCATAACCACATCATCCCAATCCGGGTCATCCTCTTCCGTCTCTCCCTCATCTAAGTCGACCAGCTCATCCTCTTTTCCCCAATCTAGCGCCGTAGTAGGTGGGCGTGGTAGGCGCTCACTCATCTCCCTCTTGACCTCCATCTCCTGCAACATCGGATACCTCTCTAGCAGAGTCGCCCACACCAATGCCGACAAATCAATAAAAACCTCATCAATCCCCGCCTTCTCTATCCTCACCATATTTGTCCAATCCTTCTCTTTCTCTTTCACACTTCCTCCACTCTCCGTTCTCCGTTCCCCAAGTCCACACGGATCAACCTTCTCCGCCCACGCAACCAACCCATCCTTAATCGTACCCAAAATCTTCCTCGACTCCGCCCTATACGGATCCAGCGAAACCTTATCTGTCGCCACATTATGATCACCGTCCTCTCTATACGCCCATTTCCCGCCCTCGCCTTCCCTGAACGTGGCTACGTGCACCGTCATGAGCTGCGGACATCTCGCCTTTGCCTCTTTCGCTGTGATCATCCGCGATATGTTAAACGGCCGGGCGGCGTAGTTCACGGCGATCAGGGACTCCCATTGCTGGACGGCGAGGGGTTGGGTGCGCGGAGTGTTGAGTCGGACCATTTCGCATTGGGCGTAGAAGGCGTCGAGGTCGATGTGGGCGACCACGCGGAGGGGTGTGCGAGGGGAGAATGTCCGGAGGAGCTGTAGGTTGCGGTGGGTAAACTGTGAGATGTAATGGGTGTGCAATGGGGAGGAAGATATGGTGTCCATCGTGATGGCTGCGGGTATGGAAGGGTCAATGAGGCCAGTCAAGACTGAAGGTGCCATTATCTCCTGTGTCCGGTGATATCATGTTTGTGGAAGTTTCTCCATATTCTTCATCCTCCCAATCTAGCTTCAACGCGTTTGTGGAAGCGAAATGGTTTGGGACGGGTGAATGTTGTGGGAATACAGGGTGCATGGCGAAATAAGTCTCTCCCGGTCTTGCTTGGCTTGTCCAGGCGCCCAAAAGCATCCCTAAAGTTCCGGGCAGGCTTGGCTAAGGAATCCCCGAAGAGTGCCAACAGTTTGCAAATCATAGATCTGATCGCGTTTGCAGTATTTTCAAGATCACCTCTACCCTTGACCTATTTTACATTGCTATTTTACATGTGAAAAGGTTAGAAATACAGAAGAGCCTCCTCAAAGCGTGGAGATAAATTAGTAGTTATACAAAGAGCAAAGAGGGACTCATGCGAGCTGTTCAACCCTCAAATATAGGTTGGCTCAGCTCGACTCCCATATCCCTTGCCATATGTTGCATTTGAGCTTCGATCTCATCCTCCATTCCTCCTCCCCAGCCCAGCATCTGCCGAATCCGATACCAGTAGAACAGTATGTCGGAGCTGAGTAGTACAAATCTAAACACGATGTGCCGACCATAATTCTTTATCTTTTCTAACAGCGGCAAGTCGGCCGATTCGACAAGGGCACGGGAGGCCCATGTGCCCGTGATCTTGATCCGGTTAACTGGCGAGCCTAAGAACTGATTGTTTGCTTGCACGATCCTCATGTTTCGGGATATAAAGATGAGCTCGCGCGGCCATCTGGTCTCGTCGCCAAGAATTTCGCGAACGGCTTTTCGCATCGCCTGCTGCATTTCATATTGTAATTTGGCTCTGTCCTTCTTGCTTAAACCTTCGAGTGCTTTTGACGTTGTCCTTTCTCCGCCCTGGTATGGCCGGAGAAGGGTGGCGGACGCAAACAAGTCAGCGTTGTTAACGCCCCAATCGTTGACGATCTTGGTAATACTATTGTTATCGAAAGTCAATAGTGCTTTCCAGAGACGTGCGTATTGGTGCCGGAAATTAGGCTCCATGTGGACGTAGAGACCGTGATCTATGAGCACAAGCTCGGCCTTGCCGTTGGGCTGGCGGCGGACGAACCAGTTGCCAGGATGAGGATCGCAATGAAGCCAACCCCAAAGGAACATTTGCGCGGAGAACAGATCGACCATTGTCGTCATCACTTCGTTAAGTGAGAGTCCCAAACCACCACGGCGAGCTCTTCCTTTCCAGTACTCCCGTCCTGGCTTTAATCTCTCAGGAGTAGAAGTACTGTAGGATGGCCGACGAGGTGTCAACTTCGCACCGGGAAGATCCAGAGGTGTTCCATGGCATCCTGGGCTGCCTTGTCGCCAACCTCCCCGCCAAGGTCTCGTTATGGAATCTTTATCCCAAAGTCGAACACCTTCTATCCATTCAGCAGTCATGACTCGCTTAGAACTTAGTTCGCGGTAGACCTTTGGAATGTATACTCTATTTCGGAGCCGCGGCTCGGCCGCGACAAGCTTGGCCATTCGCTCAGCGTTATCGGCCTCATTTTCAAAATCTGTTTCCAAGAAAAGACGCTCACTGACAAAAGGTACCAAGCTGTAGAACGGGATATCAAAAACACGACTATAGACCCATGTAATAATCCTGCAAAACGGTTAGAGAGGTTTCACTCAGGGTGGGAAATTTGCATCGGGCGCAGGTTTGCTATAGATAATTTAAAAAAAGAAAAAGAAAAAAAAAGAAAAAGAAAAAAAAAGAAAAAAAAAGGAGTTCAAATAAATAAAACAACTCACTTGAAAGCCCACAGATCCCACTTAACTTGCGTCGCAATCTCCTTCTTCTGGATCTTGATAGCAACCTCCCTGCCATCGCTCAACTTCGCCCAGTGTACCTGTGCAACGCTCGCACTCGCCCTCGCCGTCCTCTCCATAACTCCACGGCTCGGATCTCCCGAAAACGATACTCCAAACACCTCCTCAGCGGGCTTTCCAAAATCCTCCTCGATGACGCGCGCCACGTCCTTCCAGTCGTTCTGGGGCGCATCGTCGAACATGCGCGAGAACATCTTTTGGAATTCCGGTGGCAAGATGGCCGATTGCATGGCGATAGCCTGGCCGATCTTCAGGTATAACCCGCCATTGGTGCGGAGGAGTTCGGATAGACGCTCGGCGTTGCGCGCGTGCACTGCGGCTATGGACGAGGCGAGCGGTGGGTTGGGCCGGAAGTTGAGCTTGTAGTCGAGAGCGACCAAGATGCCGAGGGCGAATGTGCGGGCGGTGCGGGTGAGGCATGAGGCGTAGAAGTAGCTGTCAATGGCATATATGGTGCCAACGGAGAGACTGAGGTAGAAGAGGCGACGGAGCCATTTGCGGGTTCGTCGGTAGGTTTTCGCGGCGGTGGGTTTTCCGAGAGAAGAGGGTGGAGGGGGGACGAAAGGCTGGAACTGCTGGGTATGGATGTGCTTTTCGCACTTGATCGGTTGGAGGCCCAATAGAGAGAGGTTCTGCAGTCGAGATCGCGAGGTCAGATGCAAGCTGGCTTTGGGAGCTCGAAAGCAGCCGCGGATCGAGAAGTTTTGGGGCGGCGATCTCAGAGAGTTAGCAGCAAAGATAATGCTCTGGGAAGATCGGAGGCTGGCCGCGAGTGAGCGGGCATAGCTGCAGCCTGCCATAGACCTGGTCCAGCAGAATATCACAGCTTCCGCCTGTGAGAAATTTCAGTGTCTGATGATGAATTCCCGCGGGCATCGAATGCGAATTCTCCCCCAGAGTTCTGCGAATTCTCAGGCAACACCGTCAAGTAACCTCGCTAGCCTGTTGCGTCAGAACCCAAAAAAGCCGCCCGCCAAGCATCCGGCACGCCGCACGGCGGCCGCCCTCGTCCGTCTCGATCCTCTGCTTCTCCACGCCCGATTCGTTTCTCGCTGCGCGAGATTATGACCGGCAGCAGCTCTGCTGGAGAGAAAACCTGCCAGGAATCTCAAAGCTCGAAGACAATCCATCATGCAGGCCGCGATGAGAATCAGACCGAGGAAGCTTCGGTCATCCGCTGTGAATGACTCGTATTCTGATCACTCCTGATTCGCTCGGTATGAGAAGGATATCAGAAGGGTGAACGAAAGCAGCCTCGGTTGAAGAATAATCAAGAGTGCAACAGCCTCTTCTCCGCCTTCATGGGAGGCCCTTGGAATGGAGTAACTACTGAGTAGCGGCCCTGATCCATCGGACGATTGCTTTCATCCATCAACTATCAGCCTTTCTTCTATCGATCTGTGCTGCTACAAAAACAGCCTGGATTTACATTTCGTCCTGCGTTTTCTGTTCAAAATCAATGAGTTATCTTTATCCTTAATTATCCGGAACAGGTCGGGATTCAATCCGCACTGAACACGCTTATCATGGCCCAGGACCCTGAGATCGTTTTGTTCCACTACACCTTCTCGCCATACGCACGGCGAGTGGCCTGGTTTGTTGACCCCGACCTCCGTCTGTTAAATCATTAACGGAGACCAGCTGATTGAACAACGTAACTAAGGTATTTAAATCTACGCGGCATTAGATATTCGCAATGTGTAGGCCAATGGTCCCCCCTTCCTCCTTCTCTCCTCACTCTCTTGAGGATGCAAATGAATACTTGGTGTCCGTTCTTCTGATTAGATGACTGCCAGCTACAACCACCGATCATGCCCCGGCCAGACCTTGCGGCTCTGGGCGTCCAGTACCGGAGAATCCCGGTGCTTATGATAGGAAAGGATATTTTCTGTGACTCCAGGCTGATCATACAAAAGCTTGAGGAGCGGTTCCCCGCTGGAAAATTAGGTGCAGACGATGGGGATGGGAAGGCGATCGAGAAGCTAATCGACATATGGACGACGGATGGAGGAGTGTTTGGCAGGGCTGCCCAGCTGATACCCATGAATACTCCTCTCACCTCGGACCCTAAATTCATTGCAGACCGCCTCGAGTTCTCGAATAGAAAACCTCTGTCAAATGATTCTCAGTCGAATCCGCGGGGAGAGGGAATGGTCCACGCCAAGCAGGCATTTGATATTATGGAGACCACTCTCCTCGCCGATGGCAGAGATTGGATCCTGAAGACAGGAAAGCCTACACTTGCTGATATCCAAGGCGAGTACGACCAGTTTTCCTTGTATCGGTCAGTATTATTGACTGGGTTTGCATGCAGGCGTATGGGTATTCGACTGGATGATTGGGCTCAAAGGAGCCCTTGATCCCGCTCAGATATCAGAACAAACATACCCCATAACCTTTGCGTGGGTTTCTCGTTTCCGGAAGGCCTTATCTGCAGCTAGGTCCACATCCCCCATGCCCCGAACCTTGACTGGCAAAGAAGCGCTAGACGGGCTCAGCCGGGCAGACTTTGCCGAACCAGAAGGCACTGTTGATCCAGCTGATCCGTTGAAATTGGAAAGGGGCGATGAAGTCCTTGTATTCCCGACAGATACCGGTGTAAACAGGAGAGACAGGGGCCATATTGTAGCTCTTAATGCGCAAGAGGTTGTGTTGCAGCGTAAAACAGCAGACAACCGGTTTGACGTGCGCCTCCATTTCCCTCGGACCAACTTTAGGATCCTTAAAGTTGATAGAATGGAAGGAGGGCGCTTATGAGATTACTCCAAGGCAAGCAAAGGAAGAATGTGATCCCCAGCCCAGGCTCTTCGGTTTTATGTTGGGAACCATCGCCCCCACCGCCTTTATTTTCCGCAGTTGAGACTGGATGCCATGGGGTAAATCAGATGCAAGCATAATTGAGAAGAGAACTTAATACAATGAACCATCTGCAGGCAAAGAACCGGGTCAAAAGTGCCGGGATGTATGACGATGAAAGAGGCAAGTTTTGTTGCTCTCCCCTCTCAAAGAGTATCCCGTAAGACTAGATTGCCACAGGTGGCGTCATGCGTAATATGTATTTCCGCCGGGGGTACCCAAAGAGCATTTCTACTTGATAGCATATATGCCAGCTCTGCACAGAACCTTCGCGACACGGGCAATTGGATGGTTGGCAGCCGACACAAACTGTACAATGGGCTGTGGAAACCCGAAAGATCATGGAGCCAGAAATTAAATACCAGATATCTGCAATGACCTAAAGAAAGAGGGGGGAGCGTATTTCCTGTGGTGGCACAGACGTAACGTTGGATCCCAAACAGTGGTCAGAAACGAATTGAGCTTTACTTGTAGAGCGTAGCAGCCGAGAACTCGCAGTGGTTAGACAGATTCGTCCTAGGCCCGTATCGACATGGGTATAAGACGATGGAAAGATTGAAACCAAAAAAAAAAAAAAAAAAAAAAAAAAAAAGGAAAAATTAAAATTGTAATTATTAAGAAAAATAAATGAAAAGAAGAGGTTGAAAAACAAGCAGAAGGGCAGAGTGATGATGCCCAATGCATGTGTGCCTAACCGTCAGAGCCGCTTGCCCAACCACGCAACTCCGAACCCCTGATTGGCCCGTGGAGTCGACCGACACTGCAGGTTTGATTTTCAGCAGACAGAACAAAGTGAAAAGATCCATGTGAGAAGGGTGAGAAGCAACTAGTTTCCGACGCTGTGTGTCCCCCTGCCCGAGAGATCCTTTCTGGTGGCATCAGGAGAGGCTGATCCACCCCGCAGGCAGGGCCCATACAGCCAGAGAAAGTACCGTATACCGGGCTGGGTCTGCGGCAGGGCATGAACGGTTGGGTATCAAGGACCTTATCCAAAGGTTTTCTTTTTTTTTTTAAAAAAAAAAGGGAAGAAAAGGTAGCCAGTAGAAAATCACAGGTGCCCCGTGCCTGGATCCTGATGGGAATGGAAAATGCATTGGGTGAAGCAGCCGGCGCATCGGGATTGGCCGCCAGGTCGCGCCAGGAATGCAATCGAGAACAAGGCCCAAAAAGTAGGTCGTCAGCCGTCGGTTTGGCTCGCAGGCTGATCGGGTGGCGAGAAAGATCCTGATAACGTCGTCCCCATCAGCTGCTGAGGGGAATGCCTTTTGTCGTCGTCGTCGTCTTCTGTCCCTTTTGGCCTCTCACGAACTACTCGGCTGACATAAGCTGGCGCGAGTCCGTGCTTCGCTTAGGCTTCCTCTTTCGTGGCACCAGCCAGGCAGCCCCCGCGCCAGCCAATCGCCCGCCGCCCTGCTGCCCCCATCGCTGGCCCCTCCCCGCGCCGTCGCCTGCCCCAACCCGCTTTAACCACCGCCCTGCGCTCGCGCACCCGGCCTTCCTCTCTCTCTCCCTCTTCCTCCTCTTTCTCTTCTCTTCTCGCTCTCTCTCTCTCTCTATCTTCTCTACCTGAACGTCTGACCACCTGTCCTTTTCCCTGCTCCTCCCTCTTCTCCCTCATACGTTGTCGACGCTCTGCATTCCCCTCTCTCCCTCCTCTCACATCCTTCTTTTCTCGTGGCGCGCCTTAAAAAAGAAAAAAAAAATACATATACAAAACAAACACGCCTCTACAGCAGATTCGCCCCTTTTATGAGGAGGCAGTGAACAACCAGTGTTGCTATTAGGGCTTATTACTCTGTCGTCTTTTTCTCTCTCCTTCTCCAGCTTGATAATATCCGTTCTCTCTCCTCTAGCGAGACGACTGCTCACCCCGTTACCCTGGTTTGACCGAAGGACCACGCTTGATCCGTTCCCTGGACTGGACCATTACCCTTTCGGATCTTAGAAAAGCCTGTTGTTCCCTGGATCCATCGTTTTTCCCTCTGGGAAATACACTTGCTCCCGTCTTGAGATACCTCAGATCCTTGGTTTCCTTTCGCGGCAGCAGTTGAACTGTTACCCGCACTGCCAATCAGCCACAGAAAAGCAAATAAAAAAAGCAAAAGAATAAAAAAAGGATCCGATATCTTGCATCCGGGATTTTCACCAGACCAAGTGATTTTTTATTTTTCTATTCGCCCTCAAAAACAAACCTGACCTTCAGCGGCCTTACTTGCCATCCAAGCGGAAAAAATACTTGCACGTGGATTTGTCCGTCCTCTTTGCCTCAGGGTCTCACTGGATTTCATTTTGTTTAATCCGTTAAAAGCAAGCAGTCATATTTTGAGATTCAACTCCCTACCAGCAAGAGCATATCATGGCACACTCAGAGCGTCAAAATGAATATTTTATTGAAAAGGACGGCATCAGTCGCGAGGTGATCCAGGCTGACATTTGCCGCTATCTTGGAAATGATGCCCTGGTTAAACCTGGGGTCCACCAGGTCCGCTTTCCCAATCCTCAGAGCCCATCAACCATCCTGCTGGCCTCTTTGTTGCGCTCTTCCACAGCTGACAATTTCGTTGCAGGGGCGCCAAGGATACTTTATTCGTGCGTATCGGAACCTGACTTCTGTATGCTCCTCCTCCTCCTTTGAAATCCCTATCCTACCGTTGTCGATTGGCATATCCGCGTTCCAGGTTCGCACTAACATCGATCTTCTCCTGTGTAGGAAATGATTGCCGATCTCAAGGCCGATTCTGCTCGATGGGAGGCGGAGACATCTCGTAGAGCCGAGAGAGGTCACCCTAGAGGTAATTACTATGATGATGCGAACTTGTCGCAAGGCCCTAACGGGGTTCCAGCTTCCTACAATTCATCTGCTATTCACGAATCCCGCCAGCAAGCAACATATGCTCCCGCTACAACCCAACCATACATGGATGTATATGCTTCAGCGCCGAGTGCCTATCCTCCTCAGCCGAGCGGACCTGGATATGGCCAGTCATTCAACCAACCTTCAGGCTATTCGTCAGATCCAGCACCATATCCCCCTGCACCAACTCAATATGCTCAAGGACAGTCATCAATGCCAGTTGTCACAACTGCAGAGATGCAGTCATCTTATACCTACGCTCCTGGGAATCCTGGCAATCCTTACCCCTATGCTGATAGCCGTGCCGCACCCCGTTATACCGGCCAAGGATATGAGAATGACGGCCCGGATTATGCACCAGTCCCCACTACGGGTATGGGCTATCCGCCCACCACTGCTCCCGACCCTCGGATGATGGACCCAAGATATTCCCCTGAGAGCGTTTATCCGGATCCTAGAGGCCCAGTTAGCAGGCCAATGCAAGCAAGGGAGAGAGATCCTCAACGCCGACCCCGCTAATATGTTACCTGTTCCAATATGGGATTTGAACTTATTCTGTGTTCTCCAATTCAAAAAGAAAAAAAAATAAAAAGGTCACATTATACAGTGGCCTCATGGAACAGCCCCAAAGAATGTGGAATTTTTACACTCTCCTTGCAGTCTGCATGACTAGTTTTTTCTTTGCGGCCCACTCTTTGAATCTCTTAGATCCATGTGCTACACTGATTGTCATGGATCGGGCCTCACTGAGATGAGAATGTGTAAAAATTGGCGTCCACCGACGTCAAAACTGTGCATTGCTTTATTCGCAACGATACAGTGAAGGCCAGATTCTCGACGCGCTATTGGAGTGGAGCTTAATTCATATCTCTTCCCGTGGACTACTATTACTTGTTCCTGGATTCGGCGCGTTACGGGCTGGTTTGGGGGTGTTGGCGGAAAAAGGCGGCTTCGTGTATGAACCTGGATCCTCCAGTGATGTTATTGAAAAAAAAAAAAAATTGCCTGGTTGTTCCAAGCTCTTATGTGAAAGCAATGTACAGGGATTAATATCTGCTTTATGTTCTGTTTTCTTTTTTCTCTTTTTCTTTTCTTTCCTTCTTCTTTTTCTTCTTTTGTCTCTTTTAAAAAATTCATGTTGCATCACTGCCTTTGTTACCTCCATGCTGGACTGGACATCTGTACCGAAGACTCCTCCCTATCTCGCTTCTGCTTTGGGAAATCTGCATCTTGGAGCCAGGCTGTCTGTTTTCATAAAGAAGGCGAGGCTATTAATGCTTAGATAATGCATGAGAGGCGTTCATAAACAGGTTAAAATGATAATATGACCTTTATGCTTTTTGTATCCAAGATGACAGCTCAACGTCTTGGGAACCAGGTCCGTTGATAGAATTTGAGAGCATATGCTATCTCTTGAATGCTGCGTTTTGCAAAATCTCGGCTGCAGAGGGAGCTTCAATTGACATCTCTAGACCCAACTACCTCAGAGTACAGATCGATGGTACCCCGTTCACGTCGACTCTCTGGGCTGCACGTTACGTAGCTCGACTCACATTACTGCTAATGCCCACAGCGACAAGTCGCCAATTCCGAAAACGTGACAGACCTTTACACCTTTTACCGGATATGAAATGTTTTAGGCCTTTTTTTTTTTTTTTTTTTTAAATTTCGCCATCGCCGCGCGCGAGAATGGCGTCGTCGAACATTTCGCTAAACTCTATAGATATAAAAATAAAGAGGAAACAGTTATGCATTTATGTACATACATGCGATACAACATAAAGGGAAAGGCAAGAGAGGGCTTCCAAAAAAAAAAAAAAAAAAAAAAAAAAGAATCAAACTCCTCTGCGGGCATTTTATTCTCTTTTTATTCCCCCTTTTTCCGTTTCTTCCTGTTTCCAGGTCTGTAAGAAATGATACACCACACCTTGCGCTCGTGGTATCGAAGGTGTAGCGCATTTTAAGGCCCTGAAAGGATTAAGGGATTGTCGTAGCGGAATGAGCGATAATTGGGTAGGATTCCGTAACTGCGAGATTTGAGAGACAGAGCTTACAGTAGCAGCTCCAGTGTGATCGTAATTTTATTTTATTTTATTTTATTTTATTTTTTTTGGAAGGTCGGCGGGGAATGTACAATGAGGCTTCGGTTACTCGTCGTCGTAACCTTGTGGTATCTTTCTCGGGCCGGGGGGAACTAGAGCGCGACAAGTGGGATAATGTTAGCCTGCTACTGTTCTGAATTATGATGCGCACAATGCCTAGTTCCGGAGGAACGGGCGGATAATTGGAAAAAAAATTGGAAAAGGCGAAGGGTGCCAGGGTTCTCAGGCTAAAGTGATGTGCTCTGAGGTGAAGGTGAAAAAGAAGAGGCAATACGCACTCGGATAACTCATGGGCACGGGAGCAGGATCAACGTCTCCAAAGTATCGTCTAATTGGAGGTAAAGCAACTAATGCGACGGGACCCAATGAGCCCATCAAGATGGAGTAGAAGATAGCCGGTCTCTCGTTCGCTGCCCAGCGCATGTAGCGGAGGGGTGTGGACCAGAATACTGGCTTGGACATGGCTACAACCTGGATGTGCGGTATTTCGAAGGCCTCAATTGAGTCGGGAAAGAGTGTATTCGGGGGGTATATCGCCGGATAGACAAAGCAATTGGGTGTTGAGGGCAAGGAGACGTTCGGCGGGTTAAGGTCTCGGAGCGATGGTGGTGATGAAGGGTTGTGCCCGCAACGGGACTGGATGTGATGCTGCTGGGTCTTGGCATGTTGGACTGGGTTCCAAACACGTAGCTTCATTCCACGCCCCAACACTCAGTCAGTCACCTCCGGATTCATGTTATTGCCAAACATACGATAAGAGAGCCACCGAGCAGTTGGCAAATCTGCCCGTTAGTCTTTCCTCCTCTGCATTGCCCGCGCGCACGGGTTAAATGCCAGTATGCGGTGGTTTCTTTCCTTGCTTGTCCTTGGGATATACTATGGAGCTGTTCAAGCGTTAAGTAGCTCTGGCAGCCGATTACTGGTGATTCAGGAGGAGTCTTCTGAAAAGCCCTTATATTCTACATTTTGGGCTGACCTTGAAAGTGCGTATTTGGTTGCTGCTGCTGAGCGGTATATCTGTCTGACCAGGTCTAACCCGGATGTGCGTAATTAGGTCGGGGCTACTCAATAACCTTTACAACTCCAAAGGACGAGAAGCTCTCGCTTTTCCAGTATGGCGTTAGGGCATATGACCACCTCTTGGTCCTACCCCCGAAATCCAAAGGTAGTGTTTCAAGGCCTCTTCAATTCGAACGCGCTTTGAAACTAATATGAAGTCTAGGACTCGGGCCGGCTTTGACGCCCAAGGCCCTCCTCGACTTTGTCAATGACGAAGGAAACATCATTCTCGCCCTTTCTGGAGGCTCGCCGACTCCCAGTTCCATAACATCCCTCCTCCTCGAGCTCGACATAAGCCTTTCTCCCGATCGGGCCCCCGTAGTCGCGGACCATTTCAATTATGATACAGTGTCCTCCGCCGATTTCCATGACACCCTACTCATTTCCCAACCTGGAAAACTGCGCCCAGGGGTGAAAAACTATTTTGCTGGTGATGGGATTATCGCATTTCCGAAATCTGCCGGTCAGCTTCTCGGGAACGCCAGTCCTCTACTTGCTCCTATCCTTCAAGCTCCGGAGACGGCATACTCGTATGATGCCAAAGATATAGATGCGCCGGTAGAAGATACTTTTGCAATGGGATCGCAGATTGCTCTCGTCTCCGCTATGCAAGCGAGAAACTCTGCGCGTGTCACCGTTCTGGGTTCGGTTGAGAGCTTGCAAGATAAATGGTTCTCAGCTACCGTTAAAGGACCAAAGCAAGGAAAGGAAAGTAAGACGGCGAATAGGGAGTTTGCGAAGCAGCTTACGGCCTGGACGTTTAAGGAAATTGGTGTCGTCAGAATGCGAAAAATACAGCACTATCTAAGCGAAACGGCCACCACAAGTCCCGCTCTTCTGAATGATTCTAGCCCGACTATGTATCGGATCAAAAATAATGTGGTATGTTCCCCTATACCTAACCTGTTACGAGTTATCAATAATACTGATTGCTGCAGACCTTCAACATCGAACTCTCCGAGTACGACTACGACCATTGGGTTCCCTTCAAGGTACCTGAAAACGATGCCCTGCAGCTTGAATTTGCAATGCTTTCGCCTTTTCACCGATTGAATCTCAAGCCTGTCTATGAGACAGAGAGCGGTGCAGTTTACGGGACCTCTTTTATTCTTCCTGATCAACATGGCATCTTCTCTTTCCGAATTAATTATAAACGTCCTTTCCTCACCAATGTGGTTGAGAGACACGAAGTTACAGTGAGACACTTTGCACACGATGAGTGGCCGCGCAGCTGGGAAATTACTGGTGGTTGGGTCTGGATTGCTGGATTGTGGTCGGTTGTTGGTGGATTCTTGGCCTTTGTTATGGCATGGCTCTATTCGGCTCCGCCGAAGGAAGAAGATCCGGTGAAGAAGAAGCAGTAGATCGGGGTATCACACACTTTTGTTGGGCTGTAAGGATTTATCATGTATAACTTGGGTTCCTTGGATGTATATTTTATGTTATAGGGCGTTGTTTTAACCAAAAAAAAAAGAAAAGTCAGCCTCGAGGGTTCATCCTATCTGTCCCTCAAGGGCAAATAAACCAAAGAGCAAGAGAGGAATATACTCTAATCGTACAGGTATATACAAGTTATGTCACGGCATATCACATCAGAAACTAAGGGTTCTTGCAGAGCACTATGCCCGAATGCCCCAACCCCAACGCCTTTCAAATAGATCTACCATCAAAACACGAAAAAACGCCATTATGCAATTAGATTTTCTTCGTCCCACACAGAAATCCCCTTCTTTATCATCATAATCCCCTTGTCTTCTCCGGATCCATCTGTGCCTCGTCGCCGCTTGTCTGCTTTATAGATTGAACGGCGGGTTTTCCGGCATATAGTTGGGGAACGGGGGTTCTCTTTTCCACGACTTCACCCGTGTCTGTATCGGTTTCTTTCGTAAGTGAAACAGGCGCATTGCCTCGGAAGCGTTTGCGCATATCGACCATTCCACGTCTAAAGTTGGACGAAATATCAGTTAGCACACGGGGCTGGAAGAAAGTTGCTGCGCGCGCGCAGGGGGTGATGTGTGACGTACTTGCATTCACTGAGACCCTTTCGGAGCTGTTGGCACTTCACGGGGAGTTGGTCAAGATGCGGTTCGCGCAGACATTCACGGGGGGTGTTGCGCTGGACCATGATGCAGTCCGACTCTTGCAGGCATTGGGCTAAGGCCAGTCCTGGATGTGCGGTATTAGCATGCAAGTTTTACCATCTGGGCTTGGGTGATGGCTTAGGCGTACGGATATCTTTGCAGGAACTCGGCATCTTTAAAGTGTATCCAATGAAAGTCTTGTGCTTGGCTCGCTCCGACCTCTCTGTCGCAATTTGAAGCCCGCTCGGGTCCGTGAACGCTCGAGGAGATATGCCTCAGCGTCGGCGTGTCTCTGATTGGCCAATCTCTTCAATTCACGTGCTTATTATATAATCAAAGGATTCATGATTATATAAGCAAAATGACGTCAGCGGAGCTAGTTAACTAAGTCAGTTTGCGCGCCTCCCCTGGCGCAGGTGCAGCTTCTCTTGAGGTTGCGTCTCGACTTGAGCTGGGGGTTGGCTTGAAGCAGGACGACATCGCACGCTTCCGGTGCCCAGTTTCCTTTCTTCATGTCTTTTTGGGATTGGGGGTTTTGCTTTGGAGTTGTAGTCGGCTTAATGTATAATAATTCCCGTCAGCATCACAATGCCTCGCGTTCCTGTTCTTGGCAGGTTATTCTGGTATGTCCTACTCCATATCCCACATGACGGAGTCACTCGGACAGCGCCTTTGTCTGCGTCGTTTCAAGGCGGCAAGTGGATTTCACTGACAGAATATTTGTTCCTAATCTAGGAATGAATACCTTGCGCTCTTTGGGTCGTTGATATTTATTTTTCTTGAAGGGTTCCTACATCTTATAACTTCCTCACTGCGTAAGCATGCATGGCTCCGATAGCTCCTATTGCGTCGAACTACACTTCATGGAGAAGTCTCCTAATGAGTCTGCTAGCTGCGCCCATCATTAGCTTCTTTTACAGACAGTCCAAGCGGCTATTCAATATCTTCTCTACACCGCAGGTCCTGGCGAATCAGCAAGAAGTTTCCGTGTCGATAGCAAAAGCCCCTGACTTTGTCGATCTGTGTGTCCTATTCGGGTATGAAGCCGAGGAGCATATTGTTCAAACTGGAGACGGATATTTGCTTGGCTTGCACAGGATATCCTGTCGAAAATCTGAAAGAGGCACCAAAGTAAATAGTGGCGAAGGAAGCATACAGAAACGAGTGGTGTATCTACACCATGGGCTTTTGATGAACAGCGAAGTTTGGGTGTGTCTGACGGACGAGGAGAGATGCCTTCCGTTTCGTTTGGTTGAGCAGGGTTATGATGTGTGGTTGGGCAATAACCGCGGGAACAAGTACTCCAAGAAGTCCACGACTCACTCCCCATCGTCAACTGCGTTCTGGAACTTCTCGATGGACCAATTTGCGTTCCATGACATCCCGGACAGCATTGACTATATCTTGTCGGTCACATCACAAACCTCCCTCTCTTACGTCGGCTTTTCGCAAGGAACAGCCCAGGCCTTTGCGACGCTCTCGATTCACCCTGGTTTAAACCAGAAGGTTAACGTATTCATCGGCCTGGCACCTGCAATGTCTCCAGCTGGGCTCCACAATGGTGTTGTCGATTCACTGATTAAGGCTTCTCCCGATGTCCTGTTTCTTGCGTTTGGACGTCGAAGCATCTTGAGCTCGGCGACAATGTGGCAAGCGATACTATACCCGCCGATATTCGTGAGGATTATCGATATGTCCCTTTCGTTGCTTTTCAATTGGAGAGGGACAAATATCAGTCTTGCTCAGAAATTGGCAGCTTATCCTCACTTATACTCTTACACAAGCACGAAATCTGTCGTCCATTGGTTCCAGATTATCCGCAACAGGAGCTTCCAAATGTACGATGACGACGTCGGGCCGACCCTGAATATTGGCGGAGTGGCGCGATATTACAAGCCTGCAAAATTCCCGACGAAGAATATCCGAACGCCAATTGTGTTGGTATACGGTGGCAGCGATAGCTTGGTTGACATTAGCGTAATGTTGAAAGAACTTCCCAACCACACCGTTGCGACGTCGATTCCTCACTATGAGCATCTTGATTTCCTATGGGCAGAAGATGTGAACGAACTGGTCTTCCCTTGGATCTTCGGGGCACTAAGGGACTATGGTCCTGATGGACAAAATTCTTTGGTCGGATCAAAATATGTAAATGGAACAAACCAGATTGACGACTTTGAATAAAGATGACGAGACGCTAGGGCGCCATGTCATGACTCTAACCCAGCAGAATGGCTACCGGCATCAGTGCCACAATGAGGTTCCCCGCCCTGATCTGCCCGCACGGGCATACATGGAGCGTGACGGAAGAACCGGGTCCACCACGATTATCTGGCGCGGGATGGTTAATTCGGTGACACGAACCGCAACTACATAGGTATTCCATGCCTGACTCTGTGATCGGCACCGACAAATCTAGATTTATATATAACTATGGCCCTATGTATTCCAAGGTCACTAGAGATACAAGGTGGGTTGGCAAATTGGTAGTTGGAAATGAGGCCGTGGAGAGTATTTCACCCTGCACACATGCATATTCGCGCCCATTCTCTACAGTGTTTTGAGGAACTTGTAGGTCAGTCTTGCATGCTGTATATTTACCAGACAGGCGTGGCCGGTTCACCGCCCTGCTAAGTCAACATACTTCATGGATACCTTATCTTCCTCTCCGTACTAAATACCTGTAGACACATATGGAGGTGATATTTTCTGAGATCCTCGTCTCAAGGTCACGATAAATCTCCCGATATGTTTTGATACGCATTCAAAGTGAGTGGTTTAAACCAACCTACATGCCATGGCCAGTTACCTCGACATTGTCAGACAGTCCTAGTACATGCTCTGGGAACCTTAACCACTAGAGACCTCATGAGATAGTGATATTCTTTGAGGTATTATTGCAAGCAGTCGGCCCTTTAGTCCATTCGGTCGAAAGGGGACGTCATCAGTGGCTTATGCCGCCTCAAGGGCTTCGAAGCATGATTTCTCGGCCCGAAAAGCTCCTGCATATGATTACAAGAAAAGAGGACGCCCATAAGGCTCTGCTTCGACGCCTATAGGTGCGAATTGTTGCGCAATTCCCCTCTGAAAGACAATTTAATGATCATGAAAGGGAATATTGGGCCATTATGCACGCCCATCCGTCCTGATCTCTATCCCGAAGAGAGAGAGGGGGGAAAAAAAAAGGTAAGGAGAAGAAAGGCGGAAACCAGGGCCGTGGAAGCTCCCCGGATTAATGGCGGCCAATTGCAACCCTAACATTTAGCTTCTAGTCTTTCTTTTTCCCGTCTTGGACAAGCCAGGACAGCGTTGAAGTGAGATGAGAAGATCATCCTGAGACGAAAATGCGCGGGAATGGCTTGGTACCGGTGAACGAGTGGTAGCCGAGCTGCCGATAACTGGGCGCGAGCGAGCAGCTGAAAAGGTGCATTGAGTGCAGTTCAGTTGTTGTGCGCTGGGGTGGTTAAGGTTTGTGTTTGCTCTCTTCAGCTCTCTCCTTCGGCCCCTCGCATCCGACCCGGCAAGTCTTTTTTTTTTCGAGGCTAACCAGTTGTTAACTCGTGAAGCCGACCAGTGACGATTCTTCATTGGCCTGGGTAGAAATTTGACGGAGTGTCTTCATGCACTCTCGATCAGACCTTGGATCCTGTGATAGGTGAGGTACCTTCAACTCCCAGTCTGCCTGTCCCGGTTCAATAATCTGCAGCTCGCTTTGATTTGGCCGAGCTCCCCCTTCAACCCTACCAAGCTTGTGGGAAATGGTCGATTCTCGTCCAATGATCGTCCAGATTGCTGATATCTCTGCCGCTGTTTTAGAGTTCACGAGTTTCAGAGCTGTGACCCTTTCTCTCCAGTCGCGCTTATGACCTAACCTGAGCTCCCAGCTCGAGAGCGATCGACGGGCCGTGTCAGAATCATTCTTTGCTTCGACGGCGAGCGTCGCCCAAGAGAGCAAAAAGCCGCTGTCAAAACGGCGGATGATATAACTACTCCCTTTCCTCGTACGACATCAGGTTCAATCCACATGCCTTTTTTTTTTTTTCTTTTTTTTCCCTTTCTTCTCCTCCTTCACCATTCCATAACTGACTGCTTAGCTGTTGTCTGCCGCTGAAGGTCGAAATATTTCTCCGACAAGGGAGTTACGAAACCGAAAGCCGTCCCCACTGCCTGGTCCTAGACAGCACTCCCCGCCTCCTTAAGACCTGCTGCTGTGCTACAACCCAGACCCTTGTCTTACCTTCACCTTCAAGGTCCTGTTGACTGGAGCAAACCTCCCGTGGATGATCTGCTTTGCCTCACCTCCTTCCGAACGACCGATGCAATCGCCCTCTCTAGGCGGCTGGCTGTGAGAAGGAGCTTGTTCGGCGTTGTGATCCGCCTCACCTTTCGTCCTCTGAGAAAGAAAAAAAAAAAAATAATTTTTTTTTTTTCTTCTACCCCTTCTCACCATCCCTTTCCTCGTCGCGTTTAGGGCCTTTTACACGGGTTAAAATACAGGGAAATAAGACCCTAGCCATCCCTGCGCAAAAGATCGAAGGTACTTTGGGGCCAACCACAAAAAAGGGATAACAAAAAGACTATTTATTCCTCCCACGCGCGAAATCGACACTCCGCGCACAAACATACGACTGGGATCGAGACAGGGCTTGCCCTCCGGGTTGCTTCGGGGAAAATTGCTGCCCAGTAACTGCTGAGCAAGCTCCGCAAAAAAATCATCTACCGAACACTCGGGAATGAACTGCACGCATCATACAACACACCTTGCCTTGTCTCAGTTATTCCTTTTTCGCTGCAATCGGTACACTTTCTCCGCGATTATCTTCCTATCAATTCTGCCATAATTAGTCCGTGCTCATCCGTCCGATCAACGCCGCGATCCTTCCATCCTCTCCCTACTTCCTTACTTCTGCGGTAGTTGGGTTCCGCTATCGACAGATTTGCCCCAGAAAATGGCATCGAATTTAAGGCTCCAGCCGCGGTATGCCATCCTATTTTAAGTGTCTCCTTGCACCTTTGAGTCACTTCTTCTCTCCTACCCCTACCATGTCCTTTCTCCAACGGTTAGCAGCTTGGCTAACGGCTCTCTGGCAAATCAGGCGGGAGTACCACATCGTCGTGCTGGGCGCTGGTAAGTATTCAATTGTTGGATTTAGTGCAACTGTGATCTGAGCTTCTTGATAGCTGATAAATATTTGGCTGCATGCTTTAGGCGGTGTCGGGAAGAGCTGTTTAACAGGTACGGGACTTGTGACCCTGTGTCTGACATCCTTATCGTCTCAGAAATCCTTTACCTCCCATTTCTAACCGCCCACTTCAAAAAACCGTTCGCTATCATCGGCGCCTAATTTGGAATTTCTATAGCACAATTCGTCCAAAATGTGTGGATTGAAAATTACGATCCGACGATCGAAGATTCGTATCGCAAACACCTTGAAGTCGATGTAGGTCCGATTCTTTCTATTCTCCTGCCTTCGCGAGAATTAACCTTCGACCATAGGGACGACAATGTGTTCTAGAAATGTGGGTTAGCCATCTTGGCTCTTTGTGAGCACTAATCTTTTGCAATATCACGGAGGGCCTCGTGTACCTCTGTCGCTACCCTGGCCTTTTAAGGTGCCCCGGTCATAATTTTGAGAATTAGCTGATGGAATCCAAATGCAGCTTAGATACCGCTGGAACGGAACAATTCAGTAAGTTCCTTGAAGACGTTGAAGTTCAGCTAAGTTTCTAGCAAGTATCATGGCTGACTCGTGTGTTTCAGCTGCGATGAGGTACATACCCCTGATTATCAAATCGTTACCAATGCCCATGACTTTGCCATAGGGCTTGAGCGTCACCTGGACTGCTGAAAGGCGAACGGACATAAGCTAACGGAACGCTCGGTTAGGGAGTTATATATGAAGCAGGGTGAAGGGTTTCTCCTAGTGTTTTCGATCACAAGCATGTCCTCCCTCAACGAGCTGGCCGAACTCCGCGAACAAATCATTCGCATAAAGGATGATGAGAACGTTCCTATTGTGATTGTAGGGAATAAATCCGACCTCGAAGAAGACCGTGCGGTTTCGCGGTCAAAGGCCTTTCAGCTCTCACAACAGTGGGGCAATGCTCCGTATTACGAAACTTCAGCGCGGAGGAGAGCCAACGTTGACGAAGCTTTCATTGACCTCTGCCGGCAAATTATACGCAAAGACATCCAAGCAACGAAGGATCGGGACCGAGAACAGAATCCAGCGAGAAGGAAAGATGGCCAGAAGCGAAGTAAAAAACCAACCAGGAAAAAGGGAAAGCGACCCGACTGCGTTATTCTTTGAGAGCACGTCCTCGCTCGTCTTCTATCCTTTTTGGCCTCTCCCCGGTTTGCAACTATTTCTTCCTGTTTCCTTTTTAATTGTCCTTTCTCTTCTCTTCCATTTTTCTTCTTAGACATTTATTCCCCTCTCTTCAGTTCTTCTATATACATGAAGCTCGACGCACATCCGTATCTATTCTCCTTTTCTTTTTTTTTTTTTTTTTTTTTTTTTTTTTCAATGGGCCCCAGCCGCATTTGGATTTATCCTTGGATATCCTCCCCGAACCGTTGGGTCGGATTCGCAGGTATATATATATATATTCTGGTCCTTTTATATTCTTTTTGTCAAAAGAAAAAGTTTCCTTGAAAATTCGATCGTTTACTCGTTTGCACTCATCCAAGCCGTACGGGAGATTACTAAAAAAAATGCTGGTGATGGTTCGCCATGTTTGGAATGCCTGCCTCTGAAATGGATGACTTTGGACTTCCTATGTATATTTCTCATACTGTTTTTCCTCTTGAGGGCTCAATGATGCCGTCATCCATTTTTTTTTTTCTTTCTTAATATACCTTATTTCTTGTTTCTTCTATTTCTTTCTGTTCTATATTATTCTACATTCTCCTTTCTTTATTTCCGGACCGGTTGTTTTTTCAACATTTTGCAGGAAGACTTCTAGGCTGAGCTCGAATTTCTTCTCTTATCGTTCACACATAGAGCCTCAGCTTCGTTTTCTTGCTCTCTACATTCCATATATCGGGCCGAATCTTGCACCTTTTTTTTTTTTTTTTTTTTGGATTCCTTCTGGCGATAATGGTATGAATAGCTTCTAGCATTCGCCTTCTTGGAATATATATTTAATAACCTTTCTTCGCTTGATGCACCATAACGCCTATGCCAGGCTCCCCTTGCCACATTACTGCTGATGCAATACTCTTCAGTGTCACATGGAATAACGCCACTGCTTCCCAATACTCTTGCAGCGCAAACCATCCTCGGGAAAAAAAACCCATGGCCCTCGGCGAGGTCGTGAGATCATCGTTGAGACCAGACCTTTGGAGAATGAAAAGCCAAAAAATCTCAAAAAACCAGGTCGTGTGGGGACAGATGCATGGAGCACTGACTCGTTCTGTTCGTCTGCGCATGACAAGGATGTACTCCGTACATGCAACCCAAACCTGACCAATGGGCCAGTGCACGCCTGAGCGTGCATAAGAGCTTGGTCCTGCATGTTTAATTGGATAGTGGCGATTCGGAAAGCAGAGCCATGCAGAAGCTTGAGTCGCCTGCGCGCTGGGGGTGGTGGTGGTGATTCTCACGGAGTCTGCTTTCCGGAAAAGCAAAAAAAAAAAAGGAAAAAAGGGTATTTGCCCAATGTATGCACAGAGTAACCTAGCCTCTGGAGAAATTGAGGGGAACTTTAAGCGACCTTTTTTTAAAAGAAAAGAAAAATTATTCGTAGCATATTTGAACGGGAACTTGGATATACATTGGTTTACCCCTGTTAAGTCTACATAAACTGGGGACAACAATTGGAAAATCATAAACAGTTGATAACCGGGGATAAAAACAAAACACCCCCATTCCTCTCATCCCTCCCCTGACCAGATGCCACCATCTATATCATACTACTTCGAAATGTTTACATTCTGAACACACCAAACTTCGTCTTCGCATCTTCGGCCCTTCCACCCATGGAAGCGGCCAAGCTCAGGCCTAGGAACTTGCGTGTGTCCGCTGGTGGGATGACACCGTCATCCCATAACCGCGCAGATGAGAAGGTTGCTTCAGACTCTGCGTCAATGCGAGCCTTGAGGCTGGGATCAGCGGATTTGCCGACAGCAGCCATAACTGAGGAGAGCTGCTCGGAGCCCATGACGCCGATCTTGGCGTTGGGCCACATGTAGAGGAAGCGAGGAGAGTAAGCACGGCCGCTAAACACGTATTAGTTTATTACTTCTTCCGCCCATCTGCTGCATAGGAAGGGAGGTGAAACGGCAAGATAAGTAAGGGGGGATATGAGGGCACCGGGGAAATATTTTTTTTTGAAAAAAAGAAATGAAAAATGAAAAAAGCAACAAAAATAACGTACCACATTCCATAATTTCCGGCGCCGGCACTAGAGCCAAAGACAACGGTGAACTTGGGGACATCCGCACATGCGACTGCGGTAACTAGCTTAGCTCCGTTCTTCGCTATTCCCCCCTTTTCTGCGTCTGCACCGACCATGAAGCCGGAGATATTCTGCAAAAATACCAGTGGAATATTTCTTTGTGCACAGAGCTCGATGAAGTGAGCGCCCTTGAGCGATGATTCAGAGAACAGGATTCCGTTGTTGGCCACGATACCGACTTGGGTGCCGTATATCCTGGCGAAACCGGTGACCAAGGTAGTTCCGTAGTCGCGCTTGAACTCGGCGAATTCGCTGCCGTCGACGATGCGAGCGATGACTTCATGGGCAGGGATCTGGCGGCGGAGATTGGTACCTACGATTCCGGCGAGTTCTGCGGGGTCGTAGAGAGGCTCCTTGAATTGAGCGGACGTGAGAAGAGGGAAGCTGGTTTTGGGATAGTTGAGGTTTGAAATGGACCTGCGAGCGAGGACGAGGGCATGGGCATCGTCGACGGCGAGATAGTCAGTAACTCCGGAGATGGAGCTGTGGAGTTTTCCGCCGCCAAGGTCCTCCGCGGAGACGACTTCGCCGGTTGCGGCTTTGACGAGTGGTGGACCGGCAAGGAAGATGGTTCCCTGATTCTCGACAATGATGGTCTCGTCGCTCATGGCGGGAACATAGGCTCCGCCAGCGGTGCAAGGGCCCATGACGACAGAAATTTGCGGGATGCCCAGGGAGCTCATTCTGGCCTGGTTGAAGAAGATTCGGCCAAAGTGGTCTCTGTCCGGGAAAACGTCCGCCTGATGGGGCAGGTTTGCACCGCCGGAGTCGACGAGGTAGATACATGGTAGCTTATTCTCCTGGGCAATCGCCTGAGCCCGTAGATGCTTCTTCACGGTGATGGGGAAGTAGGTGCCACCCTTCACGGTGCTGTCGTTTGCAACGATCATACATGACACGCCTTCCACGGTACCAATTCCCGTGATTATACCTCCAGAAGGAACTTGGTCGGCGCCATACATCTCGTGGCCGGCCAATGGCGACAGCTCCAAGAACGATGTGCCGGGATCGATCAACGCCGTGACTCGATCGCGGGGCAACATCTTTCCTCTTGCAATGTGCTTATCTTTGGCCTTCTGCGGGCCACCCTTGGCGATGGTAGAGTGAAGCTCTGACATCTTTGCCAGTAGGTCGTTCATCTGTTGGGCATTCTCTTTGAAATCGTGTGATGATGTGTCCACAGCTGTGGGCAGGACGGATATGGCGGACGCCTGGTGGGCATGGGTGTAGTTTGATATGGAGCGGGAGGAGTGGCGGAGAACAAAGAAGGCATTGGGTCGCTGTTGTCTGAGGGTGAGATGGGCATTGGAGGAGAGAGCACAGCGAAGGCTGCGGAGGAGCTTGGTGGAGGGAGCGCGGACTGAGGCCATTGTGTCTGAGGGTCCAAACGCGGGAGTGGGAGGGGGAGGGGAGAGAGAGAAGAGGACAATTAGTTCAGACGGGAGGGTGGATGATGAAAAGAGAGTTATGCTAGAGATATTGCTCCAGCCGGGGAGACCGCGAGTTCAAGAATTTTCGCCGTCTCGCGCAGAGGATTCGATCGCCTCAGTTCTCGTGCTCCTCGTCGTCTCGTCTTTCGTCGGCCGGCACATCCACACCGCAAAGCAGCGACCGCACAGAGCGTGTTTGGCGTGTTTGCTGCCGGCGGATCGGCGACAATAGCCGCTGACAGCCGACGGGCCGGCCCCCCCAGACGCGGAAGGTCAGCCGAAGCCCGCAACCGCCTTCCGCGCCGCCTTGATCGGGCATTCGAGTGCGACAGACCGTGATCCTCCTTCGCTCTGCTCATTTTTGGTGATTTTATTTTGTTTTTTTCTTTTTCTTTTGAACCGTCTTCTTGAGTCTCTCCCGTCAACTGCCACACGTCCTCTCTGAGTAACATGGCTTCTCCCTGTCTTCCCCGCCTCTTTGGCCGCACCGCCAGAACCCTCTGCAAGCCCAGACGACAGCTTGTCCCGCGCTCGTCATGGCGGGCGGCGTCCACCAAGCACCCGCAGGGCTTCGTTCCTCCAACAGAAGAAGACCTCGTGGAGTTGAGAGAGCGAGTTCAGGAATTCACCAGTAAGGCCGTTAAATGATTATCAATTGTCGCCCAAGGTGGACGTTGGTTAACCGTGCTCCGTAGGGCGTGAAATACCCGAGGAGGTTGCCGCAAAGACCGACCTCGAGAACAACTTCCCACCGGAAATGTGGCAGAAACTGGGCGAGGCTGGTTTCCTCGGGGTCACCGCAGACGAGCAATACGGTGGTCTGTCCCTGGGATACCAAGCGCACTGTATCGTCTTGGAAGAGATCAGCCGTGCGTCCGGCAGCATTGGCCTGTCTTACGCCGCCCATTCCCAGCTCTGTGTCAATCAGCTGTCATTGAACGGAACTCCCGAGCAGAAGGCTAAATATCTACCCGGTTTGATATCGGGAGAGAAGATCGGCGCCCTGGCCATGTCTGAACATTCCGCCGGATCTGATGTCGTGAGTATGAAGACGACCGCCAAGGCCGTTGACGGAGGGTATATCCTCAACGGCACCAAGATGTGGATCACCAATGGTCCCGATGCGGATTATATTGTTGTCTACGCCAAAACTGAGCCTACCGGTGGCTCAAAGGGCATCACTGCCTTTATCGTGGAGACTTCCTCCAAGGGATTCTCATGCGCACGAAAACTGGACAAGCTGGGAATGAGAGGCTCAAACACCGGTGAACTCATCTTCGAGGATGTCTTCGTGCCCAAGGAGAATATCCTTGGAGCAGTTAACCGCGGCGTCAAGGTCCTCATGGAGGGATTAGACTTGGAGCGTCTGGTCCTCAGCGCCGGCCCTCTAGGGTAAGACACCCCAGGATCTGGTGTCCAAAATCCATTTCCAAAAATTTCTCCTGCTGACGAGTTACATTTAGTATCATGCAAGCTACCCTCGACCTCGTCCTTCCTTACACCCACACCCGCAAACAGTTCAACGCCCCCATCGCCCATAACCAACTCGTCCAGGGCAAGCTCGCAGATATGTATACTAAACTCGCCGTCTCGCGCGCCTACACCTACAACACCGCCCGACAAATTGATAACTCCGCCGCTTCTCCCGAGGGCACTCAGATCCGCACCCAGGATTGTGCGGGTGCCATTCTCTACGCCGCCGAGCGTGCGACGGAGTGTACATTGGATGCCATTCAGTTGATGGGTGGTACGGGTTATATCAATGAGATCCCCGCGGGAAGATTGCTCAGGGACGCGAAGCTATATGAGATTGGCGCCGGAACAAGTGAAATTCGACGAATGGTTATTGGCAGGGCGTTTAACAAGGAGTATGCTTAAGAGAGTTTTGGGGGGGGACCTTTGTTGTCAGCGATGATACCTGTGTATATGGTCATCTACGTTAGAGCTTTATGTATAAAATTTTGCTATCATTTTATTTTCCCAGGCATTGAATTAATTTCGTCAAAATTCCAGTTGATCCCGATTTTTCTCTTTTTTTTTTTTTTTTTTTTTTCCCACGAGACGCTCAAATCCCATCTGCGAGGGTCGTAAAATGCTGTCCAAACCCAGAAGCAAAATAAAACTATCAACACCCATTATTGATCACCGGCGGATCCTTTTTACTTCAAGTTTTATGTTTTCCGCTGTCGTAATGACCTTCTTTTGCCAACTGACGTCGCTGCCGCCGTCGACGTGTCATCCGGTCCTAATTGTGGAGTAACTTTTCTTGTTTTGGCTGGCCTGCCTCTCTTTTTGATCCCCATCTCGCACCGTTGATCACCATCCTCATCTGCAGGTAGAGGGCTAGTAGCCTTCCTCTTTCTCCCTTTGCGCAGAGGCGGCTGCTTTTGTTCCTCACTTGATACAGAGTCGTTAGCGAGCATGGGAAAGCTGAGACAAGAGCTCTTAGGAGGACCCACAACGACCTCTATCCTTTGAGAGGGGAGTGGACGCGATAAATCCCTCCTTTGCTTTGTGGGGGTCGTCTTTTGGGAGGATGAACCGGTGGGAGACGGTGGTAGATCGTTGCAGCCAGCTTCGGCGCCGGGTGGAGGTGTGGGTTCCTCTGCGGTGGTCACTTGCTTCAAGCGGGACGGTGGTTTCCGTGTTACATGTCTGGATGGGGATTTGGGTTTGCGGGATTTGTCACCATGCGTGTTGGAGCGCTCGATGATTTCTTGTTCGGTGTCGTTAAAGTGGCAGGGTGGAGGCGTAAAGGAGCTATTTGGGTTCTCAGGGAAGGTATATGAAGGTCCATACTCAATATCAACACCATCCTCCACGTCTTCGTCACCATGGGATGAGAGGCCTGAGTCGTTCGTTTTAGGTCCTTGCCGTATAGCGTTTCTACCTTTGCCTGGATGATGTCTCTCCTTCGGGGGCCCGGGCCTGCCGGCGGAAGGATGATGGTCAAGAGCTGGGGGTGATTTATTACGGTCTGGGTATTTGAATAATTCACGCCAATTTCCTAACAGGGAAACCGTCTCACCCTTGCCAGCCTCGTATAACTCTTCTCGACGCAAAGAATGACATGGGGTGCGCCATACAACCCCACAGAATGAATCTATGTCCGGATAAGGCCTTCGACTATTCTTCGCGGGTCGCGCGTTGTCTTTGAGAGACGTGCGTTTTCTCTTTTTCCCAGAATATTTACCGTCGCTGTTTAGAGGTGTCTGGTCCTGTTTCTTCAGCAGGGACGGGTCGTCATCGTAATATTCGTCGGTGAGGTAGTCCCAATCCGATTCGCTTTCCAACGCAGCGTACAGAGCTTGGTCGGTAAGATAAACGGGCGAATGGACAGTTCCTTGAGCAAGATCATCCTGGTACAATGTCAACATAGGATATTCCCTTTCGTGAGGCAAAGCGGGAGCGGCTCACCGCAAGAGTGGGATCACCCTCGTCCCAGAAAATCCATTCTTCCTCGAAGGCGTCATCGTAGTATTCCTCTTCATCCGACATGATCACGGAGGGCTCGTTGAGGCGGGAATTGAACCCTGATCTCGAATCCCACACTGAGCCTCCTCAGATAGGTAGTGTGCGGAAACTACCAGCGGAAAACAACGCCAGATACAATGAGACAGATAGTCACACAGAACCGTCTCATCGAGAGCCAATGATGCTTGCCTTTCTCTGTATCTCTCTTATGTTTCACGACCAAGGTACTGCGGGGTTCATCTCTGTTGAATTTAGCTTCCGACAGGGCAAAAAGCAGCCCATGAACTTGACTAAGGAAAACTGTTTATAATGTTAGATTGTGCGTCAGCAGAAAACAGCCGGCAGCAACACGCCAACGGGATTGGCGATGCTCTCGTTTCTCTCCTCCTCTTCGCGCGCCGTCCAAGGCATTCTTCGACGTGTCCAGCTGAGATCTGACGTAGTGAGAATATCACGTGACCTCCCATGTAGAAGGAAAGTTTGCCGAGGTTGCCACGTGACTATTCGGCAGTGTACGCAGGGTACGGTAACCTTACGTCAGCGGTGTAATTTTCGGAGCCCCACGCCGAGGCTCGCTTTCCGTCGGCACCAACTCTATCTGATTAGCTCAGCCAGGCGGCCGCCGCGATCAACACGCCGATTCGGGACTTTTGGGGCGGACGAGCGCTGCGTCTCGGTGTGGGGGAAAAAGCAGGCAGGAAGGAAAAAAAAAAAGAAAAATAAGACTCCTTCATACCTTGCAACCAGCCCGGGAAGGTCATGATTTTGTCTTGATACCCTACCTTCTCAGCTTGTCCAGATACACACCCTTCTTCCAACTCGGCCAGATGTCTCTTCACTCCTTCATATCCCGCCTTCCTCCTGCCTCCAGCCTTAGCCGAAGGGCGCTCCTCAGATCGGCCGCAAGGAACTCTTCTTCCCTTTCAAGCACCGCCGGCCGGGATGGAACACCTCTCAATTCCATTCTGATCGCCAATCGCGGTGAGATCGCGCTGTATGCTCACCTCCCTCCCCGTTTCCTCACCTTTCGACTGCGTCTTGGGCGGTGAAACGGTTCGGATCAAAGCTGACTTTCGGATCAGACGAGTAGGAAGAACCGCCGGCCAGCATGGCGTCCGAGTAACCACTCTGTACACCGATCCAGATGCCTCCTCTCAACATGCGCTGAGCTCCCCTTTCGCTTTCAATCTCGGCGAGACTTCTGCGTATCTAGATGGAGATCGGATAATTGAGATTGCAAAGCGTGAGGGCTGCAAGGGAATTCACCCGGGCTATGGCTTTGTAGGGAACCCCTTTGTTCTACGTGTGTTATACTAAGATGAATCCTTTTTTTTTTGACTGACCAATTGAGCTAGTTGAGTGAAAATGCCGGCTTTGCACAAAAGTGCACGCAGGCAGGACTCGTGTTTATCGGTCCACCATGGAAGGCGATAGAGGCTATGGGAGACAAGAGGTATGAATCAACCCCAAATGCATCAAATCGAATTTTTAACTATCATCTTATAATTACTAACCACATTGCAATAGCCGATCAAAGGAAATCATGACCGCCGCCGGTGTACCCTGTGTACCTGGTTACCATGGGTCAAACCAGGATCCCGACCTTCTTCAGAAGGAAGCCGACAAGATTGGATACCCTGTTCTAATTAAGGCCATCAAGGGAGGTGGCGGCAAGGGCATGCGTATCTGCTCCTCCAGAGAAACCTTCCAGGACCAGCTCATGTCCGCCAAATCAGAGTCGAAAAATTCGTTCGGCGACGACCAGGTGCTCATTGAGAAATATATCACGACGCCTAGACATATCGAAGTGCAAGTGTTTGCCGATAAGCATGGAAACTGTGTGGCTCTGGGGGAGCGAGACTGCAGCATTCAACGCCGACATCAGAAGATCTTGGAAGAGTCCCCGGCTCCACATTTGCCGCAGGCTACGAGAAAAGACATTTGGGAGAAGGCTAGAGCTGCCGCTTTGGCCGTTGGGTATGAAGGTGCAGGAACAGTCGAATTCATCTTTGATAATGACACGGGCGAATTCTACTTCATGGAAATGAACACTCGGTTGCAAGTCGAGCATCCTGTCACTGAGATGGTCACCGGTCAAGACCTCGTCCACTGGCAACTGTTGGTGGCCGAAGGCGCACCTTTGCCCTTGACCCAGGAAGAAATCGAAGCCAAGATCGCCACAAGCGGACATGCCATCGAGGCCAGAATCTACGCTGAAAACCCAGACCAAGGATTCGTGCCTGATTCCGGTCGCTTGATCCACGTCCGTACCCCCAAGCCTACCGAGGATATCCGAATTGATGCAGGATTTGTCGCGGGCGATGAAGTTTCTTCGCATTACGACCCTATGATCTCCAAGTTAATTGTCAGGGGCGCCAACCGAACCGAAGCTCTTCGAAGCCTCGCCGCTGCTCTCGAACAGTATGAAGTTGCTGGACCGATGACAAATATTGAATTCATCAAGCGGGTATGTCGGAGTGCGGATTTCGCAGCCGGTGAGGTTGAAACAGGGTACATCGAGAAGCACCGCGAGGAACTGTTCAGAAAAGAGCCCATCGAACCCGAGGTGCTAGCTCAGGCGACTCTGGCGTGCTACCTGGACGGCAGCCTGACCGGACCGGCTGGCTCCGCCGTCGGTTTCAGCCCTGCTTATCAGCAACGACAGTTTGCTTTTGTGCAGGCCACCGCACCGGGAGAGCCGGAAGGAACCCCGTTCGACACCCAGATCGAGCAGACGGGACCCAACAATTTTAACATCACCGTCGACGGAAAAACGTTCACGAACGTTCAGAGGCGGGTAGGCACCGCGCAAAATGTGTTCACATCGTTTTTCCCCCATACAAGACTCGACACGACGGTGATCCGAGACGAAGATAACGTAACTGTATTTCAGCGGGGAAAACAGTATCGGCTAAGGATCCCACGCGCCAAATGGATGGAGAAAGCACTTGGAATTAAGGATGTTGCAAACAGCGTGATCGCGCCAATGCCATGCAAGATTCTGCGAGTAACGGTCGCAGAAGGCGACACGGTGGAGAAGGATCAGCCACTGGTTGTCATTGAAAGTATGAAGATGGAGACGGTGATCCGCGCTCCTCACAACGGCATAATATCGAAGGTGGTACATAAACAAGGGGTAAGCTCTTCCCAAAGCAGATTTCTCTGGATTCCAACACTAATTGCGGTGTTACATAGGACATTTGCAAAGCCGGGACACCGCTAGTTGAATTTGCCGGCGGCGACGAAGCGGGAAAATAGAATTTTTTGATTTTATTAGTTGATACGGAGTAGTGCGTCTTTTTTTTTTTTTTTTTTTTTTTTTTTTTTCGGTCCCCTTTTCCCGACCTTGATTTTATTTTATTATTATTTTTCCCCCCTCGTGTGGTGCGTTAGGGTAGGTAGATATGATAATACCTCAAATGCGTTTGCCAGCAATGTGTCAGAGTTTATTATGTATGTACAGTATCACATCAGTCACATTATGGAGAGGCTCAATGGGCCGCAGATGTCTCAGATGCCATGCTGTCCTTATCTGTAACAACACTAGGGGAGGTGACAAATGCACAGTTGTGGCGGTTTGCTGCCAGACAAAGAATCTAGAAGGGCTTCGATCACGCCTTCGAAGGTGGAGGCCGCCGGCAGAAATCCCTTCACCTCATCTGACCTATTTTTAACTGGGCAGGCCGATCCCCACAGCAGGTCTCCACCGCCGCCCAGGGTTGACCCCGAGTGGCCCGGAGTTCCAGGTAAAGCTGCGTTAAAGCTCTGCCCTAAACTCCTCCCGCTTCCGGGGGCCTTCGTCAGGGGGCCAGACCATCGTGAGTCTTCCCTGGCTACACGTTGCGAGTCCTCCATCAGATGACCTCCAAGGATCAGCATCGTGAAATAATACTAGGAGCTGCTTAGCCAAACCGGTGTGGCTCGTGAAAGAGTCCCAGGGAGAGAGAAAAAAAAAAAAAAAAAAAAAGGGAGGAGAAAGGCCTTGTTCTCTTCTTCAGCTGAAATTTTTTTTTTTTTTTTCTCTTCTCCCTTTCAGCTCCTCCATCCCTCCCCTAGTCCTCGCAAACTCGGAGAAGGAATCTTCTTCTCTCTTCACTTAACCTTTTGATTCTCGCGCTTTTTTGCTAGCTTTGACTCAAAAACCTTTGTGTCCCTGAGGTCGAAACTCTGACATCTGGCCCTGGTTCTTGGATTGGCTTTCTCCCATAACCACCCCTTCTTCCCTGCTTTCAAAAGGACTGGCTGCGTGAGTGTCCTGGCCGCTGAGATCATTCAACATCGTATCGTACCATTCAAGCCTGTACACTCATCGCCCTCTTCTCAATTGCTCTGATTTTGACTGTTTTTTTTAATTTTTTTAATTTTTTTTTTTTTTTTTTGTTTTTTCAATACTAGGAGTGTCGATCCTAGCCTTCCAGCGGACATAAAAGCTCTGGCCCTCACTTATCAAAAAGAGCCCTCCAGATTTTCCACAACCACCACCGGGAATGTTCCCAGTTTCAGTCTCTCGCCATGTATCCCATGGTTTGAGGACTGCTTTTCCCCGAAAACTCACCATCACAATCCCAACAACCCGTCTAACCCCCGTCGCAACCCGCTTCATCTCTTCTACCCCCTCCCTCTACGATTCCAACAAAAACCCGCCAAATAACAGCAAGAAGTATCCCTCTGAGTCATCCTCTGCAGCTGCCAGTGCCGAGGAAGCCACTGAACATGAAGGCCGCTACGCTCGCACGGACGAAAGCGTTCGCGTGGAATATCCCCCAGACGACGAGATGCCCCCTACTCCTGTAGTCCAAGGCCGCGGAGGAAGGCACTTCAAGCGAACATTGGCGTCATACTCGCTGGAGGACCGTGTCTCGGTGGTTACCGGTGGAGCAAGAGGACTGGGATTGGTCATGGGACAAGCGCTGGTGGCATCCGGCTCGGATTTGGCAATTGTGGACTTGAACAGTAAGTCATGACCTATTCGCTTCTCCACTCCTTTTCTTTTGTGCATGTTCTCGCTTTTTCATTGCCACAATGCAGCAATGTGTCGGAAGAGCCTCTGCTAACTACCGAAAATTTTCAGTCCAAGAGGCGCAAGAACAGGCCAAGAACATGCTCGCCCAGTTCCAAGCTGAGAATCCAGGTCTCGACGAAAGATCGCTTCCTAAAATCACCGCCCATCAGGCCGACGTCGGCAACCCAGATTCTGTGGATAGCAGCGTCGCGGAGATCCTCAAGGAGCACGGCCGTATCGATCATCTGGTCACATCTGCTGGGTTCACTGAAAACTTTGACGCCGTGTCCTACCCGCATGATCGCATGCAGAAACTCTGGTCCGTCAACGTTGATGGGTCATATCTTTTTGCAGTTGCTGTTGCCAAACATCTGATGGCTCGCAAGTCGCCTGGCAGCATTGTGTTCATTGGAAGCATGTCTGGTGCCATTGTTAACGTGCCTCAGCCACAAGCGCCGTACAATGCTGCAAAGGCTGCAATAAGGCACTTGGCTGCTTCCTTGGCAGTCGAATGGGCAAGTGTGGGAATCAGAGTGAACTGTATCAGTCCAGGATACATGTTGACTGCCCTGTAAGTTTTGGTTTTGTTCCCTTCTCTTCTCTCCTTGTTTGGCCCCCTTTCAGCCTTTTATAGCTACGTTACCCAATGATTCACGCTTATTCTAATCGCTGTGGCTACGCAGGACCCGCAAGATTCTTGACGACAACCCTGATCTCAAAGAGAAGTGGACCTCCCTCATTCCACAAGGCAAAATGGGTACACCTGAAGACCTCATGGGCCCAGTGACGTTCTTATTGAGTGATGCGAGCAAATATGTTACTGGGGCAGATTTGAGGGTTGATGGCGGGTACACTTTGACATAAAAGTCAATAAATGCTTACTCAAATCACCCACCCCTTTTCCCTTCGAGTCCAAGTTTTTCTCAGTCGGTTAGGTCTATTGAAGGGATGGTATTGTAACATTGGCATTGGTGTTAGGTTGTTTGAACATGGGTGTGGATATTCAGCTAGACTAGGGGTTTTTTTTGCTTCCTTCATAGAACACTCGTATCGTCCTCACAGACTTAAAACGAAAATGGAATAACAACATCCGCATTAAATATTCCCATTTTACTGGCAGGTAACCACTCTTAACCATCCAAGATAATCTCCTAAGTGCCTGGACACCGAAACCATTTTAATGGCACGCCCAACTCTTCTGCAAGATTTATTGCTGACTGCCCCAGCCCATCACGTTTGTTTGCATTCGCCCCTTTCTGAACCAAGAACCCGATCATATCTCTATTTTTCACCCATACAGCATCATGTAGTGCTGTCCTCCCAGCATATAAGCTTGATACATCCCACCCCAGCCTCATCATGTCCTCTACCAGTATTTTAACAGCGCCCAATTTGCCTCGTGCAATTGCTTGCTCCAAGGGAGGCCGACCAAGCCGGTCAACGGCGCATGAGTTCGCTCCTAACTCAATAAGATATCGAACTTTGTCCACTCTGCCATCTGTGGCTGCAGTGTGAAGTGGAGTGGCGCCGTCAGTCTTGGGCAGGAATAGATCTCCGTTGACTAGTCTGACTCGCCCAATCACGAGTTCCAATGCAGCGGCGTTATCTACTCGAGCGGCATACGCAAACGGAGTGAGGCCGAAATTGTCTTGGGCCATGATATCGGCACCCGAATCAAGTAGGAGCTTTATTACTTCTGTTCTCCCTTCGCAGCACGCCAGGTGGATCGGGCGGCGACCGTAGTAGTCCGTTGCGTTGACGTTGGCACCGCTGTCGATGAGGGTGCGTGCGATGGTGTCGTTGCCGCTTTCGGAGACAATGTGTAGAAGGGTAAGACGTTGGTCATTGGCAGAGGAGTTAATCTTGAATTTCGAAAGATGGTTAGCAAAGTAATCGGTAATGTAGAGTGACTTCCAGGCGCGGAGGCAGGGAAGTGCGCGAAAACGAGAGATGCAGAATGGTTTTGCCTGGGCGCCGCGTTGCTCAGAATCCACGGCGGGCGGATAGGTCATTTTAGCTAGAAGGATGCCGTAGAACTTCATGGCAACCGCCACCTCATCGGCGTTGAGGAGGTGACCCAGCACTTCCGATCGAAAACCATGTTCAGTTGCAAAGCCCTTGTCGTAGAGCGTTGGTGTTAGCATTTCAGCCGCGGTCCTGTTTGTCCGGAGGAAGCTATTCAAGTCTGATTCCTCGAGATAGCCCGCAATCTGAAAGATGAGCTCCCCGGGCAGATCTAAGAGAGACATCCTGTCGCTTGAGGCACATAGTCCCGTGGAGTTGTCGGCATGCGGAAAAGGCTTGGTGGGGCTTTCTCTGGCCGATGCCCAATTACACGCTCAGCAAACCATCAACCTGCGCGCGATCCAACCCAGCAAGGCGAATTTATCCTCGAGCTCGATCAGTTGCGGATGGCGTTTGGCTTTGGATGACCTCACGCCATCCTGTCATTGACTTTCCCCGCAGCCGCATCATGCCAAGCCCTTTAGCGTAACACGTTTGGTGGGGCCCCACAAACTGCGCTAAATTGCTTGGCGTGATCTGATAAGATAAGCCGCAAATCTCAATGTAACGCGTCACGCGTCGTGCGTCAGGCCGTCTTTGCGGTCCCGTGTGAAATGAAATGAATGGATGGATATTTCGGGCCTGAACCCATCGGCAAGCTGATTTGGCGAGGATGTACAGAGTGTACTCTGTACTCCATACTGATCTGGGATTCGAATGATGTGCCTTTATCCCGTCAACGTGCTGCCGGATTACTCGGTGAAGTCTGGGTTCACTAAGCCAATGAGTCCGTCCAAAGCTGTGTTAAACGTTCACGGATGGACAGATGCCTGCTGAAGTTCAGCAGTGTTTCTATTATTAAGATCTTAAATTTCATTTATTTGCTTTCTGGTTTTATTGGTTTATCGAGATCGGCTACATGGGAAGTGAGCTGTAGCGCTTCTATCTCTCTCCTGAATAAATTTTAATACGATTAAAGAATCCCTTTAAGCTCATCTCCTTTATGCCTATTTCTCTATGCAGGATTCATAGTTTCTCCTGATGACGCAAGCTCGAAGATCTAGTCCCGGCGACAGGGCTAGGAGGCATATTAAAAGGTGGCAACGACTGCTTCCCGACCGGTACTTTCGCGCTCAAGAGTCGCATGTATCCTGGAAAACCTCAGTCTTTGTCCTACCAACCCAGAAAAAGCAATGCCTTTTCGGTCTGCTCGTTCAAAGCTGAGAGTTCACAGTTCTAAGTGCATGGGTTATGTGCTGGACTCATGGACACAACGTAGTCTAGGTGCGGAAGGACAGCAGTTCGAATCGCCCTATCGGTGGGCGCCCAAAATGATGTTCGGACATCCAAGAAGAGCTGGTGGTTCGCCCTCCAGCTCCTCTATTGCATTGAGTGTTCGCATGACATGGCATAATGGTGCTGAATGAACCAGGCGTGGTATGTACATTCAACTCTCTGCAGCCCCAAGCATGCCGTGCTCCCTACCTTCCCGCTGCGACGTATCACCTCAGCCACGCCTGATGTCGGGTTGAAATGGGTGGCGGCGGCCAGCCCAGTCTCATAGATAACTAATAGCCTAGGTCAGGGTGTCATCTATACATGTGAATGTGCTCTTTCGCTTCTCCTTAACTGGGTCATCTGCACTCGTGCTTTGTTAGACCAGCGGTAGGTTGTGTTACCAGAAGCCAAATCTTGAACCGCTTCCAAAAAGCGGTGTCCAATTTAATTGCGGAAATATCCGCACGGATATCAATAACCACGTATGTACTCCGTTTCGTGCCTACATAAGGTACGGAGTACATACACATTTGAGCGAACCTTCGCTCCTTGGTATCGGAGATGCGAGGGCAGGGAGCAAAGTGGGTATGAAAAGCTGTTTTTTGGCAGCCACTGTTTAGTTACCTGAGGACCAACTAGCCCTCCCTGAAATTGTGTGCGCTTAACATTTAGTCTCAGCTTCAGATCAGAGTCAACCAAGAGGTGCTAAAGAATGACTCCGTATATGGTGCTCTGAATGATCAGGGTTGAGAAGAAATTGTTCTGCAGAAAGTTCGCTAGCCTGCATTTTTGATTGTAGGAAAGTTCGGGGGCGCTCCGATTCGCTTTGCTGCGTGAGAATGTAAACTTGAATCGTCATATTCATAGGAGCATCACATCGGCCTCGATGCAGAATGCATCGATTTTGGAACATCTTTCATCACCCCAGCCATAAAATGAAGGTAAGCTCAACTATCATTCATAGAGCTCCGTGGGGCAGCCTTCGGCAAATGGTGCTAGGCTCAAGGAAATGAACGCGCGCGCACACATACACACTCGCAGATATCAGGTACATGGATACAGCGTTTCAGGCCCTTGTATGCCGAATGGACGTTCCAGGCGATGGCGAGGTTCGAAAGGCGGCTAGATTTCTGTACGCTCGGCATCGCCGTCAAAAACACAGCGCCCCGCTAAGCGGCATATCCCCGATGTCGTAATTAGATCGTCATCGAGATTCGTCGCCCCGCTCCTGAGATCGAATATTCCCATTATTTATTGTCATACGGGAATCATTTCGATCCCTGTGTTCCGGGATCGTGTTCGTTAACAGGCTGAGCAATCCGAATTGTCAATTCCGGAGGCAAACTACACAGTTAGTCAAATAATGTTTTGCCAGCCATCACTGGATCGTAAACACCATCCTCAATACACTCGCGGCGATGACAGCATCAAGGCAGCTTTCGCTTCGGCCAACCATCCCCTCATAAGGCACTGTTAATTTCAAGGCGGCATGAAGAACTTGCAGGCGAGTTAAAAGGTCCTCATTCCGGCTCCCATAAGCATAGAAGATCAACATGGCAGGGACCTGTTTCCCGGCCACGCAATGTTCAAAAGTCGCGTAACCCCCCGAGTTTCGGGGGGAGTGGTATAACTAGTAACTAGTGAGTTGCATTTCTTGGTATCAGTTTCAAAACAATCTCACCGTCGCATTGGAATGCATCCATGGTGAATCTTGAACGTTAGCACAGATACACCCCAAGGATAGACTAAAAAAGAAACACTGAAACCAGACCGACTGGGTTTTTATTTTGGAGATTTCAATTTTAAACGGTTAGTGGGCTTGGATAAAGTGTATTTATTTGGTTGTCTCGCTGCCAGGCCCAAATGTTTTTCGGGCACGCAAATTCGGCAGAGAGGCCATCTCCTGCTCAATGTGAAGGCGTCCGGCGAGATACTTGACGGATCGGGTCATCAGGCGGAACATATTGAGTTGAAGAGTACCTAATGATAACCGTTGGCCTGCATAAGGTAAGTTTCTGTTTTCGAGCGGCCAGGGTTGGACCGCGGCGGGATCATCATATAATCACCAGGAACATCCTAGATGAGGAATCACGATCCCATCGGGAAAAGCTTCCAGAACATGAAGCTAGCTTCCATCGACTCCCGTTTTGATAGTGCCGATGCAACGTTTTCCCAATAACGTCTTCTAGGATGAGCGGTGGGCAGCAACAAGAGCGCCCACGCCTCACTACGCCATCCACCGCCTCCAGAGCGCGCAAGAACGCAGCTAGGTACTCGGTACGCCTTTCGGGTCATTTAGACGCCAAGGATGGTTCGAAGGAAAAGTGCGTAAGAGGGATCGAGATGTCCACCTGGCCGATAGTGGTTGGGGGTGGGTTTGTGGGCGGAACCAGACGAGCTAGACAGTCAGCCACGCGCAGAGAGAATGAGCTGGGCATATGACCACCTCGGTCCGGCCCTAGCCTTCGCTCTCGCAGCTGCGCGGTGCTGATTTCACAAGTTACAGTAGCTATTGGCCTGCCATCGGCGAGTGGCTGTCAACAAGTAGGTTGCAGTCGCCAACTCAACCGGCTAGTAAGCGTTGCTGTCCTTCCATGCCGCCAGATCCCCAATATATCCATTTGCTATTCATCAGCGCCATCGCCAGCATCCAGACGGCCCTGATTCTCCCCGCGTCTGCCAACTGTCCACCACGGAGATGCTTCCTCTCAGCACATTTCTTGTCTGTGAGCCCGTTCACCCTGACTTCCCTCTTTAACACCTGTAGAATCTAGCTCCCGTCGTTGACCGCCGCGTCTATCGCAGAGCTTTCATCCGAAGGCGGATGAGGCGGTCAGGTGGAGGCCTATATTGAGGACATCTACGCAGATACCCATTTGGCTCCATTTTCATTGCTTGCATGTCTTAATAGCACCCTCAACACAAGGATATCTTTTTTTTTTTTTTTTTTTTTTTTTTTTTTGCTTTTCTTTTCTTTTTCTCTTTCCCCCTGGTTTGCTCCATTCACCTATTCGTAACTCACTCTCCGTCAGCTGAATGTCTCACGTGAGCGACCTCTCGCGAGAATATTTCCTCATTTTCTTGGGCTCACCTTTTGCAATCTTCTGTTGTTCCCTTTCATTATCTTGTGCGCTGGCTTGGTGTGACATCTTCATGATATTTTAGCCGCTGGGCATCTAATTGAACGTTGAACGTACCGTGCTTGTGACGGTTGAGATGTGACGGCAATCCACGTGCAGATACACCTTCTCCAACTCTCTGAAGTCTCTACAGACTTGTTTTAAACTCTGTATCAAGCTTTTGTGCATTTGCTGTCTTTCCCACCTTGTTCCCTTTAACAACTTTGGTGAAAGGGGCTTTGGGGGGGGGCTGTTCTGTCCACCATGGCGGACCCTCTACCTCATGGGTTGGTCTCAAACACCGACCATGTAAGCTCTGATCTGAAAAGTGCGGAGTATGTTGAGATCGAAGATGTCGCCAAGCTGTGGCGAGGTTGGTGCTTTCTGCTATTTTGGAGAAATGTTCATTCACTCACCATTATATCTTAGTTTATACAACCAACAAGACTACATTAAAAAAAGGAGCGGGAAAACGGCTGGAAAACTTGTTCTGGAGAATCTGGAGTAACGGGCGCATAAGTTCCAACATCAGCGGATCGACCTTGGCCCACCTCTTTATTCAAATGACAAATGAGACTCCACTGTGGACTCGGGATAAAGAAGTATGATAGCATGCGCACCGTGTTGAGACCCACGAGCCTCTGACTTCTTCAATTAGGAATTAGGTTCTATTTCAAGGAACTCGCCTTCAACGTTTCCGCGGCTTGCAACAGACTCGGCGTCTGCCTGCAAGGACAGCTCCAGGACACAGCTTTCTGGCAATGAATCCAAGAGTCCCAGCCGGACAAGTCTTCCGCCATCTATTCTCAAAAAGCCTTCAAGGTCATCATCACAACATCGTCGCAAAAGTACTCGCTTTGCATTTGAAGAACTTCAAAATGCCAGGGAACAAGGCGATACTTGGAGAGAGTTTCGTTCATCACCGCGTTGGGCAGAAATGCCATGCAGCGAGAGGTTTAATCCGAGATCTAGATCCTATGTTCCGAATCCCAGCCCAGCTCTCTTTCAGCCTGTTCCGGGTATGCGAAAGTCAGCAGTAATTTCGGACAATAGCATATTCGATGAAAGATACCTGCGCCTCGCTTCAGCTTTCGATGGTGAAATTCGTACTCGGAAATTAACCCTGGAAGCCCGTACGTTGTCCCTTTCTAAATCGTCCCTGAAAATCTTTGTTAATTCACACATCGTCTAGTTTCTCCAACCTCCAGGAGTGCAATAAAACCAAAACCGCCACTCATAATCCCTCCACTCGCAGACACCACGTGTGACCAACCGCTGGATAATACATCACCGCACAACTCTCCGGCGAGCACGCCATCCACAGAAACCCAGCTCACTCCCAGGCCTATCCTTCAACGAGCGCCGCCGTGCCCAAAACCACCACGACCTGCCGAACCTCATCCAACAACCCCATTAGTCGATAAGAATTTTCGGGCCCGTTTTGTCGAACGACAACCCCGCGAATCACCCGTCTCTTCTCTAACCACATTAATTTCCTCGGAGGAACCTCTATCCTTGCCTGGATCCCCCGCAGCCACCGATCCAACTGACTTCATAATCCAGCCTTCGCAGACCTCTCGTATGAGAGATTCTCCTCGCGCAGAAATGGTACTCGGTCAACCACCAGAAGTATCGCTCTCCAGGACGCTCTCAGGCTCTCCACCGGCCCCTATTTCGCGTAGTGGGTCACGACTTTCAGCCCGACATGGACAAGACAGTCAGCTGAGCAAATTGATCGAGGAAAAATGCAAGGAATGATGAATTCTCAACCTTTGAGCAACAGGCCCTAGCACATAACAAATAGCAATAATGACCGTGACGAAGCAGCAAGATAAAGACTGAAGGGAACCATGAAAAAAAGATCACAGATGTTTTTGTTTCTTTTTTTTAACAAAAACAAAAAAAGAGACAAAGCTAAATAAACTACCTGAAAAAATAAGAAAATGGAGAGAAAATGATAGAAGATATGAACCAAGGAAAACAAGTATCCTTGTCTCACCTTCAGATACATGTGGAAAGGGGTGGAAGTGATGATGAGATTGAACTCCTGAAACCCTTATCAAGTAGTTTGTCCTATGTAGAACTACATGAATACAAAAATGATATTAAAGGAGGTTTAACTATTCCTTTTGGTGTATCACTATTATGACTTTTTATCTTGACACCAGCAAGCCCAACTGTTGGACCTAAGAGGTATTAGAACAGTATAGTATGTAGCTTCATCTCGATACAATCAGGACACAAGCCAGCAGAAATAATATCCAGGGCATGAAAACAAACCAAGCAAAACACTTATACAACATAAAATGCTGAGCAGCATAATGCACGTAAAATGAATTGGCCACCCAAAACACCTTGCCAACACCGTGATATGATTAACAGGATAACATGTGAGTATCTGGGGATGTGGCCATAGCCAACGCAAAAGGCTCGCCTCCACAATTATATCTCCCTTACCCATTTGAGGTAGATACCATGCAGAATCACAAGGATTCTAATGGATCTGCTGCATCTGTCCCTCTTCAGCAGCAAACTGTTCGTTCTTCTCCGCCTGCTTCGCCGCCCTGTCGCCCCTCCACCACCTCAGTCCGCACCAGACCGCGGTGATCATCCAGAATGACAGATTGATCAGATCGACGTACACGGCATGGTGCATTCGCTTCAAGTCTGCATCCTTCTTGTAGTCCTTCGAGATGTACATTTTGGCGAAGATGCCAAAGACCACGAGCCAGAGGACGAACATGAGTGAGTCAAATGCGAAGCAGGGTAGTTGGAGAACCCGGAAGCTGGAAAGTGGCCTGTGTGCGGCGCAGGGGAGGAGGATGTAAATTATGGCGGTGATTGAAGAGAGAGAGCCAATGACTGTGGCGTAGATCTAGGGGGTTATTCCGTTAGTTCATGGACGCTGTCTCTATTGGGAGGGGGGAGAGGTATCTTGCGTACCCATTTTGAAACAGAATTCATAGGAAGTCCCGATCTCCTTGCATGATTAACATCCTGGGCGTAGAGCCCAATGACGGCGATACCAAAGACAAACTGCAAAAATCGAATGCAGGACTCGAACAGCGTCGAGATAATATTTCCGGTGCTGTAGCGTTTCTTAACACCGTCTATGACGAGGGACTTGATGAGACCCATTGTATTGTATTCTTTTGATTTTATCTTTCAAAAGAAGTCGTCGCTTGAATGACTCGGAGATGTAGGTCGCAGATGATCTGTACGCAACGTTCAAGAAGGCTGTGTCTCCTTTGCTAAGAAGCAGTGGAAGGTCGATGCTTGAATTCGGAATCCGTGATTCGAGCGCTCAAGTCTTGTAATCGGGAAAGCAAGGAAAGACAGAAATTCGTCAAAGTGCGAAAATAAAAAATCAAGGGGACGGGTGAACTTCTTTCAGTGAATTAAGAGAAAGATGCAGGCAGACTCCCGGTCCGCTTCACAAATGCAAGAGCAAGGAAGCAAGAGCGCAGCACCAGGCAGCGATATGGGCGACGGCAGAGAAAGGAGTAGAAGAAGCTGCAGGTTCCGTCGAGGAACAATCTCGCTATTAACAATTCTTTGCCAGGGAATGAAGTAAAATTCAATCGAAATGAGAGAATGGATCACACAGTGAGAGTGAATACTACCCACAAGGGTGAATGAAAGACACTACAAAGCTGTGAAGAAAACACACAACAAACGGAAAAGAAAAAGGGAAATAGGAACCAGAGCGATGAGAATCGAACAGAAAGACAGGAATCCGCTGATGAAGGGTAAAAGAAGAACACCGTATCGAGAGGAGCGGCCCCGTCTATATATGTTCTTCTCCATCTGAGCAATTTGCCGGCTGCATGTCGTTCCGCGGGCGGAAGCTAATACCTACCTATTCCTGGGCTACCGCTCTTCGACATGGTGTTTTCCTTATATTTAGAAGGAAAACAGAGCATGGGATAGCCAGTTTATCCACAGGGGAGAGGAGCCAGTAGCATTCACTGAAACGGAGAGGACCCATCTGTCCAGGCTGCTTGTCCCTCGATGCTGCTTGGAAGCAGAAAATGCGAGTTTGAGCGCAATGGAGTAGTGACAATGGGCGAATCGTCAACCACCGTAGTGCCCTTGGATCAATCAGGATTCAATATTCTGAAACCGTGCAGCTCCCATGAAACGAAGACAAGGGAGAAGGTTAAAGAAGAGTGTTTAGTTCTGACCGCTTCGGCGACCAGAGCCAGTGTGACATTTGACGCTGAGTTTGTCTGGAGTTGCGATGTCGAGAAGTTGGATGGTTGGCTGGTGGTCAAAGTTGGCTGGGATGGAGACAGTCGAAGCGCTGAGGCCCTGGTGCGGCCGGGAGGTATCTTGTCGAGTTACATTAAGCGCCGGCCCCATCGAACTATGGAGGAAGTACAAAGTAACTAGCATCCTCTCTTCAGTCCTTGGATTTGCAGCTAGTTGGTTTATATTTAGTAGCTTTTTGAATTTAAAATGATAAAATCAGACCCATTTAACTCTCTCTCTCTCTCCAGCGGCAAGTAGGTCCGTTCCAAGCACCAGGTAATCAACATGCAGATCGTCGAAGACATACATTACATTCATCTAGCACCAGACACCGTTGGCATGCTCATTGGCCACCAGCAGGGAATCTTGCACGATAAAAAGGAGGTTAGGTTTCTGATAGTTTACTGGCAGTCCAGATCAGCTACCTATGGGGCATCCCAAGACGAGTCTAATGATACCTTGTGTCCTCCAAGTTGAGGGCAAAGTGATAAGAATTTAAGACACTGACCAGCTGCAGGTGTCAAACAAAAAAGAATGCAGCTTAAATGCTAAGCGGCAGCCTGTACATGGGCGAAATCCGTCGTGATCAACTTCATGTCGAGTACAGGCATCCCGTGATATGCCGAGAGTATGAATCCCCAGACACTATTCAGCGGTTTGGCTCCAATTTCACCCACCCCTTCATACACTCAGCATGCTCATGCGGGTTTTAAGCAGAAACAGATCTCCCTGACTGGAAAATGGAAACAGGGGGAAGAGACATTCCAACATCATGCCAAGGGCTTCAACCAAAAATAATGATGATGATGATGATGATGATGATGATGATGATGATGATGATGATGATGATCGTGATGACGACTATGAGTGGGGATGTGTAAGGGCAGCTTTTAAGAAGCTGAAGGGCAAAATATGGAATTGAAGATGAAGCAAGCAACAAAAAGCAGACAGGAGAGAACACAAAATTTGAAACAGCAACAGATGAAGGAGATAAAGATGCCCAGCAAGCAAGCAAAAGGTGCTATTCCTCGTGGGAACAAGGGATGAACACAATTTGATTGCTCACTTTCCCATCATCCGGCACGCCCCGGACCTTCCCCAGCTAGGCCAGTACTTGATTGCGAACTCGTCTGGGTAGGATTACCTGGATCAAGCGCCGGCGGTTGCTGTACTGAGCCAGATTGCTGGTGCTGGGGAGGTGGTGGAGCTTGCTCGTCATAGTCGTCACCTTCCATAGTTCCTCCATAGTCTTCATCCTGACCCCCGTGTCCTTCAGCAAGCTGATCCGGCATCTGCTGTCGGTCATAGTTCTGATGGTAAGCAGGTTGCTGAGCCGCCGCATTCTTCGCAGCATTTTTCGGCGCCTTTTTGCCCTTGCGTCCTTTCATCTTCGCCTTTTCCAGCAATCTTCGTTTCTCTGCCAATCGCCTCCGCTCCTTTCGATCTTTGATCTCGTATTGCCTAATCAAGGCCTCGGGAGGGTGCCCAAAAATGCTCTCATACTCGCAAAATTCACAGATCCAAATATCTTCAAGGTTGGGCGGGTGGTGTAGGTTCGTGTATTGTTGTTGTATCCGACGCTGACGTGCAGCAAACGCGTATATACTCCGGGCTGAGCGACGGGGTTTCTTTCCCTGAGCTGGGGGCTGGGAAGTCTGAGCAGGATGTGGCGGCGTAGCCCCAGCTTGGCTTTGCGGGTTCGTCTGGGATGCCATGTTTGGGCTGGTTTGTGTTCCTTGGGTTGAGAATCTTCTTTGTCCCGAAGCTGGCCCGGGGGCTGGTTGCGAGGCCGGCCGATGTTGCTGTGGAATCGGGAACGGATTTTGCGTTTGCCAAGACGCCATTCCTTTCGATGAATCCGACTCACACGTAAAGGTGAATTGTGTTTTTGCGGGTGTAGGCTTGGCCGACTCGTCTAATAAGCTTATGTTCCCTTGGCTTTTTGGTGACGATGACGGAAAAGCTGCTGCGTTGGCTATAGCAGTTGAGATTATTCCCTGATCTGGATTTTTTGCCGAGCCTATGGGAGAACACGTTAGTTTTTTCTTTTTTTTCTATTCCAACCATGATACACATGGGGAGGCTCAAAGAAAGAACGGGGCGATACCAGTCTGTTCTTGGCCGAGATGAGATGGCTCTCGACGGCTCCCCGGAGGTCGATTTCCCAGCCAGTTACTGGAATAATTGGCGAGAGGAACCCGGCCCGCAGCAGAACGAGCGGCGTTGCGACCAAATCTTCCGCGTCCGGACCCGGAGATGCCAGAGCCAGCTGGAGAGACGGGGTTTCCAGACCCATAATAGGAGCCAGTCGCACTGTTATCTTCCAAGATCCCCGTGCTTGTGCCGTTTGGACTGGAAGGGCTCATATTCAGGATATCGGCGGAAATTGAATGACAGCCTAAGCTCCCTGAGGTGGGTATTTTCCTCTTCTTTTTATTGTTCGTATTCTCGAACGCATCGTAGCCATCGAGACTATTCGAGCTGGATTTGGATGGAGTTCCCATATGCTTCACGTATTCCGAGTGTGGTAGCGAGGATCTGTCCAGGCCGGCGCTGCGTCGAACAACAACGGGGCCGTCCTCGTCGGAGTCGACACCGTCTTCATAGATATGATGATCGTCTGGGTTGGGCTCGAAGCCATAACTATTTCGTTGAACATAGACCTTGGCGTCGTTCACGTCTCCATTGCCCGCATAAGCACCGTAGAAAAGCTGGGTGACTGGGGGGGCAGGGGGATAGAGGATCGACTCGGCAACTTCGGGGGATATGCGAGAGCGTATTGGGCGCTTGGGCAATGGCCGGATCAGTCGATCAGGGAATACCGGAGACGGTGTGTCGGGAGCGGAGGTATACGTCCCGCCTAAATGGCCAAGGCATCAGCAAGTAGAGTCTAGAAAATTGACGTTACTCTGACAGGGAGGTGCTGCCGGTTTCGCCGCGCAGAGAAATGGTGGCTTCTTCTTCTTCTTCTTTTTTTTTTTTTTTTTCAAATTTTTATTTTATTTTAATTTTATTCCCCTCCACCGTCAGTCATTGTAGGGGGTTGTATATGTGTATGTGCGTTTGGCGGTGTCATAGGCCGCTGGTGTGGGTTGGGCACGTACTCAACGTAGCAGCCATAGTGATAACCCCTTGAACACCGAACAATACACAACGCGTTTGTGCTGGCAAAGAAAGAGTCTAATTCGCAGGAGGTTCTTCGACGAAGGTTGGAACAGATTTTTGTCCTCGGTTTGAATGGGGGACAATCTAATCTCCGGAACAAGCCAAGTTAGCCGCTATGACACAATCACAGGCTCAGAAGGTTCTGCAGCGTCCCAGACTGCGGGCAGGAATCCAACGGAGTCTCTCGCCTGGCCTGGAGGGCAAGCAGGCGTGATACCGACATCACAACAAGCCAGCAACACAGGACTACGATGACAGATCAGAGTGCCGTGCAGAGGCAGATATATGAATGTGTCTCTCTCTCTCTCTCTGTGTGTGTGTGTGTGTGTGCGTATTGACGGGGGACGAGGGCAGTTCCCCAGCAACAACCCGGGTCAACGGAACGGGGGGCTGGGAGGCACGTACAACACTCAGCAGGACGGGACGGGGCAGCGAAGCAGGCGAGGGAAACACTCAGCGGGATGTCTGGCGGGCGGGCAGCGAGGGCGGAGAGGGAGCGAGTTGAGTCGAGTCGAGCTGCGGTTCGGGGATAAAGGTTTCCCTGCGTGTAAAGTTCAGTTGCCAATCATGGGGAGCCGGCGCCGCACTAGCCGCTTTAGGAAGGGCAGCGCCCCCCTCGCAGGCAAACTCGGCCGGAATCAGTGAGCCGGCAGTCTCTCTACGGGACTAGTATGTAGGTGGATGCTCTACGACGGGCTGCGAGGGTCTACACGGCTATCTGTCCGTCCTTCTACGGGGCGTGGTAGTGGGAAACCAGCCAGAGCAAACGTCGGGGGGGGTGCGGATGAAGGTGCCATCTAGCAAACTACGCGCACACATTTTCCGGAGATGCAGGTCCAGATGGCAAATGGAGGCCCTGCTCTGTAACTGATCCCCCATCCGCTGCGCTGCTCCTCGACGTCAACGTGTTCTTCCGATGCCGTCGCTGCGAATTCCCCCCCCCCCCCCCCCCTTCTTGGCCCTGTCCTGTTTCGCACGCCCTCCTCTCTATCTCGAATGCCAGCAAATCAGGCACACAGAACAGCTCCCATAACTGTCACGATTGGCTCTCGATACTGTCCCCAAGGCGTTTCATCTCCTAGTCGAGAAACATCAGACATCCAGCGGAGGCACATACGAAAACACAGAGAAATAGAAACTTGAATCCGTGTGGCCGGTTCTCCCAGATTAAGAGAGCTGCTGTGAGGGAGGATGGGACGAAAACACACATCCTGAGCTTCCTGCACAAATTGTAGCTGAAACCACTACTTATTCACGAACAATCTCCTCCAGCTCCTTGAATTTGGCTCCCATGCTGAAGACAATCACCAATGTAGGAAAGGGTCAGTGTGGCTCTGAACAAACCGTTACAATAGGGAGTCAAAGAGTGTGAAGCAATGATGGGCCGGTGCAACGTAGAGAGCCTGTAGTTGGCCGTAAGACAGCATAAAGGCCGTTGAGGTCAGCGCAACGATGCGATATTTCAGTGATGATGAGCTCGCCCGGTGCTCAGCAGGATAAACAGCTTTCCCTCATCTTTTCTTGTTCACTTTTCCACATACTTCTGCTGCTTCCGTTCATCCCTGGTTTGAGAGCGGACCATTCCACAGACCCATCATTGTGGTGCTTGGAGAGAAAAAAAAAAAAAAAAAAAAAAAAAAAAAATTCAAAACCAAATTCCAAGTTCAAGGTTTGTGGCTTCTCTGGTTCGCCCATTTTCTCGAAAACCCGAGCTCGCTGACTAGCGCTGAGAATGGGCATGACGGGACGGTGCGCGGGGAATCACAACTAGCGAATGGTACTTCGCTCGCCCAGATCTCCGCCCGTCAACTTCTTCTTCCCACCTTCTCCTCCCAACCCAGCACACACCGATCCGGGGCATGTGGTCCTTCGAAAAGTTGCTTGTAATGCCGTCTGACGCTGTTTGAGCCTTTTGACTGCTTGGTCTCTGCTTCAATTGCCTTGCCCTGCCCTGCCGTGATCCGCACCCTTCTCGCGCCCGTCTGCTCCTAGCTTGACCGCCGGGCGAAATCCTCTTGCCCTCTCCTCTCCCGCCTGGAAACCCCCCCCTTTTTTTTTCTTCTTTTTTTTCCTTTATTGCTTATCCTCTTCCATCTGCGTTCTTCTACACGAAGAAGTCCGTTCGCCCAGGTTCCTCTTTCGGATCGACTTTTCAGCCATGACGCCCCGTCGATCCTCTCGAGCTCGCGGCTCGCAAGCACCTCCCAGCGCAATCCATTCCAGCTCGTCCAGTTCCATAACCTCCCTTGGACGCATCGAAAGAAACACCCGCTCGAATAACAAATTGTCCTCTCCACGAAGATCATCCACCCACCTGTCACAGTCCGTCGACGACGCCGACGCACGCTCGAGACACGACCTCCCCCAGACCCGCCAGCGAAACCGCGGTCGCGACGATGAAGACACCCATCAACCCCCGCCCGCCAACGATGAGTACGACGAGGAAGATGGCGACGAGGAAGAGATAACAAGGTGTATTTGCGGCCAGCAAGACTATCCCGGCCTCCCACCATCCTCTCGCGAGACAATCGGTCGTAGTTCCCTAAAGGCTGGAGTCAAGGAAGAATCAAACCAGGATCCTTCTGCCGCTGCCTCCGAAATTCTCTCGGACGATGCTGGAAGCCTGTTCATACAGTGTGACTCTTGCAAAGTGTGGCAGCACGGTGGTTGCGTGGGGATCATGGAGGAAGCTCTTAGTCCCGACGAGTATTTCTGCGAAAAGTGCCGAAAAGACTTACACAGGGTAATTGTCAGTGGAAATGGGTAAGTTCTTCTTCAACTGTGAAGTTCTTTATTCAATCACTTTTGATCCTATTCACTTGCTTGCGTGCTCGCCATTGAGTCCGACAAACCCTTCTCATCGGCCTCAAGCTGGCCAATCTCTCCCCCAAGGCCTTTTTTTCCCTACCATTTTAAACCCTCTCCCCCTCAAGAGCCATCCAAATTGGTCCACTTGAGCTTGACTTCTTCCTCTTTTGTTTTATCTTGCGTTAAAATGTGGTCCACACGCTTACGACCTCGCAGTCAGAAGTCCTCTCAGTACCTTCCGGTCGCCGGGACCCCTTCCCCTATCTCATCGGCCTCCTCTACCCGCGACAACTCTAGGAGCGCGAGAGATAAGAAATCCAGAGACAATGCAGACGCACCCAAACGAAGATCTACTATGAACAGCCGTGAGGCCGCATACGAAGAAGAACTTTTGCGTCGAGCAATTGAGGAGAGCAAGGAGGAGAGCAAGTCCATCATCGAGGAGACGAACAATCGTAGAGGAAAAAGAACCAGAAGCGACAGTGAAATGTATCTTACTTCTCCCCTCCTCAACGCTGCTTTTATGGACCTAGACTAACTACCACCACCCTCACAGAACCAAACAAACTGCCAAAAGGCAGCGCACCAGCTCCCCTTCTCCTTCTTCCATTGTCTCGAAACAGTCCCAGTCCCAGTCCCAGCCAGTGTCCGAGGACGAGAAATCGCGAGCAGCTGTCAACGGCAACAAGAAAACAAGAGGTATCGTGACTCGAAATCAGCGAGAGAAGGAAGCTCCAGCTTCTGAAAAAGAGCCCGAGAAAGAAGCTGAAATAGCTGGCCGACGGAAAGGAAGATCCGAACGAAGAAAAGCTGATGGTATGTTAAAACACGCCCCCTCCCTCCCCGCCCCGGGGCCCGGCCGGTGACCCAACTAATTGATGTTTTGAATTCATAGATTCAGAGCCTGAAGCCAATTCACCAACCAAAAATACTGTCAACGGCTCAGTTCCGCCTCAGTCCGCCCCTGAGACCCCCGATATCCCTCCACCCACGCAGAAGCCATCCTCCCGTAAATCTGGCCGTCCTGCACGCAGAGGCCGCGTCGGTCGCAACCAGTATACTCGAGATCGCGATATTGCCAATGGAAATGGCACGGATAATCAGACAAACTCCCCGCGCCGTGGCCAATCCCGGGATGGAAACGGAGACTCTCCACCAGGAAACGGAGCGAACGGTGTTCACGTTAACGGCGGAGAGTCTGGAAAGCCTAGCAGACCACGATACATGAACCCAAACCGAACGACGATGAACGACATGCGAAGACGAGTTGCGGCGATTCTCGAGTTTATATCCCGTATGCAATTAGAGATGGCGGCCACAGAAGAGAACGCTACCCCTCACAATGCAGCGGGCGCCAATGGCTCTCAGGCGCCGGACAGTTCTACTGTGGTGGCGGCACTGGAGGGTGCTGTCGTGAACGGTAATATTCAGGCTCCATCAGTCGCCGGAAGTGCAGAGACAACACAAGAATCCGCGACGCCCAAACCAAAAGAATTCAAAGATCTATCGAGTGTGGAGATGATGGACGAGTTGACTCGCGGCCTTCTCAAATGGCAGCAGGAGTTCGGGAAATACGGCGAAAAATGAGCCGAAGTTGCCTGACAATTTTGCCGATGACATACATACTTTTAATACCTCCCCTTCGCAAACTACTTCTGTCTACGCATTCAGCCATCCATTGCATTTTCTCAATTGTCGGGATCTTTGGGTTGGGCTCGTATGACTTTGTTTCCATTTTTCTTTTCGCCTTTTTTTTTTTTCTTTTTCGATACCATGTACAATATACGGCTACGTCTCTCACACGGGCGACAACGGGGCGCCCTGGTTTTTCTCATTTTTAACTTTTTTGGCCCTCCCGGCGACGCGATTGCATCTACATAATCGGCCTAAATACATTTCTCACCTGCGGGAGTACATCCTTTCGACATATACCTTTCTGCATATCCGCTACGAACACCACTCATCAACGTACTACCTCGCATGATCAATAACGAAACGGAATGGACGCGCTCCCCCCCCCCAAAAAAAATTATCATGACCACCATAATCTTGCTCTTCAAAAATCAAGACAAACAGGGAACAATGGAGACACGGTGTTATTACTTCAGGAAGCAAGGGGAAAACAAAACACATACATAAGGGGAGAGGAGAGGGCGCTGAGGCATAATGGCATTATACACAGCAATGTCGAGTAATGAATCGGATTACGGCGTTTTCCATTCTCCCAGGCAATTAAACACCTTCGCATACCAACCGGCCCCGATATCTTTCTTCCTTCTCCCCTCCATTGCGATTAATTGCATTTTCTTTTTCCTTCTTGATTCGGTTTACATACTACATCTTTGTGTTATTTGTTGCTTTTTTCGTCTTGCCCATCTGCTCATAAATAACTTTGAAAAAGAAAAAAAATGGAAAAGAAAAGAAAAGAGAAAAGGGGGGTTTCGTTAAAGAAGCTGATGAAACAGCAAACATGAAAATCTCCCCCAGGTCTTTCCCGCCTTTTTGCTTTTGTTCTGGACTGCCGTCTACATAGTTTACTCATTATTATGCTGGGAGTGTTTATTCTTTTGGGAGAGGGAGACCATGTATCTACGTTGCTAACATCGGGAGGGGAATGGAGCTTTTTGAACGCAAAAATATCATGAACGGTGTAACTAGCTAATTTATCGGAATACCGAAGCATTTCATTTTACTTTGGGTCTAGCACATTTGTATTCTGTACTCCTTATTCGTCTTCTAAGTCATGGCTGACAGTAATGGTGGTGGTGATTTGATGCTGAAATGACGATATACTACGCACGAAGTACACATCGGAGGCCGGGAAATCGCGGTAGTTCAGGGCCAACACCAGCATTCTCCACATTACAACCGAAACCATTGGAGTACAAGTCAACGTCATTTGATTCCATCAGTCATCTTGAGAGTACATAATTAAAACCAAAAAGCTACCAATTTGATCCGTCACTCATATCCTTGCATTTCACCGGCGGCAAAGGCAACATAAGGAGAAGAGGAAATTACAAAACGTCGTCCTCCAAAGGAAAAGGCAAATTCTCCATTATTGACCCATTAAGCCCCTCTGCACCAGAAAATAGCGGCCATTTTTTATCCTGTCATCAAAAGAAAATTCGCAAAAATCGTAACTGGTGATCGAGATTAGTAAAGTGAAATCCATGGTTGAGATGTGGGGATAACCTTACCATTGTACAGCTGGTTTAAAGGCGGGATCCATGGATAACCTTGTAGTCAACGACAAGCTCACGACCACCATCATTGATGACGAGAGCACGAACGCTACCTCTGCCATCAGAGAAGGCGTCGCTGATGCGGTTCCAGAGGCCACCCTGGTCAATGACGCGGATGCCCTGCTTGATGTCGCCAGTCTCCGTCATTGCGGTGATGCGGCCGTCATCACGGAGATCAAGGATGCGGTAGGTCTTGTAGACGGGGCCGAGCATGCTCTGGACAACGACAGATGGAGATGGGTTGGAAATGAAGCTCGACTCCTCGTGGAGCTGGCCGGTGAACAGATCGACACCGAGATAACGATGCTGACCGGTCTGGGAGGAGACAGAGACGCGGATCACCTGGCATGGGCGGCCCTGAAGGATCAAGAGGTCGCCGATGCGGATGAAGTGGCAGGGAATAGTGATCGTGTCTGATGGGCGGCCGCCACGGGGCTGGACAACTCTGACAGACTCACGAACGCCTTCACGGACCCGGGATGGACCACGCTCATCAGCAACTTCATCCTTGTGATGGAAGGGATGGAGGATGCGGTCGGCAGCGCGCTCAACACCGCGACGGAAAGAGTGGTATTGGCCGTCGTCGTCGTAGTAACCCATCTTTGGCTTTGGTGCGTCGTAAACGGGGCGGCGGTCGGTGTTTACTTCGATGTGTGTGTCGTACCGGCTGGAGCTGGTGTCGTATTCGATTTCACGAACCTGAGTGCGAGGCTTGTATGTCTCGACTGATTCGTTCACGCGGTCGTAAGACACGTCAATATCACGAGTCTGGTTCGAGTATGGGCGGACAGTTTCGTACTGGACAGCGTAGTTTGGGTCGGTGCGTCGACGATATTCTTGTTCAGTTACGTCGAGTTGAGCTTGAAAGCCTTTTCTCTCGTGGGTGTTGCTGCTACTGCTGGTGCCGTAGTATCTGCCCGGTTGGTCAGGGGCTGTTTGTTCGGAAGGAAAAGCAGATAGAAGAGAAGGATAAAACAAGGGGGGGAAGAGCTATTACCTTTCACGAGCAAGTTCTACTTCAGGATATCTATCCGGGGGGGCAGGTCTCTCCTCGTAGACTTGAAAGTCGTCACGGGTGTGGGTGCGAACAGGACGATACTCGGACGACTCGACGTGGCGGGTGTCGACCTCTTCTCTGGCGTAAGCTCGGGGGTCACGGAGCGGGCCTTCGTATCGAGTATCTTCCCGTCCGACGTGCGAAGCGGTGCCTGCTAACTTGACCTCTCCCTCTACTCTCGTGTGAGTAGTCTCAGAGACAGCGTCACTCCGGTACGAGGACGGGAAGACACTGAAGGGGATGGGGACGCGGGCGTCAAAGTCCAGATTGACTGTCCTTTGGGCGTCCTTTCTCGAATGCCTTTCGAAGTGTTACAGGAATAACAACTCGAAAGGCGAGACAAGAAAAGACTCAAGTCTCTTGACCTTGGTCAGGCTGGAGGGAAAAAGAAAGAGAATTGGAAGTGTTGATTGACACTTCTACTTCTGCTTTCTCGATTGGATGGACGGGGAATTGGAAGTGATGGAAGATGAAATGGGATGAAAGGGCAATTGGAGCGGGCAGATGGATGAAGAAGAAGAAGAAGAGGAAGAGGAAGAAGAGAGCAGGCGGGCGGACGGGGAGGGCGGGTTATATCTGGCGGTGGCCGGGGTGGCTGGTGGTTGCTGGGCCAGTCACTCCTGCTGCTGCGCGGCCGCACCTGCCACCGCTGAACCCCCCCGGTCTGTCAACAGCCGCTTTGTTGATGCTTTTCCCTTTTGCGACAGCTCGGTAAACAACGCTAGACCGCTTCAGGCTAAGCCCTACGGATTCCAGCCCCATGCAGCCGGCCAATCGCCTCCTAGCGCCGTTTTTCACATGATCCTCGCTGCAGCCGCCGTTCAGCTGGAGAGTTTCTCGCTGGAATTTCTCTCTTCCCGTGGTGAAATGACACCCGCAGTCCACCTGTCAATTTCCCTCGTGCTGGCTGCTTCTTCCTGCGCATGTCGTTCTGGCCTCTCAATTCCCCGTCTTCTCCTCCCGCCGTGCTGTGTCGCCGTTCAACCGCTGATATTTGCCAGAAATCAAGTTTGGTGCCTGGTGGGGCCCTGAGTAGCCTCCGTGGACTCCGCTAATTGGGCTGGCTTCGTCGCAACCCAGGCGATTTCTCCCACCACAGGCGATCCGAGCACGCAAGCCATTCCCAATCACTTTGTTGGGAATCTCTGAGAGGTGAGCATCACAGGAGGCCAGGCTCCTCTATTTCTGGCTATTTTGTCCGTACGAAGCTCGGAGTCGTGAGTGACTTCACATATGGACGTCCATTCATAGTACTGTGGCGAGGGGGGGTGCGCGGCGGAAACACGAGCAAGCACCATGGAACCTCAGCCAGCCAGCGTGTTTCCCCATGTCTCAAAGTCAGATTCCTTGTCAATTAATAACCTCGGGAAAGAAAGAGCCTTTGACATTGCTCTCGCCATCTGAGACCGCCGTCAACCTGCGTTGCCGTGTCAACCGTGTCGAACTCTTCTGCAAAAACAAGACACGAAACCCCACCTTGAGAGCGGATCTCCAGAAACACTCGCTCTCTCTCTTTATGAATTCCCCCACCTGCTCCATTTTCCAAACGGTGGTCAACCCGTTTCTGTCTCAACCGGCAATCGCTCTGGAGAACCTAGGCATCCGTGTTCGGAACTGCTTCCTTGCCGTCATATGTGACGGTCATCCTGGGCTTCTTCCAAGGAATCTGGCATTGACGAACTGCTGGGATCAAAATAAGCTCACTCTGCTTAGATCGAGAGCACCCTGGTGCTGGGTAACTTGACGGAACTCAATTCCTGCGAACGCTTCATGCGTTGGCAATAATCCATAGGGCTTCACTGCAGAAGTCCTACAGCCAATTATTAACAGGTAACTGTATACTCAATACACTATGCATCTCGCGGTGGTTTGTTATTGTAGAGGGTCACTTCTCCCTTCGTCAGCCAGTATAGACTGAGAGAGAGCGGTCTGATATGCCCAGCGTTTGGATTCCATGGTGCTGTTGGAAGTTTACTAAGTAGTACAGAGTACGGAGTACAGATCAACTTCTAACCTAAACTCAGCATGCAATCAGATCAGTCATCGTGATGTCTTCCCCCACAAGTACTCTGTCAGCGGCACAAATATGTTGCGGCACAAATATGTTGCGGCACAAATATGTTGCGTCACATTTGACACCACCATGGTGCTGGTTGCACAGCGATCGGAAGCGTTTTCCAGAACTATTACATAAAACGGGAACAATTAATATGATCCCAAGGGACGGTGCAGAGCGAATACCCGTCCAATTCTATGCGTTGAAGTTCCACGACGTAGGGGTATCCGACTGGAACGATTTGACTAAGAACCTGATGCAACCAGAGACGGTCCATCATGAGAGAGACACTGCAAGTGATGTCAATCGAAAGGTTTCGGGAGGCGGGAAGGTTCCAGGATATAAGCTCTCAGTAACCAACTTAACAACAGGATCAGGTCTCAGCTGCCAAACGCTCAGGGCTTTTGAGGCTTGATACCAGCCATACCAGAGCAATGCTTGATGGAATTAGTAATTACGTATGTCAAAAGAGTAGACTTATTCGCATCCATGAGCTTGGGATATCGCAGGAAAGCAAGTCTTCCAGCCTCCAGGAAGGATTTGAATCTCTTCGCAGCTCGGATGTGGTCTAGATCATAGCCAATGATGTCCAAGTTGGCCACCAGCAGTGGCGACTGTTGCTCAGCTTCGTCAAACGGCTTTCGGGTCATCTCCAAAGACGTTGAATTTCGAACCTTCAGCTTATGAAATCGGTCTTTTCCTTAAGTTAGTTATTGACTCTCTACCCTTTACTCCGTACTCCGTACACAGTTACAGTTTAGCTCCAGACTCGTTACTGGGGCCTTGTGCAATAAGTGAGGCGTCGTTTCTACCTGAGACGGACTTGGCTGCGTCAGCGATCGTTTCATCCCATCATCAAGCTGGTGCATACAAGGGCAGCTCAAAAATTCTTTCTTTGACAGCTTTTCCCAAGACACACACCCGCATGGCAGGATATTCTAAGCAATGATATTTTCGTGATGTTCAGGCGCAAACGGAGTGTCTCTCACGGGGTAAGCTGCCTTTCTTTATCAGTCTGCTATCAGCTGTGCGATAATAATCGAGGTCGTGAGCTGTCAAACCATCCCCCCCACAACCCTCCCCCCAGAGTTAAAAAGTAAATGACTGATCTGGAATTCCCTTTCTGCCAGCCTATAAATCCCAACCCGTCGCCCTCTGCACAGTCAGCGGCCGTCCAAGCATTTCGCGCATCCCAAGCCGCACACGCAAATGCAAAATTGTCCTCGTCGGCGGCCGCAGCAGCTCTACGAAAGCACACTCCGACTCCGACATCGGTCGAAGATGTCCAGACGAGGCGCATGTTACAAAGAAAGCAATCCGTTTCGTCGATTGGAACTTCCAAGGAAAGTATCCAGCGCGGACAGGATGTGACTGTGCGTAGGGCGAAAAGTATGAGCTCCATGAGCAAGAGGACGTTCAGGGATAGTTCCCCTGGGCTAAATTCTCCGGTAGGCGTTGGGCATACAGAGCATAAAGATGAGATTGATCCTGTACCTCCTCTGCCACGGGTTTACGCAACAGCTACTGCCCCCACGCATCGACGGGCCATTAGCGGCGGAAATACCGGCCGGCGTGCGATTTCTCCGCAGACACAGCTGGTTGGAACACAAGCAACCAGTGGGAACGATCCGGGTCAGCCAACGCAGGGAAATACTGCCGGACCTTCTCTTGGATTGCAGAGGAGGAGCAGTAGGAGCTCCATTAACTTCTCCTATCCCATCAATGCCCGCCCAAACTCGCCACGGCAACCGTCAATTACAAGCGTTCTTGCGGATACTCCCTCGATACGTACTTTGTCTCCTGCAGGATCGCTCAACACGAACTTTTCGCCCCATGTATACGCTCCCCAAAAGGAAACAAAGGCTGATTCGATAGGGCAAACGAGCCAGGTCGACTGGGAATATTCAACTGGCGCTGGCCATCAGTCAATACACGCGGATGGCTCCAATGCAAAATACCAGATGGAAAAGAATGTGCGGTCCCCAGAAGAAAATAAGGGACAACAATATGATCCCGATTCGCTTGACTCTCATACACTCGCCTCTGGTCACATCCCGCCTGATTTTCTGAGAAGACATCCATCTCCGATCCCTGAGACCCACGAGATAGGGGAGGGAACTAGAGACGGTGGGTTAATGCCAGAGAAACAGGAGCCTGGCTATATTTCTCTGCTTAGGGAAGAAGCGCGAAAAGAGATAAATGCTCTGGAAAACAAAAGATACATACGGAAGCGAAGAGCCTCTCCTTCTACCGTGTCTGATTCATCGTTACACCTTCCAGAGAGACAAACACAACCAGGAGCCAAGGATTGGACTCGGCCGTCAGCGAAGCGCCTTCAGGCCGAAAGGCCCTCGTCTCTTAGTCCATCCAGGTCGACAAGATTCTCAGAGCATTTGGAGATTGCCTTTCCGGGAGATCATCTTCATGAACCTCCACCGCGGTCAAAATCTCCCGTCAAGTCGGCCTTGAAAACCACCGCGCCAACCCACACTGTCCCGTCTGATCCCTCGGATACGCATAATTTGAAGATAGCAGACGTTCTTAGTGAATCCGAGGGGACATCCGTCCTTTCTGACGAAGGGTCGAGGCTGAGCTGGAAGAGAAGACCTGCAAAAGTGACTTTTGAAGATGAAGCTGAAATCCTGGGCGCCACGGCTAGTCCCCCTACCTCTCTTGATTCAATTGTTCCCTCGAGTCCACAGTCGAAGTGGAACGACAGTCTTCGTAGCAGGTGTAGCCATACCGATGACCTTGATGACGTAATGAAACCACGGCCAGCCCTTCCATCATTCGGGAGTATACGAGGTCGAAGGAGGACTGTTGAGGACGATAAATCGTTTACTATCCGACCGGAGAATGGCAGACCGCTGTTAGCAGATTCGGTGTTTGCCGATTCATTTTCAGGTGACTTTGCCATTGGTGAAGTCTTGGAATCTCACTCGCGGCAGACATGCCAGACAAGCCGGGCCGTGCCGTGGCCATCAGAAGTCACTTCACTTGACGGATCAGGATTTGACTCTCCCTCTGAGAGTGAATCATCGAGTGACGAAGCTGACCCTAGTGAGTTCATTTTGCCTGGGCAGGATATCTCGGGCTTGCGACACTTTCGGGGAAATGAATTGGACCAGCCAGACAAAAATTCAATCGCCTGTGTAGGAGAGTACAAGAAAACCGACGTCGTCGTCCCGATAATTGCAATTCAGCCTGCTACTCCAATGTTCGAAGAATATCCAAACGCTAGGCCTGAAAGGAACGGGATCCCACGTTCTTTCCCAGGCATCTCAAATTTAAAAAACAGCTTGGATATAAGCAAGAGTGAACGAAAACTTTTGAACCGACAGAAAATGAGCGAGATTAATGCTGCTAACGAGCCGATCGATACGGATTCTGAGTCCGGAGATAGCGTTTACAGCGATGCTGCAGAGAATCTTGATGACCTAGAAGGCGATGGTTTTGGCTCTATAAATGCGATTGTCTCCGGTCCTACGTCTCAGGGTCGTATCCTCCATGCATCTAGCCCGGCAGACCCTCCCATTTCCTCTGTGGGAGGCGATAAAGATGTTCCTCAGCCCAATGTGGAGATATACTCTACCGAGATTCAGCATCAGTCCCCACCCATTGCTAGCCCCCGAAAGGAAGCAGTCTCCGCTAGAACCGTCTATGATAAGGACAATTTGCGTGAGGAGCAGCCAGTCTCGAAACCTGTCCGTCAACGTTCCTTAAAACAAGCTAAAATGAACGGCGCACCTCGGTTCGGCGGTATCAGCTCGGAGAAGCCAGTTCAGGAGTCAGCCCCCCAGGAACCTAGAAGAAACACAACCGAGTCTCAAAGTCCAGCCTCCGCCACTACTCTAGATACCAGACGGCGGAATTTTAGGAATTCGGCGTTAAGTAGCCCTATTCAAAACAATCCTATATACTCGGACAGTGTGAACAAATCCAAAGCTGTGGGCCAGCAGCCTAGGAGAGCCCAAACTGTATCGTATGGCAGCCTTGCACGGCAGTCTCCTCAACGAAATCCATCAAATGGCAGCGATTCATCGAGCAGTTTCAAGCGAGAAAGACGGTCACCAGCAGGTACTAGAACTTACACCTTACGGCGGACAATGAGAAGTGGCGCTGGACATTCGAAGGCAGATGATCTCGAAAAAAGTAATCACGCAGCTGCCTCATCTTCTATTTCTCATCAGCACCACCCGTTTTCCTCTGGGGATAGCCATCCAATTCTACGAGGGACGCTACGTGGCTCCAGCTCTGTATCACACTTGAAATCGCAGTCGACTTCGTTTTCTGGGTTTAGAAGCCTAAGGTCGAAACACCCATCAGGCTTCAAATCTCGATTTGCTGATTCTAGTGATGAAGAGCTTGACGTGCAAAAGTTCACTCCAGTCCGCGGAATTCCACGGAGAAGGGGCGCGATCGATGGAGACTCAACCGATCTCGAGGATAGCTCTGATAGTGATGCTCCGCGAAACGTCGTCAGAAGATTGCGCTCTAAGCGGCCTACTTCTAAGAGGGGTGCTGCCCCGGTGCTTGCAGTTGCCGCAGGAGACACTCTATCAAACCACAAGCCAAGCGCTACAACCTTGTTGCATGATCAACAATTCCCCACATACCAGGAAAAGCCGAAAAGGGGTGTTCTCAGCCGGATGAGTCTATCGAGACGACATGCCCACGGCGAAACCAAGATCCGGAAATCGGAGATTGAGAGTGCTGCTAGAAGGGATACTCCACTGGAGAGAACTCAGCCTGAGCTTGACCGGGTGCGCGATGCCAAACTCTACATGGGTGGATATGCTTATGTGCCGGGAACTGTTACCAACATTAGCGGTCCTTCTACTCCCGTCCCCAAGAGTAAATGGTCTCGCCTTTCTCCTCGATCTGCGAAACAAACAAACAAGCTCACCCGCCAATCGGGTAATTCCAAAGTTATTTCATGGCCGTTACCTGCTCCAGGCGAGACTCCTCCTCATATACCCCGATTATCATCGAATGCTAGCGATAATGGACGAGGGCCCGGTCTCAACTCCGTTGCTCATAGCAGCGAAAACCCTCATCGACCACATACTTCCGACGGCTTGAATCGGAGTAAATCTCAGATAATTCCGCGTGATACCTCGAGTGACGTGGATTCTACCTGGACATCGCGATTTCTGCACAACCGGCACAATCGCAGAGGCACTGAGAGCGCACTGAACCCGCAAGCTGGCGGGGGTTCATCGGGGGGAGCCACGATGGCCACCGAGGGCAAGAAGAAGAGTAGATTCCCAAGACTACGGAAAGCGTTTGGATTATCATGACTCTCAATCCTGCCTTTTAAGTTATGTACGATCTATATGCCTTAATGTTGCCCCCATCCCTTTCGGATTATGTGTGGTACGGTGCCCCATTTTAACGCCATGTTATGATACTATACATAATATTAATGATTAATTTCACATGGTTGATGTCTCTTATTCTGTATAGCTGCTGCGCTTTATTTCTGGTTTATTTCTAGCTACCTTCAATACTCGCTTAGAACGGATGTGCTTAAAGGGGACTGGATATACCCATACATCTGTTACGCTTTTTGCCCTTCCAGTTTTCTACCTCCCATGAGGAGGGCAAAGCAATTCTGCCCACTGAATGCTAAATATAATGCAGAATAATCAGTTAAGGATATGAAACTACGTATGAGAAATCATTGTGAAGCTCATGATTGCGGCCTGTGGCCGTTGATGGCAATATCATCCAATGGCATGGTCATTTAATATAAATTCATTCTTTTCACCGCTAACTTGCCAATTTCGACTGTCTACGCAGTAGAAAGTCCATGATTCTCGTTATAGCCAAATCGACCAGTTGAATTAATAGCGAGTACCCTGTATTCAGTCTTTGAATACTCGTACAAATGCCTCATGATTGGTAAACAACACCGCCGATATCACGAAAGGGCAATGCAATAATTCGAAATATCACCTCAGTTAACATCTCTCTGTCGCGACCGACCGCCTGGATAACAAGGGGTAAGTTAGCCTTGTGTCATGAGACAGTTCCTCGGTCTCTCGTCTCGGTGTCTCAGGATTGAGAGTGAAGATGTTCCTGACAGTCGGAGCCTTGGCGATCGACGTCAACCTGCTCGACGATCGAGTTCGGTCAGACAACAACAACATCACATCGGTTCACTCTCAATCATCACTCACTCTCTTTCATTGTTCATGGGTATTAATAGTTAGTGTGTTTTATACATTTATTCACTCTATATCCTGTACCCGAGCTTTAATTTACCTAGTATACCATCCTATCTGAACATCATTACGGTCCCAGGCCCTCGTCATGAAGTCGCTCTCCCTACTGGCGCTCGCCGCCATCGCTCCTCCAGCGGCTGTGGCTGCTGTAGTAGACCACCAAGTTCCCTTTGAGAACAGGCCCGTGCAAGGGCTTCCAGAGAAATTCTTAATCCAGCTCGGACCCGAACAGACAAGATGGGTGACAGAAGACGAGAAATGGGCCTTGAAAATGGTAATTCTATCCCAATTTACCGACTTTCTCCTGAATTCTATTGACGGAATATTATCCTTAGGAAGGAGTAAACTTTTTTGACATCACGGCCGAGCCAGACAGAGGGTTCTCTGTTAAGAGCCACGAGCGTATCCAAGTTAGCTTTCCATCGGAAGTCAAACACCAAACGGAACTGGCGCCTCTGCTAGAGCAACTGTCCAAGGATAATATGCGCCAGAACCTTGTTCACTTTACCTCTTTCCATACCAGATACTACAAGTCGGAAACTGGTGTTCAGTCGGCAACTTGGCTGTTTGAACAGGTGGAGGAGGCCATCCAGGATTCTGGCGCTGCTCAACACGCCGTCAAAGTCGAAAGGTTTGAGCACTCATGGGGCCAATTCAGTATTATTGCAACTATCCCTGGAAGGACGAATAAGACTGTGGTCATCGGCGCTCACCAGGACAGTATCAATCTGTTCCTGCCATCGATCCTTCCCGCGCCTGGTGCAGACGATGATGGTAGTGGAACTGTGACTATCCTCGAGGCCTTCCGTGTTCTGCTGCAGTCAGAGGCGGTTCAGCAGGGCAACGCTGCCAACACCATTGAGTTCCATTGGTACTCCGCTGAGGAAGCTGGCCTTCTTGGCTCCCAGGCAATATTCTCGGACTACAGTAAGACTGGCAGAGACATTAAGGCCATGCTGCAACAGGATATGACTGGTTATGTCGAGGGCACAACTAAAGCTGGTGAGGTAGAGTCCGTAGGTGTTATCACCGATTTTGTCGACCCAGGTTTGACAGAGTTCATCAAACGTGTCATTACAGGGGTAAGTTGGATTTAAACCACGAATTTTCATAAAATCCTTTTGGCTGAAAACTTCACCCAGTACTGTACCATTCCGTTCGTCTTGACACAGTGTGGTTATGCCTGTTCGGACCACGCTTCGGCCAGCCGATATGGATACCCGTCAGCATTCGTCATTGAGTCAGAATTTAAGCGCTCCAACCAGCGGATCCACACAACGGGAGACACTGTTGATCTTTTGAGCTTTGACCACATGCTACAGCATGCAAGAATGACGCTTGCTTTCGCGTATGAGCTTGCATTTGCAGAGCTGTAGACTCCATTGACCTTTTTGCGTGCTCCAAATTTGCCCGGACACAGGTTTGTTGGGCATCCTATGATCTCTATGTTTCTGTTTGTGCGAGTTTCTTTGGCTGGAAATGATCATCATGCCCTAGAGTATAAACACCCATAAGCCTATCGATGATGCTAAGATTCACCATATTGTTTACTATCATTAGAGAACAAAGACAATGAAAGAATACACATCTTAGGTCTGACTTCCGCTCATGCTGCTATGGATTGGGTTAATGTTGTGATTTCTTTAGATCATTATTCATTGAAGCCGTAACGCGCTGGGGTTCTTTCCAGTTGCTCAGTGGATTCGAGCAGGCCGGAGAACCTAGGACGGGCTATTTTTCTATAGCGTGTGCCTTGTCTACTCTTAAACCAAATTTGGTTGAGTAGTTGAAATATATATTATTTTTTGTTTTTCGTGGCCCATGCAAAAGCTGTGAGAGACGGTTGAACACAACCATGGTTTTCCATATCCCCGTCATCAAGTAGATGGCTTTATCAAAGAGCGAAGCAACAAGAATTGACGACGTAGCTGAACCCATTAATATGCCAACATGGACCGAGAGAGGTTTGCGTAAAGTCGTAAAGGGGATACGCTTAACGTAATGCCAACCGGACGCCATGAAAAAAAAAAAAAGGAAAAAAAGAGGTATATGTTACATACATCTCGGGGAAGTATTGCCTGAGTGGGATATCAAGAAAAGGGAAAGGATGAAAAAGGGGCCCGGATGACATAGTGCGCTGAGTAACCAGGGAACGCCAGCTTCCGATAAAGTGTACATATCAGAACAGATTTCCGAAATAGCCGACCAGCAGCAACGGAATAAGGAAGAGGCCGGCAGATATCATCTGGGGGTGAGCTGCTGCTGACTTATCGACATCGACGGTATAAATATATTGGGCGGTTAGGTGGGAGGAATTGAAACAATTCCTCCTTGTTACTTGCTCAACATCTTCTGGCTCTGCGAAAGTAATATCGACGCACTATATGGGATAACAGGTCAGTCAAATAAACCTAGCTAGAAATGCGGATATGGGCGCCGTTTACATTATACAATGCAGCTCCGTGCTTAGCAATCTCAACGACTTGGATAGTGGCGTTGTCGCCAACATTCACGGTGATATTAGGGGGCAAAGGGACCTGCGGCATGCAAAACGTGCCAGGATAGGGCTCTACCGTAGGGCCGGTTATTTGGAAGGGAGAAAGCATCGGGAGACTCATGTTCAGCGGGACAGTTCCGATACCGAGGTTAATGTAGATGAGTGCCGTCTTGTGGCCAGGGAACCATCCGGGCTGGAACGACACCGCGCCACCCTTTACGGGCCATTTTGTTCGGTTTTGGGACATGGGCATTCCCCCACCTAGTTGGAATAATTTCATGTCAGGTAACTGGCTCCAATTTCAATTTCCACAAGCTGGTCAACTAACATGGATACAGCCATTGCATCCCGAAAGGATACAGATAATCTCTGTCCCCAGTGGCATTGCTGGCGTATTTCACGCTTAGCCCATCTGTTTCTTCAACTGTTCCATTTGAATATAGGTTGTTCCCGCGCCATCCCGGGTAAACGATAATAGTATGAGCACGGGCGACAGTCGCGAAAAAGAGTGAAATGACGATGGCCCACCACGAGCCTATCGAGTGTTGTCTCGTCATTGTGGGCGTGTGTACGGAATTTGCGAGCGCAGGAATGAGAGGTGGAGGATTTCTGACGGTTGAGCGCCAACCAGAGTTTCCGCACGGTCCAGGATCTTGAAGGAGCGAGGTTCTGTCGAAGCAACTGCAATTTACCACATCTGACCTGTATTTCACTTTCGACAAAGATGAAGGCACCGAGGAGAAGAAATGATGGGAGAGGTTGAAGCTGAAAAGATGACGATATCTTGGGCGGCTAAGAGACGTGCCTATGGGGCTAAGATCGACCCAGGACCCGACTAAAAAGTAAAGACCCTAGAAGAGGAGAAGCGACGAATCGCCCCTGGGGGTAGTACAAGGGTTATCTTGTTCAAAATAGACCATTCAATTGAAGGGGCAACCTCGAAGGTCAAGGCACAGTGGTTGATAGTCAGTTAACTACTCCGTAATCATCGCAAATTCTTAGAAAAAGACCGTGAATCACAAGGATAAAGATAAAAAGAATGCCCACCGGCAACGAAATATCCACCGGAGCCCTAGTACGGAATGAGATTTAAGAACTGCTCTGTAAGGAGTACGGACTTTTGCTTTCTCAAGACAGCCGTTCTCGCTCTTCAGGCCATTGTCCTTGGCCGCACTGGCCCCATGTCCATTCACAAAGCTGGACCTTGCGGAAACCAACGAATCATGGCAGAGGGCGAGCATGCAATCCGATGCATGCAAGGCTGTGATGTGATTGCGACAGGCCAATTGCATCGCTGATCACAAGAGGCCCGTTTCCTGTACCCCTGTCCGACGGCTGCGATTCGTGGAGGCGCACATCATGCAAGCGCCCACACTTGAAAGAAGGTTGCGATCCCCCGCTGAGTTTGAGTGGGGCTCGCAGTCCGACCCAAAGGTCGGTTTCCAGCTGGGAGCGCCGGCTATTGAGTGGAAGTCCTGCCACAGAACCACGGCGCTGACAAAAACCAACCAGCTCCCATCATGGCACTTCATGCAGTGACGAGCAAAAGCAGACCAAAAAAAGAGCTGCATCACGTGATAAGATTACTCAGCGAGTACCTTTGATGACTAATCAAGGCTGAGGATCCCGTGACCTCATCGCTTCCGTTTCCGACGGCAGCGCAAGTTTCCCCAACCTGCTGCGTCCTGCAACCGTCCACTGCCATGTCGCAGCCGGCAAGACGGAGGAAGGTTGTCGATAACGATGGGTGGACACACATCACCTCTACCAAGAAGTCCTCGAGTCGCCACCGCCCGCCGCAGCCCAAGGACCAGCTAGCGCCTGCAGAAATTCCTGACGGACTCACATTTGAAAAGCTGAAAGACAAGTACGATTGGCACAAGCAGCAATGGATGGAATCACACAGCTGGACCGTTCTAAAAGGATTGCTGGAGCAAGAGATTGCCCGTGTTTCGGGAAAGATTCGTAATTGTGTCTGTTTTGGGTTGGGAAGCCCGAGCGGCTTCTCCCGTGGAGGATGGGTTGATCGAAGGAGTATATCAATGTTTCAACTTGCCGCACTCGAGTTGACAGTGGAGCTTTTATGTACGTTTGCTACGATATTTATTGTTGGAGGATATACAGAAATGAGGCTGACGAATGTACTTGCGAAATGCACAAAGCCCAAGCAAAAATTATTAACCCTGATAACCTCTATGCTCAAGATCCTGTTTTTAATGACATGGATAAGAAGCTGCTAAAGTATGCTGGGTTCAACGTAGTTCAAGATCCAGATGCCTTTGCACTTGTTGCCAAAGAGACATTTTTGTATGCTCCTGGGGCTGAAAAATCTCATCTAATCGATCTTCTTTTGCGTGACCCGGGCCTATTTTTCGGAAGTACTTTCGATGACATTCACTCGGCAACCACTGAAGGTGACACATGCGCGCAATTTGTGGGGAGGAGGCGCTCACTTTTGCTTCCGGAGTTTGAACCAAACCCGAGTGCATTCTGGAGGACAACCTTGTATTGGAACGGCGAAGCACACCTACCGCCTTCCGCTGATTGAAACTCTTCTGGATGCCTATTTCGATTTAAGCAATTACACGAGGACATTCCATGTCCGTTCCACATTCCGCCGAGGAAGCCAGAAGGCCTTTCTGGCACGGTATGGGATATTTGTGCCTCCGTTGCACTCAACTTGGAGAAGGAGTAGCGATGCGATATGCTGGAATTAGCACAGAGGCTAAAAAGGCTTTTGCGTTGCCTGCGACACTACCGCTGGTTATCTGATAGTTGGCAAAGGCCGTCCTTTGACTTGATATAGGCGCACTCGCACTCATTCAGTTTCCTTATCAAAACACCGGCCTAACAAGCAAATGGACCCAGAATATTTTGCAGTGATTGGGTTCTGAATCCCTGGAATCTGCCTATGTAAATATGTACAACGAATGTTTGGCAAACTATTCTGTTCGAGGTATATATTTGCAATATTCACATTTATTTTTTGGCGGTGATTTATAATGCCAGTTTACACACCCACCAATTCCCTAGTTGATATCTTTACTATCCACCAAGGTACCAAAGAAATCTGCAATCTCTAGGAGCGCCATCTATAAACACCGCCGCGTTAGTGACATCTAGCAACCAATTTTTGAACCGCTCTGGACCAACATACCTTCTTCACTTCTTCACCATTATATCCCGGGAGATCTCGATCACCAACACCATCCTGAGCAACAACAACATCATATCCGAGCTCGTTCGCACTCCGAGCTGTTGTTGACACACAAACATGGGCCTGCAAGGTTATTAGCGTACTAAATACCATGCAGACGCTCCCCTGCCAGGGGGGAAAAAATAGCAGCCTGATATTAAAAAGTGAAAACCGTACCATGTATCCAACCAACACCACTTTCTTGCATCCCTTTCCCTTCAGCCACTCGTCCAACCCCGTCTTCGCAAACGAACTCGGGAACTCCTTGACAACCACCTTCTCCCCATCCAGTGGTTTCAGCTCGTCGAATTCTTCCGCCAGCGGGGTGCCAGGCGTGAACACTGGAGTACCCTCCGGTACCTTGTGGAGAACATGGACGATGTTTGATTTTTCGGATTTCTGCGCAGCGGCGCGGTATTTGGAGAGAAGAGAAGAGATGACAGCGCGGGATTGGTCGACAGAGCGAACCTTGAGAAGACCATTGGCATATCTGGAGAGTTTGATTGTAAGACTTCTAGGCGGTATGATGCGGAAACCGAAAGGGGCTCCTTACTCGTTTTGCGCGTCGATGATGATCAGGGTACTATCGGCAGTTGACGCCGTGAGGGGAGGGATCCCCGCCATATCTCTAAATAGAGCCATTGCCGTAGATATACTCCGTATTGGTCGGGATAAAACGTTCTGTCAGCTCTGATCTGTGAGTGCCTTCTCGTGTTCTTGCTGGATATCAAAAAATTCAAATTTTCGATCAAGGTGGGAGAGCCCACGAAGAGGAAATTGGATTAATAAACAATCGGGGGAATCTTCCTTTTCCGCCACTCGCGGGTGCTTCGTCCGAGGCGCAACGGTCCCGCCCCCGCATCTGGCTTCCCCCGACGCCAAGGCTTTCCGCCGAAGCCGGCGTCGTCAGGGGCAGGTTTCGGCGATGCGGGAGACCTGGTACATTCACTTTCAACAACTAATAGCCCGCAAGCCGGGATCACGCTGGGCCGTTCCGATGGATGACCGATTAGAGAAGCATTCGAAATGAAGAGACGAAAAAAAAAAGTTTAAATATATTATATATATACGACGCGCGTCGCTAAAATAGAAGAGGCACGATGGGGGAAAAAGGAGGGACGGGCTGAATTGGATAATTACTAAGGAGAGATGACATAGACAAAGGTTCAACTAGTGCCAATAATTGCCTTTAAACAACATGACACCGATCAAGGGGAAAAAAAGGAAAAAAAGGTATATACGCAGAGGAAATGTCCGTACGCCAACCTGCCAAGAAACCGCTTTTAAACAGCAGATGGATTCCAAGGGAGGGTTAGAGATATGAGGTTCCAGTGCTGGAAAACAATAGGAAAAGGAGACTATGTCGATCAGGGAAAACATAGGTACGGGGGAGTGAGCAAGGTGAATTCAAACAATACAGACAGGGGAATCAATATACTGCAGGGATGCATGTATAAGTATATTCACAAAAGGAAAAAGAGAGCATGCATAGTAAATTGCAAACATATGATCAAACACAAAATAGGTCAAGGTATCCAATATATGCAGAGAGATTATGAGCAGAAATGAAATGTATATACTGTACCGCTGTTCTTTGCGTATGTATGCATAGAGAAAAAAGCCAACAACAATGGCTGGATGTCTAAGCGTGTGAAATATTCACTTTATATGGTTTTCCCGCCGCAACTTGGGATCTTAATCCCGGGTTTGAGGTTTCTTCCAGGGTCCATGAGACCCCATTTGTCTTCCCACTCTTTGCCCGGCTCATTGTATTGTTCTTTCCAAGGCTCGTCGAATGCTTCAAACCTGTAGAGATACTAGCATTAGCACTAAGCACAAAAGGAAACGCAGTGATGGAGCCGGCAATTGGCGGTGAAGACCAACCAGAAATAATCCGTGCCCTTTTCCAGGGCAGGGCAGACCCAGTCTTCCATAAACTTGTTCAACTCCTTGATACCAGCAACCGCCCCAGAATTGGAGCTGGAACACTGGGAATTCCCACAGTTGCTCCCACCACCGCTAGGCCAACCGACTTCGGAGATCAGCTTTTTCGTGTTAGGCCCTCGAGACAGGGTAGAGTCTTTGTTGTCCCAAAACTCATACGTCCAATCGGCGGCCTCATCGACGGGGACGCCACCAAAGAAAGGATGAATATTGGACATGACAACATCGACAACCCTAGCGAGCCCTGCAGTCCAAGCATCACCCAAGTCCGAAGTTGTAACTGGCAGGTCGATGTTCATGTCTTTGAGCTTGGATTTGACATCTTCAAGGTAGTCGCTCAACATCTGCAGTGTGGCAGGGGACCGGTGACCGCGGAACAAGACTTCATTGCCAACGATCACTCCCTTGAATAACGATTTATCCGCTGTCGATTTGAGGATATCGTACATTTGTTCCAGCTGACGGTCGTTGGTCGTTTTGTTTTCGTTGTCGATCCACACACCCACCCAGAGTTTCATGTCTTTCAGCTCCAGCTTATCGATCGCATGTAGGACCATCTCCGTCTGGTTGCAGTCCGTGCCGTAGAGTCTCACAGTATTTGTGAGCTGCGAGAGGACTGCCATATCCCGAGTAACGTTGTTCTGGCTGGGGGGATACTTCAGACACAAAGGGTACTGTGTGCCCCAGGGAGTGTAGTCCATTCCAGGGAAGACCCTGTGCAGATTAGGGTTATCCATGAGATCCTTGATCTCCTGAGAATCTTTGTCGAGGTCCCCGTTGATCCTGGAGTCGTCATCTGCCGACTGTCCACCACCTCCCCCGGACGAGGAGGAGTTTGAACGGTTCCTTGATGGCAATAGCCCTCCAGCAACTCCACCAGCGATGCCTCCCAGGACGAGAATGGCAATGATGATACCAACAATCCACTTCAACTTCTTCTTGCTTGCTCTTTGCTCGACCAACCACTCACTCTTTTCACCGGGAAGAGCATCGTAGGATGGACCACCGTCGGGACTGCTGCTTGTTTGACCGTTCACGCGACCGCCGATGGTAGCTGCTGCACCACCGACAGCCGCACCGGCACCAGCCGCTCCAGCGCCTCCAGCCAAGCTTTGATGACTGCTACTTTTCCCAAGAGCGCTAAGGACTGATTTTCGCTTCGGGTTTGGGATGAAACCATCGTCGCCATCATCGACAATATCGTTCGGGTTGATAGGCTGGTTCATCGGCGACCACGAGGTGCGTTGCTGGCTGTAGGGACCATTGTTGAGTCCGTCGTAGTGAGGGTTAAACTGGGAGCTGTGGATGTTGTTGTTGTTGTTGTTGTTGCCGCTCCCATCGGTCGCACGGCTGAGTGGAACATTGGACGAATAGGACCCGGGTGTTCTTGACATCGACGATGCATCCATAGCGACAAGATCCGGGTTCGAAGCGTAGTACTGCGCGTCTGAATGAGGATGGTGGCCGTAGTGGTGTGTATTGTCAGGGTTGCCTCTGATCGCCTGAAGCCCGCTCTGCCGCTCGTGGGTGCTGGCTATGCCCGCCGCGATACCGGTAATGCCGCCGCCGGCAGAGAGAGGACCCAGGTTGTCGGCTCCAGGAGACACGGTGGAATCGGTGCGCGTGGTCTGCGATCGCACGGGTTGGAGAGTGGGATGCGGGCGTTGGGCGTGCGAGAAAGGCTGCGAAGCTGGCGAGTGTTCGTGGCCCTGGTGCCTCTGGTCCCTTAGCCTGCTGTATGCGCTATCCGGGTGGGCCGCCGGGTGGAAGCCGTGAGGCTGAAACGGCGCGGACGAAGGCAGCTCGTATTGGTAGTTGGAAGGAAAGGAGCTCTGTTGGGAGCCATGATTATTGTAATTCTCGTTCGAATCGCCACCGTTGTAGGAGCGTTGCGGGTGGTAAGGCATTGTCGGCGGTGCGGCGTGCACGACTCGCAGCACATGGAAGGTTTCACGGCGTCGGGCGCTGTTCCCGGGGAACGGAGCGGCTTGTGTCCACGGAAATCGACAAGCGGGGTGCCCTCAACCGCGCACCTCTCGAATTCAAGGACGCAGAGACGACGAGAGTCTGACGAGAGCGACAAGTCCGATGAGAGATCTCGTCATGAGAGAGATCTTGTCTTGAGACGAGATGCTGAGACCAGCAAAAGGGGGAAATGAGCGCAGGACACGCCGGGCTCTAGTTTCGCCTGGGACGGGGGTGGTGGGGGCTCGACGAGCTAAGCGTGAACGAGCCGGCAAGCAAGGTTTGGCTCGCGAGATGGCCGGTTACATACCAGGGCAGAGCGAACTCGCCACCCGCCGCTCCGTTCCAGGCCAAAAGGTAAATTTCTCGACGCCTGCTCCGTGCTCCGTGCCGCCACCCGCGCGTGCGCTCACTCTTAAAACGTGCCATCGTCGTCATCATCGACTGTCGTCCGCGGCCAATCCGTTGGTTGTCAAAACCGTTGCACCGGCGCGCTGCACGACATCGCCATGACAACCGCCGCTCCACGGCCCCGGGGCTGCCAATCACGCCGAGCCCTGAACACGAGCCTGCAGCGATCTCCGCATCATCGAAAGAAGGAAAACCGCTGCTGGGCAGCCCACTTGGGTCACTTGTCCTCCATCCTCCGAACTTGGTATCCTCGCTGACGCGCCCGCATAAAAGGTTGCTGCTGCACCCGCCTGCCTGCCACACGTCGTCGGGCCTCCGGAGCCGTCCATCGCAGAGACGAAAGGCAAGGAACGGCCAGCTTCGCTCGCAAACGGACCTCCCTCTTCCCCCCTCTACCTGCGTGCCGTTCAGAATCCTGGATCCGCTGATCACACTGTCTCACACTCCCCCACACCGACACTGAGACATGCTGCACAGCCCAACAACGGTCGCGTGTTTAACTCCCGAGAGAGAAAAAATAAACAAAATATAAAATAAAAAATAAGGTAAAAGGTCAGAAATAAAGGCGTAAAGAAAAATGGTGATTGAGGATTTAAAACTCGTGCTATCTTCCCTTTCTTGAGATACAGGAATCTTCGACAAGCAAGGGTTCCTACGCCCAGTGACCGCATTCCGCTTGAGCAACTATCTTCTTTTGGTATTTCCTCAAAGGACTACGGAATATTACTCGTCTTCTGGCTGGACCAACATCATTCACGCCTTATGATATCGATGCCGACAGAAACGGCAAACCCCGCCACCAGGCTTCTACATACGAACTTTTTCAGCATTTTCTCTCTCTTCTCCTGATCTACCATCCTGTGCAGTTCACAAGGCGACCAAAGCCGCCAATCCTCCGCGCGTGGATGCATTCATCGGATGCGATGGCGCGGTTTTTTTCTTTTTCTATTTCTTTTTCTTTTTTTTCCCCCGCGTAACACTCGGGGCCTCGAATCTACCAGATCGGGAATGACTTCAGGTTCCTTTTCTTCGGAGTAGTTTACAGAGACCTTTGTCGCATTGCTCGTCAATACTATCAAGGGGAGAGAAAGCATTGGTTCCCGTCTGTCCTCATTCGACTTCGATATCAAAATCTAATACGTCCATGCTACTCTATCCATATCCGCGCCATAGTTTACGAAGAGTTTATACTTCCTAGAAAATTGGTCTCTTCTGTCTATCTATAGAGCGTCTATCGACGGTCTACATCTTTTTTGGCATGCCTTCACCGCCAGCCCTCCAGCTTGCCCCCTCCTCGAATCGCACCACCTCGCATTGTGGGAAGAACATGGGTGCCATTTAAAACATCCGCTGGCGGAGTAGAATTTGCCACCAGGATGTGCGTCGATGAGTTTGGTAACATCATGGACAACAACTGGTAATGGCAACAAGAGCTTTGTCATTCTTCAAATCAGTTACGAAACCACTCCAATGGGCAGCACTTCCCAAAGTGGAATATTCCTCGTTTCTAGCCGATGCCCCGTCTTTCTCTAGACCTACTACACAGTCGACCTCATCTCAATGGCGTGAAACTACTGGAGGTTAGAGGCCCGACTAAGCTGCTTCACAGTTGACTACTTTGTGGGGTTATTATCACCATCTTATGGCATTCCGATAACCCGATGGGAATTGGCCGAGACTCAGTTGAATGGACACGATATATCAGATCAGAAGACACCTATTTTCCTTCATTGATGGGAGTTATGTTCGCCCTCGCCCAGGCTGATAAACACGGCAATGATGTAGTCGCGAGGTGAGGCCCCCTCGTCGAATGGCTAGAACTCGCGAGCGGATCCGGGGTGATGACGAATTTTTGGGTATGGGAGGCAGCCGGCTTTGCCCCCCAACCAATCGGCGCGAGAGTTGACGCAGAAGGTTGCCTGCTGGACAAATAAAATCCGAAGAATCTTCGCGTATACCAGACGGCCCTTCCAGTCGCCCTATTCCAAACCCAGCTATCGCCATTTGGGAACATCGTCTCGAACACAAACATAATGGGGCCATAATTCTCACCTTGCCAAACCGCGATGGGATCCCCTTTCAAACTGGAGATGCCCGTTCGACCGCAATTCTTAGGATCCTACTTGATCAGCATCTGCACGGGATGCGATTGCTACCGCACCGGCCAGAAGCCCCTCCCGATGGAATTTGAGAATTTATCGAGAACGGATGCCGAAAAAGCAAATTTACGATAAGAGCATAGCGAAAAGCATGCAAGGGATGCAGGCTGCTCACTCAATATGCAGCTTTCGGCAACTTGACTCCAGTCTCCATTGTTATGGTAGTAAGTTTAAGCATGAATATCTTGCGAGTGGTTGGCACCACAAATTTTGTAAATGGCATGGAAAGCCATGAGGACGAGCTCGAATCTGGCCGGCTCAATTGAATGCAAGAGCTTGAAGACAATATATGGATGAAAAGCTAGGACGGCCAACTCTGGACGTTCCTTTTCTCCAGCAGATATCCCTTGAACCATCGGGGTAGCTAGGGCTCATATCTTCAACTCACCACAAAATAAATTTTTTTTCCCATAGGTCTGGGACTACTGTTCCTGGGGTTGATGTAAAACTCGCTTGCCAGGTCCATGTGTTGGCAGAAGACAACGAGGAAAAGCCTGTTGATCCTCTCCGACATCAAGTCTAGCCTTTGCAAGAGTAAGAGAGCGGTGGACCACCCGTTCGGCGTGGCTAGATTTCAAAATATGAACAAGATGTTAAGGGTTAGCGCTAATACCCTTGGAGTACCTTCATAAAGCAACCTTTAGATGGTCACACGAAACGCAGTTTACAACTGGCACGCGTGGGTGCCCAATTTGCGGTCCTGGTGCTTGCTCAATGTGACAGGTCAGAATTACAGACTGGCCAACTGAATGTCCCGTTTGATGGCCCTCAATCCACGCGTTCGGTACGTCAGAGTATCTGGTTAATTGGAGGACTGGCGGCAACTCGACCGCATTGCATCATATCTAGTGCTAGCCACTAGAGGATGTTCTCCTTTGGCCTAACCAGTGGTCTACAAATACCTCTTTTTTGGTTTTTGGGTTTGCCCAGTGCTCTACTCCGTAGTAGAGGCCAAATCATGCCCGGGATGCCGTCTTTGCTCGTTTATCGTGTTATTTCTAGCTCCTCTGGCTAACTCGTTACCTGCGCGATATTCGTCATGCCATTTCCTTTCTCCTCCCAAAAACAATATTTAGATCTGTTGCTGTCTTACTAATTATAGGTTGCTATTTTTACCATCCTCAAACACGGCTGAGTCAGTGGCCTCAGTCCTAATCATGACTTTGTGACGAGTACATCTATTAGAGATGTACTCCGTAGTTACAGAGCAAACCGCCTAACCTTGATAAAGCCTTGGCAGCGAGCGGAGTAAAATGTGTTGATGCCTTTCACCTCGATTATTTAGTGGGCGTTCTTCACCCTCATAATACATTGCTGGGGGACCAGAGGTTCATATATCTCACCGCCAGATGATATGTTTGGTTTGTTCGCCTCGAGGCGAAACTAAAGGGAGCTTCAATATATCCCTAACAGCATTCCATTCTTCAATTCTAGCTTCACATAAGCCTTTATCGAAATGGACTTGCTCAGAACAAAAGGTGGTCCTCAGATAGAGTTGTGGAGAACCTTTCCTGAGCTAACTATATAAGTACGGCGCGACCAGCCAACTATGGATGCACTGTACAGAATTGCGTTCTCTTGGCAAAATGTGTTCCGGCTGTGATGAGATAGAAACCACTAGGAGCCGGGCTGCTTCTCAGAGAATGGAAGCTCTACAGCCTAGGAGATCATCATGCCTGAAGAAGCCACGGCGGTGGTAAAGAGAGAGGGAGGGGTAAATGGTTTTAATGGACAATGCAAGCATAGCACTTGACTCACTTTTTTGCTGAAAGTACCAACTTCGTTTGAGCGCTGTTGAATCATCTAGTGCAATCCATAGGTAACAAGACATTTACAAGTGTTTCTTGGAGTTCTTGGTCATTACATGGCTACCCACGAACCTGTCTGAACATAGCCTCTCGTGCTAGAGGACTTCTGCGCCTTTCAACATACTTCAAGCTAGTAGGTGAATTTCTCTCTTTCAAAATAAAGCTAATTATAACTAGATCATGGATGAATTGAAATTCCGGAGTTTTTGATCCCCGAGTTTGGCTTTGACCGACGATGACACACGGCTGGTATAGTAACACAGACCTCTAGCATCCGTTCTCCTTTTCCACTTTCATTCATGGACGTATGCAGTTAACATGCACGATTAACCATTTGCATTCTGACAACGCAACGAGGCTGCATAATTCTCATGCACGGGTACTTACCAGCTATATGCCCTTCCTTTGCTACCCCGCTTGAGATGAGGTGATTTAGGGGGCCGTCTGCCATCCCCTCCGTCTCAATCCTGTGGAAATGTTTTCTGTGAACACCCAACGCTAACTAGCCACTTGTCTGACACAATGATCAAAAGGAAAAGAAAACTCAAGAAGTCCAAGGACAAAGACGCACAGGCTGTTGCTGAAAGTCTCATCGTCTCCAGCAATGACGCCGTGCCCCTTACTGACTACGACTATGAGAATGATCTACGGCCTGAGTTTTCGTAAGCCCCCATATTTACCTCACCTAGCATAGGTACCTGCTAACTCGGAGAGCTAGACCATATACAGAAGACTGCTGCTATCTCCTCGTCGGAGAGAGCTGCATTCGCTATACAGTGCCAACTCATCACCTGAAAAAGTCCCCGTATTTGAGCTTCCGAGCACCGGAAAGTCTTTTAAAGTCTTATCGAGACTCTCGAATGATTGAAGTGCCAGAATTGGATGAGGATATCGGACACACACTAGTGCACTTCCTGTACACCGATGAATATCAGACGCTGAAGTATCCGATTTCATCGAAAGCTGAAACCAAGGCAACTGAATACAGGAGAAGCATCCTTGTATATCAGGCTGCTAGCGCATGCGGATTGCCTCTCCTATTGGAGCGTGCAAAGGAGCGCATAAACGAATTTGACAATGCAGTATCGATCTTCGAAGCCCTGGATATTGCGAAACTCGTATACGAGAAGCTCCAAGATGGTGACAAGGAGTGGTTTTGTGGTTACATCAGACGAAAACTCGAGAATGCGTTTGATGCCGATGAGACATTGTTTGCCCAAGACCAATTCAGAGGGTATATCGGCGAGGCTCCCACGTTTAGCCGGATGCTGGTGAAGCTCCTAGTCGAGATATACAGTGACAGACTCTCAAGAACGCGCATCAAGAACGGCCAGCGCGGGACAGATGGGATTGAGCAACCAGCTTGCAATGAGCTGGCGGAAGAGATTTCAGTACCTGACGGCCCTGACCCAGAACCGGAGGAGGTTAAGGCGCTCGAGTACCCTGAGCCAGAACTGGAGGAAGTTAATGTGCTCGACGAGTGCCCTGAGCCAGAACTGGAGGAAGTTAATGGGCTCGAGTACCTTGAGTCAGTCCCCTAGAGATAGGATTGTGGAAAGTTCTCACCACGACAAAACGCAGGAAGGGCGGCGCATACATGAAGGCGTCCAAGTACCTGAAGCAGATCGCCAACGAGAACTGCCAAGAAAGAAGCGCGGAGAAACTGGCCGGATAGGTCGGCGCGCCCGTAACGGAGGCAGGTTTACTTATAGTCCTTTCCTTCTCATATACCGCGCAACTTCAATTTTTCGGGTCGCATTTTTGTTGTACGTAGGCTTTGAATCTCTCGCTTCTTCGCCGGGAGTTTTGATATTGCGTTTCGGTTGTCTCTTTGAATCCTTATAATCTCTAGTTGTATTCTGGCCCAATTCAAGCTGCAACTGGAGCTCTGATTGACCTTCAGGTCTACCTACGGGTTGGGCTAGGTTCCCCTCAGTCAATTCCCTGGTCATAATCGGTTCCAATGAGTCGTTTCACTCGAATGTATTAGTTCACCATCTTTGCCTATTTGTCCCAGGGGTCAACAAGGTGTCTTCCTAGCCTCTGGCTTCAGGGGCTGTCCGCTCGTTCGTTGTTGGCAGCGGGGCTCCTGACCGCGTATTCAACATTTCTGAGGCGTTTTAACGCACTGTGACCCTATACAGGTCATCAAGAGGTGCCAATCAATCTATTCCGAATGTCGAACCAAAATCAACGCGGTTCGATGGGTTGAGCTGCATTACCTAACAATGTTGGAAGCATTCACCAAGGTCACCGACCAGCCACCAATAAAGCTAGTTATGTGACTCATTCAGTCCCCCTGAAGCTGGGAATAATGAGCTTGAGTATTTCGTACATCTTGAGACAGTCAAAACGGATGTAGTAGTCTAATCGATAAATGGCAAAAAAGATATGAATTCTTTTTAACTTATCTAGCTAACGTGCTGGTTCTTCCAACAGGAGGCACAGCGCCATTCCTACAGATTCAGGTATTCAAGGCGGATCGCTGATTTGGAAGGCCTTGGATGGATATTAACGCTCAGTTATCTGCCAAGCTCAGTGTTGTGACGGCGTGACAAGCATCTTCCAATATAAGCGAGCGCAATTCCAACCCTGGTGGCTTGGAATCCTAGTCTTTTGCTGTTGGTGCAGCGGAATATCATATTCACCAGCAACAAGACTCCAGACAAGAATGACTAGGGATCATGTGCAGCACAATATCCTTGTAGCAGAGAGCATCACTGGAGTCTTGCAGGCAATCAACCCTCATTAGTGCACCAGGTTGTGAGGAGGCGAAGGCAATCATCAACACAATGAGTGGATTCTGCACTGTATACTGCTCATGGGTGATAGATGCTCTATCCAAGCACCAGTATTAGTGGACGATGGCCACAAGATCTTCCATGCTCACAACTGGTTTGTGATCAATCAACAGGTCTAGGTCATACTCATTCATCAAGAAGCGCAAGATGTACCTGTGAAGTCCGTGATAATCAGGAACAAGCGCTCCTGTCTTGGATCTCACCTTGCTGATTTATTCTTTTATGAATTCATCCACATTCAAGAGTTGAAGGAATTTTCTATTCCACCCAGATAGTACTTTGTTTCTGGATCTTGAAATTCTTCAGCCACCAGTCGGTAACTATAGACTTGGAGGTTCTCAGCTGTGCATGCTGCAAGATGGGAATTGGCACCAACTTCCATAAAGATTAAAACAGCGTTGAAAAAGGGATGTTCTGAACTTACAGACCGAACAGAGGTAAATTTGTTCTGTCGCCGGCCCCCCCTATCACGTCCCTCTTTTGGTTTTCGTAGTATCTTGCAGGGCCTGGGTGCCCTTACACTTTTTTGGCTTCAATATAGGTTGGAATAAGGTTATGGCCTGCGTCTATTGAATATACCTCGTGGGATTACCCGAGTCTCGCCATGGCTATACTTAGCCAGGGACCCATGGAAAGCCAGGTGGCACAACTCCAGCCCGAAAGGTTAACCTCATACCTGATGCTATACATGGATTCGAAGCTATTAGGTTTTATAATAATACATTAACTACTCCGGGATCCGGTGGATATCTATACCACATCATATATAAAATAACATATCACACCCACATTCCACCCGCGAGCTTCACCTTATATATGCACACATTTACTGCGTCCATGGGCATGTACCACAAATTAGACAATCCCAATCTCCCTGCTTCCCATAGGTATTAACTATCTAAAGCAGCGTCAAAGCACAAACAGAGCAAGCAATCAAGGGAAAAGTTTCATTTCTATGTCCATATCCAACAATTGCAATTCTCTTTCTTCCAAAAAAGATGCCATTGCCATTTCCAATTCCATAAATCAGTCCAAAATGTTTCCTCAAATATATACGGTCCAAGAAGAAATCAGCATGGAGACAACAGCGAGACATATACAAATATATAAGCCCCCGATGAGCACAAGACAACAGAGCCAAACGGAGGAAAGAAAATGAAAAACAGCCCGAGGTATCCTCCAAAACAAGTCATTTCTATTCCCATACCCAGCGCAACAAAAGACCAACAAACAAGTCAAAAAATATGCAGTTTCCCAGTTGTATTCCCAAACAAAGTACGTGTCTTCCTTTATCCCTTTTTTTTTTGTTGTTTTTCTTTCTCTCTCGCTCTCTCAATGGTACATCCTAGTCTGCGAAGATATGTCATAACTTCCCATTAGATTGTGTTGTGCCCCTATGGTTTTGTTTCTTTTATTTCCCACTCATGGCTCTACTTCCTCTGCGTTTCGTGCAGAGGTCGATATCTCGACGGCAGCTGGAGAGTTGGACTTGTCACGTTTGCTGCGCTCCAGCCATCTGCGCTTGCCAGCGCGAGTTTCAAAGTGCGAGGCGATGGTGGTGGGCTCTTGTCCGGCAGTGAGCATAGAATTGCGCATCTTGTTTCTGTACGCATCCACTGAAGAAAACAATAAGAGTCAATTCGAAACCAAAATCACACCACGTGGAGGGAGAAAAAAAAATGGGGGCGGCAACCAAAAAACTTACAAGCCCTCTGAAGGAAGAGCGTCCGTCCCGAAAAGACCCTGCTCTGTCCCCAACTCATCCGATACCCCAAGTCATTCAGCAACACCTCCTTATCCCTCTTCCTCTTCGCGATCTTGGGCACTGCCACCGTGCCCTCGCCCTCTAGCATCGGCACGGGCACGACCGTCCGCCCTAGCGTCGCCTCTTCTTCAGCCACGCCGTCAACACCATCCGCATCGTCCACAAACCTTCTCCCGGCCCTCCCCACAGTCGACCCAAACGGGCCGTGCACGGGGAAATACGTCCGCGGAAACACCGAATTCGACCGCCGATACGAGTCGGGGATCTCCTTCATGTCGACCTGGTCGAGCATCACCTTGACGCGCACCCTGCACCCGCGCTGCGGGTCCTCGACCAGGATGAACTTCCGCCGGCGGCCCTCAGGCAGGTCGCCGAATAACGCGGAGCTATCCGCGTTCGCGTCTTCGCTCCCGTGTGGCCGGCGAGTCGTCGTCGACGAGGAGGATGACGAGGTCGCCACGCCCGTCGCCGTCTTGCCGTAGTGGTCGATGCCGGCGGTGTCGCGGAGCGGAGGGGCCATGGACGGGGCGTTGGCGGTGGACGGCGGGTTCGGGTATGAAGGGTAGCCGTGGAACATGTGGCTGGGGCGGAGATCTGGTGGGCTGGCGAAGGTGCTCGTTGCGGTTGATGGACGATGAGTACCGTTCGTATAATCATGATTGCCTATAACAATGCTCAATACGAATTTGTCGTATTAGCCTACGTTTTCGTTTTCCGTCTTTTTTTTTTTTCTTTTTTTTTTCTTTCTGGGTTTGTAGGGCAATTTCAAAAAAGAAAAAAGCAACCCCCACTTTTCAAACAAAAAAAACGAAAAGTATGGATGAAAAAAGGAGACCGTTATGTCCCAATCAGACAAAATATGGGCATGAAGAAGGATTGCACGGAAATGACCGCTTGGTTTATTTCAATCATCAGGCATAGAAGAGAACACAGGTGCGGAGAGAAGAACAACAGGTATGGGAGAACCGGCTGCCATGGTCAAAAAAGCAAATGAAAACAGCATAGATACACCGCACAAATTCATTGTACAGATACATTGCCATCTCTGGCTCAAGCAAAGGGAGAAAGAAGTTCTTGAATAAAAGCAGATCATCCAAAACCACCACGAGGGAGAATAGGCAAGATCACTTTTATCCACCAAAAGACCAAAAAAAAGGGGGATGACAAGAAAGGACAGAAAAGAAGAGAAGTTAAGGGAAAGAACAAGGACATTTTTGCTTGTACAATGAAATATAATCACATCCGGTGGAACATACCGCTAACATCTTCCGAGCCCGGTGGACCACCATCTGGATGAGCGTGATGGTGGTGAAGCTGAGCTCCTCCCATGGAGAGCGCCGGGGGCCCACCCAGCGTAGCACCACCGCCGGGAATTCCCGTCGGCGAGCCACCGGGGCCCGCCAGGTGAGAAGCGTGCTGGGCAGACACGGCTTTCCTATTATTCAACTTGGCCATCCTGCGCACCCTCCTACTCCGTAACCGCGGGTCTTGGTTACTGTTTCTCCAGCTGTCGACGGCGCGCTGAATCAGACCTCTCTTACCGCGGAGACAAGGGTTCAGCTCCGCGAGCGCCCAGCCCACGGCGTTGCATTCGGTCTCGTACACCAGACGGTTTCCCCGGTACTGATCCTTGCTACAGCAAGCCCGTGGGTACACGCAGTTCTCTGTCTTGAATTCTTGGGTCAGGTTTTCGATGTTGATGTTCTCCACGTCGCATCGGATGGTATATTCCATCTTCACCCGATCCCGAGAATACTCAAAGGCAATCCACTGTACGCCGTTGTTATCTTGCCTTACGACAAGGGGTGTCGTGGCCGGGATCGGGCCGGGAGCGGCACTGGTGTTCGACCCAGGGTTACCAGGATGGCTGTTTGGCGCTGAAGAATTTGGAGGTGCTGGGTGTGACGAGTTTAACGGCGTTCTCTGCGTCGCTGTCGTCTGCGGGACTGCAGGCTCCATCTTCAGATGCGGGCTACCTGCCATTGTGCTGTGTGGAGACGGTTGGTGCAGATGCTGCGGCTGCAGCTGTGGTGCGGTTGTCTGTGGACTTATAAGGAGAGGTTGCGATGTGAGCTGTGTGTGTTGTGGGGCGGCAGAGTGCGTCGCATATGGAGCGGAGTGGATTGGGTTCATCGGTGGGTATTGGGGGTAGCTGTACATCCCCTGTGGGATCTGGGGCGGTTGTCCATAGAGACCGCGGCCATGTTGATCGTGGGTGGGAGGAGAGGCCACAGACGCCGGGGAGTTGGACTGAGGAGTGTGGTAGATCGGGGGGTAAGGACGCTGCATTTGGGCGGTTGCTGCCATAAGATCGGGTGCTTCTAAGCTCAGTCAGTACCAGGGCGCTTCCAATGAGTTGAGAATAACCCTAGAAGAGAGAAACAAAGTAAAAAGAAAAAGAAAAAGACAGAAAAAGAAAGGTTTCTCCATGACCAGAGCTCAAGGGAAAAACCACGGCGACAAGATATGACGCGCAATTCCTTCCCTCAAACCTCGTCACGATTGATCGCACAGTTCCAAACAAACACACACAACAGAGATGAAAAAGAAAAAAGGAAACTTTTTTCTTTGGTTGATGCGTACCGCTAGATGAATAGTGTCCAGCGCTTGTCACTGCATATGCCCCAGGGTGTGACGTGTAGTAAGCTGGTTCTTGGGGAGTTGGCGCGTACGGGGGCTGCCGCTGCACAGGTAGACCGTTTCCCAGGACGTGCTGCTGACCATACGGCAGGCCGGAGGCGGACTGGTGGGGCGACGAGTTGGTGACTGGTTTTGGCTGTGCAATGCCGGCTGGTCGAGTCTGGAGCGATTGGGCGTGTTGCTGTTGTTGTTGTTGTTGTTGGTGGTGGTGGTGGTTCTGGTGAGAGGACTGGCTATGTCGCTGTACGAAAGCCAGCTCCAGTTAGCTATGTCGAATAGAGAGAGCGAGGCCCACAGCGGAAGATCCGAGCTGAGAGAAAGTAAACAAAAAAGAAAAGATGTAAAGTCAATGGAGTGAAACGGGCGGAAGGACGGTGGAGGAACAAGGTATAAATGGGGGGAAAATCCGGGAAACGCCTTGATGTTGGTGACAGGGGTGGGCGCTGGTGGCGGCGGAGAAAGTCTCTGGGGTAAATAAGAAAAATAAGAAGAAAAAAAAAGCCGTTACAACAAGGTAATAATTAAGGTGCAGTAAGGAATAGCAGAGCGGTTTTATCAACAGGTGGCAAGTCCTGGAGCGGAAATTAGAAGTAAATGAAACCGTACAGGATCTCGCGCGTCAAGTGTTTAACGGCCGGAATGCTTAGGGTCTTCTGATCAGAAGCGGACTGCGGAAAGTGGAGGCAAAACAAAGTGCGCGGTGGAATTTAGGCCTCGGGAGGTGTCAATCATGGAGAAACAAGGGTGTTGGAGTCTGTGAGAGACTTGTGTGTATGCAAGCCACCCAGGGCCAATGACGGACGGGGAGACCTTGCTGGGAATCTCTCGTGTGTTCCCGGTCGCTGTCTCTGTCGCTTGCTTTCTCTTTGCGCCTGGCTGGCTCTCTCTCTTCTCTCTTCCTCACACACACACACACACACACACTGGCGGAAGAAGAAGTAGCAGAAGAAGAATAGGACTGGACAGGCTCAGAAAGAAAGACGCAAAAGAAGAAAAAGAAGATCTGTATGTAAGCAGAAACAAGAAGCCAGCCAAGGTTTAAGTAGAAGGATCAACGAAGGCCAACGAAGATCTAGAAAAGGTTTAGGGCTGTTTTGGACTTGATTCAGGCGGGGAGCAAAGAGACGCAAGGGAGGGTCGTCGTGGGCCGGGGGGGGAAGCGAGGGAGAGGAGAGTGAGAGAGAGTGCGAGATAGCGTGTGTAGCGCGAAGGGGCCGATGGAGTCATGCCGGGGCGCACTCGACAAGGATGTAACATCAGCCTGCTGGATCCCTGTCTAGCCCGGCCAGCTTCGCAACGCTCCACCCGGGCTAGTCCCAAGCGACGACGGCCTGCTGCTCAACGGCGCACCGCCCAATCGTATCCGTGGGCGGCTGTGGGCGGCTGGTGGCTTGGATGGAGGATCAGTGGAGCTTGTCTCCTTCGGCCTCGCGCGTGAGAAGGTTTTTTGGCTGTCCTCGGTGCGTTTATTTTTTTTTTTTTATTATGATTTTTTTTTTTATTTTTTTGTACTTTTGTGTTTTTTCTCTCCAATGATGCGTGGCGGTGGTTGATTGTATTTGTGTTCGTTTGACGACCAGAACAGCGACCGGGCGGCGACAGGTGTGTTGTGGCCGGGCACTCCGCTCGCAGGCTCTCTCTCTCTCTCGGAACATTGAAAAAGGAAAAGGTAAAAATAAAATAAAAAAAGAATGAAAAAAGAAAAAGAAAATAGCAAAAATACTGAGAGGTGAAATCAACTGATATACAGAGTATGTGTGTGCATGTTCATCCTATTGCTGTTGGAGAGGATCGACGGGTTTGCTGGGATCGTTGCTTGGTGGGCACTGTGTTCCCCACGTGTGACCTAGCCTGAGAACTATGATCCGCAGCAAGGATGTGCGAGAGAGAGAGAAAATGTGTGCATGTGTGTGTGTGTGTGTGTGTGTGTGTGTGTGTGGGGAAGAGAGAGTGACAAGAGAGGGAAAAGGGGAGGGAATAAGCAGAGCATGAGACAGGACCAGGGAGAATCGTCACCCAACCAAGGAACAAGGTGGTCTGCAGAAACTCTGTATTCGAAACCGCATCGACTTTGAATATTCAATGCTAGCTTGTCTCTGCTCTCGCTCTCTCTCTCTCTCTGTGTGTGTGTGCTCTTTTTTTTTCTTTCCCCTCTGCACTCCCTCTTGGTTCAAAACAGGCTGTGCAGGAGTAAAACCCCCCCGTGTGCATGTGCGTGCGCCTCTCGGGCGACTGGTGCTAAGCGAAATATCGGTGAGAGCGAGAGACAGCGAGAGAGAGCTCAAGAGACTATACAGTTGGTTTCAGATGAAACATCCCGCAGAGCCGGCGAGAGTGTGTCTGGATGATTCGCTCTGGCCGCTCCCCTCTTGGCTTCGCGGGAAAAAGTAAACAAGCACACCTTCTTTTCTTTTTCCTTTTTTAGATACCTTTTTCCTTTTTTTTTTTTTTGTGTGTATGTTTCTTTTTTCCACCCCCCCTCTGCCATGTGAAAAAAAAGCAAGGCTGCATGGGACGTGGAGTAACAAAGCCGAACACGCAGGGACAAGAACATACAAGACAGAGAGCGTAGAAAGTACAAAATGAACAAGATCACTACTCACCGTGTCGTCGAGGGACTGCGGAGGATCGTCCTTTGTGTACTTTGGCGCTGGTGGGCCCGCGCTGGCTTGAACCATGGCTGTCATGGCCGGCGAGGAGGACAGCAAGAGAGGGGGAAATGCGGACGGAGACGGTTGTCGGCAGCGATGGCAGCGGTAAGTACTCTCCCGTAAGTGTGTTCAACGAGTGACAAAGAGACAAGCAAGAGAGAGAGAGAGAGAGAGAAAAGACAACAATAGAGTTAAGTCCAAAAAATATCGAATATAACGATTTGTACTGCACGATGTGGTAGGATCCGAACGGGCAGCTAGGGTTGGTGGAGGGGAAGGAAGGGAAGCTTTTCTGCGCGCTGAACCGGTGCTGCAGATCGTGCGAAGGGGAGGGAGACGGGTAGACGAGGATCAGCCTGGCAGCCCCAGGGGACGGGGGGGGAAGGGCAGGCCAATGGGACTTGGTGAAGAAAAGGGCCTTCGGGGGGAACAAGTGAGGGGCGTTTGGGGGCAGAGAGGTTAAGGGTGGGCGAGAGGGGCGTGTGTGGATGGCAGGCGTCGGGGGGAGCGGCCGGGGGAGTGAGTTTAACGGAGGTTGGCGGGTGTTTGGCAGGTTATATTAACGGGCGCAGTTAAGAAATCCCAACCATTTGACTCTGTGTGCGCGTGTGTAATGATATGCACGTAATTATATTCCCAAATACACACATATTACCCTGTTACCTCCGTAGTTACATACTCGCTCTCCCGCTGGCATTAACCGCCCATCTGCGGTAGAATCTCTGGCAGCCCAGCTGCTTCGAATGTATAAAGTATGTATACATGTTCAGACATGCTCGTTCCTCCATGTCTCGACCGATATTCTGGGCCCAGGCACAGCTGGCTCCCTGGCTACCTAGCTCCGGGTTAGCCTCCCTGTCGACGTTGGACGACGATACCTGCTGCAGGGAAGCTCTCCATATCTTCAAACAAAACCCACCCGTCAAGCTCTATTGTGTCCATATGTAAACTAGCGTGGGTATGGATTTATCAGCGTGTCTTGTCTGGATGCGTGAACCACGGCATTCTACGCGGTCGGAGAAATAGCCGCCCCCAGCTTACATGCCTTTCCATGGTCGTCCGCTGGCTCGTATTCATGGGACTGCGGTCCAGGAACCATGGTCACTAAAACTAAAACTCAACCCCAGAGCTATCGTCGACAATTCCGAGGTAAAAAGTCGTCGGTTGATGATGTACCTGTCTGCTCTCCCTGCCATTCTCTACAATGCCAGCCGCGGAACGTCGTCACAAGGACCAAAGGTCCGTCATCTCGCGGAGAAGAAACACAGATCTCCAGCTCCTCTGAACTATGTGGCGTGAGCCGTGAGCTCCTTGGAACGGAGCACACGTATAGAGTTGCAACCTGGTGCTTTGTTAATCCCTGGTGTCAATAATACTCCAGTTAATGACCAGTATCCCCCGTGCCGTCGGCATCTCAACTGTCGCGGCCGGGCTCTTCGTACCACGAGAGAAGATGAAGACCAAAAGCAAAAAAAAAAATAAAAAAATTTTTGATGAAAAGGCAAAAAGAAAGAAAAGCGACAGAAAGAGGTAAAAGGACACTCGACATCTTGCCCCGTCATTTGCCAGGCATCGCCAGTTCCAGATCCCTCCATCCACGCGCACACACTGGCGCTCACACACACACTACTGAAGCCATTTTGGCTCCGACGAATCGACCCATGTGCTGCGCTCCGATCGATCTGAACCGAATAATCCATGAGGCGATCACCTAGGCCTGCTCCAGTTGCTCACTAACTAGCTGGCTAGTAGGTTCTTAGACTGTTTCAGTGGAGATTAAACTATGTACTGTCGCTATGGAGTATAACGTACATAACTGCCTTGCCTGCGACATCGCCTTCAGCCTCAACGGGCATGGTTTGTGTTTCGATCGTTCGACAGGAAATCAGCCGACGGAGAAACGCGTTTGCTTCATCTTACTTCTCTTCTTCGTCGGCTGGGATCATAATGTAGGGAGCTATCGTATGATTCTGACACTGAAGAAAAAAAGAGAGAGAGAGAGAGGGGGGAAGAGAAAAGAGAACTAATACCGTTCACGAAATTAGCCCTCTGCACGACTTGTTCTCCAGCGGTTTCTCTCTGCTTCACTGCTGTTCCTCCTCCTGCTGCCATTTCTCTGCCGAGCTTTCTTGCAGCCACGCACTCTGGCAGCAGGAGAGCCCGGCCAAGGTTCTAGCGTCGTTACGATCCGCGCGCCCAACAGCCCATCATCTTCACCCGAAACACTCGCCCGCCGCCCATCTTAACCCTTCTGGGAAACTAAAACGGGGCACCTAGTGCAAGCCACCGACCTTTTTCTTTTTTTTTTTTTTTTTGGTCTCCTCAAGTTCTCGGTGTAACCCATCCGCGTCTCTCTCACGGGACTCTATGCTGTCCACGCATTGGTGGAAATAACGAGTCGGCCTCGTTTCTTTTGTTTTGCCGAATGATCCAAAATCTTCTTTCTCGAAGTCGTATTATGTATCATCTTTAGCTGTGCCGCCAAAATTTTGCGCTGTCGGAGATGAGAAGCGTCATCGCCATCTGGGCTCACTCCTGCACTGCCTCAAAACTACTCTGCTTCTGGCTCTTCGTCAAAGTAATCATATGACGATCGTACTAACGGCTCTTTTCCCTTCCCTCTTTCGAGAGGGGGAAAAAAATGCGCGCTCTCTGGTGGAGTCTTTTTTCTTCCCCGCCGGGCGACAGTCGCGGAGAAAGTCGTGGAGTATGCACTGCACATTCCATCCTTCTCGAGACCTGCCGTGACGAACGTCGTCATCAGGATCGAAATGACACCCACCTCGTCCCGGCAGTGCAATTGATCCTGCAGGAGAAAAATTAAAAAAAGTTCACCGAGACGCTTCCCGTCCTGACTGGACCGGACAACTTTCATTCAGCTGTAGTTGTCCCCTCCGCGGGCTTTTTTTTTTTTTTTTTTTTTTTTTTTTTTTTTTTTTTTTTTTTTTTTTTTTTTTTTTTTAGCGCAGGCCTGCGTGCGCTCCGGTGGAAAACGAGTTGCTGGATCGGAATTGATGGGCAAGTTTCCCGTGAGTGATTCCTCACGAGGCGCCTGATGTTGCGTGTGTGTGCGTGTTGCGTACCTTGGTTGCCCATCGTGAAGTGGATTCCCCCAATTTTACTCCCGTAATCAGGGTGTATCCCGTTCTCGACATACTCCTTTTGGGTAGCTCATCTCGACGACGCACGGGGAAGGAAAACAGTAATCTGGATGAAGCAGAAAAATGGGCAGAAAGCATGCAAGCGATTTGGTCATACGGAGTACATAATTTCACCACAAAGTTCCTTTTTTTTTCTTTTTTCTTTTTTCTTTTTTCTTTTTTTATTTTTATTTTTATTTTTTCTTTTATTTCTTTTTTTGAAGCTTCAAAAACTACTGCGTACATTCCCAAATATCCCGCCAGAAGCTCATGTTAGGAAAGGTAACGGGGGACGAAACGACCCGCGACCTCGCGCGAATGCCACCGCCCAAACCTTCGTTGGGCCAAGCAGCCACCGCGTCCCTCGCTAGCCAGATCCGGCTGCGGTTCAATGCGCCAAGTGGGCTGCTCTTCTCGCCGTTAAGGCCAATGATACGACATGATCTCCGCATCCCCTATCCCGGCGATGGCCCCACGCTTACAGGAGTTAATATTACGAGATGCTTCTCTCTCACGCTCGACCCTTCTTTTTTTTCCTTTTATGATTCAAGACGACAAGGCGACCAAGTGCAGGAGCGTGATTAACTATTGGGAATGAATTTTTGAGTTTTTTTTTTTTTTGCTTTTGAATCCTGAAAAATGCGTCGTTTTTGATCGATACCACGCTGGACTACGAATCAGCTTCATTCTCCTCTGTTATTTTATTTTTATTTTTCAAATTTTTATTTTATTTATCTATTTTCGAACATAATACTTTTATGTATCGGAGCGGGTGATGGAAGGGCGCTTGCACAATTCACTAACTCACAGCAGAGGATGGAGGATGCAGACCTGATTCTCAGCTCGCCTCAAACTGTGTCTCCCGGCCAAATTTCAGGAATGTTGCAAATTGCATAAAAAACTCCATTTACCTATTTAAAACTTTCCGGCAATATCCCGTTCTAAGAGCGATCGAGGAGATTAAAAAAAAAAAGGGAAGCTCTAGCTGACTGGCTCTGCTCCCTTTTCTGCTCATGGCCATAGCCGGTGTTGATAACGGGTTATGGATGATGACGCCTAGAGTATATTCATGACATCTCATCCTGTTCCAACGCGCAAAAGATACTCCGAGGGAGAGGCCTGCAATCGAACAGGAACATACTTTGCCAACCTCGGGAGGTGAGACTTGATTCGCTCCGTGTTATTTTTTTTTTTTTTTTTTTTTAACAATTACTCTCGTTCCTCCGCTTGGGCTAACGACGGACTACTGCGGGATCGAACGTATGTATGACATTGGTTTCATCTTTTCTTATTTTATATTAATTTTTGTTTTTTTTTTAGCCTGCGGCCCAGAGGAAGGGTGCATTCCTATTGGCCGATCAAACTTTTGGCGCTCTCTCTCTCTCTCGGGCTGGAGCCTGCAAAAAGTGTGTGAGACTGTTCGAGATTGCAATTCGATCTGTTTCGTTTTGAGGAGTGCTTCGAAAACAGGGGAGATAGAATCCAAAGAAAAAAGTTGAGCAGCAAAGGCTCTTTTAGCTTTTCTTTAATTCGGCCGGCCATGTTTGGACAGGAAATGCTTTCTTCAGTGGAGGCTATTCCTTGTGAGCTCTCTAGAAAAGCTTGCGTCAACAAGCTCAGTTCAAGAGGAACCAAAAGACAGCATCATCCCTGATGGATTATGCTTCGCAACCGCAGCCTCAACTTTCCTTTGTCTTCTCTCTTTCTTCTCTTTCTTTCTCTTCTTCTCTTTTCCTTTTTTTTTTTTTTTTTTTTTTTTATTTTTTTTTTTTTGGCTTCTGGAGAGAGACAGGAAACGAGAAATTGCCTGATTGAAACATAAATTATCGACGTTGAAATATTGGTCCAGTGGGCGTCATGCGTAATGTCATCATTCCAACGTCAGGGACGGGTTCGGCCGTCTTCGACACAGAGTATCCGAAGAGGACAGTCTGGCCAATTTTTTTTTCTTTCCCCGTCGCCTGCGTCCAGCGTAGCATTTGTTGACAAAAAGACCACCTTCTCTTTTTCGCCTCCTGATATCGCGTTGCGTCCGGCCCGTTCCAGCGCTCCGTAACTTATAGCTCAGTCGGCTATTTCATAGCAGCGATGACCAGTCAAAAACGGCCGAGAGAAGTCTGGCTGGCAAGTTCACTAAAGTAACTTACTTAACTTAGCGGCAACCTTGGCAAATTATGGGACAGACTCATTTTGAAACCTAGCGCTGATCATGCACCGGGGGGTTGTGGGAGAGGGGTTGGAGGGCGCGTGAAGTCATCGTCCCCAAAAGTTACGAAACATCTGACTTGTGGTCCGTTTATCAATAATGAGAGAAGCGATACTTCACACAGCGGCCGGCCATTACAACGGGCCGGGAAAGTATTAACCATTGATAGTATGATGATTTCGGATACGCCACCGTGCGCACGCACTCGACTGCATTGCAGACGCCTTGGGCAAGCGTTTCGCGTTCGGGCACTGACAAGAGTTCATAACTACTGGTTATGCACGGCTTCGGAAAAATAAACGACTACGGAGGACATATATTGACTTTTTGTCTAAAAGTCATCCCATTCGATTCCATTCGATCCGATTCATCCGAGGTTCTTAGCGCGATTGCGATATCATCTTGGATTCTCGCAGCGGGCTAGTACTGAAGCACTCTAGCCTGATCAACTTAGAGTGGCCCGCTAACATGAGCGAGGGAAAGGGGAGAGAAAAAAAAAAAAAAAAAAAAAAAGAAAAAAAAGAAAAAAACAGGGCGCAAGAACAAGATAAACCGATATGTACTAACCAGATGATGAGACCATTGCACTTGGGCAAGTTTCTAATTCCCGGCTTCGCAGGCCAACAGCGCATTGAGGTGAGGTTCTCCACTGGCCTGAGAGTCGTGACAATCCAATGGCCAATGGAGGGAGGCGGTGGGTTGGGCGCCTACACGTCCCAAGATGCACACACCGCCGTGTTTAGACCGACGGCCTGAGAAATGGCTTGATTCGAACGAGGGACAGAGAGGGAAGAGATCTGACTTTTGCGTGTTAGTTAGTTAGTTTTTAAGGTTATTATTGACGAGGAACAGGGATGCTATGGGGAGAAAAAAAAAGGTCGTGGGAAGGGAGGAAGCTAACGCAAGTGAAAGGGATGGCGTGAAGCCTCGAGAGCAACTTAATTACCGCCTCTCCGCCGCTGAGAGGTCGAGGCTATTCTAAAATCCCTGCCGTATCCCTGTTAGCGAACCCTCCGCTGTGGACGTTCAAGGGTGCCAGGTAGATGACTCGCAGATTTCGGAGGGCCATCCGGTACGAGACATGATCATCCCTTCTTCCCATTCCCCTCCCATACCACGATGATGATTTTCCCACCTCCCCTTTTGAAGTCTAGCGGTCGTCGGAAGATTTCACCACCAGGAATACTGAGCACTTGGCAGAGCTTGCCTTGCCATTTGTCACTCTGCATATTCGAGCTTGCGTCAATGTTGCCTTGGGCAGGCTGTGTCAAGGGCGCCCTGGTCCCTGCGAAAAAAAAAACCCAAGAAAGACAAAATGCATAATCTTGCCTGGGGAACCGTGAATATCCTTGGGCGGTTCCTGAGTGATTGTTACATGGGGGCCAGAAATCTGAAAGCTTCGATCAGTTTTTGTTTTTCTTTTCATTTCTTTTTTTTTATTTTTTTTTATTTTATTTTTTTCTCTCTCTCTCTCTTTCTCGACATCAATTTCAGGGCTTGCGCCGACGGGGCAGATATCAGTTAGTAATGGTGCGAGAATGGACTGGCCGGTTCACCAGTTAATTCGAAGCAGCGGGATATCCCGCATATTCCCTCCGCCTTCATCTTAACACGATGTACTCCGTACTCCGGCCTCCATACTCCGTATCATTCATAACATGTGTGTGAAGTGTGAATTAAGTTCTAGAACAGCTTCCTTCAGCCGAAATCCCAGTCCACATGCACCATCCATCCCTAATCGCATGTGGCCTCCCGGGCAATAATCGTCCAGAAGAAGGGGGAAAGAAAAAGAAAAGAGACCAAGTCTGACGAACAGCGTGGATGTGGGCAAATCCAGCGACGTTAGTTTAGTTCCATTGCGCATTGGCCTGGGCACAGCATGAAATTTTGATGTCGTAACTCCGTACTCCGTCGATAGTGCCCTCGTTCAGCAACGGCCTGCATGAACCGGCACCGAAGCTGCCACTCAGGCATGCCATGGCATTTGGCCTGGCCGAGCATAGGACCGGGGGGGGCAGAGGGTTGACTGGGATTTGGGTGATCGTGCTTGATTGGGTCCATCCGCAGAACCCCACGCTTCCCGCCGATTCCCTGCCGCGCACTTTCTTGCTTCCCTCTTCCGTCCAAGAGGAATCTCGAGGAAACTGGCTTATGCTGCGACTGGCCGACCAACCAGTCCCTCCCAACCAACTAACCAGCAAGCCACCCCGGCCTTCCCCCCGGTTTGACACGAACTTGACCCTCAATAAGCTCATCCCCTCACAGCACATCCCTTGACTGTTTTCCTTCTTTTTTTTTTTTTTTTGGCCCAGTGCAAAGCCCGGGTGTTACTCAAACGCTAACAGGGGGGAGATTGGACCCCGGGCAGGAGAGTGATTTCTGGTCTCTGCGCCAATGCTTCGATTTTGCTTCTAGCTGAACCTTTTTTGTGTGTGTGTGTGTGCGTGTGCGTGTTTTTGGTTTTTTTTCTTTTTTCGTCCCATTTTTTTTTGTCTCAAGAGATTTCGGACGAGAACGTTGCGACTTAGTTTAGTCGCCCATTTTGCTTTTTGGTTACGTATGTTTCCTTTTGCAGGGTGATATCCAACTCCGAGTCACGAGTTGAACCAGACAGCTAGCGGCTCGACGGCCTGGCTTCACCAACTTAACCTTAAATTTCTGTGTCTTTCTCTCTCTCTCTCTCTCTCTCGCTCCCTCAACCGTCGTCGATGCGCGATTTTCCCTTCGCCGCTTCCGACCTGCCTTGTCGGGATGGCCGCCACACCTGACCGCCCAGCAGAGACTCGGGAGCAGAAGCAGCAGACAGTTCACCCCTCTGCTTGTCCTGCTGCTGCTGCTGCTCGAATCCTTCACGGAGCTACTTGATGTCCTGCACTCATTGGCTTTTCAGGGTGGAGCTCGCCCCGGAATTGGAAAGGCAAAAGTTCTCTTAGGGAATTCACTAACATGTGATGGATTAGACTATTACTCCGTCCGGAGTTCGAGCATTGTGCTCGCGAGTTACATCAAATTCACAAGCATATCAGACAGGTGGCTCTCTCGTCTTTTGGACCGAAACATCCCCCGAGGCTGGAGCACGGGGTGGCCCTCGCTACCGCTAGCCAGCTATTCCGACTAAGCTAGCTTCTTCTCTCTTTTCTAGTCCAATGGGCGCGATATGCGCTGGACTTTTTCTTTGCTCCCCCCTTTAGCCTGTGGATGGAGCGCGCGCTTACTATCTGCGACGTTCTCCCGAAGGAGTATACGCACAATCAAAGTTGTTTCGAAGTGCCCAATCTTGACCCGCAAAAAGGCACACAGAAAACAAAAAAGGATCTCAGGTCTCCACCGAGAGAGAGAGAGTGTGTGTGTATGATAGTGCTACTTAAATCCTTCAACAGGTGGAGACGCATGCTAGCAGGCGACGCACGGTTTTCCGTGCACAGATCGTCCCCGATCAAAAGCAAATCGTTTTTCTGAAGAGGCAAATGTTGTTTCTGGCCCTTTACATTGACACGTGTGAGAGCCTATATCGCACTCTTCAAGCACCCTCCACCCAAACCCCCCCGCCGGGCCAAAAAAAAAAAAAAGGAGGGAATGGCCTAAGAAGAAAAGGCTGTCGGATTCTCCTTTCGCGCAGATTTTCTCGTGATCGAAGCAATGCGATATCCTCTTTCGGTTGTTGCAGCGGAATCGAAAAGCTTTTTTTCGAGCCCCTTGAAGTTTGAGGATGTGTAAAAACAAAAAAAAAAAGTGGACCTTGCTATTCGGTGCGCACGGGCCGGAATCCTATGAAGGCCAGACTTGCCTTTGTTATTCATTGAGCTTCGACCATGTATAGGGTTCCCTCTCATACTTCGTACCCTGTGATGTAATGCTCCCGGTGACAATTCATATACTTTCATCGGCGGGGCTCAGCCCAAAGAACAGCTGTTTTGGTTTTGGCCGGATATCATTTCGTCGGTCGTGCAACACAAGGAAGTTTCTTGAACTGGGCATGGGTCAATGCTTTGCGAGGCATGTCTTTCCTGCTCTTGATTCAAGGTTCCCTTCGGGGGTAGAGGTGAGATGTCGGAATATGCATGACTCCTGGACACGCGCATTGTCGGCATTTTGGACAGACTCCTTCATGTGGCCGGCATGTGAACTTTTGCGAAACTTTCTCCATAAGCCTGTTGAGATCTACTCCGTAAGTTGTTTTGAATTGCTGGAGACTCTGTTTCCAATTGTTTCATGCAAATTCCTCTCTCAGTCTATAACCCCTTTTTTTTTCTGCCTGCGCTATTGGGCCTATCCATTGTATTGCTAAAAGATATTCACACCAAAGATAAGATTTACCCAGAAGAGGATGTCGTTGCGTCCATCTGACCAGACAAGTTGAACTTTGTTTTCAGTGTCTCACCACCGCCTGAACCTTTCTAATTTTCGATCATTGGGAGAAAGTGAAGTGTCACAGTTGCGATATCCCCTTTGACTTCCTTTGAGCCTCTCTAGGCAAATCCTTGCTCGGCCGTTTCAACACCCATCCCTGTTTGAAGTTTGGATCATCAAACGTCCACCTGGGGTGGCATCATCACGCGAGCCTCTCCTCGCTATCTGTCTCTTTCTCCCTTTCTCTCTTTCTACCCCCCCCCCTTTTTTTCACTTTCAACATTCCCTCGGGTAGAGCGCAAAAAAGGGCGATTTTCCCTAACCAGGTGATCCACGTGTCCTTTCCCCCCTTTTTTCCAAGTTACACAGGTTGAGAATACTATGCGCATATTTTCGCCGCGGGGGGCCTGCGGCCCCCCGGGAGGTTTGAACGTCATTTGAACGTCGAGCGTTCCGATACACTGGTTCTCGCAAGATCCTTCCCCCCCCCCCCCCCCCGGTGCGCGGGATATGCAGAAGTGTGTACTCTGCGTCCGCTGGTGGGAGCAGAGCCGCAGGCGTCGTATACACGAAATCAAGCCCGCGTCGATATGGAGGGGTGTTGGCTTTCTGTTTTGTCGTACGGTGGTAGATAATAAATCTCTGGCGAGTTGCTGACGGGGAGTGAGAATGCTTTCCTGGGGAGTGGATAGGTTTAACTGAAATGGGGTCGGCTTCGACATTCGGAGGGTGTGATGGAAAGATGATAAAGGTCGATAAGGGAATATGCTAAACGCTTGGGGGATACATCTATGTTTTGAAGTGAAAGCCAACTCTCTTTTTCTACTGGTCGATATATTGCTTCTAACACAAAAGCTAGAGATGATAGAAAAGATGAAATGCTTGTAATTTGAATAGTCCGATCGTTCGATCTAGCCATTATGATATATATGTAGTGCAGCCCTTGGAATTTGCGGGGTGGAATGAGCGGAAACCTGGGCGGAGCGGGGCGGAACTTGTCCTCGACAAGTACTCCGCATACCAGGGGCCTTGCTCCTTAACCCTGAGAGGGCCACAGCTCGAAGAACAATAACATGAGCTTACCCATGTAGAGTCAGGAACCAGAGCAGGGATGAAAACATGTGTAAAGGTTTAACAAGTATGGTTGAGTTATCCCAGTCGATTCACTACCCATGAGGTTGCAAGGGTAGAATTCCAACGATCAGGTTTGACAGCTTCCTGGGATCCTTTAGGGTTGCGATTAATGTAAGTGATTTCTGAGAACCTTGTAGATACATTCGTATATAATTCATTGGAGTATTAGGTGTCGTGAAGTCTACATTTAGTGGCATTAACTTCGTAGAATCATTTAGGGGAGTTAATCCTTCATAAACGTATAAACAGTGGCAGCCTTTTTTTTTTTTTTTGAGGCATCATAGACAAAGAAAGATCAGAGAGCATTAGGTAGAGAAAAAAACATTCCAGATGCGGAAGATTTTTATAAGTAGAGTGTGAAAGATGTATGGAAAGGATTTGAAAGAATCATATGTGCAGCATTTCCGTGATCGTAGCAGCTCGCGTTTAGGAATGCAAGCTGGTGTTTTGTCGCCTCGAGTCGGGAGAACCAGCGGGTTTTCTGCGGCTCCTGTCGTCCCGCTCGTCCTCGCCCTCATCGTCGCTATCCGTGCTATCCCTATTACGACTGTAACGCCGGCTATCATTCGTATCTTTTTCTCTCTGATGTCTCCGGTAATTTTCCGCTTTGATGCTTATTAGCCATCATAGTGTTCTATTCTTGACATTGAACGGATACACTTACTCCGGATTTCTACGGACCTGTTTGCGTATTCCTGTATCTCGGCTCTTGTCAAGACTCTCAAGACTATCACAAAGCCTGGTCGTACTTCGAATCGTTCCTTGCCCACCAGAGCGGCTGGGCTGACGTATTCCCTGGATATTTTTGTCCAACGCGCCCCAGGAGGGATACCTTTCTTATTGGAATCTTTCAAAGGGGCCACGCCTTCTCGGACCGTGTTGTTATCTTCAGGGAATTTCTCTGTCGGTTGTTTGAGAATCCCCTTGGGAGCCGGAGTCCCTGAATCGTTCTTCTGGTTCAGGTCAGGGGATCCCTTTTGGGACGAAATTAGAGATTTTTGCTTTTGATTTTCGGCATCCTCCTTGCCTCTTTCACTAGGGCGGGGATCACGTCGAGCTGTAGATTTTGCGTTTGCAAGGGATTCTTTCGGGCGCAGAGAGGCTCTAAAATGGCGCGGTCTTGTGCTCTCATCTGACTCAGATTCGTCGGTCTCGCTCCCTGTGTCGTATACTGGTGACCTTCGTTCCCGGGCTTTTCGATGGCTCCTCCGTGGATCGGCTTCCCGATCAGCTCCTCTGTCAGGCTGTTCCAGCGAGTAGCCGCTGGCAAGCCCGGCGGTGGCGAGTCCACCATGCAACATATGCGAAGATTCCGAATCGCTTCGGCCGACTTTCTGATCATTTACGATCCGATGGCCGAACGAATCACGTCTGGGACCACGCGGACTGGGGTGACGGATGTGCGGAATCGTGAAAACATCGTCGTCATCTGGGTAACTTCGATATTTTTGCTCATCTCTCGAGCTATCCTGGCTATCTCGATATGAGGGCCTGTCTCGTTCTTGGTGAAGAGATACAGGAGTGCGCTTCGATGTATGGCGTCGATGGCTCTCAGGTGCACGGGACGCTTCGTTCCCGCTAGCATTGTTGCGGTCCTTAGGATCATCATCCCTCCGAAGCTTATCTTGACCTTTTGAGGCCGATGGTCGAATCTCATGTCTGTACTCACGCCAGGCTTGGGGTACGTATTCTTCCAACCCGGTTAGACTGACAGGCCGTGGCTTTTGGGAACGGGTATCGGGATGACGTGCGTGTTTTGAAGTATCTCCAAGGAATTCCTCCTTTAGGTTTGTATATGAATAGGCGTCATTGATGTCGATATCCTGGGGACGGGGCCCGGATGAGGACAAGGGGTACACCCTGCGTGAACGGCCTCCGGTCGTCATATATCCACCACGTTCACCGTGGGGTGAACGTTCTTTGTTTACCGGAACCAAACGACCAGCCCTTATGCTGGGACTAAAGGTGCGTCGTCTGGGTCGCGACGACGCCGGCGAGAGGAAACGATCAGAGTCATCGTTCGTGTAATAGCCCGGATACCTGGGAGCGTACGGTCGTTCGTAATCCGACGCGCCACTGGGGCGAGATGTGGATGAAGGTATGATCAGGCTCAGTGGCCGCCTGGTCTCTTGAGTGGTGTTGCTTCGTGGGCGGATGGTGTAATTCGATGTTGCTGCAGCACCATGTCCGGGATAGCGGTAGAATTTCGGCTGAGGATCGAGTGAATAGTTCTCAAGTGGCCTTCTTGGGTCGTACTGCCCGCGATGGGATGGGCTAAAGGTGCCATCCTGACGGGGTCTCGGCCGGATTTCTTGGAGATTTGCCTCCATCATATAAGCAACATTTCCAGTGGATGCTTTGGGATCGATGACGGTCCTAGGTTCGACCGGCATCGTAGGGTATCGTGAACTGGCCATGGATACTTGGGGGGTGTTTCGAAATGTGATCTTTTTTAATAATAAAATTGGTATATTTTAGGTCAAAAGAGCTTTCCTGTTCCAAAAATCGCGGGGCAAGAAAAGCAATACTGTCGGCTGGCTGTGCGATTGGGGGGGGGGGGGGGGGGGCTGGTTAAGGATTAGCAATCTGTAAGTGCAGCATAGCGGACCAATGATCGAAAGTCTTGGGAGTCCGGAGACAATACCATGCACTGTTCGAAATATGTCTAGCTAGTCATTTTCCGGTGGAAAATAGGTAGATGAGTTGGTCAGAGTTATCGAGGACGAATGCTTGTGTCAGCTTGGAGGGAATGCTGCGCCTGATTTAGTGTATCTGGTTGGATGTGTGGCGAACAGAGGTTGGCGTGGTGAAGTGGGAAGAGGGTATATTACTGGGAGCTAGTGCAGCAGAGAGACATTGCGGGTGGCCGGGAGAAGTGCTGGCAGACGGGCGCTGGAACATGGACTGGCGACGGCGATGGGCGAAGACGAGAAGAAGAGAAGAGGAGGAAAACGGTCGGTGGAGGGATGCGGCTCTCGCACAAACTCTGTTGGCCGTCGCGCAGAGCAGAACGAGCCAGTCGAGTTCGAAACAGTTTCTCCCGGTTCTGTTCGTGCTCGAAGACGACAGCCGTTGCTTGCAACGAGTAAAGAGGCAGACAGAACTATGTGAGTTAGTTAGCTAAGCTAACTGGTCAACGAGTTTAGTTACTTATTCAATCCTCCTTTTTCTCTCAATACAGGCAACCGATCGAAAGGCAATTCGCACAGCTAAGCACGGCAGGCTAACCATCGCTCTGCCGATCGACCACCACCTCTGGTGGGCCAAGTCATCGCGGGTGCATTTCCTTTGATTGGTGGACTCACGGTCCTTTTTCCTTCAAAAACATGTTCTCATCGAAGCCAGCTTACGGATTTTGCCTCCCCCTCCCCCACAACCAAACCGAGGGCCATTTTTCAGGGCCTGTTGAATCATGGATGATGCTGGCATATCTGCGCTCAACCCTGCCACTCCGTACAGTCCATTGACGTGATAGTTACCGGTGCGGGAGAGGAGGGGCGGTCGCCAGTTTTGGCCAACGGCCCGCCAGGCTGATTGACCATTCCTTTGGTCCGCACTATGAGAAATGAGGCGAATTCACAGCAGTCCGTCAACGGACGTTGGTCGCCTTGTTTCTGCATCTCGCGAACGGTGGAGCCTCGAAAAGGCCAAGCTGGTTCTAACAGGGAAGTGGGGAGGCCGATTGTTGGCTTCTGCTCTGGGTGAATCAACCTGTTTGGCTGGGTACCTTGATTTTGATGGATCCAGCATGAAATTCGCATGCAGGTTTCCGGTGATTATGGCACAGCGGAAAGCTTGTCTTAGCTGATACTTTTTGCAGCGCCGGGGCATTAGGATGGTGCCCGCCCCTTATCCAGAATCATGGAAAGGTCCACGGGAGCTTTTGTGATCCATGGGCCGGAGGAACGCCACCCAATTAATCGGTCTGTCGACAGGTGTGCTTCCACATCAATTGCGTTTCCCGCGTGGCCGTGCTCTTACATGCTTTCGTGGAGCCTGATATCCCGTTAACCCCGTTTTCTTTCAGATGCCTGCGCATCTGCCTCAGGGTACGCCTTGTGTCTTAGCCTCTTCCTCCGGGACCTGTGGCAGCGAGCGTTGGATATGTGATGGTTGCCTTGAGGGCCACATAGAGCGGGACGATGACTGTTGGCATCATTGAAACAGAAATAGAATAAACTCCGTTGCCGAGTTACTTGGATAACCTGATGGTCACGGAGTAGCTACTACGTGCCCTAGTGTGGCATGCGCCACCTACCTTTGAAGCAGAGCTGGCGTCTACTCAGGCAATCAAAGACGGCTCGCATTCTAGGCGCCATATATTTTGATTGCAGAACATCATTGTCCAATTGATTACTATCAGCTTGTTGTGTTGTGACATTGCCGTATCCAGAGCCGGACCGTCGCGCGCCAGCAAATATGCCCTGTCTCAGCCATAGGTGGATCTTAAGCGCGAAGACGGCGAGTCACTTCTTGTTCAGCCGCGACGACGCCTGAAGATACTGAACCTCCTTCCACCAGTTTCCTTTTTCGGAGGTAAGCGATATTTTTGCGACTTTACTGAAATGAGGCCTGGAGCCTAGGGTGCCCTCTGGCCTTTCGTCCGCACATAAGCCAAATTTTGACGGGACTGACAATTTTTCAACCTTTAAAAGCTTTGGAAATTTCTGAGGTTGTTGCGTGTGTGCCTTGCGAGGCCTGCAGCCCTACCATAAACGGTTAATCCTGTGACTCAAGCTCAGGAACCCTGACGCCCTGGGAAAAGCTTCCAGCGCGTAGTGTCGTTTCCAAACAACACTTTTGTGACAACAAGCTCTCTTCTATCTTCATGCCAGGCGCACTAACCACATCAGTTGCTCCCAGTTGATTCGCTTTTACACAGCAATTTATATTATGTGCATCTCGTCCTGCATTTCCTTGCGCCTTTGCCTCCACATACTATTAGGTACACGCTGCTTCCACATTGCCTGTGATTCGTTTGACGAGGAAAGGAAGATTGATGTGTTCGATTTCGCCTGCCTTCTGTCTTCATGGGGCTCCTTCAACCCATACCTGGTGCTCAGCATCATTCTTCTATCGCTTCACCTGTTGCTATATTTTCCCTGTCGTTTGTGGCAATGGCAGGCTGACTCTGGCCCATCTCAATCTACAGCTGCTTGTCCGGCAGCGAGGATGTGGCCTTAACAATTACGTTTTCCCTTCATCCTGCCTAAAGATGCTAAGCTATATAAATATCGGCAGATTTTCCCCCCTTCTCCTTTTCTTCAAAGCAATCATGCATTTTATTCAGGTATATCTATATATCCACATCAATCCAATGTCAACTGCAGTTTCAAAGACCCATCTACACAAAGTCGGGCTAGCCTATCGCTACTCACTTGAGACAACCTCGAACAACTTCCATTCTTTCCACTGTCTCTCGATTCCTAAGCGACACTTGAAGTTCCCGTCGTTGTACTCAGTCTCACATCATGGACTATCCGCGCCAGTTCGAACTCTCAATGAAAGAGCAAACCCCCAGCCGGGATGGTACGGATCGTGGTGCATGTGGCGGAGGGAGCGATACCAGTGTCGGACAAACGGCGCCCCAACTCCACTCATCAAAAGTTCTGCAACAAACCAAGTCGTTATCTAGACTATCCTGCTGCGAGCTTCTAGCTTCACTTCCCAGACTCCCAGATCGCGTTGTTCCCCAACGACCCGCTTATATCGTTATGAGCTGTCAGGTTCAATACCTCCCGCAACAATTTGCGCAGCCTTCTATGCGAGGTTGGTGGGTTTGTTGTCGGGAGGGCCATATCAACAATCCAAGCCTGGCTGCTGAATGCTGCTCCATATGTCACCATTATAGGTGCAGAGAGTGCAAAGTTTACACTTAACGTCCGTTAGACCCCGCCCTAAACCGTTTTGGATTCTTCCTCCCTCGGGTATTATGCTTGCGTGGAGCATAATCAAGAGAAGTTCCTCGTTGGCTTTGCGCTTTCGAAGCCAATTGAACCTGATTTGAGTCACACAGTTTTACTTGGTCCCCCAACGACTCCGGTGACTCGCTTTTGCAGTATGCGTTACTGCCTTTAAAGCATAACTGCTAGAGATTTGAAGTGGTTTTGCTTTGGTTATACTGGCTACTACTCATACAACCTGGTGTCTTTGTCTATTCTGATATTTCCAAATTATCAGGTGGTTATGGGAAGGATAAACTTTGTTCCAGGACTGTCTTAGTAACACTGTTTTTCGGAGATCTTGTACGGAGTAATCATATTTCGCCATTTCGTTTGGTGTTTTGGTTGTGTACGGTAGACTTTGACTCTTTGATACTTTAAATCTCGGTTGAAAACTATTTAGGGATGTATATATTGGGCTGATAGTTTCACTAAAGTTTCTTGCATTCCAGCATCGCCTGCTTTCCTGCTATGTATATGCTTCATAAGAGAACAGGATATCCAAACACAAAGAACTGCCCAGGCTCCACCACAACCTGCACCTCTTACAATTCAAACAAAATCCAACATCCCAAAGCCATAGAACGGTAGCACAGTAGCAAGGAAAATTCACTTACCAATACAGTGATAAAAGTAATCCGAAAGAACAAAATGTGGTATAAATAGACGATGCTAAAGTCAACCTTCCAAAAAGTGAAAAAGCGCCAACACCAGGGTATTTTATGAGTGTATGTCTGTTGCATATATTATCCTGAAATAAACCCAATCACCACGTCATTCTGAACAATCCAAGCCATTCTCTTTCTTTAACCTCTGCACCACAGGGCCAAACGCATACGCGCTTTCCTGACTACCGTAGCCCGAGCACGGGCTATATCTGAGCGGTAGCAGCCAATCAATTAAACTGTGGCCCATGACTTCTTTCAAATTTGCCAGGGGACTTCCCAGATCAAAGGGATTTTCTCCCGGTTTCGTGGATAGGATGGCAAATTCGCGAGGTGGAGCATTTGAGGTGGCTGTTCTGGTAGAACTCGAAGAAGAAGGAATAGGACTACTTGGATATATAACGACGGGAATTGGACTTTTGCGGCGGGACTGGAGTTCGTAAAAGTCCTTTGGGCGGGGAATTAGAACTGCTAAGGTCCAAACTTTGGTATGACGAGTGAGGCTCTCGATGGTGGAAGAGTTGATGAATGCAAGGTGCAGCGAGCTAACTAGCATTCCAAAGGAAAATAAGCAAAATAAACCGCATCTAATTCTAGGTGTTAGTAGCTCATTGTCAGCGCCGTTTATTTGGGGAAGAAAACTTACAGCGCTAAAGCCACCAGCCATTGCACTTCCAGGTACCCAGACTGTTTGAAATCTCGAAGTTAGCCAAAATATGTTCATAAGGGATATAAGCTGAATGATACAGCCAATCAGCAGTTAAAGAAACGGGAAAACATATCGTACATTTCTTCGATATTCGGCGATAACTATAGAAAAGACCACGACGTTGAAAGTCGTAAAGAGAAAGGTATAAAATAAGAACTGTATAAAAAATTTGAATGAACTTTCGCTAATGACGCCTCCGACCCTGCATGCATGTTAGTATTTTCAAAAAAAAGAAGTTCCGACAATGGGTCGACTCACCAGGGACAAAAATGGTCGAGTTTTCTGGTGCAGCGATCGACCTCACTGCAATGGTGAGCCCTATCCGTCTTCCATTGGCAACAGGTTGAGCACCACGGAGGCCTGCCGTCTTGTTCACATACAAATATATCTTTGCAGTAAAACGCCTCCAGGCCGTAGGCATCGATAGGGTAAGGAGCATGTTCGACGTTCGCATTGTCTGGGTAGGAAGTTCCCGGTCTGTGCCGTCGCTTTCTCCGTTTCGTGTTTCCTTCGGGTTTCCCGGTGCGCGATTGATGCCACTGATTCCCGCGCTGGAGGAACCCAGGGTTCCATATGATCGTGGTGATAACTCGGAAGTAGGACACGGCCAACACAAGCAGCAGGAGGTAGAACACGATCAGCAACCCGGTCGCGAGGCCTCTTCGGGGGGAAGGTGCACCATAGTGGAGCGGAGGACTTATAAAATAATCAACTGCGGCATGGTCAGTGCTTTCTTCAGGAGTTACCTACCGCCGGAAATAGAACTCACTGCATAATGGTCTTGTAAAGACATAACTTCCATAGGCAAGTAAACCACCGAGAACCACGGGAATGACTCGCGCCGCACCGATGTTTACTCTCTTATCTGAGGCCATTGGCCACAGCGATCCTTCAGCGTGGGCTACCGATACATCGTATTTTGTGTTGCTCGATAAAAGGCAATATAGGCTCTTCAGCCTCCAGCGGAGCTCCTGACAATGGAGTTGTCAATCAGTCGAATTCATTGGATAGCAGGTCATCACGTGGGGTAGTGCTGATTCAGCATATGCCATGACATCATTGGGCAGTTTCTTGTGCTGGTCACCTGACATGGGGTAATCGACCAACCCAAACTAAGAATAGCGCGAATCCCGTGCTTACTGTGACAACTTCACCCGAATGCTTCACAACGTCTTTGCTCAAGCAACTCTTCAAACTCAACAACTCTCGCGTCGAAGTTCATCGAGTTCCAACCAAGCCCATCATCATGACGATTGGTCAAGTTTTGCCTGCTATTCACATCTTTCCTTACACCTTGTGCGTCCACTCCTCTGCTACAATGTGGTGGGATGTCATGTCACATTCATGCCGATCTGCGGGGTAGCAACACGCTCATCCTGTCACTTCAAAAAGCGCTGTTTTCCGATAATTATAAGTTGGAGAGCCTCGCTTTTCTCGATGAAGCAGGTAGAAGCTAGATTCGATTGATACGAGCTTTGGCTGGGTGTTCTGCACCTTTATCACACTCTCCAGCCTGGCCTCGTGTTGAGCCCTTGCGGCTCCAGCGCCTCATGAAATACACATAAAAGGGACCCTTCGGATCAGTCGTCCCAAAAGCCATGTTTACCTTTCCCCTTGCACAACATCTCCTCTGTCCCGCATGGCATCTTCCTTTCAGTTTTAAACTACCCCCGGAAGAACTCCACTTCCTTGAATCGGCCTGGCCGCAAACATAGACAAGCAAAGACGCGTGCGTTCGGAAGCCACTCAGTTGTTGCCGATGGATTATGTTACCAGTTACCTCCCGGCCCTTCAAGCGCGGCTCGACAAGCTTAGATTTGCTTTACAATGAAAGCCTCCCCAGAACGTGCAACGGATGGTTATCTTATCTGGCTATGCTACAGACATCTCCCGGTGCCTTCATCTCTCATGCCTGAAGCGAGCCAAGGTGGCAGAGCATAAGCTAAAGAGAGCAATTTGCGATATTGATCTCTAATAATCATATCAAACTTTTGTCCGATGCCTGTTTCGAATTCTCAGGACCCGGTGCGTGATCATCGAATGTTTCCTTGTAATTACAATGGTACGCCTTTTTGTTTCCCCCGGAAAATTTGATTTACCATCAAGACATCCGGCCTCAGACGGACCGTCCTGTTTGCGGGTATAATGCAAGATTCCTCTTCTTGTTCCTTTGTACTTCCGCAATTCATATGGACCTCATGAACGAATGGTGTAAGTGTTCACACCGTTCGGATTTATCTTTAAAATATCCTAACTGCTTCGGCACTGTCACTCAGGGTTAGATAAAAGCCTTAAAATGTTCAGATTCGTGCTGGCTTAACGTGGTCTAACTCACCAGTTCGCTTGCTTTACTCGCCTGATAAACAGAGTAGGCGACCGAATGAACATAGCACTACCCAATATGCGTCCCAGCCGATCGGGCCTTCTAAAAAGCCTTTCATGCAGATCAGCTCTTGAAGTTTGAGCGCTCAACCTGTCCAGAGCCGCACCACAACTTTCCTCTACCCCACCAGCAGCCCAGCCGATAATCTTCTACACAATCCAACAGCATGCAGATCAAAAACATTTATACTCATAACAACAATTTGGTACCCAAAAATGCTCTACATATGCCTGGCATTGCTACCAGAAATGTCCAAATTCTGGACTGTATTCATCCATTCGCTGTCTGCGTGTGGGTTGCATTGCTTTAAATGCCCCATAACATCAAACAAAGAGGATCTGAAAAATAACAGACATTTTCACTTACACTTTATTGTGGTTGACAGTTTTATATAAACCCTCTTGTTACCTTTTGAACTGTCAATTGGTCCTTTGTGATATTTGCTTAGCTCTAATTCTATTTTGTGTGATGCTTTTTTGCGGAGCCACCTGGGGTTGTGTCTCATATTGTGTTTGCCTAGGATCTAGGCTATTTTCTCCTCTTTCGAGTGACCATGAGAGCATGCCGGGTCTCTCTGGCTCATCGATTTGATTCCTTCGTTTCGTTTGGGTTATCTCATAGTAGAGACCATTTTCTGCATCTTGAATCCAGATACCAAGCTGCAACCAGCAATGGTGTTTCGGGTAGAATTACAATTTGGTATTATTTCATTTATTTCTATGAAAGAAGGGGGAAGTCCGCGGGCCGAAAGTGGAATTTTGTTGTTTTTGTTGCCTGAAAACCGAGAATTGTCAGAAGGACCACCTTTGAACCTCGAAAATCGGAGGTCACATGACCGTCACCGCCTGCGAAGCCTCGTGAGAGGCAGCGGAATTGGCCGAGCAGGGCGCTGTTGCAGAATAGGAGCGGGAAGCGGCTTTTTGCAGCCTGGGCTACATTCGCGAGAAGTGTCTTGGTAAAGACACCAAATGCCTAGTTAGCGCCTCGCTTGGCTCCGATGACAACGGGGGTGGGGCCCACCCCGACAATTGACTCAAACCCGATGACTTAGCAAAGACTGGAGTGTTGGAATTTGGCTTTGAAGATCTACGCCGGGTGATGCTTGTTATCGCTCTCAAGGCTTTGGAGCGAAAACGCCAAGGTGGAAAGTTCGAGGCCTACGATGGGGCTTTCTGTAGGCACCTTAGCGCCTTTTTGCCTGCTCGCGACACGATGGGTCCTCCATACCAGCTGACTCCAATCGAGGCGATGCTGGTAACTCCAGGCAGTTTCTGCCCGCCGTGTTCTCCAGGCATTCATGGCACTTTGGCCGTTTTTCGCTATTTAAACCCAGCTTGACCCTCAGGTTTGAATCATCTAGCCTGTCACTCCAAACTTCGTCTTCCTTTAATCACATTGAATTCCCCAAATCTATTTGAACTTGAGAGTCAATGTTCTTCTATTAAAGGCCAATTCTTTTGTGCAAAGTGGTCTCCTCTCTCCTGTTGAAAAAAAAGGTCCCGTGTGATGCCGTACGCTACGCACTGGGTTTGCTGTCGCTGCAAATTCGGCCCAATGAGTATCGAAAACTATCCTGCCTGCATCAATTGTCAACACCGCGGAGCAAAATCACCTTGCTGCCACCACGAGTGTTTGCGAGACCACGATAGCTACCACTACGCAGCAGAAATGTCGTCCTACGCAGCACAACGCGAGCCAGAATTTGACAACCCCGCGGTAATCTCAATACCTCAAATGGGCCATGACCGTCGGTACTTCCGCGCAGCGCCAACGTACCTATATGTCTGCTGCGGCTGCGGAGATGGCCCAAAAGTCTACCAGCTCGAGCCTCGATGCGTTAACTGCTCTCATGACGCTTGCCCCTACTGCCGCTATGTCAAATAAGTTTGATAATAGCCATCTAGGGTGTAAGGATACTGTGCTCCTAATAAATTTAGTGACAATGTGCTGACTTCACTTTTTTCTTCCTAGAAATCGGTTGCGATTGTACTTGCCTGTTTATTTCGAGTCGTTCGCCATGCACCCTGCGATTCGACGAAACCTTTTCTTTTGACGAGCGTTTTTTAGCGATGTAATATTGGAATGGATACAATGACGGGATTTTTGATGCACGAGTTACGGAAATTTTCATAGAGGTTATCGGCATTCACTTGACTTGGTTAATGGACATAGCGATGGAGTTGGGTTACTGGTCTAGGCTCGGGATGTTGTGCTAGCATGATAGAAGTCTCAATGTTTAAGCAATCAATTTTTCAAATCCAGTTTCTTCTCCTTTGCTCCCGATTGACACCAATCGATTGTCGTATGATGATTTTAGAGTAATAGTACATACATGAAAGCATCAAACTTCTGTCAGCCTTGAGACCAGACGGAAATTGAGCCCGTGAAGGAGTACATCGAATACATTGCCGGTCACTTTTCAGCCTCTTTAAAACTGCCTCGCCCCACCGGCCTAACTAATTTAGCACCGCCAAGGAGGCCCGCTTTCCCCATGTGTGTTAGTTACTAAGCGTCCCGCTCGAGCCTCAATTACATAAGCGAATTGGCACGCTGGCGACTTTTGCTTTGGGGGAGGATGTACGGAGTAGCGGGCACGGACACAGACTCGTAGGGAAACATTTTTGTCGCATCATATCGTGGGACCAAAAGAACACCTGCGGGAGCCCCGATCCTTTCTTTGGATTGCGATCGCTGCCTGGGGTGGCCCAAGGTTGATACGGTTAGCCTGGTAACTGGCGGGAGTCAGCGAGACGTTGCCTAATGGCCGTTGAGTCAAGGCCGCCTTGTTTGCGTCGAAAAAGGATTTCTGGGCGACTGGCCGGACAAACACTCGGCGCTTGAATCGTTGAGAGTCCCACTATTACTCAATCCTGCATGCGCTTGACAAATTTGCATGCGGCACCCCTCGAGAGAGCGCGGGCTGATTGGAGGTTGACGATGATTGATTTGAGTCACTAGGACCGAATTCCGGCTGAGCAGGAGTCTCATCCCGTCCATGCTGCAGCATGTTCATGCATGGGATTTGAAACAAGAGGTAGGGTATTTTTATCTTCCCACCAAACTTCAGGCCTCAGGATACGGAGTCAGAGGGGCGGAAGTCGCCTGTTCTCGCGTGTGTTGACAGTGCTGGAGTGCCGCTCCCTGACTTAGACCCCACATGACATAACTATGTCGTTAGATGGTTGAACTCTTGTTACATAGTTACCTTGCCTGGGAGCCCCACTCTGAGAAACGGCGTCAGGAACTGCATTTTGGAACAGATGCCGACAGAGGTCCTGTTGCCAGACATGATCGCAAGGTCGGGAGATTCATTGCAAAACAATTATCCGGCTGAGATCAATGAGTTACGAGGGTCGTCCGGCCCAACCCGCCTGGAAAACGCCGATATGGACGCGTCGCGCTCTCCATACTATGAACTGCGATGCTCCTCGACTACAGGCGCCCGATTGGATGCACTAACTCAGACCAATGGGGGCGCATTCAGCGCGACTCAGGAACTCTTACCCTTGTCCCGTTTCTCCTTTGCATTATTGGCCCCAGCGGGCGAGGTATTTGTCGACGTGAAGTTATTTTCCTGAATCCTTCTGGTTGCAGAAATTAATCCCGTCCTTCATCCTCAGGTTCAAGGCGTTTTAAGGCTGAGCGGAGGCCTTTTCAAGCCACGGAAAATGTGATTTCCGCCAAGCGCCGCTCATCACCAAGAGAGCGTGCTCGAGCCCCACCCCCGCCAAAGCTTAAGCCAGGCCGCTGGTTTGGGGAAAGGCGTTCAGGTGGCTGTGCTAGATCGTTAAAAAGTCAGCCATCTCCTGTTCCTCAGGAAAAAACGCCCGACCAGCCCGACCAGCCAATTCGTCTCTCGATTTCCACAACCGTGGGTTGTGGGAAGGCTCGCATTCCTATCCGGCCGGGTATGGCCTCTTGCACCTGGACTGCATGCATCAAGAAGAGTTCTGGCCAAGGGGCTGTCAGGCTCCCGTGATGGCTCTCATAAGGTCGGATCCTGCGCATGGTGCCTTGGGAAATATACCAAGATAAATCGTATAACCATCTCCGCGGTCCAATCCTGACAAAGGGAAAAATAGAAAGTGGCTACCTACCATTGACTAAACTGACAGACAAGGATCCAACTAACTAGTATGGAGCATCGTCATCGCCCTGCGGTCCATGTCGGTTCAAATGATCTTCTGATAATTCCCGGGAGCGAGACTACGACAGCTGTCTCGTTGCTCTTGAATTCAACTTTCACAAGATGAGGCTTCATACCCACGCAAAGGGTTAATCTCGTCAACCTTCAAAACCCCTCACCAAGGTCAGTTTCGGGACAATCCGGAAGAACTTGTGGTCGGTCACCTGGTCGCACATAAGGCCAAGCTGAAGGAGGAACCGAAACTTGCTGATTCACGTTGCCCTTTCATACCACGCAATCTGTCACTTCACGGGACAAATTCCTTGAACCTTGACCAGGTATCATTTTATTCTCCGTTTATCCCGTTCCTGCAGCCCTGGATCCTGGTATTTGTCGCTAGATGTTTTCCAGAAGTTTCCCAAGCGTCTGCTAGCGTAAATTCCTTTCTGCCCAACCAATCAGGCAATGCTCGATGGATTTGAAATTCCTAAAACTCCACTCTTTGATGATCAAAAGTCAATCGTCTCAGTCCCTGTGCTGGCTCTTTCTAAGGCGGCAGGGTCGGCATTTTTACCCTGGTTCCGGCTCTGACCTCGGCGTCCTCCGTACAGGCTTCCCCACACCGGGGAGAGAACTCCAAATCCCTAGCCATAGGGTAATCAGTGATGATTAACTATCGCTGCTGTTCAACTCCCCTACTATTTGATACTGACCTGCAGATCCTGGAAATTGAACGATAAAATCGCTCATCCATCGATTCATAGTATCTATCTTAATGGCTACCTTCAAGACTACCTTGCCGCGAGGAACGGGGGTATTTACGCTCCACAAGCTCACATGAACCTGAAATCAGCAACCGCACAAAAAATAGAGACATAGTTTCTACTTGCAGACACTTCGCCACGATTTCTTGAGCCCGATTCCTATTCCGGCGCTGAATCTTACCCCCACCTTACTGGAGAATTCTCTGTTATGATTAGCTTCAGTCTGTCCGGCAATGGTCACAGCAGGTGACGCACTTTACCAAGTCTCTATCCCGATGCTGAATCGCTTGTTGATCCTAGTCTTGCACCCAAAATCGAGTATCTTGACGAAAATGCTTCATCATCTGACCATAAGGATGCTTGGAAAGCGAATGCTCACTTGGCTATTGATCTCTATAGGCCTGAGGGACTACCACATCAGAAGGCGGTAAGATTTGTGGTCATGACTCGATAATTGTTATTCCCAAGGACCTTGACGCATTCACTTGGGGTTGATGTGAACGGCTTACAAGCTTGGTTATACAACCGGAGGCGTGTGGCAGTGTTTGCCCAATTTACAACCCTCAAGCAATTTTCCTCCACATAAGAATTCCAGCATGAAATAGAATGGCATTCATTATATGTCTCTTACGGTGTTGGCGGCAAATAGCCTTAAAATTGATGTAGAGTAGATAAAACTGGCTACCTCTTGTGCATTCCACCCACGCTTCCCCCCCCAAAGCTTATGGCCCTCGTCGGCCTCGAGCATAAGCGCTAGCACCCTGGAGCCCTACGTAAATTAAACAGGTCCCAAAGGCTGAGTGTTAAGGAACTCTCTTAATCAACTTCGAAACGGAATGTGGCGTCGGAGAACTTCCACTACCAAACTCTGTAGCGGTCAAAACACTTTATCGTCTAAAACTACACTCCTTTTGGGACCTGTTCAAGTCCGAGAATGGCACAATCAAAACAGAATGGAAGATGGCCAGCTGTTCGGTGCACAATTTGGAATTTTGGTGATTGACAACGTCATCGCGAGTTTGATTGGCCTGCCCCAGTTTTTACCCCATGATTTCTCTTCCCCGCATTTCTTCCAAAACCCGGACGACGGCGAATTTCCCCCAACAAATGGAGAGCCAAGCATCAGACGCGATCGCGACAATGCGCAGTTTTGACGAATAATCAAGATTTATTCAACGTTTGATTTGATACTTAGTTAATGTTTCAATCCATCAAGAGAAATTGCACTGGTCGGGTAAGATCCGTAATCCGAAGGGGTATAAAGAGCAGATACAACTGCGTCGGCAGCGGGTAGGGTACGCTTCCGCCGTTATCCAGTGCGCGGCCCGCGCACCTCGTCACTTCGATACTTCAAGACGCTGAAGTAGATAAAGGGCTCGACGGCGACCTAGGACAGAGAAAATGTAACCAAACCTACGAGCTTACTCTCTCGCAGCAGCACAGTAACACTCAGTCCATCAAAATGCCTTCACAATCCGGTTGGCGGCCCCTCGACATTGCCATCGTCGGTGGTGGCATCGGCGGTTTAGCAGCTGCCATTGCGCTAAGACGTGCCGGTCACAAGGTTACCATGTATGAACGGGCGGACTATGCTGGCGAAGTGGGCGCTTCGATCTCTTGCGCTGCGAATGGAACCCGGTGGCTTCATGAGTGGGAAGTCGATGTCGCAAAGGGCGACCCCGTTATCTTGCGAAAGCTAATCAATCGAGATTGGAAGACTGGCGAGCCTGTTAGTGTCTATGATCTGGCTGACTATGAAGAGAAATGGGGACATGTAAGCGTACGCCAGAACGAGGGAGCAAATGAGTGTGCTGACGAAATCACACCCAGGTCTATAACATGTTCCACCGACAGTATATGCATGCGATGTTGATGGACAGTGCAGTCGGAGAAGGAAAAGGCGTACCCGTCAAACTGGTTGTTAACCACAAGGTTCGTCTGGAGACCATTGCGATGTAAATAAACTGACAGACCTGCTAATGTCGTTTTATGGGTGTAGTGCAAGGACCTTGATGTTGACTCCGGCAAAATCTCATTCGAAAACGGAACCACCGCGCAACACGAGGTCGTGGTTGGTGCGGACGGAATCGGATCTGCAGTCCGGTCCCTCATCGGAATCCATCCAGAGAAGAAAGCAGCTTCCTCAAGCTGTCTGCACGCCAACGTCGATACAGCAACAGCTGTGAAGCTAGGCCTTGTCGATTACTCACAGGATAGCGCGATCGAATACTGGGGAGGACATCATAACGTCAATAAGATTGTCCTTTCTCCATGCAACGGTGGTAGTCTGCTGTCCTACTACTGTTTCTTCCCCCGCGAGAAAGGAGACTATGCTGCTCAAAATTGGAACAGTGAAGCAACCGTGGAAGAGCTACTGGCTCCATATCCCGATTTGGACCCTCAGGTATTCGGACATCTAAAGATCGGAAAGGAAATCAGACCATGGCGGTTGTGGGTGCATGAGCCGTATGCTTGGTGGCAAAAAGGTGTGGCGTGCATCATGGGCGATGCTGCACATCCGGTAACACCATTTGACAACCCAGTTGAGTTGAATCCAAAGCTGACAAGCTGTAGATGATGCCTGACCAAAGCCAAGGCGCTTGTATGGCGATCGAAGATGCTGCTTGTCTTGGTCTCGTTTTCAGCGAGAAGCACTTCAACGGGGATATCCGGGAAGCTCTTGAGATTTACGAAGCAGTCCGCAAACCAAGAGCTACAAAAGTGCAAGCTGCTTCTGCTAGAGCGAGGGAAAATATTCATGAGCGTATTGGTAAGTAGCCAAAGGCACATGCTCTGATAGAAGACACGCACTAAGATAGATACAGGGTTTTCCGATAACACGAACAACCCACTGTATAAAGTCAAGGATGAGAGGAATAAGCTCACCATTGAGGAGATGAATACGTTAGTTTGCTTGTGAAACTTGTTAAAGTAGTGAGTACTAACTGGCTTGTAGTTACGATATGCATAAACATGTTGAAGAGGTATTCGCCCAACGTAGGGGTGGAAGCAATAAACTGTAGCCAACATTAGCTATTCTTTTTTTTTTCCTTTTGTTATATTTGTAGTTATAATGATCCATGAACATAATGAGATAATCTACCTTCACACGCTCTCGTCCAATCTCAATTCAGACTTCTCCCAGAGCATGGAGATAGGTCGAGTCTTAACTTTCCATCAAAGGTGAAGCAGCTGTAACCTGCCCCTGGCTAAGATGAGAGGATTTTGAACAAGAGCTCTACAAGCAGTTTCAGAAAAACACCCGTTGCAAGATATTCTAGTTTTACGATCCACTATCCGATATCGTAAGGCGATTTGAGTGGGCGGCTATAACTGGCAACACAGCGCGCTATATTAAAATCAAAGGAGTAGCACAACGTCAAATCGCATAGCTCATCAATTCGTGAAGTGGTAGAGTGCTCGCCGTTTGTCTAGTAACATAGGCCTCGCATAACGGTGAGGACGTATATGCGGGATTGCAGTTCGGGAATATCAGTGGAACGCAAATTTCGATCGCTATATCGCAACACTGTTTAATCACCGGCCGGAATGAATGGGTCTGTCAGGAACGGAAAGTTGTCCCATACGGGTAAATGTAAGCTATCCCACCCAAAGAATGCTTCTTCTTCTTCTTCTTCTTCTTCTTCTTCTTCTTCTTCTTCTTCTTCTCCTCCTCCTCCTCCTCCCTCTTCCAGGGCTTGGACCGGAGTTTCGGGAAGAAAGGTGGGAGAACCCCAGCTGTGATGGGGATCACCGGCTTCACCAAAAGAAGCAATTGAGGGCATAACGTCTGGGTCAATGTCGGCCGAACGGTTGGTGCTAAATGCTTCCGTCTCAGGGGGAATCAAACTGAATATGCGGCCAACATAGGGACTTTTGTTTCGCTTTGGCTGCAACGCGAGTCGTTGCCGTTGCTCGTTAACTGCGTTCGACAACAGTACAAGGATCTCAAAGTAATGTGCAGCTTGGGCCGACAGGAGGCTGAATATCTCGAGTATATCTTTCGCGCTAGCGAAAGCAGCTTCAACCTCAGGGTCTGGCTTATTTTTGGCGAACATGGCGAACCCGAGAACAAGAGAAGCAGCAAATACAAGCGCCCTATAAATTTTCAACAGAATTAGCGCGTGTTTCCTAGCCTATTAGCAAATTTGTAACTGGAAAGCTCTTACGTCATTATACACATATTAGCGAGGAATAAATTAGCTTTACGGGCATCTTGGCAGGCTTGTATGAGGTACACAGCAGAGTCAACGCATGCTGATGCCAGTTTTGCGTGCGTGGGGTCTTCTCGAGCGGTTGGAGTAGGTGGTTCACTTGAAAGACCACCCTGTGATCGAACCAGACGAGCAGTAAGGGTTGAAATTAAAAACGGACGGGTAGCCAACATAGTTGCAAAGTAATAGAAACAAGCAACCTGTATGCTCCCTAAAGTATGCTCTTGTTCCTCTGGTCGGTTAAGATTAGGGGATGCGGTGCGCATAGCATCAGGAAGCTCCTTGCTCCAGCGATCTAGTTTTCGGAGAAATTCTTCGGCTGCGTCGGTAGAAACCGCCTTTTGACCATATAATTCGCTGGTGACGGTATCCATTAAATCAGTTATTGCATATGAAGCTAGAAGGCGAGCCTGAGCTCTATCGTTCGGTTCTATCATTGAAACCAAACCGTCTCCCAGCTCCGAACGCAGCGACAATGTTGCTGATGGCCGCCCAAGGATTGAACTCACAAGCAAGTCCAAGACACATAGGCTCATCCAGGTTTTCAGCCTATAAATCAAGTGGTATCATCAGTCACTGTTCCCTTTATTTTAAAATATGTTCTCACTATATGCACCTTCGTTGTCGGTCGACAGGGGTGAGACATGCATAAGAGTCTTCATGGTGAAGGCCAAGGGCGACAGCAGCTCGAGTGGCCACTCCCAAATACATGAAACCTGCATTTCTTCGACATGCACCGAGCATATAGAATGCCATGAGGAGAAAAGCCCAGACCAGCTCTAAGTTTGGATCTTCTAGCATACCCGCAAAGGCGCGCTTCTGCCCACGAGTAAAGAAAAACTTCTCTTTCTGGGAAACAGCGGTACTTGCCTTGGGACATTGGGCCCCAATTGCAAGGATAAGATCTGCAACAGCCATCCTAGAGCTGTGAACGGACGCTTCTGAGTTGGCTATCTCCTCAAGCAATTGCATAGCTTCAGAGGCCGATAAGACGTCAATTATCCCGGCGGTCTAATGCAATTAACTGCTTAAGTAAATACTGGCTGCAGGCACGGGCGCCCTCCTCACTTACCGCAAGACGGTAGATTCTGAGCAAGGCCACCTTCTCGTCAAAGGTAGTATCATCCTCATTGTGCGACTGTATATCTGTTGCGGCAGATGCATTTTCCAACATACTATCAACCTTGGGGTTGTGAGTAAAGCCTGAAGGCCCTGTATATTGAACGACAGTTTCTCTGATGAACTGCAAGAATGATAGGGATGCAGCACCGCCAATGTAGACTTAGTGATTAAGCATTAGAAAAATTCGCCCTTGCAGCCTAGGGATTAATCTTTCAACATACCCCTTTCGCCTCTAAGATTGCGTAACATCCGCGGATGCGTTTTGTGCGGCGCTTCAGGCGATAACGACCGCGGATTCCCTCCTGTAGAATCCAGCGCTCGCGCCCCGGCCGCTGCTTGGGGAATTGGATGGCCGGCACCACTGTGCAACGGTGACATCTCACAGGCGTGGGCACGCCCGCGTCGGACGCAGTGACCGCATGGCACAGCGCCACTGCATCGCTTCTTGGATGCTCTGCAGAGAACGCATGCCTGGGCCGTCCTCTGGCGCTTGTCGGGATGCACCTTTGGTCGCGGCATACTTAGTGGGGCATGCTCGCCGTCTCTGCCGGCATGGTCGTGCAGTCAGTTATTTTTCTCTCAAAGAGAAGGCCAAAGCAGTGAAAGCGGGCAATGTTGTTGGTCGGCTGTCCGCAGTTCGGCCCCCGGCAGTTCCCCACTTCCTTCCCCCGGAGCCGCGCTGCTGACAAACCCCCGGCCAGAGTCACGCCGCGCTGCCTGGATGCATCGACGATATATATATATATATATATATATATTACTATGTTGGTTCAGAGTGATGTCTGCTGTGCCCCGAAAGAATGTGGCGAGGTATGAAGTTACGACAGGGAGTTTTGTCCTGAGAAACGAATTGCTAGAAACGAATACCTAAACTAGCTTTCAGGGTATTCAGAATAAAAGTGTGTGGATGTATAATAGTTTCGATAGCTAATGCTACAGAGGAGATGGGAAATATGGCAAATCGATGCTTTCGTATGGAACCAAGCAAAAGTGGAAATTGCCAATATCTCGTCTTCAAATTGATAACTACTGTTTCTTTCCTTTTCCACCCTGTTACTTTGCCAATAACGAAGTCCTTCTGGCGAGAGCTTCAGAACAGGACCGCAACTGGTGGCTACAAGGTCGAATTCCAACGAGGTCCGAGACACGACTGGGAGTCCACCCACTGCTGCCACCAGGATCGTCGGGTTATCCGTGCTTTTCTCGTCGACTTCAAATCTTAGAAGACCCTAAGAGTTAAAGCCGGAGGTACCTCTGAATAATAAGACTGCCCTGTCTGAACCGGTTAAACCAATGGAAAACCGTAGGGGGTGCCTAAGTCAAAATTCAAGTTTGGTCAAAGCCCGAAGAATACGACAGCCAAACTCCGCGCCATCGATGCTTGTAAAGGCGATGAGCCGACCTACTGCTCCCAGAGCAGGATAGACAGGCAGTTACGAAAGGGCGATTGATGGAGAATAGAAGCTGTTGGTGCAGCAAAACAAGAAAGTCGGAAGAAGATTGTGATGCGCTGGATTCCCCTCGCAAAGTGCTGGGGAAAAAGACCTTTGGGGTATTTGCTATTCATTCAAACCAATTCGAGCTGGGCGATTGCAACTCCGGCAATCTCACCTCACCTTGGATTGCCCAGGTATCGGGCCACTCTTGGAAAGGGTAAAAGGGCTACAAAAGAACAAAGCGGACCGACCCTGTTGGAAATTATAATGCTAGAACTCGGGAGGGGTCCTGGAGGAAACGCCTACGATAAGCAGCAATTTCCGTCGCAACTGTATTAAAATCTTTCACTTTATCCCGTCGCATGTCGTTGATGATTCGTTTTAGCCCGGTGACATACTCCTCTCGGTCTGCTGGCGTTTTGCCCTCTCGTAGGGAGCCCATTTCAACCAGGATTTTATCATCTGTGAGAGTTAATGGAGATGCTATGTCAGTGATTGAGCATCAGTGGGAAAAATCAAAAAGGGAGGGGAATATAACGGATAGACCGGAAAAGCTAGCGCTAAGAAAGGATAACAAAAGAGAAAAAAAAAAGAAAAGAAAAGTTAGGGTACTGTTGAAGAGGTAAAACGGGGCAATCAGATAACATAAAGAGACAATTAAAATAGTGAGGTATCAACTCCTTCAACGCACCACTCAAAATCATGTCCCGAAAATGTTGGTTCTGGCATGACTGATCGTTGCAAATACCACCTGAAACTTCGAATTCACACAACGGCCTGTTATGATCGATATTATGACTATATGTAAGGGAGCGAAAGCCTCCTTCAATATCAGTTACGAAATTGGGGTGATATCGATATGCTCTGAATAGGCGTAGGGGACTGATGTAGGGAGTAAAGTGATGACCAGTGTCTTCGACATCCTGGATACGGAAGTTAGTGCGGCAGAAAGTGTAAAAAAGGTTCAACAAAAATACCTCCATATTCTCCTCATGAATTGGCTGTGGAGATCTCTGGTCGGATAGGGTTAGTGTTTCAACATCTTGGGTTAATGGCACAGTTTCCGAGTCAACATCCACGGGCTGCGGAGGGGCAACTGGTGCTGGGCTAAAAGGGGGTGCAACAGAAGAATCAGATTGCATTTCTGCGTCAGGCTCAGGTGGTTCATATGTATCAGATGCAACTGACTGTTCTGGAGAGGAAACGAAGTTTGTTTCGCTGTTTTCTTCGGACAACATAGGTGTTTTTTGCATAGATACATCAACGGCCAGGTCCTTTGCGAGATGACCTGACTGGGTCAAGGGCGGGGATCTATCGCCTTCGGAAACTGAAGCAGATGACGATGTTTCATCTTCGTCCATCGCCTCTTGATCATCTGCACTACTTCCCATTGATTCGTCCATGGCTGAACTAGAACGGGAAGACAAAACACTACCCTCCCTCTCAGGAATAGGCATAGTGTGCTCAGACGATTGGGCAGCGACGTCCATCGCTTCTTGGGATGTTTGCGGGACTGTAGCAGCGGTGGAAACGCAGCTCTCTTCAACTAGCCTATGTGGCAGGGATAGAGGTTCATCTGGACTGCTAATAGCTTGCACGGGCGCTGTATGGTGCTCAAGAGCCTCCGGTGCCTGAGTTAAATCAGAGGTATTTTGCGTCCGAACTAGAAAGGGGTCAAGATAAGTGCCTCAGAAATACCATTAGAATAGGAAGCTAACTGACCTGGAGACTGTATGTCAGGCTCAACCTCCAGACGATCCTTGGTGAGCTGTAGCTCTTCGAACGTTAAACCTTCGGTTTCAATACCTAGTTCCTCCAATTCCTCGATTAAGCGGCGTTTCCCTGCCTTTCCTTTGGCAATTTCAGCAAGTAACTTCTTTTCTTCCTCACGAAATTGGGCTAGCCTGGCTTCGGATCTTGACAGTTCAGCCTCAAGTGCTGGGAGGCCAGACTCAATCTCCCTTTTTCGGAGGAACTTTTGTCGAAGATCTTCAGCTTTTTTCGGTTCTAAAGTAGACCACGATCGTGCTGACGGGCTCTTCGGTTGTGCGGTGAGTGGTGAACTTGGTGGAGCCATAGCCGCTGTTGCTCCAAAGGGAATTTGATTAGGAGAAACGACTGGATATTGAGACTCCTGGGTAGGGGTTGGCAGCTTCGCAAAATCTAGGGTTTTCGCAGCTTTCTGCGGGTTAGGCGTTGGTCCAGCAGATGACAGCGTAGAGTCATTCGGTGCGACAGTAGTTTGAGCTTGTGCTGCGCGCTTTGCGTCACGCCGCCTTTCTAATTCTGCGATCCTTTGCCGCATAATCATTATCTCTGATCGTATATTTTCTTCATCTCTACCTTTGCCCGGAGTCTGTGGCAACGAATTCGAAGATGCCGAACGATAAGATTGAACTGGTCGAGCCGCAATGTCCGAAAGTGGTGGTGCATCTCGAATTGTCATTTGCTTCGATTGTACTGAATTAGACACAAACTTTGCACCAGCTTGGTCGATTGACTCATCTGCATCAACATCATACATAGATTCATCTTCGCTGATGTCGATGATGACTTTATGATCAGAACTTGATATCCTGGTGCCCTGACCTTGTTGCTTTTGTGGGGGGATTTCGACAATGTCATCAGTAAAATCTGACGCACGGGGTCGTTTGCGGGGCACTCGCACAACAGAAGAGGATGCCTCAATAATGGCAGATTGGTGGCTGGTTCGGGAGGCAGGAGGTTCTGACATCATTGGCTCAGCTCCGGTCATAAATAAGCCCGGGATTCGAGGTGGACCAGCTGTTTCTGGGTCGGGAGGCCGTTCAGGTAATGGATGTTTCATAGGTAGAGGCTGGAAGGCTCGTGTATCCTGTTGGGTAGCAGCTAGGGGAAGAGTATCAATGGGTGGAGAGGTAGTTGTTAACGGTGTTCCGAAGACCGAGTCGCTAGTTGATTGGGATTGAGACTTCGTCAGTCCCATTTTCTTAAGCTGCTCTATTCGTTGCCGCGCTAACTCAGTCTGGGCTCTATTCTTTTCCTTCACACGATTTTCTTCGGATGTTGGTGCCTGTCCGCTCATCGAGACACAGTGTTCTGGTTGAGGTATGGGCTCCTGAGATGGACTGATGTTCTTGCTTGCAGAGGGAGGCGCGGCCTCTTGGTGTTGGGTAGCAATAGACTTTCCAGCCTTGGCGGCTAACATGCGGGCAATCAAGTCTTTGCGCTCTAACGGTTTGCTTGTCGCTGTATTTGAATTTGCCGTTGGTACGGCGAGCTTGGTGGTACTCTCTGGTGGTAGCATATACGTGCTGGGAGCCTGGCGCGGCGCCATTTCGACTATGGAAGTTGGAACAGCATTGCCCCTCGTGGATTCAGCTTCAGGGGCTTGGTATTCAGTCTCCTGGCTCGATGCCATAGCCTGCTTATCAGCAGAACCCCCGGTTGTGACTTTCAAACCGATACCCTCGTAGAGGTCCTTCAGAATGACTGGATCTATTCCCTCGCTAACTAACTCCCTGTACCGTATGTTGTGAGGTGCTAGATTTAGTAGCGCTCCTTGCGCCTGCATGCGCAGCTGGGTTAATGATCTTCCGTTTGGTACCTGCGGATGAGAGCCATTGGTGGTATCCTTCTCGCTTAAAGTAAAGGGATCCTTTAGAGATCGTAGTGTTGAAGTGTTAATATAGGCTGGGGCATTGGGATCACCAGAAGGGGCATTGAGGCCCGCGTATAGTGCTTGCGTGGCTGTGGTTACATTTTGACTGGACACTTCTAAGGTCGCATAATTAGCACAGCAAAGTACTAGTCGAGCTTCGTGGATTTTTACCTGGGTCGCAGTTGATCAGAGTGGCTTGCTTCTGACTGTCTCCGACTTGCTGGTTTTCAATCACAGGTGACTTATGCGCACGTTGGGAATTGGCTCGATGGTCTGCATGTGAACCATCACCATCTGCCTCCCCATTACTCAATTCACCTTCTTCACGGCCATCTAAATCCATGGCATCATGTGTTTCAACCTGGTCCAAGCCGGTTGGCCGTCCCTCCCCTATTGTCTGCTCGGAGATATTTGGATTGTGGGTGGTTTTGCCATTGCTTCGAGACTGGCTGAGTGGTCGTAGAAATGGTTGAAAATTAACGGAAGGACCAGGTGTCTGCGCGTGTGTTGGTTGGGAGTAGTAAGGGGTCGGGGTAGCATTTGGTATAGGAAAATTTTGCGGTGTTGGTAGCATCCCATTAGTGAACGTGCCCAAGCCTGGGATCTGGGCATTCGAACTGAAGCCTGCCCCGTTTGTCACATACATCGACTGTGGCGGCAGCTGGCTGTATTTCTGGTAAGAATCTGCAGAATGGCCAGATGATTGGTCTGGAAGCCACTGCGGCGGGAAAGGTGGGTGGCCTCCAAAGGAGGGAAGGGGGAAACCCGACATTTCTACGACACCGTCTCTGGCGGCGCGCGTTTGCGATGCTTCACGCAGGGCAAACAGAAGAACGACGTGAAAGCAGTTGTGACAACTGCCTTCTTACACAGAAAATAAATGGAAAAGGGAAAAAAAAAAAAAAAAAAAAAAAAGACAAGAGTTAGCACTCAAATTGCAGCTGCGCAGAAATTATGGGAGCAACCCAAGATGCAGTCGATCAGATCATCATGAAGAATAACATCCACAGCGAAAGCAGATGAGACGCAGTTGACAACTGATACGAGGGAGATGCAGATGTTTCACCCTTCCACCACTCTGTCAACTGTGAACGCGAGGTTGTCAAGGGATGGAGTTGCAAGCAACGACGACGAGTTTTCGAGGAGCAAAAAAGTGCCTGGGGCCTAAACCCTGCGAGGTCGCCCAAAGCGGCAAATCACGTGATGCCTCACCGCGCCAAGGCCCTAAGGCCATGCACGAGCCACATGCAGCCCAACTGGAACAAATGTAAACAAACAGGGTTCATCCAGCAACAATCCGATTATGATGGCAGCCCAGTCGTGTCGCGCCGGTCTGCCTGGTAAAAGCCTGTTTGTGAATTCTACACTGAGGTCCATGTTATGATGATATGAGCTTTTTTGCATTGTGTTATTTTCTGATGGTGCTTCTTTTGTTGCTTTAATTGTTTCCAATCACCTATCACCGTTACCACCTATACTAACCTACACCCACCGCATAGTCATTGATTGCTGTGTTAGCAGGATATCAAAGGAAGTCTGCTTCAAAGCGCGCCCATGCACCAATAATCTACTTCTAGTTTCATAGATACCATGAGCTCCCCTTCGATAAGCGTGGCACAGCGGCGTAAAAATCCATTTGGTCGAAATTCCCTTTCTCCTTCCCCGGCACCACGAGAAACTGCTGCAATGAGATCTGGCAGGCCCAAATCCGTTGCGTTTGCGTCACCGGCTCAAATGCATCCTGCAGGCCATACCCGGACGTCATCCTTCGCCCCGTTGAACTCGAGCACGTTTGCAGGTTCCCTTGATAGGCGGCGGTCCAACTCCGTGCGAAACAACACTCCAGCGTCGGGTACTTTTGCACCAGAGTTTATCAGATCTGAAGAGCTGCGAAGAGGCGCAGATCAGATACGAGGCCAAGAAGGAGATAATGACTTCTCCGGGAAGAGATATGTCTGGCTTAAAGATCGCGAAAAGGCATTTATCCGTGGTCTCGTCCTCGAGGAGATGGAAGACGGCTTGTTGATTGTTCAATGCGACGATGGCAGCGTGAGTCCAGCTCGCCATGTACCCGGTCCACCACTGACATTTGAGCTGCCAGCAACGCCAAATAAATGTCGAGAACGTCGACAAAGTTAACCCTGCAAAATTCGACAAGGCAGATGACATGGCCGAGCTGACACACCTCAACGAAGCTTCCGTTGTCCACAATTTGCAAACCAGATATCAATCAGACTTAATATATGTATGGGATATGTTTCATATGCCCTGAAGCGTAACTTACTAACGTACTGCAGACATACTCCGGACTATTCTTGGTCACGGTTAATCCCTACTGCCCGTTGCCGATCTATTCGAATGAGTATATCAAACTGTACAAGGGCCAAAGCCGGGAGGAAACAAAACCACATATATTTGCGATGGCCGACGAGGCTTTTCGCAATCTCGTGGACGAGGGAGAAAATCAAAGCATTCTTGTGACGTAAGGCATATTTCTGTGTCTCTTTCTAAAAGGCGTCTAGCTTATGTTGATTTAGGGGAGAGTCCGGGGCTGGTAAAACAGAGAATACCAAAAAGGTTATTCAATACCTTGCAGCAGTTGCCGCAGCGGACTCGAAGACGGGTCCAAAGCAACTCTCCAACCTTTCACAGCAGATACTAAAAGCCAATCCAATTCTCGAAGCTTTTGGCAATGCTCAGACAGTGAGGAATAATAATTCTTCACGCTTTGGAAAATTTATTCGTATCGAATTCACCAGCTCTGGTCAAATATCGGGGGCGTTCATAGACTGGTACCTCCTCGAAAAGTCTCGGGTTGTAAAGGCGAACTCTCAAGAACGCAGCTACCATATATTTTATCAGCTCTTGCGAGGTGCAGATCCGAGAATAAAGGAGCTTCTTCATCTCAACGACATGGACACCGATGACTTTGCATATATGCGAAACGGAAACGACTCAATTGCCGGAGTATCAGACGCCGACGAATGGAACACGTTGATGGAGGCCTTTGACGTAATGCATTTCTCGGAGAGTGATCAACTGGCTATATTACGCACTATTGCGGCGGTTATGCACTTGGGAAATATCGTCGTGGGTAAAGAAAGTTCGCGTTCAGACCAGGCTAAACTTCTGCCAGACTCCTATCCAAGCGTGCAGTATGCCTGCGACCTACTTGGTATACATGTCGAGCCGTTCGTAAAAGGATTGCTCCATCCCCGAGTCAAAGCTGGCCGTGAGTGGGTGGAAAAGGTGCAGACACCCGAGCAAGTTCGTTTTGCCCTCGACGCCTTAGCAAAAGGTATTTATGAACGGGGCTTTGGTGACCTTGTTACGCGAATAAACAACCAATTAGACCAGAGTGGAATTGGCGGAGATGATAGCTGTTTTATTGGGGTTCTTGATATTGCTGGCTTCGAGATTTTTGAAAACAACAGTTTTGAGCAGCTTTGCATCAACTACACCAACGAGAAGTTGCAACAATTTTTCAATCACCATATGTTCGTTCTCGAACAGGAGGAGTATGCTAGGGAACAGATCGAATGGCAATTCATAGATTTTGGGAAGGACCTCCAGCCTACCATTGATCTAATTGAATTATCCAACCCAATCGGTATATTTTCCTGCCTTGACGAAGACTCTGTGATGCCCAAAGCCACAGACAGATCATTCACTGAGAAATTACATTCACTATGGGATCGCAAGTCACCAAAATATCGATCTTCACGACTAAGCCAGGGGTTCATCCTTACTCACTATGCGGCGGAGGTTGAGTATAAGACCGAAAACTGGCTTGAGAAGAACAAGGATCCTCTTAATGATAACGTGACGCGGCTCCTGTCCACTTCAAACGACACTCATATTGCAAATTTATTCTCCGACTGTGCTGATGGCGACGATATGCGGAGTATATCGAAGAGCTGCGTGAAAAAGGGGCTGTTTCGCACCGTTGCACAGAGGCACAAGGAGCAGCTATCGGATTTGATGACCCAGCTTAATTCCACCCATCCTCATTTTGTTCGTTGCATTTTGCCGAACCACAAGAAAAAGCCGAAATTGTTCAACAATGTTCTTGTTCTCGACCAACTTCGATGCAATGGTGTGCTCGAAGGGATTAGAATCGCCCGCACCGGCTTTCCTAACCGCTTGCCGTTCGCCGAATTCAGGCATCGCTACGAGGTCCTATGCCGTGGGATGCCTAAAGGTATTCTGGATGGTCAAGAAGCCGTACATATGATGGTCGATAAACTGGGAGTCGAGAAAGCCCTGTACAGAATTGGTCGGACAAAAATTTTCTTTAGAGCAGGGGTGTTGGCCGAGTTAGAAGAACAGAGAGACACGTTGATACGAGAAATTATGACGAGATTCCAGTCGATCGCTCGTGGGTATGTACAGCGACATCTCATTAACAAACGACTCTATCGGGCGGAAGCATCTCGTATCATCCAGCGAAATTTCCACCTCTACTTAAATCTCAAGTCTTCCCCGTGGTGGACTCTTTTCATGAACATGAAGCCGTTGTTGGGTGAAACTCGCAGTGCGAGTGAGGTTAAGAAAAGGGACGAGAAAATCCAGCAGCTTGAGGCAAAGGTCAAACAAGATTCCGCCGACAGACAGAAGTTAGAAGAAGATAGACGGCGAGCAGACGCTGAAATGCAACGTATCAAGAAAATGTTAGAGAGTGAACGGGCCCTGGCCTTGGATAAGGAGGAGATCTTTAAACGGCTCCAATTGCGTGAGGTTGAGCTTACCGAGAAGTTGGCGGGAGCCATTGCGGACCAGGAAAGCTTAGAGGATCAAGTTGACGAGCTTATCGCTGCAAAGAAGAAAACAGAAGAAGAGTTGGATTTGAGAAGATCACAACTTGATCAAGCAGCACAGTTGATGGGACGGCTTGAGAAGGAAAAGAAAGAACTCCATGGTCGCATTTCCGAGCTCGACGATGAGCTTAAAGCCGTAGAAACCACTCATCAGCAGCGGGATAGCGAAATACACAAGTTGAACCAAGAGATCAAGGTGCTCAATAGCCATTTGAGCTTGAAGGAACGGAAGCTACAGGACTTAGAGGCTAAAGTGCTAAAGTCTGGACAAGACCTAGATATCAAGTTGGCGAACACAACCAAAGAGTTGCAACTTTCACAAAGCCAGGTTAAGGGGCTCCAAGAGGAGAACCGCGAGTTCCAGAAACAGATGAACACCCTATCATCGACATCTACAGACTTCGAACAGTTGGTCCGTAAGAAAGAAAGCGAGTTATCCATGCTTCGCATCGACATGAAGAAGTATGAAGCGGACAAAAAGAGCCTTGAGTCGGAGAGAGACAGCCTCTCGGCCCGACATGGTGATATGCAGCGCAGAATCCATGAATTGCAGGCACAAATAGATGCCATGAAATCAGAGAACGCCAACTTAGAGCGGGAAGCTGCGGATGCAAAGAAACTGCTTGAAGCTAGAATCTCCGAAGACGCTCAATCGGGGCAAACAAGAAAGATGCTTGAGCAACAAGTTAAGGACCTGAAAACTCAGCTGTACCAAGTGCAATCTGAACTTAGTCGCGAAAGACAATCAAGAGACGACGTTCAAATGCTTGGGGAGCATAAGTATGCCCAGCTCAAACAGGAATACGATACGCTCAATGAGTCCAAGATAACTATTGAGAAAGAAATGTATATCCAGCAAGATGCGCTGAGAAGGGCAAAGGAAGCACGAGCCGCGGCGGAAGAAGCTCGAAAGGAATTGCAATCGGAAATAGTCAAGCTGAGAGAACGGATCACAAGGGCGGAAAGTGCACGATTGGATGCCGAAACAGCTGCAGAAAAGAAGTTGATGGAACAAGCAAACGATCGTGTAGCCAGTCTACGAAAGGAGCTCGACGCAAAGGTCAGAAAACTCGAAGAAACGGAGGCCGAACGTGCACGACTAGCCAGTCAAGTCCAAAACCTCAGCCAGATAATATCAGAGAGAGAGGACTTCAAAGTTCGAAACGACCAACACAAGGAGCGCCTAGAACGGGAACTGGTCACTGTTAAAGGCAGACTCGTTGCATCAGAGAATGACAACCGGGCTCTTCTCAACAAAATTCAACAGAAGAACCTCGACATTGCGCGATCCAATTCTAGGGCAAGTGACGCACAAAGAACGAGACTAGCACAGGTTCAGGCCGAAAAGTCTCGCCTCGAAGAAGCGAACAAGCAACTCTCTCGGCAAGTGGGTGACTGCCAGCTGACTATAACATCTCTGGAGAAGCAAAAGGAGAAGCTTGCGCTTAGTCTGGAGGATTTGAACCACGAGGTTGCTCGGGAGCATAAGGCTAGTCGGAATGCAGAGAAAGCCGCCAGCACGGCAAATATTCAGCTGGCAGAGGCTCACCGGAACCTCGAAACTGAGCGACAACTTAAGACACAGGCCCAAGCCAACACTCGAAAACTTCAGGATTCTCTCGACCAAGCCCATAAAGAGATACAAGACTGCCATCAGCAGCTAATTCTACTTCATAAAGTTTTCAATCCTGAAGTTACAGAGGTACCAGCCTCGTGGGAAGCTGTGAAACCGGATCTATCTAAACAGGTTGAGATCGCGGCAATTCTGGAATCCGTTCAGGAGAATCTTCGGGTCAGTGAAGAAAAGCGCGCAAGGGCTGAGAGCCAGCTGGCCGAAATGCGTCGTCGCCATGCGGATGAGGTTGCAGAAATTGATGCACGACATTGCTCTTCGAAGCGTGCACTTTTAGAAGAGATTGACCAGAACCAAGTGGCTAACACGAGATCCCCCGGCCATTTCCGCAAGAGCTCAGAGCAATTCAAGCGCTATTCAAATCCTTCCACTCCCAACCGTCGATTCATGGAAGTTGCTGGTGACTCTGGTCGTTCTGATCGGACAGTCGATACAGTATCTTTCCAGAAGCGGATGGACCTTGCGGCTGAAGTAGAAATGCTGCAGAATCAGCTCCAGATGTCTGAGATGCAAAATCGTCATCTCCAAAGTCAACTTGAGCGGGTGAATCCTGCTCGTGATATGTGGCAGGATGAGAGCCCTTCGGTTCGACGAATGAAAATGCTTGAGAAAGAAAATGGTCGCCTGCATGAGAAACTCGACGATTCCGCCAAAAAGGTCTCTGCTTTGGAACGAACTATCCAATCAGGAGAGCTCACGCTTCGTGATGTGCAAGCCAAATCTCACGAAGAACTTTATGAGCTTCTTAACTCGCAGGAGCAATCAAGAAAATCGCTGCTACAGGTTCATAAGTCCACCCTAACCGACTTGGCCGAGGCGAAATCTCAGTTTGAGAGACTCATGCATGCGAGATCTAGCCTGGAGGTGGAATTGAGAGACGTTGCTTCTGAGCTGCACGAGTTGCATCTCGCTAGAGAACAAGATGCTGCTAGCCGTAGCCAGTTACTACAGGAATTTTCTGACCTCCAGATTCGTCTCGATGCCGAGGGTTCTAAGGTCGTAGACTTGACATCCAGCTTGAGTTTGTACAAGAGCCGGGCCGATGAGTATTTCAACAAGCTGGAACAAGCCGAGCTCGCTGTCCTCAAAGCTAGTCGAGCGGAGCAGTTTGCAAAGTCGCAAGCAAAAGAGGCCGAGGACACCTGTGCCACGATCATGGCGGAACGTAAGGAAATGGACAGTCTTGTGGAGGATCTGCAACGGCAGGCACAATTGTTCGAGGAGAAGGTTGAGGATCTCTCTGCGGACCTTGATGCAGCGCTCCAGGCTAAGAGACGGCTTCAAAATGAGTTGGAGGATTATCGCAGTCAGCGAGCAATAGATATCGAGGACAAAGAAGCCTCCATGGAGCAAACTCGAAAGAAATATCAAATGGAGTTTTCAACGATCACGAACGAACTGGAAATTGAACGGGAAAACGTTCTTCATATCCGTGGCGAGAACGCCAGGCTTCGCGAAGAATTGGAAGACCTGCGATCGAAATGGGACGATGAGGTTCTCAACAGTTCAACATGGGCCAAAGAAAAGTCCCGACTGGAGATGACGTTGCAAGACGTGTCTAACTCCCGGGATGATGCCGTCCGCGCCCACACCGACGCTCAGAGTAAAGTGGTGTCTCTCCTTTCGCAGGTGCGAAACCTTCGGACTTCTGTTGACGAGGCCACCGCGGAGCGAGACCAGGTTATCAAGGAGAAGAGAAGCCTTGAGGGACGCCTTGCCGAAGCGGCGGAGAGGTTGGAAGACCTGGCTAAGGGCGAGAGTCCGGCCATGCGGAACGCGGCCGAGATGGATCGTGAATTACTTGATTTGAAGACAAAATTAGCGCAGCAAGAAGATGTTGCGACTGCGGCGGTAGGTAAAATGAGAAGAGCAGAGGCGATGGTGACGGAGATTCAGAAGGAGATTGTGGCGGAGCGAGAGTCAACCGCCCAGCTGTTTAAAGACAAAGCTGCAGTGGAGAAGCAGCTCAAGGAGGCCCAACTGCGCTGTATTGACCTGGAGACGAAGGGCTACTCCTCGGCCAGCCAAGACGTAAGGTTCTTGTACAAACGAATCCAGGAGGTAGGTGATTTTTGCAGTCTCTGAAAAACCCCCATGCCTTTTTCCTTTTCTTTTTCTTTTTTTCCTTTTTTTTTTTTTTTTTTTTTTTTTTTTTTTTTTTTTTGGGAAGATGAATATGTGCTAATACAAGTTTGTTATTTTTTTTTTTAGCTCGAAGCACAGCTTGATGACCATGAATCAAAGCGGAATGCCGAACAGCGCTCAGTCCGCAATGTCGACCGCACCGTTAAAGATCTTCAATCTCAGATCGAACGTCGCGAAAAGTTGAACGCGCAGCTGATGGAGGACATCTCCAAGTCGCGGGACAAGATCGAACGACTGCTGCAGACAATTGACGAGCTGCAGACGAGCGAATCCCAAAACCAGCTGCAGGCACGCCGTGCAGAACGTGAACTGCGGGAAGAAAAGGAGAAGTCCCTCCGACTGGAGAGGGAGCTGGAGGGATGGAAGTCCTTACGTATAGAGAGGGGAAGCGCCATGGCACGCAGCGGCACATTTACTGGATTGAGCGACATCGGCATCGGAGAACGATTTGGGAGTCGTAGAGGCAGTGGGGTATTTGTGGGGTCCAGCACAAATAGCGCCATCGAGGTTCCCCAGAGAAAGGCGAGTAATACGAAGGGTTTCTTGTAGGTGTCTTTGGCTTTTGTTCGGGGAATGCCTGCAACGAGTTGCATCATGTAACATCATTTTTTTGTTTGTTTTTTCCTTTACGGGCGGTTACGTTACGTAGCTTTGCATGTTATGTTATGATAATGATGAAATAATGCTCATGAGCCACCGCTAAACGGGCTTTTAATTCACATTGCCTCTCTCTCTCTCTCTCTCTCTTATATATAAATATATATTGTCTATCACTCTACGGAGTTACGGAGTACAGGAGATATGTACATCTCTATTAGTAATTCTGCGGCTCAGGGCGTATTTCCAGATCGGGCCTAGTTCCATTACATAATTCATTTTTATTGCTGATCTTTACCGCCCTCCAGTTGACCAATCAGAGGCAGACATGATGACGCCATTGTAACCTCAGCTTTTCACACGGCCAATCAGCAACTCCCAGACCGCAACCGGCGGGCGTTGCGGCAGCCAGGCCGGTGGGGGGAATTGCAAGGGACTGAACATTTTTGCAGGATCGTCGCAATCATGCCGGCAAAGGCGCGATGCTAACGACCACGTCTCAGGTGGAGAGAGCCGAGCAGGTTGCATGAGCTAGCACGACACAGAGAAAACGGTCTTTTCTCTCTCGCCATGCCCTGAAGTGACAGCTCTCGTTTATCCGGTCCCCGTCCGTCAGGTACCACAAACTCGTGCCTGGAGAAAACTGAGCTGCAAGACGTAAAAGAGGCAGAAGCTCGGTTCTTCTTTCTTTCTTTTTTTCTTTTTATTTTCTATATATATCTCCTTTGCAGGATGAGGGCAGCAACGCGGAGAGCTGCCTTGAGGCCTTCAGCAGCTGCATGGTCTCGCAATCTCGAGTTCCACGGACAAGCTTCGAGGTTTTGGGGTCCAGCCCCGGTGCTGGCATCTGCGTCTACCTCTTCGACCCATCTAGGCAGACGGTCAATACAGTCTCATCAGCCAAACAGGGCGGCGCAAGCCATCGCCGCCTCCCGAGAACCTTCCGAGCAGCGAACGTACGATTCCTCGAACCCGGCCCTGTCGTTTCCATGCTTAGATGCGTTGGAGGCGAAATCTGCTCTCTTATCCGCGAGATCCCTCTCTTCAGGACCAGAACCCTCATACACAACAGGTCACCATGAACAGTTCCGTTCGCGGGAGCCCTTGCTGCTGGACTGGGGCGGCGTGCTTCCGGAGTTCGAGATCGCGTACGAGACATGGGGGACGCTGAACTCGCAGAGGAGCAATGCCATACTCCTGCACACTGGTCTATCGGCATCGAGTCATGCACATAGCACCAAGGCGAACCCAAAGCCCGGTTGGTGGGAGAAATTCATCGGTCCCGGGGCGCCGTTGGACACGAATAAATATTTCGTCATCTGCACAAATGTGATCGGCGGCTGCTTTGGTAGCACAGGACCCTCGTCGATCGACCCGTCGGATGGCAAGCGCTACGCCACGAGGTTCCCTATCCTCACGTTGGATGACATGGTTCGGGCGCAGTTCCGATTGCTGGATTCCCTGGGTGTCTCCAAACTATACGCTTCGGTGGGGTGCAGTATGGGCGGAATGCAGAGTCTAGCGGCAGGAGTCTTGTTCCCGGAACGAGTGGGTAGAATCGTCAGCATCAGCGGCTGCGCTCGGAGCCATCCTTACAGCATCGCTATGCGACACACGCAGCGCCAGGTCCTCATGATGGATCCCAACTGGGCTCGCGGCTTCTACTACGATTCCATCCCCCCTCATTCAGGCATGAAGCTGGCGCGCGAAATCGCCACGGTAACCTACCGCAGCGGGCCGGAGTGGGAAAAACGGTTTGGCAGGGCACGCGCCGACCCAAGCAAGCAACCCGCCCTCTGCCCAGACTTTCTCATCGAAACCTACCTAGACCACGCTGGCGAAAAGTTCTCTCTAGATTACGATCCAAACAGCCTTCTGTACGTCTCCAAGGCGATGGATCTGTTTGATCTCAGCCGCTCCCAGCAGCAAGCGACCCGTCAGCGGCGGGTGAAAAATGAGGAGAGAATCTCCTCAAGCTCGCGGCCGCCTCACAACGATCCATCATGCAGTCTTACGCTCCCCGCGAAACCCTACGAAGAGCAACCCGCCGAGCTAAGCGACCTCGCGTCAGCAGACTCTGCCTCTTCCCCTTCGTCTTCCTTTCAGCTTTTTCAGCCCCCTCCGGACCTAGTCGCTGGTTTGACGCCGCTGAAGGACCATCCCATCTTAGTTATGGGCGTGGCAAGCGATATCCTTTTCCCGGCGTGGCAGCAGCGGGAGATTGCAGATTCGCTCCGAGCGGCAGGGAGCGAGAAAGTCAAGCACGTGGAGTTGGGGGAGGACGTATCGTTGTTCGGCCACGACACATTCTTGCTTGATCTGAAAAATATTGGGGGTCCGATACAACAATTCTTGCAGTGAAGTGTGATCAATAGATATCTTGGCCACATTCCACCTTCTTGCCTATAAATAGCGAATTTTTTTTTTTTTTTTTTTTTTTTTTTGCTTTGCATTGGCTAGCGAGATGTTTCTATACCATTTGTATCTCTCTTTCTTTTCCTTTTCTTTTCTTTTTTTTTAACTTGAACATTTTTTGGGAACGATTTCATGAATATATATATGTATTGGACATATTTTTCTAAGTTCATAGTTGGGCAGAGGATGAATATAATGTCGACTTTTACATTATATAACCATCGCACGAGGAGCATGACAAGACAAAAAAAGATCAGGGCTGAATGACCGAACGCAACAGTTGGGGGGGGGGGGGGGGGGAAATACACCAAAACCCGAAGCCCTCAGATTAGCTCTCTCCGGTTCTCATCGATTTCCATGCAATTTTCAAAGGGCACGAGATTAGGTATCCCACAACTCGTCTTATTCTTCCATTGGAATGACAGGAATAATTTATACCGTCCATATACGGACGATATGGCTCTCCGAGTTGGGGGTATGAAAACCTTATCTCTCCCTTGAACGTATCAAGTCATCCTATTCGGATGCAATTGCCGGATATCATGCAACTTTGGCTTTAGACACAGGGGTCATCACCGGGCGAGGGGTTGGGTGGGTGTATGTCTAAGTTGGGGAAGCTGTAATTTCTAAAGTAAAGAAGATACTGAAAAAAGAAGAAAAGCAGCAAAAGCAGCAGCAGGAAGAATATGCAGTGTTGTGAGACAAAGGCCACCTATTAAATGTTCTTGTTGTCAGCTCAAATTAAATGGTTATGGAGCCCATGCCACAGAACTCCCGGACGACTTGTTGTAAGCAAATATTCTTTCATCATAGACAAGAGGGTAAATCTAGCACGGTTCTAAATAATGTACTATTTCATTTATGCATGCCATTAGCCAGATATCATTTAAAAAGAGGAATGATTGGGGGTTTGAAAGGTTCGAAAATCAAAACATCAGATTGAAAACTACAATCGAATCTTTCGTCAGTGGCATGCTACAACGCCGTTCCCTTTTGCAGGATACATGCGGAGCATAGGGCAGTTATATATACCCATTCCTCGGTATTATTTGTGTAGTCATCATTGGATCAAGGGGTGGGATCAGAAAGCGGCAAAGAGTCTCTTCAAGGTACTCACCAGAGAATCAGAGTAGTGAGTGGTCCTAGTCGATCAATGGAGATGTATAAATTCTCAGCCCCGTGCACAATGTAAACAGTTTGAGTACGAAAGTTGGCGAAAACTTCCGTGCCAGCATTCACGTATGCTCATACATTGTATGTACATACTACATGCATATATCCATACAGTGATGTAAAGACCGCTGCCTGAGCGCGGGCTAAAGACCGCAAGAATGAAGGGATAGGAGACACGTCTCTAAGATCTCTGTTCATTTGCCAATCACCGATGCCCTCGTAGATTTGTGTCTGGGCCGGTTCTTCCGCCTGGCGCTCGATGGCCGGGGATGAACTCGACCCTCAGGGCAGCTCATGGAAGCTCAGTGAGTGTTATCATCATTGAGACGCGTGTCATTGAAAGGTTGTTCCCAGTTAACTACTAAAGATGTCAGTTAGTGGTGGAAAGCTGGCATCAAGAATGATAAGCTGTTCCTCACTTACCTCTTGGGCTGTCAAACACGCATCAACACCCAACCGCGAGTACGCAGCGAGCGGCGAGAAAGAATGCATCGACGCCCAGTGCTGAGCGCTATTCCAGAACAGGAAAGGTTGCGTAGGGCGAGCGGCATTATCTCATCGCCGCAGTGAAGCTGTCCAGCACAGCAACAGATCTCAGCTCAATTGGCTGGGTATTTTTTTGGCAAACACATTTATAAAGGTTGGGGAACTTGCAAGTCACTCTCAAAATGGCTAAACAAGCAACTGTTCTCCGAAATGGAGCCCCCTTTTGGTAGGTCTCGGCGCTCCAATGACAGGAACCGAATCTGCGGACACACACTTTTTGATCCGGGGTTCGCTCATGATACTGACGACAACAACTTTCAAACCGACTGGAGATCGAATCTACTCTTAACAATGTCTTCTTGGATTCAGCGGCAAACCAACTCGCAATATGCGCAACTGGCAGGAGCGGCGTTACTCTCAGGAACTGCCGTCGCCGGTGCTATTCTTGGATATCAAGCTATTAAGCGAAAAGCGGCGGTCGAGGAGCTGAAGAAATCAATACCCGGACTCGATGATAGTAATCGTGCACTAAAGGTTGGCGAGACATTCCTATTCTCCTCGATTTTTCGTTTCCCTGTCTCTATTTTTAATATCTCAGACCAGCTGACCGACGAAAGTGAAGCTCTCAGAATTTGGCGTCGCACCGCCTCCAAGTGCACAGCAACGTAAAGAGGATGAACACAGAGCCGCCATCGCACGCAGGGCGCAGGATGGATATTATGACGAAGGTATGGCGCTAAGATATTGCTGGCCATCGTATTACGTGTCCTAACAGTTATCTTCAATAGAACTTATCCTCGAACAACTCGCCCGAAACCGAGTATTCTTAACTGATAAGGGTCTAGAAAAGTTACGCTCCTCCTTTATAATAGTCGTCGGATGTGGTGGTGTTGGTTCCCATGCCTCCGCGGCTCTGGCCCGGTCTGGAGTCGGAAGGATCAGGCTTATCGACTTCGATCAAGTAACATTGTCTTCATTGAACCGACATGCCGTTGCGACTCTTGCGGATGTGGGGATGCCAAAAGTTCGTTGTTTACAGAAAAGACTGGAACAGATCGCTCCGTGGGTACGATTTGACCCGCAAAATACTCTCTTCGCTGCATCTGCCGCCGACCAACTCTTGGGTCCTTGGTCAATGCCTGGGGACGATAACACGTCTAAGCCCGATTTTGTGTTGGATTGCATTGACAATATCTCGTCAAAAGTCGACCTGCTACGCTATTGCCATTCTCAAGGCATCCCCGTTATATCCTCTATGGGTGCCGGATGTAAATCCGACCCAACGCGAATTCTGGTTGGTGACATATCCACCAGTCTTGAAGACCCTTTATCACGCAGCACCCGTCGCCGGTTAAAAGCTCTGGGAGTAACCAGCGGTATACCAGTGGTCTATTCTACTGAAAAGCCGGGCCCAGGCAAAGCGGCATTATTACCTTTGCCCGAGGAAGAATTTACAAAGGGCGAAGTGGGCGAGCTAAGCGTTTTACCTGATTTTCGTGTGCGCATACTCCCAGTTCTGGGTACGATGCCGGCAGTTTTCGGATACACGTTGGCCAACCATGTCATCTGCGATATTGCTGGCTACCCGAACGATTACAACTCCGGCATTAAAGGCAGAGAGAAGCTATATGATTCCGTCCTTGGAGCACTTCAAGGAACGGAAGAGAGACTAGCGAAGCATGACAATAAAGACCCAGTGGGGTTGAGAATACCGATTACCAAAGACGATGTTGGCTATCTTCTCGAAGAGGTTTGGAGAGGGAAAAGCGTGGTCAGTGGCCTTACTACCCGGCTGGCCCTAGTGCGATGGGAAAGGCCAGGAGAAGGCTTTGGTGCTGATCCCAAGTGGGATCAACATGGCCAAAAGGGAGTAAAGATGCGTCTCCGTGACCTAGTGTGTATGACCAAGGAGGAAGCGCAGCGACATGAGCGAGAGGTGCTCAAAGGCGGGAAAAAGCCAGCAGAACTCTATGACGAGAGTGTGTTGATTAAGGTGCAACAAAGGATGCGTGAGGAGGAAGAATTTGAGAGGTATAGATAGTCAAGACGCAAATGTCAAAAATCCAAAGTGTACAAGTTTCCCATGGTGATAATCGATGTTCAACCCGATCTATCGAGCTAAAGTTCTGGTGTCTGATTATGTCAATACCGGAGTGACAACTCGTCCATATACGGAGTAACCCTCTCCTCCTCCGGGCTACAAATCAAAGCTCATGATTACTCCGTAGTCAGTTGGTGAATGCTTTTGCTGGCTAGACGCAGGCCGGTAGGCTGTGCTCAGGCGTAACCAACTAGCTGAGCTCCAGCCGCACCATAAATTATTTAGTCAACGCGATTCGGATCAATGAATCAGCCAAATACTCATCAAGGCATGCTTTGTATTGTTTGAGAAATTGTTTTTTTAGCAACACTGCAAGCTTCAACCCGAGTTTCGTTTTCACTAACAATCCCATTGACCAGTCGGATTATTATCCAGGCATTTGAGCGAGCAGTTATTCGGGCTGTCGAATGGTTTTGGGCGCCTGGCTTGCCATAAAATAACCACTAACCAGTTCAGTAACTATTACATTCACTAGCTGATAAACTCTTCATCCACCCATGGGTCATGGCGCCGAGAATCCAGACTCTATCGTCAGCGAGCTCACGATATTCCCGCAGCCACATCCTTCCCCAGAGAATGCCATCGCACGCACCGACTGACGCTCGCATGGTTCGCCCTGTCAACCAGTCCAGGCAGCCACTCCTCAATCTAGCCAGCAATGTCTGGTTCAACAAACCCTTAGACCACAACAAACCATCCATGAGCGGCTCCAACTTGATTCTTGCCCTCATCACAGCCCCGCGCTTCCGGCGCTACCTCATCGTTTACCTGGTGCTTTGTTGTATCTGTGGACTTGGCTGGGTTGGGATTGCTTCGCCCAGGCTAAAGGAGCACAAGGAGGTACTCAGGGCGCTGGACGTGAACAACAGACAGCGGGTAGGCGGATGGTTCGGGTCGAATTCATTGCCGAAATTCACAGATTTGGTGCACTTGGAGGCTTTGGACGAGAGGCTATTACCGTCGGCGAGACAGGGTGGGAACGGCGGAGCACTGACGGAGCAGAGAAGGTTGATTTTTGTGGGCGATGTACACGGGTGTAAAGATGAGTGTATGCGAACTTTCTCTCACTATAATAGCAGATTTGATCTGAATAAGAATCTTGCAACGGTTCAATTTTCTAATTCCGTTTCTTTCTTTCAGTGGATAGCCTCCTCGACAAGGCCTCCTTCAATCGTCAAACCGACCATCTAATCTTCACCGGTAACATTATAACAAATGGCCCGAAGAGCGTCGAAACCGTCCAACTTGCTCGCAAATACAACGCCTCGTGCGTGCGTGGGAACAATGAAGACCGCATCCTACTTTACCGCCACGAACTCCTGACCACAGGCGTTCTTACAGGCCCCAATCCCAGGCCCAACGCCAAATTTGAGTCTGGAGGTAGCGCGTTTGAAGCCGGTAAAACTAAACCTCCCGAAGGAGACCAAGAGATCCTTCCGTACGGAGATTACAAAGAGCACGTTCTAGCACAGAAGCTAAGTGATGATGACGCAGCGTGGTTACACAAATGCCCTGTAATACTCAAGGTGGGACAAATTAACGACTTGGGGGAAGTCGTCGTAGTACATGGCGGCCTTGTGCCCGGCGTCGAGCTGGAAAATCAGGATCCGTTAGCTGTGATGACGATGCGGACTTTGGACGTGGATACGCATGTCCCTAGTCCAAGGGCAAAAGGCATGGATTGGGCAAAAGTGAGAGCCCCTGAGATTTTTCTTTTTATCCCCTCATGAAGCTGAATGGTGACTAGATCTTTAACAAACAACAATCTCTCACTGTTTCCACCTCCAAAAATCCCCCCAGCTCTCAGCTAACAACTGTAATATACGGTCACACACCTCACCGTTCGCCGGCAATCCGAAGGTTTACAAAGGGCCTCGACACCGGATGCGTGAGGGGCGGGAAACTCACTGCTCTCATCATCACTGAAGGGGGTACGACGAGGATTGAGCAAGTGAGATGCAAAAATTACGTTTCAAAGCGAAGATAAACGATTAACGCGGTGATGACAAATTGGGATATACATATATATTTAATTCAATATCTTGTACATTGAGGATATTTGGGGCTAGGCAGGGTAAGCTCCCCGGGTTTTAATCTTGGTTTATACTTTTCTTTTTTTTTGGATCATTGGGAAATTGAAACTATTGTGGCATTGAAGCGCTCTTGTTGGTTGACTCCCAAAACAAGGGGCAGGAATTTTGTTCAAGTGATGGTTGAAAAGCATATCAAGAGGAAAAATAGCACTGAAATGGACCACGTGGATATGTGTCACTTCCTAATTACATATTCATTGAAAATCTCGACTCGAAATAAATAAGCAAGGGTATTCTCGAGTGAAAGGTGGGATCTTGATATTAACATTGCAAGGAGATGCACTTCGAAAATAGAGAGACGACTAGCATTTATCAATCAAAGTGTTGCCCAGTGATGGGAAATTGTGAGGAATTTCATCATTCATAAAGCTCTCTATACCCGGCATATCGTAAGTGAATATCGGGTGAAACACAAGCTATAAAAAGGAAAGGAGAGACGGCCTCTTCATGTCTTCTGAAGATCAGAACGCTGAGCAGCTTAAACATTGTGACGGCCAGGCCATCGACGATGACGACGACCACTATAGCAAAAGAGTTAGGCTCCGGCTACTTCAAGTTGAAATAGTGAGACATACTATACAGCATCCCCAGCAACGGGGCGCGCATGCCGACCATGGACGCGGAAAGTGAACCAAATACCCTATTGAAAAGCAGTCAGCTATCATTCTGGAGCGCCGTGTGTATGGGTTGTCGTATCCCAAAATTCACATACCACAACCGTGGAGACCAGCCAGAAAATCGCAGAGAGGAAGCTAAACGCCTCAGAAGCCTTCCATCTAGAACAGGTAGTGCCCCCGGTGATATTGCCCCATTCGAACACCCCGCCGCAATCCAGGTCGTTGAGAGCGTTGACTAGGAGTCCAAACGCAGCAAACCATGCAAACGACAGGACCAGATCAGCTAATATCGCGTCAGCCCTGGAGCCGCATATATGAGAGGGAGACCTAAATACATACTCGGCCACATGAAGAACGAGCCTGAGAAAGGCAGCAGCCACAGCAGAGCCAGAAGAATGGAGACGCCGGCCACAACTTCGGTATAGATCCAACGTGCCTGTGGCCAGACATCGGTGCCGTCAAAGTCATGCAGATAAGATCCTATAATACCAGCAACGACCTATCAAAATGTATGAGCGACCAGCAGGTTCCGCCTCCAATAGGTCGGAGATAAACGTACTGCTCCGAAGCCTATCTCCCCAATCCGGAGAAAGACAGAAACAACACGAGATAGAAATGGCATATTCAACCAAAGCCCTCAAAGGGAGGTTGGGTTGTCAAATGACAATCAGTTAACTATCACTCTGTTTTTAGGTGTATATCGCCCGTCCTGATCGCTTGTGCCAAGTGAGCTTTCCGCAGCGAGACAAAGGACGATGGAACAGGCTGATGCGACTACACACTGAGCTTAATATTCTTTTTAGAATACTCAATAAAGTAATTTCCAGAAGTACGAATGGTAATGAGATCAAACAAAACGCTCGTTTGGGATAGTTTGAAGCAATCGAAATACGAGGAAACAAATGGCCGGGAACCGACCTTTTAACTTGACTTTATAACATCAGATCATCGTAAGCTCTCTCATCAAGAGAGGCCCGGAAATGGACAAGATATTCAAGCGAAGCAACCTGGGATGACGCATCAGGCGCATCCGTTTTGACGCCGCGTTCCATTTACCTTTTCTTGTCCTGCTGGCCCCACCAATAGGGCTGTCAGGAGTCACGATAGCTTGATAATTCGGAGCAATCAGGGCCATTGTGGGCTTGATCGTCAGTCTTGACAACGCAACGAGCCCAGAGGAAGGGATCCATGTGGCAACAAAGTAAACTCCAAAGGACGGCGGGAAGTTCTGAGACAGGGATCACAAGCTCTTGGAGTGTGATGGAGAAATATGTATAAGAAGCCGTCTGGAGCACTGCTCCGTATCCATCCATTCGGGAAGATAATGATTAAGCTATCGGAAATCCGCGCAGCTGAAGATGAATATTATTAGTTACTTCATAGCAGATGCACCGTCGACAACCCGACTGTTGACCGTCCATCCCGGCACTCCGCACGAAGCTGCACATTTCCTCCTCGTTTCATCCCCGTTGAACACCAAGCCACACTCGAGACGAAATGCTCACATGACTGTACACGGTATGGACGTCATCCGTGGCTTGAGCCGGCCGACGATATTCCGCTCCGACCAGAGGAGTGACGTAACCAACCTTTCACCGCCCGGGAGCTCCTTGGAACGCGAACATTCATAGTATGGGTGGCGTGGAATCCGGGCCCTGCTGTCATTAAGTGGTCGGATGTGCTGGTCTTGTTCAAAGCGCATATCAATGATGACGGCGGGCCAGGTCCCACAATCGGATTGGGTTGTCCCTACTATTCATCCTGGCTTTTGACTCTGAGAGGTATTAGTACAAATCAATTCCACCAATGCTAAAACGAGCGATGGATGCCCACAGGCTGCATAGATGTTGTACTGAATGAAGTATAGATGCATATAATACATTTGGTAGAGGACACATGGAAGCCACAATGCGGCCTCTTGCTTAACCCACTGCAATTACTGTCTCCCATCCAAAAACCATTCGAACACCTTACGAAACACCATCTTCCCGCCCGTCTCTATCACATCGCCATGGCAAGGAATCACCCTCTCAAATCCCCACCCATCAATGATCCTTGCTGATTCCTTCCACTCATCCCGATTCTTGGCAATCATATACCAAAGAAACCTCTTTTGCCAAATTGCATCGCCTTTCGTAGTCGAAACCGGCATAAACATCTTTGTCAAAATGCCTTGATGTTCACCACCTTTCACCTTTTCATACTGCTGCGTGGCGGGCAGATTAAAGAACAGATCAGCTTGAAGCAAGGTCTTGGTTGGTTTGTGGAAAACAACAATCTCCCGGTTTGGATGGCTTGGGATATATTCCGTGTCGAACTCGGCGTTGAAGTCATCAAAGATCTTTGGATTGTGCCGGTTCTCCGGCTTGAATATGTAATCAATTTGCGAGGTACCTCGTGTCTTGGGATTTGCTTCTCTTTTCTCCTTTAGGCCGTGAGGTCCGATGACTTTTGCGTCTGGGTAGGCTTCTTTCCAGTCGCTGATGAACATATGGTGCTCTATATCCGGCGCGATGATGTACTTGATCGGGGAGTTGAGAGCAGTGATGAGCCCCTTGATGTGCTCTGTCAGCGCAACGGGGGAGAAGACGATGCTGGAACCGGACGCCATGCGGACTGTGGAGATGTTAGTATATGCGTGAGCGAGATATTTAGACAGGCTGTCCCTTGGAAAGCTCACCGATCGTGCCCCGACCCCCAATTCTCAGAACCCCGAACCGCGAAAATGGCAAGCTACATGTAATAATATTTTGCCCCTCCAACTCGCGGGTCACCATAACCTCCTCTGGGTGCTGCGGGGTGAGTGCAGGAGACATATTGACTGTCTGGGTCCAAAGCTGAACAGTCGATGGTTATTATCGTTTCTGAAATGATTTTGCGATTCTCCTACGAGAAGGTAAAAAGGGGATTACAGTCGAATCAAGCAAGACTGGAACATGTCGATTATTGTATCTAGTTTAGGGTTTCAGCTGACAAGCTGAAAGCTACACGGCACAAGGTGATGCAATACATCTGAGTTGGGCGGCGAGATTGCACATGTGGCCAGGTCTGTCATCAGACCGCGATCATGCTTTGGATTCTATGATCCCAACATTCGAAATAACATGGTTTGGCCTCCTGTGGCATCATAAGCTATTGTTATAAAGCTTAACCCCTTGGATTTGCCTGTTTTGGATTTCTGATTGGTTGTTCATGTGAGGAATTATCACCAGCCCCCCGCATTGGCGACCAGGAATGGGGTGAAAAGATGCCAGAGTACTTCTATCACAAAATCCAGATATAATATCATACAGGTTTATCCAAGTGCCAACAGTGATAATTGATGATTTTGAAGATGCCAGCACCCACATCAAATCCATTGACCTCCAGTTTTGGGCTGTGAAATTCCCAGCATGTTCTCATACTATTGCTCCCACCACAACATCTAAAGATAGGAAATTAGATCACATTCACATATCCAAGGCTGATGATTGAAGGCTACGGGCAAACTACTTAATGACATGTAAAAAGGCAGGTTGGATGAAGGAGAATCCTGTTAGGAGAGCGCTTCACCGCACTTTGAAGGAGGCTTTGTGAGTAAATTACAAAATAGAACTATGCAAGTAATATATACAGGTTCAATCAAACACAATGGAACATGGCCAACAATAGGCTTGTTCAATACGTCAGCATCGTGAATAAAATAAAAACATAATCTCTAAATCTTCGCAGGCTTAATTGAAGTCAAAAAACTCCGGACAAAGAATCAAATAGCCTCCCAGCCATAGCTCCAAAAGTAATGCTTAAATATGCTGACCTACAAGCATGTCTCTGTTTACCTGTGACGACTCTGCATCTTCATTTCTGTGGGGAATCAATGGTTTCTTGATGTCAAATACTTCGATTAAATTTCTCCAGGTCTCAAAGTCCAGGCTGAAAACGGCCTGATGTTTCTGAAGACCCTTGCGTTGTGCCTCGGATGGTAATGCCGGTGTGGAAGGATCTAGCAAGAAACAGTGGTCAGCTCAGCTTAAAATATGGTCTAGAGGTACACAGGTTGGTGTGCAAAGGGTTCCAACATACGTAGCGTGGGGAGATCACTAGCATCGAGAGCAACTCCGACACTCCCATCTCTGACCAAAAAGCTAACATAGAATAGATTCTCAACCGTCTGCCCGAAGGACCGAGGATTAATGCAAAATTTGAAGAGCGGGACGCCGCCATCATCCGATATATTATACTTATACATGACTTCCAGAATCTGATCTCGTGAAGGTTCACGCATGTTTGAGAGCACGTCGGTGGCGAGCTTTTCTCCTCTCTGCTGCGTGCTCACCAGGATCTTCCGGATCTCAGTGCAAATGGCTGTCAAATTAGCAGTCTCCTGCCGCCCAAGGTCTTCTGCTTGAAGTTGTTGTGGCCGGATAGCCTGAGAAGGATCTATCCTTTCCTGTCTTGCTCTTCGTTGCGTTTGCTGCCGGACTCGCTTCTGTACAGATAAGGGACCATATAAAAACCCCGAGAGTGGAGGGCGCTTATTATGGGGAAAGCAAGCTTGTCGACCCAATACGTCCCAGTTAAGAGCGTCATCATCGTCGTCGCTGTCTTCAGCATTCCTATCATGAGGTTGGCGCTGCGAGCTCAAGGTTTGACTAGGTGATCCCTCTCCCACTGGCATTGCACGCATAAACGATATACATTTTGACACAAACTCCTCCACATCGATGCCTGAATCCGAGTCTCCTAAAATGGCCTGAGCGGTTCGCTTGTACGATAAATCGGCGGCGTTTACCAAAAGACGAGAATCTATCGTTGCATCTGATGTTTGCTTCACTTGCTTGAACAGTTCATTGGCTTTTATAATGGTTTCCCGGATGCCATTGGATCCAGCTTGGATGAACTCGGAGCGCGAATCTACCAAGTGTTAGCGTATCAATACCTATTAAAAGAGGCCGAAGCGCCAGGGGTCACTACCGTTTAATTTCGTTGCAAGGTCTCTTAAGCCCTTACGGACTGCCCTTCTTTCTTCAGGGTCTTGCTCTGGGTCATAGTAATTCGTATCATTGACTAGGGCCAACGCGCGCCTGTGTGCAGCGTGGCCATCCCCACCAGGATCTTTTCCAGAAATCCTCCGTCTCTTATTCGACGCGTCACCCATATCCGACCGCGCATTTGATGATTGGGCCTGCCAGCTCTCTTGCTTCCGCTTCTCTATGCGCGACGCGCCAGGTGAGGCACCGTTTTCCTTGTCTGAGGAGAAAGAGTTTGACGGCGATACGGCATTAGAGCCTGGAGGAGTCGACGACAGATCTGAACCACTATCAGCTGCAGTATCAGCCATTGCTCTTTATCTTTCAGAGATACCCCCGAGTTCAAGGCCCCGGGGGAGTTGGATTGCTGTCCGTGGGGGGGTCTTCGAATTTTGTTGTTACGAACTGAGCAAACACCCCGGTATTTCCCAGACTGAAAGAAAGTTGGAACAAGTAGTAAATATTTTTACCAGTGCACAAGAATTCACATCCACAGCCTCTAAGCCCTCTGCACAACTGCCGTGAGAGATTGCATTGACATTTCATTACCTCACCGCTTGGCCTAATTGAATTGGCTTTCTTGACAGACACGCGGTGGTCCGTGCACATACCCCGGATTTACATAGTTCCGTCGCTGGAGCCGCTGTTAGGGCTTGGGGAAGCAAAAAGCCCTAGCGCTTGTCCCAGTGTGAACGCCAAGCCTGAGAGGAGCCAATCCGCTGGGTCGTCCAAGAGTGACATTGACATCACTCCTGTTGCTTGGATTTGCCGTGAGAAGAACGCCTTGAACCCTGCAGACAAGAGTGGTAAATAGGCACGGGCAGTGGATCAAAGATATCACAAAGAGAAATCCCCATTCCAGGCTAATCCCGCTAATAATACTAGGAGTGAGTATGGAAAGCACCTTGCTGATTTTGTGACACCTGAAGATTGGGAAGTGGTTTAGAAGATGGAGACATTCACTTTCGCGACTTCTGCTCAGGTAGCTCTGCCGATACGCGTCAAAATGTAAGCCAAAGCATTTGTGTGGTTGAGGCCCAGGTTTCCTCTCCTTTTGCGGCTACTAATGATTATTTCTAGATGTAATCTAGAAGGAAGACAGAAACAGATACCCTTTTCCCAACTGCTCCGGAACGAAAAGCTTCGACACCTTGGATCGAACCAGAGCCCGGTTTCCGACCTCTACATTACAGTGCAGCTATGGTCGAGCTGCAAGCCGTTGGGTGTTCCTATGCAAACCTCCTACAAGCCCTTTAAGACCAGTCGCACATGGAATGAATGGTTAGAAATGCCGTTCCTGATTAAGGATGCCCCGCAGAATGCTCAGTTAGGCATTACTATTTGGGACCTTGATCCAATGGGGGAGGATTCATTCCACGGCCATTCAACTCCCTTTGGCGGCACGACAATCCCCATTTTCGAAGAGGATGGAACCTTGAAGAAGGGAAAACAAAAGTGCAAGATCTACAGGCACAAAGCTGCAGATGGATACTCGGCTACCACGACTCCAAGCACTCCTGCTCCGAAGCGTCGGACTGGGCAGTTTGTTGAAGAGGGCCCCACACCCGAGGAGTTGGAATTAGAACGCCTCGAAAAGCTCCTTAAGAAACACGAAATGGGAGAGATTCAGCGGGTTGACTGGCTGGATCAGCTCGTGTTCCGAGCCGTTGAAAAAAAAAAATTGGAAGCGGAAGAAGCTGCGAAAAAACGCGCCTTAAGAAATAAAGTCTCTCGAGAGAAATTCTTAGCTGAGACAAACGGGGAGAGTAATGACATGGAGGATGACACCATAGACGACGAGAATTTTGTGCTCTACATCGAATTCCCGCGCTATGACTTCCCCATTGTTTTCCAAGATTTTCAATATCCAGCACCGCCTATTTCCTCCTTCTCTCAGCATAACCCCTCGATGAGCCAGACACTTCGCCCGCCGCCTGAGGTGCGTTTTGGACCAGGTATTGAGGGCGCTTCCGATGACGAGGATTATCCAATTATTAAGGTATATGACCCCGAAGTTGGACAGAAAGGGAATCCTTGCGAGGACAAACATCGCAGATTAGTCCGTAGCCACCGGACTGGGATTATGGACCGCGATCTCAAGCCCAATCCAAAGATTCGCGACGAGTTGAACGATATCATGTCCTACGGACCCACCCAGGAGTTGAACGCAGAGGAAAAAGATCTCGTCTGGAAATTCAGATACTATCTCACTCGTGAAAAGAGAGCACTCACTAAATTTGTCAAGTCTGTCAACTGGCAAGATGCCAATGAGGCACGACAGGCAGTTGAAATTCTTCCAAAATGGACGGAGATTGACGTCGATGATGCTTTAGAGCTGCTTGGCCCAACATTCGATAACCCGGCTGTTCGGGCTTACGCGGTTGAACGCCTGAGAAAGTCTGATGACGAAGAGCTGCTACTCTACCTCCTGCAACTCGTGCAGGCCCTGAAATACGAAGCCGTCGCACAACATACAGATGATGATCCTGCGCAGGATTCGTCTCTGACTGACTTTTTGATTACCCGGGCGGCCCAAAACGTTCTGCTAGGAAGTTACCTCCACTGGTACCTAATGGTTGAATGTGACGATAATACAGGCAATTCCTCCGCTCACCGTGAGCTTTTCGCGCGAGTGGAATATTACTTCATGGTCGAGTTAGAAAGGGTCAATCCTGACGAACGAAAGACGCTATTGAGACAAGGCGAACTCATCACCGTCCTTTCCAAGATTGCTAAGGATATTCGCTTTTCCAAGGTTAACCGCACCGCTAAGATTGAGCAGCTGAAGAGATGCCTGGCAGATCCTAAAAATGAGATTGTACAGATTGATCCATCACTGCCGCTTCCGTTGGACCCCGAAGTCCGAATCATTGGATGCTTCCCGGACGCGGCCAATGTCTTTAAATCATCACTTTCTCCTTTACTAATTAATTTCAAGCTGTCTGATGGACGAAAGTACCCTGTCATATTCAAAGTTGGGGACGACCTTCGGCAGGATCAGCTTGTCATCCAGATCATCAGTCTTATGGACCAGTTGCTAAAAAAGGAGAATTTGGACCTCAAACTCACACCTTACAGGGTCCTCGCTACCAGCGCGAATGCCGGCGCCATGCAGTTTGTCCCATCCACTTCCCTTTCTGCAGCTTCGGCAAAGTACAAAGGTTCAATTCTTGCCTTCTTAAGGGCAAATAACCCAGACGATAGTGAGCCCTTGGGTGTCCGCAAGGAAGCAATGGATACATATATCAAGTCTTGCGCTGGATACTGCGTTATTACTTACCTATTGGGTGTTGGCGACCGTCACCTGGAGAATCTTCTCCTTGCCCCAGACGGGCACTTCTTCCACGCCGATTTCGGGTTTATCCTGGGTCGTGACCCTAAACCCTTCGCTCCGATGATGAAACTTTCCAAGGAAATGATAGAAGGAATGGGCGGGGCAAACTCGCCTAATTACTTGCAATTCAAGCAGTACTGCTTCACGGCGTATACCACCCTGCGCAAATCGGCAAATCTCATTCTTAACTTGTTCAGTCTGATGGTCGACGCAAATATCCCCGATATCCGCGTTGAGCCTGACAAAGCGGTGTTAAAAGTCAAGGAGCGATTCCACCTTGAAATGAGTGAGGAAGAGGCAATTCGCCATTTTGAACAGTTGATTATCGAAAGTGTTAATGCGATCTTTGGGGCTGTTATTGACCGGATACACGATTTGGTCCAGGGATGGAGAGCTTGATAGAGTTCCCCCATATCATTCTATGCCGCCATGAAAGTTATGACCAGACCTAACGACTTAGATTCTACGTCTTTATCCATGTGGGCAAGTGAACTTACTCCTAAGGTTTTAAGCGCACTGGCCTCTAATTTTACAATACCCTGTAATCCTAGTCTGTACGGAAGAAGGATGCCTGTCGGATTCCCCTTTTTCTCGCGCTATCTTACCCAGAAGCAGAAGTTTTCAAGCATTACAGTGCTGCATCCGCTATGCAGTCCTCCTCACCTTAAGCGATATGGGAGTATTAGGGACTGCTCCCTCGCTGTACTACTAATAATAAGACCAATATTTTTGCACAACGTCCTTTTAGTTCTCTGCCACATGCGACAATGTAAGGGAGTCGAAGTAACCCCCTATTAGTTGAAGCTGAAGTTGAAAGAGATATCTCTGCCCCGGGGAATCTGTAGCAGAGGGATGTATAGAATAGTTATCCGCTTAGATATACTCCGTCCTCAGAACTAGGTGGAGCAGGTATTATTTGTGGCGGAGAGATCTGCCAAGCCTGCGGGCGTCGGCTGCTGGAGCGGCGCAGTGGATCTGCCGAGCTTTGACCGCTCTTTTCTGCCGTTCTCGGGGATATTATTCTCCGGGTATCAAGCACTTTTTTTGACCAACGGCGGCGACGACAAAGTCGTTTAACCCAGGGATAAGGTCCATTCTTTGCATTTTTTTTATTACTCAAGATTGTGTTGGTTAGCTTCCAAAGATGGGGTCGACTTTCGTCCCTCGTCAGGTCTTCAACGTGTCGGAGAATATTCCACGCTCCTACTTCCTAGGTCATCACCGAGCCGGCCTCAGGAGAATGCGCTCCATGCTAGACTCGATCGACCATGTCATTGAGTGCCGTGACTTTCGGATACCGTTTACTTCAATAAATCCGCTCTTTGAACATGTCTTAGGGGATAAGAAGCGGACGATAATCTATACAAAACGAGATCTGGCCGGGGACCGGAAACTTGCGATGCAAAAGGTGTCTTGCGGCAGCATGCTTTTTCATTTTCTTTCTTTCTTTTTTTTTTTTTTTTTTTTTTTTTTTGAGAATAAAGGACTGGCGCGGCTAATGCATTGAATGTTCTTCTTGCTCTGTCCTTTACAGATAGAGAGCCAGGTTCTTCGCTGGGATAAGCGAACGTCGAAAGTGTTTGTCATTGACAATTTTTCGAAAAGCTCCATGGCGCCCTTCATTAAATACCTTCGGACAATACCTCTCGCGCAAGACCAGGTGACCGGCTATAGGATGTTGGTTGTGGGGATGCCGAATGTTGGAAAGTCCTCATTTATCAATTACCTTCGACAACAATGCATGGACCTGCCGTCCATGTCGAAAGCTGCCAGCACTGGCGATGAGCCGGGAGTTACAAGAAAGGTCGGCAGTCCTATTAAGGTCCTTAACAGGAAACAGTGCGGGATGTATGTATATGACACCCCTGGTGTCTTCGTCCCATACGTTGCCGAGCCGGAGAGCATGGTCAAGCTCGCAACGTGTGGGATTATCAAGAGGTCCCTGGTCTCCGATCTCACAATTTCAGATTACCTCCTATACCATATTAACAAGAACAAACCATATGCATACCGGAAATACTGCGAGCCCACGAATGATATCATGGAGTTGCTCAATGCATTCGCTTTGAAGTCTGGCTGCTTGGCGAAGGGGGGCGTGCCCGATATCAATATGGCGTCCCGAAAATTCAATCATATGTGGCGAGAAGGGAAATTCAAATACTTTGTAATGGATGATGTATTGTCCATTACCACAGTCAAGCGACGAGAGTGGCAGGAAAATTTCAAGGAGATGTTTGCGGACGACAAAATCGACACGGAGGAGCAGCCGACTTCCACTATGAGTGTGATATAACCTCCATTGTCATGCGACCCTTTTGATCTACTTTTCACTATTGTTTTATATATATACCCATTACTGTTTTCTTTGGAAATTTTATGTGGTGTAAAAATACATTGATGAATTATGAAAATTGTATAATAGACAGGTCATAGAGAACAAGAAAAAGATGCCCAACTCCATCCGCAAACCATGCAGAAAGCCAAAGGGAATCATCACACAGATCCAAAGCCCCAGAATATCAAATGTGTCAAAGGATTTTATCCAGTAACTTTCGTCTTCGTCTGTCCACCAACTCTTCCTGGACCTCGTCGAGTGTAGGCACTCTCCATTCGACGCCATCGCCCCCATCCCCAGGGAGGGGCTGCCAACCCTCATCGACGGGGCCGTCCCCTCTTTTCAACATATTTTCAAACGCCTCCTTCTCCTTCTTAAACTCGTATGCGAGCAGCGTACCATCTTCCTCATCCAACCCATATCCGAAATACGCAGCGTCGACATGCTTCCTTAACATCTCATTCTGCCCTCCACCCGAGTCCTCCAACTCGTCCGCACTTCTCTTCCTCGCCGCAGCCTCAAACATCTCCTTCACACCGGGTAACTCCCTCGCTCTCCCAAAATATCTATAACCCTTCCCACCACCAGGTATCTCTCTCCCATCTTCATCATACACCCTCCCACCTCCACGCGTATAGTTGGGACCACCCAGGTTCCGTATCTGCACCTCCCACATCCACTTCTCTCGCATCAGCTTGTTGATCTCATCGTTCAGATCGCGAATCTGGTAGTCACTCAGACTCTGGTCCTGGATGCGCGTGACTTTGCGCGAGATCTCTTTGAGCACTTGGCCGCGCCATTTCTCGCAGATGGGTATGGAGTCGACAGATGTGATGGCCTTGGGGCGGCGGGTTCGACCGATGTCGAGGATTCCGAGGTCGGCAGCTTGGGCGGCGCGAAAGCGGAAAAGCATCGACTGTGCTTTTTCGCTATTGCGGGCCTGGGAAGAGAGAGCGGCGTGTGAGAGAGCGCTGGCAAAGGCGCGTTGTGGAGTGGACACTTACCATGATTGCGGGCTGAGAAGGGCAGGAGGATTATTTATCAGGAGACAAGATGGGATTGTCGATTATACATGTAAAACGTCACTCATCCGGTCAGTGGGATGATTCGAAGTGCTACCAGTAAAGATTCGTGGGACTTGGGCAAAGAGTGAAGTCCGGCATGTAGCTATGCGGAGATCGCCTTTGGGTTGGCAGCTGTTTCGACGTTGCAGTTTGGGAAATTTTAGAGTTCTCCCTCTCCCCCACACCCGCCGGACGCCAGCTCCCGTCGAATGGCCACAACGCTGGATGAGGGCAGTTAAGGGCTTGAAATATTTCCTCTACTTTTACATGAGATAAAAACTGTTTCATTTTGTGGTTCTCTAGAGTTGTTAAATGTTGAAATGGGCCGGCAGCTAAGAGGACTAACGCTTCACCGTTTTTCGAGTAAACATTTCTTTCAGTCTTTGTGTTATCAGGACTACCTTAGTTAATTGTTTACCGACGAGGTTGAAATTGAGCTCGCGGTTGGCTAGGCAGTTGGTCGCTCCACTATCAAGGACAAGAAGCTCCCGCTTAGGGGGTAAGTATTATGAACCAAGTGAGATCCTGTTAAAGAACCACCCATTGGCTTCTCTTAAGGAGCCTGGGTAGGCGGCAGTGTACCCTCAATCGCGTAGTAAGTTCGATGGATTTGCCTGCTGGCCATGTTGTCCCTTGACATTCCCGTAGCCGAGAACGTATCTGAGCCTGCCATCTTCACTCCTAACTTTGTAGTCTGTCAAGTCAGAACGTCGGAGCAGCAGTTTCAAGATAATCTGAGTCAACCCACATCAGGATGAGTATGCAATTTAGGTGTCCATGATTCATTCAGGACTTGTGGTGTGAAGGGAACGCAGCTTGGAAACAACAAGGTGTGAAGGCTGGCCAAGTTGGATCAACTGCTCATCCATTAGATCTTCTTCAGTACAGTCGGCATCAACCACAACAGAAATTGCCTTGGACAAAAAAAATATCCTCATCCGAGACCAATGAAATCATCATGCATCTGAGGGTGATTTAAAAGGTCTGAAAGGACAGCAGATTCAAGCAAACTTTAAGCGTTGTCCAAGAGAGAGTATGATGCCTAGCCCGTAGCGAGCACTAACAGCAAAACTGCTCCAAAGGGTAGGAAAAAAAAATCTTTCTTTTTTTTTTTTTTTTTTTTTTAAACCAAACTGACATTGTAGTTTCCAACTTGGGGAGTGAAAAAGCAGCTCTGTTACATGAGGAGTTTGACGGGCATGTTGTCGTCATCAATATAGCATTCTTCTAAGGCGTGTGACACCCATGTCGAGAACGGGCTTGCAGGCTGTTGATTTCGGAACAAAAGCTGAATATTTGACGCCAATCCGTCCTGCGAGAGCATTCCAGATTGGGTTGCAAGGCCGGATTAAGGTAGTTGTATGGGTTCGTGTTTCGCCGCGGGAGAAATGTTACTCTTAGTTAATAGCACCCTAGTCGCTCTTTTGAGCGGACCCTGAAAGGGGAGAACGGGCTTGGTTACGAGCTAAAGGAGCATGGGTGGTCCCGAGTGTCGGACAATCCAGCAGGGTTGCGCATCCTATCACTCGAAGGGGTTTCAACCACCCGACAGTGAGATAGCTCTAGTATTTTTAAATCTCTGGGCGAGTCTGGGCCTCGACTTCAGCCTTGCAGCGCATCTGGGAGAAGGGAGCTTGGGGGTTCACGGAAGTCCCAAGATGGACCGATCTGGCAGTCGATGCAAGGAAGACGAGAGAACAAATTGGCTTCTTGGACGAGCCAGCACGGGCGTTTCAAAAGTGATCTGCTGGTTGGCTTCAAACACAAGTATGACGACGACAGTCGATCAATCGGATGTCACCAGGGATTCGTCAGAGAGCGGTGGAGATCCCGAGCAGGATCTCTTGTTCCCCCCTGGCCGGGCACATCTTTGCGTTGGCTAAATATCAAAAGCGGACGGGCTAATTATCAGCCACTAGATCCGTTGGATGATGCGTTTCCCTGACAGGCTGACAGGACGCCAAACACGCGGAGCAGACGTACGCATCCCCGCCCCAGGGATTTCAGGACCGCTCTCCCTGTGATCAAGTCTTCGTCGCTTGCCTTCGCCGAGTGGGAACTCTAGTAGTTTCTCAAAGAGCCGACTGAGACCGGCCTCAAACTTTTTTGAGCTTCCAAGATATTCTCGACTCCATCCGACGCCAGACCGTCTTTTAAAATCTTTCTTCGAGCCCGTAGATATGAACGGACAATAAGGTTGTGTCCTCCCGAATTTGCGGATCCCGATAGAGGTACCTTGGTTCCATTGAATGCCATGCGCCCTTTTTTAAACACCCCCGACTCACCAACGCACTTTTAGCCACCGCCAACGCACTCGAGGCCCTTTTATACATCTCCTCGCCGTGCACCTCTTCCTTCTCCATGACGCTGATCCTCTTTGACTCTTCTAACAGTGCGGACTGATGACTCTCGATTGTTCCGAAGCTTCCCATCCATACACGTAAGCTGCCGTCATGATCTCCTTTCGAAGATGCCTGATCATTGCGGCCACCTTCCTCGCTTTCATGTACATCCTCCACCTGTCCGGCAGCGGCGGCAGCACTCGACAACCCGAAGAATCGAACGCTGGCCCTGAAGATAAGCTGTCAAGCGCGGACGGTTCGCTCCAGTTTCAGCCCCAGCAGATTCCTCTCGAAGACTTGGCCCGAAAACCTGTCCGTGAACGACTCCGATACCAGTTCCCTTACGACATACAATCGAAGTTCCCGGCCTACATCTGGCAAACGTGGAAGTACACCCCAGCTTCCGGGAAGTTCAAGGAAGAGCTACGCCCGTTCGAAGCTAGCTGGACTGAACACCACCCAGGATTCGTCCACCAGGTGATCACGGACGATGGGTTGATCTACGTGGTGAAATACCTCTACGCTGCTTTCCCGGAAATCATAGAGGCTTTTGAGTCGATGCCGCTACCCGTGCTGAAGGCGGACTACTTCCGATACCTTATCCTCTTGGCCCGTGGTGGGATATACAGCGACATCGACACCTTCGCTCTGAAGCCCGCAACTGAATGGGTGCCTGCTGCTGTCGACAGAACTACGATAGGTCTTATTATTGGCATCGAGGCGGACCCAGACAGGAAGGACTGGCAGACCTGGTATTCACGCAGGATCCAATTCTGTCAGTGGACCATCCAGTCAAAGCCGGGACACCCGATATTGCGGGATGTTGTGGCAAACATCACGGAGGAAGCACTGCGGATGAAGAGCGAGGGGAAGCTTAAAAAGAACAAGATGGACAAAACTATTGTCGAATTCACTGGGCCAGCCGTGTGGACAGACTCGATTTTCCGCTATTTCAATAACCCGAACTACTTTGACATGGGGAGGAGAGATGGCAACTCCACCAGCGAGATTGGCTACAAGCATTTTACCGGCATGGTTGCCCAAAAGGCCGTTGGCGATGTCGTCGTCTTGCCGATTACCAGCTTCAGTCCCGGCGTTCGACAGATGGGTGCCGAAGAGCCTGAGCACCCGATGGCATTCGTTAAGCATAACTTCCAAGGTACTCTCTACACTGTTCTTCTCGGTCTGTCGTTACGTTCTTGTTTCAATTAATTGCTGATCTTTGGAATAGGAGCATGGAAAACGCCCAAAGCATAACTTTCATCTTGAAATGAATGAACATTTTTCCGTGTTAAGCCCCCACTGCGCTCGGCCATCGCCCAAAATTTCCCCCCACGCCGAAGCTAAGCAAAACAGGCCTCTTTCCGCTGCTCTTGAATTGGTGGCAAAAATCTCTTTTTTGCGATCTGTTCAACAACCCGTCGATCCAAGACTCGGGGCAAACTTCCAAGATCGCATCCCCCAGTCATGGTGGCCCCACTCGCTACCCCTGGCGAGGCAGCGACCGGGATACACCCTTCACCTTATCACGTATCCAAATAAGTCATGACGACGACTCACGAAAGCCGCCTCCTGGCGCGCATATTCTCGAAGTTTTGCTGACATCATGTCTTGATCCTTCGATCCATCTGCAAACCTTCGCGTTTGCTGCATCGGTTTTCTCCATATCATCAGCATCACCTTCCTCATCAACGCTTCAATGCTTCATCAAATCCCTTCGCATTAGCTTCATTCGCGGACTCTCCTTTTTGCATTTCCTTTATGCCTGGTGCAATGGGAAGAAAAATAAAGAATGTCGCGAAATCCAACCATTTTAGGATGTTGGTCTTTCTTTTAGCGCCACATCGGCGGGGTGCATATTCTTGACTACTACGGATTATCTATCTTGTTCCTGCATTTACCTTCATTCACGTGGCTATATTTCCTGCCGACGTATTTTGTATGCATGGACCGTCCAGGCAAATTGGGCGGATATAAAGCTTCTTCTTTTTCATTGTCTCTTGGTTCGCGCTCAAGGGTCTGCATGTGTTATTGTTTACAGTATCTTAAAAGGATGGGCGAATGGGCTGGCGGGGCGGCGTATCTTGAAATTTTATGTTCCCCGATGTCATATCATAAAAATTTTTTTTCTTCCTTTGTTTGATCATGCTACGGAGTGCATTACTGTTTTTGTCTCTGGGTCTTGGGACCACGGCATTGGCATACATGTGTAATAATATCTACATAAGAAGAGAGGGTAGCAGGCGAATATGGAGTAAACGGAAAGGTTGTTACATGATCATAATCCATCCAGCGGGTCAAATTGATAGTCCTTGGATCGGCTTTGCATCCTTGTCGCTCATCTGCCCTGAGCCGTCCCAGATCAACAAGTGTGCCGCGAGAACGGGATTGAGAAGAGGATGGAGGGTTGTACTGCACATGCATTGATATCATCCGTTCTGTCCATCAGATGTTTGTTTGCTATTGCTATGGTACGTATGTGTGTACAATACATCCACATGATATGCCCCATGAACATCTGCTAGATACGCCAAGCAACAATCCGCCAGAGGAGAAAGTATCACAGGTGAAAAGCCTTTCTTTTTTTTTTTTTTTTTTTTTTCTTCTCGTTCGGCTAGTTTTTGTCAGGGTAGGAATGTATGGTGATAGGAAGTTATGGGTGAGCGCAGATCTTTGAAGAACAGTCCGGCAATACGCAGTTTAACAGTGGGATGAGAGGCGCGTTTTGAATTGTCGCGCGCGGAGGGGAGTTGTGCGGAGTACGGAGTACATGGGATGGATTATGAAGATCCGGGAGTCCGGGGTAGGGAAAGCGTTGGCAAATTCGGATAAGGCGAAATAATCATCCCCGGGAGGTCGGCTAGGGTCGCTAGGGGATGGGCCGGGCGGCAGGCGCCAGAGAACTGATCGACAGAGAAATGACAGATTTAATCGTTGAAGTCCTTAAAACAGGCCTCATACTTCTTTTTCATCTCTTCCGTATATACAGTTTGCGTACTTGGATCTGGTGGAGGCGGATACTCCTCGAAATTCCCTGCGTCGGCCGGGTGATCAACACGTGGTATTATTGGCCCTGGTATCCGTCGGTGATACAGATCGTCCCAGTTTATTCCTTTGAAGAACGGGTGCTCCTTCACCCGTTTTGTTCCACCCGATATGTACCCCAATCTTTCGGACGGATTGGTCTTGCATAGCGCACTTATTATGTCCCGTGCTTCTGGTGTTACGTGAGACGGGAAGCGCAGGCGGCCCTCGACGATCTGCTCATATATCCGCAAAGGGTTTGGATCCCAGAAGGGAGGCTGTCCTACTAAGAATTCATACATCAGAATTCCTAGTGCCCACCAGTCAACTGCCAGGCCATGGCCACTGTTGTGTATGACTTCCGGCGCGAGATATTCGGGTGTTCCACAGAGTGTATATGTCTCATGACTATAGAGTTGCTTCGCGAAACCGAAATCAACTAGTTTGAGGTGCCCCTCAGCGTCAAGAAGGATGTTCTCTGGTTTTAGGTCACGATATGCAACGCCCTGTACGTCGTGGAGGTATTCAAGGATTAATACTATTTCGGCAGCGTAGAATTTAGCGGTGGGCTCGTTGAATCGTCGTATGCGACGCAAGAAGCTGAATATTTCACCGCCGGGGCAATAGTCTAACTGTGGTCCAGTCAGCGCCTCGACAACGACAGAAAGTGTGAAGTAACTATTGACGAAAGCATAACGGAAAATTGCGCCTAGCCGCAATATTCGGATGGGAAAAAGGAGCTAAATCAAGGTATCACACGTACTAGCATGTAGAGGCATTGGTCGTCGGAAAAAGAGGCAATTAGAGTTGTGATGAACGGATGTCCAGCGACAGCGTGAAGAGCATTGTTCTCATTACGGACATGTTCCACTTGTTTGAGTTCGATGACTAGGGAGAAGGATATCACCGTTAATAGAGGTTTATACAGGGTATAAGGTCGCAATCGGCGAGTACACACCATCAGCTTTGCGAAGGACCTTTAGTGCGAAAATTGAGTTGTTCTTGTCCTTTACATTCTTGAGCCGAACGAGCCATACTCGCGCAAACGTGCCTGGGTTCAACGTCATATCAATAAGCACCATGTCAACCAAATCACACATGCATACATGATGTTATGTAGCACGACCGCTATGATAAAAGGCTGATTAGTTACGCACCGGTCCCCAGCGTCTTCAGTAATTCGAAATCCTCAACCTTCAAGTTGTGTTTAGGCAGTCGCTCCTTGATGTGCTCTCGATTCTCAACAATATCCTGCGGCGTCTTGGGCCTTGAGGAAGGCCAGGGCGGGAACCCGATTTTCTTGGTGTCGATGTCTTGGGGTTCGCAATGTATCTCCGGCCGACATTGCTCCTGCGGCTGCCGGATCGTCTCCATCGCCATCAGGGGAAAATGGAATGCGAGACGCGTCTAGGCGTCGTCCGTCGATGTCGTATCCCAGCTAGACCTCCCACCTTATATGGGGCGCATCCCTGAGCTCCGGGACCGATCTCAAGAACAAGCTCCGAGGGGTTTAAATGAGAAGTGTCTATTTGGCTCACTGGGGTTCAGAAGTGTGACAAGAGCGAAGACTGGTAGACCTGAGAGAGCGCGTTACCGCCATTGACTTCGTGAAATAGGCGTGGAGGTAAGGATACATTGCTCGGGTACTCTAGCTGGAGAGTAGGGAGAGGGAAGAGAGAGAGCCGGGAAGAGGTGGTTCTGGGATGAAGTAGCTAGTGACTTTTTCCAGCGGATGTTGACTCTGAGCTTATCGAGTTGTCTGACGTAGGCGGGGCTGGGTGTTTGAGGGCGGAAGCTTTTTCTCCCTTCTCTCGCTACGCCAAGATCTGGGCTGGAGCTGCGACCCGGCGGTAGCAGCCAGAACACTGACAAGAAACAGCCGAGATGAAGTCAATCCAACGTCAGGTCTCCGCCCGGTGCCCCGGGGTCCCTGATGGGAATGATCAGCTCCTTGAACAAGACCCCTTGATTTAAGCCTTCAAGCAAACTTGAAACCTTGTTGGATACATGTCAAGAATTACGTCTATCAATTGAATTGCTCCAGTTCGCGCCAGATTAAACAGAATCCCAAGAAAAACACAGGAACCACAAATGAAAAAGCCTTCCAAATAGGATCAACCGCTAAGGCGCCGAAAATGTACATCGAGGAAATGATGGAATTGTGCATATATCCCGCAAAAAAAGGGCAGGAAAAAAAAAAAAAAGGATGCTAAGAAGAGTATTTAAAAATTGCTGGGAACGTGCTCAAACCTCAACGCTTCGAATTGAGGATCAATGCGACAATGAGACTGGATTTCATCAAGCTAAATGTCAGCCAGGCTATCGATACGCGGGGTTCCAACGAGCGTGTAAAACGCACCCATAGAGACCCAAAACTTCACCGAAAATCAGGATCAGCACCATGCCCACGAATACACGCGACTGCTGCATGAAGGCTCGTGTTCCCTAAATTGTCTCTTTTAGCATTGACTCCCGCACGCGTGTTTGTTCAGAATTTTTTTTTTTTTTTTTTTTTTTTTTTTTTTTTTTTGGGGGGCGTACCGCATCTCCGACTATCCCGATGGTGTAGCCGGCCGCAAGTCCTGCAAGGCCAACGGACAGTCCCGCCGCAAGATGTACAAATCCGCTATTTTAGGCGTTGTATTAGCTGAAGTTCCTATGAGGGAGGGTAGAAGGCGGAGGGCTACGAGAACGCACGCGTATAAACTGTAATTTTGTGCTGGGGTTCCAATGTCACCAGCTATTAGAACGGCGACGACCAGTCCGTAAACCGCGATAATACCAGCCATGACAACTGGAACAAGCGACTGTCGATGAGTCAATGTGAGCCATCTCGCATGCTGCTGTGAAGGCCGACCGTGGGCACACTCACCTTCATGATAAGATCCGGGCGAAATGTGCCGACATTCGCAATTCCAATGCCGGCCTTCGCGGTGCCATATGCGGCTCCTAACGCTGTGTTATCATAGCCGTGTGAGCAGAAGACATGAGACCAAGCCGTAGGGTTTCCGACGAGGACGTACATCCGAATATCATCTGCGAGCATTGTCAGCAGGGGCAATCGAGTATGTAAAACGGTATGCATGCATGTATCTATAGGCAGGTAATGATGACGAAGGTGGCCGCCGGGGGAGGGGAGGGAAAATGGTCAACTCACCGCTGACGCTATGCCTGCCTATTATTTGCCATTATCAGCTGTGGTAGCTTTGAATGCGGGGCGGCGCAGACAAACCATTCCGAAGAACGGAGCGAACTTGGGTGTAAGCTCGCTCTCAGCCATGGTGGTGGTTGTTCTGGACCGACCAGCTTCGACAGGGAGGTTGCTCTCGACACAGAGAGAAACGTATATATAAGACTGTGTGTGAGAGAGGGCAGGTCAGAGCAGGACACGTGAGCAAGGACAGGCAGGGAGATGAGTGCCTAATCAGGTAGTATGTATTGGCCAGAGCACATTCCGACTGCCAAAAACAAAAACGGCAAAGGAGCAAGGTTGGAAACAGCAAAAACAGAGGGCAGGCGCCGGTCGGGGAATCGGGACGAAAAGCCACATATCACGTGATTTATGGATGATTAGCTTACTAATTTGCCAAGTCAAACGAGCCACAGTGGCTATGAAGGATGGAGAACAAAAGTGGATGAAGTGCCGTGGGCGCGGCTTTCCCATTGGCTGGATTTTTAATTTCTCAGCCGTTTATTGGCTGATCGCCGGAAATACTAAGATGCACCGCCACGGGCAGCCTCCGCCCCAAAGCCGCGCTAAGCCGGTTGCGGACGTGGGAGGAGAGGTCTCCTCACCAATTGAATCGCAAGCCGTGCGCCTGTTCAACCAACTGGCTCGACAACAACTCTCTCTCTCTCTCCCCCAAGGACCCTGTCATCCTCCTTCAATCAAACCCTTCCGCTCCCCTTTGCCTTCGATCCTTCGCGTGCTTTTGCTTGTTATTTTCCCTTCTCTTCTCTCTGCGTTGTTTTAGCTCCGCTCTTTTGGTCGGGCGAGGGTCTCAATTTTTCAAACCCCGGCTCCTTTCGAGAAACGTTTGCTGCCATTGAGGATGTGGATTTTCGGGCTATGATCCCCCCCCTTCCAGAACACCTCCCGTCTTCCCTTGGACCCGAGTTGTATATTTTTACTGCTTCCGTTCTTTTTGGGCATTCGTGGAGTTCTTTTATTTAATATATTTTTGTTTTCTTTCCTTTTTCAAACCGGACTGTCTCCACGACCTGATTATAAGCGTACGATACACCGAAATAGCTACCTCCACAGACATTGGGTATCCGAAGCATGACACCCCAGCGAACTGCTGACATTCACGCTAACTAAAGCTGGCATCTGTCACGCTTCAAGGTCCGTCTACTGTTGGTGTACAGTCGACACAGTCACAACAAGTGATTCGAATCCACTTCGCATTACTTCTCTTCCCAGACCATACCTCCCCTCCGCTTTGCTGCCCGTAACCATCACCTTTTAAACGGATAATGGCGGATTACGGTTCCCAGCAAGGCCGGAACCCTCGACCCAACCCATACGGCCATGCATCTTCCTTTCAACGCGATGCCGCCTTCTCAGAAATATTTGGAGGCGCCCCGCCTCCTGGTCGCTCGCAGACGATGACCTCCCAGACCCCTCAGTTCCACCAGGAACGGGCACACACGATGACCGGCCACTCGCCGGAAGTCTACATGCCTTCGCGTGGCCATCCTCCACCGATGAGACAGGCACATCACAGCTATGGGCCTGGCCCCGAATCGGGATACCACGATCCGCGGTGGCAGCCTAACGGCTCCATGCCACCGCCTCGCAATCCTCCAATCCCTCCGTACTCCAGTCGATCTCAGTATCCCATCCCGCAGCGGATGGACTCCATTGCCAGACCGCCTCCCCAGTATCCACCCATGAAACCTCCAACTCGGATTCCTCCCCCTGCCGCCTTGAATTCGGACCCGTACAGATCACGTTCTATGGCAGGACCCGGACCACGTCCCCCTCAATTCCACGCCCCGCCCAACAATTACAACCAAGCGCCTCCGAGTGCATTTAGACAACAAGGCTATCACCCAATGAGTTCTCGAACCCCTCATGGCCGAATTGTACCCGAGAGGCATGACAACGAGCGTGCAATGTCGCTGAGCTCTTACACCTCCGACCGCGATCATGCGCAGACGATCAGTTCTGGACGAGTGATTCCAAATCGGAGACGAGACTCTGGAATGGAGCGGGACCGTGCCGACCGTATGGACCGATGCCCCATGGAAAGGCCACCCTCTGATCAAATCCCTGGCCTACCAGAGATCACCCCACCACATGATCCTCACTCAAGAATCAGACACCCGAGCGAAAGCTCCATCAATTCTCGTACATTATCTATGGCCTCAACCGTCGCTGCCGATCGCAATAACAGCTTGCAGACTCCCAACTCCGTCAAGTCTGGTCACTCCGCCCCTGCGACTGTGACAGCTCATCGTAGCAGGACCCCCCTTGTCTACCCCGCCTTGCTATCGCGCGTGGCTGCAGTCTTCAAGGAACGAGTCTCCATTGGAGAGCGTATTAAGAACGACTTGGCGTACACCAACGCCTTTACTGGTGCCGAAGCCGTGGATCTGTTATCGTATATCATCAAAACAACGGATCGGAACCTAGCGCTCCTACTCGGCAGAGCGCTAGATGCACAAAAGTTTTTTCATGATGTGACATACGACCACCGACTGCGAGACGCTCCTGGAGAGCTCTACCAGTTTAGAGAAACCATGGGAGAGGAATCTCCGATTTCCGAGGTAAACGGAGTCTTTACACTCTTGACGGAATGCTACTCCCCAACTTGTACTCGAGATCAGCTGTGCTATTCGATTGCGTGTCCGAGACGACTGGAGCAGCAAGCCAGATTGAACCTCAAGCCTCACCCTGGCTTACGGACCTCCGCATCGAGAGGCAGTCTTCATGATCAGGATGAGAGCGAGGACCAGAAGCTATGGATCAACATGGTACCGAAAGAAGTCGCGGATAGCATTGATGATAGGGAAAAGAAACGACAAGAGATCATTTTCGAGGTTATGTACACTGAGCGTGATTTTGTGAAAGACCTAGAGTATCTGAGAGATTTCTGGATGCGGCCGCTGCGTTCCGCGCATAACACCAACCTTTCTCCAGTTCCCGAGCATCGTCGAGAGAAATTCATCAGAACTGTGTTTGGCAACGTTCTCGAGGTCCTGAGCGTCAACTCCCGATTCTCAGAAGCACTGAATGCACGACAGAAAGAAAGCCACGTCGTCCATTCTGTAGGTGATATCTTCCTTCAGTATGTCCCTCGCTTCGATCCTTTTATAAAATACGGTGCAAATCAACTCTACGGGAAGTATGAGTTTGAAAAAGAGCGCGCCTCCAACCCTGCCTTTGCCAAGTTTGTCGAGGAAACAGAAAGGCTCAAAGAGTCGAGAAAGCTGGAGCTCAACGGCTATCTCACGAAGCCCACTACTCGTCTCGCCAGATACCCCTTGTTGCTGGAGAATGTTGTCAAGTACACGAAAGACGATAATCCGGACAAGCAAGACATTCCAAAAGCCATTGCGCTCATCCGTGATTTCTTGTCCCGCGTGAACACGGAGAGCGGAAAATCAGAGAACCATTTCAATCTGATGCAATTAAACATGGCTCTCAAGTTTGCCCCTGGCGACTACGTGGATCTCAAGCTCACAGAAGAGAACCGCACCATGTTGATAAAAATGGCGTTTAAAAAGGGACCAACAGATTCTTCCGAGGTCACAGCCTATCTCTTCGACCATGCAGTCTTGCTTGTGAGAATAAAGGCTGTGAACAAACGCGAGGAGTACCGAGTATACAAGAAGCCGATACCTCTAGAACTGCTTGTTATTGCGCAAATGGATGAAGTCATACCGAAACTAGGTATTGCGAAACGTCCTTCGGCTAACCTGCTAGCCGCTGGCCGCGCAGCCAATGCACCACCAGCTTCCAAAGATGCTTTCCCTATCACGTTCAGACACCTTGGGAAAGGAGGTTATGACCAAACCTTGTGGGCAACGTCGCAAACTCAACGGAAAAGGTTTATCGAATTGGTTGAAGGGCAGCAACGGAAACTGAGAGAGCATAGCAGCAACTTCTATTCGAAGACCGTGCTGTGTGAAGGCTTCTTCACCGCAGTGAACAGAGTGAATTGTTTGGTTCCAATAGGTTAGTTGCTTCCACTAAAGACTTGAACTTGATAGAAAATAGTCGACTGACACTTATATAGATGGTGGTCGGAAATTGGTTTATGGAACCGACAATGGCATCTACTTGTCTGAAAGGTGGCCTAAAGACAAATCTGCTAAGCCAAAACGTGTCCTCGATGCGACTGCAGTTACTCAGATTGACACTCTTGAAGAGTACCAGCTCATGCTTGTACTGGCCAACAAGACCCTCAGTTCTTATCCTCTAGAAGCACTGGATGTGCACGATGGACAAAACCCGCTTGTACGCCGACCTAAGAAAATTCAGGGCCACGCAAACTTTTTCAAATCTGGTATCGGTCTTGGAAGGCATCTTGTCTGCTCTGTCAAGACGTCTGCCTTGTCCTCGACTATTAAGGTCTTTGAGCCTATGGAGAATCTTGCCAAGGGCAAGAAGAAACCTCTAACCAAGATGTTCCAGAGCGGACAAGATGCACTGAAGCCGTTCAAGGTAGGGTCTATGTTCAAAACTTTCTATAAATTTGTTACTAACATCATCTCTTTAGGAGTTCTATATCCCCGCAGAATCTTCTTCGGTGCATTTCTTGAGATCGACGCTCTGTGTAGGATGCTCTCGTGGCTTCGAAGTCGTTAGTTTGGAGACAACCGAACGACAGTCATTACTGGATCAAGCCGACACATCTCTCGACTTTGTCGCGAGGAAAGAAAACGTCAAGCCAATCCACATTGAAAGATTGAATGGAGAGTTCCTACTAAACTATAGTGACTTCTCCTTCTTCGTGAACCGGAATGGATGGCGTGCACGACCCGATTGGCGAATAGCCTGGGAAGGGAACCCAACGGCATTCGCGCTCTCATATCCGTACATTTTGGCCTTTGAGCCCAGCTTCATTGAAATTAGACACTTGGAGACTAGTGAGTTGGTTCATATCATGACCGGGCGTAACATTCGCATGTTACATTCGTCGACAAGAGAGGTATATATTCCCAGTTCCCAACACGATCCCTTTCGCTGGAGGCAGGCCCCGCTGACAATAAGTCGTATAGATCATTTATGCCTACGAGGACGAGGCAGGAGAGGATGTAGTGGCCAGCTTAGATTTCTGGAACAAGCCCCAATAGTCTAGTTAGAGAAAGGGGGGCGGTGTTTTTGCTATCCTTCCTCTTTGCATACTTAAATCAGAGTGCCTTTTTTTTGTTTGAGGTGACGTGTTTTTTGTGTTATTCTGGTTAAACTCAAAATACCCGATTGCCTTCCTTCCAAAATTTTACACCTCATCCTTCAAACTTTTTATTTTTTGTGGTGCCTGGTTCTTTTCTCTTTGTTGTATGCATAAGCATTCTAGTCTATCTCTTTGTTCTTGACATGAGACGAATGCACAGATAATTGCTTGCCTTGAGTGCATTAGGGTTATTATCCGTCTCCGATGCTGCTACAGTTTATACTCAATTTTTCTTTTTATCTCGCACTCCATTTGCTTGTTGTTGAACTAACTTTTCCTTTTTTTTTTTTATATATATAATCATCTTCCCTTTCTTTTCCCGAGTATCAATCTCTCCATGAAAACCCCCCCCCCCCCCCCCCCCCCCCCGGAGTCATTATTGCCTCTATTATTTAGGATTGCGCATATGTTTATGTTCAATGTCTGATTTACTCTGTAGCTCGAGTTGAGAAATACCGGTTTGTTTATTTTATTTATGTATTGCTTTACAGTGGCACCAAAAAAAAAAAAAAAGCCTACTACTTAGCTCCTTTATGAATAGTTCGGATAACCTTCTGCCTCTTGCCTTTTTTTTTTTTTTTAACCGGAGATGGAGGGGAATGTGAGAGCTGGTTTGATTGTTTAGGGCAGGCAAACTTGTCCGAGGAATAATCTATTCCGTCCCTCGTCCTCTTTTATTGCCGCGGTCTATGTCGTTCACGACTCTCATGTAATGCACATACTACCCATTGAGCTGAGAGTTGATTTTTTGGGCTGGGTGAATCATTGGCATCCTTCTCGTGCGGTGTAATAATGTCTAGTGGATGATAATGGGGCTAACTCATCCCACACGCATACGTACCTAAGTAATCCACCGATAGACCTGCTGCAGGCTCGAGGTTCAGCTTCACGCGGTTTGATGTTGTGGTGCTCGTGAATTAAACATGATGATATCGAAAATCCGTATTACGATCTTAAAAATAAGGGTATACATCACCAAGCACCAGGAACAAGGGGGAAAAGAAAAAAATAAAGAAAAAACCAGAAAGGGTTGACGGACAAAACAAATTATACCTCTATCCGGAACAAAGAATTTCATGAAACCAGAAAATGAAATCAAGAAAAAAAGAAAGAAACCGAAGGGTAGTTGGGAGGAAGAAATAAGGCTGTAGAAAGAAGAGAAGAGGTGTCCAGGCAGGCGGGAGGGCCCCTGGAGTCATGGCTAATAAAGCTACACGATTGTGTGTATGTAAAGAAATCGGAATGATCAAAGGAAGAGAATCAGTATTAAGAGCATAGTGAGTATCAGGTCTTAGTATCAAATAAAAACACAAGCTTTCAAAAGTCAAATCCATGGGTACTTTGCCCTTCTCACTGCCTCTCTCTCTCCTATTGGCATCTGCTAGGACTCAGTTGTTATATAGCCAGAACTGAGTGCATTCACACCTACCTCCCTGCTAAACAAAGAATTTAATGGTATCAAATTGCAATGGCCTTTGAATAAAGACGGCCTATGGGGGCCCTACACACGGGTATGGTAATGAAATTTAAGCGCCCACTTCCCCATTTGTTCCATCCCCGTGCTCGAGTTGTCGATTCTGCTCGCGCATGCGAGCCTCGATTTCTCTCAGCTGACTCTCGCGGGCCAAAAGTTCTTGCCGCTTCTCGTTGATTTCCCGCTGCACCTTCAGTTCGATCTCGCGGAGCTTCTCTTCTTCGCGGCGGAGCTGCTCCTCCTTTAGGCGAACGGACTGCGAGGCCAAATCTTCTGGGTTCATCGAGGAATCGTGGTTTCTACGAATACTGTTAGCATTGATGTTTCGAGATGCATAATCAGACTGGGAATCACATACGCAGCAGCTCCACCTTCCACGCTCTTGCTGAGCTTTTCGGTTCGGTAATTTTCGTAGAGGAAATCGTGAGTAATCTCTTTGAGGTCGGCAAGATGGCTATGCAAGAGAGCACTTCTGACAGCCAAGAAATCGGAGTGTCGCTGGTTCTCGACCTCAACTACACCCCATGGATATTGTCTTGCGCGGACCTTACGGCCGTTAATCTCAAGGACATCCTCAGAACCAACAATTGCAAATGGCATAAGCCCTCTGAGCTCGGCATTTTCCTCAACGGTGTCTTCGTCATCCTCTTCAACGTCGTAGGGGAAGTTATAGATGGGGATACGGTAGTGCTCAATATCCTCCATGATGAGCTTTTTCGACTCTGCGAGTTCGGCCGGGGTAAGAGAGTCTGCCTTCCCAATTACGGGGATAACATTGACACGTGGAGACAAGCGCTTCATCAACTCAATATCAAGCTCCCGCAAACCGTGACCAGTGGGTGTGATAAAGTAAAGGAGAGCGTGCACACGGTTATCACGGAATCGAGGATTACGCTTGATTCTGGATTCTTCCGCTAAGATGTCATCATACTGGCGTTCGAGATAACCGACGATTTCGGAGAAGCTGTGCAACCCGGTTAGCATTGGCTGTTCACATGCATGTTCCAGAAAACCCCTCCATACCTCTCTTCATTGTCGATCTGATCGCCAAAGCCGGGCGTATCGACAATTGTCAAGGAAATGCGGGTGCCCTCTTCATCTAGTTCGAGTTCTATGTGAGGATTAGTACAACTGGAACTTCACCTCGGAGACGTTGCCTTAAACCCACCGACAGTGACCGGCTTAATACGCACACCTTCCTCAAGGTGAGCATTTGTAGGATCGTCGGCATCTTTTCCTTGCAAAACCTTCTTTCCACAGAGTGTGTTGACAAAGGTTGTGCGGCCTAAGATGCGGAAGATTGACCCGTGGTTAGCACGCGGCAGGTGAAGTAACGACACACAAGTAAGCGTAAATGGAGTGCCCAATACCGGTTCCACTGGCGCCGCAAACCATCAAACAGAACTGAATTCCCTTCTTCACATTCTTCTTCCGGCGAATCTTGATCTGTGTTTGCAAGGTCAGCATGGGCAGTTAAGGGTGTGTCGTCGTGGCTTTCAGAAGGCCGGCAAAACTACAGCTAGAGCGACAAAGCGGGCAAAGGGCCAGCCATCCACACAAACGAAGGACGGGAACGTACAGCGTTGACTGTAGAAGCCATGGCGTGCGAGTTGGCGTGGAACGAAATCGTGAAGGACGGGGTGCAAGAAACTACGGAGTAGTCTCGCAGTCAAATGAGAAGGGGTGTTGGGTTCAGCGGCGTGGAAGCGAGGGAGATCCCAGCTTCAGGGAGGGGCAGCAGAAGATCTGGGTCCTTGATGGCTGCAATGGCAACAATTGCGAGAGAGGAGGCAGGGAGAAAAGGGTTGAAGCTGACCTGTGATGGCTTGCGAGGGTCAGTCAGGTCGTAAAAAACTAAGTTTAAGGGGCCTTCAGTTGCTTTGGTTGTCCGCTGGCCAAACAGCGCTAGGCGGGATTGGGAAGGGCAGCAGGGAGCGCCGCTAGTCCCGCTCCGGCTAGCCTGCTGTTTTGTGACGATTCCGTTTCAGGTGATTTTTCAGCAAAGGCAGCCAATGGGATCGCTGCAAGGACCGAATATTGCGCCAGGGCCGATTCTGCTTGGCTGGCCGACTGCTTGGTTTGGCTGTTTCCCCGCTCAGCCATTGGCTGAATTACGGGCATGGCGGGTAACCCGATTACCGCATGGTAACTTTTGCGCAACTATTGAGTTTCCCCCCTTTATTTTCCCCAGAGGAACCAAGCGGACAGGTGTGTGTGCCTGAGGGTCGCTCAGTGCTCACCACCACCGGCCGGAGGATCCTAGTGACTTTTTGCCCACAAACACAGTAATCAATTAACAATACGTCTCGCGTACATTAAGTTATTGGTCCCGGCTGGCATTCAGCATGTCGATACATAGGACGATATCCCACGTCCGCCCCGGCCTTGGCTCCCTGCAGCTGGTGGACGCGCTTCTGCAGCTCACGGAACAACCTTTTCCAGGAAGCTCACGGCCGGCGCTAAGCCATATCCGACCAAGCGTCCAATATGACCCCGTCATGTGACCGCACTGGCGGAGCATCGTGGATTACATAAGCCAACCTTCGCTGCGTCTGATCTGATATCATCGCCAGCCATCCATGCATCACGACCGCCAGCTTGAACGTCTGAAGGCCGTCAGGGTGGTTGCCTTAAACAGATAGGTTGGGAAGCAGAAAAGCGGTGAAGTTGAGCCTCCCGGGCGGCAGATCTGTATATGTATCGTTATATATCCTCCTTTTTTTCTTTTATGGACATCTCTGATCCATCTATTTAATCCGGCTTTCTGCGCTCTATATCGAGCCCGATACTTCATGGTATCATGATAAGGCCCTTGTTCTGAATGGAATTATGGACACAAGACAAGTAATAGATACCTCTACGGGGCCCGGCTCTCTCTCGGTAGCTTTCAACAGTGACAGCAGCTGCTTTTCGGTCGGCCTTGACTCGGGATTTTGTGGTGAGACTTCGATTCCCGAGTTCTTATCCGGACGAACCCTTGACTTACCATTGTTTTATGCGCAGTCTTTAATTCCGATCCATGTGAGCTAAAGGTGTCAAGAGGTAAGCAAGTGTGCACCGGGAATTTCAATATATACCCAAATTCTACAACTGCTAACACTGCTCCGTCAGACTTCAATGCCGGAATCGGGGTTGTGGAGATGCTTGGCCAGTCCAACTATCTAGCCCTCGTCGGAGGCGGGCGCAGGCCTAAGTTCCCTCAGAACAAGGTGTGCAACCTGCCCGTCCATCCACCATGAGTACTCTTCCGAATGGCTCACCGTCGTCTAGTTGATCATCTGGGACGACGCGAAGCAAAAGGCGGCCATTACGCTGGAGTTTCGCACTTCTGTCCTGCGAGTCCGCCTTACCAGATCCCGTGTTGTTGTTGCTTTACACAATAGCGTCCATGTTTTTGCATTTTCCGTTCCGCCACAGAAACTCTCCGTTTTTGAAACGGTAGATAACCCCCTGGGACTACTATGCTTAGGCCAGCAACTTCTCGCTTTCCCTGGTCGATCGCCTGGCCAAGTCCAAGTGGTAGAACTCGAGACTGGAAATGTTAGCATTATTCCGGCGCACAGCTCTCCGCTGAGAGCGCTAACTTTAAGCTCTGATGGAGCTTTACTGGCCACTGCGAGCGAAACAGTATGGCTCTCCTCTCCTAGTCCTTGTTACTCGTTTGGGGCCGTTGCGCTAACAATCAATACAATCAGGGAACACTCATCCGTGTATTTGCAACAAGCAACTGTGCCAAGATAGCAGAATTACGGAGAGGATTGGAGCATGCGGACATATTTTCATTGGGCATATCGCCATCTAACACACTACTTGCTGTTACATCAGACAAATCTACCCTGCATGTTTTTGATCTACCGCACGCTCGTAATCCTTCCCCAAACAGTCAGCCACCACAAGTCACAGGGGAAGAGGCATTATACAATAAATGGGGATTCCTAGGAAAGATACCCCTACTTCCGCGACTGTTCTCTGACGTATATTCATTCGCCAGTGCCCCTTTTGAAATTGGCGACGAGACCCCTCCGGGCACCGGATATATTCCGCAGCTGGGTTCTTCCTTTAGCCGACCGCCCAAAGGGGTTATTGGCTGGACTAGTGACGATACACTTTTGTTAATAGGCGCGGGTAAAGATGGAAGATGGGAGAGATTTATCATTCAGGATGGTCAGGATGGGAAGCGCGTTTGCACCAGAACTGGATGGAAGCGGTATTTAGGAAGTTGAAGCCGCTATTTCCACCCTGCAGCTGGGATTTTCTTTCCGATAATTCTCAACTGCACCAGATGCTAGCATTTAACGAACGGGATTTTCCAGTCGACCCCGTTTCCAATATACTACCACCCGGGAGACACTTGGGTGGAATGAAGGAAATTGTCTGCCAACGTGACCATCGATTGGCGGAGGGAATATTGCAGAGCGGGAACAATAGTCCCGGTGGCCTCATTCCACCGTAGGGTCCGATACCCGCGGAAGCATAGGTCTTTCGAAGAGGACGCAAGCCTTTTGCATTCGCGCAAGAATTCTTTGTCTATTTTTGTTCATCATTCCCGACCTTGCGATAGGGTGTTTTATCAATGTTTTGCCTTAATCAGCTGTAGTATAATCAGGATTCGAGATTGAACTTTTCATGGGCTGTAATCTCTTCTTCGATGTCTCCGCCCCCTTGAGGGAGATCGCGATCGCGATCTTCTACGGTGTGCATGACGTCTTTCACGCGAACGGGAACGTTCTTCGCTATGTCTCCGTCGGTGATGACGGCGATGCCGGTGTCGATCCCGTCGCTCGGCGCTATCGTTTCGTCGCCTGCTTGATTTCGATTTTGCCAGCGCTGCTGCAACCTCTTCTTTCTTTTCCTGTATTAAATATTCTTTCATTGGATCCTCATCATCATGCTCCTCAATAAGCCGTGCCAGTTCCACTTCTTCCTTCAGTAACGGCCGTTTCCTTCTCTCATCGTCACTCTTGCTCTCCGATCGGCGCCTTCTAGACGTCCTATAACCATGATGATCACGATCACGGTCCCGTCCACCCCGTTGTCTCTCCAGCTCTTCCTTATCTAATGGTGCAATATTATCTTCCAAGCCCTCCTCTTCTTTTCGTTTGTACCTCATGTGGTCAACCCTCAGCAATCTTCCCATCACAGTCGCACCACAAAGATTGTCCACGGCTAGATCGGTACTTCTCTGATCCTCATACTTTAAAAATGCAAATCCCTTGCTTTTCCCCGTATCCTTGTCGCGAACTAGATTGAGGTGCACCGGTTCACCGAATTGGGAGAATATGGTTAGAATATCACCTTCGCTAAGATCATATGGTAAACCGCCGATGTAGATATAAGCCGTGTCACGATAGTCGGCGTGCCAGGAAGCTTCTGGGGAGCTGGAGAAGAAGATACTGGGTTAGACTCAAAGGGAAGATTAGGCCGAAAAGGGGCTTTTTTTCTCACACTGCGGTTTCTAATTCCCGTTTGTTGAGAGCCTGAATCTGTCGGATGGAGTTCATTTTGACGCTTCGATAGACTCCAACTGAGACGGAATGGCGATTCCGGGAAAAGAATTCTTTCAGGAAAGAAGTGGGGAAGCTATCTTAGAGCTCAGTCTTGATATTGTGGTGAAGTGTAGACTGAGTTCCGTGGTAAAAATGAAGCGACTGTTGCGTTGCTCATCGTAGAGTCAAAACCGGAAATCATTGCATTTAGTTATTTGCAAACTGGTTACGGAAAAACCACAACGCGTGACATCAAGGGTCAGGGTCTCCGCAATGCCCTCCCAGCTCAACACTCTTTAGCTGCCGAGTCCTTCTTACTCTCCTTCGCAATTTATTCTCATAACTAGGCGCGGAGGAATATCTACTTTCATTACGCCACCCACCGTTCGTTCATTCTTCTCCGCTCTAAGCGGACAGTGCTACGCCGTCGTTTTACTTTCTCCCAAGGCACCACAGTCGCGATAACCGCAAATACTTATCCGTGCTGGTGCATAGAACCGTATACCTCCTCTTCTGTGCCCGAGGATCTTGATATGTTGTCGCTAAAATGATCGGAGTCGGACAACGAGCCTCGACTTTGAGCCAGAGCTCCGGAACCAAAAATGGCCCCGGCAGCAGACCGACTAGCAAAGACGGGAAGAAGAACCTGTGGTCCTCGATGTTAGATGGAGTTGCGAGTGGGAAGAGGTTACCGGAAAAGACTCTCCTAGTGCTAGGTATGTATCCTTTGTACTGTAGCTGCTGTGGAGCTTGCATTCATCCTGAAGAAAGGGGGTGGACTGACATCTTGACCAACGGTCATCTTATGGAATAGGAGGTACCCCAGAAAGCCAACGGGAGTTTTTAGATACTCTGTCATCTGATCCGTCTGATCCAAGGCTGCCGTCGGAGAAAAAGAAAGGAAAAGCTCCCCCCATTGCGAACCAATTCGCGCTTGGATACACATATCGGGATGTCCTCGATGCCGACCAAGAAGGTAGGCCCTCACAGTATTGGCGCATCCGATAATGGCTTTTAAGGAACTCTGTTAACAGTAGCGTTTTTGTAGATATCCTCTCCCGAGTATCTATCTATCTCCTCTCCGAACCCTCTCCAGCTTTTGCGCCGCTTCTAAAACCGCTCCTAAACCCGAAGTCTGTCCGGGAGACCTTGATTGTGATCCTTCTAGATTGGGAGTCACCATGGCTGTGGGTACGGCAATTAAGAGAGTGGATTCGTTTGCTAAGATCGGTGTTGTTCTCTCTTGATGATGATACCAAATTGGTCATGGAAGAGATCATGATGGAGTGGAAAGGACAGAGGAGAGGCACGGACTCCACATACCCAGCAGGTTCCAGTGCTCCAGTGTCGATACCTTTGGGACCGGGTGAATGGGATGAAGGGCTGGGAATCCCAATGTGTGTTGTCTGTCAAGGAGTAAGTTTTCCTTTACATTTCCTCTTTGTGTGGTGAGCTAATCAAGGGATAGGCCGAGAAAATTGAAAAGCTAGAAAAGGATCATGGTTGGCGGGAAGAGGAGTTCGATTTTATCCTGCAGTTTATGCGTACAATTCTTCTTAAGCGTACGTTCGCTGCCGTTCTCCAATGTTGACTGTCGCCTTTGCTAATCTGGATGTTAGACGGATCGTCTCTGATATACACTACACCTTTCCTCGCCAACTCGCTGCAAAGCTTGATACACTCGTCGCTTGGGATCCATTCGCTTCTTAAGAGACAGTCGTTTAAACATAACGTCATTGATAGGGACAAGATTCTAGTTCCATCCAACTGGGATTCATGGGGTAAGATTCGCATAATTAGAGAAGGTTTTGACATGGAGGGCGTAGGAACTGCATGGTCTATTGAAATCCAGGAATCTGCGGGCTCAGGAGACGAACCTGCTGAGAGAGAGCCAAACCCGGAGGACGGCACGAGTGCGGTGGCTATATACGAGCAAACAATCCAAGATCCCAAACGGGACACCGCCATCTCGAGGACGAATCAATCTGATGATCACAAAATGGAAGTCGACACGGTCGATTCCCAAACATTTTTAGGGGAACAGCTTGAGGTACTCGAACAATTGAAAGCTGAAGATGAGAAACAGGAGCGCCAGGTGCGAAAAGAAGGAACGCTTAGGGAGAGCCCTGTGATTGATGAGACTGGACGAGTCAATGAGCACATTGGACCAGTACAGTTTAACATGGGTGGTATTCAAGTCGATGCCGATGACATGCTGAGGAGACTAAAGGTAGGTCTTATCTATTCCCTCTATGCACGACGAGACTGTTGGCTTTCGTTCGCTAACAGCCTCGTTATAGGAACGGGAAGCCAGCCGAGCGTCGAACCGCAGGGAGACTCAGTCCGGGGGGGAATCACCGCTCGCAGGATCCGTTGGCTCATCACCCGTGGCTTCAACCGGGGAACCAAAGATGCAAAATCAGGCTTTGGCCAGCTTTTTCGCAGGCCTGGTTAAAAAGCCGGGCGGTAGCCCTCGATCAAACCAGACATGATACTTGATGTCGAGATAAAGGCAATTCACAATGGTTGGAGTGTTTCCTCCTTCGTTTATTGGCGGGACATGTTGTTTGTTGCAGCTCCTTTAGTCTTTTCTTTTTTAACCCGGCATCCATATCCAGCTTTCATTCCTCGCTTGATTTGGTGGACTGCCCTCCTGATATCGGCTTGGTAGATACAGTGAGTCTTCTATACCCCGTTTTCCATGGTTTTCTCTCAAGCTATAAGCTATAATTATATCAGTGCACTTTTGTAAGCCGAATGCGATGTTGCATATGTCTACATCCAGCGAGCCGCTGCTATATTTTGTATCCTATTGTGCGGAGGACATAAACTACGGCAGAGTAAGGAGATAAAAATTGAACAGGTGTCATGTACTCAATTTCTGGAATTTCTTGAGCAGTAAATACTGGTATTATTAATATATACAATTAGAATTGTGAACCGGGGAAATTTATGCTCGCGAAGGGAGAAATCGCGATATGATTATCGACCGGATGTTTACGGGTTGATATTGACGACCGGGACCGTAGTGTCGCTCAGCTTGACAGCATTAGGATTACTCTCCCCAATGCCGGAGTATTTGTTGACCCATCCGAGGACCTGCTGGTGCCAGACGAGGGAGTTCTCTCTTCCAAGGACCCTATGAAGCGGAGTATGTTAGAAAACCTGCGATGCTGGGGAAAGGACGCTGGGGAATATACCAGTGGTTCTCATCCGGGAAGTTGAGTAAGCGGCTGGGAACGCCACGCTCCTGAAGGATGTTGAAAAGACTGACGCCGTCAGAGACAGAGAGACGGAAGTCGAGATCGTTGTGGATAACGAGTTGGGGAGTAGCGAAGCGAAGAATGTTCTCTGGAGCAGAGGGGTCGAAGCGCTCAAAGTTGTCACGGGCATCCCAGAAGGTGCCGTTGAACTATGAAATATGTTAGGAACTAGGGTAAAGATCAGAGAAATGAAGGCCATACGTCGTGCTCCATAAACCAAAGCTCCTCAGTGGCGATCTTAGCAGGAGCAACAAAGGTTCCGTCATGGGAGACCAAGGCCTTGAATTTTCTTCCAAAGTCATTGCCTTGGATCCAGTTGATCATGAATCCGCCGAAGCTGGCGCCTGCAGCAACGCCGTTTTCGGTATCAATGTAGGGAATGGAGCTTTCAATGTGCTCCCAACATTTAATGAGATCCTTGTAAGGAGCGTTTCCTGTAGGCTCACCGTTAGTATGTCTCTATGCTAAAGACTAGACGCCAACTCACCCCAGTCGTTTTGAATGGCATCAGTAAAGGCCTGACCCCAGCCAGTGCTGCCAGTTGGGTTTGGAGCAACGGCAACGTATCCTTGATCAGCCCAGACCTTGGGGTTCCATCGGTAGCTCCAAGAGTCACCCCAGGCACCCTGAGGACCTCCGTGGATAAGGAACGCCAAAGGATACTTCTTGTTGGGATCAAAGTTCTCAGGCTTGACAATCCAGGCTTGGACCTGCGATGGTGTTTATCAGCAAGCATTACAGGTATAATGTGGAAGAGGGCAAGTTTACCTCTTGTCTGAATCCTTGGAAGTAGAATTCGTCGACGTCCTCGGGGCCGAGTCCCTTCAATTCGGGATCGTGTTCATTTGCATAGAACACCTTCCGTGGAGCACCACGTGGGCCAGTCGTGTAATATAGAGTATTGGACCAGAGAGAGGTACCAGTGACAAGCACGCGGTCAGAGCGTCCAAGGAAGCTGTAAGAACTGACAGAGCCGACGTTGCGCATGGCTCGTGGCCTTGTGCGTCTTCCTGCAGTGGCAGAGACAGAGAAAAGTTTCACGGTGCCGCGGTCCTCAGCGGTAAAGTACAAAGTTCTGCCATTTCGAGTCCATTGGATAGAGTCGGGAGATCTATCCCAGTCCTCCGCAACAGCCCTAATGCTTGGGGATGAGCCAAGAGTAGCAACGTAAATAATATTGCGGTCAGATTCGTAGTTTTCGCCATGCATCTGCACATAAGCGATCTTCTTACTATCGGGAGAGAACTTTGGAGAGGTGGAAGCACCACGAACACCCTCGGGGGTCGCTGGGCCATCTCGTGCGTTGATTGGAGTGAATTCAGCAGATCCATCATGGGGACCAACGAAGATGTAGCTAGTGGTTAAGTTGGCCTTAGGCAATTCGGGGGCCTTGCTCATAAAAGCAACAGTTTGGCCGTCTGGAGAGATATCATAGTGATTAGATCCGCCGAATGGTGGGTAGGGAGATTCGGCGTTTCTGATGGGGGCGACAAGGTTGTTGAGATTTCCGTTAAGACTGTACTGGCTATCTCCTTTGCTTAGCGTGCCGGAGAAAACAGCGTTGAATTGAGTTGTCAACCAAGTATCCCAGTGGCGGACATAAATGCTGTCGTAGATACGAGCAGTAGAGAGGGGTTTCTCCGCCGTCTCGGGGTTGTAGAGAGTACCGTCAGGGGTAGACTGGCCGTAGGTGACGAACTTAACGTCGCCGCTCCGTGTAAGAACGGCCTTCAGACCGCTGAGTGGGCCAGGGAAAGCAGCAGCTTTGTAGCTATAGAGTGTGTTAGTATACTGTTACAATCCCGCTTCTTTTTGTGTCTCTTACGCCTTGGAGAAGTCCTTGATATCAGAAACCCAGATTTCACAACCTCCGGGTGTTTCGGAACTGGTGCTGTTGATATAGAGGATTTCTGTGCCTCTACCAAGCCAGACAATCTCTGAAACGTTCTCATCATCGGTGAGCGTGGTGATCTTGCTACTCTCCAAGTCGATGACGTCCCATTCATTCTTCGTGGTCTCATGTTGCTCAAAGGAGTATTGAGACACATGGAAAAATGCGACTTTCTATTCAGATTTGTCAATCAAATACAGATTACACCCAAAATCACGGCCAAAATGGCAAAACTTACTCCTGACGGGTCTGGAATGGCCTCGCCTCTTCGTGGAGAAGAAATAAATTGCCTACAAAGGACCGTGTCTCGTCAGTATTCGATGATCTGGAAGCCGACTTGATTCCTATCATAGCCAGAAATTGCTTACTCTGGGGTCATAGACAGAGCTGGCGATGCCAGCGCGGCGGCCGCGAGCAGCCATTTAGCCATCGCCATTGCTGCGAGTGACGAAGACGTGGGCCCAAACAGATAACTTGCTGTTCCAAGATCTCAATGACCCATAGACAACCCTGGACCCTGTGAGGACTTGTCTATCCATCTCCCCAATGCTGGGAGCATGGGGAGGTTTAAATACATCTCGAACAGACCTCAGCTAGAGAGCCAGCAGCCCTTGTCGGCCCAACAATGGATTCAAGGTACCCGGGATAGTGGATTCCCGACACTGTCCGGAAGCCTCCCCTCATTTCGTTTGTCACGCTAAGCCGTCGAGTGATAAAATTCTACGGAGTACCTCTACGGAAGCCTCTCTGTTGTTACTCCGTACACACGAGGTATCCCGGACCCTGGTCAACCTCCCTCAAATGGGAAAGCTTTGGGAGCGGATCGCGCTGGTTGATCAAGTGAAGCGGGTCCCGTTTCTCTTCCGCGAGAAAGAGAATCCCCATCCTTTCAGGTATCATACATTCATGATATATTAGTTACGTCCTGCACTTTCGATCAACTCGACAGGGCAAATCATGGTCTGAGTGTAGTACGGGACCAGCCGTCGAGAGCCGGTTTTCGACCAGATACGGATTGCGGATCGGATTGCGGATCGGATAAGCTTAGGACGTGACATTGGAGGCATGGGCCATTCAACTCGACCCGTGGACCTGATCGATTGCCATTTTATTGAGAAGGGTATCGGATGACCATAGCGTATCAACTCAAGTCGAGGTTACAATGCCAAGTCCAAAAAGCAAAGTGCGAGTTGTTTAACAAACAGCGCCATCGGCTCTCTCGCAGAAACGTCGTGGATGACCTCCGCAATCAAAATGAGCAAGGAACATGGTGCCAAGGGAAGCCAGAAGTCGGATATTTCGAGAACAATCTGGAGAAGATCAGCACACCAGCTGACGGCATTGGCTGATTTCCCGCTGCTTTCCCTTCAACGGCCTGAAAAGGCTGGAGAGAAACAAGGATGCCCCTTGACCGTCCAGCCATTTAGGTTCGGCTAAATTAAAAGTCGCCACGATCACCAACTAACCCGTGTCTTATTCAAGAGAAGGTGCCTCTCCACTTGACTTGAGTCCTTGACTGCTCAAAACGCCGAGATAAGTTAAAGCAGCACTCCATTGGAAGAATTGCTCAAAATACTAGAGGGCAGCAAAGCTCGTCGTCTAGACAACTGAGGCCGGGGATGTTTCAATCCTTAAGAGAATTTTCCGATATGCATCTTCATGGATCAGTTATCAGGTCGTACTACTCCATGCGGACAGGCAGATGTCGTTCAGCGGGGAACCGTGCCGCTCAGCGGGATGGTCGGCTCCATGTCCTGCGAACCCCGTTCTCCGTACCCCGTATGAGCGTGCCAATCGTATTCAGGCCTTTCGGTGCCATTGACTACACCTCGGCGACCAAATGCAATTAATCCTCTCCGATTTCATCTCCCTTTTTGGGAGGCGGAGAAATTCGGTCATTGCATGGGGATGACTGGCTCATTATTCTATCCACCCTGTTAACATTCTGGAACTTCGCAAAATATACACCTATTAAGGCGGAGGGTTCCTCGGTGTTACGAGTGATCATGTGGCCATGGCAGGGCCTGTAACCACAGTTCCAGAGCATTGGTGGATTGCTTATGGACTATATTGCTGTTGTTAAGCGAAGGAAAATCATGAAGAAAGTTATTCGAGCACTTTTGTCATCAATTCCTTGTTATGGAGGACCTTGATGGCGCTCTGCCGTTACAACGATCTGAAGCCCTGCATTCATTCTAAGCTGGGTCCAAGGGCCACCAAACTGAAGCCGAACCCGGCCTCACCGGTCTCACTTTTCTTCCCAATGAGTGTGCGCACTCCCAGATTTAGGGCATTCTCGCTCAAACAATCCTCGTCAGGCGCCAGGGCACCGCGATCAACAGGGCCTTTCATCGAACCATTCAACTCCCACAAGTGACCATCATCGCCTTTAGCAAAACTAATGAAGTGGAATTCACAACTATCACTGGGAATCGGAGCCCGCGTGTCTCCCATCTGCGCGGCCGAACGATGCGCATTTTCCAGTACCGGGGAATCATAGAGCAATCTCGCACGATCAACGGGAGACAGTGGCACGGCTGCTTTGAGCAGCCTGTCCAAGCCCGACTCCGGCTGAACATAGTGGCGCGCAGGGCCATTACTGATACAGTGTAACAAGGCCATCAAGCCACAGGCATTTCCGATTGTCTGCTTGAACCAAAGGACTGGCTCGTCTGGGCCAAATCCTTCATAATCATTCCTTGATGCTTCTTCCTCGTCTCGAGCTCGATGGTAGACGTCTCCATGGCAGATGAAGATCAACCCATACGCAGGGCGGGGAATAAAGGAGAGCAACTCCGGGTCATCAATGCTGTAGACATCGTAGAATCCCAGCTTTGGAGAGACGCCCAGATGGTGTATCAAATGGGACATCACCTCTGGATTGTTTTCTGGAATGATTCCACAAGATCAGCACGCGATGGAGGTCGCGACTTGAGGGGATGAGAAGCTACCTAGCGGCACAAAGGTCTTCTTCCCATTGATATACTCGACATCTGGCCGTTCAGCAGCAGCCATCATTTAAATATATACAGAGCGACGATTATTCTGGGTTCTGGAGTGGATTCAAAACCGAAGTTATGCAATCTCGAGACTTGTGAGAGCGGATACAGCAACAGACGGCCTCTTGTCTCGATTTTGTCGTCGCTGGACTGGCAGGCAACCGCCGCACTTGCGCGGCCAGAAACACATGACCACATGGCAACGTCCCTCCATCTCAACGCCCAAGACGCCCAACAACGCTCTGCTCTCGCGCAGATCACCACTCCTCTCCAGAATCCGCTTGATCGCAACAACTGCTGTCTTTTACTTTATTCCTCCTTTAGTTGCTGCGGACTAGTCCTTTGGAAGCTGGCTGTCGGGAGCGTTGGGAAGACCTATCTGTTTCCCGCGCCGCGACTCCAACCCCATGCTTGGGCTTGGTCGAGAGCCACAATCCGGATGTAACTCAACCCAGAGCAAAAACATCTCGTTGGATAATTTCCGTCCTCGGCTCTTCCAGCCCGGTGCTACCACCCCGGCTAGTGACGGCATGGGCTGCTCCCCATGGGCCCATTTCACATACTAGTTGACCAAGGCTAGGAAATTTCTGGAAGGAGTGCGAAGGATCTTATTCACATGAAGCCAACATCTCTTGGGCAAATAATCCCAATAAGAGCGCGAGTACGACTATTTTAGCTCGTATGACCGTGACGAGCAGCTCTCGCTTTGCTTCAGGATCAGCGAGCTGGGGAGAAGGGCTTGCATCTGACACGGCGGGGCTCCAGATCCTTCCTTTCAATCAGATATCTAATGCATGCTGTCCACCTATCCTGGTCTTGCAACAAGGAAGCGATAGGTCTACAATGTACATATCCGCGAGAACCTTTTTTTTTTTGGTCCAGAGCACTGTCAGTGATTGAACGGATCGACCAGCGTACCATTGCCTTGGAAAGAGTATTTCGGAGTCATCAAGATGGAGTATCCAATCACTCCCATCATTTTTATCAACTGCGAACTGTTTCCAGCAAGCTTTAATGATCCCGGCGTCATGTCCGAGACTGGATCAGACACCGGTCAGCAAAGCCAATGTCTTAATCAGCTATGCATGTTGCAGTTCCTTGTCTTGAAGAAATCCCGGTCCCTAAATGATCCTTGGCCCTGCGCATGAAAACATGCCCAAGCGTCTGAGCCTGCTCCAAATAAACTTCATTCTTGCCGTTGTTGCGGCAATCTTCGTGGGTGAATATGACCAAAATCTTAACAGAGGCTAGTCCATATCCCTGAACAACTTATACGGGGAGAAGGATCCTATTTTAAGGGACTGGGGAAGCATTTCATCGATGTCATTGAAATTGACCCCTGGGAATTGGCGGGAGCTCCCATCGTCGTTGGTCTTCAACTCTTCAAGCTCGACGGAATGAGCAATTTTTCTCCCCCAAAAAAAAAAAAAAAAAAAAAAAAAAAAAAAAAAAAAAAAAAAAAAAGAAAAAAGAAAAATCTAGTCTCGTATTACTATGCACTGTGTGTCCTGCTAGGCAACATCCATGGATATGATCTTGCAATGCCCTGGATTCCTCTTTACCTTACACTAGCCACGGTTGAATCTTGTCCCTTTCTGTCGAATTAAACTTTGAATGGTGATGACTCTTTTGTCTTCGCGTGTGATGCTTCGTGTGGAAGACCCTGCAAGTTCCCAAAGGGCCAGTGCTGGAGTTCGAAAACTCCGTCCATGTGAGATTTGGGCAGCACTTAGTTGGGCATTGCCATACCATCCTCCGGCGTTATCGACGCCGGGAATATTCACCTCTCCGATGAAAGCCGGCTTAACAGGACCTTTAAATCTAGGGTTAAGTAGTTCCTCTTTAGTCTGAAGGTCGGCTAGAAAGTGCGCACCAATACAACAAGATGGAGACGTGATCCTTATTTGTCGACCGCTCTGGGTATTTATTATCTGAGCACAATCATTCTGATTTGGGATGCTGCTTGGTGTTGAGCTCCATAGTCCAAATATTGACGGGGATAACAGCGTTTTTGGATAATCCCGGGTACTTTGCCATTCCAGTCCACTTTTTGTGTCCAAGTTTGAATTGGGCCGAAGCAGAGGGAACAGCTCATCCTTTACAGCCTGACTTGTAGACGTGTAAATAATGTTCTGGATGAGGAATTTGCTCTGTTGTTGCACTCTGTGCAGAATACATATGTAGATATTCCAGAATTCTGAGGAGCCATTTGTTGGAAACATGTTGGAAATCAAATTTACTACAAAGAACCAGCCAGCCTAGAAAATGCAAGAGAGTGCATAGACAAGGTGAGATAAATGTGAGTATCAAGTTGGTTTCCAGGACTTATGGAACTGCTAGCTTCATTACATTCCCACGTCTCCATCTAAGTGAATATGCTCGATATTGGAAGGAAAAATTTCTCAAGCAGCTGTTCTCTGATGAAGAGAATGCGAACAATATTATCAAGTTGTACTTAGTGCCAAAAGTATGGCTCTCCAAGTGAAAGTGTGCATAGAAGGGACACCTTGTTAACTGCAACTTGTGTTCCAAGGATGAAATATTTGGCAGTGGAAAAAAATTGCAGATGATATCAGTGTTAAGCTTGAAATCCTTCTGATGATGAATTTGATGACCTCTATTCCATGATGTTGTTCCATTTGAGCTTAGATGCACTCTTTGAGGGTCAACAGTCTTCCTGTCCTCAATATATAATTGGCTGTTGAATCAAGAAAGTCTCAGAGAGTGATTTAATAGGTAAGGATGATACTAGAAGAAAGGTGATGGATTTAGAGGCGCTGTGGGGTTTGCATTGAGAGCTGGAAGATTCACAGGGATTTCCTTGAATGGCTTTATATGTCAACTATAAGTGCAACTATAACCCTAGTACAAATGCTGAAGCCACTCTGCAATCATAATCTCATTATAGATAAAGATATAAGGCTAGTAATAGCACCAGTAGAGGCACATAAGACAACAATTTGAAGGCTTTGTTTGGCGGGATCAGCCCTACATTTTATATAGTGAAGCGGGCTTGAAACTTTACGGCTCTTCGAGGCGGCTTGTACCTGGCGATAACCAAGGCTCTACTTGAAAGAATCCGCAGAGGCCATCACTGTAATTCCGGCCCTCCTCCTCGTGCAGAGACAACTCCCACGCCATGCTATTAGGAACAACCGCATATTCAAGCGCCGGCGAAGATGCTTCCCACCATCTGCGCTCCCAGCCGGCAAAGTCCACTAATAAGTGGTTGTAGTTAGAGTTTGGCGGAAACATTTCCATATGGCCTCGGCAAAAAATCGATTTTAAGCAGCAGCATCATCATCACGCAGCAATATCCGAAGCTCCCCCCACAACAGTCGAGCAACGCATGATACTGAAGGCATACGGCCACTTTCGTACTATTTCGCCCTGCCTGCCTTGTTTACTTGGACTGGTGAGCATCAAAGGAGAAATCATCCAGAAAGAAGAAAAATAAATTCGTCTCCGACTGGAATATTAACGAAAAAAGCCGACAACAATGCAAGAATTTCTCCAAACCAGCCTTCCTTCCCCGCCATTCTACATAGCCGATGGGATCTCCAATCTCCGCGACGTAGGAGGATACGCCATATCGTCAACAGCCTCCGTAAGACGCAACTTTATTTACCGCTCTGCGCACCTCTCGCGAGCCACGCCCGAAGGCGCAAAAGTGCTTGCCCAACAACTCGGGATTTCCAAGATCTTTGATTTTCGTTCCGTTCCAGAGACATTAAAAAACCCGTCCTGTGAGATTCCCGGCGCAGAGAGGTTGCATGTACCTGTTTTCACGGACCAAGACGCAAGTCCCGAAAGTCTCGCCTTGAGATATAAGCATTATGCTTCTGAAGAGGGACCCAAAGCGTTCATGCATGCGTACAAGGAGATATTGCAGAGTGGAGCAAGCAACGCATTTAAGACTGTTTTTGAACATATCAGAGACCAGCCGAACCAGCCACTGCTCTTCCACTGTACAGGCGGCAAGGATCGAACGGGTGTATTTGCGGCATTGGTCCTGCGTGTTGCCGGGGTACGCGATGACGATGTAATTGGCCAAGAGTATGAGCTCACGGAAGTGGGATTGGGCTCGTTAAGAGAAGAGTTCATACAAAATCTGCTCAAGCATCCTGCTCTGCAAGACGACCCGTCTGGCGCCCATCGAATGACTTCGGCAAAAGCTGAAGCGATAAAAGCAACGCTAGCATGGTTAGATGCTACGTATGGCAGTGTTGAGGGATACATGAAAAAGGCCATTGGCTTTGGGGACGATGATATCGCAAAAATCAGGAAAAATCTTCTCGTGGAAGAAAAGGCAATTCTTTAAGGCAAAATAGAGGATAGAGGCCAAGCGAAAGGCCTGAACTCGCCTTCATGAGACAAGCTAGAAGCGACATGATTATATTAGAGATATGGGATATGACATACCGGGTAGATATGTTGAACGATGGACTTTTATTGATAATCATTTTACCATTTTTCCCAAACTGCGGCAGGAAGTACAGTTCTCATAATCTTCCAGTGTCCGATGGCGCTTTGCGAATGCCACTTTTGGAGCTGGCCAATTTGGTTTTTGTCCAAGATATCCGGATGGCCACTCCCTGCGTTCTTGAATGTATCTTTTTCGATCTCAAATTTAGGGAACATATACGATTCCCTTGACATACTGCCCAAATAATCAGATGTGATCGGTTCTCTAAATTCTAGGGCAGATTCTGTCTTTGTGCAAAAGATAACCATATTCGTGAAGTCACCTGCTGGACCGGCAGTTGGCTGGCCTTCGCGGAAGACCCTGCACGATGGAAAGGCAGCCAATATAGTCCGTACTATCAGACCAGCTGAAGGTAACGTTAGATCACCAGCATAGTTCTGGAGTTTGATAAACAGTTGGTTAGCGTCTCATCCCATCTTATGTCAATGGGCAGGGGAAAGACGAACAATTGCAATAACTCCATCGTCTTGCAGCAAATCAAGCAGTCCGTGCATAAAGTCTAGCGTAAAAAGGTCCGCGGGTTCGACTCCGCCGGTGAAAACATCATGGACGATAAAATCGTAACGAGGGATTGGATCAAGGTTCCTCGTACGTTGGACAAAAGTAACAGCATCCTCAATCACGGTGTTTGCTTTGCTCGGAAACTTGAAATACTCCGTCGCGAGCTGGTGCACTGTCGGATCTATTTCGACAACCGTTGTGTTTATGCCATGGGCAACCAGCGCGGCAGGCGTAGTCCCGATTCCAAGTCCACTTCAGACGCATTAGCTGCGGAAACATGTTTCATGAGGTTCAATCAGCTCACATTACAAGAGCATTGGTGCCAGATCCTGCCCTTCGTGCCTCCCCTTTATCCGTCTTGATTAACCTAACCGACTCTAGCATTGTGAAAACAGCGTACACGGGGTCGCTAACCAGCTGCTTCGGCATACCAGGAGGCGGTATCCATTCCCCACCGAGAAGACTGTGGTCGCACCTCATGACTCTAAAATTAAGCTTCTTGTTTTCCAGCACCGATATGTATCCGGTTAATGAATCCTGACGGTGAAGTAAAACGTAATCATCCGCTCGAAGACTGGTATTCAGTCTCACCGTGGCAAGTCCTGAAGGGACATGAATATTGAATCCAGCGTAAAAGATCAAAGATGGAATGGTAAGTAGAAGCCACTTCGATGGTAGGCATATTGAAAAGAGTGTCGCTATAGCGAATTGAAGGCCTGTACGGGTCATTAAAACGCTTGACCCAATATGCCTAGCCAGATAGCTCCCTGTCATCCTCAAGGTGGTCGTGAACAATATGTAGGATCCCAGAAAGGTCCCATGATCAGCTATCAAACGAGGTCCGCGGCTAAGATCCAACTCCCTCAAGAACATCCCCGCCGAAGTAGCAGAAAGCGCCACCAAGGGATACAGAGTACTTAGCTCCGTGATGAGTGGTCCGAATTCAGGCCCTAGACGACTGCTTTGTTGAAACAAGAAGTATTGGATGGTCGGGATGACCCAAGCAAGCACTGGCAATAGGCTTGCAGGCCTTCCAAAACAAAGAGCCTTGATTTGATTCATCCCCAGCCAGCCTACAAGGGCGGCAATCATTACTCCTTGACGGTGAAAAGAGCTCGCCGGAACAGACCCGTAGACCGGCGACAATGTCAGTTGAGAAACATATGACGAGCTCGCTGCTAAAGCAACAATGGCTATGGCCGTAGCTGCTGATTTCATTGCGTGCTGAGTATCGACTCGTCGACTTCGGGTGTTTGGCCCCGTCCCTTGAGACTTTTTGTTTCCTGAAGCCTCTCCGCCTCCCCGACGCGGCTTGGATCCTGCCATGTTATGTATGTATGGGTTTAGATCCAAGACGGGCGTAGATAGTGGGCGGGAATAACGTGAAGCAGCCCGCTGATGGGCCTAGGCGGAGGAGTTAAAAAAGGAGACAGACACCAAAGAATAGAACGCTCAATTTTAATAGGATCAAATGTCAAAATCTGTATGCGTTAGAATTTGGACCTCCATCTTTGATATTTCGTTGAAGCATGCCGTGGCCACTGAGGTCGTTTCATGTTACACCCTAGAGGTCCACTAACTAGTTAGTTAGTTTAGCTTTCGTAGAAGCTCAGCACCCCAGCATGGCTTCAAGCTCGCGGAATTGCCACGCGACAAGGGCCTAGCCCTGATTACTATTGAGCTCCAAATGCTCTCCATACAATGTCACTCTCGGCTCTCACTTCATATACCGTGAAATCCCGCCGTTCTACATTATGCCATACTTTCCAATGAACACAGAGGCCTTTGTGGTTTCATGCCAACATCCCAGCGCCGACCACGACAATGAGACCTCATCAGACCCGCCTATACATCCTCCAGCATCTATTCAAGTCAAAAACCGCCGGAAGAGATACCTGGAATTACACCCAGAGTATTTCTCTTCTGGCCTCGAGTTAGCTGGTGTGCTTTTGTCTCTGCTTCTGCGAGTGTCGCACAACATACTAACTAGCCCTTTGCGGCGTCTCCAGACCCTCTACTTTACGATCGCTTGATCCGACGATTCCAAACGGCGAGTGAACGAGAAGAAGAGGGCCGTGCAAAGGGCTACTCCGGCGAGCTGGAAGCTGATCTTATGAGAGCCGAACTGAAAATGGAGGCTCTGACGCATCCTGATCCAAACACAACGTTTACTTACTCTCGTGGGCCGCACGGAGAAATTCTGGCTGAAGAGGAGGACGAGATCCCCGCAACTCGAGAAGAGGGAAAAGAGAGGTGGAGATCAGAGATGGAATTGAGATTTCTGAGAGGAGCAGACCAAGATTTTGATTACGCTACTGTCGACGAGTGCGACGACTACGATGACCTAAGTGAGGAGCAGGAGAAGTACTTCGATGAAGAAGAGCCGGAGTGGTTGGTCGAAATGGATGAAAACGGCAATCCAAGACTGCAAGGAGAGACTGGTGTTCAAGACTTCTGAATGCTTCGATTCAACTGCCAACGAGTTATATACCCGCTGGTTCCAGCCGTCTCATTTGGGCCGAAGTGTGGATATTGAGCATCTGCACACTTGAAAAGCTGTATTTGGCTTTTCTGTTAGTGACCATCTCGCCATTGAGAAATAATTCTGAGTTGTCAGGCACCTCAGAAGGGTGTGATCCCGTTTGGGCGTTTGCAATACGCTGTAGAGTGATTGATCGAACACCTAGGAAAGCCAAGGATCGTCAATGCTACCGCTTGCGAACGATAAATGAAAGGATGTCGGGTCGAGGGCTAGTTCCTTGACAAGCACACATCCGAGCGGGCCAGACAATTGGATTTAGGAGCTCATGGCTTTACCTGGAAGATGGTTATACATAGTTATACTCCGTACTGTTGCCTTGTTTATCAGCATGACGGTTGATGCTGTTAACTTCTGATGACGATGATGGCAGCAACAGATCCTTATGCAACATTAAATCACGATGACAAAGACGATTCTAGCTTCGTCCGCTCTGTGAACAAGGTGTCACATAAGGCCTGACATCACGGTGGATTATTAAGAGTCAGCTCATTTTGATACCCAGGTCCGCCAGTACCAAAATTAAGCATGTAGTTCTTCAAGATGATGGGCTGGCTTTATACAGTTTGTGGGATCATCAGGAGAAGTATGTGCAACCAGGCACATGTGACCTCCGATCATTTGCGAGATGGCGATCGATTCTTTCTTGGAATTGTGGATTGTCGGAGCCATTTCGCTGGCGTAAGGCTCCGCATACGGATGTTTCCCTATGTACAGGAGCACGGAGTAGCTGGTTGCATTTTTCTCATCGAACGACCGCGAGACCTGGAATCGGGCCCTAGTGCTTTTGTCACGGCAAAGGAGTTCGTCCTTGCTAGACCGGAACACCGAAAGCGAGGATTGTTTCCTAGATTCAACGGATTAGCCGTCATATCTCCTCCAAAGCTTCAGGTCATGCTATCCCAGCGACTCAGGAGGTCAGCCCGGCATGGTTCCCCAGCCGTCGCTTGACGGACGGAGTAAGTACATGCGCCAGGGAGGACAGGCAACTCCCCAGCCTTTCAATACCAGTCCGTTCCATACGGTCGATACGCAATTCCAATACCATACCGGCCGATGTTCAGACGTGACGATACGTCTGTGGGAAACAATACGGAGGTGACGAGGGCGGTACTCTCAGCCCTTGGCCGTGTCACCCACCCGCTCCCCCCGTTTCTCGTTTCCGGCGACTCCTTTCTTTTCCACCCTGCCTTGGCACACAGCGCATCGTACGTCCTTCGAGAAAATCTTGGCGCAAATCTCCTCTCTTGGCGCCCTCTCGACGTGGTGACGAATCGCACGGAGCCAATCGGCACCGTCAGACGGCCACCTTGCTGATCTTGGCCTTTTCTCAGTCAAAGAACCGCCTGTGCAACGCCCTCGTCTGGACCTTTGGTCTCTACGTTATAGCCTCAGTACTGCTTGGCGACCCTGTCGACGGCTGGTTGTTGCTTTTTCATTCTGGACTGTGGCCGGCAGACGATGCAGGCGCCCAAGGGATCACTGTCTTGGCGCTGTCTGCCATTTAAGCTCTGCGGTGATCTGCTATTAGTTCCATCGCCAAGGGCAGAGTTGTCAGCCTGGGCTTTGACAAAGCAAGCCTCCACGACATCATTCCTTCTTGTGTTTTGAAGCCATCCATCTTCTGCAAGGTGTACATATTTTTATCTTAACCGCATGTTCGGCGATCAATGAGGCTTTTTGGAGAATTGCGAGCGCTCGCCTCTCCTTTCGACTCAGCCACTGCGAGGGCGTTACCGCCTCGAAGACACCATGCTAGAGAGTTTTTGCCAATTGCTCGGCATTTTTCAAGGCGTAGATTATGAACTAATTTGCCTAGCGTCCAATGTTTCGTTTGATCATTCTCATTTCACTTGGCGGCACATGAGCATCTCGGCCAGAGAGGTATTGTCCCATGTCGCAACCAGGCCAGTACAGCGAATTATACGTACATCATATGCTGATATCTTCTTGACGGACATCCTTTGGAAGCATTGTGTGGGCTGTGTATCTCTACTTGAAAGGTGCAACACAGTCGCGTTTCTGCCCTGTTTTGTGTGCCGCACGTGTCCACACAGCCTTGCAACTACCCAGATTTCGTCTTGTTAGCTGACGAGCTTCGTAGAGGGCACAAGGGCTCCGTCCCCCACACAAAACGCAACGGTCACTTGCATGGGAGCGTGGCCCGTGTGTAGATATCTATTGGACTTCGCCGGGGCACGGCGATACATTGGCGCACTTTCTCGCGAACGGGGGCTACTGCCGGGATTTTGTCTTTGTGTTCTTCTTTTGGAGACTTGGCGGCTCTCACTCTTTATGAAAATCTTCGATTATACAGCGGCTCATATGGTGACGAATCGTTGTTGCAAATAAATCGAGGCTTATCACTTTAGTCTGTTTCATTTTCATGTTGACGGATGAAGTCGACGGCGATGAAACCTGAGCGGGTGGTCCCGCATGCCTTCTCGGTTCATCTCGAGCTCACGGTTAAACCCATAATCCAAGGAGCACATGCATTCCGCCAGGCCGGCCCTGTCAGGCGCGCGGAAAAAGGGAAATCGCTCGTTCAGGACAAGCCTCCTTACATTTCCATCCTTGGGATGAGGATCACAAGGGAAAGGGGGAGGAAGAAAAGGCAGCTATCCTTACCTTTTCCGACTTAACAACCACCCCATTCATCGCTGAAACTTCAATCATCAACCTGTAATAGTGTTTTCAACATGCACCTCTGCCGAAGTCACACAGCCCACCCACACGCCTACACACACAAGCGCGGTGGCGATCTGCAAAGTACACAGTAGCATTTTCCTCATCAGGGAATGCTCTCTCCGCGTTGTGTAAACTGTGTTCATCCCGCGGAAAAAAAGTACGACGAACCAGCAGGCCAGTTCATAGACAAATTTCAGATAGGCTGCATGATGGTGGAGAGGGGGGAAAAAAAAGAAAAAGAAGAAGAAAAATGGGATGACAAGGCGCAGGTCATCGGGCGGCAGATCAGAACCGGCATTTCGCTCCCAAGATCGTCAAGAAGGCGACGAGACAGGGTAACTCACTCATTGCTGCAGACAAAGACATTTTTTGCCTTGGCGCGCGCGAAGCTGGCGTCGAGCTATATGCTTGGGGAACCACTGTTATACAGCTGAGCATGACGCAGCTCGCCAATGCTGACAAGAATCCAAGAATATCTTCTCCCATTTCGTCTGCGTACCGCAGACATGTATTAGCTGCTTTGTAGACACCAAGATAAGTCAAAAAAAAGGAGACAGCTGGGCGGGAAAGGTATAAAAAAGTGAAGTGATTTGCAAGTCAGCAGCATGGACTGGGTAGGAAAACATGTCTAATCGGCTCGAATATATTATAATTATATTTTCCCCACCCCTGTCAAAAACAAGAAAACCAAGTACAATATAATGCTGCATCAAAGTAAAAAAAATCGATTAAAGAATGCAATCATAACAAGTTTACCACTCCAGCAGCCAAAGTATCCGTAAACCAGTAATAAACATGCTGCAAAGCTAAAACTCACATAGGACAGAGGTGGAAAACATTATGCCTTATCATGCCAAGCAAACAACCACCTCTGACAAAGAATTTTCGGAAGAATGTATGTCAGGTACGCTCTGAAATAACAAAGGGAACTTTTTGTATGACGAGGGCTGAGGAAAGATGATTGCTCTCCGGGCAAGGAGTAGGTAGAGCAACAAGTGTGAACCTGGTGAGTCTGGGCCAAGATGGATAAGTGCACCGCCAACAAAAGGGATAGACACGCATTGAAAGAATAAAGCCATTGTGCTGAAACAAGAAGCCGTATCAGATGCATAGCAAAGCACCGACCCAAGGACATCATCACGAAGAAACAGATAGCAATAGGGGATGAATGTCAAACCCACTCAGCCCATCCAGTAGGTAAATATCAACAAGAATTTAAAGTTAATCCAGGCTCCAAATCAGAAAGTCGTAGAGACGGAGGTCATCAAATTCGACGAGTTTAGTCGCTTAAAGTCTCGACATGTCGGTCCTTAGTTTGAAACCATTCGATGACCCCGGTTCATCTCGTCATTAATATCCCTCTCCCATATCAAACCGGTGCTGCGGGAGATACTTTTTCTCCGGTGGAAAATGGTGATGAATCTTTTGTACCACCATCTTGTTAGCGAGCTTACAGCTTCCCTTGCCGGCTGCGTCAATGCCGGTGACCACTTTTGAAGGATCTTTGACACGATCTGGTGAGCAGCATTCGATGGTCTTAAAGTACCGATCGCTCATGACTTCGGCGACCGTGATTCTCTTGGTCGGATCTGGGTGCAACATTCGAAGTAAGAGGCGTTTCATGCCGGAATGGTTCAAACGTCTAAAAATAGGCCCGCAATTAGGCGCTTTGTCATCCGTTACCAGTCCCTCAGGATCAGCCTGAAGAAAGGTTTGCCATCCTTCGAAAAATCTCGCGTAGTTAGTGTATTTGTTGTCAGCTGCGGGCCACGGGTTCCCTCGGTAATTAAGTGTAAGGTAGACGATCGCACAGGACCAAATATCCAGAGGTCGAGGATCATAATCACCTACAGCATTGTAAGCGATTGAACGAAAAACAAAAAAAATTGGAATAATAAATTACCTTTCTTGGCCAAAACCTCAGGAGCGATATATGGCAAGCTACCGCAAATTCCGGGAGCACACAGGCGGACTTCGCCCATGTTTTTGCCACAGATGCCACCTGCAGAGCGCAAGCCTGGATGTATCCCACTGAACACTTCAGACACACCAAAATCAGTGATCTTGATGTAGCCATCATCAGACAATAACAGATTTTCCAGTTTAATATCACGATGGGCAATGCCATTTTCGTGCAGGTATCCGACACCCCGCATTATTTGCTTGAAAAAGCAAGCATTATCCCGAGGAGTAAGGTAGTCCTTTTGCACCAATGAAAATAGTTCTCCGTAGGAACAATACTCCATCACATGATTCCATCGGCCATTGTGGGTGCAAAGGCGGAATGTCTTCACAATGTTCGGGTGGTCTAGGCTGTTTGCGATGCTAAACTCCGACTTGACCTTTTGTTCATACTCCTGTTCATCCTCTTTCTGACCGCGTTTTCTGAACTCCTTCACAGCGTAAGGCACATCCTTGTCACCGCTCTTGCGATACATGATCTTTACGGTTGCAGTCGCGCCTTTGCCAACCTCTTTGCCCCTCCGTCCCGGAAGTCTACTGGAGTTGGTATACTCCTCGTGCAAGTCGCAAGTATCAACAAAGAACCCATCTGGAAGGCTCGCGCTCATGCGTCGCGCTTTCAAGCCGGCTCCCGACACTGCGGGTATCGAAAATCCTGGTCGCTCTGGCTGTCTATGGACATCACCCAGGCTGGGTGATCGTATTCTTGTCTCCTCTCGATGAGGCTTGGGAGTAGGAGCGAATATGATCTTACTTCGTTCTCTTAGGCTCAATCCAGTAGACGATCGCATGGGTTTTTTGTATGGTATTCCATCCGTTTGCGACATCCCTAACGTCGGGTTCAAACCAGCGTTGATCGTACTGGACGGCGATGCAGGCGATGGTGGGGAGTTGGAATGGGTTGTTGTGGGAGAGTGTTGCGCGGTTGAACTGACAGAATTCTTGCGTAGTGATGAGAAGAGGCCAGATTTCGAATACGTGGGGCTAGGATTGTTCGGCTCTATCGCCTGTTCGTCTGCAGAAAGCGAGTTTGACCGACGGAATAACGACTTGAGAGATTTGGAGGCGGATTTTAGGTGCGAAGAACGACGGCGGGGAGACGTCCCAGCGTGTGAACGATCAGGAGATTTCGTGCCAGATGGGGCGGAAGGAGGAGTTGCGGTTGTGTTGATGATTAAAGGGTGTGGGAGAGCAGCTTGTTTAAGAGAGGAGTTGGCGGCCGATTTGGGGTTGCGGTACATATGAGGAGGAGTGGTGCTTCTCGGAGTGATAGGTTCAAGTGGTTCGCTTGCGGTCTCTTCATCTTCTTCTCGGATAGCATCTGGGATATCAGAGGCGCGAAGGGGTTCGGGCATCTCAAGAGCTGGACCTGGGGTAAGAGTCAGGATGACAGGCGATTCTGTGCCTGAGTTGTTCGTATATTCCTCCATGACCCTGGAATCTTGGAGAGATGGACACACTGCCTGGGTCCGACCTCGGTTCGGCATGGTAGGAGCAACAAATCTTCGAATATTCGACTGGCAGCCTACGGTCCCTCAACCTCCCAAGCGACGCTTTATCTCAATCGACCTACACCCAAACCCAGTGCTTCTCAATCCTCTTTCTTCTTCAACTAGAGTGGCGTGCAGGCTGACAAGAAACAACGACAACAGGGAGGATCCGGATTATCGAAGGGCCAGGAGCACAAACGGGGGATATATGATGTCTTGATCACCAGTGACGAGCTAGGACAAACAGGCCACAACGCAGACAGAGACTACTGCCTTTGAAGTGAGCTGACGCGGCCAGAAGCCGAGAGAAGGAGTAATAGGGCGAAGGAGAAGGTTCGTCGGGATATCTTATCCATCGAATGCAGGACCGGATGGCTTAGGCAGTGTACGGAGTAGTGCGGCGGAGTATCAAAAGCCTGCAATATGGGATGCAAGAAGTGGAGAGAGACAAGGGCTGCGAGAATTTGCAAAATAGATAGTATGATCAGATATATGGAGAGAAAGGGAGAGAGAGCTGGAAGGGCAGACAAGGACACGGGAAAGCGAGGAGGAGAGGAAAAGCGAGAACGAGAGAGAGGGACAAGGGAACCGCAGGATCTTGGAGGGGAAGTCTCCAGCACAGGGGATGGGGGCTGTAACTCTCGGTTTAGCGTTTCCCACCAAAACCCAGCGCAGGGGGGAGGAAGAGCCGGCGCGCGGCTTTGGGGGGAGGCCTTGGCCCGGTGGCTAGGGACCGGTTAAGGTTATGACGGGGAAAAATATGTAATGATGATGCGGTAAGGTAACGGAATCCACTCCCTGGGCGTAATTATCGACGATCGTGTCCTCCTGGAGATATACTCCGCACCAGCGAGCTGTCCACGAACAACCCTCACAACGGGGAAAAACGATCGTCGTAATGTATTTTATCGTGGTAAAGTCACTATCTCTATACCGCCCGGAACACCGTATGGATGCTGACCGTGTTTTCAACTGGGATGTGTGATCCTTTGGCAGCGTTGGAGAGTTCGCGATCGATCCTCTTATACGTATTCACCTCCTGTTCGAGGTGGACTTTGCGATGATTTCGTTGTGTACATATGAAGCTTGGCGGCGATATACCGCGGATACCAGTTGTTCGGGATGTCGATGCCAGGTAGTTAGGGGAAACGGGATTGGCGGTCGGCCGAGTTGCGCAACGGAAGCTCGTTACCTGGTTCTGCACCGAACGCCGCTTGTCAAGGGGATGATGGGTCGACGAATGAGTGGTTGATTCAATGTCAGAATGACCCAGGAGAATATCCCTCTGGTCAAGTCACTTTTATTAAGGTGTTTGATTATATATGGAGTAAGAGCAGTATGCTCTTGGGAAAGATGGAGAATTACGGAGACGTTGTAGAATGGATAAGCGCCTGGCTGTGGATCTCCTGACGCCTGAGATCAACCGGCCCTTTTATCTTCTGAGCCATTGCTATGGTTTCTTTGTTTTTTTTCCCTCCTCCATCCTCCGCATGCCGGGCCCTGGTTTTGATTGCCCGGCCGCTTCTTGTTGCTTTGCTGACGAAACTCGTAGCGGAGCCGAGACGACCTTACCCGCGGCAGCAGCCAAGGCGTAGAAGTGCCACTTGTCTCCCGTTCAATCTTTTCTATTGTTGCTCCCTTGTTACGCGGCAAGGCCTTTCCATCCCAAGACAATCCTTCCGTCCAATCTTGGCTCTCTTAGGTGTGCGCTGGGCATCCTGGTTCCGCTCTGCGGTCGATCATGACAGTTCAGGCTGCGCGCTATTTTCTTTTCAGGCTAACAATTAGAGTTGAAGATGAACTTGCATCCCCACATTCATAATTCTTTTTTTGGGTGAAGTTGCCAGGGAACATGTCTGCACTGTGAGGCACGGGAAAATAGTGCCGAGAGGTTATTGAGATACATTACGGCCCTTACGGTACATTACTGAACTGTTCTGTTCCATGACACTACCTTACCACCACCCTGTCATGTCCGTTTCCAAGACCCAAAAAAAAAAAAAAAATAATCGCCATCTCCCCAACCAACCTTGAAACAAATCAATTTGTCCTGTCCAGAGTACATGCTGGACAGCGGCCCAGTCTCGATTCCTTTCACTTCCAGACTCCAAGATCCTGAGTTTCAGTGAGCTCGGGTTGAAACGCCCTGGAACCCTGGCTCCAGGAAGCTACATGGATATGTTCCGCGAGCATTGAGCTATCGGTGCTTGCTTGCAAGCCATCCTGTACGGAGTCCTGTTCAAACATACATAAAGCATCGATGCCATTCCCGTTCAGATCGAGCATAATCGAACAGGATTGAATCTCAGGTAGTCATGCTCGCAGCGTATTTTTTCTAAAACTGACAGAGTTCTCGGGCCTGACTCCATTTTCAGGCATTGAATGCCACTCTTTTCGAGCTTGGGCATTCTTTTCTTTCGCTCAGTCGCCTTTGGTAAACACCGCACCTGCCCGGTGTTTGCTCCACCTCAATCCCATGCTTTTTCGTTGCAGCTATCCGGGAAGGGTAACGTCTCACACGAGCTCGAAGCCGAGTTGCATATTCATCCTCGTGTCGCCTGGACATTCAAAACAGAGCCTTTTTCTTTTTCTTTTTCTTTTTTTTTTTTTTTTTTTTTTTTTTTTTTTTTTGGTTTTTCCCTTCTTCATTGCAGAAAAGACAAAAGATGAATTACTTGTTCTGACTCATCCCCACAATGATAATTTGCATAGTTATTGAAAACAAACTTGCAGTAACCGTTCAGTTTTCCACTGTCAAGCTCAAAATGATTGCACACGATTCGCTGCCACGCATCTTGTGAGCTCCATTAAATGGCTTGCTGGACTTTTCTTCACCTTAGCTGACTTGAGTTAGGCTGTTCCAGCGCCCCTGTCGAACATAAGCGGTATTTGACCGGCTCCGCTTCCCAGTGGTGAAAAGGTTCCTGCGGTTATTAATTATTACCGCCGTCCTCCCCACAAATAACAATTATCAAAGAATAATCCCACACCTTTTTCTTTTCTGTCTTCGTGGACAGTTATTATTGACGTTCGGCCAGGGGCCTATGTTTGGGACTATTTTTGCGTTGAACAATGACTTTCCGGCTCCAAGCGGTGGTCTCAGCCAACCACTGCGTCATGACAGAGCGACATCTCGTCCTCTCACCGCTACTATTTTTCCCTCCGAGCAAATCAAGCACCTGCGGCTTCATCGGTTTCGCTCACGTGGAACACGTCTCGGCCTTCTACGGCTGAAGGGCATTTTTCGCGGCGAATCGTCTACAATTTCATATTGTTGTAATGTTAAACCCGAGCTCAGCAGGAAAAATAAAATAAAATAAAAAGTAAATAAATCCATGCACCCGTCTATGTACATTGGACGCCTAAGAGGCCGGGGGATCTGCGCGCTGTATCGGTTCCCAGACAAGAGTTGGGTAGGTGTCACGTTTGCGAGGCACATTTGACAATTCACCAAGGATTGACGAAAATCGACCGGCTGCTAGATAGGAAATTACTGTCTCAAGAAACCAAGATTCGTACGTATGATAGCACCGAAGCATGCACGCGCACACATGCAAGTCCGAAGCTACTCGGAAACATTCCCCTAAGTGGCTACCCAGAGCGATCACTTCAAAAATTTAAATTTCATTCGAGAGGTTGAGGGAGCCCAGGTTTGGATAGGACTAAACTCAGGGATTTTTCTCCGTACTCCGTATGCAGATTTCCCTTTCGCACGATTTCTTGCGCATCTCTTGCTTCGCCAAGCTGTCAGCCAAGGTGACATTGAGGTCGATCGCAAACCACCCGAGAGATTCGCGTTCCGGTCCGAATATAACACTCTTCCAATTTGGGCGGTTTGACGGACGCTGGGTGCTTGGAGGATCAGATTCGGGATTGTGAAGAATGAGCTGTCACCAAGCGATAACCATCGAGATGAAACCTTGGGCTTTGGTTGCTCCGATCATCGCCTATTTCGTAGGCCTTTCAAGAATGAAGCCGGGATGAACCCTAAGGACAAGAAATGGGCAAAGGCGAGTATGTCCTTCCCGTGCGTTGCGCATGCACTTCCTGATACTGAGAGGCGCATGTCAACAATACATGGGACTCCCGTGGGTTCCGTCAATGCCCTCTATACTCCCGGTTCCACACATCATACCTGTTTAGCGCCAGACACCCCGCCGCAAATGACAAAATGTGAAGGTGCTTGTGAGCGTTTAATAACCCGACAAAGGGGTTCTCCCACTTCGCGTGCATAGACCTAAAGAGGAGTTATCTGTGATCATTATTCCGAGGTTACCTAATGGTGTCTCCTTTTTGGCTCGAGTATCATTTAGAAAACGGGCATTTGCCGCATTATATTGAAGCACTGCAGCACGATGATCCCAGTATGCCATTTTGGCCCCGGCGCAGCTGGCCCAAGCTCTCGCAAATCCAAGTTAGGCTCCTTCCCCCTTGCTATGGGTAGTTAACACTTGATCCGAGCAGCGCCGGCTTTGGGTACCTAGGCAAGACCGTTGTGATCCCAGGCATCCAGACGCGGGTCCTTTGCACGCTGGTTATCGACTCAAGCATACTCTCTCTCAATCTCATGGGGAATAACAGGAATGGTATATCCTACGGCGCATGCCTTCGGAGCATCACGGATTGTATCTGCTTTCCCATCGACCTAGGTAGAGAGAGCTTCCGTGTCCTCTGCAGAGGGTAAAAGTAAGAAACCTGTTCCATTCGGAAGTAACGATTTTCATCCGTTTCTCCCAACTCTCCGGGCCAGCAGCTCCCCTGGCTCTGGCGCCTCACTTTGGTTGAAATCCCACACAGAGAGGTTGATTACAGGATACGGGTGGATTACAGCATCCAAGTCCCACCGATACGGCTTGTTACTGGCGGCTGCGAGGCTGACCGGGCAGAAAACAGTGCGTCATTTTTTTCGAATCGCACGGCACCGCAGCAGGCTTGGCTTGCGATCGAACTATTGGCCTCACGTGATCCACGTGCCTGTCTTCAGTTGGGGGTTGCGTTACCTTACATTACATACCGTTACACGACTCGCCAGCCAATCACACGCAACACCTCGGCAACAAAATCGCTTCGATTACCGTTTCTAGAGTCTTACCATTTGCGGCTAGCGGCAACCTGCTGGATTATGTAACAGCGGCTATTCCGAGATTTTTGCGTTGATCTGGAATCGCTCTGCGACGAAGACAACGGGAATCCGAATTCCAATACAATCGCAAGAACAATGGAGAGGTGAAACAACCTTCTGGCTCTTGAATGTGACCTCAGACGACGTCGTCATCGAGAGTCCTTGAATTCGAACCCAACCCCCCTCATCTTCCTCTCCCCCCCTCCCCCAAAAAGAAAAAGGACCCGCGCACTTAAAGCACAGACCCATTCTAAACTCGTCTGCTTCATGCACCTGTACGTCAGAATCGAAGCCAAGCCTTGCAAGCGCGGCTTGCTTGCATAATTGGACGAACATCAACAGTGGCCGGTCCTCCTCTTGAATCCGGGGAAACGAAGACGCGCTGGGGCCACCCACGTGCCCTCCTGCTTGTGTGGGATTCGCAAAGTCAGCAGAAGGAAGGACGAGGCCCTTTTGACTGCCAGCAAAGGCCTCTTGGACATATAACTATCCCAGGCCCCTTCTCCAGCGGCACTGAGTCCAGACCAGTCTGAAGACAATCATCGTGAGGGTCAGATGACAGAAAGGGCTGCTTGTGGTGGTGTTCAGCTGGGCGATGCTGCAGCCGCGGTTTGTTGGGTTTCGCCATCCCATTTGTTTCTTCCTCCTGGCGATGTCGGGATGAGGCATCCAGTTATTGCTTGTTTCGGATTTTGGAAGCGGTGAAAGTTAAAGCTAAAAATTTTGGGACGGTTGGGAAGTCATTTTTTCCCCACGAAAAAGTCAGGGGAAAGTGAAGGGCTCTGCTCAAAACGGCGACAAATCATCGCTACAGCTTAAATCATTACTTGAAAGGGAGTCGACCTTCCAGCCAATGCTCTACGGTTTAATTGACTAACTTCACGCCGGCGAAACGCCGTCATGGGGAGTCGCCGAGCTTCTCTCACAAAGGCTGATTTATCCCCAACACGGTAATTCCGGAAACACTTACCTAAACAGAGCCTGCAGCCAACCAGTTGCTCAGACATCGCTGGAAAGGAACGATTATTTTCTTGCATTTCCGCGGATGGCGCAACAGGCCTTCATTTCTTCGGTCGCCGGGGTTACATCAACCACCGACACGGGATTATGTAACTTGTCAGGCCCCGAAACGTGCCGTCGCTCTTGAGAAATAGCAGCTTTCGTCTTCAGTACTCCGTATATCCTCAAGATCTCGTACTCCGTACAGGATACTGCTACATAGGCATCTCTTAGGCAGTACGCCGTAGGCCCTTGACTTCTTCTCTCCGCTCATGGCCCAAGGTCCGAAGAAGGAACCATCAGGACAAGCTGTCTGACAACTCCGCTGTGCTTGGAAACGCTTGGGACGCTCCGCCAAGCGGAATTTCAAGACAATGCAGGTGCTCTGCAGCCGTGAGATGTGCGCGATCCATACGCGCATCCATATGCATTGGGGCCACGAGGTGTTTACTGTTGATTCCAGTTAAATCACAAAGGAGTAAGAAAGATGAGACGAATGGGTCAAAGAAAGTCAGGTAGCAATTTCGCCTTTTTTTTTGGGGGGTTCTTGCGCCCAGTTAACTACGTGGCATGTTCGGAGTATCCACCATGAAGAATTGCCGCTCGAATTATTCACGGGTGTTTGGGCTTTTTGCCCACTTTCTCAATCACTATTCCAACTTCGGGCATTTCAGGAACCCGGGGAATATATGAGAAACGTTGCAAAAATTTTGTCGAGCAATGTTCCATGGGAAATGTCTTTTGCTCTATTCTGCAGAACCTTGCTCTTCGGCCCGTTTGCTTCCTTACCTTTTTTTTTTTCCTTGCCGGGTTTGGTAACCCTGCTCGCTTGAGCAAGGCCTTTGAAACCAGAGAATTTACTCAGGTTTCCCGGATTGAGCTTATAAACCGGCCGATAGGTTGTCATGAAAACTTTACTGAGCTGTGAGCTACTGAGCCGATTTCGATAGCAAATCCTGGCCATTAACCAGCGAACTTCCGTTTGCGGTGATTTGACTATCGATTTTGGAACGATGCGACCGCATCTTTTGAAAGGAACCATGCCGGTGCTACAGACATCTTGTTTTAAGTGTTTATGCCCTTTCATACTCGTGTTGACGAACGTCCTGAGAAGGTATGCATCCTGGAGGATAGAAGAAACAAGACAAATGATTGGAAACCGTTTGGGTACCTTGGGTAAATTGAGTACAAGTTAGGGATCGAGAAACTTATCGGCGGGATTTCTTTGCGTCCAGATGATGATGGCAACTCTTGGGATTCATAACCTGGCCTCTTTCGCGTTTTGACTCTCTCAGCGCTTTGCCCAACCAGTTTCGAGGTACAGCAGAGTACCTTGTACGGAGTACATACACACACCCCCTAATGTTACCCCCTCGCCACCAAGATGCGCCGCCCCCAACGTCTCATCGCCAAAAGACACGAAAGTTTCACTCGGCCACTAACGAGAGCGTGGGAAGGGGGTAAAAAAAGAAAACAATTATGTATACTCTACTTATAGGGCTGAGATTGTCCACCAGAAATATGTAACACGTATGTTGCGGAGTTTCCAACCGTGCATATCAGCTCGCCATGGCAAGGATAACTCATCACGAGCTCCATTGCCACTGGAAAAAACAAAAGGCCTCAAGATAACGGAAGCATAGACGAATGAGATGCATAGGTTCCCTTTTAGGGGGGCGGAATCGCTCAAGACCTCCCTCATGCAACAATCCCACGCAGCATAAGGCAAGAGAGCATTTCCGTCCATGTCAATGGCAAGGATTGAGACGCGTCTCGGATACGGATATCCCCACGAGGATTTATGCTCATATCTAGAACCCTGCTTGTCTGTCTTGGGAGTTTTCCGTACTCCGTATAAGGTAAATATTGCTAGGTCAAGAAGAGAGCATAAATTCAAGCACTATCGTTGTTACACTGATATCTAAAAATTGACAGGCTCGCGTATTCCAAACATTGAAGTGTAGGTATCTAACCCGCAGATCAAAAGGTATAAAGCTAAGTACGGAGTACATCCGTATGTACCATACATACACACGCTGCATGCATGTACACTTCACGATGAAGTGGACCAGTCGTGTTATGTCTGCCGCTCTCCCCCTCCAACGACGCTATCTTGTGATGAGGTCCGCGTCGGCGCTCTGCCGCCACGGCCGCGAAAAAGTACCGGAGGTGCCGAGTTACCTTGTCTATGTGCTGCTGCCATTGCTCGCACCATTGGCATTCAATTCGTTATCTTCTCTTAAGAGCTTAATCGCTCTCTCGCGCAGGGCAAATTTCTGGATCTTGCCGCTGGCTGTCTTTGGAAACTCCGTCTCATTTATGTAAAAGACGAATTTGGGTACTATGGTAAGATAGTCAGCGACAAACCTCGAAGTGATGATCAATGCGAAAACTCAAACAAATCAAAGCAAAAAGAGGCGAGAAAACAGCGAGAAGTGACATCGGATCACGGCAATAGACAAGGTGAACGTGACCCATTGGTAAGTTTAACTCAAGATATGCTGTAACAGGATAGATGTAGCCAGTTGGATAATATCCCGATCACACGTGTGTCAAGCTAAAAAGTGAAAGTAGCGAGGCTGATTCACCAGGACATGGAGAAGTGTGAGGGGCTTTCCGCCTGCTGAGGGGTTGAGATTTTTGCAATCCGTTTTAGGGCCCGTGCGGGACCTTGTGGTCCCCTGTTTCCCTGTGCCATTGGCCTAGTTTGGTCGGCAAGGATCGGATCAAAGAGCAGTGGGACTCAAGTCCGTTCCACGACTGTGGGGGGATCATATGAACTCCGACCGAATTCCTGGAGAGATCCTTCGTACCAAAGCAAGGGGAAAACCGAAGTTGACAGAGGAGGGTATTCTCAAAAGGGAAAAGCAAAGATGACGGTATGGTAAGTAATAGTACGGGGAATGACACGAGATAGGTAGCTTTTCAGAAAACGGTTACGAACTTGGGGACTCCCAAGTTTGAGTGAGTAAGCAGGTCGAAAGATCAACACGAAGACGGCTTCGTATCGATTTTGCGGTCTGGTTTGAGTGCAGTTGAAAAAAGAAAAAAAGGGCGGAATCATGAAAGTAAGCGAAAACAAGCATCCCAAGCACTTCCGCCATCGCAAGTACTGGGTGCTTGGCTCATGCATCGCGATATCAACATGAGAAAGCGGTTGACGATCCCGACGTCGAGAAAAGTGGTCGAATAACTCATTGAATGCGACAGAGTCCCCAATCATATGTCGCCATGAGTTTGATTATCCGAGAAAGCTCAACCCGAACACGAACCATGCGTGCAAATGGCGGCGGAAACCGCCGGTCAAACTTCGCAAAGAAATTAAGGAAAATGAGATAGGAGCTTACCGAGATGATTGCTTAATTTTGATCTCACCCATGACCTGATATCATCGGGAGTGACTCTCTTTTCTCCATTTTCTCGTGCGACGACAAACGCAGCGACCACTTCGCCATATCTTTGATCGGGAACCCCCACCACGGATACGTTCAAAACCCCAGGGTGGGCGAAAAGACAGTTCTCGATCTCCAGTGGATGAATATTCTCACCGCCACGAATGATTAGGTCCTTAATACGACCTGTGATGGTGACGTACCCGTCAGGCGACATTGATGCCTCGTCTCCGGTCTAGAGAAAGCAGGGAGGGGGAATTTTTAACATCCTTCTGAAGAGGTCAAAGTAGAAGTAGAAATTAAAAGGGGTACTAACGTGCATCCAGATCTTCCCTTCATCGTCGGCTCTCATGGCTGCGGCAGTTTGCTCTGGAGCGTTCCAATATTCCTTCATGACCAGATAACCACTGACAGCGAGTTCTCCCTTGGAGCCCACCGGGAGAATTCTACTATGGTCTACGGGGTCGACAACCTTCGCTTCCACATGAGGCATCAAGCGGCCAACGGTGTTGATGCGCTTATCGATTGGGTCGTCTGTGGTGGTCATGCAAGAGACAGGGCTAGTCTCTGTCATACCATAACATATGGTTAGCTCCGTCAAGTTTAGAGTCTTGTGGAGCTTCTTCATCAACTCCGCGGGGATGCTGCTGCCGGCGGCAATCCCCGTTCGTAGATACTGGAAGCCCTCGTATGGAATAGTCCCGTTTGCTAGGAGTTCCAGCTCCTCGACAAACATTGTGGGGACACCATAAAGTGCCGTGCACTTTTCCTCTTGGACCGCTTTGAGTGTAGCGACGGCGTTGAATGATTCAGCAGGGAACACGATGGCTGATCCATGGGTGGCGGTAGCCATATATCCTAGAATGCATCCGAAACAGTGGAAAAGGGGTGGTGGACAGCAGACCACATCTTTAGGTGTGAGCATCATCCGGTCACCAATCTGAGCACCATTGTTCAAGATAGATCGGTGTGTTAAACAAGCCGCCTTTGGCATAGATGTTGTCCCCGATGTAAACTGTATATTCACGACGTCGTGTGGTTCGAGGCCCTGGGCTGGCAAAGGTCGCATATCCGATGTGAGTTCGGACATTATTGAAGGGAAGGAGGTGGTGCATGCGAAAGACGATGTATCGATGTGGCCATTGTCATTTTGAACGAGAATAACATGTTTGAGGGAAGGGACCAACGCCGATTCGAGTTTGCCGCTGCTAAGATTTGGGACAAGCTGTGTAAGCAACGGAAGATTTGATCGGGGTTCTCGTCGTGGCAGATTCGCTTCGGTGCTAATGATCAAATGGGTAGCTGCTAAATGGCTAAGAGCCGCAGCGACCTGGCTGATATTGAAATTAGGATTTAATGGAACCTGGAGAGCGATCTTCCGTTAGTCCATGTTGATGTACTTTGGACTCTTCGCCTGGAATCTACTCACCAAGACCGCTCCTAGCTTGAAAAGCGCGTATGTGGCCTATTCACAACAACGATTAGCCGACCGTTCGCGGAGATAGGAACAGGCATCGGGAGAGCCACATTGGCCGTACAATTGCATATTCGATGCCGTTCCCCAGCGAAACAGCCACCCGATCTCCCTTTTTAACGCCAATTGACGCCAGGCCACGGGCTAGTGAATTGCTCTTCAAATCCAGCTCGTTGTATGTGAGTCTTTGATTCTGGTGCTTCGAGACCACCCTGGATGCAGCGGATCAGTGTGTGGAACGCTGGAAGGGAGGTGGACGACGGAAGGGCTGACGCTGTTCTGTCTCCATGCTGGCTCACAATGCCTGCAAAATGATCCCCAACGGTTTGTTCGAATAATGCTGGCTATACGGGCTAAGCGCGCATGCAAAATTGCAGCCGGGAGCAAAGTTAGCTTTAGGTCAACGACGAGCAAGGCGGGTGTGGCATTGGGGAGCAGCGGCTAGACAAGGTGTGCGGAATATAGTAGTTACTGACCTCGGACGGGCCACGCGCGTAGCTGTATGTAAGCAAACCCCTCGACTGAAGCTTTGATCTCACGGGAAGAATTTGCACCTTGCCCAATCGTGGCAGCCTCCAGAGCTGAGACCGAGCCATTGAAGCGTGTTGATGACTGGCGTGACGAGCGTCTGGATTCTGCAGGGAAAACTGAGTCTCGTCAGAGGATCAGGGTCCAGGAAGAGGGACTTTGATCCTTGGGCAGAGCACAAAAGGACATCTTTCTCCCTTGCCCCACGACGGATCCCTGTGGTTAATCCGAGGATAATGCTGAGGCCGGTGTCGGTGCGGGACGCCGACGATGCGGGGAAGCGCGCGGTTCGGCGTTGGGGGAAGGAAAAAGGAGCGCCGGGGCGTGGAGAAGCCGCACCGAAAGGGAAGGTTGTTGCGGCTTGGCGGCCCGACGCCACGGCAGGTCTGGCGGGAAAATAATGTTCGTTGGCGCGGCGTCCATCCGCTCGACGATGTGAACCACGCCGACCAGTTCACCTTGGATGGCTGGCCGTCGGGCAATTTTTCGGGTCAGAGTGTTCTATAACTAGTTATACGTAGCCGAATAGCCGACCAGAGTGTGTTGACGATCACAGTGGACATACCTTGCGGAAAGAATCGAAAAATTTGCAGCTGTATACTCTGGATCCTGGGTGGATTTTACGATATTTAAACTTCATTGAAATGACTTAGCTGTTGTATCGAGTATGTAGCCACTGGAATTTGTGCTGGCTTTGATTGCACAGAACAGAGGTGCCGTGAAGAGGCCGTGCAGGATTCAAAAATTACAGATGTAGCAATGTCCGTCCAAACTGTCTGTTTCCGCCCGCATTGTCTTTACCATGCCCATTGCCTTGATACCTGGACCTTGAGAAACTGCTGAAGCTGTTTAAAAAAAAAAAAAAAAAAAAAAAAAAAAAAATGTGTTTCGGAACAACATGGTGGGCTGGTGTAGATGTTGCTTCTTCATGAAATCATGATTAATGCTTGTCGCCTGCCCCTTTAAACGGAAAGGTTAACTAATCAAACCAGAAACCAATCACTGCCGCATCGTCGTTACTTGAGTCCTTATATCCGGACCTCATCACTACCTTCAAAGCTCTTCAAACCAGGTACACGAACCCATGGGCGTTGGACCTGATCGCAAACTAGTTAAGTTCTGGTGCCAGTCATTCCCACGACCATCGCCAAGGCCTATGACGACGTTCACACTGAATCGAAAGCTTGAGGGAAGACCGACAGTCGCATTCCGCCGCCTCCTCCGCCGAAACGGTTTACGCTCTCAGCGAATACCCTAGCTATGACTTCAGTCCCTTCCGAAGATGCGATTAGCGAATTCGTCACCATCACAAATGCCACGAGAGATCAGGCGATCAGGCTACTGCAGGTAAATAGCTGAATGACAACATCGATATCCGTTTCTTTGCAGAACACGTTTCAGGCACAGCAGGACGACCGAACCTTGGGGCGCTGGCTTGATTTCTCCCATCATCTATGGAATGTATGACAGAGCTGACCCTTCTCTTCACCATGGTAGGCACACAATCTTGACGCGAACCGCGCCGCCAATGCCTTCTACGAGAGCGTTTGTGGCTCCCAAGCTGAGGTGAGCAGCTGCTCAAGCTTCCGAGCCTTCCTAGGAAGAACTTAATCGACGGCGTCATTCTGTTAGGGCGATTGGCCGGCGAGCTCGGAGCCACAGCCAGAAGATTACGGATATCAAGCACATAATGTCCAAAGTGAGACCGCTGCCACCCCGCCATATCCCGTACATCGTTTCCGCAAGTCGCTTCTGACAGGCGCTGTGTTTCTAGAATCGTTTGAAATCGAACGCGGCGACACCAGCTATACGGCCCCTCCGTCACGCCCTCCATCACGAGTAGGTCGCGACCCGGTCTTTGAGAGAGCCAGGGCAGGTGAAGGTGACGGTGCAGCGCATTACCGTGAGAATTTTCGGACAAGATCCAAACTTGCAAAGCCTTTCTGATTGGAAGTTCTAGCGGAAAATACCCGAAAAATGACTCTTGAGGAGCGTGAAGAACACGACGTGCAAAAGGCGGTCGCAGCCTCTCTAAATCGCAATTTTGATCCCGCTGGTCAGGAAACTGGTGTTATAAGCGTTAGGGGTACTCATTTCGGCCCTGCCAACCGCGACCACTACGATAGTACATCGTGGGCCGTCACTCCGTATGTAAATCCCAAGTCTAAAAAAGAATGCATCAACCCAGATCCGGAGGAGCGTAAAAGAGACAACGACCAGCCCCCTTTCCTTCGTCCTTTAAACCACGCCAATTACCTGGCAGCATGCATTACCATACTCCATGCCATTCCACTCTCGAGGGAAGCGTTTATCTCAAGGGATACACTTATATCAGATTACGGCTATCATCCTCAATGGTGGGATGGGGCACGAATAGATCTCCCTGCAGAGGCGTCATTGATCGACCCTGATAAACAAGATGAGAGTCCTGACGAATTATTTCTGGAAATGCAAAGATTGATGGCGTTCCTCGATGGAACAGATCGTGCTTTCGGAAGCGCAGAAGCAGTTGCGAGCATCCTGTCGGTCCAACGGGATGATCGCCTCAGGTTCTTACCTGAGTTACTGGAAAGGTGGGAACATGCGGCATTTACTTTAGAGAGCAGAAGCAATGTTTTTGAGTCAGTCCTTGTCAAAAAAGCTAGTTTTCCCAACTCACCACCCATCCGGGTGCCATTTGCTCTCGCAGACATCACGTTCGATCCTGACCATGTTGAAACCCTATACGATGTGATCGATACATCTCTCTGGCCCGATACTCCAGAATCCAGGTCTCAAGAGGCTTGGCTGGAAAAGATCGCTCCTGTTTTCGTCATGCGTCTAGCTGTTCAAGACGAACGGGAGAGACCCGTTGGAGTGAAAATCCCTGCGACGTGGTATCCGGATCGGTATATGGAGTTAAATAAAGATTTCACTCGACAGCTGCGAACTCGTCGGCTGGAAGCTGAAATCCAATTGGAAAACATAGAAACACTGATTGATACTTATTCGACCGTTGACGCTCCACATGGCCAGAAAATATCCTTCAAAACCCTTCTAGAAAATGCAATCACCGGCACCGATGTGGCCCTAAAAGGTGCTTACTTGGAAACATCTTCCGGAAACGACTACATTTCCCACACGACGACTATTACTCCAGAAGAATGCGAAAAACTGGTGCGCGACCTAAAGATTATTGCAGAAAAAGTTGATCGAAAGCTTGCAGGTAAGGACCATCATTGCTTGATATTTTTACGGAAATTGTGTTTTCTTTATCGCTAACGAGGCACGCCAGCACTACATGAGAAAAAGCAGCATGTGAAGGAAAACCTGAAGCAATTTTCTCGACACTTAACGTTCAAGGACGGAGACGGACCACCATACTACAAATATACCTTGCGTGGTGTCTGCACTCATGAGCATGTCATGTATGTCTTGAAGAGAGTCCCTGGAGCGGAGGCTTTGAGAGACACATTCCCAGATATGACGTTTGAGAGTGAATGGCAGTGGTGGCGTATCAGTTACTCCGTTGATGATGCAAAGGAAGCTATCTCTAGGCGCATGAGAGTGCCTGTTACCACTACGAGAATAGATGGAACTGAATATATTCTGGATCCCACTCAACCGAGGGTTCCATTGCCCAACAATACGGAGGTTACCGGCTATACGATAACGCCAGCTCGTGAAATTGAAGTTCTTCGTGCTGCAAAGGAAGAGAATTCTTCTGTTCTTCTTGTTTACGCCAGCGACGACGCAGTACATTTTAAAGGGTCTGGACTTCCTGAACCCTTGCAGGTAAAGCTGCTAGCTCCATTCTGTCATATATGCAGGACTAACACGAGTGTCTTAGTCTTTCCTGAACGCTGATAATGAGAGCTTCGAGAGTGAAATTCTTCAATTGAAAAAGAGACTGGAGGGGATAGAGGATGAAGACGAGGAAGGTGAGGAAGAAGACGCAGAAGAGGAATTCATCGAGGATATCGCACAAGAAAACAGCTTAAACAGCCCCAAACCAGACCACTCTCGCGAGACCCAACTTGAATTACGCTCCAATGAGGACATTGCATTGACAGATCCGGAAGAAGTGGTGGAATCTCTGTCCAACCGCCTTCGTCCGGCTAATACTCGGAAGGCCTCCATCCCGGCGATGGTCAACGAGGAACCTCGTGTGGTCACAGAGAAGGATGCAGAGAGAGCGAGTTCTGATCCTGGACACGGTGTTCCTCCTGCAGCATGAGTATGTTTATGATGAGTGGAGGACTTGCAAAGTTAACTACAGTATACCTGTATTAGACTGCGAGTTCACGGGCTAAGGAGATAGCTAGCGTCTATGATAAAGAGTATTCATAATAATAGGTAATGATATGATATCGTCTGGACCAGTAGGCCTCAGCATGTTCGTCAGTTCATTTGGACACAAATGCTCTATTTCGATTTCTGGCAAAAGCTGGTGCTATTAATGAGTGCAATAAAAAAAATGGTTTGATATTTGATTGTATCTGTTTATTAGCCTTCTCAGACTCCATACAGAGACGACTCTTGAGACGCATAATGTTAAAAATTTTTGAAGCTGGCGAGCCGTGGACTGAAAAAACTTTCTTGGCAAGGCTGTGGCTGCGTCTTTCTGGAGTTCCTCCGTAGAAGGAGTAATGGAGTAACAACGCAGTTATTCAGGACCCAAACAACCCCAAAATAATACCGATCTCTCAACATAATGGAGACTGATATTCCAGATACCATCGCGTCTACGGCTGCAGAGACAGTTGACCTTCTGGAGACGCGGCTTTGTAGAATCGAATTCCTGCTTACGGGCCGTGCAACCTGGACTGGTAAACCGGAACGGCTTCCTGCACCTCCTGCGTCTGCGTGGGAGTCGGTCGCTGCTCGCTTGGCTGAATTGGAACATGGACTGAAAGTCTTGAGCTCGAAAGTTCCTGCTGTGCAGGATGTGCTGAAACTGTGTACGGATTCATTCCTACCACCTACGTTGGCATTTGATATCCCGAGACACAATTTAGCCTGCTTGCAATACTGATACCGGTTTTCTTTTCTTACTTGCATCTCCGATTCGCGCCGCTCCATGATATCTGATATAGCTGCGTTGAATACTGACATCTATCCTCTTTGTGAACATTTCCAGATTCTCGCTACCCCGACCTTTTCCAGAGCTCCAATCCTACCACCGTCCCCAGCACTCTCTCCACTCAATCTCTCGCCTCGATCGTTCTCTCTTACGCTACCGCCTTCCCCGAGACGGCTTCTCGACTAAGCTCACTACAGGACCTACCCATTCCGCCTGCAAGCGCATCGACGAGCCTGATTGAACTACAACCCCGAATTGATCGGTTACTCAAAGAGCAGGAAAAGCAGGCGAATGAGGTGGCGGAGTTAAGGGCGAGAAGTGCACTGTTGATGAAGAGATGGTTGGAGGTGGGAATTGTAGGTGGCGGTGAGGTTTGGGGGGAATGGGAGGAGAAGGTTCGCATGGCGGAGAGGGCAGTCAGGAGGCTAGAGGCCAAAATGGTGAGGGATGAGTGAACGATGGAAAGAGGTGTAGATATGCTATGCCGGCTTCGACTTTTGCGCCAATTGTCGATGAATTGCGATATCATGCTTTGGGAGGCAGGTATGTGGGCGAACTACGTTTTGCTAATCCGAGAGTGCACTTGCTAAGCTTTAAAGGCATTACTAGGTTGCCTATTACGGAGCTGACTGAAGGAGAGGATGGTGAAACGAACAAAGAGTTCGTAACTCGAGCCGTCGAGCAAGAGTCTCAAGCGCCCCTTCGTTGGGAAAGCTTCTTCAATTTACCCAACGTCTTTGACGAGAACGACGGGGGTATCGATTTTAGTATGACCCCGGTAAGGTTTAATCATTGGCGTTCCTGAACTTCTGTCGAACCGTGAATCTTTGGCAAAAGTGTCAAAGATCCACGGATCGCATGAAAGTATCGAGAGAATGCACCGCGGGACGAAGCTACCTTTAAGAAATGCTGACGTAGTCTATTGTTGCTTAACTGCTACTTTTGTACGGAGAACACTAGATGGGAGGAGTGCTGCCAGTAATGCGGCGTGTTTGAAAAGTACTGAGTACGGATTAACATCCGTGATAAAGATCTAATCCTGTTCCTGGCAGTAGGGAAAGACTCGTGCAGATGGAACCCAAGGACGAAAGTGTCATGCCGCGCTTACTCACACCCGCGTAGATCGCGCCGAAGCATTCTCGCAATTCTGAGCCTCTGGTCTGTGAAGCCCAAGCATTCGAAAATCACGGTTCCGCGCCCACAGTCTGCACCCCCAATCAGAACCATGAATTACTCGACTTGAAACCCGCCCCTTTCTCCACACAAGGCAAAAAGGAGCGGTGCATCCTCATGACCACCGGTCCCTTGCCAACGAAGGTCCAGGATCGTTGTTGTCGGTCTGGCATTCCGGGTGGTTGAACTGTACAGACACTTACTGCACTATGTAACTAAGTTACCTCGAACCATTTTGCTGAATGACAGGTTCGGGTCTCTCCGGTGCTGGATTGAGCATCCTTCTATTCCGGGGTTGGCCAGTTTCCCCAGCGGCATGGCAGTTCGAGACTCACAACAGCTCTCAGATAATTATCTTTTCGGACGATGATATGTCATTCTCTGTCCACACAAAGGTGGTACTAAGCAAGGGGATCGGACCCGGATGCCAAGCCGTTCGGCATGAAGGCTCAATTTATTACCTTGGACTCCCACGGCATGAAGGCTACCCCTCAACCTTACTGTGAATATCTGGGCAATTTTATATTCCTTTTCCATCGATTTTGCCTGAGAGCTATTGTACATATAATTTTCCTAGGTTTAGAATGCTGTTTCCTGCAGCCACCATCTGGCATCCTCTTCAATGCAGGCATCCTAGTAGTGGGTGCTAGAGTTTATGCTTCCTAGGAAGCCGACATGGATCTTCATGCAAGAGGGGATAAAGCCATTGACCCGCTTCGTTTCTAGTCTTTCCTGAGGCGTTCTTACATGTTTACTTTTTCCTTGCAGCATTGACTACACATATCCTATGCGTCAAAATCTGTCAAATACTGCAGGGACACAGGGAGCATGGACATTCGATGTCAGCCTGTTTCACAAATTGGACCAGGCCTCTTCATTGGTGATGCTCTGAAGATTTGCCAGGAACAAGTTCCCTAAGAAGGATCATAGGTCTGCAGCTCTTATGTCTCTATGAACTTAAGGGGGCATCTTTCAAAACCTACCATCTATCATACGGATCAAACATCTCACCTGTTCAGACCAAAGGCTTCCCCGAGGATGAACTAGAGGTATTTGTTTTCTTGATGTCCCCCGCGTGAAGACGGTACCCTAAAGCATCTTACAAAGCTTCCATGGAGGGAAAGGTGGTGTAGCTCAAGGAAAAGGTATCGGCATGAGATGAGCCAATTAGGTGCAAAAAAATATCCGAGAACAAGTAGCTGGAACGGGTATGGGGTACCGCCCAATACAACATATTCCCTCGACAGCTCAGGTTTAGAAAATCGGAATTTTTGTTCTCGAGTTCTAGGTTTCAAATTGGGCGCCTAGAAAGTCGGATTCCAATAACTACAGGATTAACTTGTTATTGTTCGTTTGCAAACCATGAATGCATCAGAAGCAGGCACCATTGAATTCAAGAACACATTGAGTCGAGAAAACGCTTGCTCGCAAGAACCTGTAGTTTCGAAGTCCATCCATTCCTCAAGTGAGAACCGTTACGTGCCCTTTTTGACAGGGGTTGGCAGGGAGGAAAGGAATCGGCTGCATGTATGTTTCAGATCCCGCCTGCCTGCGGGTATTAGCGAACTTCAATTCATTGTGCTGTACGTATGTCTTGGGCGTATATGTTTACATGTAAATGCTTCCACTCCAGTGGTCCGACCTTATTGCTTGATGATGAAGCATTATTATTCCGTCGAAAGTCCCCCGTCCACACGATTAGAGGAGAAACAGCCCTATGGCGTCCTCCGTATGGAGACCCGCAAAAGAGGCGGCTGCAAACGTGATGATCGACCAAAAAAAAATAAAATAAAGGGACGAAGCCTGCAAGCCAGAATTGCGTTCGGCATGTGGAGCTGACCGCCTACCCAGTTTATGGAGACATTGCGTGTACAACATACATTGTCCGAGACTCGCTTGCAATCAACTTCTCTCAGTAGGTTCAAGCACGTCCAGATATATACCATGTTCTCCGTATAACTCCGTTTTTCGAATTTTAAATGAAAAAATAAAATAAAATAAAAAGAATAAAAAGCAGCCAATCCGACAGCGTGACAACCAAAATCAGGATGTTCATCCTAGAGAGATCCTCGGACGGATGAATTCCAGTTTAAGACGGTCGCGTAGCTGCTTGAGGTAGCAGCCGCGAAAATTTGGCCTCATGTTCAACTCACCAGTACTCCATGTTCCGTAAATGTCGAAGACAGACCGCTGCTGGTATTTAGGATGAGTGGAAGTGAAAGCTAGCGGTTAGCGCATACAATCAGTCTCCTGTCGCCGTTCAGGTAATCCTGCTCGCCTGTGCAACGAGGGTTGGTGGACGCTGAAGTCTCTCTCTGCATGATCCGGGGAAGGCCCAGTTGCAGGTTCGCCGCGATTAATATGGCCCAAGTTGATCGTCGTTCATGCTTCCAAAAGTCATGAGCCGGGCGGGCGCTCTAGCCCTCTGCAGCTGGTCGAAAGTAGGGATGGTTATGAAAGGGGCGCATCGTACAGACGAGGGGGGTTGCAGATAGCGTCCTTTTTGCAGTGGTGCACCCGAGGGAAGGGTCTTTTTTGAGACATCGCTTTTTCGTCTCCCTCTCGCTCTCTCTTTTTTTTGCCTTCGTCTTCCAGGAAAACAGTCGACGATGATGGTGTCGATTTGAAGGTGCTCCGTAGCTGGCCAACTAATTTCCGGTTTTTCGTGCAGCTTAGACTTCGGTTGCAGCTGGACGGGCTTCTCCCAGCAGCGTCTTCGGGGCGGGCAGCAGGCCTAAAGTCAACTAACTTCTAAAGGGTTATTTTTAATTTCGGGCCTGCTGCACCCACCAACCACCAACGCCGCACCGCCGGTCGCCCCAATTGGCCAGGCTCAGCCATCCTCTACCCCTACGCTTTCAACCCCCCAAGCCTCCCTCTCTCCACCGCACACCACACCACACATCATCCACCCACCCACCACCCTTCCATCCATCCATCCATAATCAATCCATCCCTTCCCATCGCTCTGTCACTCGTTTCATCGTTCGCTTTCTTTTCTCCCCACCAGACGCTTCTGCCCTCAGCTTCTCTCGAGCTGTCTCCCCTGTGTTGCCATTCTTTCTCTCTTCCCATTTTCTCTTGCTTTCCTTCTCTCCCTCCCTTCTTCAGCCTGGCGCTGCTTCGAACACCCGCGAATTTTTCGATCAAATTTCCCGTTCCCCCGTTGAGGCCCACGTCACCACCTGTCAACGGCTTTGTCTCTTCAAAACTGACAGGCAAGCTCCGTCGGACGGTCGAGAGTTTCGCTTCTCAGCGCATCTGCCACCCTTTCCATGTCGCGACCTGTTAACCTTCTCGAGGCGTCAATCCGTGATTTCAGTTCATTGATAACATCGTGACGGCACACCACCCGCAAGTCCCGTACAATCATCCATACAGAAAATTACCCCAAGACTCGAGCTCGTCGCCAGGGAAGACTCCTGGACGCAAACACCCAAAATTCCCACCCGTCCCATTTGGATTCAATATCTTTTGGTGGTGGGGGAGGAATCGCGTCGAGTTTGAATTCTTTATTTTTGTCTTAAATAAAATTGGAGCCACGACCATCTCGCTGCGATTGCTTTGATGGTTACTCGACCACCAACCCACTCCTCGCCATCCCTTCACAAGCCGCCTCCGTTCCACGATCGGCGTCAAAGCACAATGGCACGCATCAACATAGATAACTTAGTTGGCGACCCTTTTGCATTGGCATCCATCTCGATATCATTGGTACGAGCATCCACCCATCGTCGTTGATGCCTGCTTCGCGCCCTGAGAAATGCACAAATGCTAACCCCCCCTTTTTTTTTCCTCTCATCAGCTTGCATGGCTAATTACGTTCATCTCCGCTATCATCTCCGACGTCCGCGGCTTTTTCCCAAATATCTACTGGTGGACCATTGCTTATCAACTGCTCTGCATCCTCGGTATCTCATATGTGATGGCAACGGGCACGAGCCATATCTATAGCACTGCGGTATAGCTGCTTTACCATTCCATATCTATGTGCCTGGACGCATTTCACTAACGCGTGTGGTCATCTCCAGATTGTCGGATATGTCGCCTCAGCCTTTGCTTTCACCACGTTCGCGGTCGACGTCATGCTAAAAGATAAGTCCGGATCAAAGGAAGCTGCAGGAGCTGGGTTTATCCTGCTATCCATCATCAATGTACGGATTTTTTTTTTTTTTTTTTTAAAAAAAATTCTAGCGCCTATGTAAGAGAAATCATCCTAACAGTCTTCCTTTCTAGATCATTTGGATCTTCTATTTTGGCTCTACAGCTCAGCCACGTCCTCGTACCTACATTGATTCGTTCGCCATGCATAAAGAGCAGCCATCATATCTCAATCCGAGCCAGATGTCCAACCACTACAACAATCGCCCCGACACCACCCTTTCTAGCCAACCGCCGCAGATGTATACCTCTGCTCAATTAAACGGATTCGAAACGTCGTCGCCTATACCAGGTTACGGGGGCGGACAAGCAGGTCAGTCCGGAGCATCCGGTCTGGGCAATTCCCAGGTGAACTTGGCAGCCAACGGTAGCGCAACCGGAGATGCTTCCAACGAAGTTAGCCCGCCTACCGAATACCCTTACCGTGCAAAGGCGATCTACTCGTATGAAGCGAACCCAGACGATGCAAACGAAATCAGTTTTACAAAACACGAGATCCTTGAGGTATCTGATGTGAGTGGGCGGTGGTGGCAAGCGAAGAAATCGACGGGAGAGACAGGCATTGCCCCGTCGAACTACCTGATCTTGCTATAAGCGAAGAAAGGAAAAAGCAGGCAACACCACCGAACTCGATGTGTGAGCAGTTAATACCGTGCACACATCCTCCCTAATTGCTGAAAGAGGTGTTTTCTACACTTGATACCCGTTGCCTCGTTCCCTTTTTTATGCTCTTTTTCTGACCTTTTTTTGTTTCGCATCAACAATTTTTCTGGCGCAATTGGGGGCTTGTGATAAATATGTCATGTCTGATGGGCTCTTATAACTGTTTGGTTCATTCTTACGTTTTTCAATTCTCCGCTTTGGCCCTCCTGTTATTGGGAACTCCCGTACTCAGCTGCCCACCTGTTTTCATGTTTTCTTTATTAATGTGTGATTCATATTTGACCCGGATCCCCCGGAGAAAATTCTCGAACTTGTATTCGTACACCTTACGATCGGCAAAATGCTGCTGAGATTTGACTGGCGCTAAACTCATGTGTCCCTGTAGCCAATGTTCTAGACGGTCTCATCAAATTTGTCGATATCCTATCTACCCTTCTTTTCCCGCAGATGAGAAAGGAACGCATGTGTGGATTATGTATTTTCTGAAGATTTTTGGTTCCTATCAGTTTTCTTTTTTTGGTGGGCATTCTTCACATGCATAAATGGACATGCACTCCTTTCCATCTGTTTTATCCATTCGAGTGTGCAATATCTTCTCTCTTTCTTTTTCTTTTCTTTTCTCTTTTTCTGTGTGACAGGTGGTATTTAGGCCGCCCGCCGAGAATTTGTACATATTTACATATGTTTTCACCAAGAGAAAGATAGGTAGGTTGGAAGGGAATGGGACTATGCGCAGTTTATGTCTATTTGCAGACATTCTATCTACAGCATAATCTTGCACTCATGGGACTTCTGCAGCAATATGAATGTGAGCAGAAAGATATGTGGATCAAAGTGCTATGTTTTCAGCAGTAACCAGTTGTGTTTGAAAGTTGCATGCATCCAATCTGCCTTTGCTTGTTGTCCGGCATTCTTTCTTAGCAGATATATCACATCATGCAAGCATTTTGAGTATTTGCAGAGCATTTGGCGTGCCTGGACGGAATGGGGGCGAGCACTGACAGTAACGCATGATGTGACAAATATTGATATAATTAATACGAGTATAAATGATACAATAGGGCAAGGACATGAGTGATCAACTGACGGGGCAATGGGATGACAGGAACTCATCAGTCAGGAGATACAAGCACCATCATTCCTTGTCAGTGACACAGGAATTCAAACACCATTTTGTTCAAGAACCTTCACGCACGCATGAATGAGAGCTTGTTGATAGTTGACTATTAGGCATGATGCAGAAAAACAACAGGGGGCTGGTTGTTCATGCAGGGACACCGCACAATAACATGATCGACATTACCAAACATACTGCTTAATGCCAGTAAATTTTTAAATGTGTTGTGAGCACAGCAGTTTTTAACTACATTGTCTGAATTACCCATATCCAATTTTCAGTCTTCTACTCCGTACCAGGCTGAGAATTGTCCAATAGATGGCATGATTGCAGAATTTCACCCTGCGGAGGATAAAGCCTTTTTCACATTCCATGTCTTTTCTGATTTTGTGACCGTGGATATAAGCTGATAGGCTAAGTCTCTATGTACGGAGTACTCTGTATATATGTCGTAATGTGCGACATTTGTACCAAAAAGGCTTCCCAGGCATTCTTAAAGTGAGAATGCAGGACCAGCTTATCCAATGTGTTGCTTCTCGACTTGATGGTTAGTGCTAGGAGCCTTCATTTTACTGTTTCTTACTTTCATTTTCTGCCTTTTCTTTTTCTCAGTGGCTTGCTCCCGAAATCTATTCCGGGATATGTCAATCCCGTCCACTCGAACCAAAAAACGCCCTTGAAATTTTGCTCCCATTATTGTCCCCTTTTTGCCGCCCACATTATCCTCTTTCTTCTGACCTTTGCGGGTGCTCTTCCCCACTCGAGTTAAGTTCATTTAACTCACCCTGGGCCAATGGCAGCCGAGCGCGAGCTTATCTCCGTCTTAGCTCTCTTCGCTGGTTGACGGCCGAACTCTGGTACAAAGCTTGGCTTCCACTCCGGCAGCGACAGAAGCACAAAAAAAAAAAAAAAAAGGAAGGGAGATGAAATAAGAGCTCCATCAAAAAATTAAAGGGCCCCATCTCCGCCAGTGGGGATGTCCTCCACACCGGTATGTGGTGCCATATTTCTGTCACAGACCGCGGTTGCTTAAAAAGCAGACGATGAGGTGGATTGAGTATAATTCTTCTCCTCGCTTTCATGCCCGTTTGTGCTTGGGTTTCCCTTGAAATTGATTTCGTATATCCCAGCAGTTTCTTTTTGGCTTAAGACGACCTCACTATATTGATTTGATCGTTCCTTTTCAGTGGTCTCAGAAAGGCGTGTTTGAGCCTTTGTTAAATGGATATCTTTCTCAAGTTCAATTATCAACTTGCGGCTTTCTATTCTCTTTTCAGTTGAGGATAGCGGGAATCCAAGTGACAGAGGTTATCAACCGGCCGTTGCTACATCGACATTTTCATTTCAAAGGGAAATAAAGGGAATTTCACTCTAATTGATTTCATAACCCAAAAAGCAAAGCTGGACAACCGGAGCCCAAGCAAGATATTTCTATTTAGTTGTCCCGTGACGGATACTTTGCATCTGAGTGCCATTGACCGTGTAAATAGATGGCGGAAGGAAAAGAGATACCCGTTGCGGCAAATGTTCTGGGCACCATCGGAACCGTGCTATGGTGCATCCAGCTCGTACCTCAAATATGGTACAACTGGAGGAGGAAAAACACGGATGGCCTGCCAGCGTCCATGATGCTCCTATGGGCCCTATGTATGCTCCCCTAGCCTCCAGTCCCCCTGTATGCAGCAGCATTAGACGTTATATTATCTAAATCGAAAAAAAAAAAAAAAAAAAAAAAAAAAGGAAAGTGAGAAGCAAACCGCTAATGGATCGGGGACTTCAGGTGCTCCTCCATTCGGTATCTATATGATTCTACAAGTGAGTTTAGAAATGCAGTCCTTCGATCATATTTTCCGATCTAGGCCTGACTTAACGGTTACAGGGTGTCAATATACCTATTCAAATTCAACCGCAGATCTTTGGGACATTATGCTTAATATGTTGGGCGCAGATTCTTGTTTATCACCAGTAAGTCAACTGCGTACACGAAGGCTCGTACTCGTACATACAAAGTAACATATTTATATTTGTAGCAATTATACGAGGGTTAAGGCAACTGTAATTACCCTTGCTCTCGCAGTGTTGCTGGGTGGCTCGGAGGTCCTTTTTATTCTTACGTTAAGGGTGAATATGTCTCGCGTCTTAGATCACATTATCATGCCTCTGACCTCCCTTTCCTTCCAACAGATCCCGTACAGAAAAGGCATTACTTGGCCGGCGCTCTTGTTTGGGATTCTCGCCACAATACTTCTTGTGCTAGGGTTGATGTCTCCATACCAAGAAATTTGGAAAAGAAGAGGGAGGGTTGTAGGAATCAGTAAGTTTCGCAGCATCCGGCCAAATGAATAGTGTAGATCATGGCTGACCTATTTTCAGATTGGGTCTTCCTTACCATGGATACATTTGGAGCGCTATTCTCGCTCCTAGCTCTAGGTGAGCGTATAAAGGGACAAAATCCTAAGGATTTGGGTTAAGATTGGCTCACATAAATGGATACATATAGTTGTTGAAAGTTCCTTTGATGTCCTCGGAGGTGTTATGTACTGTGTTGTGTGGGTATCCCCTGGCTAAACCTGTCGCGCGAAAGGAATATGTTAACATACAGGCTTTCTAGGTTGGCTTTGGAAATAGGGATCTTTGGAAGCCACATAGTCTGGAGACTGTTGCATCGTGACCTGCTGAAGGAAGCCAAGGCCGCTGGCGTGACCATCGATGAGATACTTGAAGCTAACAAGCGGACGGTCACTCCGTCTAGCTTGGTGGAGAGTCAAGACCATGTAGGAGTGGCAACGGTTGACACAGTTGAGCAGGCTAGGAGGTAGAGGCATAAAGGGCCACAAGGGCCTCCCTTGCGAAAGGCAATACTTAATCCAATATGGATTACTTCCTCCTGGAGTTAACTACCTTCGCGTATAGCATAACGACAACAAAAGATGACTGAGAGGAAGTAGCAAAGTTGCGACAGCTGCTGTTATTTGAATTCGGATGAATGATGATTCTGAGAAGATATATTTATATAATACTGCACCCGATATTTTCTTTCATCTGCCGGTTCACGGCTCCTTCACGGAGAGAATATGAAAAAAAATAGTCAGCGATAGTTACCCCATGCTGGCGACCCAAGAAGCTTGCGTCATGCGTTCCCCAGCTTCTACTCCGCGGACATGTAAATGGGTAACGCGCGTGCACGAGCGTCTTGTTAAAGGCTATGATTCGGGGGGGTATTCACCCCTCTGCGTAAGGATCCGAGCATTGAACGGATGTACAGCCTCCGAATCGATGCCCAAAAGGCAAAGACGAGCTGGTGGCATGGTTTGATCTTTGCCTGGTAGAGATACGAAGATAATATATCGAAGGGGCTCCCCCCCGGTACTCCGACGTAATGGATGGATGTTCCATTGCATACGGAGGTAGCGAATCGGCTTCTCGGATGACACCCCCTGTTATGTGTTGGAGCCAATCGATAGCTCAAGTTCCAATTTGTCAGGGTCGCGTTGGAGCCAGCCCTCCCGGCGCCTGTACAGACTCATCAGATATCTGGTTGTTATCTTATAGTAGGGCGGAAGGATATATATATATATCACCGTGACGAAGCCTTAGAAATGGAGAAATCAAGGTGTTTGAAGAATCTTGGAGTACGCTTCCCACGCAGATAACGCGAGCAGAAGCCATCACTGCACCGGCACCTGTGTTAAGATACCAGAGCTTGCAAGTATTCAAAACAAGCTACCCGTCACTCTCTTTTTCACACACACACACACACATTCTCGTTCAACTCCAATGTCTGACGAACTTGTAATCAGAAAGTGCTCCCATATCCCGAATAATCATGTCTCAACCGAACGTGAATCAGCCAGAAGACCAACGCCGGGAAGCTGAAGCCCTGCAAGCCCCAAGAACCTGCTGTCCCCCTTACGACATCAATGATCCGGCTCAACAAGAGCTCAGCAACCTCATCCGGCCTCTCAAAATGGACCCGATGGGCGTTGTCTCTCTCGGCCGTGACGGGGTCTATCGCTCGCTGTCTGCTGGCCTCGACGAGGTTGTTGACGCGGTTGGCCTGAGTCCTAGGCTTGTCGAGGCTCTTTTCAAACGACTTCCGCCTGGATTGGGGGCCGAGCACGAAGGGGCCGACGGGACTAACGTGCCGAGGGAGCAGTGGTTTCATCCGGATAAGAGCCAACTCCCGCAAACCAGTATCCAAAGAGAGGCAAGAGGAACTGAAGAGGGAAATGGAGGAGCAGAAGAAGGAAAGGAGTGAGCATGGAACGAGACAGGATTCTATCAGAGAGGGCTGAGATGTAGCTAGTCCGTCGTTTGCTGTGGGCCTTTGGGTTGATGCTCAATGAACTTGGCAAATAGTTGGAAATCCATGAACGCTTTACGCCGATGGTCATCCAAAATGCGTCCCTCGCCTTCTTTATTCAAAAGGTCGTGTTGTCACATATGTATCTTCTTGCTCGCGTAACCTTCCTTCGAGCACATCCACAAGATATAATAAGGGCCACGACGCAGGCTGCTCCCAGGCAAGGCACCATGGCCTGGCTCTGCACATGGATGATTTTACACCCATTCAACTCCTGCCGGCTTAGCCGGAGTATGCGGATTGCTTCTTGATCCGTTCTCGTCATCCAAACAGGGAACTACAAGTTTCCCTGTAGTGATACGATACGTCCCACTGACCCCAGCATATTTACCATAAGTGTAAGAATAAGCATTCTGACTGACGCATACTACCACTGAGATTTCACCATCCTTTGCAGTGTAAAAGCAGGAAGGATTAGGAACATTGCAGCGCGAGCCGGAGAAGCTCCGCGCAACGAGTCCGTCACGCTTGCATCGGTGGAGACCAGAAATATCCTTGCTTCAAGGCCAACACCATGGCATACGGACGTCCATGATCCTAGCTGTTCGTGAGTTAGCGACGTGATTAATTTGATCCCAACAAGGTTTCTTCCACCCAAGCAGCAGAGATTCCGCCAAGTTGATCATTGGAGAGGGAGAGCAGAGAAAAGCTGTTTCGGTGAATGTATGTCCTATTAGTCACTATGTATGTACCTTTGTATGGCTTGTTCCAGGCCGTGTGGGGATGATCGGCGACGCAGAGAGAGGTATGGCTGGAGCGAGGAGGCGGGACAGAATGCAGAACTGCTTGGATTTTGCCTGCTGGTTTTGTTTCGGCTTGATGTGACTGCTCATTGGTTTGTACGGAGCATGGAGTGGTTGGATGATGGGGGTGTGAAGTGAAATGCCCTTAATGAAACATATAACTAACTGGTTAGTTCATAAAGCCTGTAGTGAGCGAGTGAGACAATGCCTCTTGACAGAGAACGTCCTCTGGTCTTTTGTCGCGTCTGCGATTCTGCTGCTGCTGCTGCTGCTGCTTGCTGGCTGGAACGGGACGACGGCGTGTGATTTCTTTTTCTTTTTCTCCTGCACGCCCCAAGCCGCCCGGGCTAGCTCCCAGCTCAACGCCGACCGACCAAATCACCCAATTCCACGAGGCGACGAGTCTCAATCCGCCTGCTCCTGGATCTGCCACCGTCTTCCCCCTTTGAAGGGCCCTGGTGTGAGCGTCCCGTCCTGCTCGTGTCTCTCCGCCACCGTCCCTCCCCTCCCCTCCCAAAAATCCATGCATCTGACAGCTGCGTGAGCCGTTCGAGGATGGATCGCATGACTGGAGACCCTGCTACGACTTCGATCAAGGCCTCTTCTTTGGGATTCTACAGTTAACTAGACACTCCTGCTGCTCCCCCCGGCCTCTCCGCCGCCTTGCTTTCTCCCAGCTTGTGCTGCGTCTGTCCGTCAATTGCTCCTCCTTGTGCTCCGGGAGGAGAGCAGGCTGATACAGACGGAGGCGTCCAGCAAGCCGCCCTCCCCCCCGGCCCAGGCCACGCAGCTGCTCCTCCGTTGCTGTGTTCGTTCCTTCGTTTCTTTTTTCTGGCCTGTGCGTGGATGTATGTGCGTGTCTGGTTCGCGGAGGGAAATTCTATTTTGAGCATTTTTGCTTTGCCGGAACCATGGCTAGCAGCAACACGAACAACAACCACCATCGCCTGTCGAGACTGACCGCGAAGCTGCTGCGACGACCGTCGACCTCCTCCTCCGCCAAGAACATCTCCTTCTCCCCCTCTTCGACCCCTGGCGTCGACTCGCTGCCCGTGGATGACCAGCCCGTTCGTGCCCACCCCGCCGATGGTGCTGCCCGTGCCGACTCGACCGCATCTCGGGTGAGGACCTCGTGGTGCAGCCTGGAGACCGTCGACGGCAACACCGCCGCCAACGGCCCCGACGAGAAACCCCAGAGGCAGACCGCCAACGACTCGCATGCGACGCCTCAAGTGCTCCCGGATCCCAGCCCATGCGGCCAAACTACCACCCAAGCTTGCCCGGCCGCCCGTCTCTCAACCCAGCCCAAAGACGCGCTCTCTTCAACGCCATTGACCGCCGAAGCCGCTCCCAAGAGAGGTCCCTGCCTCCGACGCCTCGAGGAATCCAATCTGGCCGGTGCCTGCAAGGAGGTGTTTCCGTCCGGTCGGTCCCTGTCCGTCCGGAGATCGGATTCTCGATCCACTGCTCCCCGGACACTCAACGCTGTCGACGAGTCCGGTCAGGATACGAACCTGCCATCGCCTCTCTCCGTTCCTACTGCCAAACCGACTCCTGCTCCCCCCAACCCGCCTTCGCGTCCTCCACTCGCCGTTCGACGACAATCTCTCGTCCCAGCGTCCCAGCAACGACTCATAAAAACGCTTCTGGAACCTGGAGTCGTTGGAGCCGGTGGAGACTATTTCTCTCGCGGAACCCCGTCCATCCAGCCAGATATGATCAGCAGGAAGGTATGGGTCAAGCGGTCCGGCTCGTCCCCGACGCTGGTCTCCGTGACGGAGGAAGATTTGGTGGATGACCTACGGGAGGCAATTTTAAGGAAATATGCCAACACTCTGGGACGTACCTTTGACGCGCCGGATATCATGCTGAAGCTGGTACCACGAGAGCCGTCCAGCCGGCAGAGTAATCCAGACCGTCTGTTAGGCCCTGAGGAGCCCGTTGGACGCACCCTGGACCACTATTACCCCGGCGGCCAGACGGTCGGAGAAGCATTGATCATTGAGATTCCTCAGCGGCGCACTCCGAGGCCTTCACCGCGGCATAACGTTTCGTACGTGCATCCGGATGACCTGCGCCCTGGTGAAGCCGATGAGTACTTCCCTCCAATGCACTCTATACAAACGCCCAACGTTTCCAGCTCGATATCCACCGGGAGCGTGCCTAATTCGCATCAGCATTCAATATCAGTCATCACCACCGGCCAGCTACCACCCGTTCCTTCTCCCGGCAGCCGCGGATCCTGGCATAACCTTCAACACCGACCGAAATTCCCTCGCCAACATACCTCTTCTCCCACAATCATCGGCGCAACCCCTGCCGTGAACAACATGACTGGTAGGCGAGCCCCGTTCTGAGCATGCTCCGATCTATGGTTTTCTTTCTTTCTTTTTCCTTTTTTTTTTTTTTTTTTTTTTTTTTTAATCTTCGGTTTTGGTCCTGGTCCAGTGTTAACGTAATCCGCGTCTACTTTGCCTCTTCCGATACATCTAGACACCGTCGACCAATCTGTAAATGGCGGTGTTGCTCCCGTTCCTTCGCCTCCAACTACCAGTACTCCTCCAGCTCCCGCTCCCGAACCACAGACAAAATCAGTACATACCCCTCCAGCTCGCGTCAACTCTCCTCGCCCAGTAACAAAACTCCGCAAAATGAAGAAAATGAGCAGCGGTGCTACTGTAGACTCCAGCCCTGCCTCGTCGAGCCTTCTAGACGGCACCGTCCCTCCAATCAATGTCCTCATCGTCGAAGATAACACGATCAACCTCAAGCTTCTGGAAGCTTTCATGAAGCGCCTCAAAGTCAGGTGGCAGACCGCAATGAACGGCCGTGAGGCGGTTAACAAATGGCGCGGTGGAGGTTTTCACCTGGTTTTAATGGATATCCAACTGCCCGTCATGAACGGTCTAGAGGCCACTCGCGAGATCCGGAGGTTGGAGCGAGTGAACAATATCGGCGTGTTTTCAAAGGGTGTTGCTGCGACGTCACCACACGCGATGGTCGATACGAAGGGCAATGACGTTTTCCCACCGAAACCGGAAGATGTGCTCGATAAAAAGTCGTCCGTCAAAAGCCCTGTTATTATCGTGGCACTTACAGCAAGCAGCTTGCAAAGCGATAGAGACGAGGCCCTGGCGGCTGGATGCAATGATTTCTTAACCAAAGTATGGCGTCATGGTTTTCGTTCGGCAAAATGCCTTTCTTTGTTAGACCTTTTTTTGGAATATCCCCGCTGACTTCCGCATCTACTAGCCCGTGAACATGATATGGCTCGAAAAGAAAGTCACGGAATGGGGTTGCATGCAAGCCCTGATCGACTTTGAAGGCTGGCGAAAATGGCGTGGTTTCGATTCGTCAACATCAAGTGGTGTATCGCAACAGTCTACCTCGACCGCTACTATAACCGACGCACCCTTGACGGATTCCCCTTCACCGCATTTAACAACATCAAAATCTTCGCAAGGGAATCACACCTCTACAGTGAACTCAACTCACGATGAAAAGCCGTCTCAAGACCAGGGAGAGTCCAGTCCAGCACCAGCATCGTCGAAACTCACAGGAACTTGCGTATACCTCAAAGGTAGTGGAAAAGACTCGCGCACTAGTTCCACATCGACGATCGTGCCGAATGGTGGCAGCTCTTCGACTGGGGCGTCACCCACACCGACACTGGCTGGGAGAACTCCTACAGCTGGGACTACGTCGGGAATGACTTCACTGTCATCCGTTATCTCGTCCTCCGGAAAGAGAGGAAGTCGTGCCTCAACTCCTGCAAAGAACCACGCGCTGTGAAGCTATTAGCCCGATAAATGCCCATACCCCCCCTTTTCACCCTCCATTTGTCTAAGTGGATGTCACCATCCTTTAGTAACGCCTTGTTTCTGTGGTTTCCTTGGAAACAGGACCTTTTTTGAATGCATCTAATTACCTATTTCGTTCTCCTTTTGGTTTCTACTACTCTAACCACTTTACATTTTGCTTTCTGGCGTTGAATCAGATTGGTGATGAAGCCATTCTTGGGAAATCTCATTGTTTGTCTATCTGCCTGCTTTTTGTCCTTGTTATTTTTGTTCAATTCTCTTCACAAAAAAAGGTACCTATTCTCTCAGGAAAAAAAGGCAAAAAGAACCAAAAAAAGCAATTTATCCCGCAAAGTCCACTTTTGCTGTTATTTTCTATACATATGTCACACACATGCACACATATACATACCAGTAAGGTTGTTTTTCATTTGTCTTTTTTTTTTTTTTTCTTTTTTAGTCTCTGTATCCTTATTTTCTTTTTGCCCCTAACATATGCTGGGTGGGATATATGTGAAGCGAAGTTCATAATACACCATTTGGTTCTAGTTTTGATCTTGGGAAGGAGAGCTCAACTAGGGTTCCTACGTTCCCAGAGCCAGTTCCTCCATTGAACAAGCAGGAATAAATACATAGTTTTCAACGTGAGATATGGCTTGCTTGTGTATAGTATTGAGTCTGGTGCTGTGTGTATACGTGTACTCGTTGAACCTTTTATCAGCTGGATAATGCATTTGGGAGTGAGCATAGAGGCCTATAAGTATAAAAGAACGGTGGTTACTCTGATTCTGAGTCTTCCTCCCCCCTTGCTCGAGTAGGAATGCTTCAGTGATGATGAACGGGGGAGGTCGTCGAAGGCTCCTGTTGCTGGAAGTTAGCACGGAGTATAGTGTGCGAGATAAGGTGAAGAAGTAAGGGAAAATCTTGAGGGTTCCAAGGACAGTTAAAAGGGGAATTTGTCAACCGCAACTCCACCGGTGAGTGTATGTGCACGACAGTCATTTCACGACGCCATGCCTAAGGCTCTCATTGTCAAACCGAGGGCCCCGGGTATGAACCTGTCAGAGGGAGCGTGGATCAATTATATGGGGTCGTGGACCACAGAAATCATATTTATTTACTCCGTACATTTGTTTAGTATGCATTGCTGTTGACATTACTCCATTTAGAAACTCAACAATCCTTATAGTTGGGCTCTGCTCGCTGGATATATGTAATATAGTACATTTCACAAACATGCAACAGGACATTATGCAAACACGCCATACCAACCAAAAACGGTAAGTAGGTATCTAATATACATAACAAAGGGATGAATGCACACTCTATGTGCATTAAACTTCCACCTTTGTCGGAATCTTAACCATACCTCTCTTCCTTTCATAGCTCGGTACACCGTATCTCCGACCTGGTGCATCCGCTCCACGGCCGTCAGTCCCAATTTTTTCCCGACTCACGACGACGTCGCGGAACCGGAACTCAAATCGGCTTTCGGCAGGTTGAATACGGTGGGTTAACGACTCTTCCTTTTTCTTTTTAATCTCTTTGGCCTCGGCCGCAGCAGCTTCTTCGGCCTCAAGGCGTTCAAAGAATCTTTGGTTGCGCCGGGTCGCTTCACCGCTATATGTGATATGATCGTGTTCGAAGGCTACAAGATGAGGGTGGGGGATACGGACATCAGCGGGCTGAAGGACTTGTTCCGCGTTGGGGCCCTTGCCCACCCGTTCGATTCTATCAGGGCGTTGCGTTATTTTGGCAATGGCTTCTGGTGTGTTGAATGGCTTTCCTTCTTCGGATCGTGGTAGAGCTGGAGCGGCAGAGAACACTCTGCCTGCGTCTAGTCGGGTGAACTGACGAGATTCTGAAACCGGGTAGAAGATTTGGGCTTCCGTAAGACGGTGGACAGGAAGATCATTGATGGGTTCATGGGCTACTGGCTTGTGGGGCGGTTTAACCAAGGGTGTTGTTGGGACCATATCAAGCACAGCGCGCGCGTATGGCAAAGCTGTAGGTTTTTTCTATCTTGTTGTTAGCCACTGACCGTCCAACAACTTGTTCGATATAAAAATAGATCCAATATTAGATAAAGTGATGGTGTCAGAGAGTTGTAATTTTTTCGGTAAGCATTCTCCTTCTGGGAAATTGAAGGAGTCATAAAGACTAATCGAATTTTGCTCATCATTGAAAACACGGTTTTTTGATCCCGCACAAATGGGAGGAATGGGGTAAAAAGCTCAGAAAGGTCAAGACATACCTCTTTGATCATCTTCTTTTCCAGTTCCACCAATCTCACCACTGCCGCAACTCGTCTCATATCCACACCAAACAAAACACTCACTGCCCGCACACTCTTCTCTCTAACCTTGACCTGTTCATAAATCTCATTCCGCAACTCTTCACTCAAAACGCTCTGACTGACAAAGTGTGGGTTAAGCGGGAAGGGCTTCAGAGGCTCTCGAGATTCGCGAGGAACTATGCCATCACCAGCCTCCGCAGAAGAACCCTCGGGCTTCTGCGCGTCCTTCGAGCCTTCTTCGCCTTCCGCATCTAGTGCTTGAAGGAGCCTACCCTGCCGGTCATATGCGGTAAGGTAGTTCGGGCTGCCAGGAAGTGGGTGCTTGAACGCCGCGCCGGGGCCATTGAGCCATGAAAACATGTCACGGCGTAGTTTTGTCCCGGGCGGAGCTGTGGAGCTGAATGTGCGTTGGGACTGGCGGGAGGAAGAACGCAGGGAGCATGATGTGCATGTGAAGGGAGAGAGGGAGGATGCCGATGGCGAAGATGTGGAGGCAGGTGAAATAGATGGAAGAGAGGACTTAGATGAGGATATGTGAGTGGCAAGGGAGGAGGAAAGGCGTTGAGGGTTGGCTATTCTTGGAGGCATTGTGAATGTGTGAGAGCGGGAGAAGAGATAGGGAAAATGGCAATTAAGGGGAGGGAGGAACTGGAATTTCTGTATATGAAGCAATTGATTGGTATTAACAATCCAATGGCTCTATTCCATTCATTGTGATTTCACTTCAGGCAGGGGGTCGAGTGTGGGCGTGTGAGTGTGGGATTGCGAGGACGATGCAAATTGCTTGAAGTTTTTTTTTTTTTTGGCGCTTCAACGGGATGACTCACGTGATCAACCACTTACGGTTAGCGCCATCCATAGCTCTCGGGCGTGGATATACCTATTTCCGGAACAATGTGACGAGCTTCATTTGGAAATGGCCTAGAGAAGATATCGCTTTCGCCATCATAGCACGGAGGTTTGAAAGTTGAAAGGCACAGGACCGAGACTAAAAGTATTGTATTTAAGGTGAACTGGCTTTAATGAGAGACAAAGAATGTCAAGCGCTCGAGAATGAAGTTGGAAAAGGAGGAAAAAAAAAAAAAAAAAAAAAAAAAAAAAGAGATATGCGTAACGCAAAGCCAACGCCCTGGAGATCCTCCCAACATTACCATAGGTATCTTAGTGTCAAAAGCATCATCGAAGCGCCCTTCCTTTTTTCCCCCAGAAAATGCAGTCCGATGCAGAAAAAATTGAGTCTTCTGTTTTTGCGTTGAAGAGCTTCTGATGCGAATGGTTCAATGATATCCACCTTTAAGCGAGAGAACATTGAGATCAAAGGAGGCTATCGAAGCTTGGTAAAGAGCTAAAACGCAGAGGGGAGGTAAATTCTTGACGTCGTCAGGGCACAAAGCAGACAGGTTAACTAAGAGCAAATCGAAGAAGTAAAGGGTAAAGGGGTTACCGGCGCCTACAAGCAGCACTTGTAGGCCTCCCAAATGGGAAGTCATTATGCAGTAAAAAGGCCAAAGACAGAACCACATCATCAATTGGAGGTATTCCTCCTAGTGCATAGGGGCAGCGTAAAATCCAAATAAACGGTAACGACAGCAGCGACATATAAATGGGTATACATGGCATCCTCTCAGATGTGAAATAGAATAATAACCGCCACAGACGATCCTTGCTTTCCTTCCGAGTATTCCACACGCCTTTTTCCGTTGTCCGAGAGTCAAAATGCTAGAATCAGAATGATCCAATGTGCAGTATCGTGGTGGGTGTTCTTGCAAATGGGGAATCACAAGCTCTTTTTGTTCAAGGGAGGGGGACAGGAGGTATATATGTATGCAGCAAAAAGAAAAAGAAAATAAATAAATAAAAAGGACACAAAATTAAAATAGAAATCCCGTAAACCACCCTTAAGCTGCAACGCCATAGATGACTGGCCGTACCCAGGGGCCAAGGTGGGAGAGAGTAGCAGGGGATATGTTCAAAGGCTGTGGATGCTAAATGAAACCAAAATGTGCAAAGCTGGGGACAAGCAAACCTGATAATGACAGAGGGTTAATGAAAAATAAAAAAATAAACAAATAAAATAAAATGCGACATAGACTGAGACATTTGAGAAGAGCAGACAAGGAAGACGCTCCATTCTCCAGAACCGAGATATCGCATCCCCGGGGCCGCCTCTTGAAAGACCAACAAGACACGCGCTCGATGAATATGCATGGACGTTCTTGCTAAATCTGTAACGAGAATCGATCCGCCTGAAATCCCATGCTTAGTTGCACCCAAACAATTCGGAGGAAATTTCCCTGATCTGCAAATGTCCGTGAAGAGGGAGAGAAAAAAAAAAAAAGGAAAGCAAAGTATAATGGAAAAAAAAAAAAAAAAAATTGAACAAGTCGAAGCACCGCAGCCGTGAGCCTCGCATGATCTAGTTAACGTGCAGAGTCCAGAGTTCCCTTACGCCATGACGCTTCAGTATCGCTATACATGCAAATCATGATAAAACATGAGTGGACATATGGTGGGGGCTAACGACCCATCATATAATCAGGATATCCCGCACCATTCATGGCGCTGAGAGCAGGTCCTGCTGTTGGATTTCCAATGATCGTATCGTTCAGAGAAGCCTGTCTGAGTCGACCCATGCCATTTCCGATGGGGTTAATCCCGATCCCAAGACCAGGATTTGGTACAAAGGTGTTGCTTGAAGTTCCGTTGTTGAGGCCGGGGTGGGGAGATGGAAGTCCATTCGTCGCCATTCCCATGGGTATGGGTAATCCCGGCGGTGCACTCAGACCTGGAGGTGGCCCGCTGGCAGTGGAGAATCGAGGAGTGCCGATTAATCCCGGCCCATTGATTGCATTGATCGACGCGTGCGAAGTCATTGGGTTTGTGGAATGCATATTTCCAGCTTGGCTGTTCCGAACCCCAAGCGGATTTTTGGAGAAGCTCAAACGGATACCGCCCTTGATACTGTTCGATAACTCATATCCATAGAGCTCTTTCAGGCTCTTCGTCGCCCAGGATATATCATCAAATTCAACAAAGCATATCGGTCCATTGGGTTTTTGACGGAAGATCATACGCTTATATCCCCGTTGTCTGGAAAACAAAGCTTTGAGTTCGTCTTCAGAAGTATCGGGCGGTAGATTTCCGACGTACAACGTATTGCACGGCGGGTTTTGATCGGCTGGATTGACCGGAGGATAGTTAAGGCGATGATATGTTGTCTGATGGTATCCATTATTCGGTCCGATATTGGGGAAATTGGGTGACATTGCGCTAGAAGGCGTAGGACGCGTAGAGGTTCCACTCCCGAAAGACTGTAAGGATGGGGATGTCAAATTGGTTGATAAACTTAGGTTGCCAAAATTGCTGAGAGGCATAGGAGGGTTGGTTGAACGACGCGGCATAGCCATGGAGCCGGAATGGCCATTTCGTGCGTATGCAATCGGGTCCTTCAAAAGCTCTCCTGTATCCTCGTCGACTTCTTGATCAATGACGGATTTTCCAGTGATGCGGGGTCGCCCGTTCAAGCCATCCCCGAGAGGCGACTGCGAGGAGAAAAGCGACTGAAGCCGGGAGGCTTGATCAGGAGACTGAAAATCGTTATGGCCGACGGTTCCGTTTGACGCTACACCTTGGTCAAATCTCGATAGAAGATTGGGCTGCGACGCCAACCCTGGCGGAGTAACCTGCGATAGAGAATTTATAACGCTTGAACGTGGAACTTGGTCGATGGTATTGCGTCTTTGCAGCATAGCTGTAGCGGATGGAGCGTCTAAAATGACTTCGACGATCATATTGGCTTCATTCGTAGAGTTTCGTTTCCCATTCAGCATCTCCCGCGCTTCCTCAGCAGCTGATCGTGTTTCAAAGAAGGCCACGGCAGTCAGGAGATCCCCATCATCAGGGTATGTGTTGGGAACAAAAGTCGTATTAATGAAATTTTTCGTGAACAATAGCATGGTTCGGAGTGCTTCATGACTGGTATTCCTCGGAAGTCGTCGTATTAGCATGGCAGCATGGCCGGCAGGCAAGTTGATGCTGCCGGGAGCAACGTTTTCGTTATTCATACCCGACAGTGGCCTTTCGGAATCAGCAGCGAGACTGAGGCCCGGGTTTTGTGGCTCAAAGGCAGGCGTTTTTCCGATGGGAGTGAGAGCGTAAGAAAAGGTAGAAGGTAGCGCGGAGGGCTGTGACGCGACGGGAGAAAAGACATCGGAGGGCATTCTGTTCATGGCAGATGGGAGAGGATTGGAAGTGGAGATAGAGAGGTGAGGCGCCGCCGGTGTGGAAACGTTGGAAGAGTTGCGCTGGAGTCCGTTCTCATACAGCGGCGCGGTTTGCCTCGACTGGCCCGTGCTGTTACTCATTTCTCCCGCAGTCCGGTTGACAACAAATCAAAGGTTGAATTGCCGAGTCCTCGCGTCCAATAGAAAAGGCTTCGCAGGGTGAGCGCGATCCTCGCAAGGAGGCCGCGAACTGCAGATATCCGACAATCTCGCGCAACACGCAATGTAGGTCGTTTGGAGTCTTGAGAGGTTAAGAACGAAACCAGAGGACTCCGCTGCAGCGGCACGATCGACGTCGAGGAAGGAGAGGACGAAGGGAGACGGATGTGGTTCGATGGTTCGAGGGGGTTGGAGGATCTGAGGTCAAAACGCGCGCCTGGACTTAAAGAGACGATGAATATTGTCCCTTGGCAAGGCCGATGGAATCAAAAGGACGATAAAATGGAACAAAAGTGGCAAACTGCAGCTCAAGGTGGGCCGGGTGTCTGAAAACAGAGAGGATGGGGTCAGGTTGTGGCCCTGCGGTGTTGATATGGGCAAAATCTGGGTGTGGTTATAAGAGGTATGATCAGGGCAGCGAGTCTCGACCAGGGAAGTACGGAGAGTAGTTAACTCCAATAATGGGAGTGGAGGCGGAGGCGACTCGAAACAAAGCGATCAACGAAGTGTGTTTAGTGGAGTGCTTTGAAAAATGTCGATGAATGTGGGATCTCTCGCGACATGGGCGGGAAGATGATGGGAGGAGGAAGAGGCGCCTTAGAGGAAGGGCAAAAAAAAAAAAAAAAAAAAAAAAAAAAAAGGCAAATGAAAGGGCCGGATAATCAAAAGACTCAAGGAGGGCGAGCTAAGGTATCGGGAGGAAGGGAAAACATGGTTTCGCTGGGGCAGAAATGCGAGCAGATGGGCTGTGTTCACAAGCAAGAGAAGCAAAAGGTCGGGGGCAAGAGTCTCAACTTACCACTCTTCCGTAACCACAGCTCTTGTTCCCTTTCTTTTTTATTTCTTTTATTCCTTTTTATTTTTCTCACTTCTCTTTATTTATTTTTTTTATCTGAATTAATATTGGACAGGTCGAGCAGAATCGGAGCAGGGGAAGAGGAACGCAGGGAGCGGGCACGCAGGAAGAGTTGGATGATGTGTGGTAGTCAGGGTCAAGGTTAAGATTGACGGATTTGATTGAGCAATTTGGGCCGGCAGACTTCCTGGTGTCTGGGAGTTGGTGATTCCTGGGCCGTGCAGTCGGGGGGGTTCAAGTTAAAGAGTCGCAAGGTTTCGAAGGGAAAAAGTTCAACAGGGGCCTGGAAGTCTTACATAGGCCACTTGATACATGAAGGAAGGCTTTTAGTGTACCGTTGATCGGATAATTGCCTTGATTCGATCGTACGCGAGTCCTGGTTGTTTGGTTCAATCAGACGAGACCCTGTTCTGGGTTGAAAGTTACCATCAACCAAACGGCAGGGAAAAAGCCTGTCTGGGGCACGAATTGCTAGGCTGAGGGTCACGCCAATGCTCAAGCCTTTTGATTTAATTGAGTTGTAAAATGTGGCAGATAAGGGCGCCAGGCGTGGCTCAACAGTGTGTTTCCAGGAAGAGAGCAGCGATCCGAGCGGAAAGGCGGCGGGCAGGGGCGAGCTGGGGGAGTTTCTGAGGATATGACACCACGAGCAGCAGCAGCAGCACCAGCCATGCCATCGACCCAGCCGCGACCAGGCAAACCCCTGACGTGGAACTTTCGACGATGTGTGTGGATAATATGCGGTGATTCGATGCTTGGGCAAAGTTGACTAGCGACAAATCAACCCTGGACTTAGTCTCTCAATTTAGGGCTTCGTGCCCCAGGAAGAAACCACAAATAAAACTGACAGGAACTCTGCCAAAGTATCACAAGAAGGCTGGATTGCCAATTAGACACAGCCTGTGTAAGTTTATATATATCTCTAGCTTTTGCGGGTCGAGGCAGAATATGTCTCGGCCAGCCCCCGTTTCCAAACCAAGAGGAGACAGCTTTCGCCGTTAAAAGACCTCCTTCACAGCCGTCCGCTGCATTATTAATATCATCCTCTTCACAGTGTCGTTGACCCATTGGCAGACTGGTAGGAGAGCTTGCCGGTGGCTCACGGACTCCGCCTTCGGCTGAGAGTTGTGACGTGATAGACCTGTTCTTCCCGTCCTATCTCCTGCGTAACCAGCATTGACTAGTTACCAGCAGGATACCAGTGCAGAAGTCAGCAGCAAGTGAGTGAAGAAGCCCGTCCGAGTATTCTCCATGGACTTCCCGGATGTTGCGCAGGTGTGGTACCGGCTTTACAGCTGTCGGGAAGCGTTGGGCACAAGGCGTGAAGACCAGACCGCAAAGGCCAGTGCATGGACGTCAATTTCTTATTATAAACGTACTCATAAAGACGTCTGGCGAGGAAGAGTTGGTTTTCAGCATCGTCTTCAGGGAAGCTCGACCCATGTTCTCACCTGCAGGAAGATGATGGCATCGCGAACAAGGAAAAAAACCTGCCAACCATCGAGCTACCCTTGTTTGTGCCAATTGCGAAAGCAAGCTCTTGCCGAAGCGGCTCCGGACCAACTAGGTGCTCTCTTCTCGCCTTTGTAAAAATGTGGCTACTCTCCCTTTCAGGAGAGCTGAGGGTGCAGCACATTACGGACCGGGTCGCAACCACAAGGCAAAAGCGGGGTGGGAATTCTCTCTGCAAAACCACCTCATGTACTCCGTACTCAAAGCATGTATGTACGCATCTGCAAACAGTACCTACATATAATTACATACGGAGCCTAGATATCAACCCAATGGGCCATGCTCCGGCAGGACGCTCAGATATCGTCAATAATCCAACGAGATCACAGCTGCCCCAGAAAACGAGCAAACGTGCCCACTCTTACCGACAAGTGATTCTGAACCGTTAGACGGACCCTTAACCACACCGACACTAAACCCCGAGCCCCTCCCTCGTCAAACTTAGTATCGGCTTGGCTTCCCCCCCCGTGAAAAGCAGGCCTTGCACCCAGGCCCAACATCTGACCGTGGGCCGCCTCTGGAGGCCGGGATGTTTGGGACCAGACCGGTCCACTGCTAAACCTGAACAAGGAACGCGGATTATGCTCCGACCAATCGCCGGACGGTTCTCAGGTCTTTGCTTCAGCCGTTCGAGGGGTGTGAGCATGTCTCATTTGCTGCTGGGGCGCGAAAGTTGCGGTGTTTCCATGAGAAAGAGGGTTTCTGGTTGGGCGGTGTCGTTTTGGTGTCTACGCCGTGTCGATTAAGACGAGTTCCCACATCCGCCCGCCCATCGCACTTTGGGACCGTGGCTGAATCCCTCATGCATGGGATGCTCTCGCGCACGTGTGGATTCGTCCAGCTGCATCTTCGGGTAGGGAAGGGTGCACAGCAGCAGCACAGGGCGGAGATCTGAGGAGAACGAAGCACTGCCATTAGTTAGTTGCCTCTTGGCGAGAAAGAAGCTATGCTCGACTCCATGTAAGAGTGTATATTATGTGTCCTCCGTACTCTGTTGTGTATGACAGTATTACTTTTCTCTAGAGGATCAGTAGTTAGCCGCCACGCAATGCAATTCGTGGCATGAGTCCATTTCCTTGTTGCGTCTGCTTTTCGCGCGCGGACTCGAATCAGCGGTTACCATGACGGCGATTCCTCGATAGACGCTTCCCAGCATACTGAGTACTCCCGGAAGATGTGTCCTTTTCAGTTAACAAACTAATAATTATTACTGGGCGGAGAATGGAAGTCGATATTGACATACCCCGGCGTTTGTTCAGACGGATGGACATTACCATATCTATATATTCCGATTCCGTGGCTGTCGCCCCTATCGCATTGCTTTCCTCCGGAGCAACTCCTCACTTGAAAATCTAGGGTAAGGTCTGAATGTATTGTTTCTCCGCTGGGTCTATGAGACTCGCCGTGTTATGTTTTTGGCCGGTTTCCTGTTTCTTGGGTGCGAAGCGGCATCGCTCTTGAGTGTTCCCGTTTCCGCGAGCCGCATTCCAACCAAAACATCGGCATTCACCTACCCGTAGAAGGTAGCTTATGCCTTTCGGTAACAGAGTATTTGGTGCAAACAATCCGGGATTTTGGTCTTTTTGGGGTAGCTATGGCTTGGGGGTTCGCTGTATTTGGTGTTGCGCAGGATATGCGCCTTCATCAATATCCGCAAGGACACTGGATGTGCAAGACGGAAAAGCTCGATACGGTACTGAAGTGCTTTCTAGACTCTGCGAAATTTACCCTGGTTTGTGAAACGAAGATACTACTACTCACGGCAAGGTTACTCATTCTGTTCGGTGCGGACATGCCAAATCTCGGCCAGCAACTCCCCGCCTGGCCAGATTATAGATTCCAACGAGAATAGTTGGACGTAGGTTGCAAATCGACCACCTCACCCTGATCTTGGAAGAGAGGGTTGGCACCGTCGTCACCCTCGCGGCGACTCTTAAATTCGTAAAGTAGCCAAACTCAGGTTCGACACTAGAAGAGATGCTGTTTGGATGGTATAAGACTAGAGTGACTTGAATAATACAGGGCAATAGTTGAAAGCCGCTTATGCCTATCCTCTAATGTCCGTATTTGCTTATCCGAGCGATACAAGAAGATGGAACAGTGAAAGAAAGAGCACACCAATCTTTTTTGGTATCCCATCAATAAGGTTACGCTTTCGACATCGATACCGTTCATTCGGTCCCATTTTTCTGACAAAACCACCTCCCAATCCAATGTTGGCTCCATTGTTGAAGGCAGGATTAGCGTTTATATGCCCGGAATTTTCTAGCCACCGTCACTTAGCAATATATCTCCTATGCAGCCTGTTAGCGGATGTGTTCTCAAACAAGTCTCTATAAGTGGATCTGCCTTACTATCCGGTTCCTAAATTCGTTGCAGGTAGATTCGCATGGCCCCTTTATACACTGATCACAGCTTGCTTCTTGATATCTAAACCGACTCTCTTCGCAGTTTTTGCAACCGAAGTCCTATGCAGCAGGTTAGCAGACTGGCCTTTCTTGATTGAGATGGTAAAAAGGGTCTGTCTCACCCTCTTATCCTTAATGTTAAGGCATCTCTGCTTCCTTTCACCACCTCCATTTCTTAGAACGGCAGCACAGTTTTATTCTCTGAGTAGTCTGCTGTACGTTGTACACTGGTGGCCCGAGCTGGAACGAATTTCGGCTGGCGAGGCATATGTAGTAGGAAGCGAGAGGGCAAGGAGTACAGCAGAAGCCAACACAGTGAAGGATTTCATGGTGTAGACACTCCGTAACTTAAGTGGAATACAAAATGGCGAGTAAAATCGTTAGATAGCTTTATTGAGACAACGATGGGAATGATTGAAAATCGCATCCACAGAATGGAAGGGGTTTCAAGGGGTTTACATAGACCTCCCCAAATCGTGCCAGGAATAATAGAATGACTTCGTCCCTCCTTCTCTCCCCCCGCTGACGCCAACAAAGGTCACCAGAGCAAGATTCACACCGTCACGGCAACGGTGACTCCAAGGGACGCCGGTCGTTGATCTCCCTTCCATGCAACGATAGCAGAGTAGATCTTTCAATATGGGCCAGCCTATTTCTCGGTTGAAGTCCAGATTTGTCGAAGGCTTGAAAGGAGACCATGAACTGCCTGTCTATGCTGGTATGCAGGGATCACATCGTCACGCGTTGTTGGCCAAGCGAGCTTTTCACCTCGCATGGCGCCGAAGGAATCACTGGTTGCCTAACAGAGTTCATACCTGCTAGTTTCATTAGCTTGGGCAGAGGCCTTGAGCGCGGGGGGAGATGGTCTTGTTGCTGGCCTCACCTCTTTCGAAGCTCGAGTTTTGCTCGGGCTTAACAATACTTTGTTGTCCAACAAGAACCCTGATCATGCTCTCTCTTGACAGCCCGTGCGGTGTGCAGCCGAATGAGGCTCTGCGTGGGAAGGGGAAGGCGACTGGTTGATCCAGAAAGCTTGCATTGGCGCAGTCCAAAATCGCGCGCAAGCAGCTCGGAAAGCCAAAGGATATTTTTGTACTCCGCTTCTCCAGATTTTCACAAAGCGTTCAAATGATGCTCTACACACACAATTCCCCAAGGCGGTCAATTGCTCTTGAGAGCATTCCAGATGGTGACAAAGCCACTTGGCACAGGTGTGATGTGGCAGAGGACTTGCACGCCCGGGCTATCCGGAAATATGTTGGAGTCAGTGGCTTGCCCAGAACAGGGCAGAGGCGCTTTGTATTTATAGTTAAGACACGCACTCTGTACGGAGTAGCAGCTGTCAAAAATTGGTTGGAGGACGCAATGCAACAGATTTGAGGCGGTGCAGGAATACACAGGGATTCGACCCGGTCATCTTATCATTCATATCCAGCAGGATATCTCCTGACTGCTTGACTTTTAAAGTGCGCTGCTTTTGGCAATGTTCAAGAGACAGGTTAGCTCGCACAGGTAAAAGTTTGGGTTGATTTGCACCTTTCTTGGTACACATCCTTTCATTTTGTATTTGCTGCCGTCCTTGGGGTTCAGGATCCTCGTGGAATGCCTGATGGGGCCTAGAGAAGAGCAGTAAAATGCTCGAGAAATTCATCCCTCTTTGGCGAAGGGGGACCTGGGTACTTTTATAGCGTGTTCGTGTTATCGTACGGATGAAATGAAGGCGGCCCTTTCTAAGGGGACATCGACACCATAGGAGCGCAAATCTCGATTTGCAGCATGGGTCCAACAGTGCGCGCCAAATCTCCTCATGGAAGCTAGGATTCACAAGCACAGCTTCCATCGGGCCTACGATGCAGCATCAGCATCAAAACCAGAAGTGCGTTTTGTTCGCACATTTCTCCGTATCCACCGAGGTTAGAATGAAGATGCGGAGGCCGAGTTGCGATACGCCTACGTCCGGAATCTCGTTAGTGAGGGACATGCCGATGAACATGATGGAAGTATGTATGATTGTTTCCGTGCTCATTTCCACTTTGCATGCAGAGTACCGTTCTGTATTGAAGGTTTGTTGACGTACATACGCTGTACATTCACCAGATTTAAATCAAGTCTCCTAACTCCGTGCTGTTTAGATCTATATGTATATATATATCTATGTCTCGAAGGGTACCCAAGCGCTCACTCCATCAGTAACTCGAATCAAGTCATAGACTCGTCAGCGATCTTCGATAACGGCGGATCAGGAGTCGTCGTAGTCGGTCCTTATGTTCAATGAGAACCGGGGGCGGAAGAAAAAAGAAGAAAAAAAAAAATCTTTTTTGGGAGGACGGTCTGGGTGAAAAGAGAACTGCTTCATGATTTATAGTATCCGAGAGTCTCCCTGCCACACGTGATCACATTCCCAACGTTAGTCCCAGTTACGAATTGAGGGTTGCTGAGTACTCGGGGTGGTTTGGAACATGCGATTAATCCACCACAGCATTTGTTTCCGTTGACAGAAACGAGCTCCGGGAAAACAACTTCATCGGACCATGACTGGATTCGTGACAAAGCTGGCCGAGCCCAATCACAGTTCAATTGTCATCCCCAGAGAACCTGGAGCTGTCTCCTCGAATCCATGCCGTTTGTAAAGGCGTCTTCCAGGCGGGTCAGCAAACAGAGCGACCAAGGCCCCCGGGGGAGCGCGTGATCGGACACAGTGCACAAGTCTCGTCATGATGGCATCGCCCACTCCTCGCCGTTGATGTTCTGGGAGAGTTGCAATGTCTGCAATGAGAAAATACCACCCTCCATCACCGATAATCCGGCCCATTCCCACCACTTCAGCGATCTGCTCGAGATGATCGCCAGCGCCGACGTCAGTGAAGTTATCGGCACTTTCATGGCTCTGCGGTTTGGTGTATGTCACGTAGCACATGTACCAAGTACCCGCTAGCGCGATGCGCGCTTGCTCTTCAGTTTTGGGAGAAAGGCCGCTGGTTGCTCGAAGATGGCAATAGGCGGCTGCATCCGGCGTGCCCTCGACGAGGTGGTAGCCTGGAGGGAGGGCTGGGCGAGGTGGTTCCATGGTCGGAAGAACGAAAACCAGAGAGACAACACGTATCGAGGCTTCGTCGTGCCGACCGAAAAAAAACTCCTAGGCGTCCCATCAAAGCCAGAACCAGCTGGCATCGTGGAAAAGAGCAGCGTTTGATATCACACTCCCCCACGTTCTTCGAGTCAGAGGGCCCGCCTATTGGCCTGGAGCGCGTTGAATTAAGGTGCGCCAAGCATCTAGTGCTGACGCTCTACTGGGACCGACAGGGGGGAATTTGGAATTGTCATCAAATCACCGTTGTGTTGAGCCGCAGCGGGACGCCGTGGTCAGCACATCGCCTTAACCCCTTTTTTTCATGCATATCATTCGCTTTTATCTCCGCTCAAAACGAACGGACAATGCCCGGATTGAGTTTGTGGCTTGATTGGACCACTTTTGAGGCGCAAAACAGAGCGACAGTTTCTTGAGTCTCAGCTGGGCCAGGGTGAGCTTCATGCTCTCTTCCCTGTGGTTGCAGGGATTCGGAGACACAGACCACCCTTTTGGGTGCTGAAAATAGCACAGGAATGGAATTCAGTGTGGGGAGAGTCGGGTAGGAGCAGAGGCCTGCTCATGTACAGAACAAAATCGCCAACAGCAGAAATGAGGAGAAGAACTTCTCCATCATTCGAACATGAGGAGAAATGCCGCTTTTGCAGTGGAGACACTGCAGTGTGGCCGTTGCGTCAAGAATATATTCCACCACTGTTCACAAATCAATATTTCTGCAAATGCTCATTGACAAGGATCCTCACAAGATCGGCATACTTCAGGCCCCAAAGCGTTGATGAGGCTCGGAAACAGGCCCTTCGTTCGATGCCTGTTTTGTCGCATTTCAAATTGATTTGTCGATCTTTGCCTAATACGAGCTCCACAGTGAGATTCCGCCTTTTTTTTTTTTTTTTTTTTTTCCGTCGAGAGACCTCAGAATACGAGATCTGGGCGCCCCTTATTTGGTGCTCCACAGGATCATGAGCCGATTTTCTGATAGAGACGACGTCAACCTTCGGGTTAAGATAAATGGCGAAGGAACATTCATAAAAGCAAGTGTTCCCTTCCACTTTCAAATCCAAAAGGGTTTGTTCGCACATTTTGCGGTCCAGCCGAGGCGAATCGCATCAACTTGCGGCATAGGCCACGTCGGGCACTGTTATTTCCCAGACGATTAGGCCGCGCTTCAGCGTTCAAGATGGTTGACCTCACCGTTGGTCATGTCTCCGGTATCATTGCCGCTGGGGTCTTCGTGCGTGAGTAACAACAGCCTTCTACCCATTCTGCGTTGGGCCGGATATGGCATACTAATTAATCTATAGTCCAATTCCTGATACCGACTGCCACCACACTTATCCTAGCGGGACTTGTAACCGATAAAAACTCATTAGCAACATGGTGAATACATTTTTCTCCACCTGGGTTAAGAGCCGACCTGCTGACTTGACTTAGGACTCAGATTGGAAGATCATTACATGCGTCACATTGGCCACTCCTCCTCCGAGCAGACACCGCCACGGCTCGCGAAGTTAGCCGAGCGGTAAGGCTAGAAGGGATCTTGCGCCCCTTGATCCTACTTATTGTCGGTATTGCTGCCGTTGTCACGCCTCTCGGTTTATACGACGCAGTCGTTCCTGGAACAAAGATGGTACCACAGCCATTTCAGTATCAACCCGACACTTCGCCGTTTGGCAGCGGAACACCCCCTCGCTCAAAGTTGGGGTTTAATCGAATTTGCGGTGCCTTTGAGCCTCGCGCGTGCCCAGGCTCAAAAACCATCATCAAGACCACCAGAAATGCAACCAGAGCTACATTTGAGTGGGACTTATATGATATTGACATCCCCGCTAACTTGACCGAGATGTTCCAAAGTGGTCTCGAACGTATGAAACCAACCGTCTCGAGCATGTTTGACATTCAATGGAGATCGTACTCTGTCACCATCGATGACACCAAGAACAATGGATCCGCTTTCTTGGGAGGGTCGTATAAACAGATGGATACCTTGGTCCTTAAGGACGGCTACATAGTTGTGGAAGGGCTAATTGTCGACAATAAAAACGGAGGCATTGGCTTCCGGAATCATACCACCCCTTCACCACTGAAGTACGGTGGTACATGGTCTGAAGACTTGCTTTTTATCGAGCCATTTACACAATGTGTTGATACTAATATCACCGTCGACTTCGTCATTCCGGATTCTAACGTCAACTTAACCATGCAAAACGTGAAGATAACGGACCGGGGTGGTTTTGAGAAACTTAACACGACATATCCCCAATACGACCGAAGCGATCCCCAAGCAAATCCAGACCTGTATGGGAGGGCATACAAGGCCGCCTACCTTCATAATGCGTACACCATGCTGCTTTTGAACGTGACGAACCCGAGAACTCCTACTATGCGACCGTGGTCCTATTTGAATTCTACTGAGGGAAAGACCTTCCCAGTTGACGTTTTGACTGGCGAGGTCCAGCCCACCCAATTGGGGACTTATTCAGATTGGCGCCTATGGGACGGAGTACCATACAGTCCCGGTGAAAATGCTTCTTCCTTCTTGTCTGATATCGACTACCCGAATCCGTACAACATTTCACAAGAGGACTTCAGGTCAATCAGTATGGTTTTTCCCACCCACAACCTTTCAGTAATGGCTAACATTTTACCTATCTAGGAACTATATGCCAGGGAGCCGGCAACGGGGATATCGCTAACATTACCAATATCGGAGTCGCGTGTGGACTATTCGTTGGTGCTGCGCGGCGCGTTGACGGAGGCTCGTCCCTTGTGACCGAGCCGAGAACAGAGTGGACCACTCCACTCTATAGCTGCGCTTCGTCCACAAGAGCCGTCGTGAAAACTGTCAACTTTCGATACAACGGAACAGATGGATTGAACAGTCTCTCCGTTCTGGATATCCGAGACAAGATTTATAACCAAGAGAGTGACAAACCTCTGTGGGGTGTTGAGCGTTTGCAACTTAAGCTCGGGGAGGCTGCTGCTATGTGGGGATTGGTGTCAGATCGTTACAAAGGCCGTGACGACGTTTCCGTAATCCAGAGCGAAAACCTTTGGCTTCCTGGATTTGTTGGCAGCAAGAGAATGCCCTCTACTGATTACATGAATTTACCTGGTGTCAGTTTCCATATGGATGCATTTGCGTCGATATACACAATGCAAGACCGCCCGTCAAACAGCTTACTCGCCGACTATTCAGGAAGATCGAATCTTGCCTTGTATGCAAGGTGGCAAGAACTATCCAAAGATGCCAAATCTTCATCGACGATTATCAATCAGATATGGACTGACATCGCTGCCAACGCTGTCGTTGGAACAAGAAGTTGGGTTCGAGCAGAGAACGACCGCAACGTACAAAAACGCTCTACAGACCAACCTCCCCAAGAAGGAGATACCGTTAACGTTCCAGTGGATATTTATCACCATAGAGTGAGATATCATATTGCGTATGGTGTTCCGGCCTTTATTGCGCTCGCTCTGGCCTCTGCAATCGCCGCTTCGTCATGCGTACTTTGTGTCTTTGGCCGTGCGAGACCATCGGCTGTAAAAAGGCACTTGTACCACACCGGCGCAGGCCGCATTCTCGGGTCTTTCATGTATCCAGGCGTTGCGGATCGGCAAGCCCCCACCAAAGCATGGAATGCGGCTATCGGATCGAAGATGGCCTCTATGGCAAGCCCTGTTCCCCATCCCTTGGACAACACCACGGCGCATTATTCGAACGGTTCAAGAACTAACTTGGAATCTCCGTTGCTACACAACAAAGAAGGCTTATCTCCAGCTGCTCAGCACCAGCCACAGAGTTAAACATTTGGACTCTAGTTCATAAATTTTCCGATTGGTTGACCTTAGCATCCATCCTTCTTCCTCATTCATAAATTCCATACAGTGTGACTGTCTCATTTTTTTTGTCTATATTTTCTTCCACTATATACCCCTTTTAAATTTTTTTTCACTTATCTTTTCTCTTTGTTGATATCATATTTTTTTGGTTCATAACTCGGGTCCCTCAATCTTTTGATGCAGACATCTGCTAAGATAATTTTTTTAAAGATATATTGACGTGAATAATGGTGCGATCTCGGTAGAATGTCAGATAAGGTCGCATGCGATGCACTTAATAAGACATCCATATGGAGTATATTATATAGCATATGTGTTTTAACAAAGTTCATCAAAATTTTGATACAGTTAAATCTAATATACATATCGTCTTGGGAATATTAAATTTTCCCACAAACGCCTGCTCTTAATGCCTAAAACCCGAAGTACAGGCAGTCCTGCACCTTTACAAACAACTTAGTTTTTGCCCTTGACATAAAGGGGAAAAAAAATCTATCCTGGACGAGAAAGCCAAATCATAGAGTCCATCACCGCGAACCTCGCGTGCAGTGGGCAACCGTAAGGGCCCGAATATCCTCGCAAATCCTACATCTCTCGACAATTATTCGACGTCCAAGGGATGTTTTTGGACACACTTGGGCCTCTATGTCTCGTTCGACAACCTTTGTCCCTCCGTAAATCCACGGGATCTTTCCCGATCGATTCTGCTCCTATATCATGAGGTATTCGTTGCAGCCGCCGGCGGTTCAGCTCGTTTCCGTCCCAGTTTGGATTCAACCAAGCCAGCCTATTTAGCCAGGACAAAAGCACTTGTTAGCAAACGTATCCGCCCGTCGACTTCCTCTGGCTCGAATAGGCTGTAGCCTGTATAACAATGTCGAAAGAAACGAGCAGACAATAGACGCACCAAACTTAATAATCGCCACACAGGTTCGCTCGGCTGCGCACCCACACCGAGCCAGTACTTCGCCCGCGATTGATCGAGAGCAATATCTTTGTATGGCCGGGCAAGCTTGGCCTCTTCTTCCGACAAGCCGACGGGCCTTTTGGGAATAGGGTTGTATGTTCCGATAACTTCGATGGGCTTTGAGTCGCGAGCGGTTCTGCGCAATATGTACACGTTAGCTATGATCCCAATTGGAACGCTTCGAGAACAAGGTTGTATTCTGGAGCGTCGTGAAGGACATTCGGTAACCGGGGGACCATGACCTACCGGGCTTGACACACGACGATGTTGAAAAAGGGTTGATGTCGATTCCCAAAACGGGATAGACGGATTCTTACTACCATAGTCAGTGATTTCAACGGAAGGGAGACTCGTCGAGAATTCGAGTATTCTTGATAACTGTCGTCGCCGGCGAGCATTCGCTGGTTGGGAACATTTTAATGGAGGCGGAAAATCTTGATTCCGATAGGCCTCGCCCGGCGCCGGTTATGTCAGCGTCCCCGTCCGTCGTATCTTATTGACTGGAAGCAGGGAAAAGCAACATGCGATGAAATAAGTGCCGGACCCTACTTCGAAGTTGATATTTTGTTTGTTAAAGCAGATAGAATTATCCATCCTGTCCTTACTATAAAGGCTCATTGCCGCACACGCTCCCGAGTTCAATCATCGGGTTGGCCTATGACGTATTTCCACCATTGACAGCTCCGCACCCTCGCCCATCATTTCGATGCAGCGGGCGCTCAGGAGATCAAGCCAATTAACAAATTCACTATTTAGTTCTGCTCGTAGATACAAGTTTATGTCTACAATGGCGCTGAAAGTCAGTCTTTCCTCCCAAATTTCCTTAATTCCACACAGAGCAATCCCACTGAAGAGCTCATATCCCGTCGAAAGCAGCTCCTGCTAATGAGCGTTTGTTGTACCTGGACAGACAATCACTGCTCAAAATGCAGCAGCGTTAGATAAAGATCTGATGGACTCTGGGGCCTTTTCAATTGATCAATTAATGGAATTGGCTGGGCTTTCTGTGTCTCAAGCCGGTAGTTCACCCATCACACTCATTCTCTCAAGCTGAATGCATCCGAAGAGGCTGGCTTACCTGAGCTATATTGCAGTGTATAAAGTTCACCCACCGTGCAAAGGCAAAAATGTGCTCATTGTTTGCGGCCCCGGCAATAACGGTGCGTTGACCGCCCCAGTTTCCCGCCCGGGCGCTTGGACGGAATGCTAACGAAGCGGATTCCCACCCCTCTATAGGCGGAGACGGACTCGTCTGTGCCCGTCATCTAGCTCACTACGGTTACAATCCAACAATATATTACCCCAAACATGCCAAAAATGAGCTGTATGAAGTAAGTCTTGTCATCTCCGCATCCCCTTCCCCCTAGGAAGCGAGTCACTCAACAAATTGGCACCAAATAAAAACAGCGCCTCAAGGTCCAACTCCACAACCTTTCAGTCCCATTCACTGATGACTTTGCCGGCGCTCTTTCTACCACCACCTTGATAGTCGACGCCATCTTTGGTTTCTCCTTCGGCGGTCCTCTGCGTGAGCCGTATCCCGCTATAATCTCCCAGATAGAATCCGCCAAAGTACCTGTCGTGTCCGTTGACGCGCCCAGTTCATGGGACATTGAAACTGGTCCTCCAAAGGATGGACCTGGGGCTCGGTTTATGCCAGAAGTGCTTGTTAGCTTGACGGCTCCGAAACCCTGCGTGAAGTTCTTTAGAGGGAGGCATTTCATCGGGGGACGGTTTCTAACGAAAGCGACTGCGGAGAAATATGGGTTAGATGTACCTGACTACCCAGGAATCGATCAAGTCATGGAGATTGATGTAGAGGGAAGTGAGAAACTATGAGACGCTTGGACATGGATTCAATACAGCAGAGGATAAAAAGCTGGTCACTGGTCGTTAAACGTCATTTAATTACTGCTAGTCATCAAGCTATTCAATGTCCGTCACGTCTAGTCGAAGCACTATAGCCTAAACTTCCAAAGTATAGAAGAATAGCAGAAGCATGATTTAGCAGTGTTTTCAAATGGCATCCTTAATCTCACTGATCACCCCCTTTACCCTCGGTTCCCTTCCAGCAGCCGTGTTCATGACCGCAGCCAAGGTTTTGTTAAGGTCATACACCTCCTTTGCTGCGGCCTTTACTTCCTCTCCCAGTGCAATAACAAGCGTTCCAAGCGCCACCAGGCCCCGATAAACCGCTTCGGAGTCCTTCTCCTTCGAAATTATCTTGGTCAACTGGTCCAAGAGAACAAGGCTTCGCTCGGCGGAGTCGGCAGTGGTGGATCGTCCATTGGAAGTTAGAAAAACCGCCAAATTGATGTACAAGGTTGTGACTGCGATTGTAAGATTGCGGTTTGCAGTTGCTGCCGAGTCTGAGAGGACAGACTTTAGGCGCGATGTTATCTCCTCGAAATTGTCTGTTACCAGTTGTTGGCCAGCTTCAGTTTCGAAGAGATTCGCCAGCATGCGCACTGCAAGCATCACATTATTTGAATTGAGCGGAGAGTCAAAAATACCACTTGAGATGATAGTCTGCACCAAGTTTCCTCCGCTATATGCCTCTGTAGCCGTCATTGGAGAAGCAGCAGCTAGGAGGCGTAAGAGATCTAGCCCCGGTAAGCGATTGGCGGCAGGCCAGAGAGTGGCCGCCCTGACAACTGAAGGCAATGCAGCTTCAAGAAGCGGAGAGTCTTTCAAGGTCGTGGTTTGTTCCAGTTGGTTGCACAAAGCCGAAACTGTCTCCAGGTCGGATGGGCTGAGGGAGATATCTTTGGATCCGGCGGAAACCAACTGAGCGTTTAACTCGCCAATCTTCTTCTGTATCGCTTTCATGTTTGCAGTTCTTATGGAGAGGTATGATGCTTGAGGCAAAACCTTGGGTCGAGAAGTAGGAAGTGAAGGAGCGTGCTGAGAATCATACCCGGCATGGGTGGCGGGCTGGGACGGCCCTCCAATAGTTGCGCCTTGCGTGTTTGACATGATAAAGTTAGCAACCTGGTCTAGGTAGCTCACCGGCAGTTGATGACTCTGTATGAACTTTGTCGCCACGTCGTAAGGGTTTTGGGATAGGTTGTAAGGGAGCTTGAGTGGTGGTTTCCCATCTTCTATATCAACGTCGAAGACGTAGTCATAGTCTTGACCCTGATACTCCACCTTCTTACCACTGCTACCGACGGAGTCGACTACAGTCCCAACAGCAACCCATTCGCGCGTTGCAGAGGACCAGGTGTGGGCTGTGACGCTTCCGTCATCCTCTTTAATCATTTGCACTTGACCTTCCTTAGTCCCCATCTTCTGCTTCAGGAACTCCGGGCCGGGAAGTTTTTCTTTGTTTATTTTCCCAACTTGTTCTTGAGGAATGGAAGATTCCTTGACAGCGCTTTCGAACTGTTGTATAAGAGCATCGTCACCTTGCCGTTCTAGAACCCGACTGAACACACGTGCGATTCTATCACTTGCACCCGTGATAATATCGCCAGTCTCCCGGCAAACAGCGACGCTCCATACGGAGATTGCTGGATGTGTGATTGTCTGAACACATTTGCTCCCCTGCCATATCCTCACTGTCCGATCCTCACCCGAGCTGACCAATTCACCGGACGGAAGAACTGCCAACGAGTAAATGAAACTTTCATGTCCATATAATTGGTCGATCTGCTGGCCGTGGAGTGTCCACAATCGTATAATACCGTCATTTCCTGCAGAGGCTATTTGCGCACCAGATGCGTGTCCATTCGGCAGTTTGCAGAGAGCACGAATAACATCGCCGGAGCCCTGTATGCTCTCTCGCAATCGGCCTGCCCGGTCAAATACCCGTATAGATTTGTCGGCACAACCTATATCTCCGTAAGCATTGACCTTTCTGTCTGAAAACGGCTTCTACGAACCAGTGACGATGGTATTCTTGTCATACGCCAGAACGGCCCACACACTACCGCTATGACCGTCTAGAACAGTATCGCATTCCCATTTACCAATTGTCCAGAGGCGCGCAGATGAATCCCAGCTTCCGCTTACGACCCAGCCTCCCTCAGGACAGACGTCAATACTGCAGATGTTGTGGGCATGTCCAAGAAGTAGGGCCTCAGCGTCGGCCTCAGCGGGTCGACCCGGCTGTCTGGCTTCGATTATGGTGTCCTGGCCACCGGAGAAGATAAGGCCTTCGGGATAGCCTTGAGTGGGAGGATAGAACGCTAGGGCATTGACGAAAGCAGATCCATGAGCGGAGATTGTATAGTCGAAGGCAGGAGGGGGCGACGACACGAGATTCCATAGGCGAACAGTTGCATCCCTAGAAGCTGTAATTGCCTTTTTCGCATCCGGAAAGGCCACAGCGCGAACCTGGAGAGAAAAAGGCGGTTAGAAATCCTCGAGATTCGCAAGGCCGCGTTACCTGGATGTTGTCCGGCACTTACATCATCGCTGTGGCCCTCCAAAGCAGCGGAGATCTTGAAGTCAGGCATACAACAAGATCTCGACAGATCCACAGCGTAAGCGCAGGTTCTAGAAGCTATTCAGAATATATTTGGAGACGAGAGGTATGAAAAGAGCTGCCGCTGATTATAATGTAATACGTGGTGTTTGTGATGGATGATGTTGTAACAAAGCCGGAGTGGGTTGCCTCTGTATACAAAGTAACCAACCACTTCCATGTGGGGTCGAGCTTGGAGGCAGCATGGGTTCAGTGAATTGCCATGAAAGCTACCTACATACCATCAATTGTTAACATTCTGAGCCAGTCCAACTACCAGGTTTCTCAAAGCCACAACTCTGTTGAATAAATACATATACTCTAGCTGCTGCCGTTGTATATTATCATATGTCCATACAAAAATACCACCTATGTGAATACTTCGTAGTACATATAGACGAATCCCCTGGCGTTTGGGAAAGAATAGGACAGCATTTTAACTAACTGGTGCGACTCAGGCTGACGTGGTATAAAATCCTCAAATCCATCGGCTCTAGAACTGCCATGACTCGTGCGCGTCCATAGCATTAACTGGCAACAGAAATGGTTGGCGGGCCCAACTAAGGGAGTGTGACAATGGGAGAGGGGATAGGGAGCTAACCGTGGACACCGTATGTCTATTTGATACCATGGTCTTTGCCGGAGCGGAGATGATCGTGTAGTTAGAGTGACGGTGAGCACCGTGAGAATCCCATGGCAGCGGCTGCAACAACACCGTCAACGGCCGCCCTCCGTCTGATCGTCGCTGGGCGTGGCAGCCCGGAGTCCATGTAGCTGCGCTGCGGAAATCGGACGCTGGCACGCCTTGCCCGACCGGGCCTAGTGCGGCTGCCCTTGGCCTCCTCCAGCCGGCACCAAAAGTCAAAAATACATCAAACTTACACACTAATAAATGACTTCCAGCATCTCTTCGCTCCATGGATGCGGACTACTAGGGGAGTCCCGAGTATAATTTAGCCTTCCATTGTTTCTCCTTCTTCTTCTTCTTCCTCTTCTTCCTCTTCTTGATCCCTTCTTTGCTCGACGTCTTTGCTTTCACATTTTCCTATCTTCTTGACGTCGCTTCAAGAAAAGACACCGGTGCTCTCTGGGTTGCATAACTAACAGGAAACGCTTTGATGACGTTGATGCCATTTTTCTTATTCTGAGTTATCCGCTGGGAGTTATTGAAATACTATATACCACCGAAAAGTCCTGCATTGGCCTCACTCTGCTTTAAACGCCCATATCTTAAATTCTGCCTACGACTGAAGCCCATCTTCCTTCTTAACCTGCACTATCTCCTGATATCTAAGCAGTTACTTCTGAGTTTCTTTTCTTTTCTTCTTTTTACTTTTTTTATATTCATCTCATTATTTTCGCTCCGCAACATGGCCTCTGGTAAGCTTATCCTAGCCGTACAGGATAGCCCACTTCGATGGTGTAGTGTGCCGCATGCATTTTAACCAGCCAGTGGGAGACGACCTTTTGCTATCAGAATCTAACAACCATTTCATTGCTACAGATTCCCCCAAGGTTGTCCCTTTGACTTGCCATGGGCATTCAAGACCTGTTCCCCATATCAGCTTCTCTCCCGTTGTGGATGATGACCAGTACTACCTCATCTCTGCGTGTAAAGGTATTGCCAGTTCAAGCTCCATGGCATGACAAGCCTGACCAATCTACACAGACAACAATCCTATGCTCCGTGATGGAATAACTGGTGATTGGTAAGTGTCCTCACTTACATTCTGTTCATTCTCGCCTTCTCACTTCTCCCAATAGGATTGGCACTTTCCTAGGGCATAAGGGTGCTGTATGGCAAGCTCGGCTCTCAGCCGATGCCAATATTGCTGCTACTGCTGCTGCAGACTTTTCTGCGTACGTTTATTCTTACAGCTCCAATGTAACATTCATTGCCGGCTTACAACGCATTACAGCAAGGTCTGGGATACCCATACTGGCGTATGCCTATACACATTGCAACATGCACATATAGTTCGTGCTGTCGCCTTTCCTATTCAAGATAACCCCCAAGTGCTTGCGACTGGAGGTATGGAAAAAAGGCTGCGCATTTTCGACCTCTCTCGCAGTGAGTCCGCCAGTAACTCGTCCCCGACATCCGCCAACGGTGGTTCCGCCCCCGTAAATGGTATCGGCTCCAGTGCGAACCTTTCTTCCAGTGCAACGAGTTTTGAGATTGGTCCCGGCGTCCACGATGGCACGATCAAATCCATTATCTGGAATCAGGATTACAATATCATCACCACAGCATCCGACGATCGAAAGCTAAGATGGTGGGATCTTCGCTCTCAGAATCCTTGTATGGAATATGCCATCGAAGGGTTGGTCGGTAGCTGCGAATTAAATACTCTCTCAACGATACCGAACGATCCAGGTATCCTAAGCATTGCTGCTGGAAAAACTGCTTACTTTTTTGACGGCGCTGTTCCTGGCCGTCTGCTGAAAAAAGTGGACTTTAATTACGAACTTGCCAGCGTTGCTGTGAATAGCCAAGCAGGTAGATTCGTAACCGGCGCATCGGGTGACACTTGGGCACGGGTATACGATTTGGAGACTGATGAGGAACTTGGTATGGACGGCCCTAACACTCTTCTCTTCTTTTTCTGCTTTCCATCCCTTAGCCCACACCATTGCTGTCATTTGCTAACCTAATTTCCCATGTAGATGTCCAAAAAGGTCACCATGGTCCAATCTGGTCAGTGAGCTACTCGCCCGATGGAAAAATCTACGGCACAGGAAGTGAAGATGGAACCATCAAGTTATGGAAAGCTTGTCGGGAGCCATATGGTCTTTGGAGATAGTAGTGCCTTTGTAGACACTGTTTCTTCGCACCGTTTTCTCTTCCAGATCTTATTGCAAAAAGAAATTGTGCATGTTTGGTGGAATACAGCGAGGCGTTGGCATTATGATGTTATGCAGATCGGATGTTTTATTCTTTTTTTTATACACACATAGTATTCAATTTAGAATACCTATGAGATGCATGTGTCACCGGGAGACTCATATTTTGTTTGCACACCTGATGTTATGGGATAATTGTCCCTACCTTCGTACGAGATAAGAGGGATACTAAGAATGTCTTTCTTCCCCATTTAGTTTTGAGAAATTGCGTATTTTTTGGATGCTATTTTATCTAGTTAAATGGAATAGAAAGAAAGGACAAACAGCTCTTATCCTATCCCATCCCAATAACAGTTGATGTTTTGGTTGCTTTAAAGGAATACTCTGCTATCAAGCACACCATTCCTATATAACATGACTGTGAGCCTGCCATCATCAAATAATTACCTAACCGTTAAAAGATGAGACACGATTCAAAAGGCAGAACCAAAACCAATATCCCTGACACAGGTGAAATTTTGAGCGGAGATAATCCCAATATGCCCCTTCCCCTCAAAATAAAAAAAGTTCCTACTGGATCATATCGATATCATCATCCCCGGCCGGCGCGCCTGCTTCAGCTACTACTTTGCTTTCCTGAGCAACACTATTGCCCGCATCACCCCCTGTGCCGGCATTTTTGCCCCAATAATCTTCCATCTCCTGGTCCAGCTGTTCCTGCGTTTTCTTCGGTCTCCCAGATCCGTTCACACCCCTGCGACTATCATTTCTGCTCCTATTTTCCCCACCTCGCCAGCCACGACTTCCGTTCCGCTGGCCAGGGACATACCGGTCGATGTTCTCTGGAGGGGGTTTGGAGACATCGCTTCGTCGATAACGGCCACGACCAGACGCGGCTTCATTACCGCTTCCTGGGCTTAAGCTACGAGAATCTCGGCGGGGCCTTTCCGCTCGATCAAATAAGCTGCCTCTTGGCTTTTCTGCAACGTCAAACAGACTACGTCTCGAGGACCTCTCGCCGGTCTGAAGGAGAGTTACACGGATGGGCTGTCCCTTGGCGTTGGCGCCATCGAACTCTCGAATTGCGGTTTGCGCGTCAACGAGGCGTTTGTAAGTGACGAAGGCAACTCCCTCGGAACGCCCAGCACGGTCGTAAACAAGAGATAAGGAAAGAATTGGCCCAATGCCAGTAAATAAGCCCTTTCATGAGAAGATCTATTAGACTTCCTGTCTGTAATAGCACATGGGTTCGAGGAGGCAAACGAGCGTGTCTTACCCTTAAATCCTCCTCGGTGATATCGTAGTGTAAGTTATTAACACGAAGTTTCGCTCCGCTAGATGATCTAGAACAGTTTCTTAGCTACCCGTCCAAACAAACATATATGGCAACTGAAGGGCATACTGCTCAGGAGGCGGCGAAAGACGGCCATCACGACGGGCACGGGGCCCTCGAAAGGAAGCAGGGCGCGCTGGATTTGACACGTAAGGAACGTCGCGATCACTGTAGGTTGAGAAATCAAAAACCCACTGTCTCTGTCATCTTCGAACTTATCATGAACCCAATCACTACATCAGATGCAAACATACCATGATTAGCACTCGCTGGCACAATTGTCCAAAGAAAAACAAAGAATTCGACTCACAGTTCTACATCTGCGCGATCATTTCTGAAGGACTGTTGTTCAAACAGAAGAAGAAGGATAAGGTTAGCCGATAGTCATAATCATATCTGTACATTAGAAGCTATTATATATTCTTTTGCTGAAAAGGAAAGGCAGCTCGCGCCATAAGCTCCCCCTTACGAGGGGATTCCTTGTGGCTCAAACGGCTGCCCTATCACGATACGTCTGGATGAAGCGAGAGGAAGAAGAGGAGGAAGACCTAAATCAGGCAATGGACAGTTAGCTACTGTAGAATTGATCGCTTCAATTTCTCGCTCTAGGGCCAATGATACACCATACCTTGTGAACTCGAGCTTCGTCACGGGAGAAATTGCCGCGACGTCCGGCAGACTGCCTGGTACGTCCACGATTTGAATATCGCTACATAAAAATAAGTCAGTTAGTGGGCTTCGGTGGCTTTACTCGGTTTGATTTATTCCATTAGATGGCGAGTCGACTCGAGACATACCGGTCTTTCAGCTATGATCTCATCCAAACTCCGATCCATGTTTGGGAGCTTCGCAACTCGACAATTCTGAATTTGGGGAACGTGTGGCTTTTTAGTAGTCTGAGGGGTATGCTGCTCTTGAATATGCAGGATTATTAAAGCTCTCACTTTTGTAATCTTGTCAAGGATTGTTTGAGTGAAGCTTGGGATTGAAGAGTTGCCACATATGGGCAGGCTTCCCTGTCCCCGTGACATTGCCAAGAAAAATAAGGATGAAAGGCAAAAGTTGCTTCTGCCCCTTACAACGAACCAATGTGCACTTTGAGATGAAGCATGGTCTACTCCGTACAAGTGTCTAAACCAAGAATTCCTTCAAAAAAAGAGTGTTGTTTCTTAACTAAATATATGACACGGGTTACACTGCAGAGTCATCCAAGCATATCAAGTATATACGTACCTAAGGGTGGGTGCTTGATGAAAGACTTGGCCCCTATCAGAGGAAGCATATGTATTAATGAGCCTTCTGCATGGTCCCTAGCGATGCTGACGTATCGGAATTATAAAAGATCACAAAAAGAAGAGCATATTCAAGCCATAGCTACTCCTATGAGCCTTCAGGTTGTGCCATTTATGAAGCCTTGCCTACTGTCCACTTCATCGCCTCGCCCGCTTGTATTCATCATATGCTCCATGAATGTTATATAATCATATTTCGGCAAATCCCTATCTTCGAGGAGATCAGGACCTTCGTGTTTGGGCATGGTCTGGAGCAAATTGTCAATGAGATCCTCGGGAATAAGCGAATGTCTGAGATCAAGCTCCGTAACATACGGCTTTGAAAGCTTAGATGTTAGCAGGGACATCAAAACTACCGGAAGGAAGAGGCCAGCGTACCTTGCCGTCAGCGACTTCCCGAAAACTCTGGAAAACCTGTTCAGCTGTGTTCTGATCTTCCGTTACGCTAACCATGAATCGGATGAACTGTTCAAAGCTAACTCCCGCGGTTCTTTCCACTCGTCCAGGGCCACAGACTTCGAGAAACACTTCGTGCATTTCATCCTCATCATAGACCAAGCCTAAGCTTGCTAGAGCGGCAGAAAACTCAATTTCGTGTAGTGTGTTGGAGGAATCACGATCAAAGTGTCTAAACACAGATTCGAATTCCTCGAGTTGTATCGGTGTCAGATTGGTCATGTTCCGTGCCACCATCTGATTTTCCAAAAACGCAAGCTTTTTGGATACGCTTGACTTGACAAGGCCAAATTCATAAGACAGTTCCTCGAACGTATAGGTAGTAAAGTCATTCTCCTCAATGTTAGCTTCGACACATTGTTCATCAAGGTCAGCAATGGTTTCCAGGAACGCATCCAAGGGCGGAAGATTATCATTAAGGCGCTGCACATGAGATAGTTGGTCCTCGACGTCGCCCTCAAGGCCCGAAATTGCCAGGGATAATGTGTTCAGTGTAAGGGCAAAGTCGTTGGCCTTATCAGCAAAAGATTTCCGTAGTGCGTTTTTTATATCACGGATTGTCTCGTTGATCAACTGGCTCCTCTCGCGCTCATCCTGCGTTAGATTAGCCCACTCTTGATCTAATACTTCAAGTCGTAATTCCGGAGGAGGTTCATATGGCTTTAGCCGATATGTGCTGAGTTTAGTTTTGATATTTCCAAGCAAGGCCGCAAGATCGGATTTCTCCGCTACCCATTTGCGTTTTTCATTCTTTTTATACGCAGCGAACTCGTGTGCTTGTTCTTTTGCATCAGCATATGTACCCGCAAAAGAAGATTCACGCCACCGAAGTCGCTGATTTGCAATGCTGCGAAGCAGCTCTCTCATCCGGCGCTCGAAAGAATTTTGCATTTCCCAAGCCCCTTGCATATTGACGAGGAACTTTTCAACACGGCGTCCAGCGTTCTCCACTCTCTCGAGCTGTGAAAAGGCATGGAACCAGTACGCGATATAGGTCATAAGGGACCGTTCATCCGGCTTAGCAACATCACACACATCCTCCACGTCAAGCAGATCAGGGATGCCGATTTCTTTCGTTGCAATATCAAATGCAAGCTTCATATTACCCTTGTGGTCATTTTTGTCCAAAGCGTCAAAATCGATGAGGTCGGGTCGATGAATATCCAACAAGGCACAAAACGCCAGTCCATCGTTCCAGCTGGCCGAGAAATCCCTCACTTCTACATCTGGGTAGCAAGCAGTCTTCCTTTGGCACCATAGCAGCAATCCTTCCTTGGCGGTCATGCCCTCTTCGCTGATGTCACTAATAGTGAATCGCAAAATGAGGGTCCATATTAGCCCCAGTATAATTTTCCTATTCCCATCTACAATATCCTCTGCACCAATGTTCGTCATTTGGATCCCCCTCCCTTTTATGTAGTCAAGGCATTTGTTGACATTTTCAAATTTCTGGACTCGGAGTTTGGGTCTGGAAGCATAACGGCCCAGGGATTCGCTACCAAGGATCTCAAGAATATGGATGAGTATAACCTAAGAAATTTAGAAACACCAGTTAGCAAAAACCTTGAAATAGGGCGTGTATTAAAAGAAAAGAAAAAAGAGAGAAAAGAAAAGAAAAATAGAGAAAAGGCCCGGAGACAAATTGTTTTCAAAATCGCGGGACTTACTCCATCGGAAAGGTCCGTGACAAGGTCATCGATGGCGATGTCGCGAACTTTCAACTTATTATTGAGCCTATCAACCAACAAAAAGAAATGTTAGCAAGTAACCAACGACTCTCGGAAGATTGCGGTCGAAATCCTTCAGCTAACCATTTTGTAAACGTCTTTTGCTGTACATTAATCCATTGTTTTTCCACAGTCAACATGGCGGCGCCCGGCCAGCGCAACTGGCAGCGAAGACTCCTCTATCCAGGTTAAAAATGAACGTAAGTAACTGACGGAAAAAAATATATTCAAATTGAAACGCGCTTGAATAATAATTCTTCAACGATGCCTTCTCGTCGAGGCTGTTGAACCAGATAAGAAGAAGTGGAAAGATATGGTACTTCAATCGAAAAGGTCATTGTTTCCCGCGCATGGTCGGGATTGATGTCAGCAGGCCGGTTTAGGGTTCGGTTACGGAAGCAACCAAAAGGCGAGGTCTTTGGCGGCGTTAAGGGGGCGGAAAACGGACGTCGATCCAGCAGCGGCCAACTGGAAACTCTCTTTCAACCATCTATTTATGGAATCAGGGCTGGACTTCCACCCACAACACGGGCCAGCGGGACTATTTGAAGAAATCAAGTTATTGCTCCCTACTAATATACAGATGTAGAGAGTGAAGGCCATATCCTACGTCGCTAGGAAATATAGCAACATTGCAGCTTGCTCCTCTCTTGTACTGAGATTCCTGAAACTCTTACCCAACATTGCACAGCTGCCTTACCACACGTGGTCCCTATCCATTGATCCTTGATCGGGAATTACAACCACACACGGATTCTCTTCTCCGCGTAGAGTGCATACACAGTGCAGTGATGGCAAACGCAACTCAGCATCATAGCTAGATAAACGCCTGCTTCTGCGCAAAGTCGGCATGGCGACCTGAAACAGGTAACTAGGGCCATGATACTCTCTGTACAAACATTGAGCAAAAATATTCTAGACATCTACCACAAACCTGGTTCCCCGTATGGAGCACTGTATGTACATACATACATACTTCGTCCGCTGCAGAATGGTATGACGAAAGGGGATCGAAGTCGGCTTCCGGTCATGGACGCTGACGCAGAAGCGGCGCAGGCAGGATCGATCTTGGAGTGATTCCATGTTACATTCTGTTTAATGGAATGCCAATTAGTTGGGTGGCAGACACCTTTCCGACCTTTCGGCCTGAAAATGGAGAGTTGTGTAACGAGCAATACCCGTGCATGCGGTGGTGTGTTGCCTCGCGCTGCTGTCCGCCCAGTCGCACCCGACAGTTGCTTGTTCCAGCGCTGGCAACACTGGAACTTAGGGGTCGAATGCAAAAACATCGAGTTTGCTCTTCGTGTTCAAAGACAGCCGCATACCGAACCTGTGTGCTTGGATTTGCAACGACTCAAGATATGTGTGTGTGTGTGTGTGTGTGTATGTGTGCGAATTGCTGCTCATTGAGTAGAATAGGGATCGACGTGATTTTGCCGTTGACTGTTGAAGTCTTCTCGCCAACTGGACGGGGTCTCATATGTGTCGGTACCCTCCATGATGGGACCGCAATGAAAGGGGGTCATGTTGAATCGTAATCCCGACCCGAAGGCCCATGAGTATGTACGCCAGTCAGAATATTACGCTGTGGAATCCTTCGAGAACTGCATCGAAGCAGTTTGGTGTGCGTGCAGAGCAGATTCACCAGTGAAAGGAGGGTGTGATGGACTACATGACACTAATCTCAATTTGTCGATGATCCGCAGCTGTCATCGTACACAGTATGTGGCAAAGAAGACGCTGTATGAAGCTGGGATGGAGGGTTTGAAAATGCGAACCGACGTTTCCAGAAAATGGGGCAATAATGAAAAGAAAGAGGACTACAACCAAGGCTCTGCAATGCAGGCAAACGAATTGTATGTACTATACGGAGTACATACCTACAGATCGGGCAGAACGGCTTTCAAATTCGAGCGACTTTTGGGGAGTTTTGCCCTCAGCCTGGAGTTGTTCTTCCCTGGCTATGTATGTGTGTACGTACTCCGTACTCCGTACTGTAATAATATATCCTTGACCAAGGGACACCCATACGTTTCGTGCACCTTCTTTTTCAACGATTGACAATGCAAAGAAACTGCAGCCGCTGAGAATTGCGAACCCAGGAGGGCAGGGAAGAAAGAATGTTCGAAGTTCCCGCTGGGGAGTTGTGTGGAAAAAGCCTATCTCCCAGGCCTTGCTCGATTAATTTCCAGGTGGCGCGCAAAGGAGTCGGAAGGGCCACCTGTTTGCAACCGATCTCTGAGCTCACAGAGATGCACGGGAGACAGGAAATACTCCGTAATGAACCCCCGATTCTCCATCTCGCCGAGCAGGGAGTCTGGGAGAAAAGTCGCCGGTCTTCGAGAGCGCAGGGAAGTCCGCTTCCGTCCTCCTGTGCAGGGAGCTTCCCATGATGCGTCGTATCCATACGGCGTATTTCACCCGCCGCTGTAAGTTACAACGTTCTGCGCGCGGATTAGTAATTCGATGAGGGAACCTTTCCTCGACTCAAAGGTGGGGAGCAAATCAAAGAACCGATAGGTGCCTTGGCTCGGCGAAGCGCCTGGGTCTGGTTGGAGAAATCGATACAAGTGGAAACCTGAATGGTACCGCGTTGGATCCCCGACCCCTTTTTTCCTCCTGCGATCCTGAAACCAGCATGCGGATGTGATTGGCCCACCTTACCATGCAGAACATGCTCCCTGTGATAAAGACGGGACCCCAGTTTTAGTGTTGTGGTAATTTGGGAGTGGGAACGAAAATAACAGTCATCAGCGAGTGATACGCAGCACTGAACGGCCAAGACCCAAGAAAACAAACGGATCCGGCCGCTCATTGGCTGGTTGGCGGGGTGGTGGTGCTGCGCTGCCGTACCAGAAGTGTCTGTAATATGACAATACCGCCAGAGAAGCGCCAATCTCGCTTCTCCCCTACTATGTATTCCCATCCACTCCATCTCCTCATCTTTTCGACATCAGTCCTTCAATCCATCCCAGTCACGCCCCCTTAGAGTTGGGGCAAGCGGCCTTTCGAGAGAACCAGCAATCAATCATACGCTGTTCCCTCCGCTGCTGTTTTGTTTGCAGCCTCATCCTTCCGTGTTGCTCCCCTGAGAGGGCCCTCCACGCCCGCCCTTGATACGGCTCCGCAAAAGCTATCAACACCATCTATCCTTTTTTGATCTATCTGTCTAACACTTGTGCTATTTTATCGTTTCGTGAGGTGCAGGCTGTGTTTGTAAGTCTATGCATTACCCGCTTATGATGTTCGGACAATTTCGTTAGAGTAATGGTTTATTTGATTTGATGCCGCTCGCCCACGATATTCGCCCGCGATATTGTCCCAGTGTCTCATGTCGCTTGAAAGGGCTTTGCTTCTCATTTTATCTCAAGCATTGTTCGGAGTACTTATTGATCTTCTGGTGTCTAGCCCCTCATATTCCCGTCCTTCTGTATTCATCGAAAAGCATCTCCAAACGAGAAGAAGTGACTTTTGACGCACGGCCTACGATAAATCGCCAAAATGGGGTGTGGAATGAGCACTGAGGATAAGGAGGGCAAGGCCCGGAACGAGGAGATCGAGAATCAATTGAAGCGAGACAAAATGATGCAGAGGAACGAAATCAAGATGCTCTTGCTTGGTAAGGGCCCTTAGAGTTTGACCCTACATCTCGATCGCTGACGATCCATAGGTGCTGGTGAATCTGGGAAATCGACCATCCTGAAGCAGATGAAGCTTATCCATGAGGGATCTTATTCTCGAGATGAAAGGGAATCATTCAAGGAAATCATTTTCAGCAACACCGTCCAGTCAATGCGCGTTATCCTCGAAGCCATGGAAAGCCTCGAGCTCCCACTAGACGATCTGCGCGCCGAATATCACGTTCAGACGATTTTTGTGCAGCCAGCCCAAATTGAAGGAGACTGCCTACCTCCTGAGGTTGGCGCCGCCATTGAGGCTCTGTGGAAAGATGCGGGTGTACAAGAATGTTTCCGAAGATCGCGAGAGTATCAGCTGAATGACTCGGCAAGATAGTAGGTTTCTCTATTTTTGTTTGCTTCAAACCCTCAGGCTCCGAAGCTCACCACAGCGGCAGTTACTTCGACTCCATCGGACGTATTATGCAGCCGGATTACTTGCCCAGCGATCAAGACGTGTTGCGATCTCGTGTTAAGACAACCGGTATCACTGAAACAACATTCATTATTGGCGACCTCACCTACAGGATGTTTGATGTCGGTGGCCAGCGGTCTGAACGCAAGAAGTGGATTCACTGCTTCGAAAATGTGACGACGATTCTTTTCCTTGTCGCTATCTCTGAATACGACCAATTGCTCTTTGAAGACGAAACGGTGAACCGGATGCAAGAAGCCCTCACACTTTTCGACTCCATTTGCAATTCTCGGTGGTTTACCAAAACGTCGATTATTCTTTTCTTAAACAAGATCGACCGATTCAAGGAAAAACTTCCCGTCAGTCCCATGAAGAACTACTTCCCTGATTATGAAGGTCAGTGCCATTGTAATTTGGATACCTTAATGATTGTATAGTCTGACATTGGCCTAGGAGGCGCTGATTATGCGGCTGCTTGCGACTATATCCTTAACCGCTTCGTCTCTCTCAATCAAGCCGAACAGAAGCAAATTTACACCCATTTCACATGTGCCACGGATACAACTCAAATTCGATTTGTTATGGCTGCAGTAAACGGTGCGTTCCCTCATACACAGCATGAACTGGATCGTCTCGACTGACAAGTCTGTAGATATCATTATCCAAGAAAACCTTCGACTCTGTGGTCTGATATAGAGAGATGCCTGTTTTCGTTATCATGCGACATGCAGAACCCCAGTTTCGTTGCCTTTCACATGATTTGTATTTGATATCAATTACGCGCCTCTCTTGTTTTTCTCACTGACTCCCTCTGACACCTCACTTCCTTTGCATTTACTGGCTTTTTGTACAGCCCCGCGATCTGATATGCCCTTTCATGCATCCAGACATCGCAAATGATCCCCTTTGATATCCAAGACAGATATTCACTTGCTTATTCCAGCAAACGCGCCTCAAATTTCATTATCATTCGGAGTCCCTCGTTAAGTCCACTTTAGCTTGAAATGCTGGGTTACATTGAACTTCTTGCTTAATGTTTATTTAATCTTTTCACAGGGACTGATATTTTGCATTTACTTTCTATTATCCCCATTTTTTCTCCCTTTTACTCCTAAGTTTTCTTTTGGAATTTGACGAGGCTTGTCTTTCTTATTACGGATCTCCTTGTATTTGTGTCTTGTGCCTAACTTCCATGTCTCCTATTTCCTTTTATAAATTCCCCATATTTTTCTAACTATTGCGCTCATGTACTCGTCGAAATGTCTCGTATGTCGGTCGGATAGTGGAGCGGGAGGAATAACCATCGATGCCTGGCGAAGTTATAGAGAATGAAATTTCAATCCAAAAAGCCACGTTCCTTAGCTATGTCTACTTGCGGGTCGATGGAAGTACTCATTGCACAAAATGGTAGCATATATCAAGCGAACAGCTGATCTATTGCTTGGATCACATACTTCCCACCTTGAACTTGTCCACAGACATGGCCGAACAACCTCATCCATTGGTATATCTACACGCAATGTCAAGGAAATAAAATGAATGGATATCCTGCTAATCACGTCGTAAGTTAGTCGAAGCCATCGTCTCCTTACTCTCAACAAAACAGTACATGTGTTTCAAAGACTTCCAGTACCCATACTCAAGCCCACCACCCTCTTAAAACCTCAACTTCGGCCCCACGAACACAATCAGTACCGCAACGATCCACAGGCCGAAGATCCATAGATACATCAGAACCCGTCCCCACCAACCCCTACCCTCCGTCATCCGTCGCAGCGCTCCCATCCTCTTTCCTGCTGCCTCCAAGCCTGTCGTGTTTCGGTCTAGGCCCTCGGTGGCACGTGAAAGAACGGATTTCTCCGATTCAAGGTGCGTTTGGAAGGATTTGGAGGAAGCTTTTAGCTGTGACGCGAGCGAGAGGAGGGATTCGGTGAGAGTGTCTTGTTCAAGGCGGGAGTTTGTGAGTGTGGTTTCGGTGTCATGGGTCTTGGTTTGCGGAGTTTCTGGGCTGGTGGGTGGGGGAATCGGTATCGTGGATGGTTTTACGGAAAGTGAAGAAGCTGTAGGAATAGCGGTTGAGTGGGATAGTTGAGTTGAAGATGCTTGGTGGTGTCGGCTGCGGAGAGAGCCAGTCGCCTGCAGTTCGCTGGAGATGGACGAGGTTTGGGGGGGTTGTTCCGCAGCAGTTTTGCCCTTGGTTTGTAATGTGGTTTCGATGGTGTTTTGTTCCTGTTCTACTTCCTTTCCATGCTCCATTGGTAGCGTGCCCTCGACGACAGCTCCGTCCTGAGATGGTGCACGCTCAGGGGTGCTTTCGTCCGGTGTTGGCAAAATTTCTTCGTCTTCAGACGAAGAAGCGTCCTCATCAGCTAACATATCTGCTTCTATTGCCAGCTCGTCTATTCGCTGTCTTAGTGCCCCGAGTAGCTGTCGCTGTTCGGCAAGCTCTGTTTGTAGCGCATGCCTGCGGGCGGGTGACTTTGTGTTTGGCAGGGAGCTTTCGAGCTGGGCAAGTAAGGTGCGGCCGTATTCTACGTTCTGGGAAAAGTTAACCTCAAGCTCAAAACTGTCGTTAAGCCAGTAATTCCAGCGCAGACAACTCACCGCTGCGACTCTGGCTCTATGGTACTTCGATTGGCGGAGGAGTCTGAGGTCGGCGGACGGGGATAGAAGATGCGCCTGGAGACGGGATAAGAGATGCGCCAGGTTAATGGTCTCGTACGAAGAAAAATAGGCCTCCGATGAAGTCTTGGTCATTTTGAAGGGAGCGCAATCGTCGGGAATGTAGAATGTAGAGTCCTCCACAAGTCCATCAGCCGGGCGTCGTGTCTCTGACAAACGTGCCGTTTGTCTTGTTTGCATGGTGCGTCATTGAGTTTAACTAACTTAAAAAACGCCCTGATTCTCCAGCAAACACACCCGCCACTGATGAACCACTAGCTAATGGAATGTCGTACCATCCATTCCTTGACTGCCAAAGCTTTGTGTTCTCCTGCATGCAAATGTTGCCCTTGTTTTCTCTGGGAGTAGTTTCACGCATCCTGTTCTCTTGCAGAGAGAGAAGATTGGAGAAAGACATATGGAATATGCTGCGCACTTCGCTATGCCTCAATTGAACCCGAGGATTATGCAATTTTTACATGGATATCGGCTGAACTAGCGGTTCTGGCAGTTATCTATTGAGGGTAGAGGTAGAGCAGAAGGCTAGCAAGTAGCATTAAGGTTCACTGGGCTTTGTTCAGTAAAGCCAGCGTCTCCTGCTTGCATTGGCGTGCCCGTTCAAGGATCTGTTCCCGAGGAGAACAAGTTCCTTAGTCGGCCCAGCTTCTAACCCCTCAGGGAGGACCCTATTTTGTGGATTAACTATCTCTAGAGGTATGCCCCTGGAGATGATACTTCACAAATGTAGCTGGTCTATAAATTCCGCGAGGCTTTGAAAAAGAACATATCCCGCACAGATATGGGGCCGTTCTTCTTCTTTCTCTCCTTTCGGAGACGATAACATTCGGTGATAGTCTCCCCACCGCAGCTATGGGAAAGGCAAGTACATTACCACATGACGCAAAGCAGCCACCGTCAACTGACAAAATCCGATTGTCAAGCGGGCCAAAACATCATCGACTTCGGGCAATTGTCACCACGGGAGCCGGCGCGTAGTGGCATCGAAACGCGATCCGGTCAACGGGATCTGGATGCTTATCGCTTACACTCCCGGCTTCTCGGCTGGCTCGGAAAGATCTTCCTTTCTTACTCTGAATAAAGGAAAGCTATTGGGCATTGTCTATAGAACCGGCATCCCCACGAAATTCTTTAAGCACCACTAATAAATTTACCCTCGAAAACATTGCTGCATGATTTGGAATAAATCTGGCTGCTTGAGTGAGGATACGTGTCGACGGTTGCTTCAATATATCCCGACTGCAGCCCCCTTTACGTTATCCGCTACGCCATCCCAATTAACCCAGGAAAGTCTGGGTAAAACGGGAGATTCCAAAAGCTCCTAGCAGCACAAGGACTGAGAAACGTAGGGGATCGATTGGCAAGAGGAAGGACCAAAATGCGCAGGACGGAACTGTATGGTCCCGGCCACATCGATGTAACCCACCGTGCGAAGCTCGGCTTCAACGGCGTCCATGAATCTAAGCAGTAATCATTTTGGACCAGGACAGCGAGATGATCTAAACTGGGTCCACATGACTATTCTAGTCTTAGTTGGTGGCCTGGCCAGCGGCGTAACATCTGTGCGTAGATCAGTCGATATATGGATTACAGATACGTGAATGAATAGGCAGTCATCTTCGATATCCCCTTCGAACGGTCGATATGATTAATTTTGTGGCCCGCTGAAATCAAACCTGCAAGACCAATGCCGGACTGTATTTGGAGAACACACATATTGACAATGATCATTACACTCTACTTTACGGAATAAATCACACAAGTTGAATCCCGATATTGCTACTGGTACCAGCATGTACGGCTAGGCTCTTTTCAGTGCCACGTTATGTATTGGCAGTGGCGAAAGGATGCAGTATCTCTCTCTATGTTCGGTTTTGGGTAACTGGCAAGAATGTCAGGTCTGCGAGCTATAGGTTGGAAAGCCTTCGACGCGTTTCACTTAAAGCTACAGACAAAATGTAAATATCATTGAAGGCGTTTCCGAGAAATGCATTGAAATTTTTCTTTTCTTTTCTTTTTTTTTGGGTCATCATCGTGTCTATGTCTATCAAGAGAGCAAATATTCGCCTTAGGAAATACAGAAGTTGTGATATCCCAATCCAGAAGAACATGTTTTTGGGTGCTCTTCAGCTCCCATCTCCCGAATTGTTAAGAACTAATAACCTGTCAATAAATTCTCGTCCTACTGGAAAATGAAACGAAGGCGTTTTGAAAAAACTGTTGTTGGGGTATCGGTAAAAGGGATGGTTATCATCAAGATAGGACATGTCATAAAGAACCGAGAAGACTGCCGCCCAAAGGAAACGTATGTATGTACAGCCCATTTTAGATGAAAGCGGCAAATTTTCTGCACCGCTTGAATTTTTTCGCCCTCGTTTCGCTCGATTTAGCTGTATTCGATGACCTTTCGTTTCCAAACCCTCCCTTTATCAGGGCCCATTCCATTAAAAAATTGCACGGTTTCACTCCGCCGGTGAGGATGAGCTAGCATGATTCGCTGTTGGGTTTGAAAATGGGATGATTCCCGAATCCCGCTTTCTGTCACACTTGGGATTTGCTGGCATTCCGCTAAGGACGCCGACGCAAATCTCGCAGGAGGCAAAGTGGCGCACATGTTGCCACCATGGTGGATCGGGGTTTTCGACAATGGGAATGCCTCTCGTTGCTTTTGCTCAGAGGTCTCTGATGTCGTATTCGAGTGTTCAAAGGTCGGCGATTTCATCCCACAAGGGCCGGACACTGAGATAGAATGACTGGCTAGATTTGGTCCCAGTAGACACTTAGTATCTTCGACCACTGAAGCATGCTTGTCACGGGAGGGTATTGGCGTCTTTTGGGTCCCTATTTCGCACGGAGCGTAGCGCGAAGAGGCATTTCTGTATTTTCGAACGCCCAGGAATGTCAATATGACAACCAGGGGAACAGCTATGTAAAGTGGTGTCTTGATCGAGAATTGAAAAATGCCCGATGAAGGCTCGGACAGCTGGTATGTTGGGGCCATTTATCACACTGAGGGCACAGAGAAACACAAGAATTCCTGATTAGCTTTGGAGTTTCGTTGAGGTTTTCTTGATTGAGAAGGGATTGCGGAAGTGAACGACAGAGGTGCTCTGAATGAAAGACTATAAAGGATGGAGAAAAACGTATTATTCTCCGCTCTTCATTGGAACGGCCTCGAGCAAAGGGGCGATCCATAGCTATATAGTTACGTGGGAGAATAGCTCGCAGTATCAAAGTTTTGCGTAGCCAGCCAGGTCATGATCTGTTTTTCACCAACAATCTCGGCCCGTTACTGTGGATGGAACAAGAGAACAAGCAACTTGGTGGAGGCATCAAGTAAAGCTCGGCGTACTCTTGGCCCTAATCTAGACCAATCACGTTATCCTGCGAAGATGCGCGAGCCCTGGGTTCAGCTCAGGCCGATCTGATGCTCTCCACACCATGAACATGGTTTGCTGAGCGCGTTTTTAGCCTCTCGGCTCTGAAGAATGCGACACCGTCTTGATGGATGAGAGGTACATAGTCACTGTGACCAAGGTAAGCAGTTCGGATGCTTACGGCAAGGTTGGATCCCGTAGGGTTGTTCTTTTGAATTACACCACCGGTGCAGTGAGGGGTATCCAGCAAAGAAGCACTCTGTACTCCGTAGCTCGAATTGTTTTTGCCCACGTTTTGATCTGCCTTCGGTGGTTTTTGAAGCCGCCACAGGGCAAAGAGAAAAACAAGTGACCATGGGAGTAGATCATCCACAGACTTGCCGGACAAGCGGTGAGACAAGAAACGCAAGCAAGGATCTGGGTTGGTTTTCCCATGCGAAGGTATCTCCTCAGCTCGAGTGATCACGTCGAGAGATGGTCCATGGATGGATGTGTGAGAGAGGGCGTCGGTGGGTGTGGGGTTTCAGCTGGTATTGCTCCGTACGCAGGTTTCCGTAATTATTCGGCGTTCTTTACGGATTAATTATGGTTGAGGGCACTAGCCACTGAAACGCCACAGTCATGCCTCATGCGCCACATCTCCCAGCCGGCGAACGGAACAGAGACAGCATCGGAGCAACGACGGGCTTTTTTGCCCTCACCTCCAACTGGCAAGCAAAGTTGGAAAAACATGAGGCTTCAGCGCCGTGGTCGTCTGGAAGGGGAACAAAGCGGAAATGTCGTATTCCAAAATGCAGTTGAAATCGCCATCCTGGAATCTCAGGCGACCTCAGTCGAGGGGCGCTGTTCCGCACATGACGTGGCCGGGAGACAACTATTCTGCTGACGGTTCAACATTACAGCCTATCCCTGAAAGATAAGGAGGCTGTTCGCCGTCAAGGCTGTAAACCGTCACTGGAGTGCTTCCTCGCTGGGACGGCTGCAGTGCAGTGGTTGGTGGTTGCTGGATCGGATACAACAACAAACCGGGTCTAAGGCTTCACGATTCTACAATGCTAGTGGATGAAACCATTATTACAGCAAATAGAATTTGGTGCTTTTGAGACAGTCTTTGCAAGGGCAGCCACCCACGACTCTACATTCTTCAAGATACAAGACGTGGATATGGACTGTGTGCCGCTTCTTACAGGTGGAGAGAGGAATTGTGCCGCAAACTAGGCAGGACGTAACCTTGCCAATGTTGAACTCCAGATTCTGTTGCGACAATGTTGGGATTCAAGATCCTACATAGCCAGTTCAATGGGCAGTCGGCTGCACGCAGTTTGACTTTCAGATAACATACCACAGAATCTTCGATCCAGGTTGATTAATGCAGGAGAATCCTTCTCTGAAGACGACTTGTGGGGAAGTAAAGCCCAAGGGCCTTTGACGGGAGGCATGATCACAAATGTACCCGTTTGCGGCTTGGTTGGAAGGCATAATTGATACATGCATTCCGCAATGGCGTTTGTAATCGGCATCGAGCAGGGATATCTAAGCTAAAGAAAACAAAACTATTGGCTAATCCTTATAGTTTAGAGGAAGCGAGCCCTGCTTTGATTTCGCTCCTTGCTCTATCTCGAAGCTCTCTCCTTAAAATTTTGCCAGAAGGATTCTTTGGGATGGTGTCGACAAAAACTATGCCCCCGGTGATTCTCTTGACTGGTGCAACCTTATCTTTCATATAATCGACGATATTTTGCGCTGTTTCGACGGTCGTTGGGCTTCCCGGTTTGAGAATGATGTACGCCCGAGGGTATTCCTCGTTGTCCCTTTTGCACCAGTGACTCGCATCAGTTCGCCTGCTGCGGGAGAGAAAAAGGGGGGGAAATTGTTTTGCTCACTTGGTAACTCCAATGACTGCCGCATCCGCTACTGCGGAGTGGTCTAACAGAATGGCTTCTAGTTCCGCCGGTGCTACCTGGTTTCCTTTCACTTTGATAAGCTCCTGATGGAGTTCGGTTAGCCTATTGCCGGTAATCGTGGAGTGTTCGTTTGCCATATTGAATGTTTACCTTCTTTCTATCCAGGATGTAGAACTTTCCTGCATCATCCACATATCCGATATCACCCGTTTTCAGCCACCTGTCCTCAGTCAAGGTCTCTTTTGTTGCTTCTGGTTTATTCCAATAGCCCTTCATGATATTCGGCCCTCGAACCCAAATTTCTCCCTGTTGATTACGTCCGAGTTCCGTCACTCCGTCTTCTGCCATGATCTTGGCCTCACAATTGGGATTTAACTCGCCAACAGAGGCACTTGTTCCCTTCTGGTTTGGATCCCATCCCAAAATCGAGCAAGTTGTCCTATAGGTGTTGCGGGTCAGTTTTGCATAGTCCTTTGTTTTGGCAGGGATAATTTTCGTTTACGAAGGGGAATCATACTCGGTCATTCCCCAGCCTTGTCTAACAAATAATTTTCCTTTTGGAAACAATCCCTCCAGTTCCTCGCTGATTTCCCTCCCCAGTGGGGCCGCACCGCAGCCGATCTGCTCCAAACTGCTCAGGTCATAATTTTTCACCGCCGGGTGCTTTGCCAACGCTACCGCTATTGGTGGAACCAATATCAAATTGCTGATGCGGAATTTCTGAGTATTTTCAAGCATTTGGATGAAATCGAACCGTGGCATCAGATAGACGGGGACACCCAGGATCAAGGCAGCAGCAATGAAGATATTCTGGGCCATCGCGTGATACATTGGCAAGAAACACATCCATCTTGTCCTCTTGAGTTTCTCTGCATGGTCTTTATCAAGGTAAGTACTGTTTGTGAACTGGAGGGTGTTGGCGACATAATTCTTGTGGGTGATCTGGACACCCTTGGGAACACCGGTTGTTCCGCTGGAGTAATTCAGTGCCAGAGTCCGATCCGCTGCCTCGGGGGTGGACAGTTCTTCCCAGCTGAAACGTTCTCCTTCCTTCGTGGAAGCGAACAGCTCTCCCCAATACCGACAACCTTTAGTTCCCTCCCCGGTGCCTTCATAGACCAGATCATTAAATACGAATATCCGGTCTCGCGCCAATCCACTCTGTTCCGCGGCGGCAATGCCGGTATCCAGGGCGGACTCTGCGCATAGAAGATACGTTGCGCCACTGTCACTCAATTGGTATGCCAGTTCTCGTGGTGTGTATGTTGGATTTGCCCCCGTAAACACGCAACCTGCCATCACAATGCCCATGAAGGCCACGGGATACATGAAGGTGTTTGCGGAAAACAGCAGCACGCGATCGCCGGACTTGAGGCCGGATTTCCGCAGGCCAGCGGCGAGTCGCTTGCACCAGAGAAAATAGCCATGGACGGTGAAGAAATGGGTATCGGGACGGGTGGTGTCAACGTAGCATTTTCTGGTATCTGAATGTGGATGTTGTGGTGACTTGAAGATGAGGCTTGGTAGGGATGTGTTTGGTATAGGAATGGACCACCGGGATCTGAACGGCATGTCGAGAATGTGGAAAAGGGGTCATAAAAGAGCTATATTTGAGGATAATAGGATCGTAATTAATTATAGAATCGTGACTTCGGCCTAGATGACCACTTGCGAGGCCCTGGGAACTTATATCCCCTATGTACGGAGTACGGGGTACTTGGTATGCAACTAGCTTGAAGTATATTATTGAGTACTCCTCTGTTAGTTACACTGCCAACCTCTCTCCGCTCGACAAACGGCCCGAGGTTGATTCTGCTGCTGGTACGGAGGAGGTTGAACCCTTGTCACTCAACCGGTGCGGGTGGCCGTCTTCATTGGGCTGGCTGGGGGACCCCCGACTAAACAAAGTGGTTGAGACCACGTCGACCGGCTTTGTCAAAGACCCCTCTTCAACATTTCCGAACCCTATTCCTGCTCCTTTCCTTTCCCTGAACATTTCGGCCTTCATCACGGAGTACCCGGCGGTATGTTTGTTATTTCAGAGACAGACACACTGCGATATTATAGAAAATTACAGTCGAAACACGGCGATCCAACATTCCGCAAGAGTCATCGGTGCTGTTTTGAAATGTTCATACCATCTCTCTCTCTGATCACCGCTGCGACGAGACCTTGGCCAATCCATTCTCAAACTTCGTAGAGTATTTATAAAAATTGGCAAGCGATGACAAACCAAACCACCAAGAATCAAGGATTCCATCAGCTCGCCACTCCGCCTGCACCATTGAATGAGAAAGAGACAAAGATGATCAGGGGTTCTAAACGCTAGTGGAATGATAAACCCAAGCTTTATGCTAACATGATGTGCCCAAAATAAAATAACATAAAACTACCACAAAGCAAATATCGGGCTCCGCGGACTCGGACAACAAGAACAAGGATATCCGACGTCTCCACATGATGATCAAAAAAGAGCTCCAAAACACCAAAACTACTGTGGAGTGTTTTTCTCCCCTCCCTTTGTGCTCAGCAAGCTTAATCACTACCACCAATACAAGAGAGGACCGTCTGTAGTTCTTTTACAATCTTCTCCTCCAGCAAGCTTTCCGCGCCGACGTCAGAATCGGACGCGATTCTTTGCGCCCACGCCACTTCCTTTTCATTGGTGGGGGCAATGCGAGATCGAAGGATGGATCTCTTCTCTAAAAGAACTTCGATATCTTCCTTCACCCGGTTACGGTCCCATTTCAGCTCCTGCATATTTTGTGAATCAACTCCTGCACTTGGGCCGGCGTCACGAAACTTTTCGATGATCAAGGATATGAGAGCCAGAGAGCACGCCTCGGTTGCCATACCAAGCGAAAGGCGCTTGATTGACTGTCCAGAGGATAACAAGCTGCGAGGGCCTGGCGAGCCGAAGGGGCTCGTCACGCTGGGATGGCCGATGGAAAAAGCTTCAGACGCTCGACGAAGTTGGCCTTCAAATTGGTTGAGAAAGGCGGCTACTTCTGGAGCTGCACGCCCGACGTGGTATAGCAAATTGAGGCAGAGTGGGAGGAACCCGTTGTGCCAGATTGTGAATAGCCTTGGCACTTGGTCAAAGGGACCGCATCCTTGAGGCTGACGAAGTACGTCGGTCAATCGGTATGTCGATAATTTTACGAGAACTCCATCCACCGCTATTTGCTCAGCCATCATAGGAATACAGGAAAGTTCGAGCAGGTAGAGGATGCTAAGCTCTCCATATATGGGATCTCCTTCAACGGTGAGTTTGTAGGACCAGGAGAAAAGGGCGCACGCGTATCGAATTGTGTCGGCATCGGCAAGATGGAAGGCGATTTGCTCGTAGATTCTATCTACGCTTTTGACTTTCAGAGCTGTCTGCAGGATCGCCGTTAACAGCGCAAAGTCCTTTGGCGAGCATTTCTGTGGCGCATCATGCAAATACGTAGTCAAGGAACGGAAACCTCGCGCAGCGATGACCCTGACAATATCAAGCACAATTTCCAGGTGTCCTGAGACTTCTGGCTTCTTGCTGACGGCCTCCGGGACCAATCGACTTTTACCACCGACGTGGAATTGTAAAGCTAGGAAGAGGATGTTTAACAGCATCCCGTAGTAGTCGGTATCGTCGTTCGCGAGAGCTGCTTCGTAGGTTTGATTTCTAAATCGGGCAGCATCCCAAACGGTCTGAAGAAGAGCAAACACTTCACTTCCTTTCGCCTGAACCTCCACAAGTCTTTGCAGAAGACCCAAAGCAAATTCTGCTCGGATCTGATGGAGTTTGCAGAAGATGTTTTCATTCGGAACGCTCTGTGAGTTTGCCGTAAGGCAGTGGCGGACAACAGATGCCATTGACTTTTGAACCCCGCGATCTGGCATGAAGTCTGCGCAGTGTTCGATTGCTAGAAATTTGAAACTGTGGAGAAGGTCCTACACGCTGTTAGAATGGCCTAGTATAGAGCTGAATGGAGTAAAACCGCTTACCATTTGAGCCTGGACAAGAGATAAATTTTCATTGGCTCTTTTAATCTCGTCCACAAACCCTTGATTTCGGCTGCCAGTCCACGCGAATTCATAGCCAAATATTTTTGTGCCCGATGCAATATCGTAAAAATAATTTTCTCCAAACGCAGGGTCATCAAGCGACGTCCTTTTAATTGCGAATAGGCTACACCCTGGGTATTTCATTTCAAAATTCCTCTTGAGGTTTACGTGGAGAGAAGTATTATAGCCGTTGACTTCAACCGCATTCTCAGAGTACCAAGAAATGAGAGGAATAAGCGTCTTAAAAAAGGTCCAGTCCCTTTGCTCCTTGGCACTGTGCAGATATACGGCGCAAATATCCGCAATGAGCGATGCTATCCTCGTGTTCATGCACTGCTCGTATGGCGAATAGCGTCGCATATCCAAATTCGAAACATAGTTGACCATCTTTGGAAAGAATTCGGCGTGGTTTTTTAGCTGTGGTGTAGCCCATGGCCAATTCTCTTGAGCTTTCGCAATGAACTCCAGAGCGGACAGTACGAGCTGTGAGGGTATACTACCGATGAGTGATATTAAATCGAGAGCTGCTTGCAAAAATGGCTTCGATTTCATGGCTGGTTTTTCTCCGTCGACCTTCTTTAAAGCGTCACGTGGTGATGAGCCAGTTAGTAAGAAAACGGCAAGCCATTGTTGCCGCTTGCTAATGACTGTCGTGAGAAACTTCCATATGGCCGCATTAAGGATAGTATCATCAAAAGGTTGGTCGAACTTTGAAAGGACGTCCAAAAATCGACAGGATGACTCTGCACCAAGGTGTCCAAGTAGAGATGGCGGCTCCTGCTCCTTATCCATCGAAGCGTGTGCCAGCAAGAGTTCTAACAATTTCACAACTGGCAGCTGGTAAGCCTGAGAAAATACATACAGGCGGATGAGGACAGGCGAAGCGTCGAAAAGCTGCTTTTCCAAGCCTGTCATTGGAGACTGTGGGTTCCATTCGGACTGTATTAAGGTCGACGACAGATTTAGCGCCGCATCAACCAACCGTGTTTGGAGGTATCGCAAATAGGCACTTCGATCTAGCAGAGGATTGTGGTAGCCATTTAAAATTATACGCAAAACTGGGTTGAAGAAAATGCCTTCTTTGGAGGATGGGCGCAACATTTTAAGTAGGTATCGTGCTGAATTCGCAAAGACCCCCGTGAGTTTCGAATCTAAGTCTTTTTCGTCATCAACTCCATATGTGTAGTGTAGGATATCGTGGAAAGCCTCCGTAAGGGAGATGTTTAACCGCAGCGACTGGCTAGCGTCGTTAAATCTCCAACTGTAACTGCTGTTGTACACGTCGACCATTACGCGCACAAAGGATTGCAGGAGGTTGCTCATCACATACGACGGAGCACCAGCAGTATACTCCGTGACATGGGTAGCTTTCGCTGTAACATTACCCGCTATCTTTCGGACCGCAACATGTCTCACGATATCGTCAACAATGAGCTTAAAGGTACGAGCGGCTTCAAGAAGGAAGGAGAAATCGCCTGTATTCACTTCAATGGCGGAAACAATCGCAGGGAGTGTTCCCCCGTTGCCGTCTCCGGCGATGAAGCTGCTTCGCGTAAGAAACGGCCACACTCGTCCTGGAATAACTGTGACGAGGGAGTTAAGGAATGAAAGGCAAGCAGTTGTAGTCTCCAACCCGCGCTCTGTACCCATCTTGGTGGTTGCACTTTGTAAGTTGCGCTCAAATATGTCGAAAACAACGGAGATTATGTCCCCGTGGTGGTTTAAACCATCACTAGCCATTTCTAGGATCCTTTTAGCAGAAGATTCAACTCCTTGCTGCTTTGCAAGACCTTGCGCTGAAGCAACTAAATCAGCCAGCAGACCAATTATCTCAGATATTATATCTTCTTCGGGCTCGCTATCTGTTTTGCGACTGTACGTTGCTTGCTCCAACCACATTCCAAGGAAGCAAAGACAGTTATATCGATAATGCCACATAATCACGGCAGGCTTAGATTCGTTAACGACCTGGCCTAGAGTTTCGGCGGGTAGAATGGACGCTCCGCTCATCACCATCAGCTCTGATCCGGATTGAGCCGCATAATCTTTTCGTGCTGACGACAGCTCTTTCATCTCTAGAGGCTCAATAAGAGACACATAATTAGCATTTTCATCTTCGCGGGTAGACTGATAACCGTGAAAGCCGGGGGAAACTCTTTGAGTATAGGCTTCCATGTATTCGAGTTCTTGGAAAATCAAAGGATAGCCATCGTCTGTGCTTAAGTTGCAGTCCAGCAGTGACCTGCAAAGCTTCAGAAAGTTAATCGCTTCGTAGGGAAATCGGGATTTCGCAATCTTAAATAGCTTGCTCATTAATATCTCATCACGGAGGAAAATCCCTTTGACACCGCCATCATTTTCGGTGGGAGAGTCACCGACACAATGCCACGCCGAATTCGGCCACGCCATGACCTGTAAGACGGTCGAAAGTAGTTCGGGTATATAGCTCAAATACTCAACGCTCACTCGGACAAGGTCAAGCATCTCAACTCGAGCCCATCGTGTTATCAAACTGCCGTTCACGGAACCGGATATTCCATCAAGTTGACGGATGATGCTCGAAGCGACATCAAAAACTCGACACCTGTCGACAGCGATTGAAATCATAAACTTGACGAAGTCGTCTTCGAACGCTGGATTACGTGCCCGCTCATATGCCTCCTCATAGACAGACGGGTCAGCATTCCGAGGTGCAAGTATGGACGAAGTACCTCCATTAAACGCATCGACAGCGTACTGTGCCTGCTGGAGTTCGCGATCTTCCCTTGTTGCTAGTGCGATCTCCCTCAGAGTGAACATGATCATACCCCATGCAAACATTGCAGGACTTGCACCTGACTTTTCCGCGTCGGCAGCCTTAAGAAAGATTTCATTGATCTCGCCGATATGTTCACAGGATAAGAAGGACGGACGTGTGTCGCCCCACACATCCGGTATCCTCCTTGAAGGGGTCGCAGCAGCAGCTTCAAATAGGGTGGTCGCGGTACGCAATTTCAAAAACGAGAGCGTGATGATAGAAGTGAGAGACTTTAAAGAGTCGAATAATGTTGACTCTTCCTGCGATAACTATAACATAACAGTTAGATAATTTGGCCAGGTGATTATGCAAGATTCATCTTACCGGGCGATTTTGGTCGAAGAAGTCGTATGTAACTATGAGGTGTAGCCACGATAGCAATACTTCGGACGACGGGATATTTTCTGATTCCTGAAGTTGAAGGAACAGGATTTGCATAATTTGCACAACATCTTCTATAATACTCAATTGCTGAGCGTATTCAGCTTCTGGTGAAAGCCAGTCGCTTCCTCCATTCATTTTACTCAGGCACGATTGAATGGCTTCAATACAAGCCTGGATAGTTAACCCCGGTTTGCCTAGGGAGCCGTCATTTTGCCTGGGGAAGATTGATGCTCCAAGCTCATCCAATTTCGTGCATTGTTGGCTTGATCGATCTCCTGCACCTCCCTGGAAACGTCGATATGTCCCGGGCAACCTCCCGTGTAAAGACACACTTAATACATAGAGCGCCACTTTTATAATATTCTGCTTCTCCACAAGGTACAGCCGGAACAGCTTTAGCCGCCTTTCGTCCTCTGAAAGGGATTCAGTAGCTTGTCCTTTCCGAATTGGCCCTTTGAGAAACTCGAGGGCTTGGGTCCCGCCCGCCTGATGCGACAGTTGCCCGACACTAACCACACTTTGAAGGCTTGCTACGTCCTCCTCGGAAAATTGGTTCAATAGATCAAGCTCAGGCCGGCTCTGCCATTCCTGCACAGCAAGTCTCAGGGCAGAGACCTCGTCTATCAACGTTTTTTTGCTGAGCCATAATGCATCTCCCTCGATATCGTTAAAATTACATCGGGCTCGTAAACCAGAAGTAACATTAATCGCTGCTGTTTTCGATTGAAACGCAGATTTGGTTGTGTCCGAAGGTTTCGGGTAAGGATCGAAAGGGTTGGAGAGTATGCGAACGCTTTCGGGGGTTGTCAAAAAGGAGAAAAGACTGTCACATCCAGTGATATTGTCGTCGGAGCTGGTTAGACGAAGAAATGCTGATTCCCAGGGGCTTGTGAGCAGAAAGGTTAGCTACTTCATTGCATAGGGACAATTGAATAATTCAGGCCGTACATAAGCTGGGCATCACCAGATAAACAATCGTCTAACGACGGAAAATAAACCTCCGGCGGCGGAGCCATGTGGGCATCACCTATATCATCGTCTTATATAAGTAGAGAAATAACGAAAGGTCGGGCCTCCAAGGCTCAGCGGTCTCTCGTCGCTGTTTTGGACTTCAAGAAACAAGAGCTTGAAGCTTCGCGCAGATAATGATTGCCTATCTGGGTTTAGCGCCTTATCCCACCCGAAATGGTCGCGACTCGACGGAGTCAGAGGACGACGACAGCTGTACAACTCTCCGTACAATGAACAGTGGGAGGTATTAGGAGCTGATTTTTGAAGACACCCTAGGGCATCGCTTGAGAATCTGAGGTCGTTTAGCATTGTGACTTCAAGATGGCTAGCACCGAGCTCGTCGATCACTCCCCGAATCACCCCACCAAGGCCCAACGCCTCGATAACGCTTCCAACGTCGTCTTGATTGACAACTACGACTCCTTCACGTGGAACATTTATCAATATCTCATCTTAGAGGGTGCGACAGTGACAGTTTTCAGAAATGATGTCATCTCCCTCGAGGAACTTATCGCGAAGAAGCCTACCCAGCTGGTCATTAGTCCTGGCCCTGGCCACCCGAATACTGACTCCGGAATAAGTAAAGAGGCAATTCAGTACTTTGCGGGAAAGATACCGGTTTTCGGGGTTTGTATGGGCGAGCAGTGTATAATATCGTCGTTTGGAGGCGAAGTTGAAGTTACTGGAGAGATTTTACATGGGAAAACGTCTCCGTTGAAACACGACGGGAAAGGTGTCTATGCTACACTCCCGCCCAATTTGGCAGTGACGAGATACCATTCTCTGGCGGGAACCCCCCAAACTGTTCCTGAATGCTTGGAGGTGACATCGTGGACGGAATGCGAAAATCGTGGTGGTCGGGGGATCATTATGGGCGTCAGGCATAAGAAATTGACAGTCGAAGGAGTTCAATTCCACCCTGAGAGCATATTAACCGAGCATGGACGCACAATGTTTCGGAACTTTTTGAAGTGGAAAGGCGGTACTTGGGAGGAAGCTCTGTCCAGTACGAAGAGCCAATCTACTGCAGCTAGCGAACCGACTACCTCGAAACAGATGTCAATCTTGGAAAAGATATATGCCCATCGCAAAGCTGCTGTAGATTTACAGAAGGCGATCCCTTCTCAGCGGCCTGCAGATCTTCAAGCAGCATACGATCTTGGTATTGCGCCGCCACAAATTTCTTTCCCCAGTCGATTAAGGGATTCACCGTTTTCACTGGCTCTAATGGCCGAAATAAAAAGAGCCTCGCCTTCTAAAGGAATAATATCTTCCTCCACGTCCGCACCATCCCAAGCCAGAAAATATGCCATGGCTGGCGCAAGTGTGATATCAGTCCTCACCGAGCCAGAATGGTTTAAAGGAAGTATCGAAGATTTGCGAGCAGTGCGACAAAGTCTGGAGGGTTTACCAAATCGCCCAGCCGTTCTGCGAAAGGAATTTATATTTGACGAATATCAAATTCTCGAAGCCCGACTTGCTGGTGCTGATACCGTTCTTCTCATAGTCAAAATGCTTCCCGTTGACCTCTTGACTCACCTTTACGAATACTCCTGTAAATTGGGTATGGAGCCGCTTGTCGAAGTTAATACTGCTGAAGAGATGGCCATTGCCGTTAAACTCGGAGCCCGTGTAATTGGTGTTAATAATCGCGATCTTACAAGCTTTGAGGTCGATCTGGGGACTACAAGTCGTTTAATGGACCAAGTATCGGATTCCACGATTGTTTGTGCGCTTAGTGGCATATCTGGCCCTAAGGATGTCGAAGCATATCGTGCAAACGGCGTCAAGGCGGTTCTTGTTGGTGAGGCTCTTATGCGAGCAGAAGACACTAGCGCCTTCGTGCAGAATCTCCTGGGGCCTGAGATTCAATTAAGCCCCAATTCTCTGCCGTGTTCACCACCCCTTGTCAAAATTTGCGGAACTCGCTCTGGGGATGCTGCACGTGCCGCCATTGAAGCCGGCGCAGATCTTGTGGGTATAATCCTTGCACAGGGACGCACGAGGACGGTACCCGACGAGGTTGCCCTGGAAATCTCGAAGGTCGTTAAAACAACACCACGTCCTTCGCTGTTGGATAATTACATCCGGCAAGCCCCATCTTCGCAGACTGGCCTGGATTATTTTGATAATGGCTGTCGATTACTGCGGCATCCATCTCGCGCGCTTCTAGTGGGCGTTTTCGCAAACCAACCGCTCTCCTACATTATCTCTCAACAGCAAAAGCTTGGGCTTGACATTATTCAACTTCACGGATCTGAACCTATCGAGTGGGCAAGGCTAATTCCCGTGCCGGTTATCAAAAAGTTTTCTCCTGAAGATAAGGATATTACTAAGCGTGCCTACCATGCCCTTCCCCTGTTGGACTCTGGGGTTGGGGGAACGGGAGAGAGACTCTCGTTACCTGCAGTGGAAGAAGCCCTCGAACGAGATGACGGCCTTCGGATAATACTTGCTGGTGGTCTGAATCCTGAAAACCTTGTTTCCACTGTTAAAGCCCTCGGCGAACAAAGCCGGAAGGTGGTGGGTGTCGATGTCAGTAGCGGTGTCGAGGTAGACGGAAGTCAAGATCTGGGGAAGATCAGAGCTTTTGTGGCCGCGGCGAAAGGCTTGTGAATGCTTATGAACATGGTATATACATCTTTCTGCCAATTCCATCCTTTTTTCGGGCTTGATTAACTGCAACTGAGATCTATGGATCAACTTTTTTTCGGGAATATTAGACTATCGTGTTAGTAGAGCCTAATCAGAATGAAACATAGCCATTGAAGTGCTATAACGGAATATCCTTCTTCTTTCAACCTCTCAAAGATTATTTTTTGTTTTGCTATTACCTCTTCTTCCAAACATCCACTGATCACCTGGGCTTGAGAAAAAGGGATAGCTTATTTCCTGTGGTCTCAGTTTCACCTCGTGGACGAAGATTCAACAGCACTCTCACATATTGACATTTACTCCATTGCTCTTTAATATTTCTAGTTGTGTTCTTGCGTGCTGCCCTGCTGTTATATTGGAAGCTGGACTCCATACATCAACTTCATCCCGAATCTGCTTCAGATTAACACTTTGTTGTCACTTGCTCGCAATTTCCACTTCTACAAATACCCACTCACTCCATACAAACAAGACTCAGCAATAATTTCTTGCTCATATGCCCTAACCCCCATCCCTGTCTTACAAATGGGCAAATCATTTCACAAAGTTACTGTATGCATCGCTGGAACTTTTGGTGCTCAGAATGACAAGATCAAACAATGGGTGGAAGTGAATGGTGGAACTTTTTCAAAGAAGGTGACTGCCGACGTGACCCATTTGATTGCGACCGAGCCTGCAGTTCGCAAGAACGTCCCGGAAGGTAGGGTTTTTATCTATGGCTGCTCTATGATAGGGAACGCTGACATGAGCGCAGTGCGTGCTGCTAAGCGGATCAAGGGTATAAAAATCGTATCTTATGAATGGCTTGAGGACTCCCTTTTATCGAAATCAAAGCGCCCGAAGCGAGAAGCGCCGTATCTATTGACAGCCAAGATGGAAGCTGGAAGGAAAAAGGCACGGGCGCAAAAGAATAAGGGTAAAGACGGTAATACTACGAGGCAACTTTCTGAATTGGGTGAGTATGATATTTTTAAGGTTTTGATTCTCGCTCTCTCATCTGAGTTATAGATGGATACCACCCTTATACTGATAATACCGGGCATCGCTATTCTGCAATACTTGTCCGTCCTGGGCCTCTTCCTAGGCGCAAGGAGAGACACGTCCTCAAGGTACGTGTCCAGTCACCCAATTGCCTGCGAATACCATTCACAAGGAGATATTTACTTAGATCTTCGAGTCCGATTCGGTCCCTCACACATACGCAACTCTTGTCAAGTACACGCGGATTGGTAGAAGTGCTTCTGATTTTCTGGCTCCGCCGGGCAGTATCTTCGACGTGGCGGTTCGTGCTTTTAATAAATTTTTCAAAGCTAAGTCTGGAATAAGCTGGGACCAAAGAGATAGAAAGCCTCCTCTTAAGACAACGGAGGAGGGCACTAAAGTTCCAGTGGACGAGGGCTGGTTTGAATATATGCCGGAAAAGTCGTCCTCTACTGCAGCCCCCAAATATGACGAGGAAACAGCGACTGCCGCCACAGTCGCGATGTTACGGGATGCTATCAACGAAATGGAGTCAAGTGAGGCCCGTGGACTTGTTACTGGTGATCCATGAAGGTGAAATGAATGATACAGCGCAGTTTGGTTTATTGCCCAAATATTAAACCTGGCTGGAGTTCAAGAAGACTGGGTTCATTTCCAGTGTCGTTGGCCCAGGGATCGCGAGAATACATAACAAGCTGGAGCAATTTGGTTCTAGTGAAGTCTTTGAATTCTCATGAATCAGATCAGTGAAAATATGCTTGTAGCAACATATAATAGATATTTCGCCATTGCGCCATTCATAATCTTACTTTTCCATCCCGTCCGGTACTCCAAAGCTGCCCGCTGCGATAGACCATTACAAGTAATCTTTTTTTCTGCTTGTCCGGGTATATTGGGTGAGCGCCCACTCGACGTCTCCGCCCGCTCCTTTCTCGAGGGTCCCTCCACGGATTTCGAATAGCCTCATTGTCATCCGCGGTCCGACTTCAGCGAGCTCAACGTCTCGATACCCGGTCTTCACAAAAACATGGTGGCGAACCTCGATGCTGTCGTCTATATTTTTGAATGTAACAACTCTGCTGCCTACCTTCCCGGCTTCTCGTGGAGGGAACAGGTGTTTAAGTATCTGGACAACCCGCATTCCTAGTTTCGTTTTGAATCCCTCGAATATCAAATGTGGGTAGCTCTCCGACACCGTACCACGAGCAGCATTTGGAATATCGGCTCGCAGAACGACATTGTGGATGGAAAAACTCGCGGTAGGACCGTGAGGAAGATGTGATATTGTAATCGCTGTCGGCGTACCTCTATGTTCATGAAGCAGCACCATGTCTGTTAATGCAGCGGCGTTGGCGCTCGCTACTAGATCTGGGAGGACGAGGGTACCTCGATTTAATCGGATGGACGTAGGGAGGAGAAGGCGGATTTCTTTAGCAAAAGTGCTGAGGCGGGAGGAAGGGCTGCGAGACGTTGTAACAAGTGGACGAGGATCGACGAGGCCGGAAGTGACTGCGTACTCGTCGTCGATATCTACTTGATCGGCGTCTTTGGCATTCGAGGCGGAGGCTTTCGAGTCGGTCTGTAATGACTCATCGTACTTGAAGTCTTGTCTTAGGCTCTTATCATTTGCAATAGAGGGGTCTAGAGGTTTTCCGGAAGCTAAGGAGGCCTTCAACTTGGCCCGCTTTTCAGCAATCGAGGCATCGCGGAGGAGAAGAGCTCTCCGATAAAGGTAATCTCTGCGCTCACGCGCTTGACGACGCTGAACCGCTGTTAGCAGAGCAAATTCAAAATAGAGGCAATCCGGCATGTGACACCTACAATCATTATGCAGCCAGACCCGATGATGGAACTGAACGGCCGTCGAGCTTAGTCCCTATGGGTTGTTCTTTGAGTGCAGATTTTCAATCGCTGGTGCCGCCGTTATTCTGCGCTCCTGGCACAGAATCGCCACCGTAGGATTACAGTTTTCCGAAGTCCGTCAAACGCCATCATCATTATCTTTGGTCCATCCCCATCATTCCAAACTCCTTCAAATATTTCTTTACGTTCACATCGCGGGTAATCAGCTTTTTGTGTGATTACCAGGAGCTCTTTTTTTTTCCTTCCCCCTCTTGTGCCGGGATCATTATTCAAAGTACGTTGCCGGATCCTTCCTTGCCCTCTTCTCTTGTTACGAAGCCGAAGCTTGACATGTCCCCCTCAAATCCCCGTCAGCTTCAGAGCTCTCTTACATCATTTTCACCGCCGCATCCTCCTGTCACCCGTGACGCTGAGGTCTCAACCTCGATTATATTTCATTATACTGTTGGCTAACTCGTCTGATTCAAACATTTGTAGACCTTCCTTGCGCTCGGGGCGTTCATCATCGGCCCGGGTTGGCGAACACTACGGCGTTAATTGTGGATTCGGAGGGTTTCTCGTGTGATTTTTTTAAACACCAGCACATGCGCTGAGCTATGGCAGCGGAGGCGTTCACTCAAATGGGAAACCATATGGTTTCCGATTCTGCGTCAACAATCAATGCCGTTGATGATATGTCAACTGTCGATGGCGACGAAAATATCTTGAAGATGGCCGGTGGGCCGCGGAGGCGACAACATGATGACGAAGATGAAGGCTCGGAAATGTATGATGAAGAAGATGACGATGACTTGGAGAGTCTCTCAAGTATTGCAGTTGATGGAGCTATAAAGACGTCGACCAACAAAGCGGAGGAAGAAAAGGAATTACCACCACATGCTTGTTGGTATGTTTCAAGACTCCCATATCCTACCCTAATCCAATAAATGCCGTTGCTGATGTCGATATACCCAGTTACTGTGGTATACACAATACTAGCAGCGTTGTCAAATGTCTTGCCTGCAACAAATGGTTCTGCAGTGCCCGCGGGAATACGTCCTCTTCGCACATCGTGAACCATCTTGTCAGGGCCAGACATAAGGAGGTCCAACTCCACCCTGAATCTGCATTGGGTGAAACTGTGCTTGAATGTTATAATTGTGGTACAAGAAATGTGTTTCTCCTTGGCTTTATTCCAGCAAAGTCTGACACCGTGGTTGTTTTGCTTTGTCGTCAACCATGTGCCGCAATGCCGTCTTCCAAAGACATGAACTGGGACACTTCCCTTTGGCAACCCCTTATTGAGGATCGCTCATTCCTTCCCTGGCTTGTAGCTTCTCCTTCAGACCAGGAGCAACTACGAGCTCGTCACCTCAGTCCGCAGATGATTGCGAAATTGGAAGAAATGTGGAAGGAGAACTCTAGTGCTACCGTCGAAGACTTGGAGAAAGCGACCGGCGTCGATGACGAACCTGCGCCTGTCTTGCTTCGATACGACGATGCCTACCAGTATCAAAACGTTTTCGGACCTCTCGTGAAGATAGAGGCAGACTATGATCGCAAGTTAAAGGAAGCGCAGTCGCAAGATGGACTGATAGTCAAATGGGACCTTGGTTTGAATAACAAGCATTTAGCGAGCTTCGTCCTGCCCAAACTGGAGTTAGGTGATGTGAAACTGGCTGTGGGTGATGAAATGCGTCTTAAATATTCGGGCGAATTACGACCAAAATGGGAGGGTGTTGGATACGTTATTAAGATTCCGAATAATCAGTCCGATGAAGTCACTATCGAGCTTCGGGCCAAGGGTGATCATAAGTCGGTGCCTACTGAGTGCACTCACAATTTCACAGCGGACTATGTTTGGAAGTCAACCTCCTTCGATAGAATGCAGTCCGCCATGAAGACCTTTGCTGTTGATGAGCTGAGTGTTTCTAACTATATCTTCCATCGGCTTTTGGGAAATGAAGTCGCTGCTGGGCCGATGAAAACTCAATTGCCCAAGAAGTTCACAGCACCCGGTCTTCCTGGCCTGAACCCCAGTCAAATTAACGCTGTCAAAGCTGTCCTTCAAAAGCCCTTGAGCTTGATCCAGGGCCCTCCCGGTACCGGAAAAACTGTTACTTCTGCGACAGTTATTTATCATCTAGCAAAAATTAGTGGTGGGCAGGTGCTGGTTTGCGCTCCATCCAATGTTGCTGTCGACCAATTGTGCGAATGCATTCATAGAACAGGCTTGAAGACCGTTCGTGTCACTGCAAAATCAAGAGAGGATGTTGAATCGCCTGTCCGTCACCTTTCACTTCATGAGCAAGTCCGCAACAATGACAGCAATGTCGAGTTGATGAAACTGACGCAATTGAAAAATGACATGGGAGAACTATCGAGCCAAGATGAGAAAAAGTTCAAACAACTCACACGTGCTGCGGAAAAAGAAATTCTTAGCAATGCAGATGTTATCTGCTGCACCTGTGTGGGTGCTGGGGATCCAAGACTTGCCAAATTCAAATTCCGGACCGTTTTGATCGACGAGTCCACACAGTCATCGGAGCCTGAATGTATGATCCCTCTTGTGATGGGATGCAAACAAGTTGTTCTTGTTGGGGACCATCTGCAGCTTGGCCCGGTTATCATGAACAAGAAGGCAGCTAAGGCTGGGTTGAATCAATCACTTTTCGAGCGCTTGGTGATCCTGGGTTGTGCTCCTATTCGGTTGAATGTCCAATACCGAATGCACCCTTGTCTGTCAGCTTTCCCATCTAACATGTTTTATGAGGGGTCTCTGCAGAATGGCGTGACGAGTGATGATCGTCTTTTAAAAGATGTGGACTTCCCCTGGCCTGTTGCGGATAAGCCCATGATGTTCTGGTCGAATCTTGGCAACGAAGAAATCTCTGCTTCTGGAACGTCGTACCTGAATCGGACGGAGGCCGCGAACGTGGAGAAAATTGTTACTCGATTCTTCAAAGCCGGCGTTAAACCGTCAGCCATCGGTATTATCACTCCCTATGAAGGACAGCGCAGTTATGTCGTCAGCTCCATGCAACTTAATGGAACATACAAGAAAGAGGCCTACAAGGAGATTGAAGTCGCATCAGTTGACGCCTTCCAAGGCCGAGAAAAGGACTTCATTGTGCTGTCCTGTGTCAGGTCCAACGACCATCAGGGAATCGGATTCTTGAGCGACCCACGTCGTCTAAATGTTGCCCTTACACGTGCCAAGTACGGTCTTGTTATCCTAGGAAACCCCAAGGTTCTTTCGAAGCATCCTCTCTGGAACTACCTCCTCCGCCATTTCAAAGAGGGGAATTGCCTGGTGGAAGGTCCTTTGTCGAATCTTCAGACTTCCCTTGTGCAATTCAGTCGCCCAAAGCAGGCGTATCGCGGCCCACAGCGGTTCCAAATGGCGTATAATCACGCTTCAAGCATGGCCGCAGGATTGATGAACGGTCGAAATGGACAGCACACCGACTTCCAGGACTCTGGGTCTGTCGCTAGTTATATTCCGGACGATGTTTCTTCGGTTCACTCTTCCGCCTTTGGCGGTGTTGCCATCCCACCTGGTTACCCGCAGATGTTCCAAAATTTCAGCGAGGTGTGGCCGCAGCTTCCTAACAATCGTCGTGCAAATGGATCCCGAGCGACAGGTGCGCCCAGCGTCGCTGAAGAGTCCGTGGCGGCCACCGAATCCGACGTGACGGGAAGTATGATCGATGGGCGGAGCGTGGGGCAAGGAGGGGTCAGTCTCAGCGGATTAAGCATTCATGATGTGACCAAACAGCCCAGTCTTAGCCAGTCCGATCGCCTGAAACACTATGTTGAATCCAGCGGCCGTGCGGAGCCGTATAGAGGATACGAAAACACAAGCGTGTTTGGCGGAAGTTCAGCGAGCATGCGGATTCCCCGCGGCAACGTTAGCCATGCTACCGACGACGATGACGCCCGCAGCATCTCTACCGCATTCGCGAGCCAGATAGGAGGAACATATGATTGAGGGTAGGATCTTCCATAGCTGTTGCGCAGTTGGATGAAGTTGGATCGGCACATTTAAAATCGTACGGAATTTCCGAGCACCCGGGACGAGAGGGAGCTGCAAAGAAAAAAATGTGCAAGTGGCGTTGTATCGGTTATGTGCTACGGACGCCTGGCTATAGCCATGAACAACATGCTACATGGCACTTTTTTTATTTTGCTCCGGTCGATAATTCTACCCAGCCGTCGTGTGATGGGTAGGTCTGGCGGCCAAGGCAATAGCCTCTCTGTTCGCATCAAGGACATCACCATATATATCCTCCGTTCATCATGGCAACAAGGCCATCACGGCTGCCCCTGCTAATTGTTCCTGGCATCCCCCTTTTTCACATAGGATCTTACGGTCAACTTGGGAGAAAGAGGACGGTTGGAGCTACGAGTGGACAGGGATTTTTGAGTTGTGCTGGGGTTCCAAAAGACAGCACGTTTGGTAGCTGCTTCGCTACAGGGGGCGGGCTACCTTGTTGCAGGCCAGTTGCAGCCAATTTTAGCTAGGCAAGGAAAAAAAAAAAAAAGTGCGCACACACACACACACACACACATGTAAATTGATAGAGCCAAGTAGTCGTGAATCAACATCCTCATCGTGGACATATATATGTATGACCATGTGCAAGCAACCACATGCTTTTCTAAGCTTCTGACCCGGACCCTGCACTCCTGGGCATTTGTAAGGCATGTGTCATCCATCCATGTCACAGCTGGGAGGACCCGCGACGTGCCGGAAGAGGGAAAGGAACGGGATGCAGCGACGCCAACCCCAACTCGGGAATGCGGGCAGTCCATGTGACGTCTCACCGCCGTCTCGAAGTGTGCGAAGTGTTCGAGGAAGTCCCGCACCCGCCAGCCCCTTTTGGCAACCCCTACTCACACGCCGTCTATTTTTGGCCGCCGGATGTGACCGAATCGGTCTCATCGCTCCTGCCACCGCTGTCTGTCCCAATGCGTCCAGTGCGTTCTGTCCCGAACAGGAACATTTCCCTTCTCGGGACCACGGCGGGACCCACACCCCCGCCGCGGGTCTTGGCGCGTCGCACCTGCGGTCTCAAGCCCCAAATTCGCCCCCCGCCGCCGCCGCCCCGCGGTGGCTGTCAAAAGTACCTATGTACTCCGTACTCCGTAGTCGCGACACATTCCCGATCGGCGGGCGTCTCGATCGAAGCCATTTTTCGCTCATTATTCAACTTTAACTGAATATTCAATGCCGTCTCCGCCAGCAAGGTGTTCCCTGGTGCGTCCTCGTGTGCCGGTTTAACCTTTCTCGTCGCCCTGTCCCGCGCAACACTACCACAATGGCCTGGCCCCGGCCCTGGGCATGAGGCACGAAGCGAAAAAAGACAAGCATTCGGAGCATGAAAAGCTGAAAGCTTTCTGCTTCTCTTTTACCAAAGCGGTTCTTCAAACACCTCTCCACCGGATTTCTTTTCTTTTTTTTTTCTTTTTTTTCCCAACAAGGGCGGGTCAATCAAATTCCATTAGACAATCTGCATGTTGAGAGATGTGTTGGCATTGACTGTACGGAGTAGTTTGATATCATCTCCCTTTTCCTTTTTTTTCCTGTCCTTTTACTCCTTTTTTTTTCCTGTCCTTTTTCTTTGCATGCGTCTTGAACCGATCTACTCCCTTTTCTCATCCGTATTCAAGAGACGAGCTGTTTTTCTGCCACTATTGTGGACACTCTTCTTCTGAAAACGCTGGACTGGCCCGCAATTGCTGTCGAGGAGGAATAACGCTACTTGTACTCCGTACAGCACATACGATGGTTCCACCTCCTTTCGGGTAGCCCGCTGTTGATCACCTCTCTCACATACATACATACACACACACACACTCTCTCTCTCTTTCGTTCCCGATGGATACACCACTACCATCGCGTCCATCGAATGGACAACATTCAGCGCAGGGGGGTCAAGCTTCTGGGAGAAGAACCAATTCGATTAATGAGCAGACCACCGGGAAAAATGTGCAGTCGTCCGATGTTATGCCTTCACAAGATGAGTTGGCTCAGGCATTTAAAATACCTATATTAGATACGGACGGAAAAGAGCGACTGTTCGCAGATCTGTTTGATAATTCAAATGCGTCGGAAAAGAGACAAGTTATGGTTGTCTTTGTACGACACTTCTTCTGTGGTGTAAGTTGAATTCTCCCCCCCCCCCCCCCCCCCCCCCCCCCCAAAAAAAAAAAAAAAAAAAGGCCTCTTGGAACTGCTTTCTGCTCGCAAACTTGTTACATTCTCGGAGAACACTCTGGGAGGCCCGAACGCATACATCGAGGCTAACTATGACATACAGAGCTGTCAGGATTATGTTGCTACCCTTTCTTCTTCAATTCCATCTCCGGCTTCTCTTCCGCCAGGCGTAAACCTCGTTGTCATCGGCTGCGGTGCCAGCAGCCTCATTTCGATGTACGCGAACACAACATCATGCTCTTTTCCAATATACACAGACCCGACGGGCCGCCTATACTCCATCTTCGGCATGACACGAACTTTGACTTTGGGACCAATGCCTGACTACCTCAGACACTCCACATTTTCCTTGGTGATTAAAGGCATCAGGCAAGGCTTAGGCCGGACTTTCAACGGCGATGCCTTAAAGTCGGGAAATATGGCTCAAGTCGGCGGAGAATTTTTCTTCGAGATCGGTCCTGAAAAGGAAAACGAAAAGCAAGACATCACTGTCACCTGGTGTCATCGAATGAAAACGACACGGGACCATATCGAAGTCCCGGCCCTTAAGCGCGTGATGGGGTTTGAATGAAATATTTCTATTTCTCAACGCTAAACTTGGCCTGACCGGGGGCCCCAACAAAAAAAAAAAAGCACCGGTCACTTAAAACGCTCGCCGAGGGTAATCCTCATATGCTGGATATCTTTAATACAATGATTGAGCGATCTGATGGCAGCTAAAGTGCGGGCAATATCTAGCTCGGGCATTCACGCAGGCGGACTTTGTCGAGGATTTATTTATCGCTGACAGCTTTTTATTCTCTGTGCATTTTTATGTATATATTTACATTATCTTAATAACTACATTTTTGTTTGACAAGGAAAAGTATTTGACGGCCTTCCTGAAAGCTTTGATACCCATTATTTACCCCAACAGGCTGCCCTCGGAACTACCGCCAAACCCATACCAATTCGAGCCCGAAGGTCATGGCCAACATCAAAACCACTGGAAGCCGGGGTTTTGAAGCAGCTATTTGTCCGCAAATAGTGCCTTTTGGTTCCCTTTTTTTTTTTTTCTTTTTCTTCTTTCTTTTGCCCTTCCACCTCTCTGCTAGCCAGTTTGATTTTCCGGCATTCTCGGCTGGTTCGCTCCGTCCCGAACTCCAACAATGCCGAAGCCAAACATCGCCGCCGGGATCTCCAGTGGTGTGCTTCTACATATATACACGAATGATACCCCACAATGCATTCTGAGCTTCTTTTCGACCCCCTGTTCACCCTAAAAATTTTAAAAAAGACATGGCGACTTCTGCTACATTGCATTCAAGCATGGCGACTTACCCGGATCTCCAGGGTAAAGTCGTCCTCCTCACGGGTATCGGCCAGCAAGGCGACCCGTCGATGTGGGGAAACGGCGCCGCCACGGCTCGAGTACTCGCCCACAACGGCGCCAAAATATTCGGCTGTGACTTGAACCTCTCCGCCGCACAGCACACCCAGCGACGCATCGTAGCAGAAGGGGCTGATTGCACCGTTGTCGCCACGGACGTTACCAAAGGCGACGAGGTCAAAGCCCTGGTGGACGCATGCGTGCAAAGATATGGCCGAATCGACATCCTTATCAACAATGTCGGAAAATCCGAACCGGGCGGACCGGCAGAAATGAGCGAGGAGACGTGGGCCCAGCAGACGGACGTCAATCTCAAATCTGTGTATTTATGCTGCCATCACGTCCTACCCGTCATGGAAGCGCAAGAAACGGGCGGTGTCGTGGTGAACGTGTCCTCGATCGCTGGCATCAGATACATCGGCAAGCCGCAAGTTGCGTACAGCGCGACCAAGGCCGCCGTGCAGCAGTTCACCAAGGCGACGGCAGTCATATATGCAAAGCGCGGGGTCAGATTAAACACCGTTGTTCCAGGACTGATTGACACACCGCTGGTGGGTATTTTGGCGAATAAATATGCCGGTGGTGACCTAGAAGGTTTCACGGCGAAGAGGCACCAAGCTGTGCCGATGGGGAGAATGGGAGATGCGATAGACGTTGCGAATGCGGTGGCTTTCTTCGCGTCAGACTCTTCGAAATACATCACTGGTCAGGAGTTGGTGGTGGATGGCGGGATCACATCGTCAACAGGTTAAGTTCAGGACCGTTACGTGAAACTGAACCAGCAAACCACTCTTGAGGGTGACACCCAGGAGAACAAGTGTCTCCAGCATATTGAATGTGGTAGGCCCTGGTATTGTTGGCACTCTCAGCCTCTTCTAGCTTCAACACGGGTTATTGGTTATTTAGGGAAATGTTCATTTCATGTAATTAATCCATACTGACTATCTAATACAGAATATTAGAATACTGAGAACAAGAAGAATTGTACATGAAAAATCCCACCAGCAGTATGTATGTACCCCCATAAAGCTTTCCACCCATGCAAATAAGCTCGAAGATGCACATGATAACAGTGTTCTTATGCCAGCCCTGATTGATCCCATGTAATATTATGAAGGCCCTTTCAATGCAGCAGTAAAGGAAAATGTACAATGAGCCTCCGTGAGACAGAAAACTATTGAAGCAAATGAAAGGTAAGAGGGCCACACAAAAAAAAAAAAAAAAAAAAAAAAGAGAAAAGAAAAAAAAAAGGAGAAAAGAAAAAGAGAAAAATGGCAGATAGAGCCCAGCTCTAACGGGGAAACCCCTTGAGCGCACTGACAAGGGGCCAGGGATGAAGCAACAGCTCAGAAGAAGACACAATCTGCCCTTTCGCTTTTCACATAGATACACATAGATACACACATATTTAAACACCGTTCCTTTTTTGAAAACGAGCCAGCAACGAACAAATGGTCATCACGTGTCATTAAACGCGGGGTGGGAAATCACGACTGCTTTTCTTGCTTTTCTTTTGTTATGAGTCTTGCTCCTCAACCACTTACTTCTAGTCTATCAAACTTTTGAAAAACCAACAAAGTGGCAGAGCAGCAAACCCACACTCACTGACCTGATGGGACAGTGCTGAGGATAGGGAGAGATGATGATGATGATGATGATGATGATGTCTCATTCTTCTCTCGGTTCAACGAATCGGATTTTCGAATGCTGCCAGTGAGTCTGCTTTTCTGTCGAGCAACATCTTTCTCTCGTTCGGTCGAGAGAGCACGCTTGAACATCGACTGGCCAAGTTGTCGAAAGATACCCTTCCGTTCGCTTTTGGATTCTTCAATGTCGCGCCGTTGCGCAGCTGGGGCAGATTCGAGTTTGGTGATTTTGCAAAATAGCGTTGAAAATAGGTACTGATCGCCGTTGCTGTCATAAAGAGGCAGATATCGATAGCCTTGCGCCAGACTGCTAAGCTTTGCTGTGAATGTAGCTAGCTGTATGCTGTTGTTACCCCCAAAACTACGGCCGTCGGTGGAGTTCCACACGATCCAGCGAACGAAGACGAGATCTGGATATTTAGTTTCCAGAGAAAATTTAAACTCGTCCCCGAAGATCGGATTGAAGCCATTTTTCTGCTCAATCTGTGTTCGACGACGGTGAGGAAGGCCAATGCCCGAAAATCCATTTCGATTAGACGCATCCACACCACCTTCGCCGAACGCCATACCTTTCTTCTTATCATCTGCACACAGTATTTCGATCTCGATGTACGGATTGATACTATCATCAGGCCCCATTCCTCGAGATCGAGGAAGCTGCTGAGCAGAAATCACATCCACGCGGAAACGAACCAATTGTCTGTCGATCTTTGGCTTGCCATCCATTGTATGCCTTGACGATGGTGGCACTCGCAAGCTTTCCGGTTTGAGCACGTATCCTGTACGATCATTGCCAGCGGCAAACATGGCTTGATTCATTTGCATTCCAACATCAAAAGTCTGCCAGTTGAGTGCAGCCATCTGAACACCTCGTCTCCAGAAGCTATTTGGGTCAAAGTTCGATGAACGCAATCGATACCCTGACGGGTAGACCCTTGTGAGATACAATCGATTGTGTGCTTCTAGAAGAGCCTTGTTTTCAGAGTCTCGGCATATTGTTTCAATAGACCGTTCAGCAAAGGAGTATACGTGATTGAATTGTTTGCTTTCCGGCGTATCAAAGCCTCGCCATTTATAGCCACGAGCGTAGACACCAAGATCTGCGAGAACTTTGATCACTCTGCTTTTGGGCATCTTCCTCTTACCAGGAAATGGCATTGTGGCAAAAGCTGTATCACTCTCCTCGGAAGCACTACTCAGACTAGTACCAGTCAGAGAACGCTTCGGTTGAGTTAACACCGGGGGTAGTCCATCGATTGGGCCGATTGTCGGTGGAGACGAGAACGAAGAATTTGTAGGAAATGAATTTTGGGTGGTCGACTGTATGAAAGGGGAGCTCGAGCTTCGTTTGCGGCCCATAACTTTACTAGAACCGGAGATTTTCTCCTCACTTTCGTCAGACGTTTTCACTTTGATCAAAATTTTACCCTTCAATGCCTCCGGGCTTGGAAGAATCGGCCAATCTGCCCGAAGCGGTTCAAGTAGAAGTTTGTCGCCAAATTCATTCTTCATGATGTTGGTCATGGCAATTTGTTGTTCCGCGTTACAATGAACCTCAAGCGATAAGATCAAAGGATAGTCGGAAGATAGGAAGGCATAACGGTCGATGACAGATATGCAGTCCGCAAAGAGGACACTCGTGGTCATTGTCCTACCATGAGAGACGATCGGACGGCCATCTGGACCATCCCAGCAATCAATTTCGACGCAGCGGCAGCCTTTTTGAAGTGCAGCGATATACGCCTCCGTGCTCGAAGCACCAGCAACTTGCCTTCCAAGTAGGTATGTGTTGTGTGAACTTGAGATGAAGTAGTCGTTTAAAGGCAGATCAAACTTCGGCGGGGGTACATGGGTTGGATATATACCGTTCGCAGGAGATATCAAAAAAGACGAGAAAGCATCAAGATCCATGCGTGCAGCCGAGCTAGATAGAGCCTCTGGAAGGCTTTGTGAACGCCTGGATCTTCGAACAAATCTTTCGAAAACCGATGCCCAATAATCCCTATTCTTATCGACATCTTCTCCCTGTGCACTGCGAAGGAACTCAAAGAACTCCTCAATACTTAGGCCGCCCCTGCTCTCAGCGACTACAGAATCGAAAATCTTCCTTATGTCCTTGCGATCTTTTAGATGTTGAACGAAGCTTTGGAATTGAGAGAAATTTATTTTCCCCCTCCCGTCTGCGTCAACTCTCGCAAATTGACCACGTAGAACTCGTTTCGAACAATTGACATGGAGGCTATGGCAGAGATTTTCAACAGCGCCAACGTCGAGGCATTCGTCTTCAAAAGTTCTTGGGCTCCCAGGGAATCTTCGAGCAATTTCACGCTGCCAGTGAGCCTTTAATATAGTTTCACTTTGACCAGAGCCCGCTAACCCAACCATAAGTCCAATTCTATATCTGGAAATTTGTTCCAGAGTCGTAGTCCACAATTCAACGATGAACCGAGTCGGTGCTATCAAATGCAGCGCCTTGACTGGCCTATTCTTCGATCCTTCGGGGTTGGCGAAAATAATCGTAAACCAGCGGCTCTCAAATTCGATAGGAACTTGATGTTCCTCTCGATAGTTCCGCGCGTCTGGACCCAATCTTATTTCTTTGATATCATCGATATAAAATCGTTTGGATGGGTTTGAGAGGTCCCAATACACCTTCGCAGTGTCAACGTCCAGAAAGAAAGTCTTATATTTCTTTCTTTGCTTCGTTACTTTTGTGAGAAGTGAACCACATTGCAAAAGAGGATCCACTCTCGGGGCCACCCCTGCGGTGCTATCCAGAGAAAGTCGGTATTCGTCGCCAAATGAAACTCGATCCGGTCCACACCGGGCCTTAAGAGGGTCAGGTTTGTCGTCCTCCTCAACACTAGAATCGAGTGCGCTATCTTTGGAAACTGATGTCTTACTATCACTTCTTCTGCGCATAATAACGGGACCCGAGCTATGATCTCGTTTATCATGGGAATTTAGCGATCCTCGCCGACCAAGCTTGCTAGCAGCACCCCTAGACAGTCGCCGCATTATGCCAGGTGCTTTGTTGAATGCAACGTTTCCTAAAGGTCCGTCTGTGAAGGTTGATTGCGTTCCTATGCCCATTACCGATTCTGGTAACTCTAATGGCAGGGGCGAGGCAAGGAATGGGGCATCTATTGCATCATTTCGAACGTTCCGAGTTGAGGTGTCTATCGACGTATGCAATGGTGAGGTGACGGCACTAGAGCTTGGAAGCGGACCTGAAGGAACAATGGAAGAGATAGACGCCACCGTGGAGGTGTTAAAGCCCCAGCCCGGAGGCGCAGAGGAGCTGAGGGGAGTGAAACCATCTTGCAATGGAGTTAGCTGGGAGGATTCGGACGACGATTTGGATCCTGATCGATGGCGTCCATCTGACTCGGTTGAAGATCGATAAGCCATGATTTTTTGGCCCTGCGCCTTTCGATAACCACACAGGCACACGAGCTCGCACACAAATATTAATCAAATAGGTTGATCAGGCGTGTACTGAGTCTCCGTCAAGAATTGACTGATGCTCAACGAGGATCAATGCTGGACTCGCAGACTGGTCACGGGAGACGGGAAAAAAGATTAGAGAGCGTGAGGACAGATCATAGATATTGGGAAAAACACGTTCCAGTACGATGGGACGCAAGGCACAGGCCTCAGAACGCGCTACTAGTAAATTTTGGGGTGCATCTTGGCCGGCAATGAGATGCGTATTATGCCCTTCCAGAGAGCGCTGTGGAAGACAACCAGCATGCACACTTTGGGAAAAAGACAGAGGTTGTCGTTCTCGATGAGCTCAGGTATGAAACGGTCCCTCGGTACGGTCACTAGTTTTCAGCATCCGCCAACGCTCCGCTGCACTTTCGGCTTCGACCCCAAGCCACGCTTTCCTCGAGCCAGTATTTGCCTGAGTTTTGAGCCACGAGAAGGAGAAAGTAGTATGAAGAATTAAAGAGGATCGGAGAATCAAGGAAAAGATTAGAGGCCTGGTCAACTATCAATGAATCAGTCTTAGCGATAGAACGACGGGGATCAGGCTCGTGCCTCGCATACCAAGAATTACTACTCTCATCCGGGAGAGAACCTCGAGGCTTTTATATGTCGACAGGACGTCCTGTTACACACGCTCGAACCCCAAAGTAGAGCAAGCAAAGGAGGCAGTGAAGTCTGATGACCAAAAAGGCAAAAAGAACATGCAGAGCTAGGCAATGTCGTGGGTGCTCGGAAACTGCGGCTCAAGGGCAATCTTTTGCTAAGGGGAGGGTCGCCTTGTTAGCACATGCGCCGCAAGAGAAAAAAAAAAAAATCGCAGGACCTCCAGGCAAAGTTTGCTGTTTATCATGATATGCCAGAATGCCTTGAGAGAGCAAGCAGTGCAAAGGGAAGCATGCCGATGTGGAACTTACCACAAGAGCTACGAAAAGAGTGATTGGAATGCAAGAAACAGTGACGCAGAGAATCGAAGTGAGTAACAAAGTGTTGTGTCAAACAAGAGCATGAGACGAAAGGAAAGATGAGAAGAAGTGAAGAGGTGAGAAAGGAGAGGAGGGAGAGGGAAAGAAAAGAAGAAGGAGAAGAAGGGATTGGGCTGACCAGCGCATTCATTGAGTGAGTCGACAACCACCTGCTGCTGTCGTGATAATTTCCATTCAGCACCCGCCTAAGGTGGTAACAGCAAACGGGGAACACCTCAATACTCACTGTTACTAGTGTATTACAGCACGCAGGGGGTTCTTTACACTAAACCCACTCCCTCCTGACACGTTATAATACATGAAAGTTATGTTTCAATGTCTTTCATTACATAATTTTTCACGCTCAAGCCACTTCTCCCGTTGGATGGCTGTTTCATTACTCCGTACATACAGACCTCCATTATTACCCCACATCCTCTGTACAGGGATGGCACTTCGCTTCATCAGATCCAGCGTCTACTGCTGCTGCGGCTTGCCCGTGGTCTGAGAGCTGGCTGGGGTCTATCTGCGACTCTCTCCAGCACCGGGGTCGAAGGGAAGCTTGTCGTTGCCAAATTTAGGCTATCGTGATCTGTCTTTGCAAGCCACAAGGGCAGGGATCTCGCCGTAGCAATGGCGTTTGCGTGTGAGAGTATGTATGTACATACGTACATCTGTCCCGGACAGGTTTGGTCTTCACTACTCTGGGCGATCGCATGAGAAAAACAAACTCCACACAACATGGCTCATCCTAACTGCTTGCAAAAACGAAAAGTGGGCTTTTACGGAGTGGGGGGGGGGGGTTAGAGGGGGCGGGAGGCTTGACACAGGGAGGGCAGTGTCTTCGGGTTATGGAGGAGTTGGGTGGTGGAATCCTCTTTTTTTTTTTTTTTTTTTTTTTTTTTTTGCGTTTCGAACATTGAAAGGGATTGGAAGAGCATCCAAGGACAAGGCTTCAATGGTTGGCGGACAGCAATGCTTGGGTAGAGCCCACAAAGCGCTTCTTTGCTTCTTGGGTGTGCGTGTGTGTGGTCAAGTGGTGCAGCCGATCATGTTTGGAAATCTGCAGAAGCGGTGAGGATTGACACCCCTCCTTTGAATGACGTGCAGCCATTTAGTGGCCACCTTCCGATGTTCATTCTCCCGACTTGACTCCTCCTCCTCCCTCCTCTTCCATTTGTTGCTGCGAATCGAGGGTGTTGTTTTGGTGTGTCACAGCACTGTGAAGCGAACCATGTGACCAGCCGAACTCGGGGCGGCATCTCAGTTGCAGGCTCCTAGGAATGAAGGACGGCTAAGTTCATGGCTTTTCTTAGGATTCCTAATCGAGATGTTTTCCCTCCCTTGAGCTGCATGATCGGTCATGTCTTCCGCCCCGTTTGAACAGCTACTGTCCTGGCAATCTCACGGCAGCATGGGGAATGCATGCCGATGCTCTGCAGAAGAGTCTGTGCATCCGCATCCTGTCCAGTGATAAGTACAGTCCTGCAAGGCTTTTGAAGGGGAAGTTCGTCGTTAGTGAGCTGGAGCCTGCGGCCATGGCGGTAGCTAAAATCTCTCGGTCCAACAAAAAGTGCGCAAGGCAATGCTGGGTTGATTAAAATGTGGGGAAAGCCTTTCGCTGAGCGGGTAGGAGCCGAACTGTTGCCCACTCTCGCGTCTCTTTTTGCCTGCACTCAGCAAACAAACTTTCCGTTCTGTTCTCGGTTCCCTTTTCCTTTCTCTCGCCTCTCTCCTTTTTTCTTTTTTTTTTTTTTTTTCCCCTTCGCACAGACAAGGGTCCGAGTCCGCCTGTCAAAATGCCAAATGCCTTTGGAAGAGGCTCAACGGTTGGCTAGGAACGGCTCGTGCCGTCCCTCGTTCCGGTCTATCAGGCCATTTCGAGATTTGCCAGTTCCAAAGCTGGCCAGGATTTTCCCTTTCGCCCGCATCTGAAGAGGAACTTTTCTTTAAAAAAAAAAAAAAGGATGGCATCTCTCGGAAAGCCGTGCATATTTTGCATTGATAGTTCTCGGTGCGAAGTGAGACATACATATGCTTCTACGACCCTGGTTGTGTGCTTTGACAGTCGGATCTCGCTCCACCGGGATCCAAGGAAGCAATTCCGCCCGCTGCTCAACACATTAAATAATAGGCGCCAGGTTAGGGGAACTCCGCATCCCCGTGGCGCAGTAGTACCATCGAGCCACAGCTGAGACCAGTGAGCTAGTTAACTAAACTTAACTTGTTCTGCTAGGACTCCGTAACTCAGAAGATCGCGAATCTCCCGCGCGAAGTCACAGGTGGGTGAGGCCCTTAGGAGCCCGAGACAAGTGATGAGCGGCTGCTTACATGAACACGCAGCAAGTTCATGCGGGGCACCTGGCTGACTGAGCACAGCGGGAGAGCGCTCTTGGAGAGTGGCTTGTTTGGAGGTCGCAGTGGAGGGGTACATAGTTGGGTGGGCAGACACCGATGCATTGCGCTGGCATGGGTACGCTAGACGACACTGCTCCATCTACTCCGTACAGCATGCTCCACCAAAGAACGACATTCCTCTCCAATTTTGAGGCACGGATTTCTTCTTGAAGAGGCCCGTACGGAGCACTCCGTAGTCCGTTTGGCAATCGTGTAGACTGCTCATCATCATCATCATCATCGCACTGACTTCAAAAGACTAACCGGCCATCCGATGATGCTTCATTCCGGGGTGCAACGGGCCAATGAGTGTCTGGGGCCATGTTTGTATTTTTTTGTGGAAGAGAAAAAAAAAAAAAGGTCTCCTGCGCGGTTGCCAAAAACGTTTCGAAATTAACGGCTGAAAGCCCCGTCAGGAAAATTACCGAAAGATTCGCTTGGACCCGTAAGTTACATCTGACCGTGACGATACAATGTATTATCATTACCATTGGCGGACGTAAATTACGCGCAGAGCTCCGTAAGGCCATCAATGATGTCATGGCCAGGAGGGTAGGCTAGGAAAGGTTAAGGTGCATCCCAAGCCCTCACTGCAAGTTACCTGGAGACTGGAGTGCCCGATCGATGGATCTGAGGCACTCCGGAAAGTACAGTTGGTACATACAACCTGGGATACAGCGTTCAGGGTAAAAATACCGGCCACAGCAGCTGCAGCGCCCAAGCAGCTCTGGCCCTGGAGCTCCGTCGCTGCGTCACCCTGCATTCTCCACCTCGGTAGAGCACCTGAGGCTCAGTTACAGGCGGAGGAGCCCATCAAGGCTCGATTTACATATGGTATGGTTGGTGAAATGTATGCTCCTTGTGCAAGGCGCGGAAGCAGATGGATCCTGGAGCCACCTTTTCACTTTCGGGAGCATTTTGCTGTTCCTTCTGGTGCTTAAACTTGTCCGAACTTGAAGAGGATACTGCTCCGTAGAAGGAGGTGGTATTATTTTTGTTATGGATTTAATGTCTCCTCCTCAGAGGAACCGGGCCCGCTTCGGCTCAATCCGACAGATCTAGCGGAAGAAATCCAGCTTATTTGCATGGCGAGTATATATAGAGACGAGTTACATACGTATTCCCCCCACCCACCAGGAGATTCTTCGGGTGAGCTTATCTTCCGTTCAGCGTGGTGCCCTTGAATCCAAGGAGTGACATAACATGCATGTACTGAACGGAGTACTCCGTACATACATACAAACTGACATTGTACGGTGTACCACCCTGCTGTCGGGTTAGTTGTCATGTGTGCATTCCCCCAAACCACGTTTTACGGGTGAAATAATGGCAGCGCTGTGTAATCTGCAAGTCGATAAAAGGAGTAGAAAGGGGAGCCTTCGGCCATGAGCGTTTTATCATCCGTCGATCAAAATCACGCATTCCTGTTTCACACCCTTCTCTGTGGCAAGGCGGCAGCGGGCTCGGATCTCAGCAAGCATTTTCATGTGGCTGCTGCACAATTTTTTCACTCCGCCTCTCCGTCGGGAGTCGGATGAAGGTATTTCAGCCACACGTTCCCCATGTGTGCTCGTGTTCAAGTGCGGACAGCATTGGTCGGCATTTTCCAGCCCTATCAAGTCCGCTGCGTTTCCAGGGATTAGGTTTGCCGTGCCACTTGGCAACATGACTTTTCCCCAGAGGATTGGCTGGGTATTGAGATCACTAGCCGAAAAGCATGTTGCCCAGCGATGTCCCTCCTGTCGCCAATGGATGGACTCGCCTTTGAAAGCCGTCGACGCTCCATCGAAATGCTCAAAAGCCAACAAGAGTCGGTTCCACCTCTTGTTTCAACACCCTTTGTCTGTGTGATTGCCATCAAGACTCCAGTTGGATGTTGATTTGACTGCCCAACGATGACTAGCCCGGTGCCTGACAGGTGCAGAATCGAGACTTGGCGGACTGGATTGAAATAAAAAGGGGACTTCAACAAAAGAGATCGCTCAAAGGACAAGGCAACAAGGCGACGGACGAACAAGCGAAGGGAATGCACGCCAGAGGGACGGACCCGAAAAATACACGCTTACCCTAAAGCGTGAAAAATATATGTATATATTCTTTTGCCCCAATAGTTAATGGCCTGTGGCTTGAGTGAAGGAAACCTAGAAACGTAAACCATATTATCGATGATACCTTGGAAGTGCCTCCACGCCAGGCTATCTCGGTGACTCTGTATGTAGTGATCGTCACACCTTCTCTCGATTTCGAGGATTTCAACCAATGGGCGGGCAACCAGGCAGCTGTGAATCGATGGAATTCTCCTGATGTGATGTGGTGAGAGTGACTTGGACTTGCTTGGGTCTCCAACAACCGCCGAAAGTCGACACTCAGCATTGGGTGTTTGCAAAGAGCCACGCAACATCCAGAGAGGAGGGGGAGATACACGTATGGGGAAAAGCAAACGGACTATTCTTTTTACCCTCATGATCTACTCCGTACTCCGTGTTATTATGAGTATTATTTTTTTAATCATTAGAATTTTCGGAGTAGTTTCACGATCTTCCACACCGTCGTGGGGGCTTTCTGGAAAATACGATGTTGCTCCGTCTTGGGACCTGCTGACCGGCTTTTGGAGACTTCAAGCCCCCCCCAATGTCGACGCTTTGGCTTTCGAGGAACATGAGACCCGATTCTTGCATGCTATTGGATCATCAACGCGATTTAATACTCTGCACATCTTTTGTTTATCTCAAGAATATTATTGCGAGATCTTCTGCCTTTGTTGACCGACATTCTGTGGATGGTAACCTGGTTACAATACAGCCATCGATACGGTGGCATCGCCGACCCCCCTTTTTCTCGGCGGCCATACCAGCGATATTAGCGATTCTTCGCCTCAGGGCTGAGGGATAAGATAAGAAGGTCCCAATGGCTTGGTTAGCCCTCATGGATGGCGAAGTGAGTCATGTGCGTGACACGTTGCGTGCGATGCACAGTGACCTCATGCAGATGTATCTGTGACTCCTTGCGGTAACTCAACCCCTGGGAATTTGCCCAATTGGATGGTCGGAACATCCTCATCTCCCTCGAGCCCAATCAGACGTGCGCGTGGGATTCGAGAATGGGTGGGTTGCGAATTGCCGTGGGCCGTGAGAGCCTCGTGTTTCATTCGTCCTCCCTGCTTCGGGATTTTAAGGCTTGCTTCGGATTTGGAGGTGGTACGGGATGTGACTGACTTGACTGGCAGAAGCCGCTGGCTTATTCGGATCATCTTCACTTCGGAAAGTGGCTCTTGGAAAATTTTCTTTGAGAACCCCGTTCCATCGACACCATGATACAGTGTCAGGTATGCGCCTATGCCCGTCGAAGCTGAAGGATTCCTAAGAATGGCCAGCATTAAAACCGACTACGTCCTTCGGTGCACAGCATGTATGGCTTTTCTAGAGGTAACCTGCTAAGATTACATACATACATGCGCACATGCATCTTGCACAGCGTGCTGCAGCAGGTTGCTTTTTACACGACACTTGGGGACCCTTACAAAGGCCCCTTCAATCCATCTTCTCCCTCCTGGTTGTACAGAATACTTGGTCCAGTGGTGCTGTACGATTTTAGCCCAAACATTTCGTCATTTTTGACGCCTGACATCGCTTGCTTTCCAAACAAAATGGTGGAGCTGGCATGCAGCATCAAATACGTATCTCTTCCCCGAGATTGAGCTCTCTCTTGTTCGGAATACCCGTTACCTAATCCATTGCTGCCGGCCTCTCTAATGTAAAACTGGTGACCGGGAGTCCCTTTTACAAACTTTCGATGTCGCTCGACATCGCGTTACAAGGTGAATGGCGGAATAACATGCACATTCCCCGACTTGATTGTGAAGAGGACTCGAGAAATATGCGCTCGGATCGCTCTTATGGGAAAAATTTTGCTGGCAAAAGGAGGGGTCTTTCTTTTGGTTGGCCACTCAACCTCCTCCGTACCCCATTTTGGATTCAAATCAGCCTACCAAGAAGAAGGATGAGACGGGAACTAGTGCGATCGATAAGAGCATGGAAGTGCAGACATACAGGCAGTGTTAGATCTTTCGGCCCCGAACGAATGCCATTTACGCAGACGCAAAGCGGATCGTATCCCGCCGGGTGGGGTATGTGAGGCGTTCCTTCAGCCTTTATTTGCCTTCTTTTCTTTTGATGTTTTTCTTTTTCATTTCGGCCGCCTTCCACACTTCAGCCATGAAATTGAACTTGCATGAGACGCCTTCTGCTCGTCCTTATGGTGGAGACGGGATATCCGAACTTTTGTCAAAGTCCAGACCCCTAATACATTTCAATTGGATCATGGTGTTATTGAAGTGTCCACACTTCTTACCTTCCACCCCTTTTTTTTTTTTTTTTTTCGACTTTTGGATTACGGAGGCCCCCGAGAGGCTGCACTTTGCCCTCGACAAGCCAAACTGGGGAATGCGCCATGGAGTCGCTCGTACCCTCAAAATATCAATAACTTTCGGGTAAATCTTGTCTACTCCGCAGAAAGGCCCTGAGTTTTCGCTTCGCAGAAAAATAAGCCCATGCTGGCCACTGAATTCCTTGTCTGCAGCGCCAGCGCGTCCTCCATCACGTGAGGAGTAGCTGGAATTCAAACGGTTGTCAGACAATAAAGAGCTCACTTTTATATAATACATACATTAGTAAAGTCGCCGAATGCCCAAACCTGAGGTGCTTATTGTCCGTTATAAGACCGCTGAGCACATATACCCACACCAGGATTTATGGAGCACAACCCCGAGTCACAGCACGGACCTGACTATCGGTGATATATTTGTGAAATGCTGGCAGACCTCAAAGATGTGATAAGTTCCATCACACCTTTGTAATGGGATCGTAACACATACGTGTGTTGACAGGTGATTCCAACAACATCCATGATGAAGCTGAAAGTGAGACCCACATCGGGTGAGCCTTGCATAAAACAGGTATACACAAAATGTCTATATTCAAGCCAGGGCAGCTAAAACAACCTCAGCCCTTCCCTATCACCCAAGACATGAGGGGAGTTCCAAGGCAAGAATCTTAAATACAAAAAGCAAAGGTAAAGTAACCCATTGTCAACAACCATGGGGTCCGCATGGACAAGGGTTAGAGCAAAAGAATCTGCTATTTCACATAGTGATAAACCAAGGATGTACTAGTCGAAAAGACGCGCCATCAATCGACGCTGCCGGGCAATGGTCAACCGAAAGGACTGAGAATTTGATATACACCGAGATATTGCCTAGCAGTTCGGAAACGGCGGACTGCCAGGCGTCACTTTCCCACCATACACAACATCAACCCCAGGGTTGTTGAAAACTGTCTCTCTTCCTTCGACTGTGGAGCAACCCCTATTTACGTTGGCGACATACATATCGGGGAGGGTATCGAACAGGAGCGTGTTAGTGCTTCCGTTGGAAATTTCGACTTGAGCGCAGTTCATATACATCTCACGGTTTCCGATAAGATTGAACCAAGACCAGGAAATAAGAGCTTTCCCACTTGGAGTACTAGATGGAATTCGGAAGTCGTAGCGTTTAGTCAGCGGGCAACCGCCCATCATGGATTTGATGACTTTGAACGACTTTCCGTTGTCAACGCTCAGGGATATCTGACAGGAACCACCGCCATGCGTGGCAGTGCCCGTGAGTTCCAACGTGTAACTCTGGCCAGCGGAATAAGTAGCAACGCTCCTCCAGGGACCATTCAAATGGTACCCCTTGCAGGGGAAATTTTCGCCTGCTCGAGCGTGTTGTCAGCTTATACCCTTTTCTATACGCTGTGCTGGGCAGTTCTAGATTGAACTTGAGACTGTCCTTACCACTAGCTAAGAGAGGGCTTGTGTTCGAATAGTCGATAAGTCCGTTTTTGTTTGCAGGATCGAACTTGCTGCGAAGGGCGTATGGCATGGTCATTTCCATGTGCCCAAAAGCTGTGGTGACCAGAACAAGCACTAAAAAAGGATACATGGTGATAGGTCAAATCAAGTTAATCGGACGCAAACTAGCTGCTTGAAGTTTGGAAGCACATGCTCTCTCTTCCTCAGCAAGAGGGTCAGGGTCCATCTTTAATATCCTCTACTTCAGAAAAGAAGTTCTCCTTTTCCTGGCTGAAATGCAACCCCCCTCAAGGAACCGGTGTTCGCAGAACAAGAAGATCATGCCACAACTACGGAGTGCGGTGTTTCCATGGGATGAGCATACGCCAGAAATCTCAAGATCAGGGGACTCGGAGATGGCAGTTTTGAGACGTCGATCTTTAGTCGGCAGCTCGATTTCCGCAGCTGTGCTACCACCATATGGTATGAGAACCAAGTACTCTGTAGGGGTTCCAGTTTTGTTCCATGGTATTAAAGGTCCTGTCCAAGCCGTACAGCTGCTAACTGGTGTGCTCCGAGAGCAATGTTGTCAGCCATTTATGTCATATTCTAATTATCACTTCCATGAGTACTATGGAATGCATCTTGATATGAAATGAAACACCGGCAAAATGGAAGGTGTGAAATCGGATGGTCCTAACGTTGTGTATGTAGCTTTCTCCGAACCAGAGCTTAAGGCAAGGTTAATCCTCCCGTCGGGAGGCCAGGGACACAGTTGTTGGCACCTTGACACCTTGACACCTTGGCACCATTTTGACAGCAGTACTTTTTCTGATTGGCATTCGATCAAGTAAATGCACCTCGAAACCCTCTGCCTACAAAGTTTGATTGGTTAGTTAGATAGCCTGTACGGAGTACTCAAGGACTATTTATTGGACAATTTATTGGACAAGGTCATGTCACCTCACTTAGAGGGCGAGTGCATGCCGACTAAGTGTGGGCAATATGCGCGGTGACAGCAAACTTTTTACCGGTTAAATTAGTTAGCCATTAATAGCCGTGACCTTGTTTGTGGCACTTGCAGAGAGTTAAAGTTACAACATTTATCAAAACCTCCTTATGCTTGGAAGGAATTCTGTGGTGGACAACCATCAGCTCCTCTCTATGCCCCATGCCGATAGTACCCGGAGGCTTAGACAATATCAGCATGGCAGCAGTATATCCATTAGATCAGTGGCAGCTAAGCATTTAGTTGAATGAGTTGAAAAGAACAGGATCTGAGATCCGGACCAGCGGGTAGCTAGCACAAGAGCTTTCCCACCAACTCCATAGTCCCATCATACAGCATGTGCGTCACACATTTCCTCCATTTTGTTCTTCTATGGACCTTTAATATTTCCTCACGTCGGTCTCGAAACAATATTTTTAAAAGGTCGGCCCCACAAAAGAGTTGACAATGGATGTCAGTGAGCTGAAAGAGGACCTTGAAAGCCCCAGCATAGACCACCCTACCGGGGGCAGGGACTTCCTGATTGTATTCAAAGGTATTGTAGAAATTTTGATCTTGTCTTCATGGAATGTGGAACTTATGGAAATGATGATTAGTATCTATGGGATATATAAACTAGTGACATAATATATGCATTGCAACTCAGGTCGAAGGGCTCGTACCATCAGTAAAGGATGGCCGCCTCACTCTATAGTAGTCGCAGATAATTGTTACCATTCGTCTCAGGGTTCAAGGCATTGCAAAGATAAGGATGCAGTATTGGGACATGGCCTCCTAAGTTCTTTGTCTGAGCAAGTCTACTAGTTAGGCTTTTGCTAAGTTAATCTGGTGAGCTATCCCTCATCTTGTGATTCGTATCTCATTGCTGCTTTTCAAAACGATTCCGGAATGGGATAGTATCATGTTGCTAGTGAATTCTGCTCCTTCAGGTTCATGCACAATGACCCTAAGAATAGAAAGTAGTGTGTGGAACAACTGAATATAGTCATGCATAGCTCTGTGATTGTCTATGTGGACTGTATCCTACAGCTACATAATAAACATTGAAAATGTGTATCAAATCAATGATAACAGGGACCCCATGAAGCTCATTCCCAAGCTCGCTTCCCGCGAGTGGAGACCCCTGGCCGTAGGGTAAATCGCCAGATGTATGGCGAGTGCATTCAGGATCCGGATGATGAGATGCTGGAGAAGGTGGCTGCTGCTTGCAGCCTGGCAAAGAACTTGATTTCGGGAAATGAACAGATCGGGCTGTTTACTCGATGAATAGGATGAAAACGCTTCATCGAGGTTGGGTATGACCACATCCTGTTGTACCAAGTTTTCCAACTGTATGGCATCACATCTCCACTTCGCTTTGGAATCTGGCTGTGGCTTGATAGTCGGAAAAGTTTGCAAAGTTTCTTAACATCAGCTCGAATTATGTCTATCCGGGTAGGACTCTGAAAGGAAATTCCAATATTTGTGTCTGCTTTCGCGTGACTGAAGATCCGATAAACAAGGATTCCAGGGATCCGTACTCCGTATAATGGGAAAAGATTCATTGAACCACTCTACGCAATTGCAAAACCGCTACTCCGTACGGAGTATTCCGGACTGAAATTTAAATAAGTCCCGTCTTTGCATGGATATTTCTCGGCAAATCTCTGTCTTCGGGAGTCGGCATTCCCGAAGAACCGCCAGTCAGTCAACTAACTAGTTAACTAGTTACTTAATGCCGAATGCCGCCAATCTTGGCGATGTCTATGACCGTGCTTTCCTGTTGTCGCCTTCGGGAAGAACTACTCTGTACGGAGTACCATTCTTGTTATTACTTATGACAAAACAACTTTGATTGCTATACTACCATTCCTTCATACAATGACAATAAAATATTATCTATAAAGGTACGAGTACATAGTCCTTTGTACCTTGCACAGTATAGTTAAAGAAATCCAACGTGGATCTGAAATAAAGGCCTTGCAGAGCCAATTCCAATGATATGAAGTGGCCGCCCGGTAGATCCGGGCCACACAGCCCCCTCTTGTTCAATGCAAAAAGCTTTGTTCATTGCGTAAATAGGGAATACTAAGGGATGGCGACATGGATGTACAAAAAACAGAATTAAAGGTTCGATGCTATTCAAGAGGATTAAACACCCATCAACGCAAAAGAAGATGTACCCGAAAACCAGACACCGTAGAACGACGAGTGCAATGAATGGCTGAAACTCCGAATGCAAGTGTATCAATAAGCCCATGCAATTATGTTCTTTAATCCAAATTGATCAACTATGAATCACCATTAAATAGGAAAGCATCTGGGTGTTTCGTACATATCTCATTTCGAGGCTCAAGATCAGCCTATTTGCTGCTTACAGACCTCACCTTCTTGAAACACGCGAACTCTCCACGTGTCCTTTCTCTCAGTCTCTTGAGGACGCCGCGCATCTCTCCAAGCTCGGCCTGGAGTTTAGCCCTGGCTTCATTATTTGTTCTTCGGTCTAGTTCAAGGTATATCTGACTTTGAACCTGACCTGCTGCTTCGGTTGCGTATTGTGACATTGTTTGAGCAATGAATTCCGTGTCGAGGGTAGCTTGCATCAATGCAGGAAGGGAGTACTTGGGGCGCGACATAAAGCCTTCTAGGAGAGATTTAGATATTTGTGTGAGCAACTCGGCAAGAATTGCGTGCGTCAACGGGTGGCTGGGAGAAGCTGGAGACATTGTAGATGTTGAAGACGAAGCGCCAGGCAACGTGGTGGACACCTCAGTATGCACCATTACCAGGGTCAGCATTGTGGTGTATACGTATGGTCGGAGTTCATCTGGACGGCTCGTTGACGGCACCCAATCTGCTGACGAAATCCCATTTAGAATCATGGTATGCAAGGTGTCCACGACAGAGCGGGTATATGACTGGAATAAGCGGGTATCGATCTGCCCGAGCACATCTTGGATTGTTTTCGATTCATCTGTTAGCTTGACGGCGAAAGCACTTTCAAAACTTGTAATTAGTTGAGGTACATGCTCTGCACGAAGGGCTCTGAGATTAGATAGTGTCAAAAGTATGCGAACATTCTAAGTGGTATAAGTCAGCGACTTTGTAGAATTCCGATCGTCATAGATATTCTTCGGCTTACTCTGTTTTTGGAATCTATCCCACCGTAAACAGACACTGAAGATGGGACATCGCTACCAGTTCCAGAAAAGGAGGGACCAATGAGCACCCACTCGTCCTCACCTTCAACGTTGACAGGCCTTTCAGCATTTTCAACAAGTCCACTCAATGCTTTGTACACACTTGTTACAAACTGTGACCGCACCATTTGAAGGAGTTTCGTGGGTGGAGGCGTGACAACATCTACTGAACCAGGTTTCGTCATCGCTTCAGAAATGTAGAGTATCTTTTGCATCCCCGTAAGAATGGCACTCTCAAATGCCATAAAGTGTCCGGGCATCTTTGTCAAAGCTTTTCGCTCTAGATCACGTGTCCAGTCCTCAAGATATTTGCAGTGTTCAGCATCACTATTCCACGCGGCACATGTAGCACGGACACATCTTTCTCTAGTGCCACTGACAAGGAGCTTCAGCTGATCATATGTTGCACTACCACCTGATATTGGGCTAAGATCCGCCATCTCACTCGCTGCTGTGCCGATGAGTATTAAGAATTGTCCAAGATAATGAACGCCACTAAGTGAATTTGCATGGGGAGGCCAGAATGCAAACTCCGCCCATACTTCTCCTGTCTTGGGTAAAGGTGGTGGAATATCTTTCGGGTCAAGGTTAAATCTAGACCCGGTAGGTGTTAAGGTACCCATAGGGCTGGTTGCAGAAGGAGCAGAGAGAAATGACAAGTCATCAGGAGGAGCATCCGCGAATAGAGACACAATATTGACCTGAATGCGATTGACAAGCTCAATGATCCCATCTTTTAGCCCATTAATACTGTCTGTGGACAAGCGATGGTGCTTCCGACTTTCTCCTTCGAAACCCGTAGGGAGCAGTTTTTGTTTACTCCCGTTAATAAATGACTGCGCCGTGTCCCAGAATTCAATGACATCACCAAGCAGACCGCCTTGTACTGATATCAACTTCCTGAGAAACGTGTGTACGCATTCCCAGAATTCTAGGATCTGTTCAGTGTCGAGCGGATCGGAGTAATTTCTTGCCGCCTCTCGGATTGGTATGCGTAAATATGAGGCGACACTCTGTGGGCTGGGCTTCTCTCTGCTCGCTAGGCGACGCCTCAGAATCTCAATCTCAGCTCTCCCACGCTCACAAAACGACGCTATTCTTGTCTTTAAGTAATCGTAACGACTAAGGAGCCAAACCCAGACGGGATTATCGTCGACTCCAAGTTCTAAGAGAATTGCAATGAGATCCATATATTCTCCATCTTGGCCATTTGCAGAGAGGAGCTGCTTCGTCGATTGCGCATTGCTCAAACGCCGCCACAGGTCCCGCTTAAACGCTTGAATTTGCTTCTCGACGTCCATCCACATTCTGCCAGTAACAAGGATAGTGTGAACTTGATCCTCTGTTAAAGACCTTTGGGTTGACGTAGCGCGGTCTACAAGAAGTTTGGCGTCGTTTGCATATCTTCGGGCAAGAGTATACTGCTCAATAATCGCATCATAATCGCGCTGCTTTATGGATTTTTGCAGATCTGTGCCAATCTCGTAAATCCCACGTTGCTTTTCCACAGCCTCTAAAACTTGCTTCAGACCTTCCTCACGCTGTCGACCATTCAGGGCTTCTCCCCAAAGTTCCTCGGCCATTTCTGACGCTTCAGTAAATGGTGCATTTATTCCTTTGAAACCGTATTCATTTGCTTCTGTGAGGGCGTTCTTGCGGACGCCGGCGGAATTAGGGCCTATCTGTCTCGCATTCTGAGACAAAGATCGGTGTAAACCATTGTCATTTTGAGTGCCATCATCGCGCATCTCTTCATATACGTTGTCGATGGTAGCTTTGATCCTAACGAACTTTTCGAAGTTTGACTCTACTAGCGCTTTCAGTGACGCGGATTCCTGGTCGATTGAATCAGTCAGATAATTCAACCCCTGGAGTAATGACTGCGCTGAAGCAGTCGGACGTGTGTGTGTAAGGAAAAGTGCTGGAGAAAACGACGTTGAGGACAAAACGAATCGACTTCGTAAGCGAGCATCTTCGTCGACTGGGAGGCCTCGCTGTTTCAGTAACTCCATTACGCTCTGCGGGCCTCCGAGAGGGTCCGGTTCGTCCTGTTGAGTGGAAGCAGAAGCGATTATGGTACTCTTCCTGCGATCACCATAAAGGCCAGAGTATCTCCATTTTGCTTGGGCGGCAGTGTCTTGCGTTGAGGGACCAGCCTCATCTCTGGACTCGTCGCTTAGGTCTAGCTCTGCAGGCCATTCGTCTGGGTAGGCACTCGGTAAATTGTAATGCCGGGCGACATCTTGTTGAGCTTCCATTTCTTGAAGCTTTCGCGACGTGATGTGACTTGTGCCGGGAGCGCTCGGCAACCGACCTTCATCGCCAGCTGGTTGATAGTTATGGGCTGAAGTCTACAATTGTCAAACAGGACAAACAATGGATACCCGACAATCATTCAGAAAACAACTAACCGTATACGGTTAGGAATGAGTCCTTGCTGACGTAAATACCCGCATGGAATTTACATAATCAGCGGCGGCCATCCTTCGATGCACCAGCTTTTCAGTCTCGAACTTACCAGCTTTTGGCATTCAATCCTTTGGATTTCACTCAATTGCAGGCTATTGAAAGTTGTAAATTCTTTGCTATATCCAGCGGGCCTGGCAAGATGCTATCAGGTCGTTTTGTGACATCTTCTCTCCGGCAGTGCTCTCGACGAGCTGTGTCCACCTCCAATGTATGCCCGATCCCAGCACCCAGTTCAATACCTGGAAAGCTCCTAACGAGATAAATTTCAGAGCTCCCAGATACGATACTATGCTGTACCTGCCGCTGAAAAAATCGCTAAGTTTCCTGGTACAAAGGGACCTGATGTATGTTCCCTGCTGAACGGATCGCAATTTTTTTTTTCTTGAATTTCCTTTTTTCTCCCATGGCTACATGCGGAAGGCGTCGGAACTAAGACTCGAGTTCTTTTTAGGGCAAATATACCGTGACATTGATCGAAGGAGACGGAATTGGACCTGAGATATCGCAATCTGTTAAGGATATCTTCAGTGCTGCAAAGGTGATGACCACCTAAGCGTCGGCGTTAAATCGCAATAACAGAATGCTGAACTCGTACAGGTGCCAATTAAATGGGAACCCGTCGACGTTACTCCAATCTTAAAGGACGGCAAAACTGCCATTCCCGATGAAGCTATCAACAGTGTGAAAAAAAACTATGTTGCATTAAAAGGGCCGCTTGCTGTACGTTCCGATCCCCGAGACATCTCCGACGCCAACTTACGCTTTAATTTAGACCCCAGTAGGCAAGGGCCATGTTTCCTTGAACCTAACCCTCCGAAGAACTTTCAATCTGTTCGCAAATGTTCGACCTTGTCGTTCAATTGCCGGCTACAAAACCCCGTATGATAACGTCAACGCGGTCCTTATACGCGAGAACACGGAAGGCGAATACTCTGGCATTGAACACGTCGTGGTAGATGGTGTTGTTCAAAGTATCAAACTTATTACACGGGAAGCTTCAGAACGCGTCCTCCGCTTTGCTTTCCAGTATGCGCAAGAGGTCGGCAAGCCCAAAGTCCGCGCTGTTCACAAGGCCACTATCATGAAGATGTCAGATGGGCTTTTCTTGCGGACCGCTAAAGAAATTTCAAAAGAATTCCCGGATATTGAATTCGACGCAGAGCTCCTTGATAACACATGCTTGAGGATGGTCACTGATCCAGCCCCATACAATGACAAGGTTCTTGTGATGCCTAACCTTTATGGAGACATCCTGTCCGATATGTGTGCCGGTCTCATCGGTGGTCTTGGTTTAACCCCATCCGGTAACATTGGAAACGAGTGCTCTATTTTTGAGGCTGTCCATGGATCTGCTCCCGATATTGCTGGCAGGGCATTGGCCAACCCTACCGCTCTTTTGCTGAGCAGTATTATGATGCTCCGACACATGGGATTGAACGACCATGCTAAGAAGATCGAGACTGCTATTTTCGAAACCCTTGCAGAGGGAAAGGTGAGATCCACCATGCTCGTATCACGCTCAGCCTTTTGTCAAGTACTAATGTTTACTCCATAGACCCTCACTGGTGACCTTGGTGGTAAAGCTAAGACACACGAATATGCTGGCGCCATCATTAAGCGCCTATAAATGTGCTCTTTTTCCTCTGTACGTGCGCCGGATTTTGGATTTTCGGTTGCGTGCATACACTCCACTATTTCTTTATAGTTGAATATTAGACGGTGGAATTTCATCGAAATCTTCAATTTACATGTACTGCATTATTGGTTCCTTTGCTTCGCTCTTACGACTCGCTTTTTGATGTACAGTTGCATATATAAGGTAAATGATACGAGACTTTGCGATGTTATGTATGGCTCCTTCCTCCAGGGCAATACAATTAACAAGTGGGTATATCTATTTGTTAGCTTGAGTTAGTAGGATTCAAGCAAAAGTATACAGCATGGAATGGCGGGAAAAGGGTTATCTCCTTCTTCCTCGCCTAGTCGGAGGTCTTCCCCGCCTTGATCTGCCCCTAGTGGTCTGGCCCCTGGTTGGTTTTGAGGCCGCTGAGCCCGTCGCTTGTGACTGTTCTGCCCCGTTGGCAATCGCAGCACCTTCTCTATCTCCCCCAGTGTCGTCCCCATTGACACTCGCCTTTTCGCTTAGCCTTGACGATCGCGTACCGATAGTTCTGCGGGCCGCACGCCCTCTACGTCTACCGCCTCGCGACGGAGCAGGGGACGATCGGGGTTCTGTATGTGTACACGTTAAAAACTGCAAACAAACGGCCCAAAGAGGGAAAGAATTGGAATCGTAGGGGAAGTCTTACCATCCGTGTCTGCAATCGTGCTTTCTCTCCTCGACGGAACTGGAAGACTGGGAGGAGAGGATGAACCTTCTGGAGCTAATCTCCTCTCAAACATCATGTCACCGTATTCACTCTCTTCCAAAGAGAAGGGACAATAAGGTTCGTTGGAGACATCTACTTCTTCAGAGGCATCTGTTGCGAATGGATCTTCCTATTGTCCCACAAGTATAAGCGACTAGATCCACAGCGTGGTAAGTGGGAACTGACTCTTTCGTCCAATGCGGGAAGATTATACAATGAGTCTAATTTTTTCCATATACCCGGTATGCGCGTATGTTCATCTGTTGCGTAGCCTTGGCTTTTCATGTGGTCCGAGATAGCTAACATGCGAAAATGCTTATGCATTCCTGAGATGATATGAGTATCCGATCCAATTTCACCCCGAAGAAATCCGGTGGACAAACCTATAGGCTTCCATCTGATTATACCTTTCAGCAATGATGTCTCTTGATCGTCCGTCCAAGGATCCGCAACAATGGAATCGGCGTCAACGTCGGGTTTAGAAGAGACTTGTTGGCTCGGAGGTATGGAGGGGGGATTGTCCGCTTGCGATGTCGTCGATGGGGCTTGGGATGACAACTTTTGTTTCTTTCTAGGAGGCATTGCTGCTTGCTAAAAATGCAAATGGTTTCTGCTAAGGAATATGGGCAAGTTTGGCAGAAAATACGTAGCGAGTAAGAAGTATGAAGCTGCTGTCACTGCTTCCGCCCGGCAATGACACCATCAAAGAACAAGCAAACTCCCGTTCCTACGTTAACTAATCCAAATACGGATTAGCTCGCAACCACCGCGTTCCCGAACGAATCACAATGGTAATGGCCGTGTGCTTGCAGCAGGTCGGGTGTGTGATGGAGAGCAATCCCTTCGTTACTCTCAGCTGAGAGCTTTGCGTCTGTATATAAGCTTGCGGGCAATGCAATCGCGAGCATGGAGCTCCAAAACATCAATGATCCTTTTACTCTAGAATCCTCCAGAGAGCCATCTTTCTTCAAACTCCAACCTCAAAAGCCGTTGGAACATTTTGCTTGGGACGATAGCTTGCCAGGTAATGTTTACACGCAACATACGGATAAATTCATCGCATAATCCAATAAGTTACTAATTGACCGCACCTCTCTAGACCTTGCTCACGGTATTTTTGAAAGCCAATCGCATGTCTTTGTTAAAGATGACTCAAACATATACGCTTTGAATGTGTTCGGAGATGAGCCGTCGGACCCAATCGAATCAGCGCCGCTTTCATCTTTTTCGAGTCGCGTTGGTGGGGATCATGTTAGTGGTACTGATGCATTGAGTGACACTGGGGATATCTGGGAGCTGAAAAGCGTTTCTGACACCGCTCCGGATGATTGTTTGCTGAGGGCCTGGGACACGTTTCCTGACCACAGACGGTCATATAAGTCATCCAGTCCTACATATCTTAGCGAGTCTGGATCACATGGATTCGATGTCGCACTCACCTTCTGGGCAAGCCAAACCGGCCTTGAGGACTCTGGGCGCGTAGTGAGAACAGATATCTTCATGCTTTCCCTTTTCAAACTTGGCATGGGTTGGAATTCTATCTTTTTCCGATTCAATGAACAAACCCGAAAATTTGAAAAGGCAATGAGGGACATTCGCATATCCGGGATAAGCCTAACATCTTTGGATGCGTTTATCGACGAACTTCTCCACTGCGGATCTCAAGTTCGTCGTGTGAGAAGATTCCTTGCGTCTGTGCCAACTAAGGCTAACTTACCTGCTGCGTTAGCCAATCTCTCACGCGCGCTATATGTGATACTCTATAGCCTGGAGAGTCAACTGTTCGAACGTTTTAAGTCCGGTCCATCATTGCTGGAGACCCAAATGCTTTTTAGACGCTCACAATGCGTGATCAAATGCCTTGTTGATATAATTGACACACTAGAGAATACAACAACAGAAGGTGGTGTTATTTCATCTATCTTCATCAAATGCGACCATCTTGCCCATGAATTTCTTTGGTTGACGGATATCTTGCACGAAATCCTAACTATCACGGCTGGAAGTTGGCTCTTCTATATTGCGAAACTTCTCGGTCTCCCTGTCGGTTCTCTTGGAACCGAGATGTCCAATGGAAACTATTTCCATGTTCCGATCCGCGAAATAAGCCACACCACGCGGTATCAACGGGATTTTGAAACAGGACTGCAAGCTATCTCCAGTGAAATGCCCGGAATCATCAGTTCTGAACATTCTGAAGCTATCCTCGAGAATGCCAAAAGCCTTCGCTTCCTAAGGTGTTTCCATTCCGACCACCCACTTTCTCAGCAATGCAAACCGTATGATCCTGTTTCTCTAGTTTCCCCATCCTTAGAATGTGGTTTCACTTGGGGAGACATGGATCGAATCCAACAGAAAGCCAAGGCTTATGAACAAAACGTGCGTTCCGAAATTTTGAAGTATAATCGGAGAGGCGAGAGTTTTAACCAAGTTGATGGCGAACAAATGGAGACAATCCATGAAGATGCACATGGTATTGATGAACCAATCAGCAGCATATTCGAGCTTTCTGATTTGGACGACATCGCACCCAACCGACCCCGGATCTTGGAGAGGTCTGAATCAATTGCTTCACATAGACTTTACCGTCTAATTTCAGAGAGCCCTTGCGTCAATGCTGAGCGAAGTCTAGGTGTTGAGTTACCCTTTGGGCCGCCGTTGATGTCGGCATTATACCTGTCATTTGCACCGGTCATCTCGGCGCAGACGAGGCTCATTAACTTTTCGTGCCTTCACCTCCTTTTCAAGAAGCATAAGCTTAGAGAGCACCTGCATTTGCAATGGCGCTTTCAGCTCTTCGGGGACGGTGCTTTTTTATCGAGATTGTCAACTGTTCTTTTTGACCCTGATATGCAGAGCGGTGAGCGGAGATCTGGTGTTGCGCGGGGTGGAACGTCGACAGGTCTCCGCCTGGGTAGCAGGGACACATGGCCTCCTGCAAGTTCTGAACTTCGGTTGGTGTTGATGGGTTTACTGACAGAGTGTCATGCTGAATATGAGAGGTCCAACTCTACGAGTCAGTTGGACGCAAACAAGACCAAAAAGGAGCTACCAGGTGGACTGAGTTTCTCTATTCGAGAGCTTCCTGATGAAGAGCTCGTCGAATGCAAAGATCCGAACTCTGTCAAAGCGCTCGACTTTCTACGCCTCCAATATACGGCCCCACCAATGTTAGAAGACGTTGTTACCTCGCGAAGCCTCGGCAAATATGATCGTATTTTTAAACATTTGCTTAGGCTACTGAGACTTCTCTCCACCGTCCGTGGGCTGGTGCGGAGTCAATCGAGTAATCATTCACACCCTAGCCTAGCTTGCGGACACAGATTTTGCTTCGAAGCCGTGCATTTTATACAGGCAATTGGCGAATATTGCTTCCATATCTGTGTTGGCGAGATTTGGCGTAAATTCGAAAGAACTTTTTCAAGGATCGAGAGCTGTATTGACGACGGCGACATTGACGGAACAATTGAGCATGCGAAAAGCCTTCGTCGACTGAGAGAATACCACGAAGACGTTCTCGATCAAATTCTATTTGCTATGCTACTAAGCAAGAAGCATTCCCAGGAATACGCTTTGCTTGAAGATATATTCGGCACCATAATTACATTTTCATTGCATTGGAAGGCAGTTAATTATCGAGAGAATGTTCCAGCTTCCCGCGAGCAGTCGATACGAGAGTTACATTCGGTATTCAGAAAACAAATTGGGGCGCTCGTTCGGTTCTTAAGGGGATTGGGGAGTGTCAGATCAGCCCAAAAAAGGACGAGGCATGACGACTTGGGCGCATCGAGGACCGAACGGGCCATGGATGTTGATATCAACACTATTTTCGATCATTTGCTGTTGAGACTTGACATGACTGAATTCTACTAGTGTAACATACGCGAGCTGTGTGAACGAGTGGACCCCCTTTTCTTCTCCCATCATAACGGCACAGCATGAGATTTATAAATTTAACCACCAGGTCCCAAATAGATATCCGCTCGAGTAATCATAATATTTGGGAATCGCGCCGTGGATTCTTCACCGCTCGTGGTCTCATGGTAATGTATGCGTCGACTTGTTTCTTCTCCTCCAAGGACATAAGCCAAAATCCCAGACAGCGGTCAATATTCCTCTAGCCAATGACTCCGAGAAAGGGCCATCTCCAACCCCTATTTCGTAGCAAGGAACATACTGGCCTAGTCGACCTGTCAAAATCTTTTAGGACTCAAACGCCCTCGAGTCCTCCTTGAAGGACATGGGATTCGACCTCATTTGAGAAATGGTAACACCCCCCCCCCCCCCCCCCCCCCCCAATACTCGTCTAGGGCTCCGCGACTATTCTCTTCACCTTCTCCAACAGGACTTTGCTTTGTCGTCCGAGCCGCTGTTTTCCAAATTGATCTGGTCTCTTCGCTCTCATCATAGCTTGTCGTTCTCTCTCCTTTGCATCTTTTAGCTTCCTTCGTGCCTCAATTTCTTCCTTTCTTTTCTGGGCAATCTGCATCTCTTTGGTGAACGGCGAAGGTTTTGGTCGCCGCTCTCTGCGCCGTGGCGTCTCTCTTATGCTTTTCTTGGCCGGTAGGTAATCAGGATCCTCCTCGGGGGCATCCAACCTCGCCTGACGGTCGGGATGCAGCTCTAGGGACGCCGGTGCTGGCTTTTCGCTTGGTTCTTCGAAATCTCTGTTCGCATTGGTAGATTCGTCATTATCATAAACTGACTTCGACTGCGTAGCCACGAGCTCCTGGGCTTTTATCTTTGCGTAGGACTTTTTGATTTTGGCCTTGTGGATGAGCTCTGATTTGATTTTTTGGACTACAGGTTTAAAGAGTGAGCGTTAGTAAGTGTTACCCCGGCTTGGGGCTTCAATTTCGGCATACCTTTTCTTCGATATGTGCCATCGGGTAGATTCGCGGGCCCAACGGAAAAACCTTTTCTCTTTTTGTGCTGGCCATTTTCAACGTCATCAGCGTTGTCGCGTGGTCTCTTTGGCGCCATGGGCATCTCCTGTTTCGTTCTGGTTCCGTGAGTAAAATTCTGTCAAAAAGACGGGATCTTTGCGCCGAGAGGGAAAAACGTTTGGCTGCAGCCCAGATAATGAGCTAATTTGTTAGATATGAAGGGTAAGGAAGTGTTTCGGATGGCTAAAAAAGAATTTGGTTCATTTGTGGGTAACAAGTTACGGAGCAGAGCTCCTAAAAGATCACGAAACACATTTGACTCGACACGGCCCTGGTCGCATTCAGGACGCAATCGCGGATGGCCCTGAAATAAAAATGTGACGTTAATACAGACTGGCCCGTCCTCTGGCGCCCAAGCCGAAAGCAAAAAAGCAATAACTAATCACTGTCCAAGATTGCTGCTGGCCGGCGCTGGCTTCACCGGAATACGCTTACCTTGATCCACCCGCATCCCCGCCACCGGTGCCACTTCACTCCCTGGCACTCTGAGGATAACTCCGTCATTCCGGCACTGACGAGCCTGCCACGTTTTGCCCGCCCGTTTACGGTTCACTTTTCTTTTGCAGTGTTTGGATGGACTATTTTATCCCGCCAACATGCCCATTTTTCAGGATCCAGATCGCCAGAGAGACTGCTCCGATCCGCCATGGCCTGATGACCGCAGTTATATACAGTGTCCAGCTGATATAGAGCTTAACGGCCGGCACGACAAAGTTATGACTGATATCACGCCTCGAGAATCCAGGATGGAGTCAGAAAATCGGCCAACTCTTCGCACGAGTAGTCGAGAAGAATTAATTCAGCGTATTAAACGAGGAGAGAGCCCTACGTGGGTGCCCAGTCGCTCAGTAAGTAACACCACATATACAGCGCTTTGATGCACTTTTTACGTCCCCAGTGGCCCTTTTGAGTCTATTCAAGTGTGTAAAGCAGTCCATTTTCCCGGATTGAAGGAGAAGAAGCGAAAAAGTGTTCTATTTGTCCGTCTGATCGGCTTATTGGACACGAGCTTTGAGGAACATCTCCAAGTTCATCTGGCAGAATGGTGCTAACATTTTGGATTGGAAAAAGCTGGAGGAATACTTCGCAATACATGGAGATGATCCTCAGACTAGACTTGAAGAATTGCAAAAAAGAGAGAGACTGTCTGTCTCACCATCAAATGAGGAGGGATCGGAGTCTCCAGAGCGGTGCTCGCGAAGTCAAAGTCGGTGTGGCCCATTACTGGATTCTCCTATAGAGATCGAACGTCCGCGCTCAGCTCTACATTCTGGTGATTTTCGTGAGCATTCACCAGAATCCCCAGAAAAGCTGCAAGAGGGCAACCTTGATGGCCAGTCCGGTTATCAGGTACTATCGACGTCACCACCGGCCCCATGGTATTTAGGTTCGCCTGAGTCACGACTAAAGTCTTTATCATTTCAAGAGGAGTCATCACCAATGCCCGCCATGCGGCCTCTCCCATCGCTTGGTCGATTAAGGGCTCCCTCAGTCAGCTCGTTTTCTGCAAACTATGTGCTTAAGCCACCCACAAGCCCCCTTGTACACCAAGCCAACAATCCTGACCTCGATATGCCCCACAACATTGATTCGCTTGACTTGTCTCCATGCTCGGAAAAAGCGAATCGCCGGCGGACACTGCCGCCCGAAGCTTTTCAAACATCACAGCACATCCACAGCTGGGGCCATGGCTATGGAACATCGCCCGGTTTCAACCACCGAGAAGGGGTATTCTCACATCAGGGACACCGGCCACGGAGATCCCTAACCTCTGGATTCACACTTCAGCCAGCGTCGTCTCCTCAGAATTCTTTCTTGTCCCGTATCAGACGTCCTTCTCAGTCATCAGATGCAGCCCCATTATACCATGCATCTATGGTTGGATCTTTTGAAGAATCTATTCTTCGAGGCAGAATGTCTATGTCTCCGTCAAAACCACTTGACTTCACTGCCCAGGTTGGAGTGCTGGGAAGAGGTCAATGCAAGGCTAATTTGAAATGTCCACCCCATGTGACAGTGTTGTTTCCTGCCGTTTTTTATAGCTATCCTACATCGAGCGGTGGAAGGACTATCTCAGACGATAGCCCAAGCCCGTATGTTGGGTACATCGATATCGAAAACTCGTTTCCCGGCGAAGTTCGACCGCCTAGGAAAAGTTCTAGGCAGACAACGATACCCCCTAGAAATCCTTTCCCAACTCACGCAAACGAGGAGCGCATTCCCCAAAAGACCCAATCATCGCCGCAAGAGCGACGGGTTCGGGAAAAGAAGTCGCGTCGACCGCAGTCTGCCAAGTGTCCGCCTGGTGGCTGCTACCGGATCCCACAGCAAGGTCAGTTGCAGATTGTAATAAAGAATCCCAACAAGACAGCCGTGAAGCTGTTTCTCGTTCCATACGACCTTGAAGGGATGGAACCTGGAACGAAGACTTTTGTTCGACAAAGAAGCTACTCCATCGGCCCTGCCGTGGACTCGCCCTTGACATCAGGGACGGTTCTCGATAGCAGCATAGCGGAAAGCTCACAAGGCCCTGGCGGCAGCGCTGACGATAAGCCAGTCCTCAGGTACCTCATTCACGTCAACATCTGTTGCCCATCAAAGGGCCGCTTCTATCTTTACTCTGGGATTCGTGTTGTCTTTGCAAATCGAGTTCCAGATGGTAAAGAGAAGCTGCGCAACGAAGTGCATTATCCTGAGCCTCGGTATAGCCCCTATAAACCGGTGAAGGACACTAGTGCTAGCATGAAGATGGAACCCCCACTGAGGAGAAAAAGTGATGGTCCTGGATTTAGACTGCAGGGCTCAGTCGACGCAGGAGAACGCCTCCCCTCCAAAACAACACAATTCGGCGCTCCTCTACCCACCCCTCAACCGTCAGCTCCATCGATGTTCCGTAACAGAACAAATCCTATTGCACCACGTGAAATGACAATGGCGATTGACCCCGATTATATACCAGAAGGCAGATATGTCCTTGAATCTTCCCCATCACAATCTCTGGCGGGCGTATCATTCCCACGCTTCGAGCCATCCCCCCCGCAGATACGAGCATATATGTCCAGGTCAGACACGCAGGAGGAGACGTGTAGTCTGCGAGAAAGTGACGCTGGCTACGTCAAACAGACCCGACCGCTAGGCTACGCGCACAACGGTGTTGAGAGCCTGTTGGCGCAAAAACTGCGCAATTTTAATGAAACGAAGCAGGAACTTCCAGATCCAGAAATATAATTGACCAGCTTACGACAACCTATACTTTACGCCCCTTACTTACCCCGTCTTATGATATTTATTCGTCACAATAGCTCATCTGAGAATCGATAACTCTACTCGCGGCTCTGGGATACATGCTTTGAATATTGGTCTTTTGGTGTTCTACGGTGTCAGGATTCTGTGAATACTTGTTGGATTTTACTCTGCTCTATACCCACTAATGGACAATGATAGTTCATTTTAGTCCTGGTCGTTTGGAAAAGTATCGTATATGAATTACAGTCACTGGGGAGTGGGTGATAGCTGACCTAGGACTCATTCTAAACTAGCTTGGTAGCCATAATACTTGTGGTAGTTACCCATAGGTTTCGGTAGTAGTTAACACTAGAAACAAGATGGAAACCTGTCTAAGATTTTTTGCTGTTCGCACCCTTCTTGTTCTATACACCAATGCAAACCAGCAGAAAATGTGCATGAGATGGAAGTACAGGTCAAACCTAGCCATTTTCACCAGGAACCATACCAAAATTGTCCAGTTATGTATACGAGACTTTCGCCCGAGGGAGTGGGGTGGGAATGGGCATGCATCCTGCCGAATGATAGGCCGTCGACTGAAACCCATTATCCCGCATGTTCAACAATTTCACTGACCAATACACCATCCTTGACATAGCTTCGGATTTGCTCTGGAACCGGGCATTCCTTAGCATCTGCATCTTCAATACCCTCCTTAGGTGGTAGGACAATATTAACGCTCGTGCATTTGCTGGTTAATATTTCCGTCCCTAAGCTAGATTGGCTAAGGTAGATAGTTCCACTATCTACCTGATCCAGCATTACGGTGGGTGCAACTCCATCAATCTGGAGGGCAAACTTCGGGGACTTGATAACATCCAAGCTGCTCACAAGAGAGTCGACAATGATGGAAACCCCGTTGCAGTTATCGATCGAGATCGCGTTGGCCTTGTTGCTGACTTTGATGACAGTCTTGTTGCAACGAGAGATAAGAATGGATTGAGTCAGTTGAGCAGAAATCTCTATGACACCCTCAGGGCTGTCGTAATGTTCGATAAACCATTTGTTGCCATCGAGATGCTTTCGTGGTGGCTTCTTGGCTCGCATACTCTCAGGCTTAGGTTTCTTGCTTGGTGCAGGAGACTTGCCACGAGCCGTTGGCGATTGCGGGCCGCGGTCAGGAACTAGAGAGGTGGCTCGTAGACTCGGGTTCTTATGCGTCATCTCAGATTTGTCAACTTTGCGTAGACTTGAAGTAATTGCGGAACCCTGGTTCAATTGTTCAAAAACTGCAGACATATCATTGTTGGAGGATGTTTTGAGAGTTGGAGCAGCACCAGGAGGCGGAGGTGGTGGGACACCCAAAAGCTCAAGGTTAGGCAATGGTGGAGGGGGAGGAGCCGCGGCGCCACCCGCAGGCGGTGCGGCGGACGAGACCTGTTTTAGGGCATCAATAACATCAACACCATCTTTGTTATTCCACGTCACGCCTCTCGGGAAATATTCTTTAATATAAGCAATGAGGGATTTGAAAATGCTGTAGTAAGCTTGGATATAGGAGATGTGGGTTTTATCTCTGCAAGCAGGCAACCACGTTAACCTTTTTGAAACATAGAAACTGGAGGGAATCCTTACTTCTCTTTATACTCAGTGAGCACTCTATTTCCGTAAAATTGAGCGCCACCCAATATCTCGGTAACAAATTCTGCAGGTCGGCTCTCAAAAAACCATCCCATCGACATTACTCCCTCCGAAACTGCACTGAGGTGGTTGAACAAAGGAGAGGGTCTGTTGCTGTCTCGGATATTATTAATCTCATCCGATGCTCTCTGCAGCTCGGTCAGGAGCTCCGGAGGCTGGCGGTCGGGCTTTTTAGCTTTTGTTGATACGAGCAGATACTTCCTTTCCGCCTCGAAGGCTTGAAGTACTGCTTTCGACTAAAGGAGATAATTTAGACCAATCGTAATATTTTTCAGCCCATAGGGGGTTCTAGCCTACCTGTTCCGCAACCGCATCTCCAATCTTCTGAGCGATGTCCACAAAAGACTTCACTTCCTTGTTGATGAGCTCGTCGAATGCTTCAATCGATCTTGGGAGTACCTCAGCAGAAGGGGGCAGTGGAGGGGCCTTCTGCAGTGGTTGTTGCGATGGAGCGGTTTGAATAGCTTCTGGAATAGGATGAGTGGTCGAGCTTGGACCCTCGACCGAGCTGGCCATATCCTCTAGGCGAGAGGTTGCGGCTTCGAGCCTGAAACCAGATCACATCAGCAAAAACTCTGCAATTTCAGGAAAATCACAGATAGAGTACACATACCGCTTAATGAGAGTAGTAAAATTATGCATATGACCGTTGGAACTCATGGTTGCGAGGGATGCGAGGTATCCTTTGACTTGACAGTGAAGTTGACTAGATAATTGGTTCGGACGACGATAGAGAGCTAGCAATGACAGCTGAGAGGGGTTATGTCCAGGCCCTCTGCAATATCAGTTCCCTTGGCTTTGGGAGGATTCGTATGGTGTGGTCTGCTCTTGCAAACGAACGGGTCAACCAGGAGGTCTTCAGGAGTTGCACATGAAGCACGTCGATCGTCATAGCTTGGTAATAATACTGCGGATGGGACCAACTTCCCGTAATCCTTCGTACGACGGTAATATTGGTTTGTCCGTCAACACCAGCAGAGACGGAGACTATAGGCATCTACATACTTCCAGAGATCGCATACAGGCAACCGCTTTGATGGTCGATACACGGTGTAGCCGGCTTTCTGCCTCAGAGCCGCAAATTGACTTTTGCACCCTTGGGATGTTTATAATTGGTGAGTCCAGCCACCCGCGCTTCGTTTTGTATTTGCAGGACTAACGTGGTTGAACCGCAGATGAAATCGAGTTCGAAGCTCCAGCACCGCCAGTGAAAGATATTATTGGCGGGGCCGGGGCATATGCAGCTCTGGGGGCCCGTCTTGTTGCCGGAAAAGAATATTCAAACTCTGTAGGCTGGATTGTTGACTGCGGCTCTGACTTCCCGGAAGCCATTAAAGAGACATTATTAACGTGGGATACCCATTGTATATTTCGGGAAGACCCAAATCGTCTCTCTACAAGGGGCTGGAATGGGTATGGTCCCAACGAGAAAAGATGTGGGTGATTGTGCTGCTCCTGGAGATGGGACCGATTGGTAAGGCTCATTTTTCTCCAGATTTTAAGTATTTGACGCCCAAGTTACGTCTGGATCAAAATTCGCTCACAAGGTCATTGTTGATGTCAAACACGTTTCACATGGTTTGCTCTCCACTACGTTGCTGTGAACTCGTCCAAGGCATTTTGGAAAGAAGGGCCGACGTCCTGAGAAGGCTTGACTTCAAGTCTTCTAGAACCATTGCTAGACCTATTTTCGTCTGGGAACCCGTCCCCGATAGGTGTTGTGAAGAGGAACTGCAAAACCTTTACAAAGCTATTCGTTATGTTGATGTGGTCAGCCCCAATGAGAACGAACTAGCTCGATTCTTTGGTAAGACAACATGGGAAAAACGAAATGGTGAAGATCGAGAAATGGCGGAGGCAATTGTTCGAATGGGCATCGGCCCGTCAGGCGACGGAACGCTTGTTATTAGGGCTGGAAAAGATGGCTGTTACACTTTTTCTCGACACGGGGTGTTGCATTTGCCCGCGTTTAAATTTGTGGATGTAGTGGACCCAACTGGCGCAGGAAACACATTCTTAGGGGCACTGTCACAGGGCCTCATGAGCCACGGTCGTACACCCTTCAACATCATACATGAGATGCTTGGTGGTTCAAAAGCGTGGCAGGACATACAAACCAAATGGGGTGATGAAGGAAAGCTTCCTGCTGCATTGATCTGTGCTATTGTGGCAGCTAGTTTTGCCATCGAACAGATAGGCATGCCCAAAATCTCATTGCCAGCCGATGGACTCGAATATTGGAATGGGTCACATTATACAGACCGCCTTCTCCTGTACAAGGAACAATTTATGGACATGTATGATACAGTTTCAGAAAGATAGAATCCAATCATTTCAGCGAAAAAGATATGTCTCTAAGGAAAGCGGGAACGCCATGGGAATGTAGGAAATTGGTGAGAAACCTCCATCAGACTTCCGTTGATATCACGAGGACTCCTTCGCCGATTGTTGTCTTTCGTGTTCGATAATTTGTTTGCTCCACCTATTTGTACGAGTCAGCGACAATGTCTCCCTTCCGTAGAGGTCCAGAGAACATACCATCTGCTTGGGAAGAACCTGCCCGGCTCAGGGAACTTTGTTCGAAATTCTCGTTCAGCGCTCAAGCTGAATGCCATAGCCGATATTCCGAAGATTACCGCACCCATAATGGCTGTGTTGGCTTTCCAATTCGCAGGCTGGCAGTACCAGCCGCCGGCCGGAGACCAGACATGCTTGGGATAACTAGGCAAGTATGGTCTGTTAATTTGGACGCAATTGGACAAATTAAACAGTTATTTGGAGTTGCTTCCTTACCGAACTCGTGGTCCTCCTCCCATTGTGAACGAAGGGCAGGAATGCAGCTCAGAAATGCTCGCGGGGAATGCTGGTTTCTTGAAAATCGCCTTCCATCATCGTAGAAGTCGGTGCCGCAGGTGGTTGCGGCGACAATCTGCACTAGTCCCATAGGGGAATAGTCACAGCATTAGCGCCTCCCTCACCTGACCCCATGCAAAATCATGAAGCTTTCTCTTCAATCCAAAGATTTCGATCGCGATAGAAATCCAGGCCGCCCGTCCTTATCGCTGTACGGCTTCAATTAGAGTCGACGACACAATCTACCGCCGAAAAAGGAATCACCGCCGAACCGGACCCCAATGAAAAGGCTACAGCTCCTGAGATGGAGCGGTTCAGTGCTTTCGCCGCGGATAAGGCAGCCGACCTGTACCAGAAGCACGCAGTCTTTTCTAACTCTCATACGGCACCAATCCTCCGCACCCTCTCCGCCCCTGCCAGAACATGAACAAAGTAATAATCTGGATTTTGCGATACCTTCTCCCTCACAAGAAGCGGTATTAAAGTCCGCGAAACTTGCCGCCCTGCATTCCCGACTTTCCCTCCCCGAGAGACTTCCGCTTCAAACCCTTGCTAGAACACTGGTGGACTCCTCAGCTGATCCCTCTTTACAATTCAACAACAAATCCTTTGCCGTACTGGGAAGCAAGCTCCTATCCTACTATACCTCCGAGCACATTATCTCTACCTATCCGCGTCTGCCAATGGGCGTAATCTGGGCTGCTGTGTGGGCGTACGTGGGACACAAGGCCCTGTCAGCTATAAGTCAGGAATGGGGTATTGAACATGCCGCCGCGCCTGGCTGTGAAGTCGACCCTGGGCTCCTTCAGTTCAAAAGACTGCCTCCACAAACAGATATAGTCGAAAACGGGCACACACTCCATCGCGGTGTGAGCGCAAGGATTGTGTACGATAACGAGTTCGGCGAGCGCCCGTCACAACCCTCTCCCGGCGTTGAAGGAGTCCCAACAACTCAAGCGAATGCAACTTTCGTCCAAGCGCTCATGGGTGCTATCTACCTACACTGTGGACGCCCAGTTGCGAAACAATTTTTCAAAGAGCATTTTATGAGTCGTCAGCTTCCCGTAGCTGACCTTTTTAGCTTTGCCCAACCCACGAGAGATCTCACCAAGCTATGTGCTCGAGAAGGTTTCGAGCGCCCGGTCGCTAGGATTATCAGCGAAACCGGCCGTCTCAGCAGACACCCCGTCTTTGTGGTGGGCATATTCTCCGGGCAAGACCTGCTGGGCGAAGGATCTGGCCCCAGTTTGACAGAGGCTCGTTTCAGAGCAGCTGTGGCTGCCTTGAAGGGATGGTACCTTTATAGCCCCCTTACAGTGAGGGTACCGAGTTCGACGGAAGAGAGTGACGCCAAACCATGGGAACCGGCAATGGTAGATCCCGGTGAAATTATTGTATAAGAAAAGGACATAGAGCAATTGGGGCAACAGGAGAATTTGGGTTTGCTTCTTTGTTTATCATTTTGTACAATATTTGGCGTTGTTTGTTGTCTTGAATTTACTCGTATTTGCCGTATCGGATTTCAATACACGCATACGTTGATATCCTTCAACCGGCGAAGGCAATATTCGAGAGCATTCGAAAGGGAGAGCAACGCGATTTCTGCTCATTACTGGAAAAGGGCCTCTTTAGTATGCTCGCTGGTATTTCCATAGATTTGTCTTGACGATGGAAACATGATTCTTGATCGAACTCACTTCATGACCCTAGAATTGGTTTTTCAGAACCCCACGGGACTTTCCTGTTAGCATGTCGCTCTGAAATTATGTGTTCCATGAGTATATCTTGCTCGCTCTCTCGAGAGTCAGGACCAAGATCCGAAATATAGCGATCTTTAAAGGCAATGGATCAGAAACACTATCCAATGCATCAACAACGGACCTACAGCACATATGGCTCTGTAGTAATTATAAAGATTTTTATTATAAAATAGATCCGCGTGTAAGCCGAACGTTCCCCAAAGTATGACCTTTTTTGGATTGTCTTGTGATTGAAAATGACCAAGCTTCATGTGCCTCGGTTGAACCGAGCATACGGGAGGATAATCGAAGCTTGAATCTACAAAAACCATCTTCGAATCCGCTGGGAGATACCTCATTTTCCTTGATGCGTTTTTGGGCTCGATTATTGAACTGGAAGTCGTTCCCGTGGCTGTGCATGCTCTCCACTCTAACAAGCATCCGCATGGTTTGAGAGAGCCTGGAACCAGCATTTCTCTCATCACCAAATAATTACCATCTAGAGCCAGCAATAGGACTCAACGAACTTCATCTAATTGTTTTTGGATCATGTCTCTCTTCACTATCCCCATCGCCATGGGCGGATCTTTCGAATGCACCTCTCCTGCTGACAGGGTGTATCTCCTGTCTTTTGATTCTCCGCCGGACAATCGTCAGACAACCGCGTTCATCGATGCTTTCAGCCTTGCACTTGATATTATAGAAGAGAAATACCCCATCGGTGTGGTTGTGACCACAAGCAAAATTCCCAAGTTTTATAGCAATGGGTTAGATTTGGAACATGCAATGGGAACCGAGGACTTTTTCGCAAAAGTATACTGGCCTTTTTGGAAGAAACTTCTCACGTAAGTCCCTGTCTTCATATGCCTATCTTGTTGCTGAGCCAGTAACTCGATTTGAATGAAACTATCTTTGGCCAAGATATCCCACCACTACGAGCTGTTACGTCTGTGCACACTGTCGCCATTGCCTCAGGTATCGAACATATATATAGTATTTGAATCTAACAAACCAATAGGTATCCAATGCCGACCGTCGCTCTTATTAACGGGCACGCATATGCAGGTGGACTGTTCGTCTCATTGCTGCATGACTACCGATTCCAAAACCCAACCAGGGGGTATCTGTGCTTGAATGAGGTCCATTTTGGCGCCTGGCTACCGGCCCCCATGGCCAGCATCGTAAAGCAAAAGGTTGCAAACCCCGCAGCTGTGAGAGATTTGATCACGGCAGGCCGGCGATTCGACGCCAAAGAGGCCCTTTCGGCAGGCATTATCGATGCTACCGGAGGGATCGAAGTGGCACTCAAATTCATCGAGGACCGTTCACTAGTCAAGCTCGGCCAGACGAAAGTATACGCTTCCTTGAAGGAGGAGATATATAAAGAAACATTGAAAACCCTTGAGTCACACGAGGAAAACGAAAAGGAACGACTGGGCCGCTTACAGGAAAGGGATGACATGGAGAAAGTGCGAAGTGCGAGAGTAGGTGCATGGGAGAAAACCCATGGTGGATCGAAGTTGTGACACGCCTTTCCGAAAGGCACTTCTTTAGTACGTTGTAATGGATATTAGACTGTCCCCGTTAAATTCAGGCCAGTATACATCCTGAAGAATCTGGTTAGATGTTTCCGAATATAAGAAAGAATTAGATAGCCTACTCTTTCCGACGTTCAAAATTAACATTCCCCCCCTTTATTGTCAAGGTACCGGCCATACTCTTCCCAGAGTTCGAGGACCGGAACACCGAAGAGCCCTTTCCAGAATGATTTGGTAGTGGATGTGCCAGCATTCTCCCCTTCACCGACATATCCTGTCCTGAACAATCTATCATTTAACATACCGATAGCACCAAATCCGACCTTGACATCTTCGATCCATTCCAAGAAAAACGCAGTATGCTGGTATCCCTGATCCCACGAACCAGGGAGATCGGAACTGCAAAGTGGACGGGTCCAATGAGGCGGGGACAAACCAGCCTTCAAGCGTACAAAGTCCGCTATGCCCTCTATCAGACCTGAAGGTGGGTAGGGAACTGTGTCGTGGTCTGGCGGAGAGGTGTGTTGATAGCAGTGCACAAGCTCGTGCGTCAAGACCCCGACGAGCTCGCGCCTGGTGTCTTCAAAAGTAGCGGCATGAGCGATGTACGACAACGAAAAATATATTTCTTTGTGATCAGAGTCAAGGTCGATGGAAGTGGTGTGTGCTACCCCAGAAAAGTCACGAATGATCACTGTGACTGACCGGGTTCCGGGCAAACATGGCTTGAAATGGACCTTGCATGGCCGGGAAGATTGGGAGGTTTCTGGGCTTGGGCTCGTATAGAGATAGGTGATTATGTTCGACAGAGCCGATTTGAGTACCGCATAAGGATCGGGGATGCATTCAAGAAAAATTTTGGCGGACTTATGAGTGATATCTTGAAGATGAAGTCGAAGTTTAGGTGACGGAAGCTTGGAATGCGGTATCAGTCTGTTATTATCCTTGTTTGCTTGGTCTTCATATTGGGCAATTGGGGATTGCGCAAACATGTTGAAGAGAAGCCAGCAAATAATAATATATCGACGAAGGCCAGCAAGAAATTAAGGAGACAGATGGGTGTGATCTTTTTTTGGCTTATCCGCCTTGAATCTATCTGCCCACTACATTTCAGGGCGCGGGCGCGTGGCGTGGGTGACGACTCCGTAGAGTCTTTCTCCCCCCAATGCAGCCGTTGGTGGGGCACTAACTAGTTAACTAGTTAAGTACCTGATGACACGGTCTGTTCGAGTCGAAGAGGGTGATCATACGGAGGAGTGGCGAGTTACTCCATACTCTCACGGATACCTCACACATGCCGCATATCTTCAGCTTTGTTGACGACCAATTGGGCCTTGAAGTTCTCCATCAACGACGTCAACATATGCATGTACTATACTCCGTACAGGACGGGATACCAGCATACATTAACGTTGGGCCAACATGAAATCCCTGGGTCCCGAGGCTCCGTGGTTTGGTCAAGGCCTGCGACGGAGTTTGGGCACCAAAGGTCCATGGATACCCGTCAGGCATCATGAGTAATTAAGTTAACTCAACGCATTCCGTGGGCCGTATGAACACCTTCTGTTTGTTTATCAAAGTCATAGGCCGAGCGAAGCCCATCTATTCGCAAAGAACAGCGCTCTTTTGAGGCCGCTCCGGACCACCACCGCCATAGTAACCCCCCTTCCAATTGGCCAATTCGCGGAAGGGCCTGACTAAGCAAGGGCGGCCCGCCAAGCCCGATCGACTCGGCAACCAGCACCTTTCGACTGTTTTGCGACGACGACCCGGATTGTTTGGCCAGTGTCTGAGGTCACCAGAGGAGCGAAGTAGCAATAACTGCACGCTGTTCAGGCGTATCGACCGGCGCTTCTTGTTTGCTGGGCCAGTTCGGCAGGATACCAGTGATTTTCGGAAATCCCAACCTAAAACTTTAGGTACGGCTCTCACTCTCCTGATTCCTTTAGCTTCGATCTTTTTGCTGCAAAAGCTCAAGGCAGTTTCAACATCAATAAACTGATAACAGACATATATTAGCTAGTGTCAGGTTGCCCGCCATCCTCCTGAAGTAATATCCTACCCCACGCGGAATTTTGACTATTTGATCACACTCCCTCCGTCATCGAACCCCCGCTTTACTTTCCCTGCTCCGCCTGGACAACCATTATTTCCGAGTACCACCGTTTCCAATGAGATTCACCAACCCCGCCATTTGACAATGGATGCAAGGGCAACGGAGCTTCTGGCGACGCTGCGAAACGGCAACGTTTCCGTCGATGTCAAAACCACCTCTCTCGCGAAACTCAAATCAGAAATCAAGCAAAAGCATGTCCCAGATGCAGCTATCTCCCCCCTATTCGAATCGTTCCGACTAGCGATCGCTTCACAGCATTATTCTCTCTCTTCGGCCGGGTTTTCTGCACTTGGACATTTGCTGAAGCGCCTTACACTTCAAGAGCAACATGAAGCGATCGCGCTCCAAGGCCGTGCCACTTATCAGCTGCTGCTCGAAAGACTGGGCGATCACAAAGAACGAATACGGTCTCAGGCTGCACAAGCCTTTACGGACTTTTGGCCAGCCGCCTCAGCTGACGTAGAGCATCATGTTCTCGGGGCGGCTTTGATCGGTAAAAATGCCAGGGCAAAAGAAACGAGCATGGTCTGGCTCGCGAAGGTATTGATATGTGGGCTATATTGGTTTATCTTGCGCTCTTGGTCTTAGCACAGGTTGACTGACGCCGTAATACCTCTAGATGACACGCGAATATGGTCTGCTCTTCCGTATCTATGTGCCCGCCCTCGTTACTTGTCTCGAAGACGCGGATGGGGTCGTGAGAGACACGGCGAAGTCGACAGTGATAGAGCTATTTCAGTATGTGATGAGCTTGGATTTCGGGTGGATTACCAGCCAACTTATTTGTTCTTAGGAGTGCCCCGCCTCGAGCTATATCGGATCTGAAAAAGCAGCTCATCCAAAATAACGTGAGAAAGTCAATTGCGACCTCGATTCTTTCTAGCCTGGGTGCCAATATCGTTGCCGATTCCGAGACGTCTTCCTCATTTCAGTCGCAGTCAAGGTCCGATATTACTAGACCTGCTACCAGTTTTTCTCATCGCCGCGAGGAGGTACCGCGCTCGCAGTCCGTTCTTTCCATGCGTTCACACTCAAACGCTGATGTACACAGTACGTTTAATATTGTTTAAAGGGATGCGACTGTTCTGCTTACTCTAGCTTAGATATTCCCAAAATTGATGCCGCCTTCAAGAGTCAATCGAAGCCAACGAGGAGTGGTCATTCTAGCAAGGACCCAACTTTATCTCACACGGCTAGCTCTGAATCCCTTCCAGCACCACGCCAAGACACAACGGATGGGGAGGGGGTTGAGCCGCTTTATATTAATTCGCACCGGGAATTTGACGATACTATTCGTGAGATGCTCCCTCATTTTGAAGGGAAAGAGTCGGAACAAAATTGGATCCTCCGTGAGAAGAGCATCATGACGCTTCGTAGATTGACCAAAGGCAATGCTCCACATGATTATCAACAGTATTATCTCGCGGGCATCAAAAGCGTGCTGGATGGAATCTTGAAGACTGCCAACTCGCTGCGTACAACCCTCTCAGCCGCGGGTTGCTATTTACTTCAAGACATTGCTCGGACTTGTGGTCCCGCCATTGATCCCATGGTCGAAATCCTCCTCCAAAGTCTGATCAAGCTCAGTGCTGCGCTTAAAAAGATCACCGCTCAAAATGGCAACGTTACGGTAGATGTTATCATTGGGAACGTCTCATACACCGCTCGAATTTTACAGCACATCTGGGGAGCATGCCAAGACAAAAATGTCCAGCCGCGCCAATTCGCAACAGGTTGGATTAAAACAATCATCATCCGACAAGGCAAGCACAAAGGGTCAATCGAGCATAGTGGAGGGCTGGATCTCATCGAAAAATGTATCAAGAAAGGCCTAGGTGACCCTAACCCAGGCGTAAGAGAGGGTATGCGTGGGACCTTTTGGGCCTTTTACAGCGTTTGGCCTGAAAGGGCCGATGTGTGAGTACACCTAATCGATATCCTCCAAGAAGGCCATGCTAACACACATATTTTAGTATAATGTCTGCTTTGGAACCAAAATCGAAAAACCTTTTGGAACGGGATCCTAATAACACCCACCGTGGCGTAGCCTCTCAATCCTTTGATGGTTCTCGAGGAAGTCAGCCTCACTCTACGAAATCAAGTCTCAAAGAGGCCATTAATGCACAGAAGAAAGCCCGTTTAGCGGCATCAAGTAACGTTCCTTCTCGGCCTGAATCTGCACAGTCCTCGTTCCCCGACCCAAAGTCAGGCCGGCCTGCCCCTCGTAGGCCGACGGGCACTTCCACTATTCGTGTGCCAACAGGGGAAAAATTATCGCAAAGTGCATCTTTGTCATCAGCTCCCATGCGACCGGCATCTCGTCCCCGACGGCCAGAACTAGTAAGGCCTGCTACCGCCGATCCCTATTCTTCTCGCAGATCTGCCGCTCCTACCGCGCAATCCAAAGCGTCAAGCCCATCAGACAGCCCTCAGAAATCAAAGTCAAAATTAATGACAACTCCACGCTCGCGAAATCCACTCGCTCGGCCTAAATCGAGAATGGACAACGCAGCAAATGTGACAAATGATAAGCAAAGAGCGGATCCAGCTGCGACGCTGGCACCCAAAATGCGCCGCAGGGGGCCTTCGGAGCCGGACGTTGTGTCGGCGGCTGCCAGAGCAAGAATCGCAATCCTGAGTCCTTCAAGGACGGAAGGGGACTTCAGCGTGGCCTCTTCCCAAGTTAAAATAGATCAGAAGGCCGAAGAAGCTTTTCAGGGTACTCCTACTAGGGGAATTGAGAATGGCACGCCCTTGCCAGCGTCTCCGCTGCGTTCACCTCTGAAAGGAGCTTTTAGCACTCCTACTCGTAACCGTAAGTCGAGCGACGGAGCACCTCCCTCGCGAATTCCCATCTCGCCTTCATATAGTTCCCGAAGAAGTAGCGAGGAGCCAATGTTGCCTCGCACTCCTCTCGACAGCCGACGTTCAAGGGGCGAAAGCGATGAGGCTGCGTCACAAATTCCAGCTCCCGTTGACCAGTCCCCCATTATCGATGCTATAAATTCACAATCCCCAGGCATTTTGAAGGTTTACGAAGATCCCCAGTCTCCACATTCTAAACACTCTATCGTCCTAGGTGATACGGTTCCGAAAACGCCGGGGTCCCAGGCAAAGGTGATGCCGCTTGAAGAATTACCGCTCAACGAGTCTACAACTGTCCCTAACCGGAAGCACAACCAATTACCCGAGCACACCCCTTTGCTTCAACCTAGCCCAATCCTTACTCCATCCAGCGAAAATTCACACCGGCGATGGAAGAAAGTCGAAGGCTCCGAAAGACGAAGAAGCCTTAGTCCACGGTCAAAGGATCCTGTGAAAGCACAGGATATGATCACGCGTGGATTGGCTCGAATTCGCACAGGTGCCTTAGATGTTCATGGATATAGGAAATTCCAGAACCTCATCAAATATCACGAGTCTATATCCAAGGATGACACCAAATATGAAGACATCTTAATGGCACTATTGGAAGCGCTAGAAAAGCCAGATGGAGATAAAGGCGCTCCATCCGGTCGTTCTCTCGACCTCAAGACACAAGTGCTCGTTACCATCCGACTAATGCTTGTTATTAATCGCGAGGCATTTGCGGCCTTTTATCCTAGAGTCATGACGGCCATAATCACAGCACGTAAACAATACGAATTGACTAACCATATTGTCAGTGGTTTGGAGGAGACAGCCGAAGACATTGTTAGCGCTTGCAACCCTCCACAGGTCATAGACGCAATTTTAGACTTGCTCGAGACGGAAGAGAGATCTTTCGAAAGTTACAGGATGGTTGCTATGGGTAGCTACATCCTCAGTGGCCTGTTACGCAGACTAAATAACCAAAAACTATATCTTTCGCAAGCGGAACTAGAAAGACTAGGGAAATTTGCGAACGAAAACCTGAGGAGTACCCAGCCGGATGTCCGGCGAGCGATAATTGATTTCTGCCCGGAGCTGTACGATATGGTCCAGTCAGAAGATGCTTTTTGGTCCATGGTCAATTCGTCTGTGGAAGATTTCCGGCCGCTGTTGACGTACTACATCATGCGACGACCAGAGAAAATTGGGTGATACTGATTGTGGCACTGGTTGTGTTTGGTTGATCCATTACTCTTTTTAATCTGATATCTTCATTTTCCTCTTATTCTTGTTGTCCGGAAAACTCCCATTCTTGATATCCATGTCGTCGATTTTTGAATTTTCTCAACTGCTATCCTTTCTAGTAGTTCACCATGCGGGTCGCTGATTGTATTTTCATTTTTTTCGTTACTAGGTTTGGAGTTTGAAGGTGAGATGAGAGTTATCAGCATTTCACTACTTCGGGGTGTTTAGGAGGATAGTTCTAGCGGGTGCTGGGAGCCTGAGAGCTTGTATGATACTTTTGTGAAGCGTATATGTATAGCTTTTATTAATACCACCTTTTTTATCCTTCTTGTCCCGTAGGGTGAGGGAATAGATTCGTAACGGAAGCGTCCCTGTTCTTGCCGTAGACCGCGGAGGGTTTCGGACCACCGACAATTCCATATAAGGCCCACGGACTGTCCGAGAAGGAGGATGAGGCCATTCTGGCAGCCGCAGAGCCTAGTAAAGGGTAGCATTGTTGCCCAAAGATACTCCAAAGAAGCTGCAAGTTACTTCTCCCAGCGATAACCGCATCGTATTCCGTGACATCTTGCTAGAAATGAAGCGATCGCTGGATTCCACGGAAAGTCCGAAGGCTCCACGGCGCCAGAAGCCAGTCTCATACCAGTTCTGTCGAGCAAAGAAGCTGAGATGTAGTTTCGAACTGCCGTGTGCGCAACATTGAATGTGTCCCTGCCCAAGGTATGAGAATAGCCCCAGATTCCCGTCCTCCAAGAAGGGCGTTAGCCGCCCTAGCTCACTCTGCATCACACCAAACAACAATTTTGGACTGCGATTCGGATGCTGGGGGTGCACTTCTACCTACAGTTTTCCAGGAGCAGCAAGCCCCTTGCTTATTCTATCTCCTTGAATGAATCCTAACGTTGAACCCCAGGTGCGTCACGCGTTGCTAAACTCGAACTTCGACCGTTCCAGCATCAGCCAGCGCCGCAGGCACTGTAAGCCTCCCGATTTTGCAGCCGCCTCAAGCGCATAGATGAGTCCCTAGGTTTTTTTTTTGCGAGCTATAAATCCTGTTGATTACATCTCAAGATCCAAATATTGTCGCCCAATCACATGAATATTACTCTCCATCCCGTTTTTTGAATCTGACAGTCCGCACACGTTGCCTATCTAGTTCGCTACATAGCCTTCATGAGAGAGTTCAGAGGATTGAGCGGTCATTGGGGATTTCATCTGAGAATGTTACCAATCAAGAACGCGGCGGTATAAGGGAATCCAATTCTTTTTCGAATTTGAATACTCAACGTGGAACTATCCAGGTTGAAAAGCGGGATCTCCACGCCGCCAGAACGCTGGAGGAAGAGAGGTTGCAGAAAGAAAGCGATGACTTGACGGTAAGCCCTGCGGGCCATTGCTATGCGTATATGACTGACATTGTTGTAGACAAGTGTAACTACTTCCGGGGTTGACTTTGGAATTGATACATTGTCAGAAGCAACACATTTAGACACACCGACGATTGAGTCTATACAGGCAGTTTGACTGCTCGCAAGCTCTTTGATATTTAACATGGGTGCGATCCCTGTGTTTAGGGTGCTCTTGGCCGCAATGTTCATCTCGGCCCAAGAACTGCAAATGCACCTCGTGGACTCCCCCAAGAATGGAAAGCTGCGGCAGAATACACCATTGACAGGCTAGACCTTGAAATAAAAAGACGCACATGGTGGCAAATTGCTTCAAGCGATTGGTACTTGCTTCTTCCTTCTTCCTTCCTTTTTTTTTTATTTTATTTTATTTTATTTTATAATTTTTATTCCTTTTTTTTTGGGTGGCCAGGCTCGGCTCTGAGGTTAACAGATCCTTCAGGATTTCGCATTCGTTTCTGGTTCCCAGACTGAAACTTACATGGTCCATCCCAATCAGATGCACGTCAATTTGCCAAGTAACTGTGACGATGAAGCAATCTCATGCGGTTCGTGTTCAGACAAGCCCTTGTCAGAGCCAACAGAAATGAGCTATTTCCTGTTCAGATGCCGACTGTCTGTGATATTTCGTGAACTCATAGATGAAGTGACAGCCCAAGGTATAGGAATTGATGAAATCGACTACGATCAGGTCCTGAATTTCGACAGAAAATTGAACACATTCATCGATACCGTCCCATACTTCCTCAAGTCAGATTCCGAGAATCGTCAGCGATGTCGAGAGTTGGATAAAGAGCGGCCTTATCTCATTTGGCAGCGGCTGATGGCGCAGTTCGGAGCCTCCACCCGGATATCTCGCCTTCATCGACCTTACCTTGCGCGTGGGGCACGGACCATTCTTGATTTTGAGCGAACAATACGGAACGAAGCAACTTCTTTAAGTGCCAGAACCCATCCAGGAGAGTATGGGCTATCATGTATCAGGTGTTTCTTGCAACCGTCGTTCTGGTTATGGACTACAACTTCAATAAAGATGAGCCATACGCAGAAGCACGGATCCAGGAGATCACGGAGTGCTGTCACACTTTGGAAGCGGCAAAGGAAGTGAGTGGAATCGTAGCACGAGGCTTAGAGGAACTCAAGAATATAATGAAGAAGTGGGGTCTGTTGACGGATGTAGAACCCAGTGGTGACAGTAACAACGGAGAGAAACGGGAGGCAGCGGCCCCAATGCAAGAAAACAATCCATTGCTTCCTGCTCCAGGGCAAGAAGCCATGCAGATTCAAGCCACCCAGATGGAACGGACCTTTCCTCCGTCATGGATGGAGTCCTGGGATTTTAATGTTGATTTGGATTATCCGCAGTGGGATGCACTGTTTCACGACCTCGAGAGTAGATCTGGTATTTGCTGATGTCTCCGGATCCAACCTTGAAGTTGAATGCCGATGTCGTAAGTCCTGTACGGCAGCCTTTTGTCCTCCATAAAGCGTGCTTCGTATTTGCGCTCCGTCAGAGGAGTCAGAAATCACTCCCAAGCCGCTCGAATTCTTGCAGGCGAAAATTTTTCTCGAGACGTCACGATAGCCAGCGCGGAGCCACACCGTCCACGAAGGTAAGAGAATTTTGGAACGGACACATGCCGCGCCGGAAGCTTCTGCTTGGTGAGATCGGCGAACACAGCCCAAAGCTAGTTGAGCGGCCCAGACCCATCGCACGGTGATCGTCGGCCTCGTGTGCGGGCTCGGCACAAAAAAGGAATTTCGCTCGGGCACGCGTGCACCAATCTGATATGATAAGATGGCTGAGATCAATCTGATTAGATTGACTAAGGAAAACGGGATAACTAGTCGTTCCACTGGATTGAAACTTTCGGGATGGACGTGTTTTTAAGGGATTAACTCGCAACTATTTTTCCCTGCTGTAGTGTGGGACTGAGGGGTTTGTCTTTGGACCTTGCCCTCTAGAATTGTTTAGTTACATAAAATACCGGCTGAGCACGGAAGTCGACATCCCATACGGAGTAACTACACACCCGGCTAAGGGTTTCGATGATCGTCACAAAACAATGACCCTTCTTATTTCCTGAGGATGGAACAATACGGAGTATTGTGTTCGCCGAGGCGGCTGGCGACAATCATTTCCCTGGACGGCATCGTCGATCAGGTTGCTTATCCGTACTGGGGCCTACATTGTGGGGACGCGTTCCGGACTTTGGAGCTGCGTATTTTCCCGGAGACCCTTTGGGCGGAAACAACTGGGGGTGTGGAATTGAATTGACTAAAATATGAAGCATACTTTGAACGTAACTAGCCCAAAAATTTCATAGATGGGCATGGAATCATAAAGTCAATCTCCACTTAAACTAACTAAAGTTTTCGTAGTGAAATGGACACAGCTGGAAAAACCGCTCGCGGGTGCATTTGATCAATGCAGCACGTTTATGAGGCAGGTCGATCCATTTGTCAATGTAGTAGCCGTTTGCTTGATCGTATCCGAGGACTTTAGTCCCTGTGGCTCTGGGTTCACCGACTACCAAGGTGGTTCGGGGTTCATCAAGAAACATATAGTGCGTCAAGCTCGTGTGCCAGGCCTTGACCCGGTGTGGCCCACGGAACCTCGAGTCTCCGACCAGAAAATGGCGACCTCTGTCATAATCTCCCGCATCATAATATGCTCCAACGTGATCCTCCTTCGAAACAGTTAGTACTGGTTGATTTGTATGCGATCAAGCGCCAAAGGAAGGAGAGAAGATCCTTTTGGTGTCGTGCTTCTCTGGTTTCAGCTTACCTTTGCCCAATAAATTTCGAAATAAGCAAAATAATTATCATCAAATTTTCCAAGAACAGCAAACTGGTGCTCGTCTTCATGCATTTTCCGAAGATACTCTCGATGCTGCTCTAGAGTTCCCGTCTCGTTCCAGCTTTGTGCAACGCGCGGATCATTTTGCCAGACGTGGAAATAATTGACGTGTTCTTCATTTTTCCAGTCGAGCGCAACCATTGAAAAGGTCTCCCTTAAATGAGGGATGTAACGAGCGTATATTGTTGACCCAGGGATCGGCTTAGCTGGTCTGATGGGGTGACGTGCGTAAACTCGCGCATCAGGGAACTTAGTTGTCATAGTATAATCCAAAGGACGGATAGGGTAGGAAGAGCCGGCGAGGCTGCCCTTCCCAGACCCTACCACCCAAAATGGTCTTGCTCCAAACGGAGAGCCGGCTCCTTGCCAGAATGCACTCCTGGAGATCACGACGAAGTCCTTGTGGTCGTGGGAAACCGGGATTGGTTTGCCTGGAGGAGCGGACGGGGGAGGATGTTCGATGGCCAAGCCGACCGACTTAAGCTGCTGGACTAGTTCCAAAGCCTGTTCCCCTGAGAACTTCAATCTGAAGACTTCGAGATCAGGGCAGCATGTAATAGCCATATACATGACAAGCCAGATATTGCCGATTGTAGGGGCGACTGAGCCCTCCCATTGAATCACCGCGGATGGGCTTCGCTTAGCTCGAGCCCAGGGGGAATTATTCTCCAGCGGAACTGAGTCTGCATCGACTCTTGAAAACTCGGTGAATTGGAGAGTGTCATGATGAAGAGTTTCGGGTGGAAGGTGATTCTGGTCTGAATCTGATGATAGCCGAAGGTTGAATGTTGGCACGGTCGAGCTTGCGGGCGTGGTCTCGTGAAGTTCGTAGGTGCCGTTGTATGGTTCAGGGAGACGCACGCAGGGGCGAAAGTCAGAAGGTATATGTGATGACATCTTTCATGAGAACGAGGATGATTCTCTAGTCGCAGAGACAACTCGGCTCCGATATAGTGTTGATGTTGGTAATGTTGGATTCAACGTTCGCAGGGACGCTTTAACTTACAGTGTTCAACTCCGTTGAACTGCTGTTGTGATTAATATCGAGTTCACTACCTGCGAGTTACTCTGTAATCTCTTTATGAACGCCGAGTGTGTTTGCAGAGCACCCGCTTTCCAGTCCTCGTTTCGCGGGCTCGCTATTCCTAAATCGTCAGTGCGGAGTGTTTTCCACGGCCTCAACCCACTTCCAGTGGATCTTTATGTGTCTTCTTGGTGAAAGACAATGCCACGACCAGGTTTCCAACGCAACGCGGTCCAAGCATACGAGCAATAGTCCAATGGGACAATGGCTTCGAATGGAGGATTCTTGAGGACGTCCAGCGTGCCCGATTTATTTTCGAGGGGTTCGATCCCTGACCTTGTTTTGTAACAGCAGCGAAAAATTTTATCTGATCAGAACGACGGATGCATGGTGAGACTTGGCGGCACCTTCATTGGAGGTTGGAACGGTGGCTCCGAGAGCTGGCGGGGACCAGCCCTGATCGGCCACCTACGCGGCAGGTTATCTGATTTTCACCATCTCACGCTTTCCCGTGCGCCTTGTGTCTGGCCTTCGACTCCTGTTCTGATCCCGTCAGCAATGTGCAGCCCAGGGATCCCGCGTGGGCCTGCGGGACTGCGAATGCTGAGCAATTCGAAACGGCTCGAGTCCTCCAGATTCGGCAGCCCTGGGCTGTTATGTACTCGAGACCACCACCACCCCGGTCTCGACAGGGGTTTGGCCACTTTATACTCCATCCGGCCGACAGTTTGAAAACAAGAAACAAAAAGTCCACTTTCATTTAGACTTCTTCCAGAGATTCTGACGACGAATCCCTCGGGGCCCCGCGACGCCAGCTATGTAACAATAGTACCACCACCCAGGCCTTGGATGGGACCCATGCTGGTTCTTGACCCAAAGTCTCCACTGGCAGAAGAATATGGATCGCGATTCGATCCCTCATCTCACATGATGGGATTGAGGATGCCAGGGAGGCATTGATCAACCATATTCTTTTTCATTTATCTCTGTCCTTCACTTCAAGGTGTCAATCTCGCCAATAGGTGGGATGCCTTATACCCGTTGTTGATTTCGTTCAAATTCTATGGACACTGCTAAATAAGGCATGTTCCTCTCGGCCGTGTCACGTTCTTTCACACTTTGAGCCTCCTAGGATGATATCGCCAATAACTTACGATCTATAAGACCGTTCCATGCCCTGTTGCAGAGCTCGCTCGAGAAGCTTTCAGTGTCGAGCGCGTTGAAGCATCGAATGGCGATGGCACCGGAAGCACCCAACCGTGGCTCCAAAACCGGTCCGCGGGGATGTGTTACTCAAAGCCGCGATGAGGCCTTGCCGGAGAAGTCATCGGTCATAGAGGTAGTTTAACAGAAAATTGGTCGCTCTATACTGAAAGGCGATGTTAGAACTAACGAATTGCAGCCGAGAAAATGGGGATTCCTACCCACTAAGAAAGGAATGGATCAAACATTTGGTTACTTCCGGCTTCTATTTTCATCGCAGCCCAAAAAGCTCGACGTGTGCCTGATAATCATCGGAACTTTGGCGGCAATTGGCGCTGGTATTCCCTTCCCGCTGCTCGGTATTCTTTTTGGCGAGCTTGTGGACGACCTGAATGCCTCAACCTGCGACAACCAACAGGAAAGCCCGCAGCAATTACAGTCAGGAATCAACACAAAGGTTTTGCAGGTGATATATGTCTCTATCGGTAATTTCGTGTGCATGTATATCCACACCGGATGTTGGAGTTTGGTGGGAGAACGCCTCGTTCGCAGGTTACGGACTCGGTATTTTCGCAGCCTGCTGAAACAAGAAGCAGCGTATATGGACAAGCTACCTTCTGGAGATGTCACATCCCGACTTGTGAGCGATATTGAGGTTATTCAAGCAGGTACCTCAGAGAAAGTCGGCCTATTCATCGGAACGATTTCTTACTGCGTTGCCGCATTCATCGTGGCTTTCCTTAAAGTTCCAGTGATTGCCGCAATGCTCTTGTCTGTGATTCCGGTCTACTTTCTCATGGCATTCGGAGGAGGACATTATTTAAAGAAATACACCAAGCGCATCAATGTTCATGTGGATGCTGCTACGTCTATCACGTCTTCGAGCCTGTCCCACATGGGCCTTGTTCATGCCTTCAATGCAAATACCCGATTAGAGCTCCTCTTCTCTCAACATTTGTTCAAAGCACGACTTGATGCACTGAAGAAAGCTGTTACTCATGCCTCCCAAGTTGGCCTCCTATATTTTGTTGCGTATGCATCCAATGCGCTTGCATTTTGGAAAGGGAGCAGATTGATTGCCGACCTCGCAGATGGGAAAAATACAAATGTGTCAGTCGGGGCAGTATATACTGTCATCTTTGTTCTCTTAGACGGTAAGTTCCCGTTCTCCATAGTGCCAGAATACCGTTGATAACATGACATCAGCTTCGTTTATACTGAGCCAAATGGCTCCTTTTCTCCATATTTTTGCCGCCGCAGCGTCCGCCGCTAGCTGCCTCATGGAAACAATCGAACGCCAATCTGAAATCGACGGCACATCGTCGGATGGAGTCAGAACTGTTTCCTTCTCTTCTGATGAGATTGAATTTCGAGACGTCAAGTTCTCGTATCCTGCTCGGCCCGATGTCCCAGTTCTCCAAGGTGTGAGCTTCAAAATACCGCCAAATAAACACACTGCAATAGTTGGGCCTTCTGGTAGCGGAAAGTCGACTACTGTTGCTCTTATCGAGCGGTTTTACGATCCGTGTGATGGTGATGTGTTAATTGGAGGAATAAATCTACGCGAGATCAACGTCCGATATTTACGAGGCCATATTGGCTTGGTTCAACAAGAGCCATCTTTGCTTGACAGATCAATTCTGGAGAACATCGCACACGGTCTCGTAAGTTCTTCAGCAGAGAAACACCAGCACCTTATTCCCAAACTTCTGGACTCTAGTCTTCCTCGATTCGCGGAGAGAATTCAAGGCGGAGCTTCTGAACACGAAGCTATAGCTGAGCTGGGGAATGAGGTCGGAGAAATCATGATCCTTGCTCGAAAGGCGGCCACTGCTGCCAATGCACTCGAATTTATTGAAGCTCTTCCACATGGGTTTGCTACAAAAGTCGGTAGCACGGGAGGGCAGTTGAGTGGAGGGCAAAAACAAAGGATAGCACTCGCGCGAGCACTTGTTCGAGAACCGCCACTACTTCTTTTGGATGAAGCAACTGCTGCGCTCGATTCAACAAGTGAGCAGCTCATTCAAGCAGCCCTCTCTAGAATATCTCAGAGTGTTACAACCGTGTCGATAGCTCACCGATTGGCGACTGCCAAGGATGCGGATAATATCGTTGTTGTCCAGCATGGGCGGGTGGTTGAACAAGGCACTCATATGGAATTAGTCGCCCAGGGTGGGGCATATGCGGGCATGGTGCGGTTGCAAAATCTCAACAAATTCAGCGCTGCGAGCTCTATTCTTAGCGATTTTAGTCAAGAGTTCTCTAACGACCCTACCTTGACTGCCGATGAAATAGCCAACGAGAAGCGGGATTTGGAAAAAGGGTTCGCTGATGCTGATGGAGAGGACACGAAATCTCCCGAGAAATCTAACACTGTTGAACTGAAGAAAGGTCCCAAGCGACGCTTGTTTAGCACCATTAAAGGATGCATTCCGTTAATCCGCCCGAATCTATTACATATTGCCTTAGGTCTAATAACTTCCTTGGTGATTGGCGGAAGTCACTCCGGCGAGGCTGTTTTATTTGGCCACACTGTAGGGAGCCTTAACCCCTGCAAAGGCGCATCCAGCGTTCGCTCAAGCGGAGAGCTTTTCGGTCTCTTATTTTTCATCCTTGCCTTAGTCGAGCTCTCTGCAACGCTGATTAACGGGTCTGCATTCGGGTGGGCTGCGGAAAAGATTCTATATCGGGCCCGCATACTTTCCCTTCGATCACTACTCAGTCAACCGCTCTCGTGGCATAATTCAGAGGGAAGAACCCCCGGAACGCTAATAGCACATGTTACCAGCGATGCTAGCTCACTGAGCAATCTTACCGGTACAACAATCGGTATATTATTCTCGATTTTGGCAAACCTAATAAGTGGTATTATTCTTTCCCACATTATTGCCTGGAAAATTGCCATTGTTCTCCTTGCCACTATTCCAGTCCTGCTTGCATCAGGGGTTCTTCGCCTCCGTATTTTAGCCCAATATCAAAAAAGACACCAAAAGGCATTTGCGCAAGCGACAGCCATTACAGTGGAAGCAGTGGACAACATCAGAACTGTCTCTGCTTTCTGTCTGGAACAAGAGGCCTATGAGGTTTTTAAGAGGGCGTTACGTGCGCCATATGAAGCGACCTTGAAGACTGTTGCTCATGGAAACTTTTGGCTTTCTCTTGCATATAGTATCAGCAACCTGGTGTATGCGCTCGCATATTGGTGGGGAGGACAGCAAATATTGTCAGGGACCTATTCGCAGACGCAATTTTTCATAGTCCTTCCAGCACTTTTGTTCAGCGCTCAGTCATCTGGGCAGATGTTTGCGCTGGCTCCGGATGTGTCCAAAGCTCGAATCGCCGCTGAGAATATTGTTGGTTTGCTTACCACAGACCCGGAAGAAGGGAGGTCTGGACACAACAATAATAACGCCTACGAGATAACCGGCATTTTCGCGGATGGAAATCCCTCCGACGTTGAAGGCCAGCTCACAACTACGTCATCTAAGCGATCGCCGCAAAATGAAAGTGGGATGGGTGTACAGTTCCGGGACGTGCACTTTTCATATCCGACTAGGCCTGACCAGATTGCCCTTGATGGGTTAAACCTAAACATTCTCCCGGGTCAATTCTGCGCTCTGGTCGGACCTAGCGGTTCAGGTAAATCAACGACATTTGCTGTTTTAGAGAAGTTCTATAATCCAACATCTGGATCAGTTATCGTGGACGGAATAGATATCACAAAGCAAAGAGGGACATCATTCCGAGACAGTATAGCCCTTGTTCCCCAGGAAAACGTGCTATTCGAAGGAACTGTGGCGTTCAATATTGGTCTTGGTGCCCGTCCTGGCCATGAAGCTACCCAAGATGAAATTGAGGAAGCATGCCGCCTGGCAAATATCCATGAAACGATCGTGGCTCTACCAAACGGGTATCAAACGACTTGCAGCCAGGAAGGAAAGCAATTTTCTGGCGGACAGCGTCAGCGGCTATCGATTGCACGCGCGCTTGTCCGCAAACCCCGGCTCCTACTGCTCGATGAATCGACCAGTGCGTTGGATGTCGAATCGGAGAAACAGGTGCAAGATTCTCTTGCAAAGATTGCCCGACGGACAACGATAGTGGCGATTGCGCATAGGTTGAATACGATCCATCGGGCCGATAGGATTTTCTTCATCGAGGATGGGAAATGTGTGGAACAGGGGACTCATGCTGAGCTGCTAGAACGCAGCTCAAAGTATCGGGCAAATGTCATCCACCAGTCACTTGACACATAATATCATAGAGAGACCCGATTATGAACTATTGGCTTAGGAATTCTGATCTCCATTAAACATTGTTGAAAGTCTATCCGACTTTGCTTTCTATTTTTTTTTTTTAGGTGCATTGCTACAAGGTGTTGTGTATTAACTAAGTCGAGGCTACTATTCAAACTATAGAGAGATTTTCCTGTTAATGCACTTAATCACTGTTTGGACATTGAATCCCCAAATTTATACAGAGTATGACACAGTGCTTTTGCCTTTTTCTTAGTTACCATTGAGAGGAAATTGGACCTCGAACAACTGGATTTGATTTGCCACTGATCCAAACATCTTTGTCCCAGGGCTGAGAGAAGCTTTAACCTCCTGTCGATCTATGCACGTAAGCGGCGTGGACCTTGGCATGGATATCCTGGCGGTTAGGGACTTCGCAATTTCAGAACCATTGCAAGAGGTTCAATGGAGTAAATTGCTTTTGATGGAGGGAGATCAAAAAGACTTAAAGTCGAAGATCGTAATCACTTGGTTTGTCGATATTCTCGCTTGGCTATACTTTGCATAGAGGATTCCACATGGGTGGGTAATAAACGGCTTTAGTGGTCCATGTCTCCGGCAATCTTGTGTCCCTCACGGGTACACGGAGGTTTGAGTCTAGAAACCTTGCTCAAATCATAAATAAGGTGTTAGGAGAGAAACGAAAAGGAACAGTATTGCGGAAAGGCGACCGAGATTTGTCTGGCGAGGGATATGGATATTTGAATGGCGAAGACGGGGGCGGCATTTTCCCCCGTACTGGGGAAATGCGGAGCAATGGAAATTCAGAGCGAAGGGGAAAGGAGGTGCTTGACTCCTTGAGCGACTTTGACCGTAATAAAGTCGAGAACTCATAGGATGTTTAGAGGCTCCCAATCCCTCTTCCCTGCTTTCGTTGACCCGGGGAAGTTCTCCAGAAAGGAGAAGCTGGGTTGAGGTGGAAATACAGCTGACTTTTTGCGGGGGAACAGGTGATTGCAGGACGGTCTCTCAGGGGCAGAGTCCAAATAACCTGTGTATCCGTGCTCACTGGGACCCTTGGTGGGCCTGGAGGCACAAGCGGCCCTGGCCACGAATACGGAGCAATAACGGATATTCACGAACCACTGCCATCGAGGTCTGGACAGGTGGACAAACCCGGTTCAATATCGTCGTCCGTGAACTCTCCGAAAGAGTTTTTGGCATAGCTTCCTCTCAGATGGTTTCCACCATGATCAAATGAGTGGGCTCCCCGGTCTCGACCCGGCTGGGCTGCTGGAGTGGTCGAGCAGTGATTTATGAAGGGGCGAGCTCTGTCCACCATACGTTAGGCCAATAGCCTGCCGGGTCGCAGGAGATTGTTCCTCGGGAAGGTAGATTATCTGGCGAAGCCTGTGATCGAAGGATGAACGTGAGATTTGAAGTCTGACGGAAAGAAGAGATGAAAATTGCTTGGGGTCAAGGTATCAAGGGGGCAAGTTTGCTGGAATGTCCACTACGTAATGACAGAGACTTTTTACCTCTATTCTAGCTGCCAAAAATAACGACGAATCCAATCAGTTCCCATCGAAGTTCAAAATGTTGGCACTGTGTTCTCTGTCGTAGAACCAATTGCAAACGCTAGCTGATGCGTACAACCACGCCATTACTGTTAATTTACGGAATACGCTCTGGTTTAACTACCTCCTCGGTAGGTCGGTGGAGGAGCACCGTCTACAAATGCGAGGTAAGGGAGCGAGGCCGAGTTTACACTAAATCCGATCGCTGATTCTTCAGGTTTCACTGATTCCAATAAGTCATTTGGTGCAGGGCTGATCTCTCTAGAGCTGAGCCCGACAGCTTGCTGAGTTTTGTGAGACTCTCCTGGACATGAGCTGTGTCGGCGAGGATGTCTTTGGACACCCCTGACCAGGAATAATACCAAGAGCAGACAAGGGGAGCGCCTAGCTGGCTAACTAATGCTGATAGACTAGCGGCACTATTGACCAACTCGAGCCCCTTAACTAGGTATTGCCGGGAGGAGTTCGACGGGTGGTCTCCAGCACAGATTCACGGCGCTTGACTGACAGTCTGACTGCTGGCGCACAGATACCAGAGGGTCTATATTTAATTCTCTGCTGGCTGATGGGGGGGATGCCGCTGTGCTCCTCCGATGAAACAGTTTCTCTTCCACTCTGCTTCATCTCGGGGCTAACCAACTGGCGGCCTGGCCAATTGTGTGCCTGTGCCAATCTAACCACGGCCACGAATGGGTGCGCTAGTCAACCTTGTCTCAATTTCCCCCCCATAATCTGCGGAATGGCACCAAGCAACATGAAAATCAGTTGTTCTGGAAATCATCGCTCCCTCTTGTTCATGTTTATGTGATGACTATTAATTCGCTATTTTTATTGATGCATCTAGTATTACATACATACCCTCTCTAACTAGCGCTGATTGAGCTTTGACAAACAGCCTGGTCCGGTCTCTGGCGCGCTGATGTGCTGGATGTACTGTACATAGCATCTCTGCCGCTTGCGTGGATTTCCCCCCTCTCCCACTGGCCTCCTGATTGTGCATCTCGTATTATTGGATTGTGGTCGTCGCTTTTGGGAACATCATTCGTCCCTCCATGTCTCTCTGATCCTGTGAGTTCACAGAGTAGTCTCCTCAGATTTGCGCCGAGACTCTCTCAGCGGTGAATGCTTCCTGTCAAAAACATCGGTCGCCCTGGGAAAGCGTCTCACTTCGCATCCTCATCATCCTCCCTCCAAATCACCGTTGGGCACCGCTCATTGGCTTCGCATCATCATTTTCATCATACTGACTGTGACCTCCCATAGCTGGACTTGAGTATACGATACTTCCCACTTCCAATCCCTTCTCGCGTCGCGTGGCCCGCACCCGGGCCCCCCAGGGCTCGGATTACCATATTTTTTTTTTTTGAGTCGAGGTTACACCTGAGGACGCAGCAAACTCAGGGCTTCTAGGACCTATTTCGAGTGTGAAACGCAACGTTCTCTCTAGTCGCTCGTTTCAGCCTTGCATGACCAATTGACCTTCGAGTTAAGAACGTTCGGCCTGTAGATTCATCCACCGCTCCGGCTCTACTCGCATGATTGAGACCGCGATCGATTTAGCGCGCCCTTTCTTTTCCTCTATCCTCATTTTGCCGAAAACTCTGTCAATAATTCCGATAATCGCGTGATTGAAATGATCGAAAAAGGCCAGTTAGAGTCGCCAACGGCTGCTGACTACCTCGAGGATCCTGATGACATCCCAATTCCCTGCAAGGGCTGTGGTGAGGTATGTCGAACGGACTCCAGCCACAGCAAAAGGTTGATAAACGCTGATATATAACCCTTTAAAGATTCTTGAGGAAGGAAAAGCCTTTGAACTAGGTGGGTTGCTCCTCGCACGTATCTGGGCCACACTGTCCTGACCCTGTTTCTTTGCAGCCGGCAACCGTTGGCATATCGACTGCTTCCGCTGTCATACCTGCGGCACTTACCTCGATTCCGACGCGAATCTTCTCCTTCTTGGCGATGGCTCCCTTATTTGCAACAACTGTACCTACAGCTGCAGTTCTTGCGGCAGTAAAATTGAGGATCTCGCTATTCTTACTGGAGATCAAGCTTTTTGTGCAAACTGCTTCAAGTGTCGCAACTGCAAGCGAAAGATCGAAAATCTTCGCTACGCGCGGACCTCACAGGGAATTTTCTGCATGGACTGCCACGAATCATTGATGGCCCGACGTAGGAAGCGCTCTGCGAGAAACGCGACCCAACGCCAAAAGCATCCTAGTTCTGCAATGCACCTAGATAAATCTTTACCCTCGCTTCCTCCAGAACATGAAAGTCGTCTTCCACCTACTGAATACGTTGAACTCCCAGCTGATGTACCTTCGCGATCTGGAGTTGACGAGCGTCAAAACCAGGATAACTCAGCATGGTCTCAATCTCAGCAAGGTAAGTCCCGACTATACGGAGGCCCCCGTTTCAATACTAATCCGGATCGCTCTTTAGATAATCTTATTCTACCAGCCAGCACCTATAATAGCAAGCGTCATTCTGTAGGTTCCCAGAAATCAGACGGATCTGCTGGCGAAGAATTCCTCATCCCTGTTGCATTTGACCCTACGCCATCGGACCACACATCGTCACGAATCACTTCTCCAGACACGTCAAAATCCGCCGATGAGAGATCCCGTGATTATTATCCCCGTAGTACATCCTTGGAGTCACCATCAAAATCGTCGTATGAGCAACGCCCACCACCGGGTTCCAGAGGTTCAGGCTCCGTATCAGATCGACAGCAGGCACCATATCAAGAAAGACGTTCTGAGGAAGCCCCTTCAGGGGTTAGACGTCAAGATGGTGCGAGGCATTCGATGGTACCGTCGACATCTGATGCTAGCCAGTTGACAAGACGAAGCCAGGATAGTAACGGACCACGGAGTTCTGATAGAGAGAAGTTTCAACTTAGCGAGGCCCCTAAATCAAAGAAATCTAGTGGAGAGAGCACACCTCGCAGCAGCAATGAATCCACAATTAAAGATCCCGAGAGTGCAGGGTCGAAACGCAAGGAGAGGAAATCCATCGAAAACTCCCGCTCCACGAACCCTGCTACGCCGGGACAGATGCAACATCCACCCAAACGTGGCGATTCTCTTGAGAGTAAACTCCATCACACTCTGCCCAGGAAAGGGATTGAAAGCACTAAAAGCAACCATGCACATTCCAAAACCGACAAAGATTCAGTCACAGGGGTTGATGGCAATAAGAGTGATGGGAAGACTGCTAGGAAACCCGATCTTAAACCCTCTGTCGATGATTCAACTCCAGTTGCTTCACCGCGCCCACACACCTCGGGTAATAGCACCTTGAAAGACCAAGCAAGCACGCCTCAGTCACTAGACAGAAGGTTGAATCATGACCGAAATGAATCTTTAAGTGCTCTTCAGTCGACATCACGCCGCGCGGAATCTTCCCCGTCACTACCGCGTTATAGTGCCGGAGGTGATTTCTCCCTTGAAGAGGACATGGCTCGAATCATGGGTGACGAGAATCAAAACCACGAATCCTTCCTTCGACGCGTCTCAAACTCCGTTCGTCATGGCAGGAGTTTTAGTGAAAAGGGCTCTCGTCTTTCTAAAGAATTGAAGTGGCCTAAATCTCCTTCGACTGGAAGTACCTTCGCACAAGATATTAGTAGCCCGAGTACTAGTTCACCTGAGGCTCGTGAAGAACTCAACTGGTTCAAGAACGAGCTTCGCAGAGAACGACAGAAAATAATCGAGAAAGACCAGAAAATAGCGGAATTGGAAGCTGCTCTTAACGCCACGGCGAATATTAAGGAGGTAAATACCGAGCTACGCGAGAAACGATCTACAATGGTCTTCCTGGATGCACAAAAGGAGATCGTATTGCGCGAACTTGAAGTATTGAGAGAACATATTGCAACAGAGAAACAGAGCAATGCCCCGCTGGACCTAGGAAAAGTGAGTAATGCGGTTCTACGCGATCTAGCTGAAGCACTTCGGCGTTTGAAAGAATCGTTCATGCCTCAAATCGAAGAGTTGATCCAGAAGCGGAATGATCTTGTTGAGGAATTGGGAAATCTTGGTCGAATGAAAGATAAGAGTTTCCAGGAGTTTGAGCAGCTGTCGCTCAAGAACGCCCAGTTGGCGGAGCTCAACAACCAGCTTGTACACCAAATCCAAGAGCTTTACAAAGCCAATTCAAATTCTACGGACAGTAACCGCCAAGCACCCAATGGGTTAGGTATCTACCATCACAAAGATAAATCGACCGCTTCCGTGGAGCGAGACTTGCGTTCTATAACGAATGAGCCGTCTCCAGGAATAGTCCAACCGGAGGAAGCCGAACCAATCACGGTCGTCCAAGGTCCCCAAGTGGTGAGCATCAGAAAAGGTCAGCCGAAGAAATTTAATTGGAAAAGAGGTGGACAGAACGTCGCGAAGGGTGTCACCAAGGGTTTGAAAGGTGCATTCTTATACGGTGAGGGCAAATCGCAACGAGAGGGTGCTCAATTCACAGAAACGGCCCCATATGGAAGCATTCCTCCGACCAGCGACAACAACTCCGGACCTCAGCGCGCTCAGACTCAAGACCCGTCCCGCCAGGGCTTTGGGTTTTTCGGAAACCAAAAGACCAAAACCTCTCAATGGAAGCCACCAGCCAATGGCAGCTCTTCAGTGCTCAACGAGGGTTCTATTGGTAGGTTTACCTGTTGTTTTCGCCTATTTTGAGATGTTTGGTGCTAATTCTATTTAGGACTATTCGGCTCCGACTTAGAACAAAGACTGGAGGTTGAAAGGGGTGTCATTCCTAGCATCGTCACGCGTTGTATTGAAGAAGTCGAACTACGAGGTGTGCAACCCCGCCCCAAAACTTCCTTTGCATCTTATATTAACAAAAAATTTATAGGAATGGATGTCGAGGGTATATATCGCAAATCAGGTGGCAGCTCACAGGTTCAGATGGTCCGTGACGGTTTTGAGCGCAGCCGCGACTTTGATATTTCCGACCCAGATCTTGACATCCATGCCGTCACATCTGCTCTGAAGCAGTACTTCCGAATGCTTCCTACGCCTCTTATCACCTATGATGTATACGATATGCTTCTCGATGCAAACAATATCACGCCAGCTTCCTCACGCATTGATGTCATGCAACATGGACTCCAAGAACTGCCTCGAGTACATAGAGATGTGTTGGAATTCCTTGTCTTCCACCTTAAGCGCGTTGTGGACCGAGAAAGGGAGAATCTGATGACCAGCCTTAATATTGCTGTCGTGTTCGCTCCTACGATCATGCGCCCTGAGAGTCTGAGTCGCGAGATGACCGATGTCCAGAAAAAGAACGAAACTCTTCAGTTCCTGGTGGATAACTGCCAAGACATATTCATGGGCATGCCAGAGTAGTTTTCTACAACTACTCGTAAATTCTTTGTTTCTAGTTACTTCGACAAATGAGCTCCTTGTTCAGCCCGTTATGCTAATTCGAGTACTTGTCTTTTGCAATTTTTTACGGCTCGTGTCAGAGTTTTGTTAACGCTTTTACGTCTATTTCTTATTGCCCTTGTTGATAACCTGCGAGGAAAGCAGAACATAACGCTGCTGGTCAGATACCCTCTGTTTTTGAAGCCTATTTTCTCAGTTTTGCTTCTTGAGACGGTTATGAAATGCCCCCAGGTGTGAGTGTTGGCTGAATTTTCCTCATGCCACGGTTACCCCTTTCCCTCGCCCCCTTCTTTTTTGAAACCACATGTTTGAGTGGCAGCGACACTTCTATTCCCGAATACTGCATACGGAGAACTTCGAAAATTATCTTCGTGCTGTCCCTTAAGAAGTCTTTTCACCTGCTACACCTGTCCATAGGCCAGATATATTATTGTATGTATGTATGCGTGTACTGTATGGATATGCTGCGGTTAATAGACGCTTAAATCATCTCTCAGGATTGCTTTCCACCAGCCAATGGCTGGATTTGGCTTCTATACGGAGTAGTCCTACGAATATGCATGTCTCGAGTGCTGCGTGAAATCCAAGGCAATCTACCTTTGTTGCGCCTCGTGCACTTGGCTAGGTAATGCTGCTATGGGTCATGCTTGTATGTATGTAGTACTCCATACGCATTATATATTTACTTCGTATAGCTGAAGACAATGATGTAGAAATAGCAAACATGCATATGGAAAGGTACATTTGATGTCGAAGTATTCTTCCAGGCGAGATAGATCTGTCAATGTTGCGCTTGGGATTGCATTTTCCGCTGCATAGGGCCCTATAATTCTTCGCACATCTGCTCCATACCACGTTTATGGTATAGCAGAATTCATCCGTTCTTTCTCTCGCGACTCAGAACGTATCATCATCTAATCCCTCCATCCGACGAACAACGGTGGGACTATATTCAAAGTTATCAAACTCCTCAGTCGTGTCTCCAGCACCAGCTGTATGCAAAAGATCTGACACTATGCGCTTCGACGCTTCCTTTGCTATATGTCACGTCAGTTTAAACAGATGAAACGACTCATGACAGTAAAAATTCATGCAAACATATAACGAGAGCATACCGGGCGTTTTGAGCAGTTTACTTTGTGGAACATGGAATTGCATTGTTTTCGGTGGACTGTGCCCGAAGAAGGCGGTAGGGTCAACGTTGTCGTCGTCCAAATCATCGTCGCTGTCCCAGAGGCTCTGACGGTGCATTCTCGGCTTGGCGGGACTGAAAAAGCTAATTCCTGGCTTTGGGTTACCAGGGTTGCTCGGTCTACGGGGACGTTTGGAAGATTCAGGGGCAACTGGAGAAGAAAATATTTCTGAGTGAAGCTTGGGAGCCTCAAGCTCTGGGCTGGAGAGAGGCGAATATTCGATGTTGTAACGCGATTTAGGAGTCGTAGGCCCATGCCGTGCTTTAAACAACGTGCGAGAGCCTCCAAGCGGTGTCGCTTGAACACGATATGTCTTGTCAAGCGTGCGGTGAAGAACTGGGTCCATTTTGGTCTTGTTTGACTTTAACGAGGTAGGAGGAGGAAACACAGCAGATCCAGGAGTCGTTGGAATATTCCGAGGGCGCCTAGTTGGATCTGTTCCGGGCGTGGATGGGGTGGGTTTGTTCATTTGAGATGGCGTTTCGATTGATGACACTCCTTCGTCAAACCCGTCGGATGTTAAGCTATAGTCGACGGAGCTATCCTCGTGTGATTTAACGTAATCACTAGCTCGGGGGGTACTATGAGAATCTGAAATAGATAGGCCGGAGACATCCGGTTCTGCATCGCGATGATCAACATCTAGATGACCAGAAGGGGCCGTATCGTAGGAATACGACTCGGCCTCTTCGTCAAGGGATGTGTGGGTTATGTCCGTTGAGTCCTCAGTGGCCGTGATGTCATGTCCACTCTCATCCAACGGCTGTTCCTCGTATCCAGACAGAGAGACATTAGCGCTCGACTCGAAAAATTGTTTCCAGAACTGAAGGGGAATCATCGTTAGTAAATGTCAATACTTTCAGTTGCAGAGATATGCTTACTTTTGATGCTTCCCACACGTCGCGCGATTGTTCCGCGTATTGTTCGACAACCGGCAGTATGCTTGAGGTCACAATTCGATGAGCCTTGCTGAAGTTATGGTCGATTTCTATAACTCTACATATCAGCACTCCATCACACCTACCACCAAGCTTGAATTTGTTTACCTTGGAGTGTCAATGTTATTTGCTGTTCTAGCCTCTCCAACTCCTCGGTTAAAGAGAGATTCCGCTGGGCGGAGATAGTGGGACGGGACATTTCTATCGCTTTCGTTGCGTACACCTCAAACAATCAGAATTGGCCTGGTCAATCCAGTTGAATCGAGAAGAACCCGCGCGTCTCCAGTGCGTTGAGTTCGAGAGAAGCCCAGATGCCATCTGCTGAGTCATGCAATCGCCCCATCGGCCGATAACAAGATAAGCTCCCTCCGAGCACCGCAATCAAGGCAGCAGAATAATACGCAGTCCTGCTTCAGATCCTTCTTCCCCCAGGCGCTTCATTTTTCCTTCTAACTCCCCCCCCCAACCCAAAGCAGAGACTGGGAATGCTCTGGACTGTCCACCACGACACAACATGTCAGCCCCTTTGGCCAAAGGTCGGGTTTCCCCCCTTCCCTTTTCCCCCTCTTTTGGAGCCCCTCACCGCTCTCTGCCCGAAATTTGTTGAATCAACGCCTCTATTCTGTTTTGGAGGCCACGCTCCTCCAAGGAAGCTTTCAAAGCTGATGTGCTTGGATCTTTAGGTATTGTGATTACGGTTTCAGTTCTCGTTGCTGCAGGTATTGCTGTCTATGAGAGCCCCCAGCTTCAGGAATGGCTCCGATCCTCCCGTCGGAAGATAGCATTAACGCTGAACAATTGGGGAGATGAGCTTACCTCTCATGTATCCCAGAGGAGAGATGATATCTCTATGACAGAAGAGTTAGGAGAACAAGCCGAACTCAGAAGGAGGAAAGTGCGGGAAGATATACAACGTCGTCGTGAACTTCTGTCATCTTGCAAGCGGCATCGAGCTCCTATAACCAGCAGCAGCAATTTTGATGCCCTCGTCGATAGTGAGGGTCGACTAAAGCCATCAGTAGAAGATGACAAGATCAGCGACTCTGAATCTAAATCCACTGGAGTCGAGATCACTGCCGCTGAGCCTACCAGTCGATTCCTCAATAGAAGTTGCGATTTTGGTCCATCGATATCCAATGTCGATTCGACAGTTAACCCAGAACAGCATCGTGAATTATTTGAAGAAATCAGCAGAAATAGGCTCCTTATACCGGCACTCTCAGAAACGACTTCTGATCATCCTTCAGAGTCTTTGGTGGACTTGACACCAACGTCGGAATTCTCTGAGTCAGAACTATCCTTTTCTTTACACAGCCAGCCAGAGATCATACAGGACACTCCTTCCGATCATCTACCCGTGGCTTCTCCCACAGCTTCCAGTCATACGGAAGAAGGCTTTTACTATGCTCACCCTGATCACCTGACTGGGGATTTTGCCGGTCCCGCACGCTCTGCTCCTACCGGCTTTGCAGAAAACGTCTGGGCCCACGAGGTGTCTTCCACGCCGTCTATAGCATCCAGTCTTAGCCATATCCAAAACGAGACATTTGATACTACTTCAGACGGTACGTTGAGCGATTTGGGCCGGGACCGCGACAATTTGTACACTCCAGTCAGCTGGTCTGAAGTTGGCAGTGTTGTTAGCAGTAATGATGAAGGCTCCCAGTAATATTTACCAGGCGCACGTCTAAAACCCTTGCATAAAGTTGGTCAGGCGTTTTTTTCGGCGATGTACCGTTTTCCCCGTTGCTACCTATATCTTGGGGGACACGTGCCTGTCATACCCTCCAGGGATAGTTGCCCGGTGCGTTTTCCCAGTCAATGGTCTGTATAAGTGTCAATTGGTTGGCAGATTACACTATACATACATGGAGTAAATGTGCTCTTTTAGTTATTACGGAACCATTGGTTTCGCAGTTCAAGTCTTTGTCCAGCGTAGCATTTTGCTGTTTCGTAAACGGGTTAGGGATCCCCCTTCATGGGCCTCATTCACACATCTTGGATTTCTCGTATCATGAGTCGGCCAAGCAGTCCACCCACCAGCCTTTAGATGGTGCTTCGGCTTTCGAGAACCACTAGCTCCCTTCCTTATGTTCCTCTTCTGAGGTTTGGAGGATGAAGGTTGGAATCAATAAAGGATGATAAGGCGCAGAATTTCGTTCTTTTTCTTTTTTCTTTTTTTTTTTTTTTTTGTTTTTTTTTTCTCTGTTCTAACCCCGTCTACTTCGTAGTAAGGCTCCGTACTATCTCCAACTAGACCCCGTCCGGAATAGAAACAGTCCTCAATTATTTCCCGTGCGGAGTATTACCCTTTTCCGGTCCATCTCAAGCTCGATCTAAGCTCTGAGTAAATGTGCTTGTGTCTCTAAAATTCAACGGACACTCAAATTTAGCTCCTATCGCCTTTTTAAGCCAAGACGGAACAGGGTCGGTCTGCCGTTGTCTTGAGTCCTCAGGGGCAAAAAAAAAAAAAAAAAAAAAAAAAAAAAAGCACTGGTATGGATATCCGAGATTGTTACCTGCATGAGGCCATATTGGTTGAATCATAGCCACAGAAACTGTCCATTCGGAGAGTCTGGTAAGTCTGGGAATGGGCGCCAATAACCACCTAGTTAGCTACCGAGGCTGATGGATACAAGGACAAGGGGCCAATTTCCTGGATGCCAGCTGTCATAGAGCTGAATGGGGGCCATCCGTGAATCATTCTGATAAGAAAGGCTGAAGGCAATCTCTTCATTAATACCCACCAAGCTCCAAGTGATACATCTTTCACACAAATTAAAACCACAGTGCTAGGTAAAGTCTCAGTTGCTAAAGAGTACTGCCTGAGAAATCCGGTGTTTCCATGACAAAACAGGAATTGTGCGTTGCCAGAATTGCTGTCGCGTGAGCTTATGTGCGAGTCATTGAGCATCCCTGCACCTGCCAAGCCACAGCCTGAATTGATATCGTCTCAATTTTCACACTTTACCCCGTACTAGTTGAGCCGAAACTACATGAACACGCTAAGATTTCATGGGGACATCATCATCTGATATTTTCCCCCCTCTTACTCTGTCCGTGAACTCTACAGAGGAGACGGAAAGCAAATGATAAGGCCACTGCACCAAGATGTTAGCAAGCTTAGGGCTGGCTCCTGAGGCGGACATCGATATGGGATTGACCCACATTCGACCCCGTACCAGCCAACAAGATCATCATACTTAAAACCGTTGTTATTTCTGTAGTGACATGAGTTCGCTTTGCGAATTGTGTACTCCGTAATCACGTACTTCCTCTGTCGAAGCCACACCCGGAGGGCTGTAAGCTCAACTTTGCCCCAAAAACGTCATCCCTCCTACAAGGCGAAAGACCTGGACGACCGCTCCAACGTAGCCATGCAACAACGGATCTCCCGGCAAGCCAAATGATTTCGAAAAGATCCAGAATTAAGCAGCAATCCTTGGCATGGAAGACCCTCCCAGGCATCACCCAATCATTAACTAGCCAGTGCTCAAGAAAACTCCCCACTCCGCCGCTGAAGAGCTAGTGAAAGGTGAGCTGAAATTATTGGCCTGTTGAAACTAATGGTTGGGCTCTTTCTCTCCGACTTTTTTCTTCAAAACCTTTGCGGATTCCTCAAGGTCGTATTTCAATAGTTATCTTTTACTCCGTAGATGCTTCTCAATCTCGCAACTCAACCGTCCCGCTCGCACTCACTGTTATATCTGTTTGCTCTGCTGCTTGTCGTGAAACCGCGCCGTGCTCCCATGTGCTGGATGAAGGGTCGATCACGGAGAGCTGAATTGAAAGGGCGATATGAAATATAAGTGGGCGCTGCTTGTTACCGCTATCGCGTGGCAGACGGCCGTTGCACTTCCGCAAGTCCTCCTGGAGCTACGCAACATATTGGATCCAGAAGCAAACAAGTATTTCCACGAGCCGGGTCGAGACGATATCCTGGGCCATTATGATCTCAGATATTTTAAGGGCGTGGTCAGCTATGAGGAGCGCACAAACACCTTGACCCACATGATCGGTGCGTATTTGCAGTTTTTCAGGGAAAAAGAGCTGGATACTTGGATCGCACACGGAACACTGCTTGGCTGGTGGTGGAATGGGAAGGTCAGTAGCGCCAGTTCCTATGCCGCAACTGGCGTCTAAAGAGCCTCCCCGTTGCACTCAGACATGAAGGGCTAACCACCAGCCAAGATCCTACCATGGGACTGGGATGTAGACACGCAAGTCACCGGCGCGACACTGGCATACATGGGGAATCATCTGAACCAAACAATATATACTTATCGCCTGGACAAGAACACGCAGCGAAAGTATCTTCTAGACGTCAATCCATGGTCGAGAGAGAGGGAGCACGGAGACGGTCAAAACATAATCGATGCGCGGTGGATCGACATTCGAAACGGTCTCTATATCGATATCACTGGTCTCAGTGAACTAGACCCAGTCGGGGAGCGTGGAGTACTCTCCTGCAAGAACTTCCATAAATATAAGATCACAGACCTCTACCCAATGCGAGAAAGCACCTTTGAGGGTGTCCCCGTCAAGATCCCATACGAGTATGATGAGATTTTGATTAAGGAATACGGACACAAGGCTCTGATCTTGACGGAATATGAGAAGTGAGTGGCTCCGTGTTTCAAACCAGAACCTCTTTTTCCGGTGAAGTTTTATGTCTCTAATCGCTTCGCAGCCACAAGTGGGTCCCTGATTTAAAGGAATGGGTTTCTGACAAAGAAACGATGAAGAAAATCGAGCGCGAAAAACGTACTCGAGGCCGAGCCAGGTGGATGCTCCAAGAATCATGGACACCTATGGGTTAACGGTCGCAACCCAGTTGACTACTTTTCCGATTCACGAACGGGTATATATCAAATTGCCAGGGCTATTTTCCCCTGCCCCGGAAGTATCCCTTAGTCCATCCAAACTCGTGACGAGGGATCAGGAATTGATCAGTAAAATGCACGCGATGGCCCGTTATTTGAGGCCCATCAGTCGGGCTTAAACTGCAGGAATGCATGGTCTCTGGCCTAATTCTGTGTGGGTTGCTCTATTGAACTAAGGGTAAGTCAATCAGTGGTGCAACAAACCCCCCCTTATGTTGTTATTTTTATTATTTTTTTTTATTTATTGTGTCCTTTTTTCCTTCTCCCTTCTTTTTCTTTATCTTGACAACTTGGCCATATATATTCGGGGCTTCTGCATCCTGGATTCCTGGTATTATGGGAGCACTGGAGCTGTACCGGTGTCCATCAGGTTCAGGAACAATTCTCATTTTCAGGGACATATTCTTGAACGTTTCCTGTCAACAGTTACCTCTTTGAGGTGTGATGGAGACGAGAACACACTCAATCAGCTAGAGCTGGGCGCACATGGGCTTTTTAGCGTAGAGAACTGTCACGTGGTGGCTGCTTGTCGGGAGCATCCATGACATATGAACATTTTCTCAAGCGAATATGGGTCTCTTTTCTCTCTGGAAGGGACAGTATGCTTGTAGAAGGCAGAAATCTCTCTCAATCTAGATACTAGGCTCTGTGAATGTATATACAAGTTTTTGGCAGTATAACTGTCCTCAGATGGCCTACAGAATATTTCGTACAGGCAGCACCACGAGAGCCGGGCACAGCTGGATCGGCGAGATAAGATAAACTCGGACCTCGGAGTTAAGATAAGATCCGATTACTAACACGGAGAATATTCGCCACACTTCCACCAGCAAACAGCAATCTGGAGACGTGCTTTGGCGGGACGAGAACTGACAATGGCTTTTAAACCGCTGCCTTACTTGCAAATCGCGTTGCAGCACAAAGGACCTTAGCAATGGATGGCCTTCATGTCGCTCCTTCAGAGAAGCATAATATCTTGGGTGAATCTACTTCTTTCAAAGTTCACTACCACGGCGAAGTTCATGACCTTTCCTTGCCCCCTGCATCAACCCTACAAGACCTCTCAGCACTCATATCAGAGGTCTTTCATATACCTGCCGAGAATCAGAAACTATTGATTTCCCCGAAACCAGGACTGCAGAAGTTTCCGTTTTCTCCCATCTTACTCTCCTCATTTCCTGTAGACTCCTCGCGGTTCAAAATAACCCTCCTTGGGAGTACCGCTTCAGAAATCACCTCCCTCAACAAATCAATTTCCGACCATCAACGCCAACAGCATCAACGCCGCGAGTCTGCTATCAAATCTGCAAAGCCTCTATCCACTCACCGCACACAAGTCCAGTCATCTTTATCCTCACAATACACATTCCACAGGCTCCTTCCACTCCCTTATCTCCCCAACCCCGATCGCAGCCTGGCCTACCTCGTCCGCCTGCGGGATGACCCAGGAATCCGCGCTGCGATGACCAAACACAGATTTTCGGTCCCCCTCCTCACAGAGATGAACCCCGTCGAGCACACGACCCTCTCATCGCGCACTCTAGGCCTCAACCGAAACAAGGGCGAAGCCATCGAGCTGCGTCTGCGCACGGACGCGTACGATGGATACAGAGACTATCGAACGATTCGCAAAACGCTGTGCCATGAGCTGGCGCATTGCGTGCATAGCGAGCATGATCGTGATTTCTGGAATCTGACGGCACGTATTGAGAAGGAAGTTCAGAGTGCAGATTATTGGGGTAAAGGTGGAAAAAGGTTAACAGAAGAGGAGTTTTACAATCCGGCGGATTGGGAAGAGATGAAGAGCGGTGGAGAAGTAATGGATCATGGGGGTTGGACTGGCGGAGAATTCGTGCTTGGCGGGTTGGGAGGGACTGGGAGCGCAGCGGGAGCTGGATTGAGCCGGCGGGAGATCTTGGCAAGAGCGGCTGAATCGCGAATGTCTGCCAAATCTAAGGAGAAGAACACAGATGAAGGAGGAAGCGATACTCAGAACTGACTGATTATTATTTGTTTTTGTGATACCATGCCCTTTTGGATGGCGGTAAACTTCGTATATATACCCTCATAACTAGCATCTCCTTGCTTAACCCAACCACATACATACATTATGAAAGAGAAAAAAAATAACATCCCACATCATAACTTCTTGTATCTTGCTTAATTCTGCTCATTTATAAACAAACCAGCCATGCCCTGGCCAGTTCCAATACACATACTTGTCACAAGGACCTTTGCCTTGGTTCTCTTTGCCTCGCTCAAAATGGTAACAACCTGTCTTGCACCCGTGCATCCAAGAGGATGACCCAAGGCAATGGCACCACCACGAGGATTCACCTTAGCGTGGTCGAGGCCAAGTGTGTCAACGCAATACACAGCCATGGAGGCAAAAGCCTCGTTGATTTCGAAGATGTCAACATCGTCCTTGCGGAGGTTGAACTTGGAGAGGAGCTTGGGGATGGCAGCGGTAGGACCGATACCCATAATTCTTGGAGGAACACCAGCAACGGTGGCTCCAACGAATTTGGCAAGGATGGGCTGACCGAGTTCAATGGCCTTGGAACGCTTCATAAGGAGAACAGCAGCGACTATCAGGTGTTAGCGAGTGGGTGTGTCAAAAGTGGATTGGTTAGATAAAAAAAAGGCCGCATACCTCCGTCGCTGATCTGACTGGCATTACCACCAGTGGTCTTATTTCCAAACTGGGGGAATGCAGGACGGATCTTGCTCAAGCCCTCGTAGGTGGTGCCGTAGCGAGGACCCTCGTCCCGAGAGACGACGATTTGCTTGACTTCTCCAGTCTTTGGATCCTTGACAGTTGTCGTAATGGGAACAATTTCATCGTCGAACCAACCTGACTTCTGGGCGACCTCCGCTCTTCTGAAGGACTCCACAGAGTAGCGGTCCTGCATCTCACGGGTGATGTTGAAATCATCACCGACATTCTCTGATGTCTGACCCATGGGCTGTGTGCAGTCCTGCGCCTCCTGGCACTTCATAACCTCGTTATCAACAGGCTGGAAGCCTCTGTCGGGAGAAAGAGACATCGACTCTCCGCCGAGGGCGATACCGACGTCGATGGAACCTTGGGAGATCTGGTAGGCAACATCCTGGATGGCTTTCAAGCCGGATGAGCAAAATCTGCTAACGGCAGCGGCGCCAGCAGTGTGTGGGATGCCAGCAGCGAGAGCAGCGGTACGGGTAAGATAGGATGCCTTTCCATTGAGAGCCTAGAAATGAAGCAAAAGAGGTCAACATCGCTCATAAACTGGACTGACGGATAATGCCTTACATTTCCCAAGCATACATCCTCGATCAAGCTGGGGTCTATTTTAGAGCGAGCCAACACTTCCTTGATGAGAGCGTAGACAAGCATATCAAGGTCTGTATCCTTGAATCCACCCTTGAAACCCTTCGTCATGGCGCTTCGAACTGCGACGGTAATGACAACATCGTCGGGGTTCTTCTCGCAACTGCATTACAGCGTGTTAGCAGCTGTGGTAGTAAGTTCGGTTTACCCATATCGACATGATATCTGACGACGGATCTTTTCTACAGCATGCGAGGCTTTGTTTGTTGGGACTTACAGTTTATCAACAACACTGCTTCCACCCGTGCCGGGTTTCAACTGCTGGAGGACAGCATTTAATCTCTCAAGAGCCATCTTGGGATGTGTATATTGAATAAAAAACCGTCCTGTCTCACGCGTCAGCTTCTCGGTTAATGTATGTCCTGTACATGCCAGGATAGCAACGAGACCCCTGCGGGAGGCACAACGATGAAAAGAAAAGAAACCAAAGCAACACTCACAGCTTTCCGATAAAAGAAAACGGAGACGCGAACGAACGAATAGCTATAGAGAGAGAGAGTAGCTTGAAAAAAAAAACGAAGGAGAAAGGAAACGAGACAATGCGAGCGACGAGCTCGGCTTTTTGTATGTACGACCGCAACGAAATTGGCCAGCCGAGCCGACTCCCGATTGTTCTTTGTTCTGCGGGACTCTGGGGTTGCTAGTTGCCGAGGCAATTTCCCCTTTGGGACAAGCCCCAAGCCTTGGTCTCCCGTCGATTCGCTCGCGGCCACCGAACAGCCAAACAAATACACGCAAGGCCAAGGGCTCAGACAGAGAACTCTGTACTGTACAGCTCGAATGATGGAAGAAGAGTGAGAAAAGGGGACGATAATTATTCATTGCTCTAGTTCATGTCTAAAACAGCCTCATAATTAAGTGGGAAATCACCCTGCCTGTCCTCCAAGTAATCATTTCTGTAGTCAGATGGATGATTCTAGCTGGTGATGCGACTTTTAAAACCTTCTTCATGCACGCGTCGGGGAGTTAGAATAAAAAGGAGAACCGATGGAACATAACGGGAGTAACCATGCACACGTCTACTCGACTTCTTCCATCTCAGCATCATTATTACCAGCCTTCGGAGCATCGGCATCAGCGTCCTTCATCTCCGTGTCCACTGCCTCCTTCTTCTTGGCTTCCTCCTCTGCCTTCCTCTTCGCTTCTTCCTCAGCTCTCTTCTTTGCAGCCGCCTCTTCCTGGGCTTTCAGCTGAGCCTGTCGCTCTGCTTCAATTTTATCGAGGTGACGCTGAATGATAGGTCCAGCAAGGAAACGAATCTCATCCATCTTGGCGACATAAACGGCTTTGGTGGTATCCTCACCATCATCATATAGCCAATCCTACAACATTGTTAGCCCGTCCTTGGCGGCAGTGAAAACCGAAAAAAAAAAAGGTTAGGGTTCTAGAACGTACCTCTGTTTGGTCAAGTTTGGCTTTGACTTTCTCTTTCTCCTCATCATTTGAATATTCAGCGTAAACACCATCAATCTTGTCTCTCAGCTCGTAAATGTAGGACTCGAGTTCGTTCTTCTTGTCCTCGGTATCCGCAACAAGCTTATCTTCCATGTGCATGGCATTCTCTTTTTCGGTATATTCCTCCACCTTGGACTTGTCAAGCGACGCGGTACCGCTGATAACAGGAAGGTCGCCCTTGCGGACTTGCTTCTTAACTTTACGCATCTTTGGTTTCTCGGAGTCACCGTTGGCACCATCGGTATCCATGGCCTGCGTAAAAAGTTTCTTCACGTTAGAAAAAAACTTTTTCTTTGGGATCATGAAAAAGACAATGAGTCAGTAGGGATCATAATGCTAGGTCGTGCACTTACATCACCTTCCTTCTTTTCCTCCGGAATGGGCTCTTCAATCTCGACATCCTCAACATAGTAGCCGGTCTCGACGTTAAGCACACCGTGCAGGTTGAGTCTCGCCTTGAGCTTGCATACCATGAACTCGTCGTTCGCGTCCGCAACCACATTCTTGACAGAGAAGCGGCCGATCCAGGGATTAGGCTTTCCGGGGATCAACTCAGGCTTGGCATAGCGGGCTTCTAGGTCAAATGGCTGCTTGCGATAGAAAGTAAGGATCTTGGTGGATGGCATGACATTGCCTTTGTTGAAGACTGTCAAGGATGTTGCTTCATCGGGAATATCGGGAGACTTCTCCCAGGTGAATTCGATGGGGTAGTTGACGATGTCATGTACGGAGAAGTCACGAACGCGGAAAACGGGGGAGAGGATAGCACAGCTGAAGGCACAGCCTCGCGCGACGGCCTCGTCTTGGTTGAGAGTGAAAGAAAGTGGCTTTCCAAAGAATTCACTGATCTTC